AATTCAGAAATATACCTTAATGTGCCACGTGGCAAATTTTGCAAAAAATCAGATTTCAAAACTGTTTATTTAGTTACATAATGGTTCTAAAGATATTCAAATTTTTGATGAAATCATTTTTTGAAACAGTAGAAAAATTGAATTTGATTGATATTTTTATTTTTTTAAGTGCAAAAAAGAAGTCAGATTGTTCTCGAAAAATGCGAAAATATCATAAATTCATTTTGAAACAGTAGAAAAATTCAAAAATCTAACTTTTCAATTTTTTTCAAAATGAGAAATATGGACTACCAGTTGATTTTTAAAATAAATGAATAATTTATAGATAAACTTCAAATACGTGGAAAATTCTGCGAAAAATCAGATTTCAAAATTGTTACATAATGGTTCAAATAATATTGAATTTTCACATGAAATTATTTTGAAACAGTAGAAAAAATTGAATTTATTTGTGATTTTCGTTTTTTTTTGCACTGCAAAAAATATTGAAATTGTTCTCAAATATTTCAAAAATCTCATAAAATAATTTTGAAACAGTGAAAAATTTCAAAAATCAAAATCAACGATTTTTTATTTCAAAACCGGACATTCCAGTGATTTTAAACCTAGAAATATACCTAAAGGCGCCACGTGGCAAATTATTTTAGAAAACAATCAAATTTTTAAAATTTTGTGAAATTGTTTTGAATCGTTCTAAATAATATTCAAAATTTCAGATGAAATAATTTTGAAACAGTGAAAAAAATAAATTTAATTGTGATTTTTATTTGTTTGAACTATAGAAGATAGTTGGATTGTTCTCAAATAATGCAAAAATTCTCATAAAATAATTTTGAAACAGTGAAGAAAATTGAATTTATTTGTGATTTTCGGTTTTTGACTGCAAATTGCGGGCGTTCAGCTCATTGTTCTCGAAAAATGCGAAAATCTCACAAATGAATTTTGAAACAGTAAATAAAATTCAAAAATCTAATTGTGATTGAATTTTTCAAAATACAGAAATATGGACTACCAGTTGATTTTCTCGAAAAATAAAAATCTCATAAACAGTGAAAGATTTCAAAAATCAAGCTATCACGTGGAAAATTCTGAAAAATCAGATTTCAAAATTATCTTGAATTACATAATGGTTCAAAAGATATCCAAATTTTTACATGAAATTATTTTGAAACAGTGAAAACAATTGAATTTATTTGGGATTTTCGGTTTTTGACTGCGAAGTTGAAATTGTTCTCGAAAAATGCGAAAATTTCATAAAATAATTTTTGAAACAGTGAAGTTTTTCAAAAATCAAAAATCGATTTTTTATTTCCAAAACCAGACTTCCAGTTGAATTTTTTAAAACCTAGAAATATACCTAAAGGTGCCACGTGGCAAATTTAGCAAAAATCAATTTTTAAAATTTTTTTGAATGAAGAAATTGTTTTGAATCGTTCTAAAAATATTCAAATTTCAGATAAATTTATTTTGAAACAGTGAAAAAAAATTGAATTTATTTGTGATTTTTATTCGTTTGAACTAGAGAAAATAGTTGAATTGTTCTCGAATAATGCAAAAATTTCATAAAATATTTTTGAAACAGTGAAAATTTCCAAAAATCAAAAAATCCAGTTTTCTCCCCAAAACCGGATTTCCAGTTGAATAAAAGTTCAACAATTCCTCATTTTTTCCCCTCACCTCAGACACAGCGTTCACAATACTCAATAATCTATCAGGTTGTGGTTGTTGTCCAATTTCATTGACATAATTGATGAATCTGCAAAAAATGTGCACTTTTTTTATATTTTATGAGGGCGCAAAACAAGAAAAGTTGTGTGCTTTTTGAGAAGATTAGAAAAAAATTGGAATAAATTTTCTGAGGAAAACAGAAGCAACTCATAAATTATGAAAATGTTGCCGCCTTTTTTCTTGTGAAGAAGAAAAATATGGAAAAAATAGGAAGAAGTGCACTTTTTTGAATTATTTTTTATTATTTTTGTGGTGGATTTTGTGGGACTTTTTCCAACATTTTTTATAAATTTATTTTGAAATCAAAATTTCCGTTAAAACGTGGCAAAACCCTGGAATTTTGAGGCTTCAAATTCACTTATATGTAAATTATTTAAATTTGAATCTTCGTATCGTTTTTATTTTTACCAAGGCACCATTTTGAAACAGTGAAAATTTTCGAAAAAAAAATATTTTTTTTTTCAACTTTCATGAATTGTTTTTGGCCAAAGCGTGGACGAAAGCCACCAAAAAAAATTCATAAATTATTTGCCGAAAATCTACGTTTCAAAAATTTTACTAATTTTCGATAGGATTTTTTGGATCTGACAACACGAACTTCTCGTGTTCCACAAACTTAGTTTTCAAAATTTTTCAAAAAGTTTCTAAATTCACCAAGAAACCGAAAAATTTCGATCAGAAAACCCGAAAAATGCAGCTTTTTCAATGAAAAAAGCACACAGTTGCATTAATTTTTCTTCTAAAAACCTCCAACACCATACATCAATTTATTCTAGTTTTTCAGCGATTCCGAGTAAAAGTTTGACTCAAAAATAATAATTTTTCAAAAAACAAATCAAAATTTTTGGTTCCAATGAAACAGTAAGCTTAAAGTACTTTCCACCTCAAAAAAATTATTTAGTAAAAAATCAGCTCATATACTATTTCCTCCCAAAAATTCACTGTTTCAAATATTTTACTAATTGTTGATGTGATTTTTGGATATGATAGAATGTTTGGTGGTCAAATTAGAATTCCAACCTCACTTTTTCGTATCTAAATATAATAGTGAGCTTCCTACAGTACCTTTTCGCTCGAAAAATTATTCAACAAAAAATTCAGCTCATAAATAATTTCTCAAAAATCTACTGTTTCAAATATTTTACAAGATTTTGAGTTGACTTTTTGATATGATACTTCCTTGTATAACACGAAAAAATCCAATCTCAATTTTTTTCGTACTCAAATTTAACAGTGAGTTACCTACAGTTCGTTTCGCGCTCAAAAAAATTATTCAGTAAAAAATTTAGCTTATAAATTATTCCCCAAAAAATCTAAGTTTCAAACATTTTACTGTTGATTTTTGGATATGATCAGAATGATACACAAAAAATTCAAATCTCAATTTTCCCGAAAATCTACTGTTTCAAATATCTATATTACTTTTTCTGCCAAAAAAAATTCAATAATCAAAGTTTCGCGCTCAAAATTCCACCACCTACTGTATAAATTCGGCCCGCCCAATTCGTTTAAATATCTTGTTCCTTCCCCCTTCTCCAGTCAACTCAAAACCCAATTATGCAAAAATCTTTTTTTTCTCATTTTCGAAAAGTACTTCTTCTTCTCCTCTCTTCATTTTTCTTCATTTTGTTAGGTGTTCCCACGCTATGACAAAACACTCACTAATTGACAAATCCGCTCCTCTTCTCCTATTTTTTCGGCCGTTTTTCTTCTTGAAGACCCGTGGGTTCTACTCAATTTACAAAAAACAATTATCGAAGAAGAAGAGAAAAAGTATTTAGAATTTGAAGAAAAAAGAGGAGGAGAAGGGCTATTTACAGAGATATTCATAAATAAATATGTAGAAAAACAAGTCAAGTCATAACTTTTTCCGGGAATTTTCGTCTGATCCTAAGATTTCTTCAAAAATCCCAACCTAACTTGAGCTAAACTTTCTGAAATCTGAACTTTAATAGCTGAAAAAACCTAGATTTTTGAGGCCTCTTTGTATTTTCAGAGGAATCTTCTTCTGATCCTAGATACGATTCTAATTTCAGATTTCTTCAAAAATTAGACCCGAAAAATCAGGCCTTGAGGCTTTTTGAGAATAACTGGGCCTAGACAAATTAGAGCGAAAATTTTGAAATTGGAGCTCAATTATAGTTAAAAATGGAATTTGAAATCTAAAAAAATGAAGAATTTCGGTTCCAATCTAGCTTGAGCTAAACTTTCTGAAATCTGAACTTCGATCGAACTTCAAGCTGAAAACTTCCAGATTATCATTGGAGCTCAAATTTGAATTTCAAAAATTTAAAATCTGAACTGAACTTTTATGATTCGAATTTTCAAATTTTTAATTTTCTCTGAACATTTCCAGCCTAATTTTGGGCTCAGAATTGAGAACTGAGATTTATTTTGAAAATTTTTGAAATTTTTCAGAATTTTCAAAAAAACTTCAAATTTTAGGACCGAAATTCAAGATTTTTCTAGATTTCAAATTTAATTTCAAACTATAATTGGGCTCACAATTCAAGCGAAAATGACTCCAAATTCCAAATTTTGGCTCGAATTTTTCTAGGCCCAGTTATTCTCAAAAGACTTCAAGGCCTGATTTTTCGGGCCTAATCTTTGAGGCCTAGAATTTGTGATTTTTTTGGGCTCTATTTCTCTAAAATTCAAATTTCTAGACCAAAAATCGTGCCAAAATGTCAAATTTTCGGCTAAAAAGCTTGCCAAGGCCTCATTTTTCGCATAAAATTCCCCCTCCCAAAACTCTGGCTCAAAAAACCACACACTTGAGCTCTATTATTCAAATTCATATGCATCTCTTTTATTTTCTCCTAACTAACCATTTATTCATCATTGTGATGTGTTCAAAAAGTAATTATTCTTTTCGAAGAAGCGATAATTATGCACTTAGCTCTTCTAGTTTCAGTTAATGTGTTGATTCAACCAAAAGATAGTGTGTTTTTCTGCATTCTCTTCCACTTTTTTCTAGCTTTCGCAACATTTTTTTATGATTATTATGTGCCTGATGTGCCCCCTTTTAAATCACATTTTTCTAGGCTCCGCAGAGCTCCAAATTCAAATTCACCGCCACTACGAAAAAAGCGAATAATAAAATATTCAAATATGCGAATTTGATTGAATTTCTTCTTCGCAAAAGCTTCTGAAGTGAAGAGCTTATTTATATTTTCATAAAACAATTTGTGAGGTCGAAAAGAAAAGTGAGTTGGAATTTTATTTTTATTTTGATTTTCAAAAAAAAAAACAAAGTTTTCAGGTGCCATGTGATGATTTCGCGAAACTTCTTCGCTATTCTGTTATTTTTGGCAGTGGCTATAATTCCAGGTGAAATAATAATTCAAATAAAAATCTTTGAGGTTTAGAAAAATTTTGAAACGTATTTTTTCAAGAATTTTTTGGGCCTAAAATTCAATGCTGATTTTCAGAACTCCAAATTTTTTGAGAAAAATTTCTTTCCGATCTATCTTTGGTTTCAATTCCACAAAAACTAATGGGAAAAGGAGTATTTGAGAATTGGGAGAACTTATCTTCAAAAATTTTTGAAACGTATTTTTCCGAATTCGGAAAAATTGGCTTGAGCTCTTTCAACATCTCAAATTTTCAAGTCTCCAAAAAACCCGATATTTCCAGCCATTTTCTCAATAACCTGCTACGATTGTCATTCTGATCAAGGCGCTTGTAATGATGGAGAATGTGAGGGACTTGTTTGTATCAAATTGGAAACTTCGAATAAAGATAATGGTGGGTCAGGGGAAAAAAATCAATGATTTTCGCCATACGTGGCTTTCAAAGCTCGGCTGCTTGTCGGAATGGTTCTCTAGACGCGGGTCCTAGACAATTAGCGTCTCAAGGCTCAGCTACTTGTCAGTACGGTTTTCTAGACGCGAGTGCCAGACAATTAACGTGTCAAGGCTAGGTTGCTTGGTATAGTGGTTCTCAAGAGGAACTTACTAGACAAATAGATATTCTCTAAGTTCAGCTACTTGACATAGAAGCTCTCAAAGAGCCGTGCTTAGATATAGTGACGCTCAAGGCACGGCTGCTTGTCAGTATGAATATCTAGACGCGGATCCTAGACAATTAGGCTTGATAGGCGCAGCGACTTGACATAGAAGATCTCAAAGCGCCGTACCTAGATATAGTGGCGGCTGCTTGTCAGCATGGTTTTCTAGACGAGGGTCCTTGACAATTAGGCTTCAGAGGCGCGGCGACTTGACATAGAAGATTTCAAAGAGCCGCACCTAGAGAAGTGGTTGCTCGAGGCTTAGCTACTTGTCATGGTTTTTCAGAGGCGCCTCCTAGACAATTAGACTTTATAGGCTCAGCTTCTTGCCAGTAAGGCTTTCTACACGCGGGTCCTAGACAATAAGGATCTCAAGGCGCGTCTCCTTGACAATTAGATTCTCTAGGTCCAGCTACTTTTCAGAATTGTTTTCTAGAAGCTGCGGTTTTCTGATTCAAAATTGCTTCAAAAAATCCATCCTTATTCAGACCGTCGAACAGTTCAAAAAACATGCAGTGACGAATTCGAAGCACCAACTACACCATCATGTCAACAATCAATAATAGGTAGCAAATTTATGAGTCGATGTGTTTGTGACATGCCATTTTGTAATGGTGATAAGGTGAGCTTTTTTCACTTAATTTCCCTAACTCATTAATCCCCCTAATAATTCAGCAATTAATGGATTTTGGACTTGAGCCAACTTCTTCTGCTCCTCCAGCCAGTCATTATACACAATTTGCACTTTTGGTTGCAATTGTATTTTTTGTTGGCGCAAGTTGCTCACTCATTCTTATCGCTACCATATGTGTACAGTTTTGTTAATTAATTACTTATCGAATTAATTAATTAATTAATTAAAAATCAATAAATTTTCCCCAAAACTAACCGAGTTATTCCATGTCCATGTGCTGTTAGAAGATTATCGATATATGTGCCCTTTTCGGAATCGGCGAGGGTTTCGAAGTGAAAATCGGCGAGAATTGCGTTGAGAAGAACTTTGCTGCAATTGATGGCGACGGGCGCATTTGCGATGCTTCTGGAAAACAAAAAAAATGATTTTTTTAACTGTTTCAAATATATTTTTTAATTTTTTTTTAGAGGTTTTTCTGATTTAATTGGGATAATTTGAACAAAAATTCCTAAAATTTTCTACTGTTTCAAAAATTTAATAATTATTTGAGGGCTGTTTTTAAAATGCAATATGAGGAATGATCACCAAAAAACTCAAAGAAAACGTATTTAGAAAAAAATTTTCTTAAGATTTTTACTGTTTCAAAAAAGTTTGGTAACTTTTGAAGTTTTTCTCCGATTTAATATGAACAAGCGTCCACTGTTTCAAAAATTCATCACTTTTTAGGGGGTTTTTCTGAATTAATGTTGATAATGTCCGAACAAGGGAAAAATTTTTAAGTCTTGAAAAAAAATTCCTAAGATTTTCTACTGTTTCAAAAATATAATATTATTTTGAAGCAACTTCTCTGAATTGATTTGTCTTCGATCAATCTTCATAATAAAAAAAATACCTCGAAATTAAAAAAAAAAATTTTTACTGTTTCAAAAAATTGTAATAATTTTTTTCAGTTTTTTTTTCAATTTTAATGGTTACTTTTTTTTTTAAATAAAAAATTGTTAAAAAATTTTGTTCCTCAAATTTTTACTGTTTCAAAAATTTAGTAATTGTTTGAGTGTTATTTATTTAATCGTAAAACCAGCGAAAAACTCAAAGAAAAAGTATTTAGAAAAAAATTGTCTAAAATTTTTCACTGTTTCAAAAAATTAATATTATTTTGAAGCAACTTTTCTGAATTGATTTGTTTCCGATTTGTAATTTTATGTTTATAATAAAAAAATACCTTTAAATTGAAAAAAAAAATTTTTACTGTTTCAAAAAAAAACATATTACTTCTTGAGTTTTGTGTTGAATTTAATAACAAAACCTTGCAATTTTTCCTAAAATATTCTACGTTTCAAAGTTTTCACAATTAGTGCAGGGTTTTTTTCTGATTCAATGCCAATTCTATTCTCGTAAATAGTAGATAAGTGAAATCAAAACTCATTTTTAGAAAAATAGGATTTTCTACTGTTTCGAGTGAATATTTTTTTTCAAAAAATAGCCCCTCCAAATTTCTACTGTTTCAAAAATTTCATATTAAAATGTTTCGAATTCATACTTTGATTAATTCGTCACATTCCAATATAAGAAAAACCCAGAAAAAATTCTACTGTTTCAAGAATTTTCCAAATGCGTTTTCTAATTTATTTTTCGATTCCTCTCCAATTCTTCTACGAAAATGAACAAACCTTGAAATCCACATCGTAATCATTCGCACAAGTTCCTCCAATTCCGATTTTTCCCTAGATTTGTATAATTCTCGAGCCCGATTCCATTCCAACCTGAAATTTATTATTTTTTTTCGAAATTTTAAATTTTAAAAAAAACTTACGGTGTGAAAGGAGCAATTATATGACTATAAGACATCTGAAAACCCACCATTTTTCAAAAAAAATGAAATGAAGTGAAAACAGATAAAATTTCGAGGCCAACGTGATAATTTTTTTTGCAAAAAAAATAAAAAAATACAGAAAATTTATTTATTTATTTATTTACAAATTATTTATACGACAAGAAAAAAAGCACCCGGCAAGAAGAAATTAGAGGATTTTTGAAAGAGAAAAAATAATCAGATGAGCTTGACTTTCGAGAATTTCTTAAAATACGTATACGGATTTCGAACAGTCGCCAAAAGTCCGCGTTTATTCAAAATCGGTTCAGATTCAGAGTATTTGAGGGGATTTCCATCGAGATCGAGCATTGCGCCGCCCATTACACGAAGAATCGCATCGCCGGCACAAGTATCCCATTTTTTGATGGCGGTTGTGTGTAGGTAGAGTTCTGAATGGGATTTTTAGAAGAAAATATGTTTTCTAGTAGTTTTCAGCCCGCTTATCACTATTCCGTTGTCAAAAACTGCCAAACTCAACTCCTAGTATAAGTTATGACGTGGCAAAGTTCGAAAATTCGGAGATAAGAATTATGAAGCTTTCAACATGATTTTCATGAAAATCTAGCGTTCTCCAGGAGGTTCCTGAACAACTATCAGATGTTTATATAAATCATTTTGAAAGCTCAACTTTGCCACGTCATAACTCATACTAGGAATTGAGATTTGCAATTTTAGATAGCGAAATCGTGAGGTTGAAAACTACTAGAAAACATATATGTTTCAAATTGTTAAGACCTAAAACATTAACCAGAAATTTTTCACTGTTTCAATTTTCATTCAAAACGAATATTTGATTATGAAAGTATTCGACGTCTTTTGAGTAATACTGTAAACCTTCAAAAATTAAGATTTATCAGTCGAATTTTCGAGACTTATCGAGAGATTTTAAGTCTATCAATTTATTCTAGTTTTTCAGCGATTCCGAGTAAAAGCTTGACTCAAAAATTATAAATTTTCAAAAAACCAAAAAAAAAATACGTTTCTAAATATTGATATAATTTATTATTAAATATCAATTCAATTTCATTACCATTCTAATCAACAAAAAAAAATCAAAATCAAAATTTCCTATTGAAGTTGGAAAATGCTTAAAATTTGGATGAAAATTCAGAAATTATCGAATTTTGGATCAAAATTCACGAAAATTTTATTCTTTCTGAAGACAAAGCGTAGAAAAATTCTTAATTTTTTTTTCGCAAGTGACAACCTTCTACGGATCGATTACCCCACGCATGCGACGTATGTTTCCAGATAAAATCTTCACAAATTTCATATTCGATTATTCCTCTTCTCCCCTCACTAACCCGCAGTTCCATTAACCAATCTCAATGTCTTATATCCACTTCCACCAGCTGCTTCAATCTCAACATTTTCCCCCAAAACTTGCTTGACAACATCCTGAACTTTTCCAGCATGCGATCTTGATACGACAACTTTTTTCGATGTTTTGTCATAATCCACAGGTTCAATTCGATTTCCATTAGAAGTTATAACGCCGAATCCAGCCAAGCCGAAGACTTAAGATTATTTTTTATACATAAGAAAAAAATCTTTTCAAAAAAAAAACAAAACTAACTTGTCTCATTATAAAATGGTCTATAAATTGCTCCAAAAATCGGCTCATCTCCTTCTACAATACACGTCATAACAGTGACATATTCGGTCAAATCTTCGGTGAATTCTTGAGTTGCATCTAGAGGATCAACAAATATTCGAATATCAGATAATTGTATTCGACGATTTGGAATTCTGTCCAAATATTCCTTTACACTTTGCCAAATCGCATAATTATCTTTTCGATATGGTTCAATCTCTTTTTCTGACATTTCACTTTGTTTTTCCTCTGACACAATATTCAAACGGGGAAATCTTTGTAGAATATCCATTATAAGATGATTAGAAATCAAATCTGCTCTTGTCAATAGCTCTTCTTTTCCCTCATCTGTCAGTCCTTTCGCCGCAATTTTCAAAGCTAAAACATTTTCTTTTCTCATGAATACTATATGGATTCACTCACATTTTTCATCATGTATTTGTTGCACTGCATGTCCTCCCATTTCCACTGCCAAAACTGCATAACTAACGATATCCTTCAAATCAACATCAATTTCTGGCATTCCATCGCCGGATTCGAAAAATATCAGATATCCCAGGTATAAAAACCCAACGGTCATGATAATTGTGAAGGTGTTTTTGGCGTGTATCCGGACTTGCATTTTTCCTTGATTGTCCTGAATAATAAATGTTTTTCAATGAAAATACTTAAGTACAATATTTAGAACCCACGCTTAACACTTGATACATTTTGGTAAAGAAAAACAAAATATTCAATCGATGCAATTTGGAATTCATAAAATAGAACTAACCTTTTACAAAATCCGATTTTATCTATATACACGCATTCGATGTTAATCTGCTTTTTGAAGAACACAACTTTTTGGCCAAAGTTGTTGTTTTTTTTGTTGTTTTTTCGCCAATTGGCGAAAAAAACAAGAAAAAAACCAATATGGCCGTGGCCTAGCAACCGACACAATTTCGAGTTCGGCCACCTCATGATTTTTCTTTTTTTTGTGTGTGCTGCTCAAAAAATTTGATAATTTATGCGATTTTTCATATTTTTCAGCTGAACAAATCATGCCGATGACAGAAAAAGCCGAATCGGTTGCGAGCAAATCATCGAAAAAACGGAAAAATAGGTAATTTACGTTGGAATTTCGCAATATTCGAAATGTTTTTTAATGACGTGTAAAAACACATATTTTTGGTCATTTTTTAAAATAGTTTTTAGAAAAAAACGCGATCGCCAATGGAGTTGTTATGTGGATAATTTGAAAAACACAATTGATTGTATGTATGAAATGTGTCGAAGTGAACAATCTGTTGCTGGATGTAGAGAAGCTATGTTATATTTAGAAAGAGCTAACAATGATTTTAAAAGTCTTATCGAAACAATAAACGTGGAAAAAGAATGGACTACTTTGGAGCCAGAGAAAAGACAATCAGTCGCATGGGAAATTCGAAAATCAATGTCATCCCCGAATCCAGTTACGATAACTGATAAACCTCTTCTTCCGATTTCTTCAATGATTGCAGAAGCTGTTAGACATACAACAGAAGGTACATCTTCTTCAAAGCAAAATAATTTGACAGCGCAAAATCTAACATATGCTCGAATTACGGCGGCAGCGGCAGTTGCTGCAGTTGCAGTCGCCGCTGAACAACAACAAAATCTCGCAGCAGATGATGGTTGGCAAATTGTCGGAAATCGCCGGCGAAAAAGCACTTCTTCAACAACAGTCAGTGAATTCGATAGAGAAATTAGTATCGAAAAGGAACTTGCACCAACCGCGCCATTAAATGTATACGAGCGATTGTCGAGCACAACATCATATAGAAGACCGAGTAGTTCGAATAATATGAGCAATTCGGCGACGTCGTTGACATGTCCGCGAAGTGCGATGGATTTGCCGCAAACGAAGGCGTCGATGGCGAAAATGGCGTATAGTCGACAACTTTTATGGGAGAAGAATCAGCAGAGTTTGGTGGAGAAATTGAGGGCGAGACAGAAGAAGGAGAAACAATCGAATCGTGGATGCGGTAAGGTTTTTTCGTAGCTTACAATATATGTTTTTGAGTAGTTTTCGACCAGCTGATCACAATTCCTGGTATCTCAAACTGCAAAACTCAACTCCTAACATGAGTTATGGCGTGGCAAAGTTAGGAGGTCATTAAAATCTGATAGTTGTTCAGAAAAGGGTTCACGAATCTCCTGGAGAATCCTAGATTTTTATGAAAATCATTTTGAAAGCACACCTCGGCCAAAATCGTGGTTTCAAAAATAAAAAATTGTACGCTAAATTTCTACAGTAGGAAAATTGATAATTTTTTAGTTTTTGTCCTCTAAAAAATGGGATTTCTTCAGTTTTTGACCTCAAAAAATTAGAATTCAGATTTTTTTCAAAAATTGTACTCTGACCAACCACGGATTGGCGGAAGTGTGTTTGAAAGCTACTTAGTTCTTATCTCCTAAAGTCCCAACTTTGCCACGTCATAACTCATATTAGGAATTGAGATTTTTAATTTCTGGCAACGAAATTGTGATGAAAGTTACTATAAAACATATTTCCCTACTCTAAAAATCCAATTTTTGTTTTCCCAAAAAAATTCCCTACAGAAAAGTAAACAGCAGATTCTTATCTATTGGAAAAAATGTCCTTTTTCTTTATAAATTGTCCCCAAAAGATATTTAGAAGGTTTTGCAGGATTCAATTTCGCTGATCCGCAAGCTGTTCGAAGAAGTGTGGAAGCGTTCAATCAAAAACGCAAATCTGGAAATGGGGAAGGATCGGAGAAGGGCAGCGCGAAAAATCTGCAATCGATAAATGAGCACGGCGAATCGTCGGCGGATAATTTGAATACCACGCAAGGTAAAAAAAAATGATGAGAATTTTATCTAGAATTTTTAGCTGAAGATTTAGAGGGCCGGATTGGACCTAAGGACCAAAATCTAGAACTTTCAAAAGCTTTGGAGCTTGACTCACAGTTCTATAAACCTGTTTAATGAATTTCAGTATCGATTTTTCGCTGCCTAAAATTGCTTAGAGTTCCCGCAAATTACACAAACTGGTTTTTTCCAGAAGAAGATAATATTCCTGCGGATCCAACTCCATCTTGCTCATCCTCTGATGTGAATCAAAAAGAAGATAAGAAAAGTTTATTTGGATATGTTGATGGATTGGAAAATGATGTTGAATGGAGAGAAATGACTGAAGAAGAGGAATCGCTGGCACTGGAGGAAAATAGCCTGAAATTGGAGATCAAGCAGGTAGAGTTTAAGTAAATTGATCATGAAAAATCTAGAAAATCAATTTTTCTACAAAAAAAAATTTTGAAAAAATTTACTGTTTCAAGAATTTTATAAAGTTTTTGAGTGGTTTAGGAAATTCTATTAATAAAATGGCCCCAATTTGAAAATTAATTCAGAATTTTTGAAATTGGGGAAAAATTCGTTCAAAAATCAATGTTTTACAAATTTTTTTAAATATTAATTTCAGCCAAAAAAACTTTAAAAATCAAGTTTTCAACAAAAAAAATATTTAAAAAAAATTTACTGTTTCAAGAAGTTCATAAAGTTTTTGATTGTTCATTTTTTTTGATTGTTCAGGGAATTTAGTAAAATAAAAAGTATATTTGAAAATAATTAATTCAGAATTTCTAGAATTTGGAGAAGAAAATGTAATTCAAAAATTGTTTTACAAATTTTTTTTGATATTAATTTCAGCCAAAAAATCTTCAAAAATCAATTTTTCTACAAAAAAAATTTTTTTTTTAAATTTACTGTTTCAAACATGTTATGAAATCAATTCAGAGAATTCAGTGCAATATTACAGTTGTTTTCAAATTAAAATTTGTTCATAATTTTTTGGGGAAAAATGTAATTCAAAATTGTTTCACAAATTTTTTGGATATTAATTTCAGCCAAAAAAATCTTCAAAAATAAATGTTTTCAACAAATAAAATTTTAGGGCTTTAAATAAATTTCACTCAAAAATCAAGTTTTCAACAAAAAACATTTTGAAAAAATTTACTGTTTCAAAAGTTTTATGAAGTTGTTGAGTGGTTCAGGAAATTCTATTACAAAATATGACCTTATATGACCAATATGAACCTAAATTCAGAATTTTTTGAAATTGGGGGAATATTCGTTCAAAAATCACTGATCTACGAATTTTTCAGAATTAAACTTCACTCAAACATCAATTTTTCTACAAAAAAATTTTGAAAAAATTTACTGTTTCAAGAATTTTATAAAGTTTTTGAGTTGTTTAGGGAATTCAGTAAAGATGATCTCGGGAAATAATTAATTCACAATCAGAATTTTTAGAGCTTGGAGAAAAAATATGTAATTCAAAAATTGTTTTACAAATTTTTTTAAAAATCAATTTCACTCAAAAATCAAGTTTTCTACAAAAAAATTTTTGAAAAAATTACTATTTCAAGAATTTCATAAAGTTTTTGAGTGGTTTAGGAAATCTATTACAAAAGGACACAATTTGTAGTGGAAAAAATCAATTCAGGATTTTTAGAAATTGGGGAAGAAAATGTAGTTCAAAAATCAATGTTTTACGAATTTTTCAGAAATTAATTTCAGCCAAAAAATCTTCAAAAATCAACTTTTCAACAAAAAAAATTTTGAAAATATTCACTGTTTCAAAAATTTTATAAAGTTTTTGAGTGGTTTAGGGAATTCTATTAATGAGAAGGGCCAATTTCAAAATAAATTCAGAATTTTTAGAACTTGGAGAAAAAGTAGTTCAAAAATCGCTCTTTTGCGAATTTTTCAGAAATTAATTTCAGCCAACAAATCTCAAATTTTGGGTTGTTGTGAAAAAAATATTAAAAAAAAAAATAAAACATTTGGAAAAATAAGCCCTATACTAAGAAAATCAACTTTTTCAACAAAATTTTTTTTGAAAAAATTTACTGTTTCAACAATTTTATAAAGTTTTTTTATTTTAGGGCATTTAGTTGACCATTACTTTTTGAATTTTTTGGAATTTGGGGAAAAGTAGATAAAAAGAGAATGTTTTAATTTATTTTCAAATTTATTGCAGACGGAAGCAATATCGATTGATGCAGAATTGGAAAGGCAAGTTGACGCGGAAGCTGGAAAAATAGAAAAAGAAGAAAAACGAGAAAAGAAAATGCAGAAAAAGATATCAAAACAAGCCAAAGAAAAAGACTTGGAATATGAAAATTTCCGAAAAATGTTTCATGAAATCCAGAGTTTGGCAACAGTTGCATGGTCGGAAATAATGCAAAATACTTCGAGAAATGTGCATGAACCTGGAACACCAGTGGAAAAACATGAGAAAATGAGTAGTCCAAGTAGAAGGAGATGTCAAAAGGATGATGATGATTTTGGAAAGAGACATGAGGAGAAATTGAGAAGAGCTGAAGAATTGAGGAATCAGTTACAAGAGGAAAAAGCAGCGAGAGTTAAAGAATTGACGAAAAGAGTGGAAGAAGTTAGGGAAAAACAGGCGAAATTGAAAGAGAGGAAGAGACAAATATTGGAAGAAAGAATGAAAAGAGTTGCTGAAAATCGAGATAAGAATATAATGGAAGTTATAAGGAAGGCAAAAGATGATGATCAACGAGTTATGGAAGTGAAATTTATTGCCAGTTTACAAGAGGATAATAAAAGATATGATTTAATGATGAAAGATGCGAATATGGAAGAAAAACAGAAACAAATGGCGGATGAAAGAGCGAGAAAAATGGAGGAGAAAATGGCGAAAAAACGGGAACAAGAAGCGGCGGCGAATTGTAGACGATTGAAAGCTGCTGAAGCCAGACAAATTAAGATTAAACAATTGACTGCAAGAGAGAATGAGGATTATTCGGACTGTTTGGCTGAAATGAAAGAAATTATTGGGGAATTTCAAAAATCAAAATCTGAATGTTGGAAATGGCCGGATAATCAGAAATACGAAAGACCGAAATCGTGTAAAAATTGCGAATTTCAGACATTTTCAGACCTTGATTCAGTTGCTCATTTATTCGATAAACATGCGATTCGAAGTCAAGAAGATTTGGTAGGTTTTTGGCTGGAAAATAATGTTTATTTATTGATTTTTTTTGCAGAAAATAATGTTTGTGGAATCTGAAGAAGTCGTGGATTCTTTTAGGAAAAATGCGACGGATGAAGAAATGTTGATGAAATCGAGGGGTTTTTTGATGAAAATGTGAGTTCTGGAGCATTGCTCATATTAAAGTCCTATGTTTTGAAGAGCATTGCTCATGTTAAAGTCCTAAACAATTTCAATTTTGAATCCTGTGTGTGTTTTCGTAATAAAATCAATTCCAGAAAAAATATTGAAATTCATTAGAAGATTTTGAAACAGTGAGATTTTTGGCTAGAAAAATTGCGGTGTGAAATTGTTTAATTATTTTGAATCTTGAGAAACTTGAAAGAAACATTTTTAAACAATAAAACTTTTATCCTTATGATATCATGTGATCAATTCCAGAGAAAATATTGAAATTCATTAGAAAATTTTGAAACAGTGAGTTTTTTTCCCAAAAAAAAATTTTGAAATAGTGAATTTTTATTTGAATTTGAATTTTTTGATGAAAATGTGAGTTTCTTTATTAAAGTCCGATATTTTGAAAAAAAGTTCAATTTTGAATCATGAGAGCATTGCTCATGTTAAACTCTACAGTTCTTGATAAAAAAAGTTAACCAATTTTTTCATGAAATTTTGAGAATTACTAAAGTTTTTGCAACGTGGCATTTCTTGAAAATTAAAAATAAAAATTGCCTGAAAAATACCACACAACCTTAAAATTAAAAAAAATTCAACCAATTTTTTTTTAAATCTATATTTTTACTACGTGGCATGTCACAAAGTCTTAAAATTACATTATTATTTATAAACTATCCAAATTTTTCCAGACAAATCTCTGAAAAACTTCCGAACACCCTCAGTTCTCCTCGAAATCGAACCCGTTTCATCCGTGATTTCATCTTCGTCTTCGATAAAATGATGTCCACCCAAACGCGAAATGATCCAGGTATCCAAAATCAGGTCGAAAAATCAATCACAGAATTGGTTGCGGCAATTGAAAATGATCAGAAAAATGAGATGTACATAAATATTGAGCAATTTTGTGCGGTCGGCGGAGTCGAGAAAATATGCGGAGCCATTTTGGAATGGACAAATCGAGGAATTGGTCTCAGATTGTGCATTCGATTGTGCCATGCGTTTTGTGTGTTTTTGAATGATTCGAGAGTGGCGTATTCGGTGATTTTTAAACCAGAAATGATGGCGATTTTGGATAGAATTGTTGCACTTATTCAGGTGATATTTTTGGGCGGGGAAGTTCAATTGAAATACATATAATTATGATGGCGAGATTTCTTTGAAAAATACTTTCTTTTAGATTTTTGTTTTACAAAAAACCTCCTAAAAAACAAGTATCAAACTTTGGAAGAAGTAATCAATTCCGAAAAAAATATTGAATATCATTAAAAATTTTTGAAACAGTGAGATTTTTTTCTCCCAAAAAGGTTTTTATTTAATTTTTTTAATTAATTAGAATTTTGAGATTATTTTGAAGAACATTTTTTAAACAGTAAAAATGTAATCTCAATGTTTTCGTAATGTAATAAATTGCAGAGAAAATATTGAAATTCATTAGAAAATTTCGAAACAGTGAGATTTTTGACTAAAAAAAATTGCGATGTGAAATTTTTGTCTGATTATTATTGAAATTATTAAAAAATCGTTTTGAATCATTGTTGAAACAGTAATTTTTTTCAAAAAATGTTTTTCTAATTAATTAGAATATGTTTTTCTAATTAATTAGAATCCTAGAAATGTTTTCGTGATGAAATCAATTCCAGAGAAAATATTGAAATTCATTAGAACATTTTGAAACAGTGGAATTTTTGGCTGAAAAAATTACGATGATAATTTGTTCGGATTATTATGGAAATTAACAAAAAATCGTTTTGAATTCTTTTTGAAACAGTAATTTTTTTCGAAAAAAGGTCTTATTTAATTTTTTTTAATTATTTTGAATCTTGAGAAACTTTAAAGGAACATTTTTTAAACAGTAAAAATTTTATCCTTGATCATCATTTGATCAATTCCAGAGAAAATATTGAAATTCATTTAAAAAAATTTTGAAACAGTGAGATTTTTGGCAAAAAAAAATTACGCTGTTCTTTGATTATTATTGAAATTAATAAAATATCGTTCTGAATCCTTTTTGAAACAGTATTAAAAAAAGGTCTTATTTAATTTTTTTATATTTATCATGTGATCAATTCCAGAGAAAATATTGAAATTCATTAAAAAAATTTTGAAACAGTGAGATTTTTTCCTCCCTAAAAAAAAAAGGTTTTTAGTGAATTTTTCTCTAAAATTCACTATTCAATTCTCAATCAATTTTTTGCAGACAAACCCAACAAATCCTCAATTATCAGCTTTATTGGATATTCTACACGCTGTCCTAAAATCGGCAAATTCTCGAATTTCATCGCATTCAAATCTCAAAAAATGGAAAGAATTGCATTGTTTTGATGAGAAAATCAAGGAAACTATGGAAAATATTTCGAGTTTTTTGAAATCCTCAATTTCGCGCCAAGAATGGTTGACAGCTATCAAAGAATCGAGAATGATTATCTCGAAAATATCCAAGATTTGTGAGAATTTCTCGGAAAATTCCAGGTTTTCTAGTGAATTTTTCGAGATTTTCCTGGAATATTCTTATGAATCGAGGAAAAATTCGGAGGAAAAATCGGCTGATTTGGTGGCAAATGTTATTGGGATTTGTGGGACATCGAAGATTTGGAGAGGAAATTCGAAACAAGTTTTTGTTTTGCTGGTTTTGTTGGAGGAATATTTGAATAGAGTTGGGAATTTGGTGAAAATTGAGAATGAGAAAAAAGGGTGAGTTTTTTTGGGGAAATTTGGAAATTTTGAGCCTGAAACTCTTCTGGGAATCCTGGTTTTTGAGAAAATTACATAGGATTTTTTTGGGTTAAATTTTGATCCTAGCAGATTTTCAGAAAAAATTAGGAACTCAGAATTTTCAGAACAATTTTTTAAATTTTTTTGGGAATTTCAAAAAAATTTATTTTTAAAATCTTGAGTTAAAAACTTTTTTTGAACATTTTTCTTCAAAATTCTGAAATCCTGAACTCTCTTTGGGATTAAAGAAAAGTTGGAAGATTTTATTCTGGAAAAATTAATTGCCCAGAATTTTTAGATAAAAATGAACATTTTTGAATCTAAAAATTCAGAAACCTCAAAATTTTAGGTTCAAGAACCTTTTCTGAAACTTTGATTTTTTTAAATCTCAAAAATTTAGGCTTCAGCTGGTGCTTCTTATCAATTTTTATACCTGAAAATCTTGATTTACCCTTATTTTTTCTCCAGAAAATGGGACTTGGTGACAAAAAACGAGGAATGTTTGATGAAATTGCTCCGATTCTTGGAAATCCTCATCGATTCTTGGAACTACGAAAAAAAGAAAATATTATCGATCAACTGGACCTCGGAAAATTCGGAAATTCTAAAAACCCTCAAAAATCTTCCGCTTCGTTTGCATTGCGTCGAACCGTATTCAACAATTATTCAAAAAGTTTTTGCGAAAATTCTGGAAAATCTGAAAAGAAATCAGAAATTGGAACTTTTTGGTGATTTTGCTTTTGTGAATCAATAGATCTAATATGTGTGATATAAAGCTTTAATTTTTTCTGTTTTTGAAATTTGTTTTTTGATTTTTATTTGGTTTTGAAACCATAATAATTACTTTCCTAATTATTTTATTCAGAAAAATTTGAAAATTTCCCCAGAAAAAAAATGCTCCGGGATTTTCTAACCCAGCTCATTGAAACTGGAAAATTTGAAACATTTTCCCGCTTCTTCTTCTTCTTATGCGGAAAAAATTGCCACTGAAAAAATTCTGGAAAATATGCGAATTGTTGCGATGGAAAATGAAGCACAGACAGAAATTGAAGAATTTTCGGAAGAGGATTTTCGGGAGATTTATAAGTGTTTATTGACGATTGGATTTGCGGAATGTGTTGAAGAGGAGGCGGATGTGGAAAAAAAGAAGTTGAAGTTGAGAAGAGCGAGATTGGCGATGAGGTTTTTGGTGAATTTGGTGCAGAGATCTGAAAAGTGAGTCGAAAGCTGGTTTTTGACTGAAAAATCGAGAGAAATCATGTATTTTAGCCTAGGAAACATGGAAATTTTGAGTTTTGAACTGAAAATTTAGTATTTACATCTGCCAGTTTTTTTGCCAGTTTTGAGCTCGAAAATGAGCTTTTCTACCACATTTGAAGAAATTTTCAAAATGAAAATTGATCTGAAAATTCAATAAAATTTCATATTCATAATTTTCTGACCAGAACTTCGAAAAATAATCATGGGAAATTTCAAATTTTTATCGGAAAAACATCATTTTTCATCTTAAAATCTATCGAAAATATAGACGTTCGATCTAAAATTGATTGACAGAAAACACGGCTGAAATTATGACAATTTTTGAGCTCAAAATTTTTTATCCTGGGAAATTTCTATCGAAAACAGTTAGTTTTAATCTAAAAATTATGGATTTTCAGCCAGTTTTTGAGTCCAAAATCCGACTGAAAATGAGCTTTTCTAGCCTGAACTTCAAAATGTTTGAAATCCTAGCCAAAATTGCGATTTTTTCGGTGAAATCTTCTGGATTTCTACATTGAATTTGAAAGATTTTTCGAATTCCATTCAAACACTATTGAGGAAAATAAATCTGCCCATGTTCTAAACATTTTTTGAAACGTATAATTTTTATACTTTTTTTGAATTGAAATTCAAAAATTTCTCTCAGGGTAAAAGAGACAATTTTCAGAAGAATTTTGAGCTCAAAAACTGACTGGAAATCATAATTCAGCCTGATTTTCTGGTGAAAAATCTGAATTTTCAGTTGGAATTTTGACATTTTCATGTTTATTTTTGAAATTAAAAATATTTCAGGGTTAAAAACCCCATAGAATTCTGAATTTCAGCTCAAACACCCATTTTCAAAGTTCCAAAAACCTTCCCATTTTTTGCAGATTCGGCTCATCAATTTCGCACGAATCGATTGATTTAATCGAAAGTCTTTTAGTTGTTGGTGAATTCGACAAAGAGATCCTAATTCTTCTCACAAAAACTGCGGATTTCGGAGGATATTTGGAATTTCAAAAATCAACGAGATATTCAAAATTACTCGAAAAAGTTGTTGATTCATTCTACAAAGCGAATCAAAAAGGAGATTCTATCGAAAATGATGCTCTTGCATATTTTTCAATTATTTTTGAGAAAGATTATGCGATTCTCGCGAATTGTTATGCTGAAATGAAGGCTCAGAATTTCGCCAAACTTTTGGGAATTTTTGAATTTTTGATTGAGGAGAATTGTGTGAATTCAAAGATTCATGAGAATAATTTGTTGTTTTGCCTGAACTTGTTGGAATTGATTTGCATGGATAATCAAAGTTATATCAAGTCGCAGGAGAAGAAATATCCGAAAAGTGTTGAGGAGCGGAAAATGGCGACTGTTGAGACGATTAAATTGTTGGTGGAGATTGTTGGTGAGGTTTTCTGGAATTTTTGAAATATAGTTATGACGTGGAAAATTTTGAGTACTGTTATTTTATTTTATTTGGGGAAATTTGCCTAAAAATTCATTGAGATTTGAAAAAATCCAGAAAAATTCAAATCTATTAAAATTTCCTAGGATTGTGAAAAATTTCATGAAAATCTGAATTTCACAGCAGAAAAATCTCAGAAGTCTTTTTTTAAGCCTGAAAATTTTGAAATTTTATGAAATTTTCATTTTTAACACAAAATTCCCTAATAAAAATTCCTGAATTTGATTTCAGGCTAAAAAAATCAGGAAATTTCAATTTCAGGCTAATTTTTGAGAAAAAATTTCAAAAGTTCAGAAATCGTCAAATTTTTACTTAAAATTGTCTAAAATCGCTCTAATTTTAGCTGGAAAACTCAAATTTTCTTGAAAAAAATTTGAAAATTTCAATTTCAATATAATTTTTCAGAGAAGAATTCAAAAATTGCGAAAATAAATCCCAAATATAATTTCAGGCTTTAAAAATTAGAATTCGTCTGAAATTGGCTCAGAATTTAACTAGAAAACTCGAATTTTCTCCTAAAATTTTGAAATATGATTTTTCTACTGAAAATCAGAAATTTTCTGAGTTTTAGGAAATTCCGAATTATCAAATTTGAAAATTTCAATTTTTTGGAATTCTAGACATTTTCTTCTAAGAAAAAATTTAGCTTAAAATTAGTTTTGGTTTAAATTTTCATCATTTTGAAATTATAATATCAACATTTGAAAATTCTTAATTTTTCCAGGCGAAATGTGCTCAAATACCCAAATGACATCAAAACTCAACGAAAAAGCAACAACAATTTGTTGCATTTTTGATATTTTGGACACAATTCTACAAACTGAAGCCATATTCTTTGAATATCGTCAAAATCACGAATTCCCTTCAGAAAATCCTCCAAAAGATGAAAAAATTCGAAAAGCACTTTTGGAAGAAAAACGAATTGAAGAAGCGAAGAAAAAACAACCGGATCGACCTGATCAACCAAAACCAGCCAGGCTAAAACGAGTGGAAGAATCTGAAACACTTTCAGCCATTTCGCAAGTGTTTTTGGAGTTTTGGAAAAATGTGAAAGATGAGGATTATGGGACTATTGGAGAGATTAAGTTGAATTGCTTGAAAGCTATTGGTAGGCTGGAATTTTGGGGAGAAAATTATGCTCTAAAATTTGACTGAAAGTTTAAGAAAAATGCTCCAATCATGAAAAATGTGTTTCCTCAAATTTGACAAAATTTTGAAACAGTGAAATTTTTTTGTAACATTTTTTTCCAAAATTTCGCATTAAAAGCTCATAATTTTTATCTGTAAACGCGGAATATTGTTGTATTTTCTGGTAGAATTTCGTGGAGTTTTGAAAGAAGAACATTGAATGCTATAAAGCAAATAGGAAATTTTATTTTTCAAATTTACAATTTTTTGAAACAGTGAAATTTTGTTATTGAAAAAAGCATGTCTTACACGAGCTTCTGTATTTTTTTCGAAATTTTTCATCAAAAACCGACAATTTTTATTGTGTAAACGCGGAGTATTGTTGTATTATATTATTTGGATGTAGAAAAATCATTGAAAAAAATTCATTTTCTCACATTTGAAACAATTATGAAACAGTGAAATTTTTAAAATATTTTTTTTCAAATTTTTTCATTTAAAAATCACAAGTTTTAAGTCTAAACACGGAGTATCGTTGTATTTTCTGGTATAATTTTTCGGATTTTTATTGTCCCAAATTTTGAAAATTTTTTGAAATAGTGTATTTTTCGACGGAGTGAATGCTTGGAATGCTTGGAATTTTCGAAAATGATTTAACAACATTTTCGAAACAGTGAAATTTTTTCTGAAAAAATGTTAATTCAAAATTCAAATTGTTTGCAGCCAATCTTTGCGAATTATCAATGGAGAATAAATTGGCAAGCTGCAAAAATGGAAGAATGGGATTACTGTCGATTTTGCAGTGCACTACGAGAAGACCCATTTGGTTTTTTGAAAGCTATGCGATTGTGAGTTGAAACAGGGAAAATTTACGTTTCAAAATTGTTATTTGTTTGTTTTTTGGAAAATGTGTTTGGTATATTCTTGCTTGAATCCAAAAAAATTTCCTGAATGTTTTGTCTTTGAAAATCCCACGTCATAGTTGTTTTCCAGCAAAAATGGGCAATTTTCTGCGTCCGCCAATTGACCGAAGATTGCCTTGAAAACAAGGAAGTTATCCTAAATCTCGATCAACCCGCGCAACCAATTATGGATCGACAGAAATTGTTGAGCCAATTTGGACTCAAATCTGTGCTCGAAGATGAGAAATTCAAATTGAAACCTATTCAGGAATAATTTTTTTCTCAAAAAAATTTGTTTTTTGTTAATTTATGAAGTTAATTGTTGTTTTTTATTCGAAATTTTAATTTTTTTGAGGTCTCGAAAACCTTCAAAAATACTTTTCTTCAAAATTTTTAATTAAAATTGCTATTGAAAAATTTCAGATGAACTTTATGGATATGGAAAAATCGGTTTATGGAGGAGATTTGGAGAATGACGCGGAATTATTAGCCGAATTGGCTGCGATTCAAGAAGAAGAATTGGGAAAAGCGGCGCCAACTAAAAGAGCTGGAAATGTTAGAGGAGGTGCTGGAGGTATGCCGGGAATTGATCAAAAAGCATTGGCTGCAGCGCTGGCTGATAATCATGATGATGGAAATGATGAAGAATTAGAGATGGATGAGGAATTGTTGGTTGGTGGAAGGGGAAGAGGGATTCTGGAGCAGAAAATCTTGGAAATCCGGAGAATTTTGGAAATTTTGAGCTCAAATTTTTCGAAATGAGACAGATTTTGAGCCGAAAATTTGGAAAAAGCTACAAACTTTTTAGATTATTCTACTTAATTTTGAGCTCAAATTTTTGAAATAAGTTATATTTACACCTGAAGATAAAAGATCCCAATTTTAAAACAAAATTAATTTTTGAGCTAAAAAAATTCAGAGTGCTTTGAATTTTCAAGGCGTTCTCTTTGGGCTCCAGCTTTTGTATCTAATGTGAATTTTGAAATTTTGAGCTCAAAATTCTCAGATTATGAAAAAAAGTTCAAATTCTGTGCTCAAAAAATCACAGGAATATTACAAATTTTTAAATGAGTTGTATTTGAAGGTTTCGAAGCTCCCAATTTTTAATAAAAATTAATTTTTGAGCTAATTCGATCTGAATTTTTTTGAACGCAAATTTTGAGCTCGGGAATATGTAGAAAATTTTCAAAAATAATTTTTTCAGCCAGAACGTTTGAAAGGTTCGAATTTCTAATCAAAATTAATTTTTGAGCTAATTTTGAGCTCAAAATTCTCAGATTATGAAAGAAAGTTCAAATTCTGTGCTCAAAAAATCACAGGAATATTTGAACTTGGATTTTGAATTTTCATTTTACTAGCAGAAATTGTTGAAATGTTGAAACAGTACATTTTTGGGGACATTTTTTCACCCAAATTTTTTGATGCTAACAAAAATTGGATTAAAAATTTTGCAAATTATAAATTACTTAATAAAAATTTGAAACGTATTCTGTAGACTTGTTGTTTTTACAAAAAATTGAGAGTTCCAGAATTTTTTTCCAGAACGAACTTGCTGGAATTGTTGGACCTGGTGAAAGCACCTCTTCTTCATCCCAACCACCACCAATTCCACGTCGATCTTCTCCACTTTCTCAATCTTCTCAAGCTCCACCCCCAATTCCATCTCGAAACATCGCAGCTTCAAATCGCGACGAATCACAAATCTCCCATCTCCGCCAACTTCATTCAGTCTACTCGAAAATGCTCGAAACCGCCAAGAAAAACGGGGAAAGCGCCAAAGAAAGACGATACGAAAGAGCTGTTGAAAAACTCGTGGAATTGATCAGTGCGGCGGAGAAGGGCAAGAAAATCGATCCGGCTGATATTCCAGCAACACCGCCGAATTTCCAACCAGATCCACATCCCACTGCAACTGTTGCGCAACCAGTTCAACATCCACAAGGGTCGACGATGAGAGAAGCCGCGCAAGCACCGCCTCCGATACCACAAAGAAAACCTTCCGCTCAAGCTCCACCCACTTCTGGAACTTCTTCGTCGAAGAAAGATGAGATTTTGAGAATTCTAATCCATCGTCGTGATCTATACGTGGCAAATGGTAAAGCTGCAATCGGCGCACACGACAAAGAATCGGCCAAAGAATTTGTGACAATGGCGAAATCATTTGATCAAGCGATTTCGGCACTCAAACAACAGGAAAATGCAGATGGAATGGATTTGGAGGAAGTTCCACCATCTCCAAAACCATATCGGAAGAAGGAGGCGGTGCCGCTAGTTCAGCAGCCAGTTCAGGAAGCACCAAAGCCAAGAGCTCCACCGATTTCAGCACAACCTGCAACATTTTTAGAAGCTTTACAGCATAGACATCAGAGATATTTGCAAATTGCTGAGAAAGCTAAAGCTGATGGAAATGAGCGAAAAGTTCGGTGAGTGAGGATTTGGGGGAAATTCAGATTCCACGTGGAATCGGAAAACCATGAATTTCAGCTTGAAATTCGGAGCATTTTGACATGCTCTCTAAATTTCGAGCTGAAATTACTTATGATTTTCAGATTCCACGTGAAATTTGGAGCGTTTTGAGCACAAACACCTTCATATTTAGGCTTGAAATGATCCAAAATCCACTTGGAATCTGAAAACCATGAATTTCAGCTTGAAATTTTGAGCATTTTGACGTCAAACTCACCTGGGATCGTTTTTTTTTTCAAATTCTGAAAATCACCAGAAATTTTGAGTTATCCTAATTTTGAATTTTTAAATAATGTTTTTGAAAAATATATTTTAAATAAAAAAATGTATCCGAGCAAGCTCAAATTTAAAATTTTCAAATTTCAAGAATTTCCTGAATTATTGAGTTATCCTAATTCATAACTCAATGCGAACATTTTCTCAAAAACTCTGAGATTTTCAGAATTTTTTACTGAAAATTTTGGCTGGAATTCAGTTTCAACCGCAATTTTCCAGAATGAATCAACGAATAGCCGGACAATATGCTGAAGCGATTCGAGACGCAAAAGCCGGTCGACCTGTTGCGGCTGCCGAGTTACCCAAACTCCCAGATATGCCTGAATTACCACCGCAAGGATCTGGAACTGGAAGTGCAACTGGCAGTGCTCCAAGACCTACGCAAAAAGGACCTGCACCTGGAAGTTGGTTTTTTTCTGGGATTTGGGAATTAGAAAATGCTGTGACGTGGAAAAAATAGTCGATTTTTTACAAAAAAAACTGAAAAATTAAATTTTGAAAAAAAACCTGAAAATTGAAGTTTTTAAAAGTTTTTTCTCAAGGTTTCATAGCTTCATTAAAATTCCTTAAATTTAAAAAAATCACGAAAACTGAATTTTTCAAAAATTTTGGATTGATTTTGCCACGTCATAACATTTTTCTATAGCTCATTCAAATTTCCCCTAAAACTAAAAAGAAAGCTGAAAATTGACCTTTTCAGAAAATTCAGAATAAACTGAATTTTCAGCATTTCTCTGAAATTCTTTCGAAAAAACTATAAATCAAAAGTTTTTCTGAAATTGCAGAAATTTTGGATTCATTTTGCCACGTCATAACAATTTTCTATAGCTCATGAAATGTTTTTTTCAAAATTTTTGGTTTCTCAAGCTGAAAGTTCTATAAATCAATAAAATTATAGTCAAAAACGTTCAATTTCACTTTTCCACAAAGCATTGCTCATATTAAATTATTATTATCCTAACCTGAGCAACCCTAAATATTATTGAGATATTACTCATGTTAGAAGCTTCCGTTAACGGAAAATTCTAAATTTTATGGTATTGCTCATGTTAAACAATATATCTGGAGGAGACCTTTAATCAAAAATCTTAACATTGCTCATATTAAGAAGCACAAAATCAATTTTTCCAGTGAAACCTCCACCAGAAGTTGGCCCTCTTGCTCCATCCGATTCCCCGGGAAAATCTCGAAATGCCGTGCAACTCGATTTTTTGCTTCAACGACAAAACGAATTCAAACAAGCCGCAATTCTTGCAAAATCAAAAGGAGACATTGATTTGGCCAAAAAATATCTGCTAGAAGCCAAAGGTTTCGATAAAATGATTGAAGCGGCGAAAGCTGGTCTACCAGTTAGTATAAAACAGACACCAATTCCACCACAAGCAATGACTTCTGGTGTCACACTTCAACCGAAAATTCAAGCTGGAGGAGGATCTGGAAGTGGAAGTGGATTAGTTGAAAATAAAGGAGAAAAATTGGAGTTTTTGGAGAAAGTTTTGATTGAACAAGTCAAATTGGCACAATCGAATCAAATGAGATTTACGAGATTGGGAGATGTTGGAAAAGTGAAACTATTTGAGAGTTGGGCCAAGTCATCGAAACAGGATTTGTTGTTGGTTCGAGCGGTTGCACAGCAGAATTTGAATATTCCCAAGTTTCATTATGAATCGCGACAAATTCCGTCGGCTGATTTATTTCCGGATTTGGCCGAAGATGCTTTTGAGCTTATTATTACGTCTTGCAGGTTTGTTTGGGGATTTTTGGTCTTTTTTTCAAGAGAGTCTGACAACTGAATTTTTATTTTAAAAAAAATTTAAAATAATAAAATTTTCGCGCAAAAAAATCCACGTGGCATTTCATTTTTCTTAAAATTTTGGATTTCTAAAGTTTTCAGTTAAATTTTTCAAAATTTTGAAAAATTTAACTGAAAACTTTAGAAAATTTCACTCAAAACCTGGAATTCTATTCAAAAACTTCAATTTTCGCGCGAAAAATCCACGTGGCATTTTTTTTTGAGAAATTAGATAAAAATTCAGAATTTTTCAGAACTTCACTCGAAACCTGAAATTCTATTGAAGAAAAAATTATTCAAAATGTCAACAAAAAAAATTCTCGCAAAAATTCCACGTGAAAGTTTAGCTGAATTCCTCAAAATTTCACTGAAAACCTGGAAATCTATTGCAAAAAATATATTTTCGCGCGAAAAATCCACGTGGCATTTTCTTTTGAGAAATTAGATCAAAATTCAGGGTTTCTCGTTTTTTAACTGAATTTTCTATTTAAATATTTTTTTGCAAAATTTCACTAAAAAATCTACGTGGCAATTTATTTTTCTGAAAAATTTTAGATTTTTCAAGTTTTCGGCCGAATTCTTCAAAATTTCACTAAAAGCCTGGAATTCTATTCAAAAACTTCAATTTTTGTGCAAAAAAAATCCACGTGGCATTTCATTTTTCGGAAAATTTTGAATTTTTCAAGTTTTAACTGTATGAAAAAATTATTTTTTTCAAAATTTCTAAAAAAAAAATTTCGCGCGAAAAACTTCGTCCCAAAACCCACGTGGCACATTTTTCTCAAAGTTATAATTCAAATAATTTTCTACGTCACTTGATAAATTTCTGGAAATTCATCTGAAAAAAAAGTTATGACGTGGCAAAACTTTCCAGAAATGTGCCTCTCCCCTCTGGCTACGAACCGCATCACGCCAACATTTTCGTCAAATACACCTTCCCCTTCCCAAATGAGACTCCGCAAACGGGAAAAACGAAAACCGTCGCCGGAAATATCAACCCGGAATTCGGCGAAACAATCATGTTATCGATTGGTGTCGGAAAAACGCGAAATTCGAAATTGGCAAGAGCTTTCAAGAGAGGCGGTCTGAAATTCGAGGTATTTCAAAAAGGCGGATTTATGAGAAGCGACAAATTGTTGGGAACTTGTGAATGGAAATTGGAGAAGTTGGAAACGTCGGCCGAGTTGGAAGATTCGCTTCCATTGAGGGTTAGTTGAGAGGTTCTGGAGAAATGACTCAAGAAATCCCAAATTTCAGGACGGCCGAAAAGCTGTTGGCGGTTTGCTTTCCGCTCGTGTCCGCATCCGCGAACCAATTGGTGATGCAAAAGCTCAAACACAAACCCACAAGTGGTTGATTTTAGATAATTAATTAACTCCCGGTGTAAATTTTATTGCCTGAAATGACTGAAAATACATGGTTTTAAAAATTTCAAAAAATGATTCATCAACAATAAACAAAAAAAACAAATAACAAATGAATAAAAACAAAAACTTATCTCTTTTTGGTTTTGAGACGATGTGCAACACGAGCTTTTTGGAAGTTCGAATCTTGCGGTCCGTGTCGAGCAGCTTTGACTGATTTCGTGGAAACTGAAGAGAGGGCTGAAGTGAATCCCTTTTTCTTTGCTGGTGGCCCATTTTTCTTGTTGTTTGGATGAGCGGGTTTCTTTTGAATTTTGGATGAGGATTGAACCATTAGAATATCGCGGAGTGACGAGTTTGCTTTGACCTTCTTTTGTCCACCAGCCTTGCGACCTCCCTGAAAATTGAATTTTACTTTTAAAAAAAAATTGTTAGCTTTTTAATTGTTAATTTAAAGTTTCTGAACAAAAAAATCAGGAAATAAAATTTTTGAATAAAAAATTCAGTATTGAAAAATCTGAAATTTATTTTTTAAAATTAAAATGTCTAATTTTCAGCTCAAAAACTACTGATTTGTTTTTCAAAATTCGAAAATCCAGATTTTCCCATAGTAATTGAGATATTCCTGGTTTTCAGACCATTTTTTGTAAAAATTTCCCAAAAAACTCACCCGACTCTCATTTTCAACAACCGCACGAATTCTAGTATTTTTCGAGTGTCTGGCTCGTTTCGCAACTCGAACATGGAACGCCGCCTCGTGTTCCAGAGCAATGTCTTCTGGCTGAAAATAATTTTTCATTTTTCGAGCTGAATTTCAATTGAAAAATACCGTTTTAGCAGATTGTGCCTTCTTTTTGGCCTCAATTTTCAATTGTCGTTTTTCTTCGCGTTTTCTCTCTTTTTCCGCTTGCGATGCTTTTGTCATCCAAACTCGTCCTTCTCGCTCAGTTTTTCCAGTTTCGAGTTTTTCTTGTGTTTTTGCCATCGATGATTCGGCGATTCGAAGTTCTCTGGAAACAAAATTATTGAAACCTGAGCAATAATTTTGAAACCTGAGCAATGATTTTTCTACTATTAGATTTTGTCTTCAAAAAATTCATATTCAAATCAGATTTCTTGTAATTTCAATTTTTAGACCAAAAATTGAGCAGAAGTGTTGAAAATCTCAAATTTGATGAAAATTATCTTGAAGTTCCAATTTTTAAACCAAAAATTGTCTAAAAATCAGAAAAAATTAAAATTTATTCAAACCAAAATTTTTTTCTGGTTTAAAAATCGATTATTTGAGATTCGAATATTTAAATTTAAAAGTTTTGTGAAATTTTTTTTAAAAATGGCGTTTTATAGAAAACTTCAAAGAAAAATTTTCCCAAAGATTTTTAATGATAAAAAAGGCTATAGATTTTTAAAAACTTGGAATTAGAGACATTATTTATTATAAATTACCCCCTTCCCACTCCCCATTCAAAACCCCACCTTTCAGCTCGATCTTCTTCATCAATTTGTTGAATAGTCGGTTCCAATTCATCAATTCGTCTTCTATAAGCCTCAACAACTTCCGGTGCAACCAATCTCTGTTTCAATGTTCGATCAGCATTCGAATTAATAATTTCCTTCAACAATTTTCTCTCATCTTCTCCAACCAACGAGATTGATCGACCAGTTCTTCCAGCTCTCGCAGTTCGTCCAACTCGATGAATATATTGTTTAATCGATTTGGGCATATTCATATTAATCACAGTTTGTACTCCTTCAATATCCAAACCACGCGATGCAAGATCAGTCGAAACCAAAACATCAATCTCTCCTTTCTTAAACTTCGATAGCGCTTCAATTCTTTGACCTTGTGTTAGACTCGATTGCATTTGTCCAACCTTAATTCCCAATAATCCTAACAAAATCTGCATTCGTTGACAATCCTTTTTCGTTCTCACAAAAACAATTGTATTTGTTTGGAAAGTTCGGGTAACTAGTGCGGATATGATTGATTCTCTGTCAGTTTCTCTTCCAGCTCGAATACGAATGAATTCTTGGCGAAGTTTGAGAGCAGTGTCCGTATTTTCGTTGATGAAGATTTTGACGGGTTTTTTGAGCGACATTGAAGCGAGTTCATCAATCTGGAAGAAAATGGATTGTGGGGTAATTTAAGGTGAAAATCTATTTTTTGAAAAATTCACTTTGAAAATTTTCACTGTTTCTTCTTTTTGTGAAAAACTTTTGAAAAAAAATGTATTCTATAATTTTTCACTGTTTCAATTTTCTTTCAAAATTATAAAGGAATTTTGGCAATATTACCATATAATCAATTGTTTTCCATTTAAAAAAATCAAAATTAAAAAAAACTTCACTGTTTCAATTATTTTTCATAATAAATTTGAAATTCAAAAATATTAGTAAGAAGTGTTAATGACATTTTCAAATAAAATGTACTGTGAAATTTCTCGCTGTTTCAAATTCATTTTAAGATACCCAGCGAGATTAGAAATTATTGACGCCAGATTTCATTCGTTTTAAAAAAATCTGAAGATTCCATGGTTTCAGACAAATTATTTTCTTTCGAAAACAAAAAAAAAATTCTTTCAATAAAATTTTTCACTGTTTCAATTTTCTTTCAAAATTATAAAGGAATTTTGGCAATATTAATATAATCAATTGTTTTCCATTTAAAAAAATCAAAATTAAAAAAAACTTCACTGTTTCAATTATTTTTCATAATAAATTTGAAATTCAAAAATATTAGTGCGACGATGTAATAGAATATTAAAATAAAATGTACTGTGAAATTTCTCACTATTTCAATCTCATTTTAAAATACACAGCGACGTCAGAAATTAGTGACGCTAATTTGAATTCTTCAAACAAATCTCAAAATTCCTTGGTAACTTTTCAGACAATTTTTTTTTTTCGTCTGAAAATAAAAAAAAATATATTTTCAATACAATTTTTTGCTGTTTCAATTTTCTTTCAAAATTATAAAGAAATTTTGGCAATATTACCATTTTCCATAAAAAATCAAAATTAAAAATAATTTTCACTGTTTCAATTATTTTTCTTAATAAATATCAGAATCAAAACAATTAGTGAGAATATGGAATTAAATGTTCAAATAAAATGTACTGTGAAATTTCTCACTGTTTCAATCTCATTTTAAGATACACAGCGACGGCAGAAATTAGTGATGCTGATTTGAATTCTTTAAAAAGTCTCAAAATTATTATTTTTTTTGAGAATTAAAAAAAAAACTATTTTCAATACAATTTTTCACTGTTTCAATTATTTCTTGAATTGATAAATGAATTTCGTCAGTATTCGCATAATCGATTGTTTTCCATAAAAAATCAAAATTAAAAAAAACTTCACTGTTTCAAAGATTTTTCATAATAAATTTGAAATTCAAAAATATTAGTAAGATGTGTTAATGACATTTTCAGATAAAATGTACTGTGAAATTTCTCACTGTTTCAATTTCAGTTTAAAATACCCAGCGAGATTAGAAATTATTAACGACAGATTTTATTCGTTTTAAAAAATCTCAAAATTCCTTGGTAACTTTTAAAACAAATTTTTTTCGTCTGAAAATTTCAATAAATTTTTTTCACTGTTTCAATTTTCTCTTGAATTGATAAATACGTTTCGGCAATATTCAAAGAATAATTCGATAAATTCTTATAAAAAACTTCACTGTTTCAATTATTTTTCATAATAAATATGAGAATCAAAATTATTAGTAACACTCTTCTGTAAACTTAAATTTTTTTAAAGTGAAATTTTTCACTGTTTCAATTTTCTGTTTAAAAAACAATTTATTGAGCTTTTTTGTTCCGAAATACATTTTTTTTCAATTTCAGATCATTCTAACCAAAAAAGTTTTTGGAAACATTTCAAATCCCAATTTTTCCCAAAGACCCAACCTCTTCAGTCATTGTAGCAGAAAACAGCAAAGTTTGTCGATTTTCGGCACACAATCGAATCAATTCATTCATTTGATCTCTAAATGCTTCCTCCAACATTCGATCAGCTTCATCCAAAACCAAAACTTCGATTGTGCTCAGATTGAAATTCGGCGAATTGTGCAAATGATCGATGAGTCTTCCGGGAGTGGCAACAACAACATCCGGTCCCGAACGAAGTGCAGCTTCTTGCGCTTTCAAATCAAGTCCTCCTGTAAAAATGTGTTTTTTTTCCTGTATGTACTTTTTCAAAAATAGATATAATTTTTTGCAATTTTTTTGCAATTCCAAATTCTTTTGTGTGTTATTCTTTCTTTTGCCAAACACAAATACCATACAATAATAAGCTGTGTAAACAGTTTGCCATAAAATATCCGGACAGGGATACATTTTATTCATTTTTTTCACATTTCGTTTTCCCGCTATCCGTTTTTTGGAGAAAAAAGAAGGAGGATGAATCGAAAAGAGCGGCAAAGGCATGAATTTGCATTGCTGATTACCACAGGTAAAAACCGGTTTGGAGAAATCTTGAATTTATCAAATCAAGAATCAAGAATTTTTAGGCCCATTTTTGGGGTTTCTCCACATTTTCGAAATATCTTGCCTGGAATTCCAGAGGAGAACGAAAAAAATGATTTGTGTCCGATTTTCATTAGATCAAAAGATCGGACCTGGTCTTTGGACCCCTTGGAAAACATTAAAAAAAAACCCCCCTGAAATATACGTTTCACTGATCAAGCTTATGATTTGAATAAGTTCTAATATTGATTATTTTGTGGCTAAATTCACAATCAATATTTGAAAATTTTCAAACTATAAGCTTGATCATTGAAACGTATAGATCAGGGGTTTTTTGAATATTGTCCGAGGGCAAAGTCCGATCTAATAATTTGTGAGAAAATCGGACGCAAAAAATGATTCAAAATATTCCAGGAATCTACCATACTTTGGATCAATGGACCCGAGTCCTACTTCCATTTGCCCAATGGAGTCTTCAACCATCTCCAAATCTCGACGATTTAGCCTATCTCACAGCTGTCTCGACACTATTCACATTTATCGGTGCATTATTTATGGCTCAATTTATCGAAGTTTTCGGCCTTCGAGTCAGCGCAATCATCTCAACATGCATCACAGCATTATATCAATTTATCGTTTGTCAAACCCATAACTATTATGGTTATTTGATAATTCAAAGTCTTTTAATGTTCAATAACATGCAAATGATCATCGATGCAGCTGTTCTAAATCTCGAAGGTGAAGATGGAGACGATAAAAAACGCTCGCGACTAATCACAAAAATCCTAATCCCTCAAGGAATTGGCTACGCCCTCGGACCATACATCGCTCTCCAAGTTGTATTTTTCATGACTCCCTCATTAGAAACATCTCAATTATTATGTTCACTTCTATCAACCGGAACTCTTCTTCCGGTTATTTGGAAATATTTCCCCGATCATAAAAACTCGTCAAAATCATTGGCTCCAGATTTCTCCGGATATTCTCAATTGTTGAGTAACGAACGAACCCGCTGGTGTGTTCTTCTTCTAATGTTGGTTAGTGGACCATACGCAGCATACGACAATATTATGCGCATCTCCTTAGCCGCAACAGCAATCAGAAATCCAGGAAGTTTGCACAACTTGGTAAGTAAGAAATGTGGACTTTAGAGGATATGGATTTCTATTACAGTTCATCATAATCGGTTTGACAACAATGCTGGTGAATATGTTGATTCTTCCAAAACTTCAGGCAATGTTATCTCCACAAGTTCTCTTGACAGTTGCTTTCAGTCTCTTGACAGTGTCCTATGTTTATTTGGCGATTTTCAGAGCTTACGCTTTTCTGTTGATTGGAATGCCAATCCAGGTGAGGAATTAGGGAGACGTAGAAAGAAGTAACAAGTTCACGCCGAAAAAATCGAGTTTCAGTTTTCAGAGGTCTAAACTTTGTCGAAAAAAATATAGGGAACTTCTAGAAAATATTTTACAAAAAAATTGAAAGAACGGCCTTATTTTGGACATAAAATCCAGAAAATACAATAAGCTCCAGAAACTTTCTATCCCTAACCACCAAAAAAATCAACCAACTTCTTCCAGGTCATCGGTGTAACAATCGCTTTGGGCGAGATATCATCCCAACTAATGGGCACAATCGGTAAAGGCGGTGCCGGAAAAGCCGCCGCACTTATCCGAATGTCTCAATTATCCGCCGGATTTTTGGTTCCATTTCTAACCGGCACCACATTCCACACTCAAGACAGCACATTGCTTTGCGCATTTTGCGCATTCATTAGCGCTTCCGCAATTCCAATTGTACGACAATATGGAACATTTATGAAATTCAATTCGGCTTCGTTGCCAGGTTTATTTGTCGGCAAAACAGAGTAACTATTTTGTGTTGGTAATAAATTATATGTTTCTTTTTTTTTCGTCATATTCAAAATGAAATGAATGAAATCTAAAAGATGGATAATCGCCTTGTAAAACGCCTTCATAATAGAAACGGGAGAAGAAAAGAACAGCCTGTCGCTTTTTCCGAGACAGGTTTTCGCATCTTCAACACACACACAAACATACACTTTTTATTCCTTTTTTTCATCCAAAGGTACATCGGGTTACTTTTCGATTTTATCGTCATGTTTTTCTTTATTCTCGATGAAAATGTGTGTAAATAGTATTTAAATTGACTTTGAAAACTATGTATTTACTAACTAACATGAACACTTGTTTTTGGTTTTATTGGTGTGAAAACTTTTATGAGTTTTGTTTTGTTTTGTAGAATAGAAAAATGAGAATAGTTGACAGTTTCTGAGTAAATTTGCTCATTGAAAAGTTCAAAGATGAGGAAAAAACTTGTTTGTCGCAAGAAACACTCGCACTTTTTTCACTTTTGTGCTTTGAACATTAACCAGAAGTTTAGTTTGAACATTTTTCTCAGAAAACTTTTTATCCTGATTTATTTTTGTACATTTTCAAATTTGAAAGTTAACGCTACTGTACATTTGTAATTAGGTTTTTTATACTAAAAAAAACTTTGTACAGCCTATTTTTCCGGGAATACGAAACTCCATTCAGAACCTGGAATTACAGTGCGAAATTGTTTCCACAAGTCAATTTTCCGCTTCACAATTAAGATTTCTAGGTTCGGATATATGCTTGGCTATATAGAATCTCTAAAGGCTCGGCTCATTGATAGAATAGATCTCTAGAAGTCTGTCCTAGACGGTTAGGTTCTTCAGAAGGCGCTACTTGAAAACTAGGATTTCTAGGCTCGGCTACTTGAATACTCTCAAGATCCAATGATGTTTAAATTTAGAGTACAATTTTTACATTTGAAAACCATAACCTTATTGTTAGAGGAGTGTATTTCGGCCTAATTTTTCCGTAGCAGATTTCCATGGTTGAACTTGCCTCCAAATTGGTACAAGCTCAAAACTTCTCACAAAACTTCAAAGTATTCCAATCAAAAATCACCCGACTAACAAGATCAAACCAGTTCTCGCCGCAAAAAAACACACACTTCTTCACAGATAAATCACACATTTTCCACAAAAATCCACTTCATCCCAACAAAAAAAACGAATGTCTTCCCTCTCTGTCTCTAATTTTCCCTCATGTTCATTCCAAATCAAGGTCGTTCTTCTCATTTTCCTTCGTCATAATAATCACACACAAAAAACACATGCAATATCCAGTATTTTTGGGCCAATGGCAGCAAACAGGTATAATATCAACTTGTATTGATGATAAAAGGGGAAAAGAAAAGAAAAGATTTTGCGAGGAGGGGGATGCCAAAATTATTATGCAGCCATAGTTGCGCAGCGCGCGCAACTTGCGCTAAACCAGTTCCGTTGGTCATCTATCTATCTCGCCTCTTTTCTTTTTATTCTTCTTCGCTATTCTATTCTTATATATTCGTTTATCCAATTCATCGTCATTTTTATTGATTGATCTCTTGTTTCAAATTATCCTTTCAGATGTCGTTCGAAAAAAAGCAGCGAGTTATGCTAATATTATGCCTAATCTTCGGATTATGGCATTTTGCAACCCAATGGACCACAACACTTTTGTCATTTCTTCAATGGGACACTGAAGAAGTTATGACAATCACAGATTTAGGATATATTCAAGCATTCGGAAGTTTGTGTAATGCTGTTGGTGCATTGGCTGCTGGACAATTGGCCGATTCGATGGGTGCAAAAACAATGTTCTTAACTTCAGCTGTATTCACAGCAATTTATTATTCGGGTATTTCACTGGCTCGTTCGTGGTATTCATTCTTCTTCCTTCAAATCTTCCGATTCGGTTATCAATTAGATGGAACAGCTGAGATGTATTTGGCGACAGTTACAACAGAAAGTGAACGAACCGGAGCATTGATGAGACTAACAATTCCACAAGCTATGGCAATGTTTTTCGGTCCAATCGTTGGTTCAAAAGTTGCAGCGTGGACAACTCTTCGCACTTCTCAATTTATTGTTGGTATCGTCCTTCTTGTCACAATGCTTCCAGTCGTCCAATTTTTATTACCAACAACACATTCGATTCCAAGATTGGCTTCTGCCCGACTCCGCCCACAAGATTATTGGCACATGATTTCAAAAAACTCGAGTCTCAAGGAAGGACTAATGATCCGCGCATTGCTCATCTCAGCCTACGTTTGCTACGAAATGATCTCGCGTAATTTCTTGCTCCGTGAATATATGCACAACACAAATGACAGTGCCTATGTTCTATTGACAATGTCCGCTGCTCTCCTTGCTGTTCAATTCATTATTATGCCATTGGTTCAAAATCGTACCTCACCAAAACGTTTATTGCAAGTTTCATTGATCGGTTTGGCTGTCAGTTACTTTTCGGCCTCATTTGCAACAAGTTTCGAGCAAATGTTGGTTATCACAGCAGTTCAAACAGGAGCCTACGCTGTCGCTTATGCTGAATCCTCAACACAAATCACCACGTGAGTAATTTCGAACCGAGATTTTTTGGGAAAACATTTTTGAAGTTTTTGGTCGTAAAACTAATACGATTCGAAAAAAAGTTGAAAAATCATGGGTTTTTGGATCTCAGGGTCACTGGTTCGACCCCCGGTACCCGCTCCTCCTCGATTTACCTAGAATGGTAAATGGTTTTACCAATATACATTTCAGATATCCAGAAGCCTGGGCATATTTTTCAGGGTTCTAGACTTCTTTAGAAGAATTTTCCATTCCAGGGGCCGAACTCATAAAAGTGGTATACCAAAAACTTCTGAACAACATTTTTTGGTACGCCAAATTTTTCACTTTTATGAATTCGGGGTGGATTTTTCAGACTTTTAGACTCTAGAGACTTCCAAAATCCAAAAAAAATAATCAAAAAAAAATTCCAGCGCTGTCGAATTAACCGACTTGGGAAAAGCAACCGGTTTGGCATCGATGGTCCAATGGCTCACACATTTCATCCTTCCAATCTACGCTTCACAACTTGTAGAGGTAAGGGTTGGGTTTTCCGGGGTTTTTCACAGGTGTACCCTACCCGCTCTCCTAATCCCACTTCCCCAAACTTCCCGCCCGCCGGTCCCCAGATTCCCACACCCACCCAACCTTCCCACATCCCCTAAAAATCCCAATTTTCTAGCATCTCCACTACACCTACGCCTTCTACACCTCAACAATTCTCTCCGGCGCTCTTTTCGTCTACATTTCGCTATACGGAAAAGATACACCAAATCGTTCGGGCGCACTTCTTCCATCTCTCTCAGCCACCAATTATTAGGCCCAATTTTTAATAATTTATTTTGATTTTTTCTCCAAACGGGGCAATATTAGTTTAAGTTTTTCTCATATTTTCCACCCATCCATTCAAAAAGAAAAAGAAATAAAACTAACCTGCACATAAACAAACTTCGAGTTGAATAAAAGTCGACAATTTTCGGAACACTTGAAACACTTGAATAGCCAATTCACGAGTTGGAACCAACACCAAAACCCGTGTACAACTCGGTCCTTTCGGTCGATACAACATACGTTCCAAGATTGGCAACACGAATGCGGCAGTTTTTCCGGTTCCAGTTGCAGCACACGCGCAAATATCTTTTCCGGTCAACGCGACGGGAATACATGCTTGTTGAATTGGCGTCGGATCACTGAATCCAGCACCAGAGATTGCTTTTAGGATTTGACGCGATAGATTCATTTGTTCGAAGTTGATTTGAACTGTTGGATCGAGATTTTTTCCATCGATGGAAGCCGAGAAGAAATCGTCATCTGCGTTGGATTTTCGGGAACGCCCCGCTTTTTTCTTCTCACGAACAGTATCTGAAATGAGGGAATGAATGGTTGGAATGAATGAGGTGAGGCTCCCACGTTTCCAGGTTCGAATTTTTCAGAAATGAAGATATTGAAATGAAAATTTTCACGTGGGAAAGAAAGGTCACGTTCGAAAATAAAGATTTCGGTCGCAAGGTGAAAATTTGACAAAAAATTCAATAAAATTCGAATTTTCTAACTTTTTACGGATTTTTTTCTATTTGACACTGAATAAATTTTATAATTTTTGTATCTGAAATCTAAAAATTCCGAACTTTATTCACGTTTTGAATTTGTTGAAACTTGAAATTTTGGAAAATTTAATAAACAACATAAATCCAGTAATAAACTCAAATTCCAATAAATATTTTACGAAATAATTGAAACAGTGGAATTTTTGAAAAAACTTGCGTGAGATTCTGGCCGAAAATGGGTATAGAGATGAATTTTTGAAAAAGAAAAAAATTAGGAAAAAATTTAACATGAGCGTTTTTGACAAAAAAATGTCATAAATGGGATGTTTTTTTGAAAATGAAAAAAAATTAGGTTAGCATTCAATAGAATCTCCTGGTTTCCCACAAAAAATCATAAAGTCTAGCTTTTCCGTAACTTTATGTATTTGATCTCTAAAAATTCCAAATATTTTTGTTAACTCTGAAAATCCCCAAAACCCAACCGAACCTCTAGTTTCTCTTCCTCCCAATTGTTGTACATCATCCTCTTCTCCTCCTGCCTCAATAACATCCAAATCCTTCTCATTCTCCCCTTCAACAATCACAGCTTTTCCCGTATTCTTCAACTTTCTCATCTCGGCAATTTTCTCATCCAACGACGGCACAATTTGCTTCTTCAAATACTTTTGCAAATCCTCAGTTTCTCTGTCGATGAACACATTGCCGCCATTATCGAAAACAAAGTCTTGCGAGAATTCGTCGGCCGCATTTGCCACCTTCTTCTTCTTTCGAACTGTTACAGCTTCATCTTCTTCCAATTCGTCGCCACTTTCATCGATTTCCATTTCTTCGTCGCTTTCGACGGGTTTTGCGAACAAATTCACCATTTTGTTTGGAGGTTCTGGGGAAAAATTGAAATTGGAGTTTGGAAATCAGGAATATTTTTCAGGGTTCAGAACTTCTCCTAACTCAATTTTTATCAAAAAATTGCAACGTGGAATTTTCACGGGCCTGTGAGGTTTCCACGTCATAGCAATCCGCGTGGCCGCTACAGCGGAAGATAGTGCCGCTAACGCGGAAGCTCGCGATCTACACTCGCATTGCTCGAGCGAAGCGACTGTGAACCGCAAGCAAGATTGCTATGGCTTGAAGGTCCATCAAAATTCCACGTGGCCTTAATTTTCATCAAAAAATCGATCCAAGTTGTCTAAAATTTTCAAAAAAACGTTGAAATAGTGATTCAAAAGTCTAAAAAAATCTAGTTCTAATCGGAACCTTTTTTCTGAAATCTTCAAAATATTCTGAAGATTTCAGAGAAATTTCCCATTAGAAATAGATTTTCTAGAATTCTGAATCATTATTTCAACTTTTTTTTCAGATTTTGGACCAGTTCTTATGAATTCTGAGAAATTTGAGTTAGGAGAACTTTAAAACCACGTGGATTAACCCTGAAAAAAAAAAAACAAATAAAAAAATATCTAGATAACTATTGGCACAAAACCAATAAAATGAGCGAAAATCAAAAACTCGTAACAAACTTCATAATAATAATTTTTTAAAGAAAATAAATTTGAATACAGGAGATCTTATTGAAGAAAAAAATATTATGATTCAAAAATTATATATATTTTTCAGTCAGGTAAAAGTGAGTGAAGCAATCGGCGAAACATCGATTCGAGAATTGTCGGTTTTGTGAGTTACAGCAAATATTGAAAGGCGATCGCCATGTGGCAAATCTTGGTCTGCAAAAAAAGAGAAAATCCCAACGATGCTTCGATTTTACGGGGGCGCGAAAAGGCTATAACTTGAAGCGTAATCCCGTAGTATCGTTGCAAAGAAAAAACGCACTTTTATGAAACTTGATTCTAAACTTTGTCTTTCCATTCGCTCCACATTTCACCGCCTTCGATGTTCCCCAATCAATCGTCTGAACAATCTGCGGAATCACACCACTCAATCCATTCGGTCTCATCGAATGTATTTGAATATAGAATTGAACATTTCTATCGAAATAATCGGTCAGCTTCGAATAATCGACAAAACCGCCCAATTGCCAAGTATCATAGAAATCTGGAAGAAAAAAAAGGAATTTCGGTAGAAAATGAGTGTGATACCTTTTTTCGATGACCGAATAGTTACAGCAATTTCAGACGATGCATAATTTTTGAAAAATGTTGGATATTGTGGAGGTGATTTTTCAGCAGTGCGAGTTAGACATTCGAGGGGGACATGCGGGATGAATAGGCAGACATCTTTCGATTTTTCCGAATCTTGCTCGAAAATCTGAAATAGAGATCTGATTTTATCCAGAAAACTCGATTTTTCTCAAGATTTTTGGCCCAGAAAAACATTTTTTTAATAAACCTGGATACGTGAACGTGACCTTTGCGATTTTTCGATTTTAAAATTTCTCTGAAAACCCAACTTCATTCCGAGATTTTTCGAGTTGTGCTAACTTCCCAATGATTTTTGAAATGGTAAAAAATATTCCTTGAGTAAGTTAAGATCTTCAGATTTTTCTAGAAAACCCGAATTTTTCAATATTTTTTGCTCAGAACTAATTGTAAGCCACGTTCTACATTTTCAGATTTTTTTCGAAATCACTCTGCAAAAAATTTATGAATCTAAAAAATACGTGAACGTGACCTTGTTTTTCAATTTTAAAATTTCTCTGAAAACCCAATTTTATTCTCAATTTTTCGAGTTGTGCTAAATTCTCAATGATTTTTGAAATGGTAAAAAATGGTCCCTAATTTTTCCTCCGCTGCAATTCCAACAAAAACTAACCAAAAACGGTTCATGCGGATGTTCTCTAGCAATCTTCAAATCATGTCCAAACACTCTTCCAACTTGCGTCATTTGCTGCCCATTTTCATTCTCATTTTGTGGTTGAACATATGACATTTGATGGGAGCGCGGAGGAGGCGCCATTAGGATTTCGGGCTCGATTCGCATGCTGAAAAATACTTCATGACGTGAGGGAAAATTTAGGAGAGGGAAACCAACTTTTTTCTTGGCTCCGGATAGGTTTCACACGGCCGTTTTCTCATATTCTGATTCAGATGATTATTGTAGTTGGATGCGACTTTTGCATAAACTGTGTTGACCAGTGGATAATTCATCTGAAAATGTGATTTTTTTTTGAAGCAAAATTAGGAAGACTAGAAATGTTTCTTAGAAGAGATCTGTTTCAAGATTTCCCTTTTCTCCAAAACTCACCGGTCGATGCGAATTATAATGAAGATTATTAACATGTTGCATCCTCTGCACATTCGTCGGCTGAATCATCGGCTTCTCAACCTTCTCCAAAAATCCACACATAGTCTTCAATCGCTCCATCTCCTCTTTCGCCTCCTCCAACTTCTTCATCATCGCCAATCTCGCCATTTTCTCATTCCTCAACTCTCTCATCATAACTTCTTTCTCCTGTTTCAAATCAACAATCTCTTTTTTGAAACTATCAAACACTTCTTGATGATCAATCAATATTTTTTGCGCATATTTACAAATACTTCGCAATATAACTTCATTCGGTTTCCCGTCAAATGAGGCTATCGATTGACTAACAACTTGTCTTGCCATATTTCTTGTTTTCATATATGTTGCCTCTCTTTTTCGACGTTTTGGTGGAGAAATTGAGGCTGATGGTTGAGCAGCTTCGATTTGACAATCATCATCATCCAATGTTAAAACTTCCACAACTTCCTGAGTTGTTTCTTCCTTCAGAACTTCTTCTTGTGGAATCAGAACTTCTTCTCCTTTAGGTTCCTCATTCAAAATATCTTCATCAATCAATTCATCGCTAACTCCAGCACTACCATCACCTAACAATTCATTGATTTGATTTTCAGTCAAATCCACTTCCGTCATTTATTTATCGTGCTGAAAAAAATTGATTTTGGAAAATGAGATACTCAAAATCCCAACCTTCAAACGAATGAAAAAACATTACTTCGTCAGTCGCGTGCGGCCGAGCGTCGCGGTTGGGAAACAACCAAGCCGCGACGCACAGCCGCACGCGACTGACGAAGTAAATAATGTTTTTTCATCTGCACTGATTTTTATTTTTAAAGCAGCCACATGTTTTTTTTTATTTCGATAGTAACAATTGGAAAAAAAACCAATTTAAAAAAATTCAAAATAAAACCACACAAAAATATTTTTAAAACTTCATTTGACCTATTTTTATTATCACAAATAAATAACCTGTTTAAGCTCGTTTTGCTGAAATTGCCGCTCCAACTCTCGACATTTTCGTGCGACCTGTCGCCTCATTAAACCATAAAGCAGTCGAAATCACATTATCCAAATTGATCCCGGTGTTGAATCCATAACCTTCTAGGAAATAGAGTAAATCCTCAGTTGCCAAATTACCAGTCGCTCCTTTAGCATACGGACATCCTCCTAAACCGCTGAGACTTGAGTCAGCCGCCCGAATTCCTTTCTCAACAGAAACCAAAACATTTGCCAGTGCTTGTCCATAAGTATCATGGAAATGTACAGCGAGTTTATCAGCTGGTACACTCTTCAAAACAGTGTTCAACATTCTGCTGACGGAATTAACTGTTCCGACACCAATTGTATCGCCAAGGGATACTTCATAGCATCCAGCTTCCAATAGTTTTTCGGCGACTTTTGCAACAACTTCTGGTTTTGTAGCGCCTTCGTATGGACATCCGACAACGCAAGAAACATAGCCACGAACTTTTATATTATTTTCGAGTGCGAGAGATGTGACATCTAGTAACTTCTTCAAACTTTCGTCAACTGTTGCATTCACATTTTTCTTTGAAAATGCATCGGAAGCGGCACCAAAAACTGCAATCTCATCGATAACTCCTGTTGCCAACGCGTTTTTCAAGCCTGGTAAATTTGGCACAAGAACTGGATAGTTTACACCATCGTGTCGTTCAATTTGTCGAACAACTTCATTATGATCCGCCATTTGTGGAACCCATTTTGGTGAGACGAAACTTGTTACTTCAACTGCTTTGAATCCACATTTTGATAAGCGATTGATCAATTCGACTTTAATATCGGTGGCCACGAAATTCTTTTCAGCCTACAATTTTCTGCAAGTTATTTTTTTTCCATCTCTCTCTCTCTCTCTCTCAAGAAAAATTACCTGTAAACCATCTCTCGCTCCAACTTCAACGACACGGAAAAAATCCTTCTTCGTCGAAAAGCTCCGGCTAATTTTTGAAATATTGTACATAGCTCACTCTTGGCTTTAAAATAGGATGGCGCGCGTCGTGCACCAAAAAAAAACAAAAAATATTTTGCGAATTGTCGTCAGGGTGTTTGCACACAGTGAGAAACACGGCGACGCAATAATGCGGAATTAAAATATTTTTTATTTTTGAAATTTTTTCGAGGCTTAAAACCGAATTACAGTCGATTTTCAGATGCTTCGACATATTATAAATAGAGGAATACACACAACATCAAAGATACAAAGGGTATGATTGACTAGAAGTTCGTAAAAATCAGATTATTTCAGGATATTTCACGAATTCCACTTTCCGAACCTTTAACAATTTCATCAGTTATCAAAGAGTCTTCCAATAATCATGATTTTAAAAGAGAATCAAGAGTTACACGATTAAGTAATGGAATTCGAGTTTGTACTGAGCCAAGCTACGGTCAATTCGTTACAATTGGCGCTGGAATCGAGAGCGGGTGTCGATTCGAAAATGGATTTCCACCAGGAACATCAAGAATTGTTGAAAAATTAGCATTTTCTGTAAGTTTTCAGATTTTTTTCTCTTTTAAATAAATAAAATTCATGCAGTCTTCATTGAATTTCTCGGATCGAGACGAAATTCTCAATATAATTCAAGAAACGAGTGGAATTGTTGATTGTCAAAGTACTCGAGACACATTTATGTATGCTGCAAGTTGTCATAAAAATGGAGTAGATAAGATAACTCAAATTATTTCTGATTCAATTTTAAAGCCAATTTTTACTGAAGGAGAGTTGGAATTTGCTAAGAAGAATATTGAATTTGAAAATCTTGATCTTCCTGAGAAAATCGAAGCAATCGAAATCCTCCTAAACGATTACATTCATCAAGCAGCATTTCAACATAATACATTAGGATATCCAAAATTCAATGAAACATCGGCCACAGACAAAGTAACACTAAAAGATATCTATGGATATTTGAGTCGAGTTCACACTCCAGAAAGAATTGTAGTCGGTGGAATTGGTGTGGATCATGATGAATTTGTTGCATCTGTTGAGAAGCATTTCAATGTAGAACAATCTACTTGGAAAGTACTTTCAGATGTTGTTCGTCCAAATGTTCCAGAATTAGATCAATCATTAGCACAGTATACTGGAGGAGAATTGCGGGTTGAGCGAGATTTGACGAAATTAACCATTGGAAAACCATATCCAAATTTAGCGCATGTTGTTATTGGATTCGAAGGATGCAGTTACAAGTTAGTGGAACTTTAAGAATTCCCATTCCCAAAAAAAGTTTTTTTCAGAGACGATGATTTTGTAGCCTTCTGTGTACTCCAATCTTTATTAGGAGGTGGAAATGCATTTTCAGCCGGTGGACCTGGAAAAGGAATGTATTCTCGAATGTATTCTGAAGTTATGTATAGACATCATTGGATGTATACAGCAATTGCCAATAATTATTCATATAGAGATTCTGGATTATTTACAGTTACCGGAAGTTGTGATCCTGAAGCGGTAAGTTTTGGATTTTTTTCTATAAAAAAATATGAAAATTTTTCCCTCCAGATAAACCACGCATTAATCGTACTTATCCATGAACTTCTTCGAATTCCACAAGGAGCTGATAAACAGGAATTGGAAAGAGCAAAAGCGCAATTGAAATCTCAACTTATGATGAATTTGGAAATTCGACCGGTTTTGTTTGAGGATATGGTTAGACAGTATTTGGGACATGATGAGAGAAGATCTCCAGAAGAATATGCGGAGAAAATTGGTAAGGGCTTAAAATCTAAAAATGTTAACTTTCAGTTTTAAGAAAATCTGAAATTTTGGTGAAAATTAAGAAGAGAGAGCCCGAAAATGAGCCAAAAATTGAGAATTTTCTGAAAATTGCGTGATTTTCTGACCAAAAAATTATGACCGTACCAAATCGACCTTCCATTCGCCCTGTATTCAGTTTTTGATTAAAAAAAAACGCAATTTTCTGAAAATTCTCGACATTTGGCTCATTTTTGAGCACCTGAGGGCAAAAACTGAGAGCAGGATATTTCTCAGCGTGAAAAACTGTACAAAAATCTTCTGATTTTTGAAAAATGAATTTTCAATTTCCACGTCACTTTTTCACGTTCACGTTCACGTTTAAAATTCCAATTTATTTTCAAGTATTTATTTTTTTTCCAAAATCTATTGTTTCAACCAGGGTTCCGAACCGATTCTGAATTTTCGGTTTGGGTCGGGTCAAACCGAAAAAAACCCACCCAAAACCACCCACTTATACCCAGTTCTAAAATAGAACTACCCAGAACCGAACCCGAAAAAACAGTTCTGGTTCAGACTCGACCCAAACCCGACTCGAACCAGACCCACCCAGAACCAAACCCATTTTTGGAGAACCAAGCCAGACCCAGACTCAATGGATCAGACTCGGGTAAGACCCAAACTCATTCGAGAATCAAAAATACCCACCCGAACCAATTCAACCCAAATCCAACTCAAATCCAAACCATGTGGACTCGGGTACCCGGGTAAAAATGGTTCTGAAAAAACAATTCAAAATTATTCGATAATAAAATAATTCACCAGTTTTTAAATTTTTTAAACCATAACTAGCGGGTATAGGAAAAACATTTCAGTTTTTGTTGAATTTTTTCAACGAGAATCAAAATTTCGGTTTTTGTTGAATTTTTTCAACGAAAAAATGTGTAAATCTGGAAGAGCTTCCAGTTTTACAAATCCATCATTTTCGAGCCAATTTTCATGATTTCAGTCTAAAATTGATTGAAATTCATTTAGTGGGCATCATTCGAGTAATATTCAAAGAAAGCGTTTGAAAAATAGTTGAATAGCCGATCAATGAAAATAAATGTTTCGATAACTGGTGAATTATTTTATTATCGAATAATTTTGAATTGTTTTTTCAGAACCATTTTTTACCCGGGTACCCGAGTCCACATGGTTTGGATTTGAGTTGGATTTGGGTTGAATTGGTTCGGGTGGGTATTTTTGATTCTCGAATGAGTTTGGGTCTTACCCGAGTCTGATCCATTGAGTCTGGGTCTGGCTTGGTTCTCCAAAAATGGGTTTGGTTCTGGGTGGGTCTGGTTCGAGTCGGGTTTGGGTCGAGTCTGAACCAGAACTGTTTTTTTGGGTTCCGTTCTGGGTAGTTCATCCATTTGTTTGTTCTGGATCTGGGTCCAACCCACTCGAACCAGACCCGATCTGCCCCAAGAACCGACCCAGTTCGGAACCCTGGTTTCAACTTTCAAAATGAGATTTCATATAATCATTTATTTTTGTGTTTTTTGCTCATTCGGACGTAAATTCAAATTTATCTGATCTGACTTTTTTATTTTCAAAATAAAATAAAATTCAATTATTCAAATTTTCAGCCAAAGTTACAAATAAGGATATAATTCGAGTGGCCGAAAGAATGTTATCAACAAAACCATCTTTGGTCGGATATGGAGATTTGAGGAAATTATCGGTGAGTTTTTTCAGAGTTCCTAATTAATTTTTTAATTTTTCTAAATTAATTATCTCTAGAAATACAATTTGGTGGATCAGGCAATTGCTACAAGATCAGTTAGAAAATTGTATGAAGAAATCTCGTAAGTTTTGTATATTTTTGTTAGGTTTTTTGTTAGTCAGAAAGTTTGTTATTCATTTTTCTTTTTTTATTAAAAAATCATTTCTTTTTTGTTGATAAGAAAAATACATAGAAAACCATTTATTCTCTCGAAATTGAGAAAAAGTGCCAAACCATTCCAAGTTTACATTAAATTATAAAAGAACCAGAATCTTTTGAGAAAAAAAAATCAAAAATCAGATTTTCCCTCTATTGGAATTGATTTCTGGCGCGAAGATCGGCCAAAACTTCTTCCGGATTTACGCCAAGTCGTTCGCCGGCTCGCAAAACTTCAGCCAAACGAGCTTCGATTGCGTGGACCACTGGAAAAAATTGGAGAAAATTAGATTTGCTTTTGACATGCATATTTTTTTCAACTCAAATTTTCCCAAGAAAATCGATAAAATCTATGGTTTCTACCCCGCTTTTCTAAATACTTTCTACTCATAAAAATATTATTTTTAATGGTGTCAATAAGCTGATAACAATGGAATTTATCACATGACCCGACCTGCCTGAATATTCGAAGAATTTCGAAATTCTTCGAAGCGTGGGAGTTTTGATTTTTTGATTCTCGAAGCAGTCGGAACACTAATTAATTAACAAAGCTTCTGAGAAAAAGCTGAAACGAAAAATACAAAAAAAATGTTGCAGGCAGTGGGGTTCGAACCAGCATAGCTGGGGCGTGGGACAAAAGCTTTACCGACTGAACTATGGGGTGTTTTTCGAAGATGGTGAAAATTACAAAGAAATTGAAACTGGGTTTTTTGCGCACCCTAAAATACCGTAATTTTCCCCCTAAACCTCTAAAACTAACAAGGTTGTCTCGAATCATCAAAAGATCTCTTCATTGGTTGCCAAGCCACCATTCGTTTTTGCGGTTGGAATCCGAGAATTGATTGAGCTTGTCCGATTTGTTGAGTTTCGGTCTCCTTTTCGATTGTGTTCAATTGCTCTTGAAGAGCTCGAAGTTTCTCTTCGAGCGGTGAAGGAGCAGCTGGAATTGGAAGTTTGAAAATTTAGGAAATATGTTTTTTGTGCGGTAGGGCACACTTGTAACTTTTTATCGTAAATTCAATTTTTCACTTTAACTTTTATTTCTCTTCAAAACAAAACAAGTAGTACAACTTAAATTGAATTTCTATTTCATTTTTCAAAAAAAAATCTGATGTTTGCTCATTTTCTTCTATAAATCAAAAGAAGCCTATCATCTTCTCTTCAAAAAATTAAAAAAAAAAGAAAAACTAACCATATGTGAATGTAACAACAGCGAAGGCGACGAGAACAACTCCAAAAACGAATTTCATTTTCGCCAAAAATTTATTTTGTGGAGGAAAAAGAAAGAAATACCGAGAAAGCGAGCGTGTTATCACCAACCAAAAAACCTCTCTTTTCAGCTGATAACAAAGTTTATGTTTCTCCGGTTAGGCTTGACGTATTTTGTGAGGAAATGCGAAAAAATCGATGATTTTGTTGTTGCCAATAGAAGGCGGGTGGGCGCTTCGGCGCTAAATGGGATGCTCAAAAGGGGCGGGGCTCTATGATTCCTCTTTTTTTTCGAGAATGAAAGAGTCGCGTCATTTGGACCGCCCATTTTCCCCGCTCATAGAAATATGTATCTAAATATCTAGAAATTATAAAAAACAATGAAAAAATTGAATGTGCGATGGAGCAAACTTAGATGTCTGTGTTTTTATCGTTTTTTCAACAACAAAAAAATCAATGAGTTAATTAAAAGTGCGAAGAGATTATACTAATGAGCACTTTTAAAACTCATTAACTTCACTGACTGACCTTCTCACAATTTTTCAAACATCGAATTTTTTAATTTTCAAAATAGGATTAATGTGTAACATCCTGTGATCAGAAATTAGTTTTTGCCTTCTGCGTATCCTATTCTTTATTATTCATAAAAAAAATATTAGATACGTTTCCATGTGTCAATCTTAATTATATTGGGAAGCAAAAAAATGTATACTTTTTACTCTTTTCTCAAAAAAAAAGTATAATTGTTTTTTGCGCCTCGAAAAAAGATACGAAAAACAGCCGAAATGTTGAACTCAGTGATGTGGATAATCAAGGGTAATGAGTCAGTAGACCGCTGATGTGAAAATGTTTATCTGATGATGTCTGAGACGCCTACGAATGGACTTGAAAGCTTGAAAATTCTAAAAAATAAAAATAAAAATAAAATAAAAATGTACTGTAGATTTAAAGGAACATGCACACAAATGTTGTTCGCGCCGCAAGACCTTGTTTTGTGTTGTTCTCGAGGAAAATAGTAAAAAAACAATTTTTTTTTGTTTTGACCTAAAACCCAAGAAAATCCTTTGAAAACGCGAACTTCAATTAACTTTATGGACATTTTTCCAGAGCTGGCATATCGAATAACAAATCCTCTTTTTCGCCATCTAAGAAAAGACGGAAGAAAAATGGAAATTTATGAGAAGGTGAAATTTGAAACTTTAAAAAAAAAATTTTTGTTTTCTATTTTTAAAAATAAAGAACTTTGTTTTTTCCAGGCAGAGGCGTATTGGTGTCAGGCGAGTCAAGATGTTGATGGGATGTTGGGTGGCTTTGCAAAATTGCACGCTCCAGATATAGCCGTATCTCGTGTGTTCTTGAGCAATCTGAAAAAGAAGGTTGATTTTTGCCCCTGCAAAATAATATATTGCCTTACATTAGATGCCTGGCCAATCTTGATTTTAATTAAATCCGCTTTATTTTCCAAAACATACACACATCTATTTACACAATGATGATTTCTTTTAGAAAAAATAGAAGAGATGACTAATCCAGGGACCCTTTTTCTTCCAGAATCTTCTTCAATCCACTGATTATGCTCTAGATTGTGGTGCCGGAATCGGTCGAGTCACCAAACATCTTCTAATGCCAATGTTCGCCAAAGTGGACATGGTTGATGTGATACAAGATCTGATCACAAAATCCGATGAATATATTGGAACTTCAGAGGGTGTTGGTGAAAAATTTGTGGAGGGTTTACAAAACTTTGCGCCGCCTGAAAAACGTTATGATTTGATATGGATACAATGGGTTTCGGGACATCTAACCGAAGAGGATTTGATCAGTTTTTTCGAGCGATGCAAGGTATAAAATACTTTGTTCTATAAAATTTTAATGAAAACATTTTTTTAACAGGAAGGAATCAAACCAGACGGCTGCATTGTTTTGAAAGATAACATCGTTGGAGGCGATAAAACACTTTTTGATGATGAAGATCACAGTTGGACTAGAACCGAGGTATTTCACACGCTCTCCTTACTTGAAAACATCTTAACCTGAAAAAATTTCAGCGCGAGTTGCTGAAAGTTTTCAAAGACGCCAAGCTGGAAATCGTCTCGAAAAGTTTGCAAACCGGATTTCCTCACGATATGTATCCAGTGAAAATGTACGCGTTGAAGCCTGCAAAATAATCAGGTTCGGGTAAACTTTAATTTATTTTGTCACGAAAAAATATATCAACATTTATTACGCAAAAAATTAGACTAATTAATAACCAGGTGGAGTTCTTGGTGGTGGACAATGATCGCAAGATCCTTTCTCTCCAGCTGCTCCATCTGGCCCAGCATCTCCAGCAGTTCCCGGTTTTCCATAAGGCCCCGGATTTCCTTGATCTCCATCTGGCCCCTTCTCTCCAGGCGCTCCATCTTTTCCGGCTGGTCCAGGTGGTCCTGGTGGCCCTGGTGGCCCCATCTCTCCTTGTCTTCCCGGTGGCCCGGCTGGTGCTTGTCCAGACAATAGTTTTCCATTGTCTCCTCGCTCGCCCGGTCTTCCTGGATATCCGGGTGGTCCTGGTGGCCCAGTCGGTCCAGCAGAGCCTCGTTCTCCCGGTTTGCCAGCACTTCCCGGTTCACCAGATTCTCCCGGATATCCGCGAGCTCCTTTGTCTCCTGGTGGACCTGTTGGTCCTGGTGGTCCAGCTGGACATTCTCGAACACAGCCTCCTGCATTTGCTTCATCGGCTGGTCCTTCGGAATATCCGCCAGATGACGCGTCGGCTCCATTCTTTCCATCCTCTCCAGGAGCACCGTCTTTTCCATCAGCTCCATTTTCACCGTCTGAAATGAGGTGGATTTTTGACGTGAACTATGACGTGGCAACATACATAAAATAGGTCCCCCGAGTCAGTTTTCAAAGTTAGGGTCCCTCCTTGAAAATTTTCCAAAGTTAAACACCTTCCTCACATTTTTAAGCGAATTTTGGTAAATTATCAACAGAAAATAGGCCAAGTTAGGCACCCTTCCCTTCAAAGTCTTGAAAAAAGTTAAGCCCCTCACCCCGATTCTGGGGACCCATTTTATGTATGCGTGGCAAACAGAGAAATTGGTTGGAATTTTGAGAAAATTCATTTCGAAATTTGCTGTGAGTCTAGATTTGTGTTATGCTCAAATTTTGAATGAGACTAGATGTTGGGATTCGTCTAGGCCTAACATTTCGTCTAAGCTGGAGCCCAGAATTTTGACTAAGCCTAACATTTCAGCCAAGCCTAAGCCTAAACATTTTGGCTAAACTTGACACTTAGGGCTAAGTCTAACAGTTTGACCAATCATAAGCCTAGCATTCTGGCTAGGCCTAAGCCTAAGGATTTGGCTAAGCCTAAGCCTAAGGATTTGGCTAAGCTTAAGCCTAACATTTTGGCTAAGCCTAACAAGCCTTGTCAAAGTAAGCCCAACATTCCCAGTTCCCCCCTTACCATCTCCCGGTGGTCCAGGTGGTCCACGTCGACAAGTTGGTTCAGCCACCGCTTCCGACGCAACCGCACTATCTCCCTTATCATAAGTCGGCTCCTCGCCTCCACCCGCAACTCCCCCAGCATCCTTCTCCGCATATTGTTGTCTCCGATTTCTCGTCGATCTATCCGGTATAAATTGCCCAAAGAGCCAAGTGCCATGTGGCATTGCTCGTTTCGTCCGCGCGAATATCTCCTGCTCCTCTTGTCCTCGCGATTTCGCCATCTCCAGAGTTTCTGTCCAAATGTCTCGACTACGTGTTTGACAGAAATTCGCGTCATTTAGCATATGCGAGTGGATTCGTTGAATTGATTGATAGGCGATTGGTGTCATTATCAAAATTGATAGAATACATGTGGTTGACAAGGCTACACTTATAAAAGCGTGTCTAGAAAATATTTTCTTTGTGGAAAATGTGCTACGACATATAGTTGGACGTATGTAGTTAGGCTAAATGAGATTTTGAGCAAGTTAGTTGAAATATTGGAGTTTAATCGTATTCGAAATATTTGATTTTAATCGTTACTCATGTCGTCAGTTGCGATGCGGTCTTGCGTTGCGTGTATACGTGACGTGTCTTTAAAAACAGTATTTATCTACACGCAACGCAAGACCGCATCGCAACTGACGACATGAGTACCTATAAATGGCATTTGACCTAGTTTTTTATTTATCATAAGTGATTTAGACTAAATATCGACTAAACGTCGTTAAATCCCATTAAAAACGTAGGTCAATTGCCATTCATTTTTCATGTCGTCAGTTGCGATGCGGTCTTGCGTTGCGTGTAGACAAATACTCCTTTCAAAGACACGTGACTTCTACACGCAACGCAAGACCGCATCGCAACTGACGACATTTATCATATGTGATTTAACGACGTTTAGTCGAATCACTTATGGATAACGTCATATCATACGAAGCTTGTCTATCCTATGAATACGATTAAAACCCAATATTTCAACTCACTTGCTCAAAATCTCATTCAGCCTAACTACACTACGAAAGAAACGAACCTTCTAAACTGCGCGATATGAAAAGTCTCCTCATCTTGATCGATGAGAGCCTTCATTTTTCCTACAAAAAGGAGAAAAAACTATGAATTTTTTGAAATTCTCCCTCTCTTAAATAGCAAAGAAGCAGGCGAAAGTTACCAGATTCTAATCGTGTCCGGATATTGTTCAAAATTCTTGACTTGACAATCTTATTTTATTTATTGATCATTATCTGAGATTTATAGGAAAAAAATAGAAAATAGGATAAGGATAGAGTAAATTGAAATCTTGGGGGGAATTGAATATCACACACGTTTCTTGGGTTGCTCTGAATTGATTTTGAAAAAAAGGGAAAATATTTAGAAAATAGAAAGTAAACAAAAATAAATAAATTAGATAGGATTAGGATAAAATATCAGGTGCCACTTTGTTGATTTCGGTTCTCATTACAACTGGCATTGGTGCTGGATTTGAGGCGCGATATGCTACCAAATAATCACGATCATAGCGAATCACCTGAAAATTTGTGAGTTAGGGAAAGTCTAGCTCAAATTTCTTCTCAAGAATTCTAGAGGTTGAGTTGAAGCTGGACTTTGGATCCTATTTGAAAACTACTGAGCTTAGGAACCTTAGTTTTTCTTGAAATTTAAAAATTCTGGAATTTTTAAGTCTAAAAATTTTTCAAGAATTCTCAATGCTTTTTGAAACAGTGAATTTTTGGGAATTTTTAGAATTCACAACGCAATTTCGAAATAAAAGTGCAGAACTTTCAAAATTCAAATTTTCAAAATGTAGATTTCAAAGCTGAATTTTTAGCAAAAAAAAAAGAACTTCTGGAATTCAAATTTTTATTCTGTAAACTCTCAGGATTACTGTAAATTTCCAAGCTGCCATCTGAATTTTGAGCAAAAAAAAATTATTTTCAAATTTCAAAGTTTCCAGACAGGAAAATTTACCACGTGGATTTTTGGAGCCATGATTCAAATTTTTTGAAGTTTTTCGAAAATCCATGCCACGTGGATTCTTCTTACTTTCAAATTTCGAACTTTTCAGACAGAAAAATTAGCCACGTGGATTTTCTGCTCCAAAAATTGAATTTTTGAAATTTCCGAAAAAAAATCTATGCCACGTGGATTTTCTGCTCCAAAAATTGAATTTTTGAAATTTCCGATAAAAATCTATGCCACGTGGAATTTACAAAGTTTGCAACAGTGAATTTTTCTAGCCCAAAAAACTGTGAAAATTGAACATTTCTCTCAAAATTTACAACTGGTCATTTTAATTTCCCATAAAATTTTACAACCTTCTCCTCCTCCAAAACAAAACAAAAAAAGAACTCACATCTTTTTGTGGGGCAATATTCTGCCCAACCACCATATTCTGTTGTGGTCTCGATGGTATTTCCGTCATCACAACAGTCGTTGTCGCCGCCACTCCATCCGCCAAATTCGGCGTCGAACCGTGAAATGTTTTTGACGGTTTTAAGTTCAGCACCGGTTCTTGTGGATGATGATGATATTGATTAGATTGTTGAAGTGGCATACTCTTTCTTCGCTCCGTCTTCTTCTCTCGATCCTCAGCTGATGGTCTTTGTCGAACTCGTAGATATGCTGAGAGCGCTTCCTGTGCGGCTGCCATTAGTTCCGGATCATCGCACATGAATGTGAGTTTTCCATCGGCAGTTTGTTCGAGTTTTATATCTTCTTCTTGATCTTCCTCCTCATCTTCTTCTAATTCTTGCGTGGTATTTTGTTGAGCTACGGGCGGTGGTTGATAATTTTGTTGTGGAGCAAATTGAGCAAAAGCATCTCCTCCTCGAATTGGACTCATATTCCTGCGAATTGTATCAATAATCATATCTTTAGCTCTTTCGATATCTTCCATAGTTGAGGCAGTTATCGTAAGTGTTCGCTCTTTACTTTTCGCATCAACTTTTTGAAAAGAGATGACAGTATTTGTCAATTGCTCGACAGCCGCAACACGTCTTCCTTTAACACCCATTATCTTTCCCGAATCCGAATTTCTGATGATCATTTCGTGTCGAAGTTGAAGGGTTTTATTGGCGAGGTTGTTGGGCTTCTTCAAACTTCGTTGACGCATGAAAATTTGATCGGGTGGAAGCATTGGTTGAGGCATGAAGGGGTTTGGTGGCATTGGCATCATTGGATTCATCCATGTGCTGGCGGCTGGGATGAAGAAGATTCCCGGGTTTGCTGGAATAGGTTTTGTGGTTTTTGGGAATCTCATATTTTTAGTTAACTTTTTTGAAACATCCAGAAATTTTTTGAAAAACAATAAAAAATCTGATCTTTGCGGAACAATATTCAGAATTTTCACTGTTTCAAAAAATTGTAAAAGAAATTTTATTAATTTTTTTTATTGTTTAATCATTGAATCCATTCAATTTTATATCTATCTTTTGTCAGGCAAGAAAATTGAAATTTTCAATTTTTGAAAAAAATCACAAATTTCAGTTTCCAAATTGCCACGTCATCAAATACATAGTTTTGAATTTTTCAAAAAAAAATTATTTTTTTTTTGAATTTTTCACTGTTTCAAAAATTTTTTAAAAGTTTTTCTTATTATTTTTTTTTTCAATTCTTCACCTGTCTTTGTTGGAGAAATACACATTAAACTTCTATTCTAATTTTTCGAAAAATATTTTAATGCTTCAAATATTTATTAATTAAAAAATCGCAAATTTTATTTTTTAAATTGCCACGTCATCAGATAATCGTTTTGAATTTTTCCAAAAAAAAATATTTTTTTTTTTGAATTTTTCACTGTTTCAAAAATTTTTTAAAAGTTTTCACTATTATTTTTTTTTCAATTCCATTCTGTCAATAACAGGAAGAAATAAACATAACATTATTTGCATAAAACAATTTTTCACTGTTTCAAAGATTTCTGATTTTTGAATTGTCAAAAAAAGTTTTCCTAAATTCAGCTTTAAAATTGCCAAGTCATATCAAATACACGTTTTTGAGTTTTCCAATAACAAGTTTTTAAAAAAGAATTTTTCACTGTTTCAAAAATTTCTCCAAAAGTTTTCCTAATTATTTTTTTCAATTCCTCACCTTTCTTTCTGATAAAAATACACATAAAACGTTTTTGCTAATTTTTAAGAAAATTCTTTCGAAAAAATCTCAAATTTAATTTTCGAAATTTTTCACTGTTTCAAAATTTCTATTAAATTTTTTTCTTGTAATTTTTTTCAATATTTCCATTCTCTTTGCTTCGGAAAAAACCACACAAGTTTGCGAAACTCGAAGTACACTAACAGTTCAAAATTCAAAAAAAAAAAGCAAACTCACGAGCACCCATCGCTGCCGGATCCTGCATCATCATCATCGGATTCGGCGGAACAAATTGCATTTGTGGCGGAGTGACAGCAGAAGGAACTGGCGATTGAACAGATTGATTTTGTTGTGAAGAACTATTCTGATTCGAATTCTGCGATGAAATCGGAGGAGCAATTCCCAAAGATGGTGCAGGATCATGTTGACCTTCGGGACGATTCACATAATATTGGCTATGCGCCAAATTAGTTCTCCAATTCATCGCGCGAAGTTCGACGAGTTCCATGATTTTCAATCGACACGGTGTTCCAAGTTGGCCATTATCTCGACAACAAGCTTGTCGCAATGAGGTGAACACCTTGTTCAACTCGTTTTTATGCGATTGTTCCAACATTTGACCAGATGTTTTGAGTTGAGCACAAAGTGTGAAAATTGTATTGGCTAATTGAGAAGTGAATTGACTGGCACGAACCATATTATTTATTGTGTTCATTAATTGGAGTTGTTGATCTGCAAAAATAAGAATTTTTAATGATTTTTTGAAACAGTAAAATTTTTGAACCGTGAAATCAAATGTTTAATTTTTTTAAATGTAAAGGTTCAGATCTATTATCAAAAAAAATCGTAAATTGAAAAATTCTTTAATAATTTTTTGAAACAGTGAAAATTCTAAACCCTAAATTAAATTATTTTCCAATGTTTAATATTTTCATCCACAAGGTCTTTTAAATTTTTCATTTCCACGTGGATTTTTATCGCCAAAAAATCTACAGTAATTCGGAAATTTTCAGCAAAGAAAAAATTCGGTTGCTTTTGATGCCATGTGGCAAAATTTCAGAAAAAACTTGGGCTAACATTTAAGGCTTGTAGGCTTATCAAAAATTTTAGAAATCTAAAATTTAATAACTTTGGGGAAAAAGTTGAATCTCAAAAATTTGAAAAAAATTTAATTTCAGGAAAATTTATTTTATTTTTCAAAAATTCAATGTTTCAAAAATATCCCAATTATTCTCCAATCTGTGGTTTGAATTTGACATTCATCAAAAAAAATTCCAAAAATTATTTTTTCTCACTAATTCCGAATTAAAAATTTTCAAAGTTTTATGGTTGCCACGTGGATTTTTGGCGCTAAAAAATCAACAAAATGTCTTAATTAAACTGTTTCAAAAACATTATTTTTCAAATCTCAGAATTTTTCTGAAAAATTTCCCTCTCACTAATTGCCAATTAAAACTTCCCCTCCTCTCCTTTTTATTTTCTTGTTTGAGGCACACAAAATTTTTATATCATTAAAATAAAATGTAAACACTTTCGTTTCTGTGTCTCAAGAAAGGCGCACATTACACGACATCTTAACAAGAGGAGCATCCGAGAGAGCCGATCAGCAAATAATGAAAAACGAAGGAAAAGGAAAGGAGCACAAAAGTGTTTATTTATAGTGGGAGTTGGGATTTTTCTTGTATTTTTGATATCATCAAACATTGATACTACTGTATCTTTGTTCATATAAATAGTGTGTGATGAACTTTTAATGAGCTGATCAGATTTTTGATGTTGGAAGAATACACGTATTTGATGTTGGTAGAGAAGAGAAGATTAAAGTGAAAAAGTTGTAACTTTCTGGTGTTTGAACTGATAAACAAAGATGATGGGAATTTAGTCTGCGAACTTTTTTTTTTTGAAAAAAAGTGATCAATTGGAAGAAGCTTCAGAGAAACTATAATAAATTATACGCTTTTGAAATTCTATGAAAAAATTGATTAACTAATTAGTCGAGTTTCAGAATTTCAAATCATTTCTGAAATCTCCAAATAATACGTTTCAAAATATTTCGAAAAATGGGATTTCGAAAAAATTCACAGTCGCAATATGTTTTTTCTACCTTTCTAATAATCAATTTCTAAAAAATGTTGAAAATTTTTTTTGCAAAATTTCACTGTTTCAAAATTTTCATGAATTTTTGAGCATCGTTTTGGAGTTGATATTCCTTCTGATAAGTTGTGATAAAAATTTTTGAAATTCATCCCATTCAATATTTTTCACTGTTTCAAAATTTTTTGATGTTTTTTTCTGATATTAACAATTCCGTTCTTTTGTAAAAAATTTCACTGTTTCAAAATTTTCATGAATTTTTCAGGGTTTTTTTCAATTTGATATCCCCTCAGAAAAATTGTGATAAAATATATTGTATATTTTTAACTATATTTTTTTTACTGTTTCAAAATTTTCTTAAATTTTTTGACTTTGATATCGTATGGTTGTAGTTATGTGATACTCTAGTTAGGCTAAGTATTCCAACCCAATTCTAGTTTTGAACCCTCAAATTCGCCACCACAAATAATTCATTTTCTCTCTCTCTCACTCTCACATCACAAAAGACTTATGAAATTTGACACTTTTTTCTCATTCTTGAGTTGAGTTGAGTTTAAAGGAACATGTGATATGTTTTCACCTCAAAAGTGTCCTCAAAAAGTTTTTCGACCAATTTGTTTACAAATCACACGTAAATTTTCGAATTCTAGAAAATTCGAAAAAATGCGGACAATTTTTACACTTTTAATGTAATGTGTTCTTCGAAAACGAAATGAAAAACATATTTTTTTAGATTTTTATGGGACAAAAAATGACTCAAGAAAAATCGATTCAAAAATGATTATAATAAATGTATTATGATATTAATTTTTTTTAAAAACCAGAAAATAATATTCAAATTTTGAAACAGTGAAGTTTTTCAATGGAAAATTTGAAAATTCGACCGCCCCATATAAATTTAAAAATTTGGACAAGTTTAAAAATACCAGGATGGCCGAGTGGTTAGCACGCGTAACTGTCGTTTGCAAAACCAGGGTTCGACCCCAACTGCGCCCTACTTTTTAAAACTTTTTTTTTGAATTTTCTGAATTAGCCCCCCTCCCCAAAACTCACCAACACTAAGCAAAGTATTTCTCGGCGGCTGTTGAACAGCCATTTTCGCAGCAAAATCTTGTGAAACATCATAGGAATGAAGCATTTTTGAAATCAGAAAAAGCTTGGGTTTTTGTCGTGGAAAAGTTAATTAATTGTTTGGGATAGAAGTAGAAGACAGATTTCGTTCGAATAATGAAAATACAAAAAAATATATTTTCAACACAAAAACACACTTGGAAATATATCGATAAATGATAGAGGCCGAGAGATGCTCTCAATGTTCTTCTATCTTTCCAAACTCCGCCCACTTTTTTTTCACTTTACACAACCGTTCTTCTTCTTCTTCTTTTTTCCTCTCTTTTTCCAACATCATATTATTATTATTATTGCAAAACAAAACATATCGAAACATTTGGAGATTCAGAGAAAGTTTAGCAATTGAAATATTTATGGACATTTTTGTGGTTTTCGAATTTATTGATTGATTTTGAAGGAAAATAGAGGTCTGGAAAAAATCTTATTTTTAACATGAGCAATCATGATTTTTCTTTAATAATCTGAAGAATGTCTTAAACCCTTTACGTTAATATGAGTCATAAAAATTCTTGCTATGACGTGGCAACTTTTCTGGAGAATTTTTGAAACAGTGAAAAATTAAATGAATTTTTTGGGAATAGTTGGATTTTTTGCAAACATTTTTTTGAGGTTTGGAAAAATATTTTTTTTTATTTCGTAATTTTTCTTGGAAAATGTTGAAACAGCAAATGTTTTCTAATCATTACTTTTCGAAAATTTTAGCTAAACGTTTACCAAACTTTCATTAAATTCTGAAAAACTGCTCACTTTTTTCAAAAATATTTGAAACAGTGAATTTTTTGGAATTCCAATTTTGCGAAAAAATTACTTTTACTGTAAAAAAAAATATTCCACAAACTATTCAAATCATTTATATACAATCAAAAAAAATTCTCATCAAAAAAGAAGAAAAATGACTAGAAACCACTAATTAATTAGCAATATGACATTGATTAATATCACCATAATATGATATATTTTCATCTGCTCCACAACAATGCAATAATCCACCACTGACATCAGTCAAAAATCCATCTTTGAACCATTTCACATAACACGGTGCAACTTGTTGAGAACCAAGAAGAGCTTCGATTGCAGACCAAGCTGATGAGATTCCACCGATTAAACCAAAGGCTGCAAAAAACTTGTTAGTTCGGGGAATAATTTTGATAAAGGCTTCTGAAACCAGGTCATCATGTTTTTAATTATCAAATTGAATTTGTCAACTGATTGTGAAATTTTTTTTTGAAAAAAATTCGAAAAAAAAACTTACTGAATGAAACAATATTGAACAATAATATCCATTTTGGTGTGTAGTGATAGACACTGCAAAAACAGGATTTTTAGGATTTTCGGCAAGAAAAATGGAATTTTCTTGGAAATTTTTGTAAAATTGTGAAAAATTCAGATTTTTTGGTATACTTTTCGCGGTCTGAGACTACAGTAATCTGATCTTTGCAGTTCGGAATAGCTTAAGACTACAGTACCCCTTGCAGTCTTGAATATATCTAGACTACAGTACCCCTTGCAGTTTGTGGGCTACAAAAATATTTTCTAGTTCATAAAACCTTTGAGTTCTTAAAACCTCTGAGGCTACAGCTACCCTTGCAGTCTGGAATATCTCAAGGCTACCGTAATCCTTGCAGTCTGTGCGCTACAAAACTCTTTTCTAGTTCATAAAACCTTTGAGTTCTTAAAACTTCTGAAGCTACAGTAATCCTTGCAGTCTGGAATATCTCAAGGCTACAGTACCCCTTGCAGTCTGGAATATCTAAGGGCTACCGTAATCCTTGCAGTTTTTGGGCTACAAAAATCGTATCACTGCTTGTAGTTCCAAATATCCTTTCGGCTACAGTATTCCTTGCAGTTCGATATAAAGCTACAGTACCCTTTGAGATACAGTTTGGAATTTGGATTTAGAAAAAACTTCATAAAATTTTCCTGACTTCTTCTAGAATTCAAAATTTAGATCTAAACTTCAAACTTTTTCGCAAAAATCAAATTTCCCAGCCCAAAATCTAGAGGCTCTCAACTCACTCAGCCAAACTCGCCGTCTCAATATCCGGACTATTTTCCTGAATCAATCCCAATCTCAAACCCTCCTCCCTCTTCTTCTGCGACGCTTGCATAAAAAGCCAAAACACACTCGGCAACAACATTGTCATACAAGTAATCGTCGTCGCTCCAACCAAATCAACAAATAACCCGAGTTTGAGAACAGATAATGCCGTGAATATCGAAGCGGCGATGACCAAACTACGAACAATAATTCGACGAAAACCGAATTCGTTCGGAATCTTGATCCATTCTTCAACTTGTTGTGACATTGGCGATAAAACAATTATGATTGTTGGCAAAATGTGGGCGGTAATTAGAATGTTGACAACTTGACCGACCCATTGAATTTGAATTGATTGAATGACTGTGTCGATCATACTGTCACCGTATGAAATTAATCCTGTTATTCCAACTGCCAAATAGACTATCGTGATCACTGGAAAAATATTTTTGAAGGGTTGGGAAAGTGTTCGGACTTAAAATTCTGAAAATTTGAAATTCCGAAAAAAAACGGGGATTTTTAGATTTTTTTTTCAAATTCAGATTTTTTTAAAATCAAATGCAGGGTTCATTTTTGAGCTCCTTAACTTTTGGAGCAATTTTGAAAATTTTGGAAACTTCACAGAAAAAAAAACATGACTCATATTAATCAAAAATAAGAATGAGTTATGTTTTTTTTTATTTTAATGAGTTTTTGAAGGAAAATCTCACAGTAGTCTACAGTACCTGAACTACAAACTAAAGGACCTACAGTACCCTACAGTAATATTCTTTGAAACTTGAACCAAAAAGTGAAAAAAAACTTTCTAAACTACACTAGTACTACAAACTGAAAAAGTTTGGAGGACCTACAGTACACAGGAACCAAAGATTCTTCAAAATCTGGAAGTTCTATCTACAGTAACCTACAGTAATCTTGAACTTCTAAACTACAGTAGTTCTATTCAGATAATTTCTACAGTACCCTACAGTATTCCTCTGGGAGAATAGGCATGTGAGCTATCATTAGAAGCCAAATTTCAAGCTGAATTCAAAAATTTCAGAATTTCCAGTCTCAGAGCCCTAGAGAGCTCCAAAATTCTCCAAAAACTCACAAATATAACTCGAAATCACCGAATAATTAAACTGTTGTGGCTTCTTCATATCATGTTGAATAGTCGGAAATGCACCATGTCCACCAAACGCAAAAACAATAGTTCCATATGACAACGAGAAGCTGGAGAATTGGAATCGGGGCATTTCTGCGACAGGCGCGCACACTGGCATATCATGAACTGAGCCGAAAATTATGAAACCGGCGGCGACGGTACTTGAAACGGCTGGAAACAAAATCAGGGAAATTATACGTTTCAGATTTGAGACATTCTTAAATTTTTTTCGAAAAGCGTCGATGCTTGGGTTTTCAGGAAACTAACATAAACGAATTTAAATTAAGGGGAGGGGATTTGAAATTTGAAAAAAAAAATTCACAACATTTTCACACATCAGGTTGTATCAATTTCCAGGAATTAGTGATATTCAACTTTTTTAACATTAAGCAAAAACCTGTTCAGTTCGAATTTTGAATTCAGAAAATATACAAAGATTCCAACTTCAGAACTTTGAGATTCTCTACCCCAACTTACCAGAAATAACAGCTAATTGCCAAAAATCCATAGGCGATTGCAAAAGTGTAAAAGGCCAAAGAACCAATCCCAACGCCAGAATAAAAATGCAAAAATCAAGATGCAATCCAAAAAACGCGTTCAACAAATTCGTGAAATTCTGCGCGCTCAACAAAAGCAACACCGACGCAATCATAAATTGTCCAACCACCAAAAGCACCGCCACAACTTGTCGTGCAACTGGACCGAGTGCACGATATGCCATCTCCGGATACGGTCGTCGACAATGATTTCGATATTTCGGCCATCTTGATTGCATCATCTCCCAATTTTCTCCCAATTGGATTCCTGTGTAACCGGAGAATATTGAGGCGAGAAGAATGAGAATGATTCCTGGTATAAGGCCAGCATTTCCGAGGGAGATCGGAAGAGCAATCATTCCAGCTCCCATCATATCACCAACTATGAAAACACCTGCCATTAACCAGGAAATGCCGTGAACATTGTGATGGTTGTACTGGAAAAATTGGGATTTTTTGAGATCTTGAAATTCTTTAGAACCCTGATTCAATGTAATCTGATGGTCCCAAAAATTCAAGAAAAAAAAGGCTTCCAAAAATTCAGAAAGAAATTCGGGATCCAGAATAATCTAAAAATTTTTTTTGAATTCTTGAAAATTTAAAAATTGAGATACAGTAACTCATGCTCTTCAGTTATGCTCCAAATTTTCTACATCAAAAAAATCATTTTTCTGGCTTTGATGGTCCCCAAAATTCAGAAAAAAACAAGACTTCTTATTTTTCTGATACCAAAAATTCAGGAGGAAATTTGGGTCCAGAAAAATCTGGAAATTTTTTTTTGAATTCTTGAAATTTTCCAAATCAAGATACAGTAACTTATGCTCTTCAATTTATTCTCCAAATTTTCATCATCAAAAAAATCATTTTTCTGGCTTTGATGGTCCCAAAAATTCAAAAAAAAAGCAAAGCTCCGTATTGTTCTGTTTCCAAAAATTCAGAAGGAAATTTGGAGTCCAGAACAATCTGGAAATTTTTTTTTTGTACTCTTGAATATTTAAAAATTGAGATACAGTAACTTATGCTCTTTAGTTTATGCTCCAAATTTTCATCATCAAAAAAAATCATTTTTCTGGCTCTGATGGTCCCAAAAATTCAGAACAAAAATAAAGGCTTCCAAAAATTCAGAAGAAAATATGGGGTCCAGAAAAATCTGGAACATTTTTTTGAATTCTTGAAATTTTCAAAATCAAGATACAGTAACTTATGCTCTTCAGTTTATGCTCCAAAGAATCAGGTTTTTTTTTAATATTTAGTTTGTCAGAAATCTGATCATTCTAAAATTCAGGACCCGATTTTAAAAATATTCAGAATGTTTCTGAAAAAATTGGATCTGGACAGATTTAGAAAGTGGTCACCCTGGTTCGATCTACCGTAGCCCACTTTCCCCCACTTTTTTCAAAAAATAATATATTTTGATTCCTTTTCCTCTTGTCAAACATATTTTATAAAGTGCTAACTAAACTAAACTATTTATTTTTCCACCTCAAATTTTAGTTTTACTTATCAAACACAACACAAATTGAGTTGTGAGTCAAATAACTTCGGAACGATAAAAACCAAAGTATTTATTTTGATTGCTTTTTTAGAACACTAAAATTCCTTGCTTGGTTTTTTTTTTGTCATCATTCGAATAAATATTGTTTGGCTAAAAATCACTTATTGTTTGATATCATGCAAAAATTGGGGAAAAATTTGGGGCAAAAAGAGTGGACTGGAACTGGTTTTGATTTATTAGTGCTGGAGAAGACAATTTTTGATCGGAAATTTGGAAAAATGAAAAATGTTTGCTGTGATTTCAGAGATTCAAAAAATATCAATGATAATTTGAATAATAGGAAATTTTGGAATTTTTTCAAAACAATTTTCCAAAAAAAAATTTACAATTCACAATTTTAAATAATTTTCAAAAGTTAGGCCTAAAACTTCAGGAGATCAAAATTTCACACAGCTTCTTCGGTACTGTACTTTTGGCGCAATGAGTTACAGTACATTAGAGAGGGATATTTATTTAAGTATTTATTTATTAACAAAAATATTTATCGATGTTTTCAAAGGCACATACAGTACTCCAGGCTTTAAAGACGCTTACGGTAGTAAATTTAAAAAGCACAGTAACGAAAACTATGTCGAAATAATTTTTGAAAAAAATCTGTGACAGGTTTGAAAATTTTCAACAATTTCTAACTTTCTCAAAACTTTCAAGGTCCCCGCTAGAACTGTAAACTAGAGTGTAGTACTTACAGTCGTCTCATCCGAAGTTCCTGAGATTGTAGAAATCGATTGTTTGATTGGCGAAATCGAAGAAGCCGCATCAGACACCTTATAAGTCTTCTTCGCTCTCATTTTTTCCTGAAAAAAAGTTAGATGCGCAAGACAAAAGATAAGAAAAGACCATTTTGAACCCATAAATTATTCCCGCCAAAAAATGACTGGAAAAGAAGAAATAAATAAAGTAGTTCATACAGTATTTATTCATTTTCATTTCATTTTTTTGCGATGGGGGCGGAGTTTGAGAAACTTGCAATGATAAGCGAAAATGAGACTAGAGAACATTATATAAATTTGTGCCAACACAATTTTTTGCAATGGTAATATGCTAATTTTTTGTGCTGATAAATGAACTTTGGGGTGATTAAAATACATACAAAATGTCAAATTTTTGGAATTTTTTTGGTGCGAAAAAGATTGTGATCAAAAAATTGTTGACCTTCAAACAGCGAATTATAATTTATTTTGACATGAGGAAGTTGGGGGGCGCGAGAAATTTAAAAGTCTACTGTAAATTTTGCCACGTGGATTTCAGTACTGTAGTTGTAGCCCTATTGAATACATTTTTTTTTCAATTTTTACCTAGCACAAGAATTTTGGTTACTGTAGATATAGGTTAATTTTTGCCACGTGGATTTCTAGTTTCAAAAAAAGTTCAGAAATACAAATATTTTTGCCGCGAAATTCAAAAAGCTAAAAAAAATTGTAGATTTTAGTACTGTAGATCAGGATCAACTTACTAATTCAAATTTGGAAAAATCATCAGCACCCGAATTTTGGTTACTGTAGATTAAAGATACTGAATTTTTGCCACGTGGATTTTTCTTTGGAAAAAAATTCTGAAATTTAATTTTTATTTAAAAACATTTTGTTACAGTAGTTAACATGTGGTTAACCTAACAAAAATTTTTGATTTTTGGTTAATATGAGTCATGTTTTATCGAACAATAAAAAAAGTTCAATTTCAAATTTCTATAGGTTTTTTTCCTGACAACATTTTCAGGTTTTCAAAAAAAAAACATTGAAAACAATTATGAAAACCTACAGTAGTCTACAGTACCTGGACTACAAAGAACCTACAGTACTCTTTCAAACTACAGTAACCAAATTTCCAACAACTTGAGAACGCCACAGTAATCCTAAAGCTTGTGATTTAGAAAATTTTCTGTAAGATCTATCTACAGTACCCTACAGTAATCTTGAACTACAAAGTGAACTACAGTACCCTACAGTATTCCTCTTCAAGGATAGGCACGTGAGCTATCATTCGAACCCAGATCTCAAGCTGAATTCAAAAATTTCAGAATTTTCAGTTTCAGATTCCTAGTGGGCTCTACAGTACCCCCTGAACCTGATCTCCGAACTTTTACCTATCTATTTTTTCCAATCAAATCAACAAACATTCTGATCTCTGATTCTTATTGACTCATCTCAAAGTTTCAAAATTAAAAAATAAATAAATATTTTTTCAAGTAAACAAATATTGAACAGTTTCAATGAACCCGGGAAAAATGATTTGAAAAAAAATAATCACAAAAAATTGTTTCCCACATAAAAATTTTAATTGTGCGAAAATTTGTGTGGAAAATAACAAAAAAGAATAGGCAAACATAGTTTTTGTGACAAAAATATTATCAAGTGTTTTGTTACTTGAAGAAAAAAAACAGGAAAAAAAGAGTACTTTTCGGGTAGGTCTAGGAGCTGGGCCTAGAGAAGCACTGTGGTAAGGAGCCGCGCCTAGAAAACCTAATTGTCTAGGAGCGGCGCCTTGGGAGAATCTATGTCAAGTAGCAAAGCCTAGAAAGCCTGTTTGTCAAGCAGCCGCGCCTAGATAATCTAAGTGGCTAGGAACGGCGGCTAGAGAACCTATTCTTCTAGGGCCCACGCCTAGAGAACCACCTCTACAAGCAGCCGCGCCTTGAGAGCCAATGTGACTAGGATCTGCGCCTTGGGAGATTTTATGCCAAGCAGCCACGCCTAGATAATCCAAGGCGTGAAAATCAATATTTCTCAAGACAAATCGAGAAACAAGAAAAAATGTAAATTTTCTCGAAAAAAAAACAGTGAGCGCCAAAAAAAATCAATAATCAAATATTCATAATTTATGCCGTCGGACAAAAACAGTTTCTTTTCAATTTCAAAACGTGTTTTTTCTCTATTCAAAAAAAATTTTCCAAAAAAAGTCATCTGACCTTTTTTGCTTTCAAAAAAAAACTACAGTATCACATGTGAAATTCAGCAATTTTATCATGATTAGCATCCAAAAAACACAAAACATTGCTTCCTGCCCAACACTTTTTATCATCAAAAAAAAATAATAAAATGTTTACAGGTATTAAAAGAGTATCATGAGTTATGCATGAAAATGTCAAATGTTTTATTATTGCTGCAGAAAATAAAAAAAACACAACAAAAACGATAAGAAAGCTGCCTCAAGGTTATTTTGGATTTTATGGGTTTTTTCAAGGATCTTTGTTTTTCGGCAGATAATTGACGAATGAAAATTGTGAAAATGAAAAAAAATTGATTTCAAAAACTAATTCGAGACTTCCAGAATGCCAAAAAACTTCCATTTTTCCGAAAAAAAATTCAGAAAAGATTGAAAATGCCACCTCATAACATTTTCCCCCAGAAATTGTTCAGAAAAACTTTGAATCTATCTGAAAGTTTGGCTGAAAATTGCAAATTTTTAGTTGGCGTCAAAATTCCACCTCATAACTTTTTTGAAAATATTCATGAGTTTTTGAAACACAAAATTCTTTTTCCAAAAAAATTCAGATCTGTCTTAAAGTTTGACTGAAAATTGCATATCTCAGAATGCCACGTCATAACCAATTTCAATTTTCCCCCCAAATTTTTTTTCGAAAAAATTGAGCTATCCGAAATTCATTCTGAAAAAAAATTGACTTCAAAATGCCACGTCATCGAGCTATCTTAAATTTTGTCTGAAAATTTTAATTTGGGAGATGCGAAAAAGTTCAACGCTAAAATGCCACGTCACAACTTTTTCATTGATGAAAAAATAATTTTTGGAATTCACAGATTCTAACAGGAAATTTTTTTGAATGTTTCTGCTGATGTGAAATGTTTTATCAATTTCCCATGTGATTCCTAACAAACACTTCCCTTGTGAGTCAACATTTTTATTCAATTTCTCTGCTCAATTTTATCAATGTAATGAAAATAGCCAAATGACTAGGAACTAAAAGATACATATTTCAGAATTTTTCCAAAAATTATTGAATTTTGAGATTTTCATCGGAGAGTTTCTGAATAAATCTCAAAAATCGAATGTTCTGTAGATCAAAATTTTGGAACTTTTTCAGGACTACAGTAATCCCAATTCACGTGGAAATTTTTGATAGGAAAAACATCCAAGGTTACTGTATTTTCCAAATTTTCTGTTGATCAAAATTTTTGAACTTTTTCAGGACTACAGTAATCCCAATTCACGTGGAAATTTTTGATAGGAAAAACATCCAAGGGTACTGTATTTTCCAAATTTTCTGTAGATCAAAATTTTGGAACTTTTTCAGTACTACAGTAATCCCAATCACAATTGTTCCCAATCTCCAGCCAAAATTGATGCAGAATCTGTTGACCTTTTTTTTTAAATTTTTGTCGGTCCCTTTTCTATCTGTTTCTTCATTCTACACACTCTCTCTTTTTGTAGCGTCCTTTTCTTAGTCCAGATGTTTTCTCCAGTTGGCTCAGCGTGTTAAGAATATAGCTTGGTTATAGGCGAATATTTATGCTGAATTAGGTTTAATTCCAAATATAAGGTTGTTATTTTCTTTAAGCCAAAATATACAATTGCGACAAGTTGAAATTGAAAATCTTTTTATTCCAACGTTTCGACGTATAACGTCATCATCAGGGATAATACTCAAACTTGGGTAATTAAACCAAAAATAAAAAAAAAATTAATTAAAAAAAGAATTAGGTTTATATCGTACTTTACTGCAAGTTTTAGAATCTGAAGAGTTTCCCATTATTTCTATTAGTTTGTCAAATTTGAAAGATTTTCTAAATTTATTATTATTTTGTGTTTCATTGTATCTGATCTAATAAATCTATCTTCAACCCTCAATAATAATTTGAATTTTGAAATATCAGAATATGGATTCGGTTGAGCAGATGCAAGAACAAATGTCTATTCTGGAATTGGACGACGGTCAGGATACTCTTCTTGATGAGTTCGTAGTTATCAAAGAAAACTCTTCTGTTTCCCTCGAAAGAAGAAAACTATCAAAAGAAGAGCATGAGAAGTTGAAATATAAGTTGGGATTTTCCAATCAACTCGTGGAAAAAATCAAAAGTAAGTTGAATTTAAAGATGATTCAAGCGCTGAGCAAACGGCGGTCCGCGCGGGACCCAACCAATGGAAAAATTGTGTTTTTCTGCTTAGCGCGAGAGTCAGCTTTAAATTCGAAATACATCCTTATACTATATAATTTTCCTATTTTCAGAAGAGCAGGCTATTTACTACCAGTTGTTGTGCGAGTATGAAAAATCAATTGAAGTGAACAAGTCGATTGCTGGCGGAAACTTAAGTCCCGAGGATGCCAAGAAAAAACTTTCTTTCGAAGAATTGGAGAAAATTGAAGTCAAACTTGAGAAGAAAAATGTGGAAATTATTCAATTAGTTGAAGCTTGGCAGGTGGAGTTGGCACAATCTGTAATCCAGCGAGATGATCACAAAGTTCAGCTTGATACACAATCTGCGAGCAAGTCTCAAAAGGAAGTTGAAGTAGTAACTCAACAACAGCTTTGAACTTCTCCGTCAAAATCAAATTGCTCTTACACATTTGGCTCTTCTGCTAATATTTGTATACTATTTCATTTTCTTTGGATTGTTTCATCAATTTTGATGATTTATCATAGTTCATTTGAAAAAATTGTATAAGTAGAGGCTTTCAGTGCACTCATTTTTTTGCTTGAAAATCGAAAATTTCAAAATTTCCAGCTAGTTTCGATTTTTGGCGCAAAATTTTCATGTGTTCAAGAAACAATTAAACTTTAACAAAAATAAATAAATATATTTATTGACTTTTCTTACAATTCATTCTTTATATAGCGGTAATAGGAACAAATAGAAAGAGTTTGTGAAAACAAAAAATGAAACAGTAGTATTGTGTCAATCCACTTTTCAGTGTTTTTCAAGACATTTTCGATCGCATTCATGACGGAACCATTCTGTGGTTGTTTTGACGCAGATCCAACATTCTCAATGAACTCTCCACATCGTTTATACATCACACCAAAATCTTCTTCATATTGTTGTCTTCGTTTCTCTGATCTCTTCAGTAATTTCTCAAGTGCTTCTATTTCTTCGCGTCTAAAAATTCAATTAATTAAAAACAATTAATTATCGAGAATGAAGGGGGTTTTCCAGACATTTACCGGAAAGATTGATTCGTTCATCTACAATACGTCTACAAATTAACGTCTCTAAATATAAAATCCCGAATTAAGTGATTATTTTAGACATTTTCTTCTCAGAAAATCAAAATATCATTTTCAGGGTTTTCCGAACACAGTTTCTGGAAATTTGATGTTTCTGTCAAAAAAACGAATCATCTGGAAAATTGGTTTTTTTTTCCGCAAAAACTCACATTTTTATTTCGATTTCCAATGCCTTGTGTTTCTCGATTCGCGCTAATCCACACTCAAATCGTAAGCTAACAACTTGGTTCAACAGTGCACCATCAGAACCTCCAAATTGTGCGTAAATAATAGCAAAATCTTCTTCAATCTGCTGTCTTTGTCTCTCTGATCTCCTCAATTGTCTCATAAGACATCTTACTTCATTGTATCTGTAAAATAAATAGATAAATAATAATTTAAGCAACCAAATCAAAGGTTTTCTCGAACCAACTTCTGCAATGGATCACAGGCAATAACGGAAGGATCCATAATGGACTTCTTTAGTGGGTCGACGTCTTTTAGGTCAGTACCGGAGAGATGAAATTCAGAAACGGACCATTTCCAAAACTTTTGTAACAGTAAATTTCGAAAGATTTCAAATTTCATTACTAATTTGGACGTAAAAGTGGGAAAATTCGGAAAATTTTTCGAAAAATCTCACATTTTTCTTTCGAACCTCAGTGCCTTGATTCTTTTTTGTCGATTTGTTCTCTGTTCCTCAGTTTCATTTGATGTCATAATTTCTGAAAAACTCCTTAATTATGTCATTAATGTTTTTAAATACATTATCGGCACAACGCAAATAATTTGGAATATATCCACAATTGGATATCAATGGATTTTTCATTGGCTCTTTTAAAAAGAAAAACAGTAATGAGGATATTCAGGTATTTTCTCAACACGCTGAGCAATCTGGGGACTCCACATACTGTATTTGAGTTGAGAAAAGGACGCTGCAAAAAGGAGAGAGTGTGTAGAATGAAGAGAGAAAAAAGAAAAGGACCATAATCAAACCAACGAAAAGGTCAGGGTAAAATGTTAGCAGATGGACAATTGTTTTTGATATATTTTTGATTCTTGCAAAAATTGTACTGTAGATTTCGGACACCAAGGAGTTCCAAAAAAAACAAGTTGTTAAGTTATTTTAACAAAATATTTTTTGAGCCTAAAAATCCACGTGGCAAATTTTTCTTGAAAAATTTGAGCTCTATTGCAAAATTTCCATCCAAGTTTTTGGATTACTGTAGTTTGTTGCAGTTCGGAGTACTACTGTAGTCTGCCCAACTGTAGTTTCAGAATCGAAACTAGATATCTGAATACATGAAGAGAACAGGTGTTTGCACACTTTTTTGAAACTACAGTATTCAGCGGCAAAATTCCACATATTCAAATACCACGTCATATCACCACAACTAAATCAAAATATTCATTTCTGCAAAAATTTCAAAAAAAATATCTATTCAACATTCAAAAATTGAAAATTAACATCACCATTTTCAAAATCAAAATGTGCTTTCAATCGAATTTTGTCGCGTTTCATGAGATCAGAATGGGGGAAATACACGCCTTGTTTGAAGCCTTTATTCCAGTTTGGCACATTTCCAACTGGCTGATGTGTATCATTTAGGAGTCCAGTTGATATGTTCAATTCTCCGAATTTCCAATCCATCCAAATTGGAAACCCGTTTGTTTCTCTGGAAAAAAACTAACTAAAAAAAGTTCAAAGAGAATTTCGAATATAAGGCGAGCTTTGGACGATATATTCTCGCATTTTTACTATATTTTTAACTTTGGACATCACAAAAAAGTAGCTTTTTCAGAATTTTTTTTTATTGAATAAAATTTGATCTCAGAAAATCGAATATGGTCATAATTTTTTTTTTGAAAAAGTAAAATTTCTATTTTCTAATTTCTGGAGATTCAGAGTCTCCATGTATTTTTTAAAAATAATCAGTAATTACCAAATCAAATAATTAAGTACAGTATCCTAATGACCTACTGGTTGAAATATCCTTCAACTTTCGAGCCCACAAAACCCGTCCAACTAACCCAACAGCATTATCAAAAACAATATCACATCGTTCATCGCACAATTTCGAATTCACATCAAATTGCAATAATTCAATCACATTTCCCGTCGATTTTCCCGAATATTCCCATAATGGTTGTTCATCGATCAAAGCATCTGTAGCTTTTCGCGCTTTCGTCGAAATCTCATCAAAAAACGATAAATCGAATCCATTAACAGTTCCAACATCACTCGAGATCTTGTGCAAATCATCAAATTTCTCGGGCAACCCTTTGAGATATCCAAAACTTGGCTCAACTCTCAAACTTTTGCCCCAATATTCTCTGAGCAATTGCACATCGAAGAGGAATCTCAAATTCTGCCATGGATTCATTGCCGACATATAAAACGGCTCAGCTAGCACAATATCCGGCTGCTGCTCAATTTGTCTCAAATCCTCCAGAATTTGCACATTTTTCAAATTATAATGGCTGATATATCGTTGAAAAATCGCATGGAAATGTGGATTATTATCACAAATTGTCACACTTTTTGCGAATCTCGCCGCCAAAATTCCAATAAATGATCCTTCGCCAACAGTTACAACATGTTTATCAATCGATAGTTTCCGAATTTCCTCGATAAATTGCTGATCTTCAAAAATATCATTGATGTGGAACATGGTTTGGCGAGTCATAATTGAATGCATCATACAAGTGCAATATCCTCGATCGCATTTTCCGGAAACACTGAACCACATACTGAATTCGTCGTGTGCACAAGCGATTTTCAATTCATCTCCTTTTTTGATGGTTTTTGAAGTTGGGAGGTAGTAAATTGCCTGCATCCAATGATCTCGCCACTGAAAAAATTAATTTATTAACTAATTAAAAGGAATTGGAAAGAATTTTTGTTTTGTTGTTTTTTTTTGTAATGGGGTAAATTTTTGTAATGGGGAGTCAATCGAATTAATCGAAAAAGTGAGTCTTTTAGGGCGATTGATTTCACACTCATTCTCAGAAACAACCAAATTTGATGATTTTTTCACGTGAGAAAAAAAACAATGGAAAAAATACTCAGAATTTGATGTTTTTCAATAAAAAATAAAGGAAAAAAGAAATGAACACGTGAAAACAAAAAATCATCAAATTTGGTTGTTTGTAAAAGAAATGCCTCATTTTTGAATGGAATTAATTGCAAAAAAAGATGGAATTAATCGACAAAACGTGAAAAAATTGCACAAAAATGACTCACATTTTGTGTCAATTAATTGACAAAAAATAAAATTGACTCACCCCATAACAAATATAAGAATTCTGAATATATCCCCATTGGAAACTTATTATCACCAAAATCACAAATTGTCGCGAAATACATGCAATCATGACAAGGCCCACACTCATTTCAAGGCAGAAAGTGTGAAAAAATACATGCTTTCGAAAATTTCATTTCTTGTTTTTTTTCGCTCGTTTTTTCTTCTTGAAATGTGTGTGGATCTCGTCGCGATTGACATTTATTTCGTCCATTTTCATGAATAGAAAAAAATTGTAAAAAAAATACATTTTTTCGGTTTTTTTTCGCAAATGAATAGATGCATAAAGAACCTAAAAATCTAGAACTCGTGGCTAGAGAACCAAAATGTCTAGGGCGCCCTAAAGGGCCTGCCCCTAGATTTCCTAACTCTATCGGACCTGCGCCTAAAAACCTATACGCACACCCCAGCCAAAATCGTGGTTTCCACAATAAAAAATTGTACGCTAACTTTTTACAGTACAAAAATCGTGAATTTTTCAGTTTTTGTCCTCTAAAAATTGTGATTTTTCAATTTTTGACCTCTAAAAACTGAAATTCAGATTTTTCAAAAAATTGTACTCTGGCCAGCCACGGTTGGGCCGAGGTGTGCCTATATGTCGTGGTCCCACACCTAGATAACCTGTATGTCTAGGATCCGCGTCTAGAAAACAACTCTGGAAAGGAGTCGCGAGAAACTAGAGAACCTATATGTCTAGGAGCTGCGCCTTCAACTCACCGCAAATCCAGGATTCGCCCATTTCGGCGCCATATCAATAAAATGCTTTCCCTTCCGATCCATATCCAAATTCCACCACATCAAAATCGCGTCAATACTTCCATCGTTTTTCACAAGCGCTTTCCTCACAAATTTCTCATCGAAAACGATTTTATCCGCATTTTCGAAATCGAATTCGAATGCGATGATTGGATCGGTGAGTTGGATGAAATCCGATGGATCGACGGCTGATAGTTGACAATCGAACACTGCTGATGTTCCGGGGCAGCTTCCGAATGGATCTTTGTCTGGAAACCTGACGTGTTAAAATTTTAATTTTGAAAAAAAAAACATTTTTTCGGAGCTTCAGAAGAACTCGGTTTCTCTAATCAAAACAAAATTTTGTATATTTATTTTTATTAGGCTGGCAAAAATAATACCAGAATACAACATTTTTAGAAATGCCAAAAATGGCCGCCCAGAATACAACTCACGTTTTTTTAATGATACCAGAATGCAATGATTTTTTTTATTAGAAATACCAGAATACAATAATACCAGAATACAACATTTTTTAAATTTATCCAAAATTTCAACAATTTCTGTTACTTTTTGTTCACAAAATGTTATTGAAACAATTAAAGTGTTAATAGAAAGCGAGTTGAATAGTATAACTGTGCTCTTTACGAATAATTTATCATTTTTATCGCTACCAAATCATGTAAAAGGGCAGTGATATTTGCCTTGAAGCCTCGATTATGACAAATTTCAAAACTCAGTTTTTCTGAATTTGGAAATTGCTCTGAATGAAAACGGTTTTCCACCATCCAATTTACACCATATCCAGTTGAACAAAATTTAATTGAGAATGAGCATTTTAGACTTTTTGTTCTAGATCGAATAAACGGAAGAGGTTCACTGTATTTTGTTTTTGCTTCCACGTGGAATCGTGTTGGAAAAATGCGAAATGTTGTATTCGATGATTTTTTTTGCCAAGGCAGAAAAAAAGGTTGTATTCTGGTATTTTTGCAAATGGGTAAAATTGTAAAATTGCATATTGTAAAATTGCATTTTTGTAAACGTGTAAAAAATAAATGTTGTATTTAAATACCACATTACCTCATTTTTGTCAGCCTAATTTTTATCGATTTTTTCTGCATAAGAAAAAAAATGTTTTTTGAGTGAAAACATTTTCATTTTTTTAAAGAGGTTCACGTTTCGGTGCCGGAAAACAGAAAGTCGGAAAATTTCCGGATTTTTTGAACCGGAAAATCCGGAAAACAAAGTTTGAAATTTCGACTTTCAGCCTTAAGTTGGCACTAAAACTTATTTTTATCTACAATTATTCTATTCACGGGTAATTAAGTAACTATTTGAGACGTTTTACGTTCAAAAAATAGTAAAATCTGAAAAAATTTTTTTTTTACTAAAAATACTGAATTTGGACCTTCCCACAGGCATAAATTTCTGACTTTTTTTCCTGTCGGCTCCGCCCCCTGCCACGATTAAACATTTCACGTTTTTAAAATTATTTTTTCGTTTTCATCTTTTTTTGTTCACTAAATTTCGAAATGCAAAAAATCAGAAATAATTATTCATTGAAAAAAAACGTGCCGCATCTTGCAAAATAAATCCCGCCTCCCGATTCACGCGAAAATTTGTTTTTTCTGCGACAGGCATTTCTGAATTTAAAAAGTCAAGAATTTATGCCTGTGCTTCCTTCAGAAAAATCAAATGTTATCCATCAAAAACCTACCATCCTCCTCGAATCTCGGAATCCGATTAAACTTCTTCAACAATTTGCTCATCACCGGCACAATGAACACATTTCCCGTCGACGGAACAACTCGACATCCCGGTTTCGCCAACCTCTTCAGCGCTTCCTTAAACGTTCTCAACGCTCCCTCGCCAATCAATTCCGTATCAAAAATGGCAGCAACAATCACATCAGCCGCTTCTCCACCAATATCATCAACATCAGTCGATCTTTCCGATATCACTGTTATTCTATCCTTCCATTCACTATGACTTGTGATATGTCGTGCACAATCTCCCATCGGTTTGAATACTTCCAGTGCTGTCACTTTATCCGCTCCTTCTCGTGCTGCCATTAGGGATAATAATCCAGTTCCAGTTCCAATATCTAGCACATGACATCTTCCATTTTCTCGTTTCTTTTCTTCGATACAAGTCTTCAAACCTTCAAGGAACATATCATTTCGATCAAAATCCAAGATCATATCACCAAATCGAGATCTAAACATTTTTTTCTAGCTAGAGAATCTAGAATCAATAAAAGTACCTAGCCAATTCTTGTGCCATATCATAATCCTCGTCCTTGACAACCCATTCGCGTTCCCCGGTTACATTATTGATTTTCTCCAAAAAGATCCTTCTTGTACACTGATTTTTGTCCACCAAAGTTCCACGTAAAAACACACGCAAAGAGTTTTGAGCAAGTGGATGGCCAGCAACTCTGCAAAGAAAAACATTATTCTTTTGGGCTTTTAATTATATCTTTTTTTTAGAAGAGCTTTGTGAATAATCGATTACGTCATCATTTTGAAAAAAAGACTAAAATTGATTGTGGATATAGTTGGTCGTTGGTTAAATGGCATTTTCAACAATTAATTGAGTTGAAACATTAGATTTTTATCTTATTCATAGGACAAGCAGGTCCAAAACAATTCAAATGATATGCGTTGAGAAGTAACAAGTTAACTTACATCATTCGAATTGTCTTAAGCCATGCCTATCATATGAATATGATTAAAATCCAGTAATTCAACTATCTTGCTCTAAACCATGAGCATGTCATTTAGGCGACATCCAACCCCTCAAAAATTCAGCAAAAACCAACTTGTTGATGAATGTTTCGAGTGCCTTCCTGCGATTCTCAATAAACTCCTCCTCAAAAATCCCGTCATCCGAGCGGAATGGAAGCTGTTGTTTCAACGATTTTCCGGGCAATTGTGGAACAACAATCTGAATGAACAAAAAATGACATTTTCACTGGTTCTCAGAATTTTTCGGCTCACTTTACTATCTCTTTCCAATTCTCCGCGAAGCCACTCAAAATCGCTATATCTTCTGCGAACATTCGATTCTTTTTGTTTGAAAACTGGCAAATTTGACTGGAAAATGGAAATTCAATTATTCTCTTCAAATCTCTCATTTTTACTCACTCTCATACGAATTTCATAATCAGTATAGCGCATTTTCCCAACTCCATGTGTAATCGGATTAACGACTTCAATTTCCAGAAAATTTGCAGGTGGAGCATAAGCTTCGTCCAAAGTTTGTCGTTTTGATGGAATACATTGAGATGCAGCCGCAATATCTACAATTTCATCAGTTTTTGTATGCTACTATAAAAATTCACGTATAAAAGTTGAAAATAATTTGATGTTTTTTGGATCAATAGAAATATAAACAAACGGAAAAAATCAATTTCAATGAAAAATTGGAACTTTGTTAATCAGCAAGCAGAATCAGGTTCCGAAAGACACTGGCAAAATACGGTTTGTGTGCTGCAGGCCTACTGCAGAACACATGCACGACGCCTGCACGACGTCTGCTGAAATCTGCAGCAGGTTTTTTAAATTCATTTTTTTCTCCAAGATTTAAAATCGAAACGAAATTTTTGATTTTCTATTATTTAAGCTTTTTTTCGACTTTTCTTTCCCTATTCAGGTTTTCCCCGAGATTTTAATTTCAACCGCAAAACTTTGAGTTTTTCAAATTCTGCAAAAAAAATTTTGCTCGTCTGCTGCAGATCTGCAAAATTTTTTGAAATCTGCAGCAGACGCGCAGCTGGCACGCATTTCCTGCAGATCTGCAGTAGGCCTGCAGCACACAAGCCGTATTTTACCAGTGGAACCGAAAGGCAAAAAAAGAAAATCAGAAAGTGTGCAAACACCAACATAAAGTTTTGTTTACCGTAGTCTCATTTTTTCGTGGGTGGGCGCAATCACAATTGATCCGCAGCAGAAAAAAAACAAAGTCTTGACATTTAATTTCATAGATAAGTTTTGTGGATTTTGGCAGATTGGTTTGATGCAAGGCGCCAATTTTTATGTATTTTTAGAAAGAAAAAATTAAAAAAAAACTAACCGGCCTCAATAGCTTGATTGAGCGAAGACAAGTCTCCGAAAATCAGTACGCCACTGGAAATTTAAAGATTAGTTCATTCATTTCTAAAATTAATAACTAACAATTCTTGTTCATCTGCTAATTGTTGTTTCAGCGCCACAAATTCATTCAAAAATTCCTCGTTGGAAATATTGAGACGGGCCATTCTTTGTTTCAGAATGTTTTGTATCACATTAATAGATTTTTTCCAGTCGAACAGTTTTTTCTGGATATCAGCGAAAAGAATTGACGAATCAAAATGTCTTGAATGGAAATTCGCTTTGACGATGGACATTAAGTCGCATATTGAGAGAAGGATTTTTTCGTTGGAGTCAAAAGATCTTCTACATAAGGCCAGATTTTCTGAAAATTAGAGAACTTAAAATAGTATATAATCAAAATTCAACGCACCTTCGGCAAGTTTCAATCGATTGGTGCTCTCCTCAATTTTTTCGATTTGAACTTCGGTCGGTATAGGCGATATTTCTGTGTATGAGTTTTCGGAATTATCAATTTCAACATACGAGTTCTCCATCTGAAAACGATGAAATATTTATAGTTTCACACATGTTCAAAAAAGGCAATGCACGCAAGAGTAAAAACGGAACCTTTCCCAAAGAAAAACCGCTGCTGCAGAAAAAATTAACTTTCGCTCAAAGTCGTTTGGTCATGGAGGGGTTGAGTCAAAATGGCAAGGTTCCGCACGTTTTTTGGGGGTAGATCAAAAAATATTATGAGTCTGGAACTCAAAAAAGGTCTTGAAATTTCGATATTTTCATACAAACTTGGTTTTCAAAAATCATTTTGTTATTTTCCACGTCGTACCAGTCTAATGGGAAAAGATAATTTCGTGGAGACGTCTCCACATTTGAAAAAAAAAGAAAGTTGTGCAATTTTCAAGGCGCAGCCGACAAAAAAATTTTTTGAGCACTAAAATTTCTGTACGTAAGTTTCAAAAACTTGAAAATATGTTTTGAAGTCAAAAACATCCTAATATTTGATATTGATGTCTTAGATGACCGAAATCTGAGATCAGAACAAACATCGGAATTCCAGTAATGTCCAAATCGAGAAAAAACTTCATATATTGAATGGATTTTTTTCAAAAAAGTTGTAAAACAAGTTTTTAGAGTGTTTTAAGCACAGTTCAATGATAATATATCGTCAAAAGTCCAGTTTCAAATATTTTCAGATCTTGTTTGATGGTCTTACTGAAAACATCAATGAGATTCTAAGAATTGATAAAATCTTCCAATTTTAGTCAGTTTCAACGTCCGAAGTTGTTTTTATAGTATTCTAGTGTCAAAACAGTTTTTATTCAGCGTAAAATATGAAAAAATCTTCAAAAAACTGAGAAAAATGTTTTTTTCGGAAGGTAAGTTTTTTGATCGGGGTTCAAGACGACGATGATGGTTACCGCCGATTTTGATTATACTGTGCGCCTAGGGGTAAAAAACCGTGAGGAATCGACTGGGCAACATTAGGAGTCGCCCTTTTTTGTCTGAGATATCGAAAAATCCAGTTTTTTGGAAGCAAGGTCAGAACGATTTTCTCTAGAAATGGTTTGAGTATTTCGCTGTTAATAGCACTTGAAAGATCATGAAAAGACAAGAAAAATGCGCTTTGATGGTCAAAAATGGTGGTCTCTAAGCTGAGATCCGATTTTTTGAAGCTTCATCAGAAGCTTTCCACATCATTTTTCACCGACCCCCCATCGATGACCCGATTTTTTACTCGAAGTTTTATTAGCTTTTTTTTTATTGTTGGACACTTGGGTGGTCCAAAAAAAAAGTTTGGGCCCATTTTGAAACCATGAAATTTTTTCTGTACAGAGCATGTCCTGAAAATTTCCTTTTTTACAAATAATGACTAGGGGTTATTAGCCCCCAGGCGAAACAGTCTTCTCATTTATTTCAGTCTCACTTTTTTCTGTGGAAACTGGTTTCCAGATTTACAAATTTTTGAACGAAAAAAAGTTGATAAAAAAATAGCATTTTCTTCAGACAATACTCAATAGATGCTCACTAAATGAATTCCAATCATCTACCTTTTTAATAAAATCCCGATTGGGTGGTGTCTCGATGGTAGCAGCATTTTTCAATGAGGGCCCCCCTCTTCTCATTTTTGAATTTTGAATGCTCGAAGAAAAATCTAATTTTTTTCAGAAAAAAATTCATTATCAGAAATAAGAAAATTTAGTGAGTATTTATCTGTCTGAAGAAAATTCTTTTTTTTTATCAAATATTGTTCCGCCTAGGGGCTAACAGCCCCTATCGAGTATACATTGAATACAGAAAAAAAAATTTCCATGGCAAAATTAGGAAGCCTTCCTTTTTTTTTAAATTTTATTTGGATTCATTTTTATTTTTTTAACACTGTTAAAAAAATTTTATTTGAACTCATTTTTATTTTTATAATACTGTTAAAAAATTTTATTTGAACTCATTTTTATTTTTATAATACTGTTAAAAAATTTTATTTGAACTCATTTTTATTTTTATAACACTGTTAAAAAAAATTTTATTTGAACTCATTTTTATTTTTTTAACACTGTTAAAAAACATTTTATTTGAACTTATTTATATTTTTATATTATTATCAATCACTTCTTTTACATTGTATTTTTCTCTTTTCTTCAATTCCAAAATTTAGCATATTCCTAATATTTTTATTATTTTAATTGAATTAAAAACACGTGAGAAATAAAAAACTAGCTCAAGTGTGGCAGCATTTGCTGCAGCGCTGCGACAAATTGCCGCAGCGCTGCGACAAATTGCCGCAGCGCTGCGACAAATGCTGCCACAATTGCGGTTCTTTTCCCGAGGCTCTTTCACAATGGTGATTATCGTCGGAAAACTAGTCTATTTTACGATCAAAATTTATTGTAAATCAGAAAATATTTTTAAAGCTAGAACTTTTATTCAGAAAAAAACTGAAGCTCGATTTAATCATTCTTCTTTTAGCAAATTTGACCATGGTAAACTCCTATCGAATACTAGGAAACACAATAGAATACTATTAATGTCTAATATCACTTTCTCTTCACAATTCATTTTCTGAGTACTGCAATATCGGGTATAAATAATGTGAGATGACACAATCTTCCAAATTCACAAACATTCCAAATAGCAATACGAATAATCTCAATTCATTACTGTTTTCAAAACTGTTCCAGCCTCTCACTTTGTACTTTTTAAAGATTTGTAGCTTAAAAATTCGAATAACATGATTAGAAAACGATTTCCCGACTATTTTCTAGAACACCGAAATGTGTGAAATGAAAGAAATTTATTATTTTTTGTGATCGAAAACATAACTAGGTCACGTGCTCAAAAAATATCTTTGAAATTATTTTCCCCATTAGAAAATTTGCCCTTCGTGCTGGACCGAAGGGCAACACCTCGAAAATAGGGGCAAACCAAATTCCTACGGGCAGCCCCGGGGCAAAATTTTCTCTGAATTCAAAATGAAGCACAATTCAAAAAATTAAAAATGGGACACGTATGTAAAAAATATAATGCTTCTGTAATTGTTGAAAAGAAGTGGGAATGTGACACTGCGTCGAAAAAATGTTCTATTGCGGAACTCTGTTTTTCATGCTTTGAGCCTGATTTCTTCGCTGTTCAAATGCAAATATAACACATTTTGATGAAGAAAAATTCTTTAAGTATTCCTTAAAGGAAGGAATTTCCTTTTTTATTTTTTTTCTTGCTGCTTTTTTCCTATAGAGCAAGTCTCAAAAGGAAGTTGAAGTAGTAATTCAACAACAGCATTGAACTTCTCCGTCAAAATCAAACTTACATCTTGCTCTTGCACAATTGGCTCCTCTGATATTATTTGTATATTTTTCAGTTTTCTTTGGATTGCTTCATCAATTTTGATGATCATTATTTTCAAATATTTGTTTGTTTTTTTCTGGAAATACATCGGCAAACTTATATTATATTTTTTAATTGAATAAAATTTGAGATTCTCATGAAAACAATAAATTTCAAATCTTCGGTGATCACCAGATACATACAAAAACTTCTAAAACTAACAGAATACCAAAAATGCTCCCAAGAAAAATATTCATACTTTTCTCAGCTCTGAAAATTTGATGCGCTTCACAATTAGTCGCAGTTCTCTCCAGAATCTGTTGTTCTTTTTTTTAATTTGTGAAACTTTTTCAGGACTACAGTAATCTTAATCCACGTGAAAATGTTAGTTAGAAAAAACATCCAAGCTTACGGCAGTTTTCAAATTTTTTGTAGATCAAAAATTTGGAACTTTTTCTACAGTAATCCCAATCCCAATTATTCCCAAATTCCAACAATAAATTGATGCAGAGTCTGTTGACCTTTTTTGATTAGTCCCTTTTCTCTCTGTATCTTCATTCTACACACTCTCTCCTTTTTGTAGCGTCCTTTTCTTAGTCCAGATGTTTTCTCCTGTTGGCTCAGCGTGTTAGGAATATAGCTTGGTTATACGCGAATATTTATGCTGAATTAGGTTTATATTTTACTGTTTTAGGAGGAGAAACTCTATTCACATTTCGCGAAAAAAGGAGGAGAAATTGAGTTTCTCAACCTACCTAACAAGGAAACCTTTTTGTACTCAACACTTCAAATCATGATGAAACTTGGTCCATGGACAGCTTTTGGGGTCAAAAGAACACCCTAAAAATTTTAGTTACCCAATGGTCCTCTGAGCCAAGTTCTGGGCTCTCAAAAGTTCAAAATTGGCTCATAAAAGTCATCATAGCTCAACTCTCGATGATTTTTATGAAGAACTGAGTATCAGATGCTGATCAGCGTGGTCGATTACCCAACAAGCATGAATGAATTAAATTTGCAAAAAATGTTTGATTTTGGAAAATAAGAATTTTCAGCCGAAAAATGAAAAACTTCAAAATTTTTCGAAAAAATGATATTTATTGATGTACTTTTAGTAAATCGACTATGCTGATCAATTTCTGAAACTTTATTTCTCATGAAAATTATTTTTAAATGGAGCTATGATGACTTTTATGAGCCAATTTTGAACTTTTGAGAGCCCAGAACTTGGCTCAGAGGTCCATTGGGTAACTAAAATTTTTAGGGAGTTCTTTTCAGCCCAAAAGCTGTAAATTCAAGTTTTTTGGAACATAAAATATTAAATTTATATATGAATTTATATATTTTGTCGTTTTGACACCTGAAAACCGATATGCTTTATCAAAAATCGAAAAATACACGGAATTGAAGCGATTCGAAGCACAAATCACCTCAAAATCACTTATTTATCAATAAAACCTAATTGTTATTCTTTTCATTTCATTTTTTATGTGGAAAAATCAAAATTTAGAGTGGTTGAGAAACTCAGTTTCTCTTCCTTTTTTCGCGAATTCTGAATAGAGTTTCTCCTCCTTTTTTTTGGTTGAGAAACTAATCTGAAAAGCCCCATTAGTTTTTCAAATTTTATTAAAAGATTTTCTAAATTTATTATTATTTTGTGTTTCATTGTATCTGATCTAATAAATCTATCTTCAACCCTCAATAATAATTTGAATTTTGAAATATCAGAATATGGATTCGGTTGAGCAGATGCAAGAACAAATGTCTATTCTGGAATTGGACGACGGTCAGGATACTCTTCTTGATGAGTTCGTAGTTATCAAAGAAAATTCTTCTGTTTCCCTCGAAAGAAGAAAACTATCGAAAGAAGAGCATGAGAAGTTGAAATATAAGTTGCGAGTTTCCAATCAACTCGTGGAAAAAATCAAAAGTAAGTTAAATTTAAATTCGAAATACTTATACTATATACTTTTCCTATTTTCAGAAGAGCAGGCTATTTTCTACCAGTTGTTGTGCGAGTATGAAAAATCAATTGAAGTGAACAAGTCGATTGCTGGCGGAAACTTAAGTCCCGAGGATGCCAAGAAAAAACTTTCTTTCGAAGAATTGGAGAAAATTGAAGTCAAACTTGAGAAGAAAAATGTGGAAATTATTCAATTAGTTGAAGCTTGGCAGGTGGAGTTGGCACAATCTGTTATCCAGCGAGATGATCACAAAGTTCAGCTTGATACACAATCTGCGAGCAAGTCTCAAAAGGAAGTTGAAGTAGTAATTCAACAACAGCATTGAACTTCTCCGTCAAAATCAAACTTACATCTTGCTCTTGCACAATTGGCTCCTCTGATATTATTTGTATATTTTTCAGTTTTCTTTGGATTGCTTCATCAATTTTGATGATCATTATTTTCAAATATTTGTTTGTTTTTTTCTGGAAATACATCGGCAAACTTTGTCTTTTCTAGAAAAAAAAATGAATGATTTTTGTTTCATTTCTCTCCAACTTGGGAAAAATTTCATCGGCAAAATGCCACGTTTGAAGTTTCCCATATTTTTCGAACACCACGTCACAACTAAAAAAATAATTCATTTCTGCAAAAACTTCAAAAAAAATTTATTTCAACATTCAAAGGTGGAGTGCGATCTAAATACAAGTTCTCCTCATTCCCGGGTTCTTGCTTCACTTAGAGAACACCCGCTAGTCCAGGCATGTTCATTTTGCCTGCCTGCTTTTCGCCCGGCGAAGTTTTGTGCAGGCGTGCCTTGCCTCGCCTACGATTCAAAAAACACGCCTCGCCTTCGCCTGCCTTCGCCGCGGCGAGAAAACGCGTGTGTGTTGTCTGTTTCATGAAGAAACGTATTTTATTTGCATAAAAAACGATTAATTGGCAAATTTCACTCATATTTTATACGGCGTCCAAGTGAAAAAAAACGTTTGTAGAACTACGTAGGTGCTCGCCAAAAAGTGTTCAAATTGAAAAATTACGAGCCCAGAAAGAATTTTCAAGTGTCATATGTGTTTTTAGGGCATTCTGAAGTGAATTACTGAAAATCCATGTTGATATGAGCAATCGTTCAAAAAAGAATGGTTTCATTTGGACACTCTCTAACGCGTCATCGCGTAGGTTTTTAACACCTGGACGCCGTATTAACGTTATGTGCTAAGATTGCTTCTGAAACACATTATTAAGGTTAAAGAAGTGAAGAAAAGAATCATTTTCACTGAAAACCTATTTTTTTCACCCAATTTGTGAAAAAATGTATTTATAAACATTCAATTTCAGCAAAATGTTTTTGTAAACTTAGAAATAAAAATATATCGCCTTACAGTGAGAACATTTTAACGATCTGTTTTCCATCTAAAAATAACTGTTTCTTTTCCATATATACTTTTTAGTGAAAACTAAAGCAAAATCTTGATTGAAAATGTTGCTAATAGGTAGCTGAAACCCCGCCGACAACCGAATTTATGAAAAAATCGAAGAAAATTAAAGCTAGTCTCACTTGCAAAATGCAACTCGCCCGGCGAATCGCCGGCTTCGCCTCGCCTTGTTCGTTGAAAAATAAAAAAGAGAACAAAAGCAAACAGAAACACCCATTCAGGTACTTAGAAGAGGGAGGCAAACGCTTTACCGAAAAGATTTTAATTTTCTGCCAAATTGACGCGCAATTGCAGACGCTTTTTAGGGTCTTCTCGCACTACACCTTTAAAAATTGAAAATTAACATCACCAGTTTCTTTATCAAAATGTGCTTTCAATCGAATTTTGTCGCGTTTCATGAGATCAGAATGGGGGAAATACACGCCTTGTTTGAAGCCTTTATTCCAGTTTGGCACATTTCCAACTGGCTGATGTGTATCATTTAGGAGTCCAGTTGATATGTTCAATTCTCCGAATTTCCAATCCATCCAAATTGGAAACCCGTTTGTTTCTCTGGAAAAAACGGGAATTTTGTAGGCTAAAAGCGTTGGGGGTTTTTTATTGATAAAAATTTATTTTTTGGAATTTACAGGAATTTATTGTTAGTGTAAATGTTTCATTATACCTTAAGCTGCTTTTAAGTGACTTTAAAATCCTTAAAATTTGAATCTAATAGAACATTTTTCAGAAATCCTTAAACATTCAGTTTATCAGCAAAAATCTAGTACTGTACCCTAATCGTGACAAGACCCATTGGATAAATTATCCCATGCTCCTTCAATTTTCGAGAACTAACCCAACAGCATTATCAAAAACAATATCACATCGTTCATCGCACAATTTCGAATTCACATCAAATTGCAATAATTCAATCACATTTCCCGTCGATTTTCCCGAATATTCCCATAATGGTTGTTCATCGATCAAAGCATCTGTAGCTTTTCGCGCTTTCGTCGAAATCTCATCAAAAAACGATAAATCGAATCCATTAACAGTTCCAACATCACTCGAGATCTTGTGCAAATCATCAAATTTCTCGGGCAACCCTTTGAGATATCCAAAACTTGGCTCAACTCTCAAACTTTCGCCCCAATATTGTCTCAGCAATTGCACATCGAAGAGGAATCTCAAATTCTGCCATGGATTCATTGCCGACATATAAAACGGCTCAGCTAGCACAATATCCGGCTGCTGCTCAATTTGTCTTAAATCCTCCAGAACTTTCACATTTTTCAAATTATAATGGCTGATATATCGTTGGAAAATCGCATGAAAATGTGGATTATTATCACAAATTGTCACACTTTTTGCGAATCTCGCCGCCAAAATTCCAATAAACGATCCTTCTCCAACAGTTACAACATGTTTATCAATCGATAATTTCCGAATTTCCTCGATAAATTGCTGATCTTCAAAAATATCATTGATGTGGAACATGGTTTGGCGAGTCGTAATTGAATGCATCATACAAGTGCAATATCCTCTATCGCATTTTCCGGAAACACTGAACCACATACTGAATTCGTCGTGTGCACAAGCGATTTTCAATTCGTCTCCTTTTTTGATGGTTTTTGAAGTTGGAAGGTAGTAAATTGCCTGCATCCAATGATCTCGCCACTGCAAAAAAAACAACTTGACTGGGAATTGGAAAGATTTTTTGTTTGGAGCACATATCACTCGCGCCTAGAGAACCTATATGTCCAGGAGCTGCGCCTAGAGAACCTAAATGTATAGCACTCGCGCCTAGAGAACCTATATGTCTAGGAGCTGCGCCTAGAGAACCTATATGTCTAGTACTCGTGCCTAGGGAACCTATACTTCTAGGACTCGCGCCTAGAGATCCTAAATATCTAGTACTCGCGCCTAGAGCACATATATTTCTAGTACTCGCGCCTAGAGAATCTATACGTCTAGGAGCTGCGCCTAGAGATCCTAAATATCTAGGACTCGCGCCTAGAGAATCTATATTTCTGGTAATCGCGCCTAGAGAGCCTAAATGTCTAGGAGCTGCGCCTAGAGAATCTATACTTCTAGGACTCGCGCCTAGAGAACCTATATGTCTAGGAGCTGCGCCTTCAACTCACCGCAAATCCAGGATTCGCCCATTTCGGCGCCATATCAATAAAATGTTTTCCCTTCCGATCCATATCCAAATTCCACCACATCAAAATCGCATCAATACTTCCATCATTTTTCACAGCCGCTTTCCTCACAAATTTCTCATCGAAAACAATTTTATCCGCATTTTCGAAATCGAATTCGAATGCGATGATTGGATCGGTGAGTTGGATGAAATCCGATGGATCGACGGCTGATAGTTGACAATCGAACACTGCTGATGTTCCCGGACAGCTTCCGAATGGATCTTTGTCTGAAGAAGGGGGAATTTTGCAGTTTAGGAAAGCCGTGAAATGATTGAAATACATTTTAAAATTGACGTAGAATAGGGGACACGTGTTAAAATTGGATTTTGAGAAAAATTCATAATTTTTTGGAGTTTCAAAAGAATTCCAGATGAGATCAAAAAATGTGAGGATTTTACAAAAAATATGTCTGCACCACACCTGACGAGACGTGTCCAAAAAGGACACTGTACAAAAATTTTCAAATCAAAATTCCCGCCCAAACCAAAATTTCGATTCGGGCGGTAAGCTAATAAAAATTTTCAAAATGTTTTTCATTTCACTGCACATTTTTTCACGAAAAAGTGAAGTGTTCATTGATTTTCAGCGGATTTTTATGAGAATATTCAAAAAAATTTAAAATTTTTCACGCTGCACAAAAATTTTGGGACACTCTCTCGCCAAATGTGGTCTGCACTCTCTCAGTTTCCCGTTTTCTCTAATCAAAAAATAATATTCTGTATATTTTTAATAGATGTTTTTCTTACAAAATATCAATCTGCATAGGCCCTTGAAAAATTTAGTAAACTTTTTTGCGTTTTTCCAAAGAGGTTCAAGTTTTGGAAGAATTTGAGATGTTGTCAAGAAATTTAAGGATTTTACTAAAAATACTGAATTTGGACCTTCCTTCAGAAAAATCAAATTTTATCCATCAATCATGAAAAACCTACCATCCTCCTCGAATCTCGGAATCCGATTAAACTTCTTCAACAATTTGCTCATCACCGGCACAATAAACACATTCCCCGTCGACGGAACAACTCGACATCCCGGCTTCGCCAACCTCTTCAACGCCTCCTTAAACGTTCTCAACGCTCCCTCGCCAATCAATTCCGTATCAAAAACCTCGGCAACAATCACATCAGCCGCTTCTCCTCCAATATCATCAACATCAGTTGATCTTTCCGATATCACTGTTATTCTATCCTTCCATTCACTATGACTTGTGATATGTCGTGCACAATCTCCCATCGGTTTGAATACTTCCAGTGCTGTCACTTTATCCGCTCCTTCTCGTGCTGCCATTAGGGATAATAATCCAGTTCCAGTTCCAATATCTAGCACATGACATCTTCCATTTTCTCGTTTCTTTTCTTCGATACAAGTCTTCAAACCTTCGAGGAACATATCATTTCGATCAAAATCCAAAATCATATCACCAAATCGAGACCTAAACATTTTTTCTGTTTTTTTCTAGCTAGAGAATCTAGAATCAATAAAAGTACCTAGCCAATTCTTGTGCCATATCATAATCCTCGTCCTTGACAACCCATTCGCGTTCCCCGGTTACATTATTGATTTTCTCCAAAAACATGTGTGCTGAAATTTGTTTGCTTTATACTCTGCTAATCTAAAACCCCCTCAAAAATATCTGAAAATAGTACAAAAACTATAAATTAGCAAAAAAAAGAAGAAAATAATTATACTTACACTATTCATCATGCAAATAAAGATATAAATACATATTTAAATATGGAATAATTTACGGGGGGATGAAAATCACAAGAAAAAAATGGGATGAGACTCTACCGTAATTTTGTGGGGGGTGAGGGAGAAAAAAGTTTGGCAATTTAAACAATTCTTCTTCTTCACAACGAGAAAAAATATTTAAAAAATAAAAAGTGATGAGTGCAATTAATTATGCGGTACGAATCTTTCCTGGAATATAGTTTTTGTCGATCGCCACTTCTTGGAGGAAAATGTGCAAAGAGCGCTCGTTTTGAGCAAGTGGATGGCCAGCAACTCTGCAAACAACAAACATTTTGGGCTTTTAATTAAATCTCATTTTTTTTCTGGTGAAAAATCGATTACGTCATCATTTTGACTTGGAAATGGACTAAATGCAAATTTTGAGCAAGTTAGTTGAAATATTGGATTTTAATCGTATTCATAGGATAGACAAGCTTCAGTCAATTCGAATAATATAAGTTTCTATGACTTTACTTATTCATAAGTGATTTAACGGCTTTTAGTCGATATTCAGTTTATGGATAAGGTAAAGTCATAGAAACTAATAACATACCTTATCCATAAGCTGAATATCGACTAAAAGCCGCTAAATCACTTATGAATAACGTAAAGTCTAATATCATTCGGATTGTCTTAAGCTTTTCTATCCTATAAACACGATTAAAATCCAATATTTCAACTATCTTGCTCAAAAAACATGAAAATGTATCTCTAAAATCCGATAAAAAACAAACTTGTTGATAAATGTTTCCAATGCCTTCCTGCGATTCTCAATAAACTCCTCCTCAAAAATTCCGTCATCCGAACGGAATGGAAGTTGTCGTTTCAACGATTTTCCGGGCAATTGTGGAACAACAATCTGCAAAAAAAAACTACATTTTCCCTGGTTTTCAGAATTTTTCGGCTCACTTTACTATCTCTTTCCAATTCTCCGCGAAGCCACTCAAAATCGCTATATCTTCTGCGAACATTCGATTCTTTTTGTTTGAAAACTGGCAAATTTGACTGCAAAAAATCCAGCAAAATTTCATGATTTTCTCACCATTTTTCAACTCACTCTCATACGAATTTCATAATCAGTATAGCGCATTTTACCAACTCCATGTGTAATCGGATTAACGACTTCAATTTCCAGAAAATTTGCAGGTGGAGCATAAGCTTCGTCCAAAGTTTGTCGTTTTGATGGAATACGTTGAGTTGCTGCAGCCATTTCTACAATTTTATCACTTTTTCTATGCTATTATAATAAAAGTTGAAAGTAATTTGATACTTTTTGGATCAATAATAATATAAACAAACGGCAAAAATCAATTTCAATGAAAAATTGGAACTTTGTTAATCAGCAAGCAGAATCAGGTTTCGAAAGAACCGAAACGCAAAAAACGAAAATAAGAAAGTGTGCAAACACCGACACATAGTTTTGTTTACCGTAATCTTTAATGGTGTGCGGAATCACATGAATTTTTTCAGAAGCAGAGAAGTCATTCTAAAATTTAAAATATTTCGAAAAAATTTCACAATTTATCGCTCTCAATTAAAGTCTCAAAGAAAAAAATTCGAAAAATTTATTTGACATGAATGAAAAAAAGAGCAAAAGCTCAAAAAAAAGAGCACAATAAAAAAGAAAAAAATTATTGTACAAGAAAGCGAAAAATCCTCATTTTTTGGATTTCTCGCAAGCTTCATTGAATTTCGCGGCAGCTTGTCTCCATGCCGAAATATCGAAATTCTCTCGCCAAACATTGGTGAACGAGTCGATTGCAGTTGACCATTTCGGAAGTTGTGAGCAAGATGGGATGTTCAAATAGTCTTTGACGATTTCCATAGCTGGATCACGCAATTTGTTTCGTCTCTTGATGTCGACATCTAACGAATAGTCTCCAAGTTCCGAGCCAACGACTTTGCTATAAGTTCCAGAAATAAGAACAGTCATTGTTGCAGCATAACCAAAGAAATCTGGTTGATAAGTCCAGCCGCGACCATCCTTAAAAATCATTATCTTAAAAATAAATCAATAATCAAAAAAACATACAATCATTTCCGGACAATCAAATCCTTCAGTTCCAGCTCGTCCCTTGAATTCTCTCTCCTTCAATCTCGACATATCAATCGCTCTTCCCCAATCAATCAATTTCACAACAAACACATCGGTTCCCATCAATTTATCCGCTTCCCAACCCATATCAATTTTCCGTGTAATCATAAAATTGTCCGGTTTGATATCACCATGAACAATTCCGCATTCGTGAACTTGTTCGAGAATTTTGGCGAGTTGAACAAGCAAAAAGCAAGAGATATGCCAATTTGGATCTTTCGAATTGTTGATGTTGTCGAGAAGACTTCCAAATTCATGATATTCGTTGACGAGAAGTGAAGCATTTGAGAAAATGTAGGCGTCAGTGACTTGCATAATACATTGATTGGCAATAATCTGCGTGGTCAAATCATTTCTTGCCAACAATCGAGTTCTCATTTGATCGCAAATGTAAACTTCCCAAGCACACGATGGAATCTCGTACTGAAATAATTCACCAATTAACTATCTTATTAATAATTTGATTAATTACCTTGACCGCCACCATTTTCTTTTCCTCTGTAATTGCCTTATACACCTTTGCATATCCACCTTGTCCGAGAAGAGTTCGAATATCATAAGTCTCACCGCCAGCTTCAAACGATTTCATGGCAAGGATTTTCGGGCTAATCGTCTCGAATTCGTGCATATTTGTTGGAGTTGGCACAACTCGCATGATTCGAGCCCGCAAATTCTCATCCCATGGATTGTTTTCTTGTCGAATCACCTCACTTCTTCGTCGATCTTTTCGCCCAGTTTCTTCAACTTCGACCGGTGCAGCTTCAACCAATTTGTTCGCCATTTCTTCAGGTCCAAGTGACAAGCGTCTTCCAAGTTGTTCGGAAAGCGATTCATCAAATGGCGTTGGTTTCGTTTCGACTTCAACTTGTTTTGCTGGTGCCGTCGATTTTCGACGATTCAATCGATTTTGAAGGATTCCTGTTGCATCAGGAATAACAAATTGCGGTCGTTCTTCTTGTGGTTTTTCAATATTTTGAGTGTTTCCAAAATAATCCTCCACATTCACAAATGGAATATGAGCTGCTGGTGTTGATGTGATAACATTTCCAGGTGTAAAACCAACAATCAATGAATCATCCCAATCTAAAAAAAAATAATTATCATTGTTCAAAATCTTTTGGATTATTTAACTTACACTTTTCAGTTGTTTTTGTGCTCGGTGGAGTATTGTATGAAGCATCATCCATGGCTCCAACTTCAACAACTGGTTTTGGCTTCAAAACTTCTTGATGTTCCGGTGATTGCTCATCATATCGCATATTCAAACCACGTGGAACATCTTCCGAATTCACAGCATTTGAATGAACAACAAAGGTTGGATCAGGATCACAATAAACTGAAAAATCAGTTGTAACATTTTGAGTGGATGCCAAACTCTTCAAATCTTCCATCATTGTATGTTCTTCATGCATCATAGTTCTTTCTTTTCCAATGTGAACAGTGTCCGAAAATGCGGCATGTGCCTCCAAACAATTATTTTCGGCCAAAATATCAAGACCAACGTTGGATTTTTGAGAACGTGTCGATTTTTCAGACTCTGAACTTGTTCTTTCTTTTCGTCCACTTTCCATTTCTCTCAATTTTTCATTATTATCCTTCTCAATTTCGCCAAACGATTCATTATCAAATGCGCTGAGTTTGGTGTCGGAAGAAAGAGTGATTGTGGTGGGTGGTTTTTCGTTGAGAAATGAAGCATTTCGAAGTGGCACTCGAATCGCATCTTTGGTTGCAACAATTGGTGAATAAATTCGAGATTTTTTCTCCGAATCCGCCTCATCTGATGTGTTTCGTTCTTCATCGACAATCGAGAGTTGACGACGACGATTTTCATTTTTGACAATCGAAAAATCAGCAGTTTTATTGTTTGGAACAATATGAGTTTCTTCGTCCATCTCAATATCCATCTCATCACCCGCCACATCATTGAGGAGTGCAAATCGAAACTCTTCAGGCGATGTTCCAAATCCATTTTCGCCATCCAAAAATTCACTTCTCAGTAAGCTTTTTGCTGAAAAAAACAATAATTTAGTTTCCAGCACAAACACAAAACACCTACTTTTTGGTCCGAAAAAGTTCTTCTTGGTCGGATCAACAACTGGGCAACCTCTTCTCAACATATTTATCGATGATCTTCGTCGATTTTTGGGTTTTCCAATGTAACGAGAATCGAAGATTGCCATTGTGTTATCAGGGTCGAGGAATAGATAATCGACATCGTCTTTGAAATATGAATCGGCAAGATCGCGGAACCCAGCTTCGATTTTGTTGTTCGCCATTGTGGACTTCAATCTGTCCCGAGCAAGATCAAGAACATGTTTGAACTTCTCCAGATTGTTCGCCTTTCCATATTGTTCAGCCCATTGTAGATGGAATTTGAGCGACTTCTCGAAATATCCTTTCTTCTCGATTTGCTCATAAACTCCAGTTGCTCCAAGTCGTTGACTGCAACCAGCGAGAAGATTGTAGATGCGCAAGACCTCTTCATTCACACGAATTTCATGGAATTTTCTGTCACTCAAAATTGAAGTGAACACTTTCAAAATGTTCGATTTCATCTCGTCGGATGGAATTCTCGACGCCATCATTTCCACTTGTGTTGCGAATCCAATGAAAACCTCCATGGTTGGGTTTTCCAACAAGAATTTGAAAGCCACATCGAAATCCGACATTTTGGTTTTTCGATTATTATCTGAAATGAGGCAACGTTTTTATACGGCAGCGTAGAAGATTTATGCGTGAAATAATTATATCTAGAACACGCACTACTCGAAGTGCGTTGGTGGGGATTTTCCGATGGAAAATAGGAGAAATGTGGTGAAAAAGCGCGGTCTATCTACAGTATTCGGCTCATCGTGGTGGGACCCGTTTATCGCAAAGAACAACAGAGTTCCGTATTTCGATTCAATTCAATGCGCAACGATCAGAAGAAAACGGTCTTCACAAGATAAGAATCAACATTTTTCAGAAATATTCTCGAAAGAAGCAAAAAAGCACGCGCGCGTTGCTCGAGAAACAAAAAAAACAAAACAGCTGTGTTTTGAATATTTTAGACGCGCGGGAAACTTTGTGTGGCCTAGAAATTTGGATTTCTAGGCCGCACAGTTTCTTTTTTGAATTTTTGTTTTTTTTTTTGCTCTTTTTCGCGGTTTTTTCGTGTTTTGTTTGCTCATACAACCCCATTCAAAATATTTAAATTTCCAGTAGAAACAAGAATGCAACACGATTTTGTAGTTGGTGAGATTGTTTGGGCAAAAATGAAGGGTTTCCCTCCGTGGCCGGCCAAAATTGTCGGTGATGTTCCTTCGAAAAACAAGAAAAGTGTGCTGTTTTTCGGAACAAATCAAACGTATCAATGCCCATTGGCGAATATCAGTGATTATTTCGAGAAAAAGGATGAATATGAGGTGACAAGAAGGAATAAGGAATTTCAAAAAGCTATTGAACATTTGAAAGAAGAATTGAAAAATGGGACGAAAAAAGCAGAACCTGAAGAGATTTTGATACTTGATGAAGAACCAGATGAGATAATTGAAGAAGTTCGTCAAGAAGTTATTGTTGAAGAAATTCCAAGCACATCAAATCACCATACGCCAGATTCAGAACCTGAGCCAGAAATTATCTGCCAAGAACCGAAAGAAGAAGAGTTCATAGAAAGTAACGAGATAGAAAATAATGAAGAGGAAGAAGAAAAAATTGAGAACACCCCACAAGAAGTTGTTCAAAAGCGTCGACGATCTGAAACTCCCTCAAAAGCTCCATCTCAAAAACGAAGAAGTTTGGGATATGCAGGAAGAAAAGGCGAAAACGATTCAGCATGTGTTAGGAAAGGATTCATCAGCCCGTTTTCCAATATTGAAAAAACTCCGCCAAAGGGTTTGAGGAAACGAAAGAAGGCTCCGCCACCGGTTGAACCTCCAATTTCGATTCAAGAAACGACGCCTCTCAGATTTGTCGTAGGTTTTTTTTAATTAGAGGAGAATAATTAATAAAAAAATTATAGAATATTCAACAATTCAATAATCGATTGTCAAGCGAAGCTTCGGATCACAATGCAATGATTCAAAAATTGCTTTCAAGAAAATTCAGTATCCCAATGGAAGGTTATATGTGTAAGTTTTCATCATCAAGAAGATTTTCCACAAAAAAATGTATAATTTCAGTGTCTGGTCGAAGCCTTGGACTTGGAGGAAGTCGTCGAAAATGTGCTCTTTTCGATCCGTATCATGAAAACGCAGTGATTCTCTACGCGCCTCTTCAAATATCCGAACATGCGCAACTCAAAGATGACAAAGATCGAAAAGTGCACGTTGTTGTCGATCCGGTGCTCGGAAAAATTCTTCGACCACATCAAAGAGATGGTGTAAAATTCATGTATGATTGTGTAACTGGTTTGAACATTGAAAACTATTTCGGATGTATTATGGCTGATGAAATGGGTTTGGGTAAAACACTGCAATGTATCACGCTTTTATGGACATTGTTGAGACAAAGTCCGGATGCTTGTCCGACTTTGTCGAAATCGATTATTGTTTGTCCGAGTAGTTTGGTGAAGAATTGGGATAAAGAGATTAAAAAATGGCTTGGAACACGGGTGAATGCAATGCCTGTTGATAGTGGAAAACGCGAATTGATTATTCAATGTTTGAGTGGGTTTCTTATGGGAATAATTTTTAATTTTTTGAATAATTTTTTGTAACAAAAAACATAAATTTCCCTGCGCAGAAATACGTCGAAAAAACAAAAGATACAGTTTATTATTTTCGAGTGGAGACAACACAAAATTGAGAGAGTGCAGACAAAATCATTAAATTCTGTCTGCACTCTCTCAATTTCGTGTTGTCTCCACTCGAAAATAATAAACTGTAAATTTTGTTTTTTGACGTTTTTCTGTATGTTTTTTATCACAAAATAGTATTCTGCATAGGCCCATTAGAAAATGAAATTATGAGCATTTAGGCTAATTAATTATTCCCCTTACAAGAGAACTGTTTCAATCGAGATTTTTTATGAACTATATATTTTCTATGAGTTTTCGACCCGCTGATCACAATTCCCTTATCTAAAACTACAAAACTCAACTCCTACCATGAGTTATGACGTGGCACATTTCGAAAAGTTGCGACTTTGAGAGGTCAAAACTCGCTTTCAAAATGATTTTCATGAAAATCTGATTCACACCTCGGCCAAAATCGTGGTTTTCACAATAGAAAATTGTACGCTGATTTTTTACAGTACAAATATTGTGAATTTTTCAGTTTTGACCTCTCAAAACTGAAATTCAGATTTTTCCAAAAATTGTACTCTGGCCAGCCACGGCTTGGCCGAGGTGTGACTGCAAGCCAAACTCGATTTTTGATCGAAAAATCAATGGAATTCGCCTACTTTATATAAATTTTCATAAAAGTCTGGACGAAAATCGCCTACTTTAACAGAAAAACCAGAATTTTAACCTACTCGTCTCAATTTCCACCAAAAAAGCACCATTTCCCACCTACTTTTCGTCAAAAAATTCAAAAAATCTCCACCGTAAGAAAAATCTTATTTTTCAAAGTGAGATTTTCCAAACAACCAACAGTTCAAAACAAAAATGAAAAAATGCGAAAAAAAGAAAAAAACATCGGCTATCCCGGATGTTCGAAGCGCACTGGTGCTGAAAAGCACTGGCACTAAAAGCGCACTTGGTGCCTCGAATGAGCGTCAGTGCCGAAACGCACTTTTTAGAACTTGCAGCAAAACAGAACCACAATAAGAACGAAATGAAAGGTCGCCTCCAGATGGCATGTGCCAGAGGTTTCCTAACATCTCATATAATACCGTGGGGCGAAACAGAGAGAAGCGGGCAAAAATATAATCACAGAAATATGTCACATATTTCTGTGATTATCTAGAAGAAGAGATCCGCAACAGAACCACAGTAATAAGAAAGTGATAGTTCCCCTCTAACCGCCATTTGCTAGAGGTTTCCTAACACCTCACATATTACTGTGGGGCGAGAGAGAGATCAGAAGCGGCGAAACCCAGGGCTGCTCAAATTTTCAGGTTTTTTAAGAAAGTGATTTGAAATATTGGATTTTAATTTTATTCGATAGAATAGTCTAAGACGAACAGAATGATATAAATTTTGATGAATTCACGTTATCCTTAAGTGATTTAGCGACGTTTAGTCTATATTTAGTCGATAAGCCGAGTCAATCGACTAAACGTCGCTTAATCACTTATGGATAACGTAAAGTCATCAAAATTTATAACATTCTGTTCGTCTTAGACCATTCTATCATATGAATAAAATTAAAACCCCATATTTCAACTAACTTTCTTAAAAACACTGAAAATGTCATTTAGACGATGTCAAACTATACAACTAGGTCACAATTTTTCGATATTTGAATTTATTGAAATCACACCGGAAAAAGCGTGACCTAGTTATTCAACAGGATTTAAAAAACGAAAAAAAAGACCCCACTTCCAGGTTTTTGGCAAGTGGGAATTTGAGCAGCCCTGGCGAAACCACAGAAATATGTGAGAATCAGAGATCTCACATATTCCTGTGGTTCAGAAAAAGAGAGAGAGAGCATCCGACTCACGTTTTTCCTCGAGCGGCTAGCGGAGACAGCTACTAAGTAGAATACTGTAGAAATATTAGGGAAGAAGTGAGTAACCACCTTTCTGACTGTTGCTTATATAGCATTTTTGAGAGATTTTATCATCACGTGTGTGTCACGTGGATAATATAAAACCCTTTTTTCTATTTTTTATTTTGAAAAAAAATTTAGAAAATTCAAATCATTACAAAAATTATGCGTGAAACGCGTGAAAAAAATGGCGAGGTAAGTGGAAAATCAAATCAGTACTCGTTTTGACAAATCAAATTAACTGCATGGAATAATCGATTATCCAAATCGCCCAAAAACTACAAATTATTCATGAATTTGTATGATAACAGAAGGGCTCCGCCGGCTCCTCCTTCTGGATTGTCCCGGTTTCGCGCGTAGTTTTCTTTAGGTAAAAAGTGTTTTAATGGTTTGATTATCGAAAACCATTCTAAAAGTTATGAAATGAATTTCGATCCAAAACACACCTCGGCCACAATCGTAGTTTCCACAATAAAAAATTGTTCGCTAATTTTTTACGGTACAAAAATTCTGAATTTTTCAGTTTTTGTCCTCTAAAATTTGTGATATATCAATTTTTGACCTCTAAAAACTGAAATTCAGATTTTTCAAAAATTGTACTCTGGCCAGCCACGATTTTGGCCGAGGTGTGAATCAGATTTTCAAGAAAATCATTTTTGAAAGCGAGTTTTGACCTCTCAAAGTCGCAATTTCTCGAACTTTGCCACGTCATAACTCATGTTAGGTGTTGAGTTTTGCAGTTTTAGATAAGGGAATCGTGTTGAAAACTACTAGAAAACATATTACATAAAAAATCTCGATTGAAACAGTTCCATTGTCAAAACACACACTGATTCCTACTTTTCAGCATCTTTCATGGCTGACACCAAACTTCGCGCAGCAATTCCCGTTCTAATCATCTCCTATGAAACTTTTCGACTTTACGCCAATATTCTACACTCTGGCGATGTTGGAATTGTGATTTGTGACGAAGGACATCGCTTGAAAAATAGTGAAAATTTGACATATCAAGCATTGAGTGGATTGAAATGTCAGAGAAGAGTGTTGATTTCTGGAACACCGATTCAGAATGATCTTCTGGAATATTTCAGTTTGGTGAATTTTGTGAATCCAGGACTTCTTGGAACGGCCAATGAATTTAGGAAGAAATATGAGAATGCGATTTTGAAGTTAGTTTTATTTTTTTTTTTTTGGAATCTGGGGCAGGCTTGTGCGGAAAATGAAAATTCGTTTTCCGATTTTCCGACTTTTTGGGAAAATTTCGGAAAGCTTCTGGTCGGAAAATAATTTTTCCGAAAATCTATTTTCCCCACAAGCCAGATTCTGGGGAGTTCAAAATAAAAATTATAAAATTTTTTCAGAGGTCGTGATGCAGATGCTTGCGCAGATGACCAGAAAAAAGGAGAAGAAAAAACGAAGGAAATGATTTCGCTAGTCGAAAAATGCATAATTCGTCGAACATCCGCATTGCTCACCAAATATCTTCCCGTTAAATACGAACATATTCTTTGCTGTAAAAATTCGACACTTCAAGAAACACTTTATAATAAATTGACGGAATGCGAGAAACAGAATCGATTGATTGAAAAAGATGCGAATAAGGGAGCGACTGCTTCAGCATTATCTTTTATTACACATTTGAAGAAGTTGTGCAATCATCCGACTTTGGTTTATGAGGAACTTTTGAAGCCTGAAAATCGGTTCAGTAAAAGTGGGTTGAGTTGTTTTCTGAAATTTCAGAACTCAACTTCTAAAATGAGTTATGACGTGGCAAAGTTCGGGACTTCAGCTTCAAAAATTATTTTTCGTAACTCTCAAATACATAATTTCGTTTTTGAAGCTAGTTCTAAAGTCCTGAACTTTGCCACGTCATAACTCATTTTAGAAGAAGAGTTTTGCAATTTGAGAAAGTCAAAACCTACTAGGAAACATATATTATATTAAAATTCCAGGGTGAATGTTGAAACAGTTACCTACCTTGTTAAATTGAAATGGAATTGCTCAGAGAAAGTATGGCTTGAACGGCGCGGTCCGCGGACGATTTTTCACCGATTTTTTGGTGAAAATCATTACGCGGATTCCGCGAAAAATTTCGCGGACAGCGAAACTTCAGCCAATGAGAGTCTAATTTCGCGCATTCCGCGAAATTTTTTGACTCGGAAATTTGATTTTTTTGCGTTTTTCGCGGATTCGCGGATGGACTCGAGAGGGAGGGTTTAAAAAGGATAAATTGTATCGCGTACGCGACAACGAGGATAGCGCAGCAAGGAAGATGGATGACTACAAAACGAGAGGATTGGGATCGATGCCGGGTTGGAACTACAAGTCAATACTAACTTCTGATAATTATCAGGGGTAGTGAAGCATTTTTATATTTCGAGAGTGCATTGCGCGGACGTTTCGCTAACAGCGGAGTATAATTTCGCGGACGTTTCGCTAAAGTTCTTGTGTCAGCCGCGGATTGGCAGATTTCTGGGTTTCGCGAACCGCGCCGTTCAAGCCAGACCTTTTCTGAGTGAAATCAAAATTATTTATTAAAATTTCAGGAAATCCAATTTTTGAAACGTAAAAAATCCTGGGAAAATTTGGATCATTTTTTAAATTTAAGTGAATTTTTAACACAATGCATTGCTCATGTTAAGGAATTTACAAGTTAAGAATTTTAAGAATTTTTATTAGGAAGTTTCGAAATCTGCCAAAACCTCATATTTTTCAGAATGTCTTGGATTATTCCCCGAAAACTTCAATCCAAAATCATTCGACCCCTCATTTTCGGGAAAAATGAAAGTTCTCGACTACATTTTGGCGGTCACTCGAAAAACCACCGACGATAAATTTGTGCTCGTCTCAAACTACACACAAACAATCGATCAATTTATGGAATTGTGCAAACTTCGAGGATACGAATATGTTCGATTGGATGGTTCGATGTCAATTAAACAAAGATCGAAAATTGTCGACACTTTCAATGATCCACAAAGCTCGGTGTTTTGTTTTTTGTTGTCGTCGAAAGCTGGAGGATGTGGACTTAATCTGATTGGAGCAAATCGGTTGGTTTTTCTTGATTTTTCTTCAATTATTAAAAAAAATATTAATTTTATTCCAGATTAGTAATGTTTGATCCTGATTGGAATCCAGCAAATGATGATCAAGCAATGGCGAGAGTTTGGAGAGATGGGCAGAAAAAGACGTGTTTTATCTACAGATTATTGGCGACTGGTTCAATTGAGGAGAAGATGTTCCAAAGACAAACGCATAAAAAAGCGTTGTCATCTTGTGTTGTAAGTTTTTGAAATTTCAAAAATGCTCCAGATTGTCTCATGAAATAGGGATTTTTTCCGCGAAAAAATCAAAAATCCTATTTATTTTTCACCTTGGAAAATATACATTTCAATGATTTTTTAATGACAATTTTTCAATGAATGTTTCGTTTCCGCATCAAAAATATCATTGCGCTCGTAATAAAATATTTCACAACTCACAATTCAATTTTCAGATTGACGCTGGCGAAGATGTGGCTCGACATTTCAGTTCCGAACAACTCAAAGAATTGTTCAAACTAGAGTCTAGTGTCGCATCTGATACACACGAAAAATTGAAATGTAAAAGATGTATTCAAGGAGTCGAAAGTTTGGATCCACCAATTGGCGCGGATTGTGCAAGCGATTTGTCCAACTGGTTTCATTCGCAGAAAAATGCGCGCAAAGTTGCAGATAATGTTCTTCGAGCGGTTTTTGAATGCGGATCCATCTCTTTTGTTTTCCATCAAAAATCACATAATGTGAGGGTTTTTTTGTGGAAAAATTGATCCATTGCCTAAAGGCTGAAAATTCTTATCCCAATTTTTTTCAATAAAATTTGTATGTTTCAAAATTCTTTCAGGTCGAAGTCAAATCGGTTGAGAAGAAACAAGAGGAAGCGGACGATGATTATAAACCTTCGGAAGACGAAGAAGACGAGTAGATTTAGATATTTTTTATTTATTGTTTGTTATTTATTTTTAGCTTGTAAATATACGAAATCAATGTGAAATGTCAAAGAAAAGAATTTTTATCAAGAAAATATGGAAGAGGAAAATTTGAATGTTTTGAAAAAAAATTTCTAATCATTACCGTATCTCCGCTCTAGGACCACACCTCGACCAAGCCGTGGCTGGCCAGAATACAATTTTTTGAAAAATCTGAATTTCAGTTTTTAGAGGTCAAAAACTGAAAAATCACAATTTTTGTACTGTAAAAATTTAGCGTACAATTTTTTATTGTGGAAACCACGATTTTTGCCGAGCCGGCAGCCGAGGTGTGTTCTGGATCGAAATTCATTTCATAACTTTTAGAATCGTTTTCGATAATCAAACCGTTAAAAAACTTTTTACCTAAAGAAAACTACGCGCAACAATTTGTAGTTTTTGGGCGATTTGGATAATCGATTATTCCATGCAGTTGATTTGATTTGTCAAAACCAGTACTGATTTGATTTTCCACTGACCTTGCCATTTTTTTCACGCGTTTCACGCATAATTTTCATAATGATTTGAATTTTCTAATTTTTTTTTCAAAATTAAAAAAAGGGTTTTATATTATCCACGTGACACACACGTGATGATAAAATCTCTCAAAAATGCTATATAAGCAACAGTCAGAAAGGTGTTTACTCACTTCGAAAATTTCTTTCCTAATATTTCTACAGTATTCTACCTAGTAGCTGTCTCCGCTAGCCGCTCGAGGAAAAACGTGAGTCGGGTGCTCTCTCTATTTTTCTACCCACAGGAATATGTGAGATTTTTGATTCTCACATATTTCTGTGGTTTCGCCAGGGCTGCTCAAATGGGTAGGAAATTTCCACTTGCCAAAAACATGGAAGTGGGGTTTTTTTTTCGTTTTTTAAATCCTGTTGAATAACTAGGTCACGTTTTTTCCGGCGTGATTTCAATAAATTAAAATATCGAAAAATTGCGACCTAGTTGTATAGTTTGACTACGTCTAAATGACATTTTCAGTGTTTTTAAGCAAGTTAGTTGAAATATTGGGTTTTAATTTTATTCATATGATAGAATGGGCTAAGACGAACAGAATGTTATAAATTTTGATGAGTTTACGTTATCAAAAAGTGACTTAGCGACGTTTAGTCGATTGACTCGGCTTATCGACTAAATATAGACTAAACGTCGCTTAATCACTTATGGATAACGTGAATTCATCAAAATTCATATCATTCTGTTTGTCTTAGACCATTTTATCGTATGAATAAAATTAAAATCCAATATTTCAAATCACTTGCTTAAAAAACCTGAAAATTTGAGCAGCCCTGGGTTTCGCCGCTTCTGATCTCTCTCTCTCGCCCCACAGTAATATGTGAGGTGTTAGGAAACCTCTAGCAAATGGCGGTTAGAGGGGAACTATCACTTTCTTATTACTGTGGTTCTGTTGCGGATCTCTTCTTCTAGATAATCACAGAAATATCTGACATATTTCTGTGATTATATTTTTGCCCGCTTCTCTCTGTTTCGCCCCACGGTATTATATGAGATGTTAGGAAACCTCTGGCACATGCCATCTGGAGGCGATCTTTCATTCCGTTCCTATTGTGGTTCTGTTTTGCTGCAGGTTCTAAAAAGTGCGTTTCGGCACTGACGCTCATTCGAGGCACCAAGTGCGGTTTTAGTGCCAGTGCTTTTCAGCACCAGTGCGCTTCGAACATCCGGGATAGCCGATGTTTTTTTCTTTTTTTTTTGCATTTTTTCATTTTTGTTTTGAACTGTTGGTTGTTTGGAAAATCTCACTTTGAAAAATAAGATTTTTCTTACGGTGGAGATTTTTTGAATTTTTGACGTAAAGTAGGTGGGAAATGGTGATTTTTTTGGTGGAAATTGAGGCGAGTAGGTTGAAATTCTGGTTTTTCTGTTAAAGTAGGCGATTTTGGTCCAGACTCCGATTTTTCTTGAAAATTTACATAAAGTAGGCGAATTCCGTAGATTTTTCGGTTAGAAATCGGAATTTCAATGAAAATTCACATAAAGTAGGCGAATTCCGTAGATTTTTCGGTTAGAAATCGGATTTTCAATGAAAATTTACATAAAGAAGGTGAATTCTGTTGATTTTTCGATCAGAAATCGAGTTTGGCTTGCAGTCCCACCTCGGCCAAGCCGTGGCTGGCCAGAGTACAATTTTTGGAAAAATCTAGGACCCAATTCGAAACGTGTGCTTTTTATTTGGAAACATTTTTGTATTTCGACAAAATTTGATTTTCAACTTTGAAATTGAAGCTGGAATGTTTCGAGGATTGGAATTTATTGTGGCACCGTAATTTCTGCAGATCTGAAGCTTGAGAGCTTTGAAAAATATGATTTTTGAACAAAAACGCTAGAAGGAGGAAAATTTGAATTTTTTGAAAAAAAAAACGTTTATTACCGTATCTCCGCTCTAGGACCCAATTCGAAACGTGTGTTTTTTATTTGGAAACATTTTTGTATTTCGTCAAAATGTTGATTTTGGACTTAAGTTAAAGGGGGGGTAAGACGACAAAATTTTATTTGCTCAATGAATCGGGCTCCCTTTGAATAGTAAAAGCCCCAGGGGATTTTTTCTCGAAAGGCCTAAAAAGGTCCGAAAAAATATTCCATGAACTTTTTTCAACGTATAGCTATACGTTGTCCCAAAGTTTATGGAATAAATTCAACGTATAGCTATACGTGGTACCTAGTTTATGGAACATTTTTTCTGGGCGTTTCCAGAAAAAATCCCTTGGAGGTTTTACTACTTTTGGGGAGCCTTTAACTTTGCGACAAAAAAAATTTGTCGTCTTACCCCCCCTTTAATTTTCTGAAGCTTGACAACTTTGAAAAATATGATTTTGAACCAAAAATGCTTCAAGACCCGATATGAGTCAGGTTTGCGCCTTGAAACAAGTATACGGTAGTCACGTGATTTTTTTCAATCCGCGCAGAGTCTAGACCACCAATTATTTTTTTTCGCATTCAAAACTCCAAATTCCCCGCAAAACAACACAATGTCTGCACTTTCGTTTCTCTCACGCACTCTCCCCTCTCGCCACACTATTTCGGTTGTCTTGTTTTTTCTCCATTTTTATTTTTATTCCACTTGCTCACCACACACAACCACATATCGATTAATAATTGTCAAAGTTTTGATTTCAGCGGGTCCTGGAATAGCAGAAGAAGACATCGACCATCGGATGAGTGTGACGACGCACATTGTCGAAGTGATTCGACAAGGAATATGGGCGTCATTGACTGGAGGATGGTGGGACTTATTTATTTGGTTTTATGAATTAATATGAGAAATAAAATCTTTTAGGTATTATGAGCCAGGCTATTCGATGTTCACAAATACGGTTCATTTATATGTTTGGTTGTTATTAATGCTTTTCCCATTGTTAATGGGTGTTTTTGCTTCTGGAGTTTTATCGATTCCACTTCTTGTTGGTTATACTGGATTCATTGTATTTATTTTCACACTCATCAAATTAGCCGTTTCATATATGCATTTGATTTTCGACACAACTGATCCAATTGTTGATACGAAAACAATCAATGACTCGATTGAGGAAATCTATCGGGATAGTGAACGTTAGTTTGTATTTTTATTGATGATAAACTATTAAAAACCTTGTAGAACAAGCCACTGATATCGAGATGATAGAATTGCGAGATATGGGCTTGACAATGCGCGGATCCGACAGATCTTTTGGCCCGAGACACTGGCCGGGTGATCAATCTTCAACAACAACTACAACAACAAATCGGAGAAGAGGAGCTGGTGGAACATCTTGTGAAACATCGAGGAGGGTTCGAATTGAAGAAGAGCAAGAGGAGGATAATGAGGAGAAAGAGGATGATAATGATACAATTGATGGGATGAAAGTTATAAGACCGGATGATGTTAGGAATATCAGACAAAGATCTGAACCCAATATTTTGCAAGCGCATGATCCAACTGATGGTGAGAGATTTTTGGAATATAGTCAATAAACTAATTTTTTTTTTGTTCAGTTCGTCGTCGATCTTCTGAACCAGCGATCCAATTCATGATCCAAATGGAAGATCAACCAATTCCTGTGGCACCTAAACCGAAAGTAGAACCATCTTCAGTTCCAACTCGCCGACGAACATCTCGAAGGAGGTCGTCGACTGGGACAACTGCAAGTTCTTCGTCTCGTCGAAGAGCACATCGACGAGCTGGATCACCGGCTGTATTTGCAGGAAGTTTGATCAGAAATTCACAAGAATCTTCGAGAAGTATGCCATCATCGATTGGTTTCACACCAGTTGTTGTTTCTCTGGGAAGCGCTGGAAATGAATTGGAACGACCGACAACGTCGAGATATTCAGCTGATGATGCTGAAAATGGATCCGATATTAAAGTCGAAATCACCAAGTTCCTCGAAGAACTCATCGACAAGCATCCTGAAACATTGGATGCTATCGAAAGTGTTCGAATGAGTCGACTTGGTCGACTTCGACAATCGCAGGAGACATTGCAACGGCATTCGGATAATTCGCAAGGATCGCCGTCGGCTGGATTGATGTTTGGTGTTCCAAATGCGTTGAGAAATGTTGCGTGAGTTTTTTTTGTTGAAAAATTGAATAAACTTTTGACAAAACATACCAAATCGACCATGCTGATCACGTCAAAAATTGCCACAAATTTTTGTGAGCACTTTTCTGGAGCTCTAAAGTCGAAATCGAATTTTTGGTTTTCACCATGTTCCTGGATGAAAAATCAACTTTTTCAATATAGATAATGTTGTTCAGCACATTTGAAAAGATTATGGTTTTTAGCTTCTGCTTTATCTTTTCTGATAAACTTAACAAGGAAAGTGTGTTATGAGTCCCCGGAGATTTTCACACAGTTTTTCACGCTGAGAAAGATCCCGTTTTCAGTTTTTGCTGAACGACTCTCTGAAGAGCCCAAAAATGAGCCGGAAGCTGAGAAATTCCGTGGTTTTGACAGCCCATAACTCATGTTAGAGATGATTTTTATGAAAAACTGAATGCATCACGTTGTTCAGGAGGATCAATTTACCAAAGTCAAAAGTTTTGACAAAATTTTCTGAATCTCTTTTTCTGAGCCACAAAATTTTTTTCTGAAAAAGTTTGGACTTACTAACCAAAAATTTGTGACTTTGAACAACGTGATGCATTCAGTTTTTCATAAAAATCATATCTAACATGAGCTATGGGCTCTTAAAACCACGAAAATTCTCAGCTTTTGGCTGATTTTTGGGCTCTTCAGAGAGTCGATCAGCGAAAACTGAAAACGGGATCTTTCTCAGCGTGAAAAAACTGTACAGAAACATCTGTGTCTCATTGAAAATCTCAAAATCTCCGCGGACTCATAACACACTTTCCTTGTAAGTTTTGTCAGGTTTTCGAATGTGCTGAAAAACATTATCGTTGATTTTTCACCCTGGAACATGGTGAAAATGGGCGAAAACCAAAGCTCGAAATTTGAAGCTCCAGAAAAGTGCTCTCAGGAGTTTGTAGCAATTTTTGACTTTGGATTTGTGATCAGCATTTGGTGTTTTATCAAAAATTTATTCCGGGACCCAAAAAACATTCAAAAACACGTGAACTATATACGTGTCAATTAAAAATCGGTCAAGTATTTTTCCAGTCGAAGATCGAGCCCATTTGTTGATTGGAATGCTGGCACATCTCAACCATCAATCTCCTCCCAACATCATATTGCACAAGGCCATGAAGATACAACACAAGGAGCTGTTCATTCATTTCAAGATGATGATGGAACATGGTGGACATATACTTTTGATGAAAATGGAATCGGAACTGCTCAACCTTTAGGATCTGGCAGAGCGATTATGGATATAATGAATCGAGGTGGATCGATTGCATCAACATCTGAGAAAAAACATCAACTTGAAGCGTTGCCTGAATCGATGTATGATAGTACAGATGATGAAAAAGAAGTTGAAGGTGATGGTGAAGATGAGGATGATGAAGAGGAGAATTTGCCGAGTACCAGTAAAGCGAATGATCCGATACCGATGACGAGAAGAGATCGAGCGTTGTCGAGTTCGTCGAATGAATCGTGCACTTATATGCCGACTTTGCCTTCTAGTGTTTTTCATGCGCCGTCGGGAACTGGAGCGACTAGGAGCACGTGAGTTATTTTGAAATAATTGTGGAGAAAATTTGGAAGTGAAAGAGATTTGAATTTGGCGCGAATTTGAAATATTCAAATTCATAGGGTTCCTTTGCGGACATGCGGATTTCCACGCGAAAAAATTTTTCAGAAGTTTCAATATAGGTAAATTTGAAAATTCACAAATTACTGGATTTTTTTGGATTAACAGTTTTGACTAAAGTTTATTTTTGAAAATTTTGAATTTTTTGAACTTCAAAATCAATTTTTTTGAGAAAAACAATTAATTTTTAAATACAAAACTTTTTGCCCTAAACTTTCTTCGAATTTTGAAAATCCACAATTCACTGGTTTTTTTTTGGTTTCACAGTTTTGACTACATGGAAAATTTAGGTTTCTGAATTTTTGAATTTTTTGGATAATGTTTCCATTCACGGTTTAACTTCTGGAATTTTGAATTTTGAGTTTTCCCGGAAAGTTTGAAAAATTACTGATTTTTCCAATCACCCGGGAAAATTTACTGTTTCAAAATTTTTACATTGTTTTTTGAACTTTTGAAAATTTTGATCTTGCAAATTTGTGGATGTTGCATAAAAATAAAGAAAAATTCTGAATTTCAAAACATGTCTTTTTCCAGAAATTTTGAATTGATTCATTATCACCCGGAAAATTAAAAAAATGTCAAACTTTTGAGACAAAATTATCATTTTTTTAGTCCAGAATCTACATTGAATTGAAAAATTCAATTTTTTTTTATTTTTCAGTTCCTCCCATGGCAATCAAATAGTCAGCTTCTCCGCTGCCGCATCTCGTCTCAGATCAGCCCTCGGTTCTGGCGAATCCTCATCCCACAATCAACAACACAACAATTCATCAGAAAACGAATCGGAATCCATGTGGCAAATGGAGCAAATCATCGATCTCATCGAAAACAACTCAAATCGCCGTGAAAGTGTGCCACGTGGCATACGCGCACAACACAATGACGCGGTTTTTCGATCGCAATTGGAGAATTTCACTTCGGGTCCGGCGAGATATCGATTCCTGTCCGAAGTTGCGTTTTCGAGTCTACATCCCGTGCAAACTCCATCTACCGGCGGACAACAACCCGATTTTTCGAGACGAACTTCGAATATTCGAAAAAGTTATTATTATCAAATGAAAATGTTTCCGAAAGTTCAAAAAAGTTTTAACCTACGGGTAAGAAGATCTTTTCACCAAATTCAATCATATTCTGATATATTTTGCACATGCGTCGCATAGCCTCGTTTCAAATCCACAAGTGCATACCTCTATTTTTGAAAATTTCTTGAAAAACGGATACCCCCTTTTCCTCAAAAAAATCTCATTCTCATTACTTTCGAGTCAAATTTTGATTAGAAAATTATTATTTTTTAAAAACAAAAAAATACGTTTCAAAATTTTGATATAATTTATCATTAAATTTTTTTTCCAATTAATCTCTTATGGCGCGTCCAAAAATCGAAAATGAAAATTTCACACCTGTCCAATTTGCGAAGTATGATTTTGCAGCTGGATCGCCCGTCTGTGGATCGATTATTCGATCGAAATCGTTTTTTGTACTCGTTTATTTTCGACATATTTTTGGGTGGATTAATCGCAACACTTGCCGCTATCATTATTTTTTCCGATATTTATTACGAGTTGGCGATTGTGTTTTTTGCATTTGTTGTCGCATCAGCGCATGTAAGTTGGGTTTAGATATGTTATGACGTGGCAAACTGATCCTAATATGAGTTATGATGTGGCAAAAGTTGGGATGAAAATCTCATTGCATAATCATAGCATAAAGGGAATGCATTTCATTTAAAATCTCGATTACGCGATTTTTGCCACGTCATAACTCATTAGAAAAATAGGTTTACCCTAAAATTCATCAATTTTCTTGCAGTTTTCATTATTGAAAAGTGTTCAACCTGACGCATCTTCACCAATTCATGGTTTCAATTGGATTGTTTCTTACAACCGCCCCATATATTTCATCATTCTATCATCAGCTCTCATTTATCTCCATCATTTGTCTGGAAATTATCCGACGACAGATTCATCGGAAATCATATGGAGTTGGAATAGTTTTGTCAAAGAACCACTTGGAATTGTTATTGCGGCACGTGATTTGGTGTCGGTGTTCTTGTTGTTGTTGCCGATTGCGTTTACACTTGGATGGTTGCCGCAGGTAAGCAAGTTTTTGGAAAATTTATAATTTTTGGGTCCGAAAAGTGAAGTTTTGATAAATTTCGTAACATTACATTTTAAAAATTGATAAAAATCATGATTTCTATTGTCAAAGTTGAAAAATGTGGCTGCCGTAAAAATAAAGACAGAATTGAATGAATGACAAAACATAACTTCGTCAGTCGCGTGCGGCTATGCGTCGCGGTTCTTGATTGTTTCCCGACCGCGATGCAGAGCCGCACGCGACTGACGAAGTAGTTTTTTACGGCAGCCACATTTTTCAACTTCGCCAATAGAAATCATGATTGATTTTTATCAATTTTTAAACAATTTTTTTAATTTTACAAAAAAATCATCGAAACTTCACTTTTCGGATCCAAAAAGTATAGAAAAAGCAGTCTTCCCAATATTTTTTTTTCAAAAATCTACAATTCCAGATCAATACTTTGGTTCATCATATTTTTGAACAAATTGAAATGCATATTTTCGGAGGAACTGCATCATTCGGTGTCTTATCTGCATTCATTCAACTCATCAAAAGCATCTTCGTCTACTCAATTCTATGTATTTTTTGTCGAATTGCCCATACTTCATCACCGAAATCAACACAAGATCCAATATTTTCTGCATTCATCGCTGCTACAATTTCGTTGTCTTATTTATTGAGTCGATTTTCATCGAATCAACAACTAACTGTTTTATTATTTGAAATGATTATTGGACCATTTCGAAAAGTTAAGCTGGATGAAGATGGAGAACGTAAAGACACGGTGAATTCAGAAGATGAACCTGGAACTAGGTTACGATTCACTGATGAAATGCCAGCAACAATTCGACGAACTGTTTTCCAACGGGCAAGATATGATCTGATATTTAGCATATTTTTGATGCTCTTCTTTTTCGCACTTCATTCAACTTCACTTTTCACCGCCACTCAACCATATTTGACACAAATTCTTGCCATCATTTGTGTTGTTCTTGGTACAATCAATCATTATATTTATCCGCAATTTCGATCGCATACACCGTGGTGTGCAATATCACAGCCGATTCTGAAGTCTGCCGAACATTTGCAATTTGAATCGCCGAATGCGGCGAAATTGATGGTTTTTGAGATTATTCATATGTGGATGGTGGCGATTGAGAAAAATATTGTGAGCTTTTTATTGAATTGAAGGGGGGGGGTTAAGATTTTCACAAAAATTGAAAAAATTTAAGAATTTTGAAATTTTCAGATTTTTCTGAAATCAGGATTTTCAGAAAACACTTTTGTTTTGTTTCGAAAAATTACTTAATTTTGAAATTTGCTTATTTTTCTTTGCTGAAAATCTGAAATCAGGATTTTCAGAAAATTAAAATTAAAATTTTTTTGTTTCGAAAACTTACTTAATTTTGGAGTTTGCATATTTCTTTTCTGAAATCAGGATTTTTAAAAATTTCGTAATTTTTTCTGGACATTTTAGTTGGTTTTCTTGCAAAATTCTGAATTTTGAAGTTGGCCTAGTTTTACTGAAATTAGAATTTTTCATATTAAAAAAGTATTGAAAATTGCAAAAATGCAAATTTTTTTCTTGAAAAAAATCCTGAATTTTCACCCGTTTTACGATTTATGCTGAAATCAGGAAATTCTGGATTTTCACAAAAAATTGAAAAAAAAAATCAAATTCCCAAAACTAAAAATTAAAGAAAATTTTTGCAGCTCTACCCAATGTTGTTCACCTCAATGATGACTGAAAACAACTGGAATCTGCCATATTTTCTAATTCCACTCTGTTCACTTCGCCTAATTCGTGGCAGTTTTTCACAACCTCAACTCATGTATATACCAATCGGTTTCGCTTGTATGGCAACATTTTTCGATTTTGAAAATTTCCCCAAAAGTTCCGCCTATCTTCCACTCATCGCATTTCTCAGTGTCGCAATTTATCCGAAAATCATCGAACTTTATCTCAAAATCAATTTCATCATGGTTTATGTTGCACCGTGGCAAATTAGTTGGGGAAGTGCTTTTCATGCGTTTGCACAACCGTTTTCGGTTCCACATTCGGCTTTGATTGCGGTTCAGACGATTATTTCGAGTATTATTTCGGCACCGTTGAATCCGTTTCTGGGTGAGTTGTGGGAAATTTGATAAAAATTTATAAGATTATGGGATTTTCCTGAAAAATTGAGGAATTTTCCAATTTTAGGCTGAAATTTAGCATGTTTTGAAGTTTGTGGAACAATACAAATTTTTGGTAAAAAATTTTGGAATTTTCCTTGAAAGTCAATTTTAGGCCCAAAAAATGTGGAATTTTCTGAAATTTCTGGAATAATTTAGATCTTTTCGTAATTTTGAAGCTTTGAATTCAAATTTTATTTGAAAAATCAGTATCAGTTTTGCTCCAAAAATCTGAAAATAGAAAAGTTCAGAATGTTTTTGAACAATTTTCAAGAATTTTACGATTTTAGATTCAAAATGTAGAATTTTCTTGAAATTTAGACAAGCTTAGAATTTGAATTTTTAGTTGAAAAATAATGAGAACATGAAATTTTCCTCAAAAATTCAATTCAAACGTTGAATTGCTCTAGAAAATCTGACATTTTTCAAGAATTTTTGAATTTTGGGATCAAAATGTAGATTTTTTTGAAATTAAGACAATTTAGAGCTTACTGTAATTCTAGAAGCTCGAATTAAAATTTGCTTCACATTAGAGATTCCATGCTCGAAAATTTCCAGGTTCATCATTCTTCACGGCATCCTACGTTCGACCCGTCAAATTCTGGGAGCGTGACTATAACACAAAACGATCGGATGCTTCAAATACTCGTCTAGCCTCGCAAATCGATCGAGGACCAATGTTGGACGACAGCAATCTCAATGCGATCTTCTACGAACATCTCACACGAAGTCTTCAAAAATCACTGGCCGCCGATTTGGCGATGGGAAGATGGTCGACCAGTGTTCAACCCGGCGATTGTTTCATCCTCGCCAGCTTCTATTTGAACTGCCTCGTACACATCATTGAGGTTGGCAACGGGTTCGTCACTTTTCAACTGAGAGGCCTGGAATTTCGCGGAACCTATTGTCATCAACGAGAAGTTGAGGCGATCTCCGAAGATATTCGCGATGGAACCGGATGTTGTTGTTGTGCACCGGGAAGTTTGCCGGGTTTCCTGAGTTTGAACACGGCGTGGGGATTGAGATGGTTGGCGTGGGAAGTTGTGTCGGGAAAATATATTATTGATGGATACAGTATTTCGGATAACTCTGCTGTCAACTTACTACAGGTATATTTTCAGATTTTTATTGAAATATATTAGTTTTCTAGTAGTTTTTTTTCAAAAATTGCAGAACTCAACGAGTTATGACGTGGCAAATTTGAGATTTTAGAACCTGAAAACTATTGTCAAAGTTGGAAAATGTCAGTCGCGTGCGGCTGTGCGTCGCGGTCGGGAACAATGAATGTTTCCCGACCGCGACGCACAGCCGCACGCGAATGACGAAGTTATGTTTTTATTTTTTACATAATAGTTTTCAGCTCCTGAAATTCCGAGATCTTTGAAATTTGCCACGTCATAATTCATATTAGAAATTGAGAGTTTTCTAATTTTAGAAGGTCGAAAAATACTTGTATCAAAAGTCTAGAGTTCCCTTTTTTCTAGGTTCACGAACTCCGCCGCCTTCTTGTCACATTGTATATCAAATGTATAATCTATTACACAATCACATCATCCAAACTCACTCAATGGTTAGATGATGCTGTTGCGACTGCATCAATTCGAAATGTGATGAGTGTTCCGAAATATGTCGATTTGGATTCGATGTTTTGCTCGACGAATGATGAAGATTATGATAATGCAGAAGGTGGAATATCGAGAGCTAGTTTCACTGCGTTCTATGAGTCTTGGATCAAGTTTTGTTTGGTGGAAAGATTGCACGAGAAACCGGAGGAAACTATGTGAGTGTAAAAGCGGAGCATCGTTTGAACACCTTTCTGATTGTTCCTATTTTCAGCGCCGAACAAGACAAAGAGAATGTTGTTGGACTTTGCTATTTGTTATCGCTGGTAGCCAGAAGATCTCTTGGAACTGCTGCCTATAATCGACATTCCAGTGCAGCTGAATCGTTTTTGTATGGATTGCACGCACTTTTTAAGGGAGATTTTAGGTAAGAGATGAAATTTACTTTTATATCGTTAATATACCAAATCGACCATGCCTGCCACAAATTTTTGTGAGCATTTTTGTGGAGCCCCAAAGTTGAAATCGAGTTTTGGTTTTCACGATGTTCCTGGGTGAAATATCAAATTTTTAACATGAGTAATGTTGTTCAGCACATTCGAAAACCTCACAAAATTTTAGTTTATCAGAAAAAGATAAAGCAGAAGCTAAAAACCATTATCTTTTCAAATGTGCTGAAAAACATTATCCATGTTAAAAAAGTTGACCCAGTAACATGGTGAAAACCAAAACTAGATTTCAACTTTAGAGCTCCAGAAAAGTGCTCACAGGAATTTGTGGGTATTTTTGACTTTGGAATCGTGATCAGCATGGTCGATTTGGTGTTTTATCCCTTGTGAATTTTTTCCCGTGAAAAAATACGTTTCACACTTTTCTATTCATTTTCGATGATTGATTTAAAATATTGATCCATCTTCTTCTCTTTTGAAACTATTAAAATCAGAAACGTTTTCCAGAATAACGTGTGTTCGAGACGAATGGGTGTTCTGCGACATGGATCTTTTGCGATGTGTCGTCTCGCCGGCTGTCAAAATGGCTCTCAAACTTCATCAAGATCATTTTGCGCACTTTGAAGAATTCGACGATCATCAAAGTCTTTATACAGTCATCGGAGTGCATCAAACCAAAATGTTCATCTCGCACGAGCAAGATCCCGGGTGGAGAAAGAGTATTTTGGCGAACACACCGGCACTTTTAGCATTGAGACATGTTTACGATGATGGACAGGATGATTATAAAATTATTATGTTGAATCAGATGCATTTGAATATGAGGTAACTATTCTGGAATTAAAAAAAAACAAAAAAAAACGTTCTTGCAGAGTCATAAAATTGAATCGAGAATGTGTTCGCGCTTTCTGGGCTGGCCAACAACAAGAATTGATTTTCTTGCGAAATCGAAACCCGGAACGTGGAAGTATTCAGAATGCTAGACAGGTGTTGAGAAATATGATAAATAGTTCGGCTGATCAACCTGTGGGATATCCGATTTATGTTTCACCATTGACAACATCGCATATTGAATCGCATGCGCAAATCGAGCGAATATTCGGGCCGACTTTCTCATTTGAACGACTTCGAGAAGCTGGGCGAACTATTTGGAATGTGTTTCTCAATCATTTCGGACCATCTGGAAGCACTTCTGCACATCAAAACATTCAGCAGAATATTCAAATGCAACAAATTCAATCGTCATCCTCGTCGGCTGTTCTTCCGCCAACTCCACGTGTTGTTTTTCGAGTTGGAACACCGACACATGAGACGGAATCGCTGGAGATGGATACGGAAGAATTGGATGCGGAAGTGGCGACGATCACGCAAAACATCCCACCGCCTGCGAAACTCGAAAATTCGATGGTTGAAATGACGAAAGATGGAGTCGCCCGAGTTACGGTAATCCCCGGAAATAGTTCGAGGAAAACGGATAGCACTGAAAATCGACCGAATATTCCGCAAATTCTGAAATCCACCAATATTTTGGGAGAACAACGCGAGATTTGTGTTGGCGCCTGGATTCAAATCGTTGATCCCGAGCAGATTTTCAAATATTTGAATGAGCCGCTTCGATCGACTGGGGAATGTTTGGTGGTTTGGCCGGATGATACGATTCAGAATGTAAGGGGAATCTAGAAATTCTGAAGTTTTTGGGCAACGTTTTCATTAAGGTTGATTCACGAACAAAAAAATGTTGAAAAATGTTTTTTTAACATCGAAAGATCAATTCGAGAAAACATTGTAGGTCAAAAAAATTAGTTTTTCGAGTTTTTCAGCTAAAAATGATGACAAATCGATATTTTTCAAGCTTCTGGAGTAATCTTTGATGAAAATAAGCTTCGAGAACCCTATTTTGCTTCATTTTATGAATTTTTTCGAAATTCATCAAAATTTAAAATTGTTTTATTTTACGAAAAATCAGCAAAACCTTCTGGAAAGTGAATTCCAAGATCAATTTTAATCAGAAATTCCTCCAGAAGCTTGAAAAATATTGATTTGTCATCATTTTTGGCTGAAAAACTCGAAAAACTAATTTTGACCTACAATGTTTTTTCGACATTTTTTGACTTTTGTTTCAATGTTAAAAAACATTTTTGTGAAATTTGACACCGACAAAAATGTTAAGATGTGAATTTTCTGAATCCATATTTGTTGCAGATGTCTGGCCGATCTTCGTGGCTTTACCGACCTGGCAAAGGAATGTGCGGAAGAATTGTTTATACATGGTATCCGAATCATCCGTTGAGAACCAAAAGAAGTCATGTCGGAGATCATATTCATTTGGTAGGCTTTTCAAATTGCCATCTTGAACTTAGCCTAAATATTGGGAATTTTCCAGATTCTTATTCCATCAATGGGAAATGGTCTTGTACCGATTGCTGAGAAAGGATGTCGACTTTTGACACTTCACGATCCATCATTTCACAGTGTTTTGGGTGGAACGATTAGTGTGAGCTTTTTTGCGGGGGGGATTTTTGGAAAGCCTAGAAAAACTTGGAAATTAAAAAAAAAACTCATTCGAAGTTTTCGGCAGAAAAAATCTCTGAAAATTTATTTTCACTATTTTTCGGAAAATTTAGCGATTAAAATTTGTTCAAAAATATTCTTTCTAAAATTCATCCAATTTAGTTCTGAATTTTTCGAAAAATTTGAAAGTTTGAAATGTTTCATAATTTTAAAAGCTTAAGCCTGAAAAAAAGCATAGAAATTCTGTTTCAATAAAACTTTTTGAGGTCAAAAATTCGTTCAAAATTATTTTCCCCAGAAAATCCAAAATTCCTAAAATATTCACCCCAACCCCATTATTTTTCCAGGAACACACTGAATTCCACACTCGCTACATCGACGCCCTAATCTTGCTCAAAATCATTCCCGGTGTCGTCTCGCATAAGAATCTCTTCACCAAAAAGCCGCCATTCCCCCCAACTGTCGCATCCAATTCCTCTGCAGCTCCTCAACCTCCACCAACTCCTCATCCTGCTCATTCTTCGTCTTCAGCTGCTCCGTCAACATCTTCTGAACCTCCTCCAGCTGAACCATCAACGAGTTCATCATAATTTGTATTTAATTTAATTTATGTTTGTTTTTTTCTGTTTTTTTGTCAGATTTTGAGTTTGTATACGGGTTTTTCTTTCTTTTTTTTGGAATAAATTATATGTTTTATCGATTTTTGAGAAGATTTTTGTGGATTTCAGACCTGAGTGGGATATTTTGAAATTTTTTTTGTTTAGAGGTTCAGTTTTTGAAATCTCGCAAATTTTCAGAATTCAAAAGAATCTTGGAGTTTACTCTAACATTTTGGGATTTCCTTTCAAAATTAATTTTCAATGTATCAAAAAATTCACTCCAAAATTCATATTTTCTTCCAGGAAACATCCAAACGATCAAAAATTGGAAGTTTATCGATGGATCCAGCTGCGATGAATGTGAAGAGCAAAGTGGCTGATGTTTTTCTGACCGCCGGAAATGCTTTTCAAAAATTGGGCGATTTATTACAACAATTGCAAAAGACTACGGAAAAGTAAGGAATTCTCTGGAAGTTTTTTTGATGAAAAATTCTTATTTTTCATAAAAATTATACCACAATTTGAGATTTTCAACCACATTCTTACAGTAAATGGAGTGACGAAGAATTGGATAAATTACAAGATGCTCTAACTCAATTTGATCACGAACTTGATCAAATTAGTGCCAGTCGAAATACGTGAGTTTGTTGTTAGCTTAAAATCTCATCCAAAACTTACCCTTTTTTTAGAAATGACACGAAAACTAATGTTGAAAAGGAAAATAATGAGGTTGGTGATTTTTTTTTGTTTGTAAAATTTGGAAATATTTATTGTTCATCCTGACGAATTGATTTTTGACCTACCAAATGTTTATAGTTTGAACCCAAAATAGTGTGTAAAACGAGAGATTCAGACAGTAGATCACAAAATCCCACGGATCAATTCGTCCGGATGAACAATACTGTTTCTAAAATTTCTTAAAAATCAGTCACTGTTTGTCACAAAAATCATTTTTTCTAAGATTGTGAAAAAAGCCGCCGAAAATTGTCCAAATCTGGATGATAAATCGAAAATTGTACAAAAGATCGAAGAGCCAAAAGATCCGAATTCCGTTGACAAAAGTAAATTTAAACCAATTGATGGTGACCAAATGGGTATTTCAAACGACACGGTTCAATACTTTTCTGCGCCGCACTTCGGAGAGTACTTTTCTCTGAAAACGAAGAAATGGTATGCTTGGATTAACAATAAATACGTCGAAATTGATTTGAAAAATAGAAAGGTGAGGTTTTTGGAGAAAAATTTGCGATTAAGCCTAAAATCATATTTTTGGCCCAAAATGAGAACATTTCCTGTCTAGAAATATTCATTTGTAGTAATAAAAACATCGAACATTTTTTGCCTAAATTTTCAGAATGTCAAACATGCCGCAATCTCAGAAACATCGGCCAGCAAACCATCGAAATCGGCAGCGATCGGAATGCATACCGTACCCTTGGCACAAAAACCAATTGTTCAACCGACGACCAAAATTTTGGCAACTACGGTGAGTTTTAGTTTTTTTTTCGAATAAAAAATGTATCTAAAAATTCACTTCTTCCAGGAAACATCTAAATCGTCAAAAATTGGAAGTTTATCGAAGAATCAATCAGCTCCGTGGAATTTGAAGAGCAAAGTGGCTGATGTTTTTGTGACCGCCGGAAATGCTTTTCAAAAATTGGGCGATTTAACACAGCAATTGCATACAACTACGGATATGGATGAAAAGTAAGGATTTTTTTATTTTCTTCGTTGAAAAATTCTTATTTTTCATAAAAATTATACCAGAAATTGAGATTTTCAACTATTTTCTTACAGTAAATGGAGTGACGAAGAATTGGATAAATTACAAGATGCTCTAACTCGATTTTCTCACGAAATTGATCAAATTAGTGCCAGTCGAAAAACGTGAGTTTATTGTTAGCTCAAAATCTCAGCCGAAAATGACGCTTTTTTTTAGAAATGACAAGAAAAAATAAACAACGGAATTCGATTGACGTCAAAAAAAAATATTTATTGTGCTTTCATTCATTTTCTCATTTCTCATTTTCATTGGCATGTTGTCAAATACACGTTGTATTAGTAAGATGTTCACGTTTTGATCGATACGGTAGGCGAGAATTTAAGATTGAATTTTTTTTAAAGAAAGCAATTTCCAAAAGAATAATTTATTCATGGCCAAAAAGGGTTTAGAGGATCACAAAGTTTTTTGGTGAGCAACACTAGATTTAGGAAGTCTAGATTAGGATAGAACATGATTTCGAACCTGGGACGGGTTGAGTTTTGAGTTTGGGTCAGGCCATGAATGGAAAAATGGAAAAAAAAAAGAAAAAATTGAAAATGGCCTAGGAACCGGTGTCGGATTCTAGGCCATTTCTGTGTTTTTTTTCGTTTTTTTTGTTAGAAAAAACAATATTTCTTGGGACCAAACTAGTTTTCGGATTACGAATAGAATTTTTCAGGTTTCGAGGTAACCGTTTTAATTTTTGAGTCCAACTCAACTGAACCCGGTTCGAAATCCTGACTTGATATAAATTATTAATGTTTTCTCAAAATTGGTCGACGCAGTTGAATGGACGTCGAATTGACAACAACCGGTAGCCCTTTTGACATATAATAATCGACAAGATCGCTGACAGTTTTGAATTGACCAACACAGGTTACTATTTTGTGCTGGAAAATACAGGTTGGGAACTGGTAGTAGATTTGAACTCCCTTACCGATTCATCGAGAAGCATCAAATGTTTATACTCATTATTCTCCGTCAAACCACTCAATATAAACTGTCCCGGTGATTTATTGCTTTGTCGAACCAGAAAATCGCCGGCTTTTGTGAGAAGCGGCAGAGCTTCTTCGCGCGAAATTTTTCCGTGATAATAGAGTTGGCGTTCGAGGTTGGTGGCGATTTCGGCAAGGTGGGAACGACGTTTCGGGGGAATCGGCACTGCGAAACCGTCGTTTCGTCGAGATGTGCTGGGTTTTGGCGGTTCGGCTTCCTGTGAAATTTTGGTGATTTTTAGAGCTGTTATTCGGGTTCAAGCTTGGCTACTGGAGAACTAGGATCTCTAGGCGCTGATCATTACATACTTGTGGCATACATAGAAGCTCCCTAGCCAGTGTACTTCTAGAAAGTTTTTCCACAATCCCTCACTCACCAATACCATCACCCCAAGAGCTGAATTCAAGCATTCAGCAAATCTAGCAACTTCCTCACTATCCCCAATATCCAAAACATGACAACGTCGATCAGTTCCATCAAAATTCTTGGCAATATATCCGAACATTGTCGCCGTCTCATTCTCACCAGCTGCTCCGATCGACCAAAAACTCAGCGGATGTCGATGAGCGATTCGATTGTTTTTGATGATTTTCACCATATTCGAGGAGACGTTGATCTCGACTGGACTGTTTTCGACTTTGAACTCACCGATTATCTAGAAGTTATTGGTGGGAAGTGAGTAAAGGGGTGTGACTTACTCTTCCGACTACAGAATTCACTTCGTGAGGTGGTCCTAATTCTACCAGACCGGCAAGGTGTGATATGCATTCTCTGAAATTATCTTCATAGATCGAAAAATTATTTTACTACATCTACATTGACTTTAGCCCCCGGATCGTCAGATCTAGAAAAATGCGGGAAATTTTCTGGCTAGCAAAATACATGCTTGGGAACTCTCACATCGAGGGCTCCAAGTTCGACTTCAAGATCGGATCTGGTCTCCCACCTTATCGTTTGAGTTCGTAAATCTTTCACCATCTCATTCACCGATGTTTCGATTGGTACACTTCCAAGATACTAAACAATATTTCCATTGAATTTTCAAATATTTTCCAAAAAAAAATCAAGAAACTCACATTAACCGCAAAATTGATGCTGATCTTGTTCTGTAAATCTTTCACAAACGCATTTTGTGACATTTTTTCCGTTAGAACGATATGTTGTGATAACTCGTAAATGATAAAAATATGTATACAATTGAAAAATTATAATAACATGAATAATAAATAAATAAAGGTGTTGTTGGTAAACAACGCGCTGTTGCGGAGTGTCGTTGTTTTTTGGTAAACAAGTGTGATGCATCTTATTAGGTTTATTATTAGGTATTACACGTAATGAGGAAGAGGAGATGAAAAAGAAAACAAGAAATATCTGTTTTTATTAATTGAGCATCCAGTCTGGTGGTTGAACGAAGAAAACACCGCCATCGGTTGCACAGTATGTTGGGCAGACCTGAAAGAAAGGTTCCAAATTTCATAACAAAATTAAAACTAACCCCTCGGTTGCCTTCATCTCCTCGTTCTCCAATAAGACCTTCCGCTCCAGCAGCACCATCTGAACCAGGGAATCCGGGCTTTCCTTTCTTTCCTCGTGGTCCTTGCGCTCCGATCGGCCCATCGATTCCAGGCATTCCCGGTGGACCAGGTGGTCCCATCTCTCCCTCCTCTCCGATCTCTCCAGCTGGTCCCGGGATGAATGGTTTCGGCGTGGCATCTGCTCCCGCATCGCCCATCTCTCCGTCCAAACCGGGAATACCTGGTGGTCCTTGAAGGCCAACCGGTCCCATCTTTCCGTTCTCCCCACGGATTCCGTTTCTACCCGGTGTTCCTGGTTTTCCAGTGTCACCCTTGATTCCGGGGATACCGGGGATGCCCTGAGTTCCACGTGGACATGGGTCGATGCAGATATCTTTGATCTTCTTTTGTGGTTCACAAGGGAGGCGAGCAGGAAGTCCCGGAGTTCCTTCAGCTCCTTTGGGGCCTGAAAGTCCGTCACGACCTGGCAAACCTGGAGGTCCAGCAGGGAAGCGACATCTGGAAAGTTGAGTTGTTGACAGGAGGTTTGACAAGGAGGTTTCCCGAGACCTAGTTTCACATTAGCAAAATCAGAAATAAAATCCCAAGTGCCAGGAAGCACAGTATTCCCTAATTTCTGTATTCTTCACAACCCGAGCTTAGTCTCGTAACAAATCTAGGTTCAACCCTTTCTCGAATATTCCATCTCGCTCGTAAAATGTGTCCGATTAGTTTTCCCGGCCCCTTTCCCAAACCTACTCGCAATCTCGTTCTCTGGCAATCTGCCCAGTCGATCTCAAAAAGTCATCAATCTCATCTCTCTTCTCTCTTGTGATATTAACATATGTTGATTGAGCTATATCCACTAATGTTTCTTTCATCTCATAAGCACTTTCCTGGAAGTTTCAATTCAGATCCGATCCTAGATGTTGTAGAACAAAATAAAGCCTACCTGACAATATTTGGCATCGATAACATTTCGTCTTAACGATGGTTGAAGTATTGTGTTCAATGGATGAATTGATATACAAAATGATGATAAAGTAGTTAGGGTAACTATGAAGGATACAATAATTGTGGCACCATACGCCACTTCTCGTCGTGACGAATCCATACTAAACAACAATAAAAAGTGAAACAATCTTGTGATTTAGTGAAGATGAAATACACGAGATATGTAGATAATGATAAAAAATGAAAATGAGTGTAAGTTTGGTTGACCCACAAACCGATATACGGAAAAAATGGAGAAGAAAATGAAAAGAGAGATAGGTTAAGTTAGAAAGGATCTGTTAATTAGCTGGGGGACATTTGTATAGACACACACAATATCCATTTACTCGTTTTTTTTTTTGTTTGGTATAAATAAAATGAGGAACCTTGTTCTTGTCATAACAAATAGAACCTAGTTAGTTATGAAAAAAGTTGTTTTATTAGCCTCGTTCCCGCCGGTATTCCTTATTCTGGTCTCTGGTTTGATATTTTGGGAGTTGTATGAGTTTGGAGAATTTATTATTGAGGAAGGTGAAGGATATCGAATATTGCGGGGCTCTTTGGAAAATGAAATTTTGATTATTGAACGGCAGAAGCGGTAGGTGGATTGGATTGCTCCAAGATTTTATTGATCTAGGAAAGTTTTTTAGTCAAACACCATCCTCTCAATGTTCGTGTTCCTCAAAACCTTCTCCGAAATGTCCAAAAGGTCCGAAAGGCCCACCAGGAGAGCCTGGAATTGATGGGCTTGCCGGAATGCGTGGAACTGATGGTCAACCCGGAATACCGGGAATATCTATGATGGATGTGAAAATGTCGAGTGAGGGTTGTATCAAATGCCCGAGAGGTGCGCCCGGATTTCCTGGAGAACCAGGGCCGCCGGGGATTCCTGGACCGCCTGGTATGACTGGACCGAAAGGGCCTGATGGAGCGGATACGATTGGGGGAGCAGGGCCAGCCGGACCGGCAGGGAATGATGGGATTGATGGATCGGTTGGAGAACCAGGGCAAGATGGGATGGACACAATTCATATTATATCGGAGAAAGGAGCGAAGGGAAGGATGGGAGATAAAGGGTGAGCCTGGGGAGGGGCAATAGATTTGCAATTACAATTTAAAATTTCCGCCACGTGGCAGTTTGGAAAATTGTATGCAAAAATTAGCATTAATTTGCCAATGTGAACGTTCACTTTTCAATTTCAATTTTTTCCCAGATGTGCTGGAAGTCGAGGAAGCCGCGGAAGTGTTGGTGAAGCCGGGATGCCTGGTCGAATGGGTTCACCGGGCGAAGATGGACAACCGGGACAATCTGGTGCGGCTGGCGAAGATGGTCCACCAGGACTTCCCGGAATGCCAGGAAAAGATGCGACTTATTGTAGATGTCCGGAACGAAATCAGTATAGCGCGTATCCGCCGCCATTGTAGATATGTAGGTACAAATGTTTCATTCATTAAAAAAATAATAATTTACATAAATGAATCCGCACTGAAAATAGGAAAAATGACCCGAAAGATTTCCGAACAAGAAAATGTAGAGAGAATTGAGGAGGAGGATGTAGTAAAAAAAAGGAAAAAGAAAAAGACTAGAATTAACAATATGATATGGCGCCTAAACACAAACTTCACACGATCTTGGACATCGCAATCTCATCTCCGGCCAATTTTCGCATGCTCCACCCTGAGCCCACGAAGGACACAGCGAATCGTGATCGATGCATCGTTTCGCCGGCGATCTTTGTGTGTTGGCTGGCAATTCGATGGTTTTTTGCGCAATCACCTTGACCGCTTCCCACGTTTCTCTGGCTGTTGGCAAAATTTGATTCTCGGCTAGCAGGAATCCGTCCCAAACTTGTTCTTCTGGTCGCAATTCGAACAGGAATGAGTATTTGACATGAGCTTTTCCCTTCGCCCAGTCTTCAGATCCTCCAGCTGCTGGGTCTAAAAATAAATAAATATAATTGTAATATGTATCCACAAGAAAACTTACAAAGGGTATCTGCACCGGTTCCGACTTTGTATTGAGTATTATAAACGCTATTGAGTGCTTGCGCGGCTGACAATGCTGTTGATCTCTGGAAACTGGTATTTAAAACTAGTTTTTAATGAAAAGGTTAACTAACCAGGTCATTTAGATCATTTGAATATGTTCGAACCTGATGTCCGAATGGATACATTAAAATTTGGGAATATGAGTGGAATGTGAGGAAGGTCGAAATGCGGTGACGTTGAACGAAATCACGAACTGCCGCGGTCTCAGGTTCAGAGAACGCGTAAGCTCCTTGATAGATTTCTGAACATGGATCGGTTGAAGAGCCGACTTGACCAAAGAACCAATCGAAGTTTCGGTTGAGATCAACTCCCTGGCAACATGTTGTGGTTGGTGGTTGGAAGAGTCCTGAACTTTGAAATTTTATTCCAGAAAAAAAAAGAAAGATAAAAATTCTCACCTGAAGATTGTTGAATACATTTCGCTGGCGATCGATTTTTTCTCCACAACCGAATTTCCGGATCATTACTACTTCTACTGTACTCATAACCATCTGGATTCAACAGTGGAACAATGAACCATTCAATATTATCGACGAAATGACGGATTTGAACGTCTTTGTCGTATTGAGTGACCAATTGATGGATGAAGTATAGAACTGTTGAGGGAGAAACCCATTCACGAGCATGGATACCGCCATCCACCCAGATACCACGTTTTGTTGCGCCATTTCTTTTGTTGGTGATCTGCAAAATTTGGAGATAGTAGCTGAGATGGGGCTTCTCAAAGCTTTGAACTCCTAGGTCACGAGAACCGCCTGGTAACTTGGATCCCTCAGAAATCGGTCAGACAATCCACATTGTCCAAAAATTCAAAAAAAATTGCTCTCGGAGAAATATTCACTTGTACTCGGTCAAAAAACGGCGAGGTTGCCACTAATCAGGGCCGTCCAGCGAAAATGAAGTTTTGCCAGGCAAAGTGAAAGTTCCCCGGCAAAGCCTTGCTAGGCTGGGCTTTATTGAAAAGTAAAAAAAAGTGATTTTTGAAGCCAAACAAAAAAAATCCCTGATCATTAAACTAAACTACACAAAAATCATCTGATGTGATTTTCTTTAATTTTTTTTCCTTCTCTACTCAAATAATCATCGTAACACGATTACACTATTGCCACACACACTCTCGTCATTTCACCAACCTTAATCAATGGAATTTGCCGTCCCTCGTGTGTTGTACCAATCGGTTGAACAGAAACGAGTTCCGGATAGGTGATGGCAAGCGAATTGAGATAATTGATCACATCGGCGAACGAATGATATTGCGCAAGATTGAATTGAACCGGAAAAAATGTGGATGGTGAGAAAGACAGAGAGAGAGAGGGGTTATTCAAGGAGATGATGAGGTCATGCTCTGCTCACTTTTTCTTCCCGCCAATCGCGAAGTCGAACTTGTTTTCGAAGTTTGTCGCGTTTCTCTTTTTGCTCGACGATCACTCTGAACAAACATTTTATTTTTGAACAGATGTGTTTTGAGGGGGTGCCGGGGGTCTCCCCCGGCCATGGAAAAAATTGTCTAGGGGGGTCGCCGGGGGTCTCCCCCGGCAACCTTAACTTAAGGGTTGGTGATCCCTATGTTATAAATATTTTTTTCCAGTTAAGGAAGACCACCCGCAAAGCCTCTGACTTGTACTATCCTGAACGTCATAACTTTATTTGGTTGAATTTGCTCCAGATTCTAATTGCCTCAGAGCCTGAAACTCTTTCAGTGACAGTTTTTCATCTTCACGATTACATTGATTAGAAAAGTACAGCTGGTCTTTAAAAATCCTGATCTAACTTGATCTTATCAATGATTCAACCTATCCAAACAATCTATTTTTCTTCTCTCCCTTTTTTCCCGACCGACAGTTCCACTTTCCCTCATTTTATTCATTAATTTATTCAATCAAATATTCCCTCACTCACTTTTGTACATCATCAATCATAACCGAATGATTAATTGAATGATCATCGAGTTGTTTCAAGAAATCTTCGCTTTTCTCATCCGACAACATAACGTGCACCTCTTTTCCGATCTCAGATGGCGATTTCCAAAAATCGAGCTGGAAGAAAAAAAAATGTTTCTATTTATGTACAAAATAGTTTTTGTTGCAAGTCTAACCTGTTTGGCTAATCTAGCTAAGCTTATGATTAATTTTGTCCATGTATTTATTACAATTTTCTTTTTATGTATGAATGTGAAAGTGAGGGAAGGGAAAGCGTGTTCGAGGTCGTTTTCATTTTTGCTGAACTTACCTTAACATCATTCATATGCATAGTTTGTAAAAACTCAATCTGCTCTTTCTCAGTGGGTTGCAATCGCCAAACAGTGAATTTTCTGAAACCGGATTTTTAAACTTTTTTCTTTCGCTTTTTGACAGCTTATAAAATCTAATCTCTTTTTTTCACGACGAAACCAGTTTGAAAGCCGAAAAGAAACTCACTTTTGTTTGGCTGAAACATCTTTTATTATTAATAATATCAATAAAAATATTATAGACAATTTCAGTCGAGTCATTGTAGAAACAACAAAAAAAAACGAAAAAGTCTTCCCTCTACCAAAAAAGGACGACTAATCTGTCTGGGGCGGAGTGCGCGCAAAGTACGCTCCGCCCATTTTTTGGAGGAAAATAATATGATGAGAAGAATCGGAGGAGATGGTAGTTAGGAAAAATAATGAAGAAGAATGTTGAAGACGATGATGGAAAAAGCACGACATATTGTTTGCGCAACTCTTATTTGTTTTTTCCGCGCATTATGAACGATTTCAAAGACGGTTTTTCGGAACACACACAACACTTCACTTCAAAACAAAAACCAACCTTGGATGACCCGCCGCCTTCAAAAACAATCAAAATGGTTTTGAGATGACAAAAAAAACATACAACAAGGGTTTTCACAAATTATGTGGATGATTGTTTAGAAGATTTTGATTTTTGATTTTGAAAATTTCAAATATCCTCCAAAAAAAGTGCAAATGCGCTCTATGGACAATTTTGCAAATTTAGGGAAAATTCAAAATTCCTCATAAAATGCAACTGCGCTCTAATGAAAAAAATTCAAAATGTTCACCAAAATAGCTCTCTAACCAACACCTCGGCCAAGCCGTGGCTGGCCAGAGTACAATTTTTTGAAAAATCTGAATTTCAGTTTTTAGAGGTCCAAAATTGAAAAATCACAACTTTTAGAGGACAAAAGCTGAAAAATTCACAATTTTTGTACTGTAAAAAATTAGCGTACAATTTTTTATTTCGGAAACCATGATTTTGGCCGAGGTATGTCTCTAACGCGAACATACAAAATTTTGATGAAAAATTCGAATTTCAAGTGGAAAATGTATGTACGCTCTCTGTTAATTGTTTCCTAAAATTGCATATGTGCTCCAATGAGAAATTTAAACTTTTTTGTGAAAATTCAAACCTTTGGGTTTTCCAGTTTTTGCAGAATTTCAGATTTATTTTCGAATGCCACGTGGAAATTTCAGAATCAGAAAACAAAAAAAAACAATTTCAAAAATGCTATCTTGAAAAATCACGTGACGTGAACATTTTTACACATTTCTCATTTCCAATTTTTCTAGTTTTTGTTAGTTAGAAAGATGACTCATGCTTTTCTATTGTTTTCGTTTTAAATTTCAAGTTTTTGTTTTGCAAAAAAAAGAATTTGATAGGAAAAAAATCTGAAAAGTTATTGGCATTGTTCAAAAGATTTTTTCTTGTTCATATTTTCTGGATGTATTCAAGTTGTCACGTAAAACTTTAAGTTTCAACAAATATCAGAGTTCGAAGATGTTCTTACAACAATTTCATTGTCAAAATCCCATCTCTCATCGTCAAACTAAAAAAAAACAAAGAAAAAGGAAAATAAAAAAAGTTTTTGGGTACGGTACAATTCAAAGGAACATTGCAATTGGCAACTGCGTCTTGACACACAACACACAAAAAAATTAAAACCTGCCCGCCAATTTTTATTTTTTCGACGCGCCAACCAAAAAATCGATTTTTTCTTTCATTTCTTTTTTTGCGTCGTCCAATGTGGCCGTTTTTTGGCAATTTGACACCGGAATCTGATAAAAGATGAGTTTTTTTTGGGATTTAGCCCCATTTTCCTTTCAAATTCACCCGAAACACTCCCCAAAACCCATTCCGAGCAGTTCTAGTAGTCTTTTGCTCGGAGTTAGTACAGCGCTCGATACATTTCGAGCCCATTAGTCATTGCCACTACCAGGAACCTCGGTAGGGACACAAATTCATTTTTGTGGACCGCGGAATACCGCCTGGATTTGATTGGAAAACAGTGATGAGCAAGACCTGAGGTTCCTTTATAGAACTGCTCTTCAGCCACCGATTTGGGTGGAATGGGATGAAGGAAGCTGGTTTTGGACTTTGCTTAGCGAACGAGTTTGATTGGGATTTGGGGCTTTTGGGGGAAATTCTGTCGGGAATGTGTTAATTCGTATTTTTTTTTTGAGAAACAAGACTTCTACATATTGTACGATGGAGACCTGTTGAAGCACATCAGAATCGTGTCAGAAGTATGGAAAAGAATAATGAATTTGGTCAACAATCTGGAAATTTGCTGAAATTTGGATATTTACACCGATTTTTGGCTGGAAATCTTCTGGATTGGGAAGCACAATCGTGAGTTTTTGAATTTTTTATAGTTCAAGGATGAAACCAGCTTTCAAATTTGAAAAAAACATTTTAAGACATCCTAAACTCTCTTTATTAAAAATTCAATAAATTAATGTTTTTCAGGATTTCCCGCTATTTCGCAGTCTTTCCACGAGAAAAAACAAGGAATCAATAAAGGATTTGGGAATGGTTTGCTGAAAGAATGCTGAAATTTTCGGATGAATTCGAAAGATTCTGAAATTGGCTGGAAATATGGGAAGATTTGGTTGATGAGTGTTTATTGAAGATTAATGTGGTCTCTTGAAAATTTTTCGGATTTGAAAAATGATGAGAAATCCCAGTTGATTGTTGTCAAGAAAAATCGATTCGAATTTTGAGAGCATCGAAAAATAAGGTAACATTTTCAAGAAACTTTTTGAAATTTACAGTCAAACTTTCATTAAAAAATAGGAAAGCCTTGAAGGCAATTCTTGGTTTTCTTTCTCTGTGAATCTTCATTTTTTCAATTTTTTAAATAAATTTTTGATTGATTTTTCGGAAAAAATTGACATGAATTTCTGGAATATCCAATTTGAAACTGATAAAACTTCTATTTTTCTTGATTTTTTTTAATCTTGAAAAATGATTGATTTGATTTTATCAGTTTCAAATTGGAATTTCAGTGGAGATGCGGAAGCTATGCCCAAATTTCGAATTTTTATAGAAAAACTTTGAATTTTGAAAGAAAACAACAGTAACTTTGACATATTTTATGTGAACCTTTTTTTCAGATCAACAACAACAACAATTCGAGGTGGATCAAATATTTCGAGCGATTTTGTTCCAACAAGTTTGATCTTGAAATTGGTAAGTATTGAAAAATTGACATGAATTTCTGGAATATCCAATTTGAAACTGATAAAACTTCTATTTTTCTTGATTTTTTTAAATCTTGAAAAATGATTGATTTTATCAGTTCCAAATTGGAATTTCAGCGGAGATGCGGAACCTATGCCCAAATTTTGAATTTTTCCTCGAAAATTTTGAATTTTTCAGAATCGATTGCCAATCGTAACTTCACAATTGTCTTCGATTCCTCACACAATCTACTTCAAAAATTGTTTGTACTCGGCCAAAAAATGACACAGCTCGGGGCGAGTCGCTACACTTTTTGTCGAGACTCGTTTTGCGGCGAGTCGCCCCAAGCTTGCCTCAAAAGCGGCGAGTTCCGGGCAACTTGCCGCAAATGTAGCGAGTTCCGGGCAAGTTGCTGAATAACGGGGCGAGAACGGGGCAAGTCGCTACACGCTCGGGCGAGTCGCCCCAAGCTCGCCCGAAGTGCCTCGGGCCAGTCGCCCCAAACGTGAAGCGACTCCGCCCCGATCGGTAGCGACCTCGCCGTTTTTTGACCGAGTATTTATTGTTTCCTTTTTTGCTTAAAAGCCAAAGTTATTTTTCTCTATAAGTCTTTGCATAAAAGCCAAAGACTTATAGTTTCTGTTTTTTTTTCTTGGATACAGTAATCAGGATACTGTAGATTTTTTGCCTAGATTGAGATTACTGTAGTTATTGTTTCCGTATGCTGTAGATTTATCGTCGGAAACGTTGATCTGTGATTTTTGGATTGAATCAGATACAGTACTCACAGAAATTTGAGCTGCTTACTGTATGTATAGAGTTACAGTATTCAATCATATTTCCACGGGTTACTGTAATTCTACAGAGTAGCCCATAGTGTCGTAGAAAACAAAAATGAACTTGGATTACTGTAGCTCTAGCTTTTAGCGAATACTGTAGTTCATGAGACAAATATACAGTAATTCCGCTCTAGTCGGTAAAAAATCGAAAAATTTTGAGATTCAAAGAAAAATTGAAACAAAAATCACTAGATTCGGGAGAATCAGGCTTCAAAAACAAGAGTAAAATACAAAAATATTCATTTATTTACCACTTACAAAAAAATACCAGAAAAACAAACAAAGAGATCTTATGAAGGCTGAAATCCACGAGTTTGACATCAATCCGATTCGATTGAAAACGAGAAATCTGGTGGAGGCTGCAAAAAATCAATTTTGAAAAAATTTCAAATTCAGTAACCAACCTTATTTCTAACTCTCCACTTCTTTTCCCCATTATAATTACAAATAATAGTTGTGTTTGGTGGTGGATTTGATTGCTCATTATTAGTTTCTTGACTTCCACGAGTTTGATTTTGAGCTGGAGCTTCTTGAACTTGTCTTTTCGAATGTTCTCTGGCCGTTTTCATCATAACAACTTCAACATTTTCATTCGACAATTCTTGAGTTTTCATAACTTCTTGATCGGGTGGAGAAGATGTTTGTTGTTGCTGAGGTTTAGGTTGGTTTTGAGCTGGCTTCTGCTTCAGATTCTGAATTGCCAAGGGTGTTTCTTGTTGCTCTTCTTCATCAATCTGTTGTTGTTTAATTGGTTGTTGTTTCGATTTTGCTGGCAACTTTGGTTTTGGTTGAGATTGGGTTGAATTTGTCTCGGATGTTTCGGTTTTTGACGAACTCTTATTTTGCCTTTGTTTACGTTCGCGAAGCATTTTGATGTGTTTTTGACTGGCGGATTGGTTTTGGGCTTTTGCTGCCTTCTTCTTTTTGATCTGCAAAAATATATAGATGGAAATTACAGAGAATCTGATTATTCAGAAGTTTTTTGGGTGGATTCTGAGGGTTCTCGAGAGAAATGAGCACAATTTTAAAAACTTCTGAGTGTGAACTTGATTAAAATATTCTAGATCTGAACTCGATCCAATATTTCTTCAAAAGGTTTCTAAAAGTACTGTAGAACTGATTTTCCACGTGACCCAATTTTCAGGTTTTTATGATCCACGTGGAAAAAAATGAAAGATCTTCGAATTTTGTTTGAATTGTTTTAAATTGAATTTTCTAAGCCTAACAAGAAAGTTGAGCCTAGAAGATTCTTTTAGGCCTAAGAAAAAACTTAGGCTAAACCAAACTTTTAGGCTTAACCAACTTTAAGCTTGGGCTTAGGTTTAGCAAAACCTTTAGGCTTTACCAAATCCTTAGGCTTGAGCTTAGACAAAACATTAGGCTCATCTAGCTTTTTAATATCAAAAATGTTAAAACTTGAAAATCCCTTAGGCTCAAATAAGTTCCACTTTCAAAAATGTACACTTTTTGTGATCTTCCGCGATACAGTAATCCTGACAACAGAAAATTTCCAATAATTTTTGTCCAGCCTCACCTTCATGACAACAATAACGACAGCAATACAAATCACACCCAAAACAATAACACCACAAAATATGCCAACAACGAGATGAGTTATCCAATTGCTTGATCCACTCTTATTTTGGCCACTTGCAGACATCTCGATTTAGTAATTGAGGAATAGGAAGAAATAAGGCCAACACAGACAAATCTGCAGGGGTTTCTGATTTTCACGTGTTTTTTTTTGTTTTTTTTTTTTGAGAGATTTGGGTCACGTTTTTTTGAGTTGAAAATATTGAAATTTTCTGATTTTTACTAGACGTAGATTCGGGAAAAATAGCATTTTCATTTTTTTTTAGAAATCTGAATGCCATCTTTTTCAATCACAGTACCATTCAGAAACTTTGAAGCCTATTTTTTCGCAGATCAACTTTCAATAAAATCTCTGTAAAAAACTCCAGAAAAAATAGGAAAACAAAATCATTGCTCAGATTATACTTTTTGTTTTTGTGAATTTTTATGTATCTATCAAAACATCTCAAAATTCTGATTTTTTACAAAAAATTTAGACCTGAAATTCAGATTCTTCTTGAAATTTCAGTCTAGAAAAAATCAATTTTTGGTCCAAAAGTTTTGAAATTGATAAAAAGCTTACTTTGAAATCAGTAAAAATTACAGTAACTCAAATCCACGAGTCTGAAAATATATCCCGAATTTTTGAATCTCTACAGAACCTTTTCAATTTTTGTCCAAAAATGTCTTTTTTTTCTGGATTATTTCAAAAATGTTATACAATTTTTGTGAATTTTTAAATATTTCTTCAAAATTTTGAGAATAATGTGCGGAAGCTGAAATAAAAAAATTCCTTCGTGTGTTCTTTTGACCCTAAAAGCTGTCTATGAACAAAATTCCATCAAGTGTTGAGTGAAAAAACTTCCCTTGTCAAAAAAAAATTCCTGAAAATTTTACGTTTCAAAAAATATTTCATAATTTTTTGGTCTTTGAAATATTTGATTGATGTTCTTTTTTTTAGACATGTTTTTGTATTTAGATAAAGTTTCCGTGCCAACAAATAATCGAAATATTTTAACCCAAAAAATTACTGTTTGTAGCTCAAAACTACAGTAGCTCAAATCCAAGAGTCTGAAAAAAATCTAGAAATTTCTAGTCCCTACAGTACCCTTGCAAATTGTTCCCTTCACAATCTACAACTAGGCTAAATCCATATCCAATATCATTTTTCCTTCTTCTATCACCTGGTCATTGCGTTATCATTCGAACTTACGTCAACTTCCCTTCCCCCTTCCACTTTTCAGCTTTTAATTGTCTTTTCTTTTATTCATCTCGGTTTCACTTACCTGTTTGGCCACACAAAAAAAAAGAGAATTGATAGATATATAATTCTTTTTTTTTGTCGATTGTGTTTGTAAGAAAGAAAAAATGGCGCGAAGCGAAAAACAGGAATTCAACCAAGGAAGGAGGAGCGAAGAAAAAGAAGAAGAAGAAAAACGAAAAACGAAAAAATGAATAGCAAGAAGAATATGACAAAAAAAGAACAAGTGGATGAATTTTTGTAGTAGGCGATGAATCTTCCTCTCTTCTCTTCTTACCTATTTATTCCATCATTATTTTTATTATTCATATTTTGTTTAGTTGATTTGGCTAGTTGTCAATTTTCAGTTTATCGCATTTTACCCAAAAATCAGCAGGATTTTAGAATTATTCAGAATTTGTATAAAAATGCCACAGAATATGATGTGAGTTGGGATAATTCTGGAAAAGGGTAAACTGAAGTTGGGACCGGAAATCAGATTTGGATTTGGACATCTTGAGAATCAAATTCCATTCTCAAGTTTTCTGAATTGAGCATTTCTAAAAAAAAGTTTGAAAGATTCTAATTTTTTTTCCTAAAATAGCCTAAGTCTAAGGCTGATCTAAGCCAAACCTTACCTTTAAAAAATCTAAGCCTAAGGCTGACCGAAGTTGAGCCTAACCTAAGCCTGGCCTAGCCTAAGTTTAACCTAAGCCTAAGCCTGGGGAGGCTGACCTAGGACTAATCTAAGCCTAAGCCTAAGGCAGACCTAAGCCTAACCTGAGCCTAAGAAAAATCTAAGCCTAGTCTAAGCCTAGCTTGAGGCTAAGCCTAAAAACCTAAGCCTAACATATACCTAGCCTAATTTTAAGGTTTAACCTAAGCCTAACATAAGCCTAGCCTAATTTTAAGGTTTACCTAAGCTTAAGCCTAGTTTAACCCAATCATGACCTAACCTAGCTTAAGCCTAGCCTAAGCCTATCCTAAGCCTAGCATAAGCCTAAACCTGAGCCTAGCCTAACCTAAGCCTAAGCCTAGCTTGAGCCTTGTTTGAGCCTAGCTTGAGCCTAGCCTAAGTCTAATTTAATCCAAGCCTAACTTAAGCCTACCCTAAGCCTAAGCCTGAGGAGGCTGACCTAAGCCTACCCAAGCCTAGCAGAAGCCTAATAAGCCTAAAGTCAATCATTTTTTTCTGAAAATAATTTTTCAGGCTTTGTTTAGGCTCAATAAAAGTACTCAAAAATCAGTAAAATGTTCGAAATTCGATTAACCTGAAATTAAAATGCGAATTTGAAAATTTATGAAATTTTTTTCAGGATTTTAATTTCAGGTACACTAGAACTAAAAATCCAAGATATGAATCCCAAAAATCCCCCGAATTTTTTTTGCAGCTCAATTTTTGGAAAACGGGCAAAGACAAGCATAGTTTCTGGGATGTGATGGTCGATGCGAAAAACGAAAATTTCCTCCGCCAATTTTTATCGAATCACACAATATCACACATTAAAACGATAACAGATGTTGAAAGGTTGGTTTTCGATTTCGTTTTTTCAGTTTTCCTAATTCGAATCATGACATAATCAATTAATCGTGTTCCAGTCTAATCAATCGCCACGAAAAAAGTGCAAATACTAGTTTTTCTCGCCGTTTATTCGATGATTCGAATTCAGCTCATTACGATTTCCATACTTATGGATCATATCAAAGAATGACTGATTGGTTGAAACAATTAGTTGTCAAATATCCGAAATTAGTTCAATATATCACAATTGGTAAAACGACTGAGGGAAGATCGATTGATGGTGTGGAAATTGGTGGAGATTCGAGGACAAAGAAGATATTTTGGATTGATGGAGGAATTCATGCGAGAGAATGGGCTGCACCGCATACTGCATTGTTTTTTATTCATCAGGTAGATCGAATTTTTAAAATAGTTCAAGGAAACTTTTGAAGTGGGTAGAACCTCTTGAAAACTCACTACAACTTGCAGGTTACTGTACATAAAATTTATACAATTCCAGTTGACCTCTCGCTCAAATGAACCTGGTATCAAAAAACTACTAGATGACATCACTTTTGTGATTGTTCCCTGTTTGAATCCGGATGGTTATGAATTCACGAGATCATCTAGTAATCCACATGTTCGACTTTGGCGCAAGAATCGATCGAAAATGCAGTGTAGGAAAGATATTTGGGGAAGGAATCGGTGTTGTCGTGGAGTGGATTTGAATCGCAATTTTGATTTTCATTTTAGAGGTTGGTCCTGGGGGCTGAATCCTAAATTCAAGAGAATCAGAACTTTCTAAAATTAGGAAACCATAGATCAATTAGAACATTTTTTTCTAAAAAAAACTAGATTTTTCTAATTAATTTATGATTGTCTGGGAATGTTCTTTGATGATTTTTCATTCCTTTTTTCGAAAAGGTTTCCAAAAAAAAACCTGGAACTTTTTTCACGACCTTTTACAGGGTAAATCGGGAGAGACACAGAGAAAACGAGAAAACTTCTTCAAAAAAAAATCCAAAACACGAAATTCACAAATCATTTTATCTATCGTTTCGAAACCAAGCCCGGGAAACGTTTTTGAATTCGAAAATATTTGAAAAACATGCTTCCCGCGCTTGGTCTCGAAACGAGGAGTCGAACTGCAAATGGAATTGGTGCTTCGTATTTCCATTTCTCAACGTGCAATTTTCCCTATTTTTGAAAGACCGTGTTTTTTTACCCTTATTCAGTCCTCCCAATCCATTTTTTCTCAGAAAGTGGTACCAGCGATGATCCATGTTCGGAAATCTATCAAGGATCAGGACCCTTCAGTGAGCCAGAATCAAGAGCTGTTCGCGATGCACTGCTCTCCGCAAGATATAAGGGAAGAACTGAGGGATACATAACACTTCACACCTATTCACAAATTTGGATTCATCCCTACGGCCATAAAAAAGATGCGTATCCAGGTGACATAAAAGATCTCTATGAAGTGGGGAAGAAGGCGGCAAATGCTTTGAAACGCGTTTATGGAACGAAATATATTGTGGGAAGTGGAGCTGACACACTTTATCCGGCTTCTGGAGGATCCGAAGATTGGGCTAAGCATGAGGCAAAAGTCAAATTCGTCTATTTACTTGAGTTGCGGCCCGATGAGAAGAGTTAGTTTAACTTATATGTAAAGAAGTTTTGGACAAACAATCCTAATTTTTCTGTAGATTGGGACGGATTCATATTGGATGAGAAGGAGCTGATTCCAACTGCCAGGGAGACTTGGGAAGGTGTTCGAGTTGTTGCTGAGGCTGTGGTTGAACGAGTTCAAGCATCGAAGACGGCGACGCCGAGAGGTAGAGTTATATCAAGGTGCTTTTATGGGTGGTGGCTTTTACTAACTAATAAACTTCTGGGAAGAGAGAGAGAAAGAGAGAGAGAAAGAGAGAGAGAGAGAGAGAGAGACGCAGAGAGCGACAGACAAAGTCGTTTCGAGACCGAACGCGGGAATTTTTTTTTTTTTTTTGAATTCAAAATAATCAAGTTTCCCGCGCTAGATTTCAAGACAATATATCAAATTTTCAAATTTTTCTGAATTTTTTTAAAAATAAAATCCTGAATTGCTCAGGTAAAAAAAACTATTTTTCTTATAATTTTAAAGGCATTGCTCATGTCAGATTATACCATTTTCTAAAAAAAAACGGAACACAAATTATATTGATTCTCCAGCTTTCTCATTGCTCAGATTAGTTCGTATCAAATCCCGAATTGCTCAGGTTATAGAAAAACTTCTAGAATTTTTAATTTCAAAGGCATTGCTCAGTTTAGTCTTTGTTCTCTCTAAAACTTTTGCTCAGATTATACAATGTTCTATTTTTATTTTTTTACACCCGTTGCTCATGTTAAGCAAGAAAATCCGCGGGGAAAATTCAGAATTTCAGACTGATTTTTTAGACTTTAAAAAACAAAATCCCGAATTTGCTCAAAAATTTTGAAATTTTTAATTTTAATTAGGCATTTCTCAGGTTAGTTTTTCTTCCTTTCTTTCAAAAAATCCCAAAACTCCCGGGAAGAAATTTCCCGTTTCAAAAAATTCCCAAAATTCAAAATTCAAAAATTCTAGCATAACTTTCTCAGAAGCCTAGAAAATTGTTCTTTTTTTCCCAGTTTGAGAATTAGATTTGGACTATTAAATTATTTACACACCGTGATTGGGAAAGCTTCAGAATTTTCTAACACTCTGTATTCAAAAAAAACCTCCAAAACTAATTTCCTAAATTTCCAGAAGCGCCCAAAGCTCGCGGCTTTCGATTCGGCGACGGGACGGAAGGCTCTTGCTTTGACATCCGACACGCCTGTAAACGATGGGTTCAGGAACGTGAAGAGCTATGCAAAACGGTTCCAATATTCATGCGTGAAAACTGCGCATATTCTTGCTCATTTTGCTAATTGTTTTGTATTTTTATTTGCTTTTATTTGTAAATACATACAAATAAATAAATATATATTATTTAAATATATTTAAGTAAGTTGAACAGGAAGGAAATGAACTCAACTCATTTCATTTCAATTCACCCTCTCACGTTTTGTTTGTTTTGTTTTGGTCTTGCGCGAGCGAGCCGCTGCTTCTTCTTCCAATTCCTTTGTCATCGCGGCGAGGGTCACAACACGACAAATATGTCGAAATGTCAAAAAGTGTTCTTTTGAGGCCATTTTGCTCGTCGCGCGCCCCTCGAAAATGCGATACTTTTTATCATTATTTTTGTATTTTTTATTAATTCATTCAGCGATTTCAATACATAATGAGGAAACACCATTTGCATATCACAAGTGAGATTAGACTTTCTGAATCCCAAAATTAATTTTTTTTTAATTAATTTCAGTTTCAAACTAATCCGAATAAATCCTGAAACTCAGGAGAATGTTAAATATTTACGCGAACTTTACGAGGATTCTTCACCATATGAGCTGGATTTCTGGCAACCTCCGACACAGATTGGTGCAATTGTTGATGTGACAGTTGCACCGTCTGATGCACCATTGTTTGTGAAGGATTTGGAGGCGAAAGGGTTGAATTATATTGTGGCGGTGAATGATTTATCGAAGTGAGTTAGGGGTTCCAAACATAGTCGCTCCGGGGACCCTTGAGTTAACCGCCCTTCTAGGAAATATTTTCAAAAAATTAACCCCCCTAACCAACTTTTTGTGGGTTTTGGCCTCTAAAAGTATGAAATACTCCACAATTTTGAAAAGTTAAGGGCCCTACCTTCAAAAATGCCGCTAAAGTTAACCCCCCTCCGACCGAATTCGGAGTCCCATGGTTCCAAAGCTGCAGAAACCCGGAAAGCAAAAATGGTTAAGGTTTAAACCCGATCTAAAACCGAACCCAAAGATCAAACATCAAAATTTTCTGCCCTAAAATCATTTTTATGATATCTAGGTTCAAGGCTTCAGGGAGAACAGACCTCGGGGTTTCCAAATAAAATTTTTCAGAGCAATCGAAAATGAAAGGGGAGCTGATGTATTTTACAATCCATCAAGCGGCTTTGCTTATGATAAATACAATTCTCTGGAAGAAATCCACACCGAGATGAAAAGATTGAAAAAAGAATATCCAACAATGATAACATTGATAGACATCGGACAAAGTCATGAAAACCGCACCCTTCTAGTCATGAAAATCACTGGAAAACGAAATCCACTTGGCTCGAAAATCTCAATGTGGATTGACGCCGGAATTCATGCGAGAGAATGGATTGCGCCAGCTACAGCGATGTATATGGCACATGAGCTGATTATTGGGTATGATAATGATGCGACAATCGCGAAAATGATGGATCATATTGATTTTTATTTCTTGCCAGTTATGAATCCGGATGGTTATGAGTATTCGAGATCGAAGAATCGAATGTGGAGGAAGAATCGGAGCCCGGCAAAGTGTCATCGACAACATTTTAGCACTGTTTGTTGTCAAGGGGTTGATCTTAACAGAAATTTTGATTGGTTCTGGGCATGTAAGTTTAGCAAATTCCTTTTTTCACAATCAGAAAACTCTATGTTTAGCAACCGGTTCATCCAATGACCCCTGCCACGACACTTTCCATGGCACAGCTGCATTTTCCGAACCCGAATCTCAAGCAGTTCGAGATTTCCTAGAGCAAAACACTCCGGAAGCCTTTATCTCACTTCATTCCTATTCTCAAATGTGGTTAATTCCATACGGACATCGGAAACAAAGTTATCCACAAGATTATCATACTGGTTTGAGGCCATTGGCACTTCGAGCAACAAAAGCGCTATACGAATTGTATGGCACAAAATATCAAGTTGGAACTGGAGCCGATCTTATGTGTGAGTCCCTAGATTTATTGATCTTACAAATATTTGTCAAATTTTTATAGATGAGGCATCTGGTGGTTCTCATGATTGGGCAAAGGGACAGTTGAAAGTTCCATATGCGTATCTCATCGAACTTCGCCCGAAAAACACAATGCTTGGACATGGATTCTTATTGCCTGAACGTGAAATTGTTCCAACCGGACTCGAGACTTTCGAATCGATTAAAGTCGTTGCCGATGAACTTATCGCTCAATTTGTTGAACCTGTGATAAGATCGAAATTGATTTCCAGTAAGCTATTGATTCGAGTAGGTATGCAAAAATCAATGATTTTCAGCACCTCCCCCAATTCGTCGAGGTTATTCAATAATTGATACAACCACTACTACAAAAATCGAACCTTCTACTGAAACATCTACAGAAGCTGCAACCACAACCACAGAAGCGTCGACAACTACCCAGGAGTCCACTTCCACCTCGACTTCAACAACAACATCCACCACAACTTCAACAACACCAGAACCTATCACTGAAACCGAAGCCGAAACATCTACAATCGGTAATAACATCGAGGAAGAGGAAGCGACAACACAACCATCAATAAAATGTGTAGACTACGGCGATTATTGTCGATTGTGGGGTGTTCTACAACTTTGCTATCGAGATCAAGTCACCAAATTGTGTCCGAAAACGTGTGACACAAGATGCTCTTTTCAATCTTAGGTGGACGAATTGAGATTTATTGATTGTTTTTGTATTATTTTTGACCAGTATGACATATTGTCAATTATAAATCGTGTATTTTTTGAAAGAAAATATTTTGAAATAGATTTTCGGGCCTAGATTTTGATGAGTTCACCTAACTTTTTTCAATTTTTCCGAAATCCCTCCCCAAAAAACTCACCAATCGCTTCTATTTCTCCTCACATCCAAAATCATTTTGACCCTGAAAACACAAAAATTTCAATCGAAACAGTGTTCCTCTAGAAAAAACCCACATTTCTGCGATAATCCTCGAATTTTCCGTTGGAAGCGATAATTCCAGCCTTGTAGAACATCTAAAAATTCAATTTTTGACTGAAATCCACTAATTTTCCCCGGAAACCTGAAAACGCAGCGAAAAAAAAACGAAAAATGAAAATATTCTCGTGTTGCGCTAAACAGCGGGCAAGCGGGAGTGTCGTTGTAAATACTTTCAATTTTCGTTTTTTTTTCGCTGGGTTTTCAGGTTTCCGGGGAAAATCAGTGGATTTCTGTCAAAATTTGAAATTTTTAGATGTTATTTATGGACCATTTTGATGGACAATTGGATTTCAATGTCAATAATGTGGAAAACTTGGAGGATTTCGGATTTTCGATGATTTTTGAATGAAATTTGAGAAATAGAAGCGATTGGTGAGTTTTTTGGGGAGGAAAAATTGAAAAATCGATAAAAAATTCTGTGACAATTGAAAAATATATGAAAATCATGAAAATATCTTTAAAAATTGGAAAAAAGTTAGGCCAACTCATCAAAATCTAGTTTTCACTAAATTACAAAATGAAAAGAATCAGAAATAATTATTCATTGGAAAAAAAATGTCCCGCCTCCCGATTCGCGTGAGAATTTTTTTATTCTGCGACAGGCATTTCTATCTTTTTAATAAAGTCCCGATTGGGTGGTACAAAAACAAAAGATTAAATAAATTTTTTTTCGAAAAATTTATCGATGACTTCATCCATGGCAAAATTAGGAAGCCTTCCTGATTTTGCCACGACTCATTTTTTGATCAAAAAACTCGAAATTTTTCATGAATTCAATCGTAATTCTTCTTCTTAACCTCTTTCGAGTACATTTAATACAAAAAAATATTAAATAACTTTTTTTTTCAAAAATTTATCGATGACGTCATCCATGGCAAAATTAGGAAGCCTTCCTAATTTTGCCACGACTCATTTTTTGATCAAAAAACTCGAAATTTTTCATGAATTCAATTGTAATTCTTCTTCTTAACCTCTTTCGAGTACATTTAATACAAAAAAATATTAAATAACTTTTTTTTTCAAAAAATTTATCGATGACGTCATCCATGGCAAAATTAGGAAGCCTTCCTAATTTTGCCACGACTCATTTTTTGATAAAAAAACTCGAAATTTTTCATGAATTCAATTGTAATTCTTCTTCTTAACCTCTTTCGAGTACATTTAATACAAAAAAATATTAAATAACTTTTTTTTCAAAAATTTATCGATGACGTCATCCATGGCAAAATTAGGAAGCCTTCCTAATTTTGCCACGACTCATTTTTTGATAAAAAAACTCGAAATTTTTCATGAATTCAATTGTAATTCTTCTTCTTAACCTCTTTCGAGTACATTTAATACAAAAAAATATTAAATAACTTTTTTTTCAAAAATTTATCGATGACGTCATCCATGGCAAAATTAGGAAGCCTTCCTAATTTTGCCACGACTCATTTTTTGATCAAAAAACTCGAAATTTTTCATGAATTCAATTGTAATTCTTCTTCTTAACCTCTTTCGAGTACATTTAATACAAAAAAAATATTAAATAACTTTTTTTTTCAAAAATTTATCGATGACGTCATCCATGGCAAAATTAGGAAGCCTTCCTAATTTTGCCACGACTCATTTTTTGATCAAAAAACTCGAAAATGTTCATGAATTCAATTGTAATTCTTCTTCTTAACCTCTTTCGAGTACATTTAATACAAAAAAATATTAAATAACTTTTTTTTCAAAAATTTATCGATGACGTCATCCATGGCAAAATTAGGAAGCCTTCCTAATTTTGCCACGACTCATTTTTTGATCAAAAAACTCGAAATTTTTCATGAATTCAATTGTAATTCTTCTTCTTAACCTCTTTCGAGTACATTTAATACAAAAAAATATTAAATAACTTTTTTTTCAAAAATTTATCGATGACGTCATCCATGGCAAAATTAGGAAGCCTTCCTAATTTTGCCACGACTCATTTTTTGATCAAAAAACTCGAAATTTTTCATGAATTCAATTGTAATTCTTCTTCTTAACCTCTTTCGAGTACATTTAATACAAAAAAATATTAAATAACTTTTTTTTTCAAAAATTTATCGATGACGTCATCCATGGCAAAATTAGGAAGCCTTCCTAATTTTGCCACGACTCATTTTTTGATCAAAAAACTCGAAAATGTTCATGAATTCAATTGTAATTCTTCTTCTTAATCTCTTTCGAGTACATTTAATACAAAAAAAATATTAAATAACTTTTTTTTTCAAAAATTTATCGATGACGTCATCCATGGCAAAATTAGGAAGCCTTCCTAATTTTGCCACGACTCATTTTTTGATCAAAAAACTCGAAATTTTTCATGAATTCAATTGTAATTCTTATTCTTAACCTCTTTCGAGTACATTTAATACAAAAAATATTAAATAACTTTTTTTTTCAAAAATTTATCGATGCCACGACTCATTTTTTGATCAAAAAACTTGAATCTTTTCATTTGATTGTAAGTCAATTCCACAGAAAATTGACAATAATCACAGAAAAAAGTGGAACTGAAATAAATAAGAAGACTGTTACACCTGATCAAGAATTATGCCTGTGTGAAAAAACGAAGCGATGTTAGCACACATCGAAACACTTGTTGTGACGCCAAATTTTCAGTGATTTCGCTTTTTATAAGGGAGAGACCATTCAACGAAAACATTACATTTCACAGTATTTTTTCATTTTTTTGCGCGGGCTTGAGCGGATTTTTGAAATTTTTGTGAGAAAATACAGTTTCATTGAATGTAGACAAAATAAACAGATACAGAAAAATGAGAAAACCTGAAAGGTGGACAAAAACGTGAACATAAAACCCGAAAAATCAGAATCGATGGCAAAAAAATAATAATTTTAATGTTAGATCAGTCCGAATTTGAGTTTGGACCAAGTGGTGTCATTTCTTGACTCAGCGGAGAATTTGGTGACGAATTGGTGACACCAAGAAGATGGTTCAAGTTGAAGCGGAACCATGAGAGAGGAATCTGTGAATAGGAGAGTTGATATAACTAATTTGGGTCTCAAAAACATACCTGCGCAAGAATTGCCGGAAGAAAGACAAGTCCATGATAAAGACCAAAAATCACAACTAAAGCAATGGTTTTGACAAACACCAAAGGCAGGTAATTTTGAAGATGAACCAGTGGCAAAATACAAAGCAGTGTTGAAAATGCCGATTGAATCATTGGCCAAGAAATATTGATCAACGTATTTTTGACACGAAGTTGCGGTGTATTCAATTGTATCACATTTCCACGCGCATCTTCGTAATGATCAACTTGATAATGATAGGTTGTATGTGCCACAAAATCAACAGCCATTCCAATTGCAACAAGATTCGCGCAAAGAGAAACGGGATCCAAATCGAGTTGCCAAAACGATAAATAACCAGTGACACCAAGAGAAATTGAGAGAATCGCAAGTGTTGCGGTTATCACAGACACGGGATTTTGAATAAATAGAAGACAGACAATCGCCATACATAACAATGTGATTATTGCATTTTGAATTGCTAATGGTTTTAGACTCAACATCTGATCGACGAACATTGCATTCACATTCCAAACTGAAGCATTTAGAGCGGGATATGAATCGACGATTGCACGCCATTCTAGTTGCGCATCGATTCGATCCTCCCAAGATGTACTGTTGTGATAGACGAATGTTATTGCGAAACGTCGGAGGGGCACTCTGTAAGTTCAGGATTTCTAGGAGGTGGTGGAAAATACACAGAGTGTTTTTACTAGAGTCAACTCAAAAGTGAGAGACTTAGAGAAAAATATTTTTGATCTACCAAGAAAGGGTTTTGAGAAATTAGATGTCAAAGGGTTGCTCCAAATATTTTCAGAGCTTTGTTAGATTTTCATTTTGTGTTTAGTTTGGATTTTGGATTTGAAAAGACTTCCTCGTGATAAAAATAGAATCTAGACTTCTAATTTTAATCGGGGCCACGCAGGACAAATGATGAGAGACGCAGAGAAATTTTGAATTCAACTTTTTTTTGAAAAAAATGTTTCCCGCGCTCGATCTCTGCGTCTCTCTCTCTCTGCGTCTCTCTCTCTCTCTCTCTGCGTCTCTCTCTCTCTCTTCGCAAAATTTTTCCAACCAAACTTTGCTCAGATTTTTATCTGACTGAAAATAATCAGAAATCACGCGACTGAAAAAATTGAGATATCAATTTTATCAGCAAAATTGTCTACAGTACCCCCCTCCTTACGATGTTTCTTTGATTTTTCTCATTTCGTTGCTCCCAAAATACTTTTAACTATATGTATTTTCCCGGTGATGATAAAAAAGTGGCATAGTTAAAACTAAACTGCACTGATAACTCACTTTTCATTCAGATCAATTTTTATGGTTCCCTTGTGATGTTTGTAGTGAGGATTTTCGACGAATTTTTCAAGATATGTGAAATCGAGAGATGTTGGTTTAGTCCCTTCTTCTGTTGAATCGGCATCATAATCAAAATCATTCTTATTTGTATCCCAAAAGAAGTGAATGTAATCGCGGAGCCAAGAAATTGTGTACAATTTTCCACGGCATTTTGGAGAGTTTTCAAAATCGCCTACAAGTTTTTCGAATTCTTCAACTTGTTTAGCATTCGTTATATCAAAAGGGGTATTAATCATAATTGTGACCGGATAGAATTCCTTCCAAACATATTCCTCAATCAATCGATTTGGTTTCCTAACCGGTGTATCTAATGGTAGAATCTTTGCCGTATCCAACTTCGATTCGAGTCCAATTGTACCCAAAGTCCCGAAAGTTGCATAAACAATCCATCCAATAATCAAAATTGCGCATGTTATCTTACTACAAATTATTTTACAATAAATATCCAACAATTTATCCATCCGTTTTGTATTCGTAACCGGCTCATGAACCCGTTTCTTCAAAACCAAAACCAATAACGGGCAGAAGAATACAATTGTGAATACATAGGCCAAAAGTAGAGCGATTCCACAACCTAGGCAAAATATCGACATTTCTTCCGTCGGCGAGAACCATCCGATTAAAAATGTCACAACATTTGTTAGCGTTGTTGTCGTAATCGATGGTCCAACTTCATGTAAAACTCTTCGCATTTTTTCGGATGAACTTTGAGTTGGATCTTGTCTGACCCATGCATGCAAAGTCAAAAAAGCATCATTCACACCTATTCCGTTGATCAAAAATGGCATGATTAATAGAGGAGAATTGGTTCGAAATCCCGAAATATTATTCAAACCCAATGTTGTTGTGATTGCAAATGTTGGAACTAACGCGCAGGAAATACCAATAAATATCATCCGATAATTTGCGAACCCGTAATAATATGCGGAAAGATATACTGTTGAAATAACGAATAGAAGCATTGCAGAAAACCCGACAATGAAGTATGGTGTCATTTTTTGAGCATCTTTGTTCATTTCAACGTCGACGATTTCAGCGCTAAGAACCTGGAAAAAAATTTCATATCCCTTTTTCGTCTCGCGTCTCTTCTTCACACACACTATCTCGTTTGTGAAATTATTTTTTTTTTGCAGCCAAAAAACTCACATGAATCTCTAGGAAATTCTCCGGATTCGCAGTATATTCTTGACAATAATCGAAAATCTCCAATTCCCATTTTCCAAGTCGCTCGAAATCCTCCAAAGTCTTCACCTCAGTCATCACAGAAAACGAGATGATTTTAGTGTATTCAATATTGGTAATATTTGTATTATTATCATCCATCATTTCCAAAATCGAAATATCTGTCGAGATTTTTTCATCAACAATTGTGCCGAAAAGATTGCGCTCCAGATGGAGAAGTTGGTTCATAATTGTGGCAAATGGATAAGTTAGATAATATCCTGGTGTTGTTGGTTGGGCTGTTTTTCTGGCTAGTGCATTCTTGAACATTCGAACTGGCTCGTTTGATTGGCAATAATGACCGCAGAAATTTTCAAATCTCACTTCACCATCAGATGTTTGAGCCGAGATATTTTGTGAAATAAAATCCCACTGCCTCACAGCCTCCTCGATATACTCAAGCCTATGCATTGATCCATTATCCTTTGCCAAAACCAAAATTGATGTCATGACTGGATCACCTTCGGAGCCCAAAAACCAGCGAAATGCTTCGTTTTCGGCGCGAGCACGCGAGTATTTTGGACAATATCCGTCGCGAACATTATCCCGAAGTTTGAGACCGATCAAACCGACTGCAAGGCTTACAGTAATTATTTGTTTGCGATACACAAAGTTAGCGAATCTTCGAAATTTTCGTGGGAAATTTTGACAACTTTTTTCCACTTTAATTGAAATATTTTTGTGAGAAACTTTTTTTACTGTAACGAGATAATTATTGCAAAAAGTTGGCAAAGTGGAAAATTTCGTAAGAATTTTTTCCATCGATTGAAAAAATAGAAAACTTCAAAGGAATTTTTTCGAAATCGACGAAAAAAAATTTTGGTTCAAAATAAAGAAAATAAATTTTGGAGATCAAAAACTGAAAAGTTTCAGATAAAATTCAGAATTTAAAATTTCAAATTTAAAAATAGATCCTAGCCTGTTTTTTTTCAAACTTTAGGGATCAAGAAATTCAGTCAACATTTTTTAAATTTTTTTTGCAATTCGGAAACCTGTGATTCTTGTGTTTCAAAAATTCAGAAAAAAATTCAACCAAAATTGTTTGTCCACACAAAAGTGAGAGATTTAGAGAAAAATATTTTTGATCTACCAGAAAATGTTTTTAATTATAGACTGTGTAAAATGAGCTACCAAATTAAAATTTTCAAAAGTTTCTTCTAGAATCTGAAGCCCCAAACTCACATGAAGGCAAAAGCAACAGCACAGTCACAATCAAATAAGCCCACGGATTTTTGCCGATCGAACTTCCGATTGATTGAAAAATGACACGAAGTGTCATTTTTTGAAAAGGCATCAAAAGTTCGGCGGTTTTTCTTCGCTGATTTGTAGTATTTGTGTTAGAAATTGAAGTGGGACGAGTCTGATTCACCAAAGTCTCACCTTCATTCATCTGAAAACTGTATATTTTTCGGGGAGGAGTTGGTTTTCGGGAGGAAAATTGGTGTGAGAAAAAAGTTTTGGAAAATTCGAAAAAAAAAACAACAACATGTCCCCGGAGAGAGGAGAAATGAATGAGCTGACGATAAGAAAATTTTTCATATTTTTTTTGAGGGAAAAAAGTTTACTCCTGATATGATTTGTGAACCGTGTGATAAAAATCAACAATGTTCGAAAAAAAAAATTTACAGCCTTCTAAAAAATTCGAAAAAAATTTTCCGTGGTCTAAAAATTTCAGAAAAAATTCCTAGACCTTCTAAAATTTCAGAAAAAGGTTCCCAGCTATTCTGAAAATTTTCACTGCCTTTTAAAAATGTTCAGAAACATTTTCTGAACTTCTAGAGAGATTTAAGGCCTTCTAAAAGATCGTAGAATTTTTTTAGGGCTTCTAAAATTTTTACAGCCCTTAAAAAATTCAGAAAATTTTCACAGACTTCTAACACATTTTTTAAAATAAAAAATTTGTTTCTCAAAAAACTTCAGTTTTCTTTGAAAAAATGAAACAAAAAGAACACTTGAAACAGCCAACAAAAAAAGTCTGATATGTGTTGATTTTTAGCAGTGTTTTGTTTTGTGAGGCCATTTCATTTCATTTTTTTTTTGGGATGGTGAGAGAGTGTTGAAAAACCGGTTGCGGAGAGAAAAATTGAGAGGGAGGGACATGAAAAAAACTAGGGAGAAATTGATTAGTTTATTTTTTTTCTGTGTTTTTTTGTTTTGTGAAGGGTTTACTGGCTGCACACAGTGCAATAATATAAGGGTCATAAATAAATTGATAATAAAAATAAGAATATAATGTGTTTTATTAGCCTACAAACTTTTATCAGAGTTTTTTTTTTTGAAAAGAAACTGTAAATAATTCTTGCTACTGACTGATTGTGTAAAAATTGCTTGGTACTGAAAAAGCTCTCAAAAATTGATTGCAGGGTTGAGTTTCGTTTCAAATTTATATAAAAATATTTTCCGGGAAAACTGGAAAATTATATGTTTAGTTCTCACATCAGTTTCCTCTTCACCAACATTTTCCCACCAGGAGAAAAAAGAGATATGGTCGAGATGGTAGCATTTTTGCCTGCCATGCATAAGGCCAGGGTTCGGGTCCCCCTGCGCGCTAGGTTTTTTTATTTTTGAACAAACTTTTTTTCGAATTCCGAAAAAAATAGAAAATTATCACATGAAAGAAAAAAATCAATGAATCTATTAATAATGGAAAATTATGAAAGAAATTTCCAGAAAAAATGGCTGGTTTTTGGTTTTATCGATTTTCAGGTCAGAAAAAATTCATGAAGAAATTTTCGAGAAAACAAATTCCCTAGAAACTTATTTCTAATTAGTTCAATTTGCTCATAGAAAATGTTAGAGACGCAGAGAGGCTAGAGAAATTAGAGAAGCGAGAGAGGTGAGAGACTCAGAGGAACTTATCTTCATTATTGATTTTTTCGAGGTAAAAAAATGAAAAAAATTCAGAAAAGCTTCTAAATTCTCCAAAAAAAAAACAAATCAGATAAACTTTTCGAGAAAAATCAAAAGATCGTGCAAGAAAAAGTGCAAGTCTTTCGAATTTCGCTTTTTATTTTTGGCTGTCAGAGAAAAAAGTGTAATGTATTATATATCATGTTTTTTGCAACACAGAAAAAATTCATGGAACAAAAAACAAATGATTTTTTTGTTTCGTTGAGAATATGAATGAAATGAAAGGGCGTGGTCAATTTTTGTCCTGAAGAGATTTTCCGGAGATGATTCATAGAATTTGAAAAATCACCAAAAAAATCTTCAGGTTTTATCGATTTTCAGGCGGAAAAAGGTTTATCAACAAAAAAATAGGAGAATTTGTTAGAAAATAAATTCCCTAGAAACTTATTTCTAATTGGTTCAATTTGTACTTTGTTTGAAAAAAAAAAGAAAAATTCATAGAAAAAGTTAGAGACGCAGAGAGGCTAGAGAAATTAGAGAAGCGAGAGAGGTTAGAGAATCAGAGGAACTTATCTTCATTATTAGTTCAATTACTCAAAAAATTAAATTTTTTTCCAAATTAAAAAAATTCAAAATTTAAAATTTTTCAAAATTAAAAAAACAATTTTCACGTGAAAAAAAAAATTAAAGTTCACGTAAATTATTTTTTTTCATTTCGAGATTATTCTTAATTTCTAACCAGTCAGCAAAAATTATTAAAGTGAGTTAGCCTAACTCTTCACACTTTGAAGAATAAAATGATCCAGCGTTGATAAAATAAAAGGGCGTGAAAAACAGTTTTCCTTCTGTTTTTTTGGGGAATGATTCATTATTTATAATGTGATTTTTTATTGTTTTTATTTCACATTTCACATACAAAAAATATGATACAATATTTTTTGTGGGGAAAAAAACAAAAAGAAAGAACATATAGTTATTTATATGTTGAAAAATATATAGATTTCAAAAAACTAGTGTTTACTCTCGAAAAAAAAGAACTCACTAATATTTGCCAAGATTTTTCGTGTTGGAAAATGAAATGAGTAAGAGTTATTGAACTCTTGTCCTGTCTTGTCTCCACGGAAAAATTTGAACTCAAAAGTTTTTTTCTCAAAATTTCATAAATTTTCACACAAAATATCCGAAAGCTGTGCAAATATTTAGGAATTCCGCAAAAATAAAATCCCATAAAAAAATAAAAGGGCTACAGTATTTCACAAAAAAACTTTCAAAAAGTGACGAAAAAAGAAAGAAATAATAAGATTTGGACCTCCCAAAAAATGTACAAAAAGTTCAACTTTTTTTCGAACAAACTCAATTAGAGTTTCTCCAAGTTCGTTTTTTTTCAGCAAAAAATATGAGAGAAACAAATCAATAAATGAAATAAAATAATATAATTTTTCAATGTGTGATGTCTTTCTACCTGCCAACCGCAACCAGATCCACTTTCGATTTCAACTAAAAAAAAAAATACATACCAGAAAAAATGTAATTATAATTTCAAGTGACTAGAGTTTCTTTTTTAAATAGGGTAGACCTTAAAACTTAATCAAGCGATAATAAATTGATTAGGATCTACTTTTTTTCGAAAGTGATGTGTGTTACTGAAAAAGTATAAAATGTCAAAGTCAAGAAATTTGTAACAGATGGAAATGCAGCTGGGTGTGCACTTCTTCCATATAAAACATGTGCTCATTGAATAGAGACGCAGAGGAAGGGACCATTGACCGGTCGGGAGGGTGGTTGGTGCATTTCCTGGGTGCGAAAAGAAGAAAGGAGGGAGGAGAAAATGTGTCACTTGCTGATTTATTGTACTAGAAAAAAGTTCATCTAAGTTTCATCAATGTGGGAATTCAATTAGAAGCAGAATTTACTTAAAACCGGAAAAAACAACAGACACATTTTAATAACAAGTCAAAAACAAACAGTATCTGCAAGATCAAATGTGAAAAAACGAATTGGAATTACATGGTGAGGCTCATGATGGCGTTCACAATGTCGTTGTCGGATTCCTTGAGGGCACGGATGGCCTTGTTGCGAGAGGTGTTGGCTTGGGAGATGACAAGTTCGATGTCTTTCTCCTCGATTCCGGTCGAATCTTCCTCAACATCTTCGTTTTCGTCTTCTTCGACAGTCTTGAGTTGTGGAGCCTCACGTTGTGGCTTCATGTTCTCGATGGCGGACATTTGAGCGTGTTGGTTAAGATCCTCAATCTTGGCTTCACCGAAAACAATGTAGGTGTCAGATCCTGGGCTCTTGAATACGTCTGGTTTGTTGATGACGAAGAGAATGTTCTTCGATTTACGGATGCAGACACGGGAAACTCCGGTGACTTGCTTGAGTCCAAGTTTGGAGAAGAGCTTGCGAGCCTATAAAAATAAGAATAAATTTTCATTCTCAAAAATAAAACAAAAAATGTTACCTTCTTCTCAGAACGGCTTTGCTTAGCTTGCTTGTCGACTTGATCTCCGAGTCCAGCGGCTTCAGCAACACGTCTTTGTTCTTCGGTCAATTCATGATCTCCTCCTTCGTTGTCAGAGTCGTCCGAAGCGTCAACTTGTGGCTGCAACGAAAATCTCACAACTATCGCACCGTTAAATTGTTAACAAACCTCCTTTACTGGCTCGTCCTTGTTGCGGATTTCGGTGCTTCCGGTCATTGTTTTGTTTTGTGAACCCTGAATAATATGGTAAGATTAAAGAATTAAAATCAATCAATCAAGATAACTATGCGATCATAAACGCAACAATAAAAAATATAATCATTGAAAAAAAATCAAATAGAACTTTATTACAACCGAAAAAAGAATACGATAACTAAAAAGAGATTAGATCATACACAAAAATATAAGTTGATACCGATTCAATTCTGCACAGAAACGACCAGCGCGTGCGAATAAATAGTATCCGGAAGGCAATTATCTATACAATCACAACAAGGCTTTCAAATCACGACCTACAATCTTTTCTACAATGGAAAAGCCGAGAATGAAAAGGGCAAAATAATTACATACCCAAAAGCCTAATCAATATCACACCACATGAATTATCACAAACCTCGGAAAATACAATTAATACAATTTCTACTCATTACCGAATCCTTCCGTCATTTCGATAGCCATGTTTAGCTTTTCAGCCAATTGCTCATAGCTACGATATGGCGGTAAATCTAGTCGATTGAAGCAGGTGTGAGATCGAGGAAGCCAGTTTTCTTTTCCAACTCTTTCAATGCAGAACAATTGAGGACCAGTGGAACCCATAAGTTCGGCAAAACCACCAACAGGCACACGACATGTTCCTGTGACGAATTGAAGAAGTCTGGCTCGTTTTTCTTGATCCAAACTTCGCACCCATTGCCAGAACCACGCGACTTGTTTGCTTTGAGGAGCATAATGGCGATAAACTGTGTTTCGTTGCCAATCATCCACATCAACATCTTGCATACCACAAAGAAGCAATTCAAGTTCTCTTTCATCGAAATATTGCATCCATTCGAGAGGGAACACTGAATTGAAACCAGTGAAGAACGCCTTCGTCTGTTGCTCAACTCCTCGATTGAAACGCCATTCCACCAACAATTCGATATATTCGAGCTTGTTGGCTTCCGTAACCGCAATGTTGGTTCCACCTTCTTTCAATTCGTGTGATTTGACTTCTCCCAACAATTCAAAATCGGCAACAAAGTAGAGTTCCATTTCACACTCATCGATGTTGTTTTCTTTGATCCACATCAGCGAGTTGTAAATTTCTGAGTCAACTTGTTCGATATCCTTCAAAGCAATCTTTTTATTGAGCATTTTTTTGTAGAATGGCATGGTGAACCCGCTATAGATGAATTTTCCGTGGAAAAGAGCCTGAAAATTATTTTATTGAAGTTTTTCTTCTGTATCTTAATCACTCACCATTGCAATAAATCGACCAATGTATTCGAAGTATTTGAGATGATCAGGATTGACAAATGAAGCTGGATTAATTTGTAAACTGTAGTTGTTGTTACCCGCATACATGAAAAGACAATACATTGGATTGAGAACTTCGTGTGACAACAAAAAGAACCATTCTCTGAAAAAAGTAAAAAATTAATTATTAATTCGAAGGACAAACAAAACAAACCTTGCGACACCTCCGTAATCCAATCCTTCTTCGCCTTTGAATTGAATATACAATCTTCGTCGCAAATCCACAGCATTTTTCCTCATTATTTCTTGGAATGAATCCTCGAAAACATTGTTTCTTGAAACCGTAATTTTGACATGATTTGGAACACTATTTGAAAGACATAAATATCGGAATTGCGCGATTTTCCAACGGAAACTCTTCTCGATTGCCATTTGAACACCAGCAACGCCCAATGGTCCAACTGGTTTTCCGGTTCGAGGATCATTGTAAGTTGTGCTTTTGGATTGATGATCAATGAAGAACGGAACACCTTGCTCGGTGAACCGCATTTCCCAACCGTCTGGAAGTGGTTGATCTGATCCTCCTTGTGTTCTTGGATCTTCCCATTGAGTTGTTCTATTTACATGGTTGACGAAATACATTCGACCAGTATTTGGATCTTGTCGTTTTTCCCAGCCATCCGGAAGTGGTCCCAACGGATCATCAGCGTTGAAGTTATTCTGTTGCAACAAGAATCGTTGTTCCCATTGCATCATTGCCTGATCTCTTCCAGACTGCCATTGTTCGTGAGCTTCGAGCATATCAGCAGTTGGACGTTGCCAAGTTGTAGTTCGTGTATTGTGATCAACATAATACACTCTTCCACGTGGATCTCTTCTCATTTCCCAACCAGATGGGAGTGGTTGTGTTGATGGCTTTTCCCAGGTGGTACTTTTGGTGGTATGATCAACATAGTATTTCCGTCCATATTGATCGAAGCGCATCTCCCAACCATCAGGAAGTTGTTCATCTGCAACTGGTTGAGCAGCTGCATTTGCTTGCGGAGCTATCGTATCTCGTTTTCCAGAGTTTGCTCTCCTCGAAGCAGACGAAACACCATTTGATGTTGATGCTTCTGATACGCTTGATTCTCCTCTGGATCCTGCAAAAAACAAACAATACGTTTTTAGTCATACTAGTATGTGTCATGTGATTACACAAAACTGGTTAAGAAAAAATCGATAATCAATAAAACTGAAATACCTGCACTCCGCCGTTTTTTATCGATAAAACCAGCCAACGCAATTAATAATGTGTCGGTCTTGGTGTAATCTTTTCCTGTGAGTTGAATACTCATCTCCGGAACTTTCACTAAAAATATGAATTTCATCATCAAAAATCAATAAACTCAAATATAAACATACATTCTCCATTTTCAGTTCTTTCAAGAGTAGAAAGCTTCAATTTTCCCATGCCAATCAAAGAATCTTCAAAAAGTTTGACCTTTTGAAGAACTCGGAAAGTCAATGTTGACGAATCGATAGCAGTGACGTTGATATTTTCCTTCCATTCTGGAGACAATGTCTTCTTCTTGACAGCAGTTTTCTTTGTGGTAACAGTTGGAGAATCACTGCTAACTTCCACATAACAATCAGCTGCTTTACTGAGTGAAGCAGAGATCACTGAAAATAAATAAATGATTATGAGAGTTGCGAAATATCAAAAAACTCACCTTTCACCGTGATTTTCGATGGCTTTGTCGACCCGTTTTGTTCAACAGAAATTCCATTGCTCCCAGAGCTTCCTGGCTGCTGCGTTGACTCATTTCGAGCCATTCGACCGACCAAATTCAGCTGAAAATCACATTTTTGTTGAAAATAAGAAAAATCGATAAATTGCAAGATAACGAAGGAAAAAAAACTTTGCTCGTTCTCATCTCGGACTAGAACTTGAAAGTAACGAAAAGGAACAAACAAAAAACACCTCGAGGCGCAAAAGAAAGGCAAAAAAGAAAAGAAATCCATAACCGCTCGAGAACTTTTCGTCTCTCCCCAAAATGAAAATGACAACATGCGTATCTTACTCAAAAGAGGCGGCGATTCAAACATGTGCGCTAGAGCGTGTTTGTTCGTTTCTAGGGGTTTTTATTAAGAACACGGGATTTTTTCGATGAAAAAAGGAAATAGGAATGAAATGAAATGAGAAAAGAATTTATAAGAGCAACATGAACAAAAAATGAATATTATTTACGGACCATTCACAAAATTAAACTTTTTTTTTGAAAAAGTTATTTAGTAGAATTAATTTCAAAATACAATTTCATTTATATTTTTCTGACATAATATATTATGAATCATTGAAGTTTTCGCTTGTTAGTTTTGAGTTTCGAATTTTCTCTCAGCCAATTATCAATATCTTGTTTATGCTTCTTCCCTTTCTCGAAAACTTTAATCTCCAAATTCGCCAATTTTTCCGCCTTATTTTGTCCATGTAAAGCAATCGCAATAATTCCTAGAAAAACATTATTTAATGACGTTCTTTCTTTCCCATCTTTAAAATGATTTTTCTTCTTTCAAAATCAACATGCAAAACAAACATTCACCTCCTAAACGTTGTGTTAGTGTGGAAAGCAAACATTTCGAAAGTTTGTAGGCGCCGTCTGGATCTTCCTCTTTTAACAGTTGGCACAATTCCATTCCAATCGCAAAAAAGTTTTGTTCTTGTCGAGCGAGGTTGATATTTTTAGCGTCGGCAGTCAGCACACTTTGCATTGTTGGACCGTATGTTTGCGAAACATTGATCTAGAAAAATCTCGCTAAAACTATGTACAATTGTTGTAGATGTGACTAATTTGTAGTCACAATATAAAAATAACTTTTCCTAAGTATTACTTTTTTCGCAAAAAAAAAAATATTCGAATAAATCTGGGATAAACCGACTCACCCTGCATTTTGTTTTCACAGAATCGATGAGCCAATAAGGAGCATCAACTGAAAAACCACCTGCATTTATTTTCGGCCGCCCGATTCCAAGAATTTCTTCATAAAAATCTGCAATGTTTAACTTTTTTTTCAAGAGTTTCAGGAATTTGTTAAATACCTTCACCAAATGCGTCTCCATCAAAAGTGCAAGATGTTGACTCAGATTTCGCAATTATGTCATCGATATCGAAAAAATTGAAATCAACGTTTTGAGTTTCATCCATTTTTGGCGCAGAAAACCAAGTGGAAAAGAAAGAAAGAAAGAAAAAAACAACTTTTCGAACTTCCGCAAGCGGTGCAAACACCACGACGAACAAATGCAGACAGGCAAAAAGGGGGCGTTTGAAAAATATTTATTTATTTATTTATCCCATAAAACTTCAAATATACATACAAAACAAAATGAAATAGAGAGATTTATTTCTTTCCGAATCCAGCACATGGATTGGCACATTGATTGTTTTGACAGCAACCACCACCCGATCCACCAAGACATGCCAATGATTCATTGGTGGCAATTGTAAGAAGAAGAAAAGCGGTGATCATTGCCTGAAAAACCGGGTTTTATTTTATTTTGACAATAAAAATAAAAAAAATACTCACAATTTTACAGATTTCTGAAACGAAAGACATGTTTTGTTTGTTGGTTACTGACTGAAAACCAAGGGCATCTTCTCGCTTTTAAATATTCCTTTCCTTTCTAATCCCACCCACCGCCCTTCAATGTTTCAATCCGGCGTTTGATAGGTGTTTGGTTTTTCTGTTGATGGCTACCAGTATTCAAATGCTAATGTTTTGTGGCGGCAGAGATAGAAACAGCCAATAAAAGTTACGTGATTTTTTATATGGAAATCTGCGGAATAACAAACTATTTCTGGTTCTTTGTGAAAAAAAAAAGAGAAAAACCAAAAGGTGTTCATTAAATCCGATCGTATCCAACTGTGCTACGCATTTTTATTGGATTTGCAAAATTGTTTTCATAATTATTGACAAAATTGAACAGGTGGATAATTTAGGTTAGAGTTAGTTTTAAAAAAAAATTTCTAAAAAATTTTGAAACTTTTTTTTTGTGAAAATTTGAAAAATTTTCAATTCTCTATTATTCGAAACTTAAAAAAAAACAATTCAGAGCTACAGTAATCCTTGTAGTTCTAAATACAGTACTTCTTGCAGTTTGAGATAGTTCTAGAATTTTTGGAAAATTTTGAGATACCGTACTCTTTCTAGTTCGGAATAGCCTCTTTCGAGAATTAATGGAGACACAAGCTACAGTACCCTTTCACTAATAATTAAGAATTACAGTACTCCTTGAAGTTCTAAATTTTTTGGAAAATTTGAGATACAGTAGTCCCAGTTCGGAAAAACCAAAAATTATTTAATTTTTTAGGATACAGTAACTCTTGTAGTTTGGATTACTGTAATCAAGAGGCACAGGATTTCTTGCAGTTCAATAATTTTTTAAATAACTTGAGCAACAGTAATGTTTGCAGGTCTCAAGCTACAGTACTTCTTGCAGTTTTTAACTTATACAAACTCTGAAATTGTTTTTCAAAAAAGATCTTGCTTCTCAGGATTACTGTATAGTTCAGAATTATTACAAAACATCAAATCCTACTTAAATCTCACACTTTAGTAGTATTACATATTTATGTTCTGATCTTGAAAGCGAAAAATGCCAAAGTTTTTTTCATTGGTATTTCCGAACAAAACTTGTATGAGTAAGAAAAAATCGAAAGTTTTCTCTGTTTTTTTTATTTGTCGCAAACAGTTTCGTAATACTTTCTGGATGTATTTAAAAGTATTCATAAATATTTATTAGATAATCTCTATTTACATTATAACAATAATATGTATAGCTGAGAGGGAAATACAGTTATTACTTAAGTAGGAGATTTTTATCCCGAGCTTGGACATGGATAACATTGTTGAGTTCCAAAGTTTCGCTTTCTTCGTCGTTTTCTTCCTTCAACATTCGCTGTGCAAATGTTACAGTCTTCCTGAAAAAAAAAACACCCACATTTTTTTCTGCAAAATCTAAAAAAAAAACTCGACTCACAAATAGATTTCGTTTCACACGATGCCTGCATTGTGGGAAAGCCATGCAATTCTGCTCGGAAACATTGATATTTGGTCGTCCGAAGTTTCTCTTGACACGATGTGGCGTCAAACCGCTGACACCGCATCTGGTGCACTTTTTGCGGCGGAATACCGCCTCACGTTTCGTGCGTTTGTCGGCGTAGACTTTTTGGAAGACGGCGTATTCGACGTTGTTCAGACAATCGTCGGATTGTTGGCACGATTGGCGACGACGGATGGTTTGTTCGGCGGATTCGGATGAGGTCTGGAAAATAATAGGATTGTTTCTAGACTTCTTATTTTCTGACTGAAATAAAAACCAGGCGATTTTCAGACTCAAAAAAAATCCAGAAATTCATAGATGTTCAAAAAAATTTCCCCAGATTTTTTACGTTTCAAATTTTCTATACCAACTCAGCTGAAAATTTAACATTGATCGATTATCTAACTTCAGCTATTTACTGATCAGAATTTTGGTCATGAAAAAAGGCTTATGAAGTCGAAAGTTCAGAACAACAAAAAAAATCAGGTTTAAAAATAAGGCAAAATTTTTCCACGTTTCAAAATTTTCAGCTGGAAATTTTGTCGAAGTGAAAAAGTGTAGCTTCCGTAAAAAATCAAGTCGCGTGCGGCTCTGCGTCGCGGTCGGGAAACAACCAAGCCGCGACGCAGAGCCGCACGCATTTGGCAAATTATGGTTTTTTTTCATTCATTCAATTCTGCACAGCCTAATTTTTCAACTTCGACAATATTCTTCTAAAAAAATCGTGTGAAGTTAGAAAAAAAAGTTAGAAAAAAACCCAGATTTTCTACGCTTCAAATTTTCCGTATCAATTTAGCTGGAAAATTAACGTTGATGCATCGCTTGTGCTAACAAAACAAATTTTCGATAAATAATTTTTGTCATGAAAAAAAATGAGTTCAGAACAACAAAAAAATCAGGTTCAAAAAATTGCAAAATTTTTTCCAAGATTTTCCGCTGGAAATGTTGTCGAAATGAAAAAGTGTAGCTGCCGTAAAAAATCAATAATTCGTCAGTCGCGTGCGGCTGTGCGTCGCGGTCGGGAAACAACCAAGCCGCGACGCACAGCCGCACGCGACTGACGAAAAAAGTTTCGCCAGATTTTCTACGTTTCAAGATTTTTCCAAAACCAACCTCATCATCCACATCCTCATCAAATCCTTGTTTATAACCCTTCTTCGATCGAATATCAGCAATCGCTTCACTAATCGTCATTTTCTTCTGACTCTCATGTTCTTCCTCACTTGTCCCATTAACATCCCTCTTCTTTCTACTCGCCAACGCCAAAGTAACCCAAGCTGGACACGGAACACAAGCTGCCGAATTATCCGGCGCAAAGAATTGCCGCTTAACTCTCTTATGCTCTTCGTAAGCCTCCACAGCTTTCTTATGTTCTTCAATAGCTCTATGATACTTTTCCATTCTATCCGCATTTCTCTTTCTTCGCTTCTTTTGTGCTAAAACACAAGCTGGGAATTTCAAGCAACCTCCAGGTCCAACATTTCCTCCACCAGCACCTAACCTAGATAATGTTTTCACAATATCTAGAACCCCTTTTGGATTATAAGCTTGTCTTTTCGATCTTTCATTAATCGTAAATTCATCATTATCACAAGTTTCATCGTTAGCATATCGTTTTTCTCTTCTCAAACATTGATCTCTTTCAGCTTCTCTCTTCTTTCTTCCATAATGTCCATTACAAGGTTCACAATATTGTGAACCGAATAGATTTCTTTTATATCTTCGAATATGCATTGTACATTGAGGATGTGGCAAACAACCAGCTCTTTTTTCTCGCTTATGAATTGGAACTCCCATTGCTGATTGTGGTGTTCGTTGATCTCCCAAAAATGGATTATTATCTGAATATTGTGGTTGAAGATAAGTACATGGAACACAATCGAATGATCGTTTGGTTCGTTTCAATGGATTTCCGTTGAGACAAAGTTGACAGGGACCATTGTCGAAATTTCTTTTCACTCGAACATGCGCTCGTTTGAAATCATATAGTCTTCCAGCGGTTGGGGGAGCTTCGACATGATCACTGGATTGTTCGATTTGTTTTCGGATGAGGGTTGGGCCAACAGTTGCCTGTTTTACACCGGCAGCTTTGCGAACTGGAGGTGTTACCAAACGTTGAGGGGATTTTTGACCAAGGAGACTGACTGGAAAAAAGTTTTGTTTTTTGATGATCATAATTTTGTACTGAGTTTAAATTCAATTGAAGTTTGCAAAATCAAATCAAAATTATTTTTTAAAAAATTAGGGAAATCCAATTTTTGAAACGTAAAAAATCCTGGGAAAAATTTGGATCTTTTTTTAAATTTAAGGGAATTCCTAACACTAAAAACAATGCATTGCTCATGTTAAGAAAAAATTCAGATTTCTGATGATTATAATTTTGTACTGATTTTAAGTGTGATCTGAAAAATTGAATCAAAATTATTTTTTAAAAAATTAAGGAAATCCAATTTTTGAAACGTAAAAAATCCTGGGAAAAATTTGGATCATTTTTTAAATTTAAGGGGATTTCTAACACTGAAAACAATGCATGTTAAGAAAAAATAAAAATTCAGATTTTAGGAGCTAAAATCAAATTGAATTTTTAAAACGGAATTCAAATTAGAACTGTGAAAATTTATCGAAATTTTTAATTGACAAAATTTTGAAACGTAAAATATCCTGGATGATATTTGGATAATTTTTAAGTTTTGAGATGATTTTTAACAAAATGCATTGCTCATGTTAAGAAAAAAAATAAAAATTCTGAATTTTGATGATCTTAATTCTGAACTGATTTTTAATTTAATTGAAAAACGAAATTGAAACAAAATTATTTATTAAAATTTCAGGAAATCCAATTTTTGAAACGTAAAAAATCCTGGGAAAAATTTGGATAATTTTTAAGTTTCAGATGATTTTTAGCGCCGAAAATTCTTTCATAGAATTAAATAACAGAAAAATCATTGCTCATATTAAAATATAATGACACATCTGATTAAAATTCAGAAAAAACTCACGTGGCTGGCAATGAAGCCCTCCAGCAACTTGTCTCTTCGATCGTTTTCCCAACATCAGACGCTTTCGACACGGACAAGATGGACAAGATCTCAAACAAGGTGGAACAACAGCCAAGCAAGAAGTATCCAATCGAATTTCAGGACAACATGGTTGTTCTGGTGGACAACACGGTTTCTGTCCTTGATCACAGCATGTTGGATTTTGATAGTAGCAACAAGGTCTTCCACATCCACAATCTCCATTCGGACATCCTGATCTACACGGTGTTCTACCATATGGTTGAGATCCACAGCATTGAGTTGGTGGTTCAGGAGCTGGTGGGGGAGGAGGCGGTGGCGGCGGGGGTGCTGCAGGGGTTGGTGGGGGACAGCAGGTTCTTGGCGGGTTTGGCGGTGGTGGCAGACCTGGATTGCCCTCCTCATCTTCGTATTCTTCATATTCTGGACGGCGTCCTCGACAACATGGTTTGGGGCAGCAGTTTGGTGTGGCTGGGCAGCACGGACCGAATGCCGGTTGGCAACAAGGTTTTGGTGCTGGTGGCGGGGGACAACAGGCAAGGGGTATGGGTTTTTGGGAAGAACAGCAAGCTGGAATATTTTTGGTGTTTCTGAAAATCTCGATGGGGGAAAAACACTTACAGCTTGAACAACACGATCTGTTGGGGAAAAGATCGCATCCCGAACATCCACACGAACATCTTTTCCTTCTCTCAGATCTCAAAGTTAGCGGAACTAAATTTGTCTCATTCGCTCCGATGAAATGAATCGGAACATCAGCGGATCGTAGATGTGTGTCATATTTCATCTCAGACTCAAAACTCTGAACCACTCCGATGCCTAACACCAGAAGGGCCAACTTAATGACCCACATGTTTTTCGCTGGAAAAAAATGATATGTTGCATAATGGACATGAAAAATATGAAGTGAATGATTCTCAACAGGGGGTTGGCTGGCATTTTTCGAGGAACCTGTCGTGTTTGCCTGATGATGACAAAAACTCGATTCGAGACTGCCAGCGATATCTGCGAGAGACAGGTTTTCATATCATTTTATCCTACCTTTTGTTTCTGTGATGATGATAATCGAGAGAAGATTTAAGGAGGATGCAAGGGATTAGCTCATACCGAGTTTTTTCTTGATTTTCTGGAAAAAAATGCGATAGAACATGTTTACGCAATATGAAGTGATAGGGTTTTTGAAAAAAAAAAGTTGGAATATTTTTTTATCGAAAGTTGAAATTTCATCAAAAGAAGACTGAAAAAAAACCACTCAAAAACCAGAAAAAAAGCAAAAAATAAAAATGTCGTGCAAAAAAAATTAAAAGAAAAACAACGTTACTCCGCGTTCGCGTTGTTTAGCGTGTTTATTTTGTTTTTGTTGCAGGGTAGATGAGAGAGTGTGGGAATTGGAGAGAGGGTTAGAGAGAAAGAGATATATGTTTTTTGTTTGAAAAGACATTATTGATTGAACGTTTTTTTTCGAACTCAATCATTTTTTTTTGTTTTTTCAGCGCGGAAAGGTACATTTTTTAATTTTCTTATTTTTTTAGAGACAACCGTCACAGAAAGCAGGGGTTTCATCAAATTTACAATTGTCATTTTCTGATGTAAGTTTAAGAATAGGCGAAGAAATTTGAGAAAAAGAATGTAGAAGTTTCAGGCTTCCGAACAAGATGATGTTTCGTTTGGACAGGACATTCGAAGATATCAACAACTTTTCACGGAAGCGGGTCAGTCAAGTTAGTTTATTTTGAGGTTTGGGGGGAGGAACAAAACTAACAGGTGAGATTTGAGCTTCATTGAAAAATATTGGGTAAAATTTTTAATTCATATTTACTATTGATGTTGAAGGAAAGTTGTTTATAAATTACTATGTTTAAATCATTAGATGAAGTTTTGAATTACAGTTGAAGCTACAGAATCAGCTTCCAGATTTTATTTTGAGGATTTTCTGACTGTTTCGCCTAGGGGCACAGCCCTGGTCTGCATTAAAAATGCGATCTCCTATTTTTTCGCCGTGTTTTTTCTCAACTAAAAAATGAACCTGTCCAGGACAGGACAAGTAGCCAGGTTTTCACTTGGACCTGTCATGGCTTATGTTCTCATCACCAAAGCCAACATAAGGCCAACGTGAGGCCATGTTCCCCACCCCTGATCGACACTAACCCTAGTTCTCAAAATGTGGATTTTTGGCCCCAAAAACCTAGACTGAGTTAGGGCGCGTTTTGGATTTTTTTAATCGATCAATTCAATTCTGATTTACGGAAATTTCAATTTTCGGACAGGGTTTCCAAATTTGTTACCGTAACTCTAGCGCTACAGATTTGAATTCTGAAACTCCACATCCTTTTTTCCAGAAGCGCTGAAAATTCAAAGCTCCAAAAAATCTCTGATAAATATAATATTTATTGATATCAGATAAATAATTTCAGGAGAAAAAAAATAATATTAAGAATCGAGCAAAAAAAAAAATCAAGTCAGACTGAATCACAAGGAAAAAATTGGAGAATGAATAATAAATACCGTTTGACATACAATTATGAGTTCATTTGAGGGCACACAGATAAAAATAGGGGGGGATTTTTAGGGGGATAAAGTATATATGGTTGTTGTCATATTGCATTCGGGCCATGTATTTGCAAGCAAAAAATAGAGAGAGAGAGAGAGTAAATGGACTTGGTCCGTATACGCGTTTATTATTGATTCGGGGAGGACACGCGTAATGGATAAATGAAGTTTGTTAGTAAATATTTTTGAAAGAACCCTGAAACTATTGGGGGGAAATAAATTGGAGGGGGGGCACCACAGATGCTAAAAATGAAACTGAAATGTATGTCGAGAGTATATCAAATCATCCAAATTGAAAAAGTGTCCGTCTTGACGAATTATTAGGAGAAATTATTATTATTATTAGAGGTTGAAACATTTAGTTGATAGTTCGAAGACCACCACGAGCACAATACATGACAACATTCCAGTTCGAAAGACACACCAAATCTTCTTTCTCGAGTGAGCTGATGCGATCGCCGGATGGTGCGATGTTGCACATACGGAGGCATCTGTCGCCGACGCCGAGGTCTGGGTTTGACATGCCAAGATGGGAGCAACATGCGCGGTTGTCGCGGTTTTGATTGGCGCAGTAGAGAAGGGAGGAGAGGTGCTGGAATGTTTTTGGATTAGTTTTGAAGATCAGCGGGGAACTTTATTTGGAATTTTTTTTAGCTTCTGAAGAAGATCAGAAATTTCTGAATAACTTCAAGAATATCAGATCTGTCGGGACTTCAGCTGAACATTTTTTGGAACATTTTTTTCTAATTAGATTAAGAGAGTGACTAGCTTCTGAAGAAGATCTGATTTCTCCGAAGAACTTCAGAAAGACCTACTGAAATATTTTTGGAATTTTTTCAGGGCCGAGATTTGTATTAGAAGCTTCTGAGCTTCTTCAGAAAGGCCTGCTGAAACTATTTCGAAATATTTTTCATGAATTTTTTTTGGACTGAATTTTCGTACCCCAAAATTTTAAATTCTGAAGTTTCCTAATTTTCAAAATTTCATGTTCTCCATTCTCACCTTCATATCACAATTTTCTTGTTGAATAGCTTGAATAAGAGTTTCAGCAGCGACATGTTCACGATGTTCATAAGTGCACAAACCATGACAATTCGATGGTAATTGTTGTCGACAACACGACAAAAACAAATCATCAGCAGATTTTCGCGATAAACATGGTGAAAATGGTGGAGTTGATCGTTCGGTTCCACATTCGCTTGACAAATCATCGTCAGTGACTTCAGTGATTGGATATTCGTGATTGAGTTGTTTCGAATCACCGTTGACTGGAGCACGACGGATTTGTGAATCTTTCGAATCGATAAATCTCTCCTTTAAATCGTGATTGACTTGACCAACAACTCGTTGTGATTTTGGTTTAACACTAGATGTTGTTGTAGATGTTGATGTTGAAGTGGATGTTTCGTCCTCAATAGTTTCATATTTCTCCAATTTGTGTGGACATTTTTCAGTTACATAATCGATACAGCCAGACATACATTTATCTAAGACACGTTGAGTACAGCACAAAACTTTGGGAATTTGTTCGCAATCGGGCAATTTCGGTTCACTATATACATTTTGAATAAGTAGAAAATAAGTGGTTAGGATAAGAAGGGGAGTTAGAGTTGATTGCATTCTGCAAAAATTTTGAAATTAATTTCTGAACTTTATAAAGAGAGACTTACTTGAACAAAATTATTTGTTTGAAAAAAGGCCGCCAGATGAACCACTTCCACCTGAGAAACAAGAGGAGGATGAGCTGTTGCTGTTGCTGTTGAAACCGAATCGATCCTGGAATCGAATAAGAATGATTTGCGGGAAAAATGGAAATAGATTATGGGCGGTTCGGGGTCAGAAATGAGACAAAAGAGATTTGAAATTGAAATTGAAAGTATAAGCTTTTGTTGTCTGATAAAACTCGATTTTTCCGAGAAATTTCGATTTTTCTTCTTCTTCTTGATAAGAAGACGATGATCGAGATCCGTAAAGAGTCTTTCTTTATTATCATTTTATGATTTAGTGGAGAAAGGTGTTTGGAGAAGATATTGACTTGGAAAAGGGAGATTTGGATATACTTTTTTCTAGGAACTTTAGGGGTTTTGGATTTTTTTTTAGTTTGAGAAATTCTAGAAAATTCTGAAAAGTTCCAGAGACTTTATAGAATACTTTGGAAATATTCTTAATTTTTTATTGAAAAAAAGTTTCGGAACAATTTTTCAGAAATTAGATATTCTAGAGAGTTCTAGGAAATTCTAAAAATTTTCAAGAAACTTCTGCAAAGTTCCAGAGACTTTATAGAACAATTTGGAAATAATTTGAAAAATATTTTTTATTGAAAAAATAATTCCGGAACAATTTTTTCCAAAAATTAAATATTCTAGAAGGCTTTGGAAAGTTCCAGAGACTTTAGGAAATAGTTTAGGAAATTTCATTTAAAAAATTGTTTTGAAAACAATCAAAATAAATTTGGCACGATTTTCTACACGTTATGAAATTTTTTTTTAATTAAAATTTAAAACTTCAGCCAAAAATTCCTGAAAAAACTTTTTTTCTAAATTAATTGGGATCCAAAGATTTTGTTTTAAAACTTTTCGAATATAAATTTGATCTACAAAAAATGTTGATCTACGAAAAAAATTCCAAAGTTTTTGTAACTTGTCTAAACCTCTCATTTTCCAACACTCTTTTCCGTGACATTTATGACGTGGCAGTTTAGAAATATTTTAAAAAAAAAGTGTTTTGCCTAATTTTAGTTATTTTTTCATGTGAACCTTGTTTTTTTTTGGAAAAAAAGACAATCTACAGTAATCTCAACTAGACTCTAGTCAAACTCACATTATTTCTGTTGCTTCCGAACATGCCACCTCCAGATTTATCCATATAATCACCACTTACTCCACCAACACCTCGAGTAGACCTGAAAAAATCTCCTATCATCATTTCTTTCCGCAACGAGATTATTTTCCGCGCGCGCTAAAACTGGATGGCGTCGAGACCGGATGGCTATCAGTTAGTTGCGTAATGCTTTTACGCAAGAAGCGCGCGCGGGAATTTCGCCCCCTGCCTTACCAATTTCCGGATCCTGTGCCAACTGAAAATGTGGATGCTCCGGTTTGTGGTTGAAGATCGGAAAGAGCCAAAGCGGCGCGTGGTGATGGACTGTCTGGCAACATTTTTTTGAAGATGTGTGTGTGCGTAGAGAGAGTAGTTCTGAAACCAAAAATTTAGTTTTTTTTCTGAAAATACAATTCGAGAAAACGAAGTGAACGGGAAAAAAACATCAAGCTTATATTGGCAAAAAAATCACTAGGCACACATGTCCTCGGTAGTATAGTGGTGAGTATCCGCGTCTGTCACATGCGAGACCCGGGTTCAATTCCCGGCCGGGGAGAAATTTTTTATAAAAAAAATTTTTTTTTGCACAATAAAAATCCACACAGAAACTAATGAATAAAATGAAAAATAAATAGGAGGAAGAAGAATCAATGGTACCAGTAAGAAAAGAAGGGAAAAGAGGAAAAAACAATGGCACACGCGCATATATACAAATTGTATACAGTGTGAATGGACATCTCGAGAATCATCGCGCGGCATTCTTATTCATTTTATTATTGTGTCTCTTCTTATTCCGTTCTTTCTTCATTCTCCATTCTTCTTCTTCGCCCTCCTTCATCCTCTTCTCGACTCCGCCCACTTACCATGGCACACCACGCCCCCTCTCCAATATTTTCCTCCCTGGGAGGACTGAAAGGTGTTGTTGTTGTTCTTCTGGCAAGAACAAGCTTATATGAGAAGGAATGAAGAAGAAGAATCCGCTCGCGCAAAACATGAATGATGAACATTGTGTTATCTAATGAGAGAGAGAGTGAGTGACTACAAAAACTTTTTGGCTATTCAAGTACCTGGTACGTATAGATTTGGTTGGAACGGTACCGGTTGGAGATGGCGAGCCGATTGCGCAATCATTATCGAGAGGAAGAGAGAGAGAAATAATAAGATGATGATGACAGAATACAAAAAACAACAGTTTCTAGGTCATTCTGGACTTTGGCAGCAACACAAGACTAGCCGCAAATTGCGCCTTGACCTGTCAAAACAAGGGAGTGTGAGAGGAAATGAGAAGAAGAAGAAGAAGATAATGATACTTTCGTTGACGATGGTTTCGCCTTCTTCCCGATGGTTTGTGACTCACAACACATGTTGGCCGGGGCCCCTGGAAAGGAAGAGGAGAGATATGGGAGATGCGGGGCGAAAGTTGAGAACTGAAGAGATCACTTCTGAGACTAGTGAGATCTCAGACCTCCATCTACGAAAACGCGGGTTGTCCAGGGAAAATAGTAGGCCGACCTTCGCTGAACGGAATGAGTAAAGCGTCCGCCCTCGCATAGGCTTTTCCCAACCGCCGGTGAGCCTGTCTGAGACTTTGGACTGACCTGTTGACAGGTCGGTCGGGCGAGAGCGAAGACCCCAGGCTCGTCGTACACAGACCTCAAAATTTTTTAAAAGCACTTTGTTCGAGTTTTGTGCAGGTGATGACGTCATGGCCTGCACACAATATAGATAGTACTCGAACAATGTGCTCATACTTGAACTAGTCGCTCTGTGGACCCTTGAGTTAACCCTCCTTCCAGGAAATATTTTCAAAAAGGTAACCCCCCTAACCAACTTTTTGTGGGTTTTTTGCCTCTGAAGGCATAAAATTCTCCAAAATTTTCAAAAGTTAAGGGCCGTACCTCCAAAAATGCACCTAAAGTTAACCCCCCTCCGACCGATTTCGGAGTCCCAGTTCATGTATGGTCCGCCCTCTTATAGGCTTTTCCCAGCCGAGCCTGTCTGAGACTTTGGGCTGACCTGTTGACAGGCCGGTCGGGCGAGAGCAATCAGCCGGCCACTTTTTCTAGAATGCGGAGAGCCCAGGCTCGTCGTACACAGACTTCACATCATCATCTCTGTATACAGAGAGTTCCTATAGGAAACCCCAAGGATTTCTTGATTCCTGTCCTGTTTTTTACTAAGTTCCTGGTCCGAGGAAACAACCGATACGATTTTGAATCATCCAGAATATCACGTAAACCTACAAACCCGAACACATTAGCAATGCATTTCTCGATTTTCCAAACCTGGCAAACAGGTTAGGCTTAAATCGTTTCAAGTTCTTGCCCCGGCTTCTTCAGTTTCTCTCTAATCGAATCAATTTTCTCGATGATGTTCAGTCAAGAGAAAAAAAACGAGAAGAAGTCTGGCATGTTGCACCTGTATTTTCCACACAAATCCATCCACACACAAAAAGGATATACATACACAATGTGTTTCGGAACGAGGCGAACAACAAGTTTTCTTCTCCGTTGTTCCGACAAAAAACGACGACGACGATTTGATTTGAGAGAAGAGGGAGGACAATAATATGAATGAAAATAATAATATTAGCGAGATTCTTGCGAGGATTAATGGAAAGTTTTCGGGTTTTCGCTCCCCCAAGTCTTGTTGTACTTTTGCTTGCCGATCGGCATCTTTTGTCAGATAACAAGAAGAAGAAAGAACTGGGGAGTTGTTGAAAGGCATAAGAAGAAGATGTTGGGAGATATAGGATGATGAAGTTAGAAGAAGTAATAATAAACAAGTTTAGATTGAATAATGATAATAATGGATGAATGGCATATGAGATCATGGAAGGAAGCAAAAACGACGACAATGAAAACTGAAATTCTTAGCCGATTGAATTGTCAAAAATCCTGATTATATTCATTGTTCATTGTCGATTTTGTTGTTAAACGGTTCAAAAAAATCTTGAAAATCGTTTGGCTTGTGTGTTATGAAACTGGGCATCAAGCTAGATTTTGTTGGGTTGGAAGAGGTACTTTTGTATTCTGAAACTACAGTTTGCCTAATGATGCCTAGGAGTTTAAACCTTTCCCAGGAGTTTGAACTTTTCCAGTTCTGAAACTGCCCCCGACTTATGCTAACTCTCTTTTTTCCAGATTTTCGGGGATCATTAATATCCTTCACTGAAGTAGGAATACCAGAATTCATGAAAAAAATACACACAGCCGATTTGAGCTCTACAGTAGCCGGAACAGGTTCAGGCATTCTTCAATCTATGAATCTGTGATCTATCCTGTTGATTTTCTGAAACGAGGAATTGAGCTCAATTTCCAGGAGATCTAGATTGTAGCGAATCATAAGTTGGTAAGATGAACCGATTTTTCAGAATAGCCCAGAACTGAAAAAATCACAATTTTTAGAGGACAAAAGCTGAAAAATTCACAATTTTTGTACTGTAAAAAGTTAGCGTACAATTTTTTATTGTGGAAACCACGATTTTGGCCGAGGTGTGCTCATAACCTTGATCGTCTTCTGCCTGATCATCTCATCTCGATCTCTCGGATCACCTGATCAATCTCATGACTAATGTGCTTCGTCTATCTAACTTGTATCCCATGATATCATTGCATCGTTGTTTTCCACGATTACATAAGAGAATAACAAGAATAGAAGAAGATGAAAACAACACACCCTAAATACTCTATTACGTGATTAATCATATCCGGAGATATTTGTTTATGGAACAGATCAAGGTTTGATCGAGGAGCCTCTGGAGAGTTTGAAAAATCACAAGGAAGATCTTATTAAAATATGTAAATATCCAGTATTTATTTATAATCATCCTATCCAATCTTGTCTTTCACTTTTTTGTTCGTGAATCTTCTTATTATTTTCATTATTATTATTATTATTAATAATATAATAATAATCATGATTATAGATATTCTTGTTCGCGCGCCCGAATTTGCCATCTTTTGTTTAGAAAAAGACGAAGCGGATTCCGATTCCTCCAAAAATGACGTGTACTTTGTATTCAATCGGCAGAAATGAAAAACGAAGAAGAGAAGAGATAACTTCGATAGATGTCCTTGGATTCTCTTCCCTTTTTTATAATAATAATACGAGAGTGATGACTGTTTTCACCGCTGCCTGGATCGCATGAGATATTATTATTTGTATTGTTTTTGGAATTTTTTGATTGGGAAGGAAGAGGACGAGTTTTTCTGGTCAATCAGGAGTGAGGGATGATCTTTGAAACTCGAAATCTGGAAACGCATAGAAAAAAATCAGGGGGAGATCCAGAAAACTTATATCGAGAGACACAGCTGAGCTAGTGCTACAGTATTCAATTTTGGTCCCGAAACGAAGCTTGAAAATACTGTGAAAACACAAAAAAACAAGACTCAAAAGCCAATAAGGCACTTCTCAGAATACCCTTCGCTGTGAAACCTTGCATGGACTACGGTGGCACTCGCTTCAACTGTGCAAAATGATAGAAACCGCGGACAATGCAATTTTGGTACTGAGGCGACCTTCGTTGACCCTAAAGCCCTTAGAATGGGAGGGCCTAAGCCTTCGCTGTGAGAGCTTGCATGGAATACGGTAGCACTCGCTTCGACTGTGCGAAGTTTGAGTTCGAAAAACTCTGAAAACAAGCTCCTATGTTTCAGAAAAAGTAATATTTTTGAAAAATTATCCAAGAAATCCCATTTTCTACCCGTTGTTAATGTTATCAATGCCATTGTTCTGCGATTTTTCTGCAAAATGCCTATATCTAAAAATGTTTTTTGTTCTTCTCCAGAAATCTTATGCCAGAACACACGTATTTCTACATCTATCAACAATAAATAAAAAAAATGAAATATAGATATTCCATCTTCTTCATCGTTGGCAAAAGGAAGTGCATGGAACGGGTTTCATCCATCCATATTATTATCCACATATAGCTTATGCATAATCTATTCTGCCTTCATTTTATGCTATGCTATGCCAACCAAAACGGTGTTCTCGCCTCTTGGCCATTGTTATCCTATGGGGAAACAAAAAGTGAAAAGAAAAGAAGCTTATCCGGTCGCTCGCCGCGCGCGCACTCGCTAACACTTAATTTCGAACGTCCGCGCGCCGCCTGCGACAAAAAACGAAAGGTATCCCCGCTTATCTCTCCCCCCCCCCAAACTCGTTGTTGGCATCCGCATTCTGCTGGCAATCCGCCAAATCTCGGACTACCTCAAGTCTTCTTATCCAAAAAAATGCGTTTTTTTGTTGGAATGACCATGGCCTCGGGGGGCGCTGATTTTACATATACATATCGGGTCAAGGCGAAGTGTACAGTATACGGCGAGAAATGGAGAAAGTTTTGGAAAAAGGTAGTAATCACATGATTGCGAAATGAGATAATACATACATACATACATAAATATAGTTGATGATTTATTGGTTATCCTCTCGCGCATTTTTCAAAAAAATATTCGGGGGCTGTTAAAAGCAAGCAGCCTGCTTATAAACTAAGTATATACTTAAGTAAGTAAATTCAAATCTCGAAACATGACAGAACTTTCTTTCACCTTGCTTCCTTATCTGATACACCAAAAAAGGAAAGGTGAAAGTGATTGTTGAAATGTGAAATGCCCTTTCGAAATCTCAAATGTGGTGAAAGATTTTGGTAGATAACATCTGACATGTTGAAAAAAGTTTCTTTTGTGTCCTTTTGACAGGTAAAACATTTTCAAATTCCGAAAACTTGTACTTACACAGTAAAGGTAAAAAATTGTGGCTTCAAAAATTTCGCTTCCTTCACAAATGAAAAAAAGTGAGTGAAGGACGAATGTGTGCAGATAAGAGAGAAGTCGGTGCTTTTTTTCTCGAAAAACAATACAAATGGAATATTTTGATGACCTTCTGATTAATTGGAAATGTGAAATATCTACTATGAAAGAAAGAAAATTGAGGGAAAATGAAAAAAAAAACAAAAAACAAAAATAAATGTTCTGCCTACTGTACTTTCAAGGAGCACACAACAATTTGTTTTTCGTGGTAGGACCTCGTTTTAGGAGAGAACTCGGAAAAATATTTTCATTTTTTCGTGTTTTTCCTGTTTTTTTGGGTGTTTTGGGCAAGATTCTATGACGTGAAAAACGTGAAAAAGAAAAAAATTGTCATTTATGATTTTTGGAATGTTACGAACCGAAATTTTTTTTCAAACAATTTGCAGATGGATGAAAAAGTGGTTGAATACCAAATTAGTGTCACAGACGCAAGTCCAGAGTATATTGAATATTACCCAGTAGCTGAAGAAGCGTCAGATGTTGATAACCAAAATCTCACGGATGTTGAAGAATTCACATCTTTGGAAGGCGAAGAAGAAGTCGGAGAGGAGCAAATTGATGGCTCCAGCCAACAAAAATCACATCTTTCGATGCAAGCATTATGTGCTCTTTGGTTCAAATCGGTAAAAAATCTTGCAATAAGAGTTTCTCCTCAAAAATCATTTTTCATTTACAGAAAGTTGGTGTGCAAACCGAAAGAAATCGAGATTTTCGAGAGTTTGAATTGAAATACACATCATTTGTCGAGGGAATCTGCCCAGTTTTTCGATCTTGTTGTGGTGTTACAAACATCGGCGAAGACCTCCCAAAACTCATCGAAGAGATGACAAAACTTGGACTCGATAATTTCTGGCCATTTGAGAATGCGGGATTTCAAACCAATGTTCAAGAAATGCGCGAACTTTTTGGGAAAATACTAGAAATTGTCAAAACTTGCTTTATGTTCGCTTGTTGTGAACGTGGATATGTGATATCGCATGCTGATAAAAGATTCAAGTTTTCGAATCGATGGAAGGAGGAAATCAACTCGCGAGATGAATTGGTAACATTCCAAGTGATCACAAATAAGCTCATTGAATTGTGTGAATCAAAAAATTGGACAAATGGTGATATGAGCTTTTCTAATGGTCTCAAACGATATTTCGATGTTTTGATCCCGGCATTAGACAATTTCAATAGTGAAGTTCTTGCTGAAAATGGAATTAGTGATCGGATGAATCAGATTCATTCGAGAAAAGAAATTGGATTTGCGATCTCGGTTGAAGAAGTTGACGAGGTCATTTTCATACACATACAATTACAGATCGGCTTATTATTAGTCTATTATTGACTCATTTTGAGATTTGGCTTATCATAAGCTAATACGGTACATATTATTAGTCAAAAATCGATGAAATTTTCTAAATCTAGCCCAGAATTAGCAGAAGCTGCTTTATGATCAATTTGAAAGTGAAAAATATGAAATTACATTCATCTAACAATTCTTTTTTTTTTCAGGGGATCTCTGAAAGTGTAGAATTGTTAGATGAATGTAATTTCCTATTTTTCATTTTCAAATTGATCATAAAGCAGCTTTTGCTAATTTTGGGCTAGATTTAGAAAATTGCATCGATTTTTGACAAATAATATGTATTAGCTTATAATAAGCCAAAATTCAAAATAAGTCAATAATAGACTAATAATAAGCTGATCTATAATTGCCTGTGTATTTCCAGATGCTTGCCGTTTCATTGACAATGAGAGGTTTTGGTAACTTCACTGCTTGTGCAATGCAATGTGTTGATATTTTCTCAACAGCTGATCAACTTGAAAAGTAACCATCTTAGTTAAATACCCTCCCATCTTCCTTCAATACTAGATTTTTTCAGAATCCTTGAAAAATCCGGCGAAATGTTGAAAACCATCGATATCCGAACTGGAATTGGTGCATTGAAGGCAGTTACTCGAATATTCTCTGTTATTTCAGCCGATGAAAGTGCAAATATATTTGAGAAATGTCTAGACAACAGCAACAACAAACCTGAAATCTCGCGGATTCTCGGATATCCTCCCAGTGAAATATTGAAAAGGTCGAAAAATGAAAAGGCGGAACTTTTGAAATTGTTCTATGTTGCGCATTCGGTGGATCTGAAGGAAAGATATGATTTCGATGTGCCGAAATGTTTAGCAGCTATAAAAGCCTTTTTATGCGCTGTTCGATGTTGCCGATGTGAATCAAATGATCCTCCAGATTTTGTGTAATTCCGACTTCTATAAATCTAGAAGAAATTTGATTTTGGTGAGTTTTCATTACGCGATTTGCCACGTCATAATTCATTCTGTTTGCAGGCGGTGAACGAACTTCCCGATTTGCTCAAAAAACAACTGGAAATCGGAAAACTTGAGGTTGAAGATATTCCAAATGACAACAAGAATAGTATATACGTCCAAATTAAATCGCTTTTGAAAAGTGATGATTCGTATATTATTTTCTCCAGATTGATAGATGGTGAGGTTTTCTGAATACGTGGTTTTTTCTATAAAAAAAACTTTCAGTTCTGCCAGCAAAGGATATAATTTCAACTGAACGAATTTTGAAGATGTGCGTTGATTCGGTGAAATCGGAAAAGGCGAAAAATCCCCGAAAAGTGTTGATGATCCTTAAAAAAGAAGAGGTTATCAAAAAATTGAATATCTCACGAGATTTCACGCAAAAATTGGTTTTGTGCGCGTTGGAGAGTTACAAATATTTGGCAGTTGAGAAAAATCGATATGATTTTATTGGTATGTTTTGTTTTGGGGCGTCCCAAAAATGATGACAAATCATTATTTTTCAAGCTTCTGGATTAATTTCTGATGAAATTAAGCGTCGAGAACCCTATTTTGCTTTATTTTATTGTCCTTCCGAAAAAAAAGAACCTTGGAAGAGAACCGACAAGGCCTAGGAAACCAATACTACAGTAGACTTCGCGAAATTTTGGAGTCTATTTGAAAAATAAAATGCGAAATTTACACGCTGGCTATTTGCCAACCAGTTTGATATGCATGTGTCACGTCATTTTTAGTCTACTGTACGTGAGCGCCAATTCAAACGGGGGTTCTTTTATTTTCGGAATGACAATATGAATTTTTTCGAAATTCATCAAAATTTAAATTTTTTTTATTTTACGAAAAATCAGCAAAACCTTCTGGAAAGTGAATTCCAAGGTCAATTTTAATCAGAAATTACTCCAAAAGCTTAAAAAATATTGATTTGTCATCACTTTTGGCTGAAAAACTCGAAAAACTAATTTTGACCCACAATGTTTTTTCGACATTTTTTGACTTTTCGTGAATTGATCTTTCGATGTTAAAAAAAACATTTTTTGTTCAAATCTAAATCTCAACCCTAATATTTTAGCTTGAACAGAAATTGGACAGGCGTGAAATTTTCATTTTTTTTTTTTGATTTTCGATTTTTGGACGCCTCATTTCCGGTTTTATTCTGAATGTGCATTTTCAGGAAGCTTACTGGAGATTGGTGGAAATATTTGTGAAAAGAAGAATATTCGGCTGGATGAAAATTATATGGTAGAAAAATGGAAGGAATTGAAGCATCCTTGGTTTGTCGAAGCCTACTTGAAAACTCGATTCAAAGTTTTGAATTTCGAATCGATGAGGATTGAATATCCATGGTTGTCATTGTTGGAATGGGATGCATCAACAGTCAATATATCCACATATTCAGAAGTGGTTATGGTTTTGACAGCATGGATTAGGTGTGATGAGAATGTTGGGTGTATTCTTGATTGTGTTGAGAAAATTTTGCCAAAAGATATTGATCGACAGGAACTTTTGGATAAAATGGTTTCGAAAATTGATGGCTTGGAAATCTCTGATGGTAGGAAAGATGTGAGTGATTTTTTTTTGTATTTTTTTTCAAAAAAAAATAATTTTTCGTTCAGGAAATCCGCGAAGAATGTGATGCTGCAATTCACAAAATCAAAAGCGAGGCAGCAATATCGATACTTGAATTAACGATGGATAAAATTCAAATTTCAAATTCGAAACAAGAAGAAGTTACTCCAATCGAGCCAGCCTCGGAAGATGACAAAGAAAATGAGATTGTTGAACTCCCCGAAAACAAAGATGATTGTTTGTTGCATTTGGACAAAGAATATTGGGAGAAATTGACAATTAATCAACAATTATTCATTAAAAATTATCGAGAAGAGGTGCATCGTATGGATAACTAATTATTCATCATTCTTGGTTGGTTTTTGTTTTTCTTTTGGTATTTTTTTCCTGTGAAATAATAATTATTCATAAAATTTCTTTGATTTCCTGCGGCGGGAAAGTAAAAAAAGAATCCAGAAAATCTTTGTGAATCCCTTGAGAATTTGAGCAGCAAAAAAGGTACAAGTCTTATTTGAAGAGAAAAGGAAGTTCACATCAGTGTGTTTTTTCCGTTTCGGCCCCAATTTATTCCAGCCAAAAAATGATATATTTATGTTGGAATGCGATAAATTCACATGTTTTTTTTTCTCTTGTTGTTGTTGAATAAAAACGTTGTCACTCAAAAGAAATCCATCATCCCACACTCGTCTTTTTTGTTGTGATTTTTGAGTTTTCAAAGTTCAATTTTTTACGATGTATGTTTTTTTTCTGAGAGAGAGAGAGAGAGAAAATCAAAAATCGAATGGAAATTAAAAGGATTATGAATAATTCGAGCATGCTTCTTGTAAATATATTTGTTTTCCTCATTTTCAAGATATATTTTTTGTTTTTCATATTGAAAATACGTGAAATTCTATATATTGAACTTTGTTTGGCTCTTTTTTTTCAAAATGGGAAAAATTTGCGAAAAAATAAAAAGAAAACAACGAGACTCCGCGTTGATGACAACGCGCATACGCGCGTCCTTTGAATTTTTTATTTTTTATTTTGTTTTTTTCGCTTTTATCTTGTTAGGTTTTTTTCTAAAAATAAAAAAAAAAAGTTCAATTTCAATAACAAAATATATCTTGAGCAAAAAAAAAAACACAAATTTATTCACAAGATGCTTGAATTATTCATAATCCGCTTAAATTTTTGAAAATTTCGTTTTCTGGTGTTCTTGAAACAGCAAAATTCTTTTTTTTCTATTTTTAAATATCGCAAGAGACAACTTATTAATCACTGCCAACTGACCCGTTGGACCCTCTAGACCAATTTTTTTCCACATTTTTTATTTTCTCTCTTTCTCACTAATTATTTTTAATAACCTAGCTAGCTATACTTTTTCTCACAAAAAAACGAAAAAAAAAACAAAATCGGTGAAAAAAAATAATTTTTTTGTTTCGAAATTGGATTTTTGTGATGATGGGGTGCGGTGCAAATGGGATTAGATTAGGCAGACATCACATTAGTATTTTTCCTGTCTTGTTTTTTGGTTTTCTCATTCACATTGCAGATTTTTTGAGATATACTGTAGACGAATTTTTTTTTAGTATACATATCATCATAAAAATGCGAAGAAAAAGGTTTTTGGTCGTTCAATGCAAAATTAGATTTGTTTTAGAAAGTTTTTTGCGGATTTTTATGTGGACTTTTATAGGGTAAAAGTGCTCTGAGCTGGCTGAAAACTACAAAAAATAGAAGAAAAAGAAAAAAAGTTGGCCCGTGAGTAGGGTCGAACCTGGGTTGTGCAAATGAGAGACGCGTATGAATACCACTCGGCCACGCGCGCTGTTTATTTCGCTTGCAAAAATATCGATCAAATGCGCGCGCTTTAGTCAAAAAATTGTACTCATTTTTAGTACATTTTTTGCATGCAAAAAATTCGAAAATTCTATGGCTTCCTGTCCTTTCTCTAATTTTAGAATTATTATTATTCAAAATTTTCTCGGAAAAAGAAAAAACACATCATAAGTTAAGCGCGCGCGTAAAAAAAGTCATTTTGTTTCTTTTTCCAACTTTTTTCTTTCCTCCGCCCGTTTTTCTTTCTCCAGACTTCGAGTTGTTTTTAATATTTATTAGATAGATATTATTTTTCATCATCTTCGAGTGTGTGTGTTTTTTTCGAAATGAATATGAATTCTCGAACATGTGAATTTCTCTGCTTTTTTTCTCGAAATGCATTTTTTATTTTTTTTGATGATGATGAAGTTCTTTGAATGAACTTTTTTTTTGTTGTTGAAATTTCTACCCACCATTTCCGGTAATTTATTTTTTTTTAGCATTTTCAGAATGAAAATCGACGAAACCACAACCACAAAAGATTCATCGATGGATCGAAAACAATCGAATGATTCGGAATTGGCTGAAGATTCGTTGCAACCTTTGATGGTTCGGAGAAAGTCTGGAATGATACAGAAGAAGTTTCCATCACTTCAGGTATTTTTTGAAGGGGGTTAAGGTTTTTACAATAATTAGAAGAAGTTTTGTGGAATAATTCTAGATTATTTTTGAAATTTTGAAAATTGTTTGACTTTTGAAATTTTGAAAATTGTTTAAGAAATTTAGATTAGTTTTCCAGATTTGATGAAGCCTGATTTTGAAGTCTTACAAGATTTAGGCTATTTTTTTTTCAAAATTGAACTGCCACGTCATAACTTTTGTTTGGAATTCTAAATTTCTAATTGATCTGCCCAGAAACCTTAGGCTAACTTCTAGGCTCTTTCTGAAGAAAAAACTTCCCCCTAACCTCCACTTTTTCCTTCCAGATATCCCACTACCCAGTGCTCCTTCTCTCTAAAAACGGGATTCACGAAAATCAATCAAGTGTTACGTGGAAAACGAGTCAACAAAGCGATTCGACAGATTCCTCCGAACAACTGATGCCAACTCCACCAATCCGAAAATTTTCGGGAAATCTGAAACAATCACCGATTCCGCCGATCAAGAAGAAATCGTTGGATTTTCGTGGTGGCAGTGAGGAGCAGCGGCCGAAGTTTGTGAGGAATTTTACGGCGACCACGTTGTCACCGACCACTGAGAAGCCACCGTCGATTTTGGGTGAGTTGGAGGGGTTTGGGATCAAAGTTCCCCAGAAATCTGAAAAAAAATGACTAATTTCTAGTTGAGGAATGACTTGTGGCGCTCTTTTTCAATTTTTTTTTGATCTAGGTTTCAAGATTTTTGAGTTTTGCCACGTCATAGGTATTTTGAACATCGCACATTTGAATTCGAGATTTTTGACATTTTCTAGATTGCCACGTCATAACTTTCAGACTTTGTACACGTTTTTTTCACGTTCAGATTTCTAGCTTCAGATTTTCTTCGGGTTCTATAGAATTTTCCAGTTTTGCCACGTCATAGGTTATTTTCAGCCAAATTTTAGATTTTCTTATTCATTTTCTAGATTTCCACGTCATAACTTCCAGGTTTTACCAATTTTGTACAAGGTTTTTCATTTTAGAATTTTTCAAACTTTCCACGTCGTAGTTCAAATTTTCACCTCCATTTTTTGATTTTCAGTCATTTTCACCCAAATATCAGATTTTCTTATTCATTTTCTTGATTTCCACATGATAACTTCCAGATTTTCCGAAATTTAAGTTTCAGCTTTGCCACGTCACGAATATTTCGCTTCTAGATTTTTCCCTGAATAATTGTACTTCTCACCTGACTTCTTCCCTTCCTGAATACAAAAAAAACTATACTATAGTATAGCCAAAGTGAGAAGCAGACATTGCAAAAAAATGTACCCGATCAGACTTTTTTAATTTCCTGGCCTGCTCAAACATCAATTTTTATACATTTTTCCACTTGTTTTCCATAATTCAATTAGTAGCTTCTTCTTCGTTTTTTCGAGATTTCTTTCAATATTTTCGTGACACACTCGGTTTTTTCTGGAATTCGCACTTTTCTCTTCTCTTTTCTGCCTTCTCTCAATTATTTTTTCGCCTTGTTTCATTTCATCTTTGATTTTTTTCACAAAGACACCAAGTTTTTCATGAAAACATTTTTTACACTTAATAATAATAATAAGCCTCGTGGTTTTTCTCAGGTGTGAGAAGAAGAAGTTTTTTGGTTTTGGACTTGAGGTTTGGCGTGAGAAATTTGGCACATTTTTTGGTTTTGCTCTAAATTTTTAGCCTGAAAATTTCAAGCTTCAGCTGATACTATTTGCAATTCCTTACCTCATTATTTTAAGCTCGGAATTTTTACAAATTCAAATTTTCAGTCTGGAAACTTTTTTTAATAATCTAGAAACCTTCCGATTTTCATAACTCAAAATTATGTCAATTCTGAAAGGACCTCAAGAATTTTTTTCGAAATTCTGGGGTCATATAAAGAGAGACCTGAAACTTTTCAAGCTAATAAAAAATTGTTTTTTTCTAAAATGTTCTGAAATTCCTTACCTCATTAATTTTAAGCTTGGAATCTTTTCAAATTCAAAATTTCCGCTCGGAAACTTTTTTTCGGAGCCACTTCAGATTCTCTAGATCTGAACCAAAACATTTTTCATCTGATGTGTTCACAATTTCCCAACATATTTTGCTCCAAAAAAATTCTGATGAATATAAATTATCCAAATTGCAAATTGCTCTCATTTCCCCAGCCATTTTTCAGCCGTTTTCTTTTCGCAAAAATTATACATAAAATTTTGGCCGAGCCGCATCCTAAAAAACACTTGAAAACTTCTCTGATTTCTGTCTTTTTTCTCTTTCGCAGTGTGTTTTTTTCCAGCTATCTAATAAATTGAATTTATTTGATCTCTTCTTTTGTCTTTTTTCTTTTCACGCACTTTTTCTCGAAGAATTCTGGATTTATTTTATTTTAGGATAAAATCTAAGTAAAAAAAGTTCCGGGTTGAATTTAATTTAACTAATTTATTTTTTTTGAATAAGAGTTCTTTGAAAAAAAGTTTGGCGAGTGAGTGAAGAAAGTTCAGTGAATCGAATGAAAATTGTTCTCCTATGACACTTTTACGAAACATATTTTTTTCGGTGACAAAAAACACGTTTGCTGGAATAAAAATAGTCTTGTGAGAGGGATTTGTAAGCTCTGAATTTAGAAATTTTTCTGGAGCTTCTGGGAGTTGTATTTTTCTAGATTTTGAACTCCAGAACACATAGCTTTTGAGTTCTGAAAATTTTTCTTGAGTCCTTGAATTTCCAAATTTTTGTATTAAGGCTTTTTACATCCCTAGGGTACTGTAGGTTTTAAGGGGTACTGTAGATTTTTAGCGCTAAAATTTGGAGCATTTTGATACCCCTTGGGTTAGTTGGTTTGTAGATTTTCAGGTACCTGAAAATTCCACAATTCTGATTTCCATTAATTCAAAGTACTGTAGATTAATTCAAAGTACTGTAGATTAAGAAGAAATTACTGTAGCTCTCCAGGAGTAGTGTAGATTTTTTGGCGAAAAACTTTCATCCTTCATGTTAGCCTAACTCACAAAAATTCAGATTTTTAATCTCGCCATAACTTTTTACTTTTTCTCCATATCATAAATTTTATGGCACAAAAATAATCTAGATATTTATTTTTCTCTTGCTGTTCCTTTTTCCTCCTGGAATTTTTCGAAATCGAATTTACTGTTCACTGGAGCATATTTGCTCATCTTCATCTTCATCCCCATTTTTTCTCGAAAAACAACAAGACTATAAAAAAATTGTGCTTATTATTATTATTGAACTCGTCTTTTTTCTTTTTTTTCTCAAAACTAGTGTCTAGTCTAGGCTGAAATGCATTTATTGGAAGTTCCACAACAAAGATATCGAGCGAATAGTATTGATTGTTTGAGTACGGTAACTGGAGGTAACCTTTTTTTTATTTTGGAGAGCTGAATCTAGGGAAAATTCCTGTAAAAAATTTGAAAATTTAAAATTTCATTTTTCAGGACATTCTTCGAGTGGACGTTTACATGCATCGCCAAAAGTTTCATTTTCTTCAATTGTTCAACATACGATGAAATGTAAAGCTATGGGTGGTGAGTTTTTTTAATTTTTGATCTTAATGAGAGTTCTAGAAGCTCTGAATCTTGTTGAGAACTTGGGTATGGTTTACAGACCCAAGGTTAGAAATTTCGGACATTTCGAAATAATGTCAGAAGCTGTCTCTGAACTTCTAGAAACTGTGCAGATTCAGAATGTTTTTCAAAAAGATTTAGAAATCTTGATGATCAAGCTTAAACTTCGAAAAAACATTTTTTTTCCTAAATCTAGAATTTTTAAATTATTTTTTGATTAGAAATAATTTGATTACTTTTATGACAAATTTGATTTATCATAACTGTCATCAAAAATTAGCTTAGAAAAATTTAATTACCAAATTTCATGTCGAAAATTTTAAAATTAGCTTTTCATGATTCAAAAAATTCAAGATTCGAGATTTTTGCTGCTGAAAAAACATCACAGAAAGATTCACAAGAAATTTTGAATTTTCGCACGGTTTTAAGTTTTTTTTTGAATTCAGAATCCCCGACTTAAATCTATGTTGCGTTTTCTGAATGCCACGTCATAGTTTTTTTTGCCTAATCCTCAAATTCGGTGTACTTTTCTAGAACTTTTCTCGATCACACACTGATTCTTTCTATTTTTTTCCTTTTTTTCGAAAAAAATAAAATAAAATCCCTCCAATTTGAACTTTTTTGTCGAAAATTAGATTTTGCCTCATCTCCTGTCCAGCCAGTCTGAAACAAAAACAACACAAAACAACAAAAAATAAACACATTTTCCATGCCCAAATCCGATAAAACAAACCCAGAGAGCACTGAAAATGTATTTTATGAGCTCGTATAAAATTTCGATCATCCTTTCCGTGTTGTGTTTTTTTCACAATGTGTCTCGCCCCGTGAATTTTTATTTGGCGCCTATTTGAATTTTTTTCGCTTTTAGAATTCGGAATATGAGAAAAAGTGAGTTTTCACATAAATTTTTATGCGCACCTCTGAAATTTTTTTGATTGAAATGAGATGAAATGAATGGGGCGTTTTTGAGATTTTATTATTTTTTTTGGCATTTTGGAAAGAAGAAAAATATTCCTTTGTTCTGGAGCAACAATGAAAGAAGTTGGCGGCAGAATTCATGGTAATCTAGTTTTTTTCTGGAAATATTTTGTGGAGGTTTTAAACTAGAATGTAGTTTAGATGTACTTGATTCGGGTTTTTTGAAAATCAGAGATCAAATTTTGTGGAAGTTGAACTTCTGAAAAATTATGTCAAAAATTTTTTGAGAAGGAAAATTCTATGAATCTGAAAAACTCTAAAAAATTGAAGTTCAAATTTAATTTCTACCGAAGTTCAAGGCTTAAAATGTAGTTTAGATGTTTTGTATTGGGTTTTTATAGATTTCTGGAAGTTTTTTTTGAAAACTAGAATGTATTCTTTTAAAGTTTTACGATCACAAAATTCCAGAATCCCAAAAAATTCTGAAGCAAAAGTTCTCCAGAATTTGAAATTCAAATTCCAGTTTTTTTCTGGATACCGATAGGAATTTAGAGAAAATTTGAAGTTTTTCTTAAATGATTTTTCTCGAGCTCAGAAACCTTGGAACTCCAAAAATCTCAAAGTTTAGATTTGGGTTTTTGAACATTTCTGGAAGTTTTTTTTTAAACTAATATTTTTGAACCCCAAAAATCTCTGGAATTTTCAAATTTAAATTCTCTAGTTGCTCCAAAAAATCTAAAACCCTTCCTATTCACGCCTAAAAATATCCTCTCCTGCTCTCACGAAAAAAGCAAGCATTTCCCTTTGCTCCTCTTGTCTAATTGTTATTCTCAACAGAAAAGACAGACAAAAAAAATAGAGAGATATATATATATATATATATTTTGTAAATTAATTTTGTGCTTCTTACTTTCATCCCTCATTTTTTCAGAGCTTTGGAGCACAAAAAATAACCTAAAAATCATTTTCTCCTGTTTTTGACATACAGATTTTTGGTCAATTGAATTGGACATTGAACTTTATTTATTTTGTGGATCTTTTTTTCCCTGAATTTACAGTAACCCTTGATCTCTCTCTCTCCAGAAAAAAGGAAAAAAATTTAAAATCGCGTGACTTGAATCTGAAAAATTCTCGCTCTCTTTTTTTTTTCAAAAAAAAAAACAACAAGTTAATTGTTTTCAATTATTTCCATTATTTTTTCGAATCGACTAAAGAAATATACAGCTTTTAAGTTACAAAACCCTCTTATTTGAAAATAAAAAACTTGGCGCGAGTGTGTGAGCGCAACGTCACGCGGAGTCTCGTTGTCTCTTCATAAAAGCTGTATATTTCTTCCAAAATGTTGTCCTCAAAACGTGCTCGTTTGGGACATTCGGATGCGATTGAAGAGCCGCCCAAAATTCAACTTTTGTCACCGGATCGACTTCTTTTTGATTATTGCTATTATTCGGATGAATGGTTTTTGAAAAGTACCTTTTTTTGAGAAAAGAGGGAGAGAGGGTTACTGTAGAGTTCAAAAATTTTAAAAACCACGTGTCCTATTTTTTAAATTTTTTTTTTCAAATTATTTTAATTTTTGGAAAATTGAAAAATGGCAGGCTGGATTTACTGTAAGTTCCAGAAGCATTTTCTGCAGTTAGCCTAATTTTTAGCCGGAAAATTGTGAATTCAAAAAATTCGCCACCCACATATTCAGAATATATTAATTTTGACTAATTGAAAATACAATTTTCATTTTCATATTTTTATTTGTTTCCAGGAATGGGAAGTGGTCGATGCCTGAGTTCAGCTTCTCCAATTTCAGCCGTCGAACGACAACAATTATGGGGTAAGCTTTTGTTTTCATGAAAAAAAAGGTTTGCCTCGAAGCGGGATCGAACCCATGACCTATAAATTAGAAGGCGCGCGTGTTAACCACTCGGCCACGAGCTCATGTTTTAAAAGTGCGCTAGAGCAAACTTGATTGTTTTGTGTGTTTTGGAGACTAACTCAAGATATTTCGCTTTCTCATTTAAAAATGCTAACTAACTAACTAAAAAAAATGAATGTGGCGCATGAGCGACGAGCAAAAAAATCCCAGACTCTATCTAAATTGAATAATAAAATTTTGAAGAAGCTGACTGACATACAAGCTTCTCCTTTTTTCACATCTTTCCTTCTCCCAAAAAAAAAACAACATTTCTGGTTTTGATAATTTTGTTAGAAAATAGAAAATAGTGTGTTTTTGTCCCATTTTTGCTTCCAGTCATTCATTTTTCATCATCATCTCGAAAAAAAAGAAAAAACGCACAATTGAGCAAAATTATTTTTTCTTCTTCATTTTTTTTTTGAAAGGGAATTTTTCGGAAAGCAGGTGAATTTTTTTTAGAAAGAAAATGTGCAAGTTCTTGTTTTCAGCAACATTTCGTGTAAGATTTCATTGGGGATTAGGAGGATAATCTCAATGTCACATGATATTTTTGGACTTCTTCTTGTAAATCCCATATTTTTCTACGAAATCAGCGTGCTTCTCATTGAAATTAGCCTGCCGTAATTTTGTGCACACGTAGCGCAGGTGGTTAGAGTTTGCGCCAATTTTGCATCGAGGGTTCGAAACCACCCCGCGACTTTTTTTTTATTTTTTTCAAATTTTTTTTTGATTTCCAGGCAGTTCAATGCATCATTCGTTCGATGATCGACCTACAGCTTCATCAGATGATCTATTTGCGAGCTGCAACGATATCGATCAAGCGGTTAGTTATTTTTTAAAAGTCACTAGATTTGTCGCATCAATTATTCGCGCGCGCCGCTAAAAAAAAATAATATTCTCATCTAAAATTGTATATATAACAATTTTTCGCTGAGTTTTGAACCCAGCCGACACATTTTAGCAAATTACATTCTCCTTTTTTGGCACCAGCTAGAATTTTCTGAACATTATATAAGAGGAAGTGGGTTGTTTCATTGTTTCAGCTGACGGGTCCCAATTTTCGTTTGCTTCGCCAGTTTTCTGGCTTGTTATTATTATTTTTTGCAATTTTTTTTGCTTTGTTGTCTTTGAATGATCTTTGTTGTGAAGTGAAATTTTAAAAAAATCAGAAAAAATTCTGTTTTGCTCAATTTTTTCTGATGATACGAATTTTTTGTAGTCTCTCTCTCAAATCATTTGTGGGTAAATATATAAAAATATATAATCTGACTATTCTTGAGAATTTCTGAGTTAGCCTAACTGTTCAAGAATTTGTTTTTAATTCTGGAAACACTACAGTACTTGCCACGTCATAGCTTTTTTCTGGACACATTTAGAATGTTTTGAATAATTATTTTCGAGTCCCAAAATTCCTCCAAAATTTTAGTACTCTCAAAATCCTCATCGAATATTCCACGAGGTTATGATAACATTTTTTTCTGCAAAATGTTTCATATTTTTTCTGAACATCAATGATTATTCATTCACAAGAATTTTTAGCTGATAAAGAAACATTTGCGCTCCACCGAAATACGCACGCAACGCAGACCGCGCCGCGGCAAAACACACCGAGGGAGTTTTAAAGGGGTTGTCCTTCTACGTCGAAAATCAAGTCCGCAATTTTGCGTCACTTTTTAAAACTAACTATAAGCAAGCCTAAAGTTGATTAAAATTACCTTCCATAGTTGAAAAATGTTAGGAAATGCATTTCGCGAGAAATACACACAAATAAATAATGTGTGTGAAGAGCACACATGTTTTTTATATGCACTAAAACCTTAAAACCTAACAAAAACATGAATAAAATGGTGAAAACTCGCTCTAAAATCAAAATAAAATATGGAATGTTTCAGGAGCACCTTAGCTCTATCGATTAAGCCTAAGTTTCCCTGTAGCAGGACAACCCCTTTAATCTTTTATTTTGCTAAAATTCCATAAAGTCTAATTATGACGTGGCAAATTTTCACTAACCTATTGGTTTGAATTTTGATCTCATCTTCTTCCTTGTCACGCTGTTTTTTTCCCCAATTTTTCAACACTATTCATTATTATAACAGGTGTTGCTCTTTCTTTTTCACATTTTTTGACCTCATTCCGTTTTATTTTTTTTTCGTTCCTGAAAAATTCCATTTCATCCCATAAACATGACCTTGTCAAGTATGTAGTTCTTTTTTTTGTGCTCAAAAATTCATGAGCTTCGCGTGATTCGGCGGGCCCTCAAAAACAGAACGCATCATTTTTCTTTGGGCGAAAAAAAAACTTCACGGGCAGCAGGATTCGAACCCGGGTCTCATGCGCGTCAGTCAAAAATGATGCCATCTCGGCCATATCTCTCTTTTCTCCCTGTGCGAAAATGTTGGTGAAAATGAAATTGTTTTTTTTCGAATACAGTAATTTACCACGTCATCGCAAAAAAGATCTCTGAAGAATTTCTATTTTTTCTCTGAAAGAAAATATTAATTAGGGTCACTCTAATTAATGTTTTTTTCATTTTTCAAATCTGCCGGAAGTTTATAATTGGGATTGTCTTGTGTGTTTTTTTTTTGAATAATATTTTCTTTGGTTTTTGATAAATGAGTCGGGCCGCGCCTGGAAAATGTAAGTAAGTAAGTACTCATGCATTTTTGATGAGTTTTTTTGGAACTGGTCAAAATTGGTTTTTTTTGTTTGGTGCCTCGACTAGTTTTGACCTCAATTTTACTCTTTTTTTAAAGTTATGACGTGGCGAAGTAAAACGTTGTATTTCTTCTGTTTGATATGAGTTGAGTTATGACGTAGATTTTTTTGACAAGCTGTGAAGATTTTTTGCAAAATTTGCTGTGGAGATCCTGAATTTTCTTAAATATTAATTGTGGTTCAAAAAAAATTTGCCACGTCATGAGCAACAATATTTGAATTTTGACCTCAGAAAATTATTAGAAGAAAAAAATTCTGAAGAGTGTTCAGAGCTCTTGAAAATCTCGTGATTTTTTTCCGGGTTTTTTTTGAGATCGAAAATTCACAGATTGAAAGTTTCTTCCGATTTTTGAAACTTGAAATCATTCTATTTATAAATACCATTTTTCTAATCACCTTCTATTCAAAAATTTTTCAGTTAATCCAAAACCTATTCATAAAAAATTTTCTATTGACTTTCGAAAAATGCAGGATTTTTTGTTGGAAATCTGATATTTTCAATAAATTTTCCAACTTTTTTATTGTTCCTGTCATTTGTTCGAAGTTATGACGTGGCGTATTTGCAGTGTGATCGACGTGGCAAAATTATCTTTCGACACGATAACTAGAATCTCTAGGCGCGGCTTCTTGAGAACAAGGATCTCTAGGCGCGGCTTCTTGGGAACGAGGGTCTCTAGGCGCTCATCCTTAAAAAACAAATTTTCAAGTCGCGGCTGCTTGACAACAATAATTTCTATCGGCGGCTGCTTGATAGCTAAAATCTATAGACGCGGTTACTTGAGAACAAGTATTTCTAGGCGCGGCTGCTTGAGAACAATTATCTCTAGGCGCGGTTGCTTGAGAACAATTACCTCTAGGCGCGGCTGCTTGATAGAATTTTTTCGAAATCTTATATTTTCAGCACATATTCTTTTTCTTTCAAAACCCATAAATTTACGCGTGGATAAAATATTTTACTTCGCATTTTTTCTAATTTTCCACATTTTTTCGCCCCATGTCACTTCATTTTCTGCTCTTTTTTCTTTCGTTTTTTTTGTGTCGCGAAGAACTTTTTTTTTGATAGACCAGACCAAAGTTTTCGCTTTTTGCATTGGCTAATTCGTATTCTTCTTTCTCAAATATTTTCAGGGGGAAAATTTAATCTCTTTTTTTTTCTATGGGTTCTTTTTTTTCTGTATTGTTTTTGCGTTGGAATTCGCATGACAAAATGTAATTTAGTTTTGGGACAAATTCCGGGCGGCTCGAGAGAAACAGGATGGGTAAAAACAACTTTGAAAATTTATGGCTTTTGTGGTTTGAACCCAATCTGGATCACCATTTTTTTTAGTATCAAAAACCTTTGTTTTCCGGTGTTCTTTCAATTCCCTTTGGGCACCCCCCAAAAAATAGTGACGTTTTATTTCTTTTTTCCTCTACCCCATTTTTTTCTATTTTTATTTTTTACTGGAAAGTTATCTAGATTTGTTTTTTCTTGAGTTTTCTCAGAAGAAAAGAAAAATAATTGTTTTCTCGAGAAACTTTAGTGTTTCAAGAATCCTTTTGGTTTCGATTAATATTTTTTCATTTCATTAGTAAATGTCGTATTATTAAAATCAATTCGAAATTGAAAAATGTGGAAATTTTGAAACGTAATTTTTTCTTTCTGGATTTTTTTGAGATTTTTTAAAATTGTTTTTGAAACAGTAAATTTTTATGAGCTTCTGAATGTGAGAAAAACTGAAGGAAAAAATCGGACCTGGTTTCCTCTGGTCCAAATTTGTTCTCAAAAATTTGCGGTTTCAAAAAATCTACATTTTTCAATTTTGACCGGCAATGTTTGATTTAAAAAATCTGAAACGATTTTTACGTTTCGATTAATATTTTTCCAAATCATCATGACTGGATTATTAAAAATTAATTCGAAATTGAAAAATGTAGAAATTTTGAAACGTAATTTTTTCTTTCTGGATTTTTTGAACAGTTTTTCGAATCTAATTTCTTCCCCAAACCTCTGATCGTTAATTTCCCAAAAAAAAGTTCAAAAATTTATAGAATGCGTCACCCTCTTTCTTTATTTTTGGCTTTTTAAAATATCAAAAACCACAACAATTTTCTTCAGAAGAAAATATGTTATTTTTCTCTACTCTTTTTTTGCTCAAACTCGTGGAGTTATAAAATGTTCTTTTTTCTCCGTCGTTCAAGTACATACACTCCAGATTTCCGTTTTATTCATTCACTTTTTTTGTTGAAAAAATTTTTTCATTTTTTTTTAGTTTTCCCAAAAAATTTGTATTCTATACCAGTCTTCGTTGTTTTTTGTCTAATTCAATTTTTTTTCGTGTTCCATGACTGACTGGATTAAAATCATACGAATTTTCTCATTTTTCCTATGATTTTCTAGAAATGTCTGCGTCTCCGATGCTTCAACACATGTACAGTTTAGATGAGAGTACGATGGTAAATTGATTTTTTTGTTGTTGAAAATTTGAAATTAGGATTTTTATGATGTGGCAAAGTATCTGGCCACGTCATAACAATAAATTTTCTGAGGTTCAAAAATTAAAAAAAAATAAAATTTGAACTCCAGAAATATCCCAAGCTTCCCCACCCAAAATCCCATTTTCCAGTATCGACAGCAGCGAAAACGACGTGCTGGAATATCAAGTGGTTCAACTACAGTAACCCGTGATATGCCATTTGCCTGTGCTGGTGGAAATGGTTTTAGCAGTGCTGGAGTGTCGAATGGCAAAGGATATCCAACACTTGGCGGTAGATCACCACAATCTTCTTTTGATTCGAATCAGGATGTTGCTCAGGTTAGTTTTTTAGATATCTTGGGAAGAAATGTGGGAGAGGTTAGGAAAATTATGAATTTTTGAAAGTTTTCGAAATTTTGATTCAAAAGTGTTCATTGGTAAAATCTACTGTTTCAAAATTTTCAGATATTTTCTCAATATTTTTTTTAACAGCGCAATGATTCTGAGCCTGTAGAAATAATAAATAAAATTGTTTTATAAATAAAAATCCACTGTTTCAAAATACAGATATATTTTCTGAAGCATTTCTGGAAATTTTGTGCAATTTTTTTAGTCATTTCAATTTCAATTTCTCTAAAATTTTAAATTTTCAAAAAGTAACTTTTTTCCTTTGAAACTTTAAAAACAAAAAATTCTGAATTTTTGAAAGTAACATTTTTTTTCGAAATTTCAATTCAAAAGAATCAAAAATAGATTTTTCAAAAATCTACTGTTTCACAATTTTCAAATATTTTCTCAATATTTTTTTCAAAAATTGCTGAATTTTGTTGTGCCTGTAGAAATAAAAAATAAATTTTTTTTATAAATAAAAATCAACTGTTTCAAAATACATATTCATTTTCTGAAGCATTTCTCGAAATGTTGTGCAATTTTTTTAGAATCATTTGAATTTCAATTTCTCTAAAAATATTAAATTTTCAAAAAGTAACTTTTTTCCATTGAAACTTTAAAAACGAAAATTCTGAATTTTTCAATAGTTAAAAATTTACTGTTTCAAAATGCACACATACTCTTTCAATTCTTCTATCAAATTTTCCGTCTCCCCTTGTTCCTTCAAAAAAAAACAATTTCTGAAATTCATCATTTCCTGACAATTTTCCCAATAATATTTACCATGCACTTTTTTTTCAACGACGTGTCAAAAAGCCATATTTTTCCCTGTTTTCCTTTTTTATTTCCGCGCTATTCGAAAAATAAACTGAACTGAAAATGAGAAGATATTCAAAACTAGCTGATTATGATCAGGTTAATTACAATTAATTAATTAATTAGCAAATTAATTTTGTGAGTTATAGATTTCAATGAATTGGATGCGAATGAATGGACTCGGCCCTTCACTTCGACCATTTTTGAATGGAAATCATACGCCGAAAAAGACGCAAATTCAAAATTCACAATCGACAACACAAATATCGCGGATTGGATCGTTGAGAAGAATGCATGCGGCTGAAGCGAGTATCGATGGAAAATATTCGCTTTGTGGAACACAACCTGATGTATCGATGTGTATTGCAGGTAACGTGGATTGGGGATGTATTTTTGAGGGGGGAGGGGTGTAATTTCAAAGGGGAGGGTTTAAGAGAATGTTTATTGTGTGCAATCCTAATGGAAATTAGATCCCTGGAAAATGTTGAGATTTTTCAAACCAACCGGAAGTCCCGATAAATTTCAGAAGTCTGAAAATTTTGAATTTCAGTACAAAAAATCAAAAAGCTCATAAATTTGTAATTTCTTGACTCAAAAATTTCCAAAACACATTTTTTTTCTAATAGAATTTTTATAAATTCCCACAGAAAATTCACAAATCTTTGAAAGTTTGTATCTTTTTTCCCTATAAGCACAAATTAATTCAATCATTGAACATTTTCATTTATTATTCATTGAAAAACTATCGGAGGATTCATATGAGTTTGAATTTTGTTTTTGAAAGACATATGTGTTTTTTTCTGGAAGTTAGATTTGTGTCACTAAATCCGAATTTTCAGTCGAAAACAAAAATTGTCTAGAATTTGTCTGAAAGTTCATGTTTTTGTACTTTTCGTCGCACTTTTTCTGATCTCTTGAATTTTATACATTTTCAGAAACATCAGATTTTTGAAAAATTGTATGATTGTAATTTTGTAAATCTTCAAAGCCCATTTTTTAGAAACAAAAAATTCACTGTTTCAAAAATTGTACGAATAATTTTTTGAAAATTGTAAAAATGTTTATGCTACTTTGAACTTTCTATCAAATTTACAGTTTCAAAATTCACTCAAAAAATTCACTGTTTCGAAATTTCTTTATCTACCCACTTCCAAATTCTATTCAAAAAAGTAAACTCTTCAAAAAATCATTCGACTGGAAAACACTTTGCATAAAAAAAACCTCGAACACTTTTCAATTCAGTGCAGGTTTTTTTGTCAAATGACATCAAAAGATCGAAAAAGCAATTTGAAAAAATAAGACAAAATTAAATTCAGTGCACGTTTTTCCTAATTATTTATGTCTCTCTTTTGTCTCTCCGTTTTAAGGAAATTTTTCTAAATATTTTCCACATCGTAAAAAAATTTTGCACCTTTCGGACCTTTTTTTTGCTTCTCCGGAAACAATTTCACTCAAATGTGTCATTCAGTCAAAGAGTACGCGCGTAATTTGCTCCAAATCTACGTGACCAATCAACAAAAATGGGAGGAGCATCACGAGTTAATATTGCTCCATGCGCGTCAGAAATTCGATATCCCCGCTTTTTTTCTGAGATTTTTTAGATTTTAAGCTCATTATTATTATTATTCCTCTTTTTTTTTTGTTGAAAGTGAGCAAATATTGCATTTCATTTTTTCGTATTTAGGATTACATAGGATTTTTTAAAGCTTTTTGAGATTCTGGAAATCTGGTTATGACCTGGCAAAGGACCTTTAGAACATATTGAATTTTTTTTGAATTCTGATTTCACAAAATTGTTTGGAAAGATCCAATATAGGGGTTGAGGAACAAAATTTTGAATTTTTCTGAAAATTTGGAGCTTCAAGTTCAGAATATTTCCCTAATGGATCTTAATTCATCCGAAGAAAAAATGAATTTCGCGACATTTTTTGTCGCGAAATTGCAATTCGCGAAACGACACGAAATTAATAAAATAAAAGAGGAAATTCTTTTTTCGTGTGTTGGGTCTCGCAGCGATTACGTGTCCCTTTAATATTTCTCCTTTATTTTTGTGTTTATTTCGTGTCGTTTCACGAATTGCAATTTCGCGACAAAAAATGTCGCGAAATTCATTTTTTCTTCAGATGAATTGATCCATAAAATTCTTAAAATTTTTTCTGAAATCTCAGGAGCAAATTTATATTCCACGTTAATTCAAAAATACTTTGCCACGTCATAACTATGTTTTGGAACCCTACAATTTTTATCTCTGTACTCTTTCAAATTTTTTCTAGAAGTCTATAAGCCACCAAAAATCTTGAAAATCAGCCAACTGGAAAGTTCACTTTCTCCCCGTCCTCAACCGCCAAAAAAAACCCCCAACTTGTTACCCGAAAAATCTCGAATTTCCGTGACATCAGAGCACACATCGTAAATTAATTCTGAAAAAAGTTTCGGATTTCATTCCGATTTCTGTTCTCTCTTTTTCTTCTTCCTTCTGCAGAAAGAAAAAAAAAGAAATATGAGATTATCCGAAACTTTTTAGTTTGAACCTGATCCTAATTAGGTAATGTGTTTAGTTTTGAGAAGAGAAGAGAACATCAAAGTTCTTGATGTCATAAAGTTTGAGATGAAATGCTGTAAAAATTATTTTATGGAAAACTTTTTTTTTGAGAAACCAAAAAAGCGGAGATCAAAAATCATGGTTTCCAGTTCACGAAACTTGAAATGAATAAGAAAATATGGTTTCCTAATCCGCATTTTTGTAGGCTTCTGAGCTCAGAGAATTTCCAGAAGATTAGGGATTATGAGACACTGAAAATTTGAAGATTTTTGATTTTTTGGGAAAATTTTGAGATAAATTGTTTGGAAGCTATGATGAAAATTAGGCCTGAAAAAATGACTAAAAAATGTTGAGCCCTTAGAATTTTTGGTTTGAAAATTTTGACAAAATTCCAAATCTGGATAGAAATTCTATAGTGAATCTTAATATTTTCGGAAATTCTAGAAAAGTTTCTAGAAAATTAGGACCATTTCAAAATTTTGTCTGAAATATTAACCCAAAAAATTACTAGAAAGTTTTGAGCCCTCAGAATATTTTATCTAAAAATTTTGAACTTTACAAATTTTTCAAAGTTGACAAACTAAATTTTCTTGGAGCATTTTCAGAATTTCTAGAATATTCGGATCGACTAGAACTTCTGAAAAAATTTCAGAATTTTATTGAGCAAAGCATTTTACCCAAAAAATTACTAGAAAATTTCAATACGATTTTTTGGTCTAAAAACGTTGAACTTCAAAAATTCTTGAAAGTTCAAATCTGAATCTTTTTTCAGAATTTCTAGGAGATCCAAAATGTTCTTGAAACCGATGGAAAATCTTTCCGGTTTTTATTTTTTCAGAAAACCTCCCATTTTCCAGCCAGATTTTCCCACATTTTTCCATCTATTTTATTCGCTCTTCAGAAACATGAGTAATAATTGTTTGCGCTCATAGTTCACTCGATTATGTCGCTTTACTTTTTTCATTTTTCATTTTCTCCCACCCTTTTTCATTTTTCATAGAATTACGTAGGCATAATCGAGATGATCTTCTTATTTTTAGTACAATTTCTGAATTCGTGTGAGTTAGGAAATCCGGAAATTGAGGAGGGAAAAGGGAGGAGCATCATATATCTTTGAGATGAAAAAAAAACAGCTCGGCCTCATTCTCACTGAGAATTTCTCAGTTGCCAGACAATAACAACCAACTCATCAATTTTTTGACATGTTTGTGATTTTCAATACATTGCTCATCCTAAGCAACAAATTCGTTTTTCAATCTCGTCGCATCAAAAACCTCTGCAATTGACAAGTCAAGTTCATACACAGATCCCCTATTTTTTTTTCCTTTAATTTTTGAAAATTCTCTAGCCCCACATCTCTCGCCGCTTCCATTTAATGAACTCTCTCCACTCGCCTCGTTTTTTAGTTATTTTCAGCTGAAAATGAGACAGCAGCCGAAGGCCGCAGTCACATTTTTCTAATCTAATTTATTTTCAATTTTGTGAATGAGTGGAGCGATAAAAAGGTGTACATGTAGCGTTTTTGTCGAAATTTTTTTTACATATGATCTTTGATTTCTGAAATTTGAAAATAGTGGCTTTAGTGGTTTTTGAGGTGTTAACAGTGCTTCAAAATTTTGAAAAGGGCTGATTCAAGAACGAAAAAAATGTTTAAAAATGTTTTTTTAACATTGAAAGATCAATTCACGAAAAGTCAAAAAATGTCGAAAAAAACAATGTAGGTCAAAATTAGTTTTTCGAGTTTTTCAGCCAAAAATGATGACAAATCGATATTTTTCAAGCTTCTGGAGTGATTTCTGATGAAAATAAGCTTCTAGAACCCTATTTTGCTTTATTTCATGATTTTTTTCGAAATTCATCAAAATTTTAAATTTTTTTATTTTACGAAAAATCAGCAAAACCTTCTGGAAAGTGAATTCCAAGGTCAATTTTCATCAGAAATTACTCCAGAAGCTTGAAAAATAATGATTTGTCATCATTTTTGGCTGAAAAACTCGAAAAACTAATTTTGATCTACAATGTTTTTTCGTGAATTGATTTTTTTTTCTCGTTCGTGAATCAGCCCTATTGTGTCAGGCGCGGAATTTTTCGCGGGTAGTAAATTACCGGCTGAACATTGGTTATGACGTGGCAGAGTTCTGGGAATTTGAACTTTCGAAATAACTTCTAAGAAAATATCTTCTTGGAAAATGCAATTTTGCTCGAAAATTGCAAGTTTTAGAGCAAACCATGCCCTTTTCAAATTCCTGAATGTAAGTTATGACGTGGCAAAATCGTATATTTAGAATCTTTGCCACGTCATAAATTATTTTTTATTTTTAAATCAGTTTTGCTAAAAAGCATCTTATGATCTTCTCCAAAACATTTCTCTTCCGGAAATTCGCCACACTTCCGATTATTCCTGGTCAGACATAATTTGTTCCGCGCAAAAATTTCAGACAAAAAATTGTGCTTTGAGAAAAGTGCGCTATCTACATAATCGTTCTTTTCCTTCTTCATTCCATCCATTCCATTTTTGTTTTTGAACCGAAAAAAACGAGGAACATTTATCAAATTGAACAAGAAGCTCATATTTTTTCCTGATGTGTGTGTGTGTGTTTTTGTTATTCTCTCTTTTTTTTTCTTACGCCTCGTTTACCAGTTGCTATGAGACTTTGTGTCATCATAAGATAGGGGGGATAATCTTTACTTATTATATTTTTTTTTAATATCTTACTTATCATTTTTCGTCTCTTCTCTTATAAGATTTTGTTGAATAGGCGAAAAATTCTGTTCGAATTGTCACCGAGTTTTTTCACCAACAAGTCGCATCAGTCGACGACGACACCATCAACGGCCACAACAACACCGACAACCGTACCGATGCGCGCAACACATTCCACCTCAAGTATTGTTGCACCGCGCGAAACACAACTTGGATCAACATCGCCGAGTCAAGAGCATGCGCCGAAATCGATCCTTCGAGCTCCACGATTGACTACAGCTCCCAAACAACTGTCCTTCGATGTTCCACCATCGCCAAGTCCAACACCAAAGAGCTCGTGTGTTAGCGCGTCGGGAAGTTATCATATGTTTGAACGGCCGAATCGATTGCGAGCCGGGAAATTGAGTTATGGTGGATTGAGCAGTAATGTGCATCATTCGCCATATTCATTGAATGGTGGATCGCCGATTCCAAGAGATCCATCAAAATGGAGACTTGCTGATGTCAAACAAAGATCGAATTCCGAATCAATGTTTCGAATGTATGATCCGGAATTTTTGGCGAATGGAGGAAGACGGATGAGTATGGCGTATATACCATCAAGAGAACAGGCGTTGCTGAGAAGAATTCTTGGACCACAAGGACTTTCGTGGATCTCATATGATCGTTAGTGTTCCCAAAGGCCTCTAATTTTTGATTGACACTTATTTTGTGTTGCTAGAAAATTTTGCCAAGTCCCAGCGGACCAATCATTTTGTGTGTGTGTGTTCCTTTTTTATTCGAACGAGGAAAACGTTCTGTGTTGCAGACAAAAAGGCATTTCGAGGAAAAAATTGAAAATTTTCTATCCAGAAAATCTGATTCTTCAAGAATTTCCGAAATTTTCAGGAATTGCTCATGTCATACTGATTTTCTGGAAATTTTCAGGCCGAAACTCTTGAAACACAAAATTTATTGCATATTTTTATGAATTGCTCATGTTAGCCTCATTTTTCAGAATATTAGATTTTTGAACATAAAATCAAATGTTGGAGGATTGCTCATGTTAGCCTAATATTTGAAAAAAAAATTCCATAAGTGAAAAAATCGATTAACATGAGCAATTACTGCTTTCTGGAATTTTTTAGACAAAAATTCTTGAAATCCAAATTTTGTTGCATCATTTTTTGGATTGCTCATGTTAGCCTAATTTTTGAAAAATAAATCCCAAAAGTGAAAAAATCGATTAAAATGTTATAACTGATTTACTGGATTTTTCAGGAAATTCTTTTAGAAAATCTTTGATTTTTGAACATTTTTATGGATTGCTCATGTTAGCTTAATTTTTGAAAATTTTAGATTTTTGAGCACAAAATCAAATGTTGGAGGATTGCTCATGTTAGCTTAATATTTCAAAAAAAGATCCATGAGTAAAAAAATCGATTAACATGAGCAACAACTGCAGACCTAATCAAAAATAAATATTTCAGGTGAAACTGCGTCACGAAAATCAGTCTCAATAGCCTATTCAAATGATATTGAAGCTGGTGGAAAAGGCGGAGGAAATGGAGATGATTCGACAGTTCCACTCATGGATGATAAAGATGAAAATTCGGGTGGAAGATTGATAAAACGTGAAATATTGCATGAAAGACGACGAATTGTTTGTGATCGAGCATTAGGTTTTGCGATTATTGGAATCATGTTGATGATTATTGAAAATGAATTGACTTCTGCTTATCAGTTTGATGAGGTTTGTTAAATAGAAACTGTTTTCTCTCAATATGGATGATTTTTTCTTCAGAAATTCGACCATAAAATGAAAAACTTCCACTCAATCTTGAGCAAAACACTCGGTTTACTGATAGTTGCCACAACTGCCGCACTTTTATCATTTGTTGGATATTTTCATGTGATTGAAATTCAACTTTTTATGAATGCAAATGCGGCGGATGATTGGATGGTTGCACTAACAACTCGGCGAATTGTCCAAATAATTGTCGAGATTCTAGTCTGTCTACTTTGCCCACTCCCGTTTGATTTGATGCATCTTTGGGATATTGACAAAACCACTTCGAGACATTTCAATATTTTTTTATCGATTGCCATGTTTTTTCGATTGTATTGGGTTTGTCGAGTGATGCTGTTACATTCAAGGTAACCTTTTTCATTCTTGCAACTCTGATTTATCTAAAAATTTTCAGATTATTCACTGATGCGAGTAGTCGAAGTATTGCTGGTTTGAATCGTGTGAATTTCAATGCCCGATTTATTTTGAAAACTTTGATGACTTTGTGCCCGGGAACAATGCTTATGATATTTACTGCATCACTTTGGGTAATTGCTGGATGGATTTTGAGACTTTGTGAACAAACAAATTCATCAGAAATTAAAAATATGGGATATGTTGATTCGATTTGGCTAGTAGCCATCACATTTCTCTCTGTTGGCTATGGTGATATTGTTCCGAACACAAATTGTGGTCGAACAATGGCACTTGTCACTGGTATTCTTGGAACATGCGCTTCTTCGATGGTTGTCGCTGTAATTGCGCGGAAACTTGAGTTGACACGAGCTGAGAAACATGTGCACAATTTCATGCAGGATACTCAATTGACGAAACAGTTGAAGCATAGTGCGGCGAATGTTTTGAGAGAGACTTGGTTTATTTATAAATATCGGAAGTTGGTGGATAAATGTGATTTTGGAAAGGTCAGACAGCATCAGAGGAAATTCTTGGTGGCGATTTATGAGTGAGTTTTTTTTTTGAGATCTGACACGATCTTAGAATTTTTGATCTACAAGAAAAAACTGAAAGTTAGTAGTTCTGCAGAGTTTCAGCAAAAGTTCAAGCCAAATTTCAAAAAAAACATTTCAGAATGCGACGGGTAAAAAGAGACCAAAGAAAATTGGCGGAAAATCTTGTGTCACTCGGAGATGTCGCCAAAACCTCATCAAACACCTATGAACTTGTTCACGATGTTCATTCAACACAAGAAGGTCTATCTCTACGAATAACTGCTATTGAACATCAATTGTCGGATATTTCAAGAGAGCTTTCGAATTTAACTGAACTACTGAGAGGTAGTGTGATTGTCGCATCGGTTCGTTTTTGCTTTTTGGTTTGATTTGATTTTTTTCGGGGGCTGACTATATGAGTGATTTTTTTTGAGAGATGAGAGAGACAAAATATGATTTCGCTTTTTCGTATTTGATGTGTTCTTTGATTTTTTGCACTTCTTTTTTTCAAGAAAAAAAAATGAAAAAATGCATTTCATTTCCAAAAATTCAAATTTTTTGCAGGAAATGAACAACGAAAGAAGAGCGTTATGATAAACGAGTCTCCAAGAATGCGCCGAAAAATTGGAGAACTTCGGATTTAGACAAACTACCCTAATGCTCCCTAAGGGAGGTTCTCTTTAATATAATATTTGAAAAATACTGGTATTCTTCGTCGATATTCCTTTTTGTATTCTTTTGTGATGTTCGTTTTTCCCATTTGAGACTGGTGATTTTGCAAAAAAACATAATAATGATAAATTTTAACCTATTAAAAACACGGTGAGCAAACAGGAGAAAAATTTGGAGTCCACATACTGTATATGAGTTGAGAAAAGGACTCTGCAAAATGGAGAGTGTGTAGAATGAAGAGAGAGAGAGAGAAAAGAGAGGGACTATTATCAAAGCAACGAAAAGGTATGACAAAGGTATGACAATGACAACAGATGGACAATTGTTTTTTGATATAATTTCAAGGGAGCATTTTTGCAAAAAAATGTACTGTAGATTTTAGACAACAAAAAAACAATGAGATCCAGAATAAAAATGACTAGTCGAAGCTGAAAATCGACAATTTTGACTTAAGCCTCAATTTTTATTTGATAGTTACAATTAGATTAAATGAACAATTTCAAAAATGAATGAATAAATGAAACGAAACACAGAAAAATGAAATTTACAATCCGAGTCGCTGCACTTCTCACTTCATCAGCTAATTCGTCTCGAATTCTGCAAAGTTTGATTAAAAACAACTAATGATTCAAAATCAAGGGTTTTTCCAAGTCTGTACTGGAAAGATGGAACATTTCTAAAATCTCAAATTTTATCACTAAATTGGTCGTAAATCTAATTTTTATCTGGAATTTGTTCATCTTCAAATAATTTAGTGATTTTTTGAAACGTTCTCTTTTCAAAAAATTTAGAAAATTCACAGGAACATTTTCCGATACCGTGGAAAAACAGAGAAATCCGGAAAACTGTCCGGCACACCCCGGTTTTTTTGAAAACACTCACATTTTCAATTCGAATTCAATTTTCTTCAGTAGCTCTGATCGAGACATCAATTCAAAATTGTTGAATGATCCACCATTCATTGCATTCTCAATGAATTCACCACATTTTTCATACATCACATCAGAATCTTCTTCATATCGTTTTCTTCGTTTCTCTGATCTCCTCAGTAATTTTTTAAGATCTTCTATTTCTTGATTTCTACAAATTAACAAATTAAACATGAAATTCCGAATTTAGTGATTATTTGAGAAATTTTCTTCTTCGTTAGAAAATCAAAAAATTACAGTTTTTGTTAGAAATTCTTCAAAGTTGTTCAGCACAGGCCTGCTTTTTTCGAACGAAAAACCCCACATTTTTATTTCTAGTTCTATTGCCTTGTTTTTCTCGATTTGCGCCGCTCCAAACACCATCTCTTCATTTTGTAGTGCTAGACTCCCAAGAGCTAGCATTCCTCGAAGACTGCAAAATCAGTTAATTAATTATCCAAAATCAAGGTTTTTTCCAGGTCGAATTTTTTGAACAGGAAAATTTAAAATTGTCCTGCGCAGGCCTGGTTTATTTTTTTAACACTCACATATTTAATTGGAATATCGATTCGTCGAGTCTTCTATTTAGATTTCTGAACTGTTCCTCTGTTGGATATCGTGCCATAATTTCTGAAAATATTTCTTAATTATGGCAGTGCCAATAATTTGGGATATATGTAGTTACAATGGAATATAAACGGATATTTTTCATTGGCTCAAAAATAAAATAATTTTCACTGATCTCTTTTTTACATGGAGGATACTAATTTCAAAAAAAAGAAGTAATTAGGATATTCAGGTATTCTCTCAACATGTTGAGATAACAAGGGAAAACATTTGGAGTTCACACACTGTATTTGAGTTGATAAAAAGGCGATGCAAAAATGAGAGAGTATGTAAAATGAAGAGAGAAAAGAGAGGGACCATTATCAAAGAAACGAAAAGGTCAGGGGAAAATGTAAGCAGATGGACAATTGTTTTTGATTAAATTATCAATAAAGATTTTTTACAAGAAATTGTACTGTAGATTTTCGACAAAAAAAAACAAGGAGGTCCAATAAAATAACTGGTTAAGTTAATCGAGCAAAAAAATTATTTATTAAAAGCTTTCCTCTATTTTTTGCAATTTTTTCATTGAAAAAATCCACGTGGCAAATTGTTTGATTCAAAATTGGAATTTTAGTGTTAATAAATAAGACTACTGTAGCTTAACATTTAGGGAAATTTTGCCCCAATATTCTTCCAGGATTACTGTAGCTCTAGCCTTCTAAATTGTCTTCCCATGCACTTTAATCTATAGCATTTCAGTTAACCTGAGCAAAAAACCATTGCATTTTTTACAAAACTTCTGAACTACAGTATGCTACAGTACCTGAACTACAAACTTTAGAACATAGTACTCTTTCAAGCAACAGAAACCAAATTTCCCGATTTTTCTAAATTTAGAGATAGGTCTACAGTGAAAGAACAAAAGTTATTATAATACAGAAACAAATTTATTTCTTGAACCAAACAAACACATATTTAGATAAGAATGATCTTAACAATCCTCTCTCGAACGTAACATTTCTCCCTTCGATTAATTGCAGTTTTTGAAGTACTACTTCAGCTTCTGAGCGAAATCGGCTCGCCGATTTCAAAGCTGTATTAAGCTCAACTTTGTAATCCATTCGGTGGAGAATTGCTTGTGCCTACTCTTCGTTCAAACTTTTAAGTGTAAGTACAATCTTTCCCAACTCTTTGTCAGACAAAAGTGATAATTTCTTGACTTTTTTGGGCCTCGAGTTTTTGCCAGCAATCAACTTTCTTGACTCCTCCATCATAACTTCAATTGATTGGCTGGTTACATCAATTTTGCTATGTATATCTCGCAATCGTTCTGAAAATACAAAAATTATATAAGTCTATCGAATTTAAATATAACTTACCTTTGGTTTTATCCAATTCATGCATAGTAACTCGCAACAAATGCTTCACCTCCCTTTTCGCTTCTTTCAATTCATCGAGAGACGCAGAGGACTTTCCACTTTTGATAATCTTGTACTTTTCAAGGAAAACATCCCATTGTTCGAGAATTTTGTCCGATTCCAGAATAGACATTTGCTCTTGCATCTGCTCAATCGAATCCATATCCTGATAATTCAAATTATTATTCAGGATTGAAAGTAGATTCATTAGATTGGAAGATAAGAATTACAAATTTAATAAAATAAAGAAACGGATTCTAAAAATTGCAGTAAATAAAAAATTCCAAAAGCGAATATCCGCACTCTCAAATTGCAGATTCACCAAACAAGTTAGCATAAATATTCGCGCATAACCTGAGCCAACAAAACAACGCCGCATACTGTATATAGGAGGTAGTAGACATTAGTGGACGCTACCAAAAAGAGTGTGTAGAATGAAGAAACAAAGAGAAAAGGGACTAACTTGAAAAAACGGCCAACAGACTCTCTCTCATCAATTTATTGCTGGAATTTGGGAATAAACTATGATGGATCATGGACTTGTGTTTTTAAAATGCTAAATTATTTGGTGAATCTACAATTTGAGAGAAAAAAGTTTTTCCACATGTCTAAATTTTTTTTGGCCTAAAAATCCCCGTATCAATTTTTTTTTGAATTTCTGATTGTCTCACAATCATTTCACATTTTCTGGAACATCGGACTACTGTAGCTATCCAAGTAGCTTGAAATCCACGCCTTTTTGGATTACTGTAGCTTTTCGCAGATCGGAGTACTGTAGTTGTAGTTTCAGAACCAAATCTTTCTGGATATTGAAGCTCAAAATTTAGGGAATTTTCGCGCCAATTTTTCCAGGATTACTGCAGCTCCAGTCTTCTAACTTCTCTGCGTCTCTTATTTCCAAAACAAAAATGGGAAAAGATCCGAAATTTCAAATACAGTTTTCAGGAAATGAGCAACGAGTCTCCACGAATGCACCGAAAAATTGGAGAACTTTGGATTTAAACAAAATAAAATCCTTTTTTGAAAAATACTGCTATTCTTCATCGATACTCCTTTTTGATGTTCGTTTTTCCCATTTCAAAAAAAACATAATTATTTTAAATTTGAAAAAATTTACTTAAAGTAATAGTAACTATTGAAAAAAAATATTTGTTCTACCATTGTTTTTTCATGTCATCGTATGAAACTTCGCCAGGACCAATATGAATAACAAGTAAAAGACCGCCAACGACAGAAAGGGTTTGGAAAAAGTCATATTTCATGAAATCGATTTTTGTCGCGTCAGTCTGTGACCACCTGAAATCATGATTTCTCCAAATTTTCAAAATTAAAAAAAAATAGAAAAACTTACCAATCATTCAGAAAAATATTGAGGATGAATAGCCAAATTGCGAGAGCAAAAGAAGCCAATTTTGTGCGAGCTCCAACTGCAACACAAACCGATAAGATGAATGAAACCAAAAGCTCGACGATTTTCAAAAATTCGAATCCATCAAAATGAATCAGAGAAATAAGCATGAAAACGAGATAACATCTTCCAACTAATATAATAATTGATTTGAATTGAAATTCATCATCATAAATCAGCTCGTTTCTTCCAGTTCGTGGTTTTTCGTCCATTATTGTTTCAGTTGCTAGAAGAGTTAGGCAACCAATCACTGACAGATTTCTGAAGTATAAAAATCATTTTTTTTTTAAATCACAAATTAAATTACCTGATCAAGAATCGCAAATCACTATACATATGGTAGAATAGGGTTTGAAGAAGAATTACAGATCCGAGTAAAACACATGCAATCATAACTTTTCGACGCAATAAAATACAAAATGGAGCAATCAATTGGATCAAGCACATATACATTACAAATAGAAATGAAATTCCATATGGGAGTGACCAAGAATTCTGAAATAAACATTTGCAAACAAGAAAACAAAAATAAATTTATCAACTTACTGTTATAAAAGTTACATGATTATTGATATTGAAAAGAATTCGATGACCATCTTCAAAAAATGTCAAAACCATTAGAATTCTTCCCAATATCGGAACTTTTCCTCGATTATTACGAATAAACTGAAAAAATTTCTCGATTATTTTTCTTATTGCAAACATAAAACAACTCACATCATCTGAAATATCTTCCAAGTTGGACAGCAATTTTGATGTATCCATTTGCTTTATTATAAATGCTGTTTTTCATGAAATGAAATTGAACATTAATTTTCACGTGAAACAGAACACGTGTCGAGAAAACAAAAAGAAAATATTTAAAAATGCAATTGTTCGCAACAGAGCATGTTTGCTTGTTTTTCTCAAAGGATTGCGCGGGTTTTAAAATTTCGCCAGAGATTTTTCATTTCTTTTTTTCCAGTTTCTGAAGTTTTCGGTGTTGGAAAAGTGTATTTTATTGTTTTTTCAGCGTTAATAACGAGTCAAAACTATTATGGGTCGCAAGAACAATATCAAGATTCAACATGTAAGTGGTTTATTTCAAAAATTAGGGCAGACACGTAAAAGCTCTTCACATACCTCGGCCAAAATCGTGGGTTCCCATAATAAAAAATTGTACGCTAACTTTTTACAGTACAAAAATTTTGGATTTTTCAGTTTTTGACCTCTGATAACTGAAATTCAGATTATTTCAAAAATTGTACTCTGGCCAGCCACGGCTTGGCCGAGGTGTGGCTCTTCAATTCATATTCAAAATTTTACAGAATCTCCGTCAATCGAAAGAACACTCTCCGGAGAATCGCAGAGTTCTCGATGATATTGGCAATGTTTCGCAACGATCAGTCGATATGACAACTGTTGAAATCGTGAGAAATACGGCGTTGAGAGGTATTTAGTTTTCTGAGTTTATTCACAATTCAATAGGATTATTTCCAGAAACACCTGTTGATAAGGTGAATTATCTTCTCGATATTTTGGATCGCAAAAATTCGGAGTTGCTGTGCTCGAGAAAACTCATCGACTATTTGAAAAATTAGGATATGGATTTGATAGAAAAGATTCAAAATGGTCAAGAGCAAATGACTATTCTGGAATCGGACAGGAGCGAAGTTCTCGAACAATTGGATGCTTTTCGTGATAAATTTGAAAATATTAAAGGAAGTTCTTCCGCTTCTCTCGACAAATTGAAAGAAGAGAACGAGGAGTTGAATGAAAAGTTGCGAGTTACCACACAAAACTTGGAAAAATCCAAAAGTAAGTTGATTTTGAATTTAATTTCGATATACTTATATAATTTTCGTTTTTTCAGGGGAGTTGAGTGATTAGTTCCAACTGACATTTTCACACATATTCCTGGTTTTCATTTGTATTCGGAGAACGGTAAACCACACGGTCAAGCCAGCCAATGGAATGTGACTCGAATTCCAGTCGCCGTCACAAAACGACACACAGATCGCGCGAAATTCAGTTCGATGTGGGAGCAGATTGAAAATTTGGGTTCGAAAACCACACCGCATTTATGTCAACGACTTGGTTTATAATAAAATTAAGATTTATTTCTCCTGTTTTTATCCTGTCTCTCTTTTTTTGGTTATAAATTATTTTAAAAATTTGAAAAGTTTATTAAAGTTTTGCTAACTTCCTTGGAAATTTCAGGAAACACAATTTCCATTTTTTGTGCGAAAAATAGCTAAAACGCATTCTAGGCCCCAAAAATTCCAATGATCTATGCACCCCGCGGTAGATCAAAATTGAACAATTTTCGGTGCTATTGATTTTTTCCAATCTTCTCTCTTCTTTTGATTTCTGCTGAACTTTTCTTTCTTTCTTGTCTGAAATACTTATATTTTGTCTGAAATTCTGATGGAAACTGTTGCCAAAGGTGTGAAAGCTGTAGGCATATTGTTGAAGGTGTGAAAGCTGTGGGCGATATAAAGAACGGTTTCCATCAGACTCTGGTTCTCTCGTTTTTTTTTGTTCTGAAAAATTGAAACTGTTGCCAAAGGTGTGAAAGCTGTGGGCATATTGTTAAAGGTGTGAAAGCTGTAGGCGATATAAAGAACGGTTTCTTTTTTTTCGAACTATCTTCTGCATCTTCTCTCTTTTCTTTATTCTCTCTTTCTTTCAACAATGGCGTGGCTGTAAGTCGAAGATGTGTGATTTCCAAGGTTTGAATTTCACTTTTTGTCAGAATATAATAATAATAATGTTATTTTTGCAGTTGAGATCTCGTCATCGTCGAATCGAGGAAATTTCAAGAGAAAATAATGGGACAAGTGAGGTGAATATTTCTCTCGAGTCTCTTTCAAACCCGTAGAGCTGAGCAGGTTCCACAAGATATTTAGATAGTTGGGAACTAAAATTCCCTCGATAAGTACAGTAGTTTTTTTGCGCGTAAAGTTAGGTGTGTGTGTTGCTTTGCAAAAGACCACCCGGATTGTTTTTTTTTGATTTTCGAAAGACCTCCCAGATAATTCTTCATTTTCGAAAAACCCAGTTTATTTCTAGTTTTTAAAGGACCACCCAGTTTATTCTTCATTTTCGAAAGACCACCTAGATTATTTCTAGTTTTCAAAGGACCACCCCGTTTACTTTTAGTTTTCAACAGACCACCCATATTATTTTATGCTTCATTTGTCCCATGAAAGACCGCCTAACTCGTTAATGAAATCTATACATTTTCAGATTGTCCGAATTTGCCAGTGGTTTCGGATTGATCGATCGGTTGTCTTGCAGACTCACAATTTGGACATGGAAATTGCTCCATGAGGTAGGATTTTATTCATTATCATTTCCAAAGGTGAATATTTCTCTCAAGTCTCTTTCAAACCCGTAGAGCTGAGCAGGTTCCACAAGATATTTAGATAGTTGGGAACTAAAATTCCCTCGAGAAGTACAGTAGTTTTTTTGCGCGTAAAGTTCGGTGTGTGTGACGTGTTGCTTTGCAAAAGACCACCCGGATTGTTTTTTCCATTTTCGAAAGACCTCCCAGATTATTCTTCATTTTCGAAAACCCCAGATTATTTTTAGTTTTCAAAGGACCACCCAGTTTATTTTCAATGTTCAAAGGACCACCCAGTTTATTCTTCATTTTCGAAAGACCTCCCAGTTTATTTTATATTTTCAGATTGTCCGAATTTGCCAGTGCTGGATTCGGATCGATCGATCGGCTGTCTTGCAGACTCAAAAAACATGGAAATTGCTCCATGAGGTAGGATTTTATTCATTATATTTTTCCAAATTAGAAGTTATAAAAACGTTTCCAGATTAATAGCAAGTTATAAGTGATGGTTTGATGTTGGAAAGATGGGGAAATTGATCGGAGAATCAAAAAACAATCGATAGCGAACCGAAGGAATCATGGCGAGGACCCGGATAGAAAAAGTCAGTTTTTTCAAAGTTTATTTTTGAAATACAGATAGGAAAAAGTTCACTCCACTCTAAATCCGGTGCCGTATTGTATGTATATGATGCTCGAACTTTACTTTGATACTTTGATGGTCCATTATATCAAGCCATAATCATTGATCATAACTGTGAACCAGACAGCTCCATTGTGAACGATCTTGAGCCATTCGTGACCAGGGAATTTTGCTGGATATTATCCCGATCCTTCTTCTTCTGTCTCCACCGAGACCCAATAAATTTTGGTTGTGATTGTGGACTTTTGCTGCTTCTTTGATGTCGTCCACCCAGCGCTTTTTTGGTCTGCCTTTCCTTCTTGGATACTTATCTGGGAAGTCCGACAGTGTTATGATTTTGCAATATCTAGTCGGAGACATGCGCGCCACGTGGCCTGCCCATCTGATTTTTGTTTTCATAATCAAATTTGTCATATCTGGCGGATTACCGGCTCCAGCTTGCACCCAAATGTGGTTGATTGTTCTTTGAATGATTTCGACATCTTTGACCTTTGTGTTCCAAGTTTCTGCACCATAAATTGCAGCTGCAACAACACTTTGTTTCAGCAGTTGATTTTTTCTGGTCATTCCAATTCCACTCAACGCTTCGGCTATTCCGTGATAAGCAGCCCACGCTGATCTTTTCCGATTTGCGATTTCGGAGTCCAATGATCCGTCTTTCATGAAAATGCGGCCCAAATATTTTATCTGATCAACGTCTTCCAGTCTTTCTCCCCGGACCACAATGAACCTCTTGTCAGCTGCTTCATTTCGCAACACTTTTGACTTTGAAGTGTTGAATAATAATCCAGCTTCTTCACATTTCTTGGCGATGTTTTCAGCGCGTTTTTGGGCATCTTTGCTCGATGTATCGATCAACACCAGATCGTCTGCGAATAAAAGTCTTGAGATATACTGCCCGTGGATTTTGCACCCATAGTTTCCATCAAGGTCGTTTTCCGGGATCGGGTCAGCTTGTCTCAACAGATGATCCAACGCGATTGAGAATAGTGCTGGTGAGGATGAGTCGCCTTGACGGACTCCGCGTTCCATCGCAATTTTCATCTTCTCTCCGAGTACTGTTAACTCTCCGATTCCGACTTCATTTGCGCCTTTAATACACTCCAAATATTGTGGCCAGAATCCAGTTTCAATTACACTTTCTTGCACCGAATTCCAATCAACTGAGTCGAAAGCCGCCTTGAAATCGATGAACGTCAGAATCAATGGAAGCTTGTACTCATGACTTCTTTCCCACAAGATTGAAATCGATTGCAAATTGTCACTGCATGATCGTCGTGGTCTGAATCCGTGTTGACTTTCATCCAAGGTTTGTTCTGATTTGCCCATTAATCTTGAAGTCATAACTTTTGTGAAGATTTTACCAGGAATCGATAAAATCGATATTGGCCTGACGTCTTTTAGATGTTCTGGGTTTGGCTTTTTCTCAATCAATTTCAATCTGATGTTGTTCCAATCATCTGGTATTTCATCGTCGTCGATTATTTTGTTGAACGAATTAGTCAGACATTTTGCCACCAATTCTCCTCCATATTTTATCATATCCGCGCCAATTCCATCCAGGCCTCTGGCCGTGTTTACTTTCAAACTGCTTATTGCTCTCATAACTTCTGAGTTAGAAATTGGTAGTGGATTTCTGGTGGTTGATTGGATTTTTGTTGTTTTTGGACCGGTGCGTTCGAATTGTTTTTTGAAGTGGTTTTTAACAGCTTCACGGATTTTTGATCGATTCGAAGTTCTTGATCCATCTTGAAGAGTCAATCTTTGAAACAATTCCGACTTCTCTTCGATTCTTTTCTTCATCTTTTTCACGCTGGTTCTTTTGGCCACTGCTTCTTCAATTTTGCGACATCTCCAGTTTTCCAGATCTTTTTGATAGGATTCCCGAGTGATCTTACATATTTCTCGTTTTTCAAGAGCGGTTGCTTGGTTTGACGCCAAGATTCTGAATCTTTTCTCCAATAATTCACGAGTTTCTTGAGAAATCCTTGATTCTTTTGGTGTCGGAATTGAAGTGTGTTTTGCACATTCTTTCATAGTTTTGATGAGGTTACTGTAGTTTGCGCAGGTTGAATCGAGATTTGAATCGAGAGATCTTAAATATTCCAATTTATCTAGTTTCACAACTCGATCCATTCTTTCTCGTGGTCGTCTCAATTTTCTGGATATGTCTCGATGTGCTACATTTATAGTCAATCTCAACAATCGATGGTCGGATAGGTTGTAGTTGGAGTTGAAGGTGTTGATGTCGCGGATCATAAATCGTCTCGATTCTTTTATCATGAAATAATCAATCATCGATCTGGACTTCTCGTTTGGGCCTCTCCAGGTCCAATATGCTGATCTCTTCTTTTTGAAATGCGTGTTTAGTATCGCCAATCTTTTTGAGTTCGCGAAATCAATAAGCGATTCACCATTGTCGTTTCTTGTGATGGTTTTCAAGCCATATCTTCCAACGGTTGGGTGCTCTTGGGTAGATGTTTTCCCAATTACTCCATTGAAATCGCCACATACAATCCGAACCCAGTTATCTGCTACGCTGTTATAGGCTTTTGACGCCATTTTGTAGAATTTATCGACTTCGGTTTGTTTGGCGTTGTTAGTGGGTGAGTACATATTGAATAAAGCAAGGTTTGTTTCACCGATTTTTAGCTTCAGAATGGCTACTCGATCCGAACAGCTCACAACCTCTACTACTGATCTTCTGAATTTTTTCTTTATCCAGAACCCGAGACCTCCGACTTTTTTTGATCATTTCGAGGAATATAAATTCATTTCCATCTTCTGTTATCAGTGAACATCCTTTGCTCATTCTAGTTTCCTGCAGTGCGATAAAATCACAACTAGAGTAGTTTGCCAAGTTGTTTTCAGCCTCTCTTTTCGATTCATTTGCCAAGGATCTGGTGTTGTGTGATCCTAACTTCAGACTCGATTTTTTGGAGGTTTTGGCTGTTATTCCGTTTCCAGCGGCACCCCGGCAGCAACTGGCGCCTCCTCGGACTGGATGCCTTGAGCCCTTCGGAGGTTGATCGCCAGCGTAAGATCCATCCAATTTTCTATATTTTTGCTGTCTTTTGGAAATTGATGCCCAAATCCAGGTAACACGGGTTTCCAGCCCGGTTTTGGCCAATCAGCACCTTCATTCGATCTTTCCGGCCGAAGATTGTGGGCTTTTTTTGTTGTCCTTTGGCCATAATATTGTAGAGCTTGATTGCATTGATCGAAATGCACGTGACAATAATATGTTTCCATCTCGAACCACGTGGAGGCGACAAACATGACGAGACTGTTTTTCTCAAAGGATTGCGCGGGTTTTAAAATTTCGCCAGAGATTTTTCATTTATTTTTTTCCAGTTTCTGAAGTTTTCGGTGTTGGAAAGTGTATTTTATTGTTTTTTCAGCGTTAATAACGAGTCAAAACTATTATGGGTCGCAAGAACAAGATCAAGATTCAACATGTAAGTGGTTTATTTCAAAAATTAGGGCAGACACGTAAAAGCTCTTCAATTCATATTCAAAATTTTAGAGAATCTCCGTCAATCGAAAGAACACTCTCCGGAGAATCGCAAAGTTCTCGATGATATTGGCAATGTTTCGCAACGATCAGTCGATATGACAACTGTGGAAATCGTGAGAAATATGGCGTTGAGAGGTATTTAGTTTTCTGAGTTTATTCACAATTCAATAGGATTATTTCCAGAAACACCTGTTGATAAGGTGAATTATCTTCTCGATATTTTGGATCGCAAAAATTCGGAGTTGCTGTGCTCGAGAAAACTCATCGACTATTTGAAAAATTAGGATATGGATTTGATAGAAAAGATTCAAAATGGTCAAGAGCAAATGACTATTCTGGAATCGGACAGGAGCGAAGTTCTCGAACAATTGGATGCTTTTCGTGATAAATTTGAAATATTAAAGGAAGTTCTTCCGCTTCTCTCGACAAATTGAAAGAAGAGAACGAGGAGTTGAATGAAAAGTTGCGAGTTACCACACAAAACTTGGAAAAATCCAAAAGTAAGTTGATTTTGAATTTAATTTCGATATACTTATATAATTTTCGTTTTTTCAGGGGAGTTGAGTGATTAGTTCCAACTGACATTTTCACACATATTCCTGGTTTTCATTTGTATTCGGAGAACGGTAAACCACACGGTCAAGCCAGCCAATGGAATGTGACTCGAATTCCAGTCGCCGTCACAAAACGACACACAGATCGCGCGAAATTCAGTTCGATGTGGGAGCAGATTGAAAATTTGGGTTCGAAAAACCACACCGCATTTATGTCAACGACTTGGTTTATAATAAAATTAAGATTTTTCTCCTGTTTTTATCCTGTCTCTCTTTTTTTTTGGTTATAAATTATTTTAAAAATTTGAAAAGTTTATTAAAGTTTTGCTAACTTCCTTGGAAATTTCAGGAAACACAATTTCCATTTTTTGTGCGAAAAATAGCTAAAACGCATTCTAGGCCCCAAAAATTCCAATGATCTATGCACCCCGCGGTAGATCAAAATTGAACAATTTTCGGTGCTATTGATTTTTTTTCCAATCTTCTCTCTTCTTTTGATTTCTGCTGAACTTTTCTTTCTTTCTTGTCTGAAATACTTATATTTTGTCTGAAATTCTGATGGAAACTGTTGCCAAAGGTGTGAAAGCTGTAGGCATATTGTTGAAGGTGTGAAAGCTGTGGGCGATATAAAGAACGGTTTCCATCAGACTCTGGTTCTCTCGTTTTTTTTTGTTCTGAAAAATTGAAACTGTTGCCAAAGGTGTGAAAGCTGTGGGCATATTGTTAAAGGTGTGAAAGCTGTAGGCGATATAAAGAACGGTTTCTTTTTTTCGAACTATCTTCTGCATCTTCTCTCTTTTCTTTATTCTCTCTTTCTTTCAACAATGGCGTGGCTGTAAGTCGAAGATGTGTGATTTCCAAGGTTTGAATTTCACTTTTTGTCAGAATATAATAATAATAATGTTATTTTTGCAGTTGAGATCTCGTCATCGTCGAATCGAGGAAATTTCAAGAGAAAATAATGGGACAAGTGAGGTGAATATTTCTCTCGAGTCTTTTCAAACCCGTAGAGCTGAGCAGGTTCCACAAGATATTTAGATAGTTGGGAACTAAAATTCCCTCGATAAGTACAGTAGTTTTTTTGCGCGTAAAGTTAGGTGTGTGTGTTGCTTTGCAAAAGACCACCCGGATTGTTTTTTTTTTTTGATTTTCGAAAGACCTCCCAGATAATTCTTCATTTTCGAAAAACCCAGTTTATTTCTAGTTTTTAAAGGACCACCCAGTTTATTCTTCATTTTCGAAAGACCACCTAGATTATTTCTAGTTTTCAAAGGACCACCCCGTTTACTTTTAGTTTTCAACAGACCACCCATATTATTTTATGCTTCATTTGTCCCATGAAAGACCGCCTAACTCGTTAATGAAATCTATACATTTTCAGATTGTCCGAATTTGCCAGTGGTTTCGGATTGATCGATCGGTTGTCTTGCAGACTCACAATTTGGACATGGAAATTGCTCCATGAGGTAGGATTTTATTCATTATCATTTCCAAAGGTGAATATTTCTCTCAAGTCTCTTTCAAACCCGTAGAGCTGAGCAGGTTCCACAAGATATTTAGATAGTTGGGAACTAAAATTCCCTCGAGAAGTACAGTAGTTTTTTTGCGCGTAAAGTTCGGTGTGTGTGACGTGTTGCTTTGCAAAAGACCACCCGGATTGTTTTTTCCATTTTCGAAAGACCTCCCAGATTATTCTTCATTTTCGAAAACCCCAGATTATTTTTAGTTTTCAAAGGACCACCCAGTTTATTTTCAATGTTCAAAGGACCACCCAGTTTATTCTTCATTTTCGAAAGACCTCCCAGTTTATTTTATATTTTCAGATTGTCCGAATTTGCCAGTGCTGGATTCGGATCGATCGATCGGCTGTCTTGCAGACTCAAAAAACATGGAAATTGCTCCATGAGGTAGGATTTTATTCATTATATTCTTCCAAATTAGAAGTTATAAAAACGTTTCCAGATTAATAGCAAGTTATAAGTGATGGTTTGATGTTGGAAAGATGGGGAAATTGATCGGAGAATCAAAAAACAATCGATAGCGAACCGAAGGAATCATGGCGAGGACCCGGATAGAAAAAGTCAGTTTTTTCAAAGTTTATTTTTGAAATACAGATAGGAAAAAGTTCACTCCACTCTAAATCCGGTGCCGTATTGTATGTATATGATGCTCGAACATTTCTTGAAATGAGGAAGTTCTTATGGGGCGTCCAAAAATCAAAAAATGAAAAATAACCAACTTTTCCTAATAGAACACTTTATTATTTTTGAGCATAAAGTGTTAAACGAAAGCGACATTTATCTATAATCAAACATTTAAAGAAAACATACTATGAGCAAACAAAAAAGAGAGGGTGGGCTAGGAATATAATAGAAAAAGACGTGAGTAAAACAAACAAATAATTTCAAACTGAATATGATATCATGATTGATTTTTTTGGGAAATTTTTGATCATTTCTAATTTTTTAGATCAAATCTTAATACAGTTTGAGTAATACATTGACAATGTTATTGGATATTGTTGATTTTCGAATTTTGTTGAACACAATAATAATTTAAAAATTTCAACTTTACAAAAATGATTTTTTGGGAAAACCAACTGATTGATTATTTTTTGTTCATCGAAATCTTCGGAATTTGTGGAAATCCGAAAACAAATGATGCAACTTTTAACAATAATTTTGATTCACGAAAAGCCAAAGAGTTGTATTTTGCATATTATAAATAGGAAAATAATCTTCGAATTGTCGCCAATCGCAATTTTTGTTAAAATTCTCATCTTATTTTTTCAATTCGAATCGATCGATCAAAAAACTGATCTCATAAACAAGTTTTCAAATCCCAAATAATTTTTGAATGGGGTTTTCAATATTCTGCGCTCAGGATCATGAAAACTAGAAAAAATAAAAATACAATCGGTTTCTCAAAGTCATTCTTGAAAAGTTGAATATTTCAAATTATAATTATGCAACAAATAATATCTGAAATTCAATAAAATGGTATTTTCAAGTGCTGTTTCACTTCATTCAAAAATCATCTATATATACTCGAACTGTATTAGATTCTTTTTCTGATTAATTAGGATTTTTCGAAAAACCTTCAATCATATTTAACATCACCATTCACAATTTTATGAAAAATAAGAAAAAACAAAAAAAAACACTCGCCTACATTGCTTCAAAACCTTCGATGATCTTTCTTATTCCATTCAATGTTTCATCTTGCAATCTCCTCTTGGCTTCAGCATTTCCGAGTATTTTCTTACCAGTTTCACGAGTCATAAGGTCGAGCTCTTGTGACTGAAAAGAAAATTAGATTGAATCAATAACAATAAATAATCCCAGTCTGCTTTTTTTAGGAAGAAAAAATGAAAATAGCTTTCGCTCTGATATGAGAAAAAAATAATAATCACGTTTTCATCAAAATCAAATTCGACTAGGTCACGTTTCTTATCTGATCTTCATATTGAAATTGAATTTTTCTGTCATTTTGCGATTCTATTCCAGACAGAAAATTATGGGAAGTCAGTGAGTTGAACGATTGAAGATACAATTTCTTGTGAAACTGTTCTCCAAATTTCAAGGCAAACTATCTCGGTTTTAGAAATTTAAAAAAACGTACCCGAGCTTCATCACTGTCTAATCGATCTATAAGTGCGAATTTGTCGAATATTTCCATTGGCATTTTTCTTATTTCGTTACTAATTTTGTACAACACGCTTTCAATTCCGAATTCTTTCGCAACAGACATGACGCGGCTGATTATGATCGAATCGCAGTCAACTGAAAGAATAAGTCAATATATAATGAAAAATCACACCTTCATAATTTAGGTATTTTTCATGCAATCTCAATTTCCAATTTTCCGAATATTGATTTTTAAAAATATCTTTGAAATTTCTCAATTTTTGGGAAATTTTGTAGAAGTCAGAGGACATTTAGGTAAATTTTGGAGAGACAATTCAAAATTGAAACATTTAACAAATTGTTGCAAAACTAATAGTAGAATGATGAAATTTGGGAAAAATATTAAGACAACTTGGTGCTGAAATTCAGATTTTATGAAATTTCGAATAGAGTAAAATTCAATTTGTGCACGTAAATATTGAAAGCTTTTGAATATCTCTCGAAATTTCGCAAAGCCACCAAACATTTATGAATTATACTTTTAAAAGTTAGATAACTAAAAACGTGTTTGTTAACTAACCATTGATATTGCTCGAAGTCATGCTATAATGAACAGTTGCGAGTATATCCAGAAGACTGAATGTTGATGTTGTGACATCCAGATTATTCAGGATGTCTTGATTCCAACTCGGTGAGAGTTGACGAAGAAGCTGTAATGAAATGTTGAAATTCATATTTATAGCTAACCGTGCTTGGAAATTTAATCTCCTGATTGTTCGTATATTTCGTGTGAATATTCATGTCTTTAATTTAATTATCATATTCAATTTTTTCATTCCTGACATTAGATATTTTTCTCGACACTGTCATCAAATTGTCAATTCAAAAAACTTTCAACGCTGTGCCATATGATTTTATAAATTTAAAAATCCAAATTATATTTCAAAAAAAAAAAGGATTTTTAAAAACCCGTTCAAGCCCCGCAATGACTGTTTTTCTACTGTAAAACAAAAACAAAAAACTGTGCAAACACTTTTGCCTAATTCTCTCTGTTCGCCGTTATATTTCGCACTACAGTATTAAAGGAACATGATAAATTTCATGCGTTGAGTCTTGTCGCGATTGCTAACTTTCTTCGCAGGACCTCAAAAAATAAGAAAAGTAGCAAGTCAGGTAGAACTCGAGGCGCTGATTTTCATGCTGTATTTAGTTTTTTATGAACCTTATCTAGGTTTTGAGCTACATGGCGCACCGTTTAAAACAGCATTTTGCTAATTTTTGTGTGGCTTGGGCGGGTGTGTTTTGATAAGATTTGAATCAAAATGTAATACCACTTCGTGAAAACTTTTTAGAGAAGTGAATCCAGACAACTGTAATTAAAAAACTACATTTTCAGGATCAATCATTTGTTCCATCTGCCAAACCCTCAAAGTGTGAATGCCAGCAATTGATCAAGTGGATAAGTTGACGAACAACGAATATGATGGGATTATTGCGGTTTTTGCACAGGTTTGATTATTTTGAAATTGAAAAAATGCAATAATACGTGTGTTTTAGGGTGTTAGTTGGCAATTCAAAGGATGGAAATGGAATGGAGTTCCGGCTGATAGAAACAGTGTCCAAAGTCGACTCGTCTCTCCAGGTGTGATTTTTTTCTCAGAAAAAATTCTCCGTAAAAAAAGAATAAAAAAGAAAAGGCGCACAACAAACAAATAGGTCTCGCTGCGCTGGGAAAACTACGGTCGTTTTATTTTTCGAATTTTTCTGTTTTTATTTTTTTTTGTTCTTTTTTCCTCGGTTCCCAAAAGGGCTGATTCACTAACGAAAAAACTGCTGAAAAAATGTTTTTTTAACATTGAAGGATCAATTCACGAAAAGTCAAAAAATGTCAAAAAAAAACATTGTAGGTCAAAATTAGTTTTTCGAGTTTTTAAGCCAAAAATGATGACAAATCAATATGTTTCAAGCTTCTGGAGTAATTTCTGATGAAAATGAGCTTCGAGAATTCTAATTTGCTTTATTTTATGAATTTTTTCGAAATTCATCAAAATTTAAAAATTATTATTTTACAAAAAATCAGCAAAACCTTCTGGAAAATGAATTCCAAAGTCAATTTCAATCAGAAATTACTCCAGAAGCTTAAAAAATATAGATTTGTCATCATTTTGGCTGAAAAACTCGAAAAACTAATTTTGACCTACAATGTTTTTTCTTTTCAACTTTTCGTGAATTGATCTTTCGATGTTAAAAAAATTTTCGTTCGTGAATCAGCCCTATTGATTTTCACCTCAAACCTTTTTTGTTATTTCTTTTTCCGTTTGACCGTTCGTGAATTGATTTTTCGCTGAAGTAACACATCAGATTTTCCAGCTGAACGTTTAAAAATGGAACCCGAGCCAAAACAACTTCGATTAGAAGAAGGAACTGGATGGTTTGATATTCCATACGATTGTCGACGAATTATCATCGAAAAAATGGATTTGTTCACATTCTGCAGATTCGCACAATGTTCAGAGAAATGCAACGATGAAGTTAAATTGTGCACATACTTTGTGAAATCCATTAGTTTGCGTCATAATGGAGAAACTTTTACCATGCAAATTGAAATCAAGAATCGTAACTTGTATGTTAGTATTAGAGAATCCAACTATGATCAAAAAGGCAATAAATTGGATAAGCCATGTACTTTTATTTCGTTTAAAAATTCAAGTAAATGGAGTCGAAAACCAGATCGAAAACCAGATCGAAAAACACGTTGGATAAAAATGGAAGAAGAAGGAAGTGTTGCGATGAATTTTGCAAAATATTTCAATATGATTGTGAAAAACGCATCGAATTGCCGCATTAAATTGGAATTTGGAAGTGTAAGTTGATTTTCAATCTGATTTTGGTATTTAATTAAAGCAATGTTTGCAGAATGATTTTCCATTCGAACTCATCGATATCAAACATCTCAACAAAATCAAATCATTGGATATTCCCCCAATGAATGGCAATATTGGCGAAGGATTTATCATAAAACAGCAGTTATTCAATATCACCGATACATTACGAATCCCTTCGATTTCACTGAATTTCAACGAAATTCTTCAATTGCAGGCGGAAAATGTTAATCTTCCTGATTCAAGGTTCAACTGGGAACAAGTGAAAGATTTTGTGAAATCATGGAAAAATGGAGATTTGCCCAAAAGAATGAGCAGTTGGCAAATGGGATTTATATCGAATATTGGACCAAATGAGGCCTTCGATAATCAAAAAATGATGGAAGAATTGGAAGGATTTGATTTCAGTGAACATGCGATGTTCTATAGTTTTCTCGTGAAAACTTCAACCGATCCTCGAGTCGTTTCTTTTATTGATTATTCGTATTCTTATTTTAATCTTTTTTCGTTCAAGCGTAAATTTTATTTTGATGAAACGATGAACAGTTGGATTATTGATGAGGATTTGTGCTAAGTTTGAATCCATAATTCCCCCATTTCATGTAATATATCACCCCCAGAATGTTTTATCATTTTTATAAATTTCGAGAATTTTTTCTTACGAATTATTGTATAGTTGGACATCGACAACAATCAATCGAGCCTAATATTAGCAACAGGCAATTTTCTGAAAAATTTTGTAAGGCCAAACTTGAGCTTAACTATTGTCTAGTCTAAAATGAGCAATCGTAGTTTTTTTCTAAAAAAAAAACAATTGAGGGCCCAAATTTAGGTCTAACTAGTGATCTAGCCTAATATGAGCAATCGGATTTTTTCTTTAAAAAAATTAGAAGCCCAATTTTAGGCCCAGCAATAGATCTAGGCTAATATGAGCAGTCGGATTTTTTTCTGAAAAAAAAAAACAATTGAGGGCCCAAGTTTAGGCCTAATATGAGCAATAGGTTTTTTTCTTGGAAAATTTAATCGGCCTAAGTTTAAGCCTAACTGATGATCCAGCCTAATATGAGCAATCGGATTTTTTTCTAAAAAAAATTAGAAGCCCAATTTTAGGCCCAGCAATTGATCTAGACTAATATGAGCAATCGGATTTTTTCTGTGAAAATTCAGTCGGTCTCAATTTAAGCCTAACTAGCCTAATATGAGCAATAGGCAATTTTCTGAAAAAAAATGTTGGCTCAAAATTAATGCTCTTCTACCTAAATTTAAATTTATAGAATTTTAATGCTATTTTTAGCCACGTCATAACTTTTTGGAATTTCCATCAGAAAAAAAAAACACATCCCCAAAAAATTGTCTAATTTACATTTTTCTTTCAGCTCTTCAATTACGAATGGATCTGAAAGAACGAGAAGAGCGAATTCGACAATTATCAGCGGCTCTTGAAAATTCCGGAACTGGAATTGGAATGGATCCGCGAGTTGGAGAATTGGAGGATACAATTATGAAATTGCAGGATTTTTTGGCGACGAAAGAAACGCAGGCGATGATGAATAATACGGTAGGTTCTAGGGTTGTGCCTTGAGAGCTTCTGAAGTAGCCGAGTCGAGAAATCCCAGTTGTCAAGTAGCCGCGGCTAGAGATCAAAAGACCCAAGTGTCAGCGCCTAGAGTGCCTACTTCTCAAGTAGTCGAGCCTAGAGAGAATAGATCTCAAGCAGTCGCTCCTACAGAGCCTAGATTTCAAGTAGCCGCTTCTACAAAGCCTAGTTTTCAAGTAGCCGCACCTAGAGAGCCTAGATTTCAAGAAGCCGCTCCTACAGAGCCTAGATTTCAAGAAGCCGCGCCTACAAAGCCTGGATTTCAAGTAGCCGCACCTACAGAGCCTAGTTTTCAAGTAGCCGCTTCTACAGAGCCGAGTTTTCAAGTAGCCGCTCCTACAGAGCCGAGTTTTCAAGAAGCCGCGCCTAGATAGTCTTAAAACAATTTAAAATCGGAGCTTCCGAATTAAAGTTCACAAATCTCTCTCATTTTCCATGTGAAATTCAGATTTTCAGAAAACATTCAATGTTTTTTTTTCTGACAGTACAAAAATCTACATTTTTAATAAAATCCCGATTGGGTGGTGTCTCGATGGAAGAAGCATTTTATTATTTCTTTGTGTCTAGGGTCAATTTATTCCTAATTCAACTCAGGCCGATTTTTTTTTTCATCCAACAAAAAAAACTCGAGCCGATTTTTTGAAAAAACTCGGGCCGAAACGAATTACAATTAAATTTTTGTCAGCTGCCCGCTCAAATCGAAATTTTCATTCGGGCGGGATGACGTCATCCAACAACACAAATTCTTGAGTTCAAATAAAATTTTTTTAATAGTGTTAAAAAAATAAAATGGGACTATTCAAGTTATTTTCTCAACGCTGAAAAAGCGAAGAAAACCTATTCAGGTAGGCTGAGAAAATACGAAAAAAGTGAAGAAAATACATTTTCTCCGCATTTCTCCTGTTTTCTCAGCGTGTTGAGAAAATACTTGAATAGCCCCAAAAATGAGTTCAAATAAAATTTTTTTAACAGTGTTAAAAAAATAAAAATGAGTTCAAATAAAATTTTTTTAACAGTGTTAAAAAAATAAAAATGAGTTCAAATAAAATTTTTTTTAACAGTGTTAAAAAAATAAAAATGAGTTCAAATAAAATTTTTTAACAGTGTTAAAAAAATAAAAATGAGTTCAAATAAAATTTTTTAACAGTGTTAAAAAAATAAAAATGAGTTCAAATAAAATTTTTTTAACAGTGTTAAAAAAATAAAAATGAAGTTCAAATAAAATTTTTTAACAGTGTTAAAAAAATAAAAATCAGTTCAAATAAAATTTTTTTAACAGTGTTAAAAAAATAAAAATGAGTTCAAATAAAATTTTTTAACAGTGTTAAAAAAATAAAAATGAGTTCAAATAAAATTTTTTTAACAGTGTTAAAAAAATAAAAATCAGTTCAAATAAAATTTTTTTAACAGTGTTAAAAAAATAAAAATGAGTTCAAATAAAATTTTTTTAACAGTGTTAAAAAAATAAAAATGAGTTCAAATAAAATTTTTTTAACAGTGTTAAAAAAATAAAAATGAGTTCAAATAAAATTTTTTTAACAGTGTTAAAAAAATAAAAATGAGTTCAAATAAAATTTTTTTAACAGTGTTAAAAAAATAAAAATCAGTTCAAATAAAATTTTTTTAACAGTGTTAAAAAAATAAAAATCAGTTCAAATAAAATTTTTTAACAGTGTTAAAAAAATAAAAATCAGTTCAAATAAAATTTTTTTAACAGTGTTAAAAAAATAAAAATCAGTTCAAATAAAATTTTTTAACAGTGTTAAAAAAATAAAAATCAGTTCAAATAAAATTTTTTTAACAGTGTTAAAAAAATAAAAATCAGTTCAAATAAAATTTTTTTAACAGTGTTAAAAAAATAAAAATGAGTTCAAATAAAATTTTTTTAACAGTGTTAAAAAAATAAAAATCAGTTCAAATAAAATTTTTTTAACAGTGTTAAAAAAATAAAAATGAGTTCAAATAAAATTTTTTAACAGTGTTAAAAAAATAAAAATCAGTTCAAATAAAATTTTTTTAACAGTGTTAAAAAAATAAAAATCAGTTCAAATAAAATTTTTTTAACAGTGTTAAAAAAATAAAAATCAGTTCAAATAAAATTTTTTTAACAGTGTTAAAAAAATAAAAATCAGTTCAAATAAAATTTTTTAACAGTGTTAAAAAAATAAAAATCAGTTCAAATAAAATTTTTTAACAGTGTTAAAAAAATAAAAATGAGTTCAAATAAAATTTTTTAACAGTGTTAAAAAAATAAAAATGAGTTCAAATAAAATTTTTTTAACAGTGTTAAAAAAATAAAAATGAGTTCAAATAAAATTTTTTAACAGTGTTAAAAAAATAAAAATGAGTTCAAATAAAATTTTTTTAACAGTGTTAAAAAAATAAAAATGAGTTCAAATAAAATTTTTTTAACAGTGTTAAAAAAATAAAAATCAGTTCAAATAAAATTTTTTTAACAGTGTTAAAAAAATAAAAATGAAGTTCAAATAAAATTTTTTTAACAGTGTTAAAAAAATAAAAATGAGTTCAAATAAAATTTTTTTAACAGTGTTAAAAAAATAAAAATCAGTTCAAATAAAATTTTTTTAACAGTGTTAAAAAAATAAAAATGAGTTCAAATAAAATTTTTTAACAGTGTTAAAAAAATAAAAATCAGTTCAAATAAAATTTTTTAACAGTGTTAAAAAAATAAAAATCAGTTCAAATAAAATTTTTTTAACAGTGTTAAAAAAATAAAAATCAGTTCAAATAAAATTTTTTTAACAGTGTTAAAAAAATAAAAATCAGTTCAAATAAAATTTTTTTAACAGTGTTAAAAAAATAAAAATGAAGTTCAAATAAAATTTTTTAACAGTGTTAAAAAAATAAAAATCAGTTCAAATAAAATTTTTTTAACAGTGTTAAAAAAATAAAAATCAGTTCAAATAAAATTTTTTTAACAGTGTTAAAAAAATAAAAATGAGTTCAAATAAAATTTTTTTAACAGTGTTAAAAAAATAAAAATAAGTTCAAATAAAATTTTTTTAACAGTGTTAAAAAAATAAAAAATGAGTTCAAATAAAATTTTTTTAACAGTGTTAAAAAAATAAAAATGAGTTCAAATAAAATTTTTTTAACAGTGTTAAAAAAATAAAAATGAGTTCAAATAAAATTTTTTAACAGTGTTAAAAAAATAAAAATCAGTTCAAATAAAATTTTTTTAACAGTGTTAAAAAAATAAAAATGAGTTCAAATAAAATTTTTTAACAGTGTTAAAAAAATAAAAATCAGTTCAAATAAAATTTTTTTAACAGTGTTAAAAAAATAAAAATCAGTTCAAATAAAATTTTTTAACAGTGTTAAAAAAATAAAAATCAGTTCAAAATAAAATTTTTTTAACAGTGTTAAAAAAATAAAAATGAGTTCAAATAAAATTTTTTAACAGTGTTAAAAAAATAAAAATCAGTTCAAATAAAATTTTTTAACAGTGTTAAAAAAATAAAAATCAGTTCAAATAAAATTTTTTTAACAGTGTTAAAAAAATAAAAATGAGTTCAAATAAAATTTTTTTAACATTGTTAAAAAAATAAAAATGAGTTCAAATAAAATTTTTTTAACAGTGTTAAAAAAATAAAAATGAGTTCAAATAAAATTTTTTTAACAGTGTTAAAAAAATAAAAATCAGTTCAAATAAAATTTTTTTAACAGTGTTAAAAAAATAAAAATCAGTTCAAATAAAATTTTTTTAACAGTGTTAAAAAAATAATTTTTTTGAATTAAATCTACTCGAAAGATGTTAAACAAACGAATTACAATTGAATTCATCGAAAATTTCAAGTTTTTTAAATCAAAAAATGACTCGTGGCAAAATCAGGAAGGCTTCCTAATTTTGCCATGGATGACGTCATCGAAAAAAAAAACTTATTTGATAGTTTTTTTGAATTAAATCTACTCGAAAGATGTTAAACAAACGAATTACAATTGAATTCATCAAAAATTTCAAGTTTTTTGATCAAAAAATGACTCGTGGCAAAATTAGGAAGGCTTCCTAATTTTGCCATGGAAAATTTTTTTTCTGTATTTAATGTATACTCGATAGGGGCTGTTAGCCCCTAGGCGGGACAATATTTGATTAAAAAAAATAATTTTCTTCAGACAGTACTCAATAAATACTCACTAAATTTTTTTTTTCTGATAATGAATTTTTTTCCGAAAAAAAGTAGATTTTTCTTCGAGCATTCAAAATTCAAAAATGAGAAGAGGGGGCCCTCATTGAAAAATGCTTCTACCACCGAGACACCACCCAATCGGGATTTTATTAAAAAGGTAGATGATTGGAATTCATTTAGTGAGCATCTATTGAGTATTGTCTGAAGAAAATGCTATTTTTTTTATCAACTTTTTTTTCGTTCAAAAATTTGTAAATCTGGAAACCAGTTTCCACAGAATTTTCCACAGAAAAAAGTGAGACTGAAATAAATGAGAAGACTGTTTCGCCTGGGGGCTAACAGCCCATAGTCATAAATTTAAAATCCCGATTTCAAATATGAGCTTTAAAATTTAAGATTTTCAAAAAATTGTTGATGTTACTCTAGCTTTTTTCATCTGAATTTTTGCTGATTTTTTCGAGTAGAAATATATCTGAAAATTCTAGCAAATTTCCTATTGTTTTTCTCGAATTCTTAATTTATAATTCAAAAACAAACAGAATTCTTTATTATTTTTGGAGCCAAAATCATTGTTTTCTCTTGGAAAAAAGTGGTTTTTTCACAATCTAAATTAAATTTTTGCAGGATCACCAAGGTCGCTATGCTCTAGAAGGTGCACTTCGAAGAATCGACGAAAAACAAGCGAGAATCGTTGAATTGGAAGAGGAATTAATGCGACAAAGAATGATGAGAACAAATCGGCCACAAGATTTTACGGACAAAAATCTATCTGGGCACGAAATGACTACAATGAGAATGGAAATGGAGAGAAGTGAAGTGGAATTAGCTGAAAGGAAGAGTGAATTAATGAATTGTCAAAATCGTATGCAAACTGCTGAAGAAACATCGAATTAAATGAGATCGCATGTTCAATTATTGAAAGAATCGAGAACAACATAATACATTATTACAAGGTGATGTGAATGCATTGCGACAAAAAATGGATAGCAAGAATAAACAATTGGAACAGCAGAATGAGAGGATATTGGAGCGAGATATTAATGGAACGAAGGCTGATGTATCGGATAAGACTGAACTTATAAGGCAGACGGAATTGAAGACGACTCAATTAATTGGGAGAATTGATGGATTGGAGACGAGTTTGAGGGAAAAAGATCAGGAATTGGATCGGGCTAAGGTTGGTTATTGTTCTGGACAAATTTGGAAATCTCGTAAAATCAATTTGGGAAGAAATTTCAAATTTTGCGAGTAAAATCCACTAAAACATTGCTCATATTAAAAATGTTCTGGAAAATGAATTTTCTTTAATATGAGCAATGCTGATTTTTCTTGTAAAATTTCAAAAATTGAAAAATACTTTTTCGCGCTGCAAATTAATTGCCACGTGGATTTTGGATTTTTTTCGCTTAATTTTAGGCTTAAGCCTAAACTGAAAATTGTGATAGTGTACATTTTATGAAGAATCCAAGAAAACAGTTGTTTTTTACTTTAAAAAAACAGCATTGCTCATATTAAAGAAAATTCATTTTCCGGGGTTTTCTGAAATTTTTAATATGAGCAAGGCTTCTGAAAACTTCTGAAAACATAATATAAGCAGATTCCTAACAGTTAGTTAGAACCGTTATTTGTTTCTTCTTTGTTCTTTTTAAATAAAATTTTTGTGAAAAAATGTGTTTTTGATTTGAAAAAAGTCGGGAAAAAAATAATCAAAAAATGGTGAAAAGTTGGTGGGAAAAAGTTGAAAAATTGACCGAAAAATGGTGAAAATTTTCTCGGTGCATTTTTGGTCAATTTTTGTTCAAAATTTTTTTGACCAAAAATTGGTCAATTTTTGGTCAAACTCCCAGCATCAGTGAAGTTTTTTTTTAAAAAGTTTTTTTTTGAAAAATTGATCGATGACGTCATCCATGGCGAAATTAGGAACCATTCCCAATTTAGCCACGAGTCATTTTACGATCAAAAAACTTGAAATCGAAAAATGACTCGTGGCTAAATCAGGAATGGTTCCTAATTTTGCCATGGATGACATCATCGATCAATATTCCGAAAAAAAAACTTATTTAATTATTTTTTGTATTGAATGTATTTCAAAGATAATAATCAAAAGAATTACAATAAAAATTCATGAAAAAGAATATAAATGTTCATCTATCAAATATGAAAATAATACATCACAGTTACTTAAAGCTACCCTTGGAAAATATGCACATCATCACTCGATAATCCTAATTCCTCTAATGATCTGAAAAAAAAAACACTATTTATTTTTAAATATCATATTGACTCACTCTTTAGCAGTTATGATAAATCCATCAGGTCCACAAATAAACGCTTTTCTTAAAACATCTTTTTTATCTATATATTCTTTGAGAATTTCAGTAGATATTCGTTGACCGATGATATTTTTTATCTGGAAATTTTGATATTGTAATTTATGTTCAAAAATTGGAAGCACTAACCATATTTTGATCTCTTGCCAATTCTGCCAGTTTCCAACCATTTTCAATAGTTTTTTCATCCGTTGCAACATCATTTTCTGTTTTGTTAAAAATCAATAAACTCGTCTTGTTCCCATTATTTTTCCCAAAATCTAATCTCATAGTCAAAATATCAATCATTGGAGTAATACCACTTCCAGCAGCCAATAATACAAGTTCTTCTGAATTCTTGATCCATTCCTCAAACTTTTTATCACCAATCGGATCACTTATTTCAACAAAATCTCCGATTTTCAAATTCTTTTCAATTGAGGGTGTACAAATTCCATCTTCATAGATTTTAATCATCAAATCCATTTGATTTTTGTCATTTGAATTTGACATTATTGGAGTGTAAGGTCGATATAATGTAGCTTCTGAAACTTGATTTTGAGGGTGAAAAAAATTAGCTTTAAACTCACGTCCTTTCCGAATTTTCATCGAAACATGATGTCCAACTGGAATTCGATAGAAAATATTTGAAGGGATTTCCAAGCGATAAACCAAAGTGTTATAATTGATCCGGAAAATATTGGAAATTTGGAACTTATGATAAGATACACCAGGTCTTCGTTGAACTTTGAAATGAAGATCGCCAAAATTTTGCGTGGTTTCTGGGAAATTTATAGAAACTCGAGAGGGTGAAATGGACACTTTGAAATTTGTAGAAACCGATATCAATGTTGAAGGATCTAGAAAATGTTGAGATTTCAATCGGACCAGAACAATTTTCCCTACCAAATTCAAATTCCATAGCTGGTTTCCAAAAATGATGAACAAGAACGCGAAATTTGCAGGCATTTTCAGCAATTTCTTCACCTGTCGATGTGATTGCTTTCTGAAAAAAATATCTTACATCAATTTTTTAATGTGCTTCAGAATACTTACTTTCACATTGGTTTCCTCAATCGAAACAATCACATTTTGTTCAGTCAAATCAGTCCAATCATCATGTTCCAAATACACACCGTTATCAATCGGAACAATTCGAGAACCATAGAAATTTTCAGAAGAACTTGCAAAAAGTGAAGTTGAAGCCGGAACTTTCTTGTCATCTGATGTTGTTGGTGGCAAACATGGTTTTACTGAAAATACAAATATAAATTTTCTGATCCTCAAGGAGTTTCTTACATTTACTCAAATCTCCATTAAAAGGTCCAACAATACAAGCTTTTAGCATACTTTCATAATTAACCCAAGCGTGATATTGATTAAAAAGTGGAGTTGCATCTCTGCCAGCGGCTCGTAGAAGCTCTGGAATTCCGCCGGGATGAAATTCAAGATATTGTGTCACATCGTAAACTATTCCGAAAAGATGAACCCAACAATCCTCTTTTTTATCGTGTTTTGATAATTCAACATGGTCAACACTTGCAACTCGTTTTGCCAGAGCCTGAAAATATTTTTATTTCATTTTTTATTTTTTTAATGAAATTTTTTGAATAATTGTATAGTTACCTTCTTAAAAATTCGATTAAAATAAGAACACATTCAAAAATAGTGAAAAAAAGAAGGAAGGAGAAAAAATTGAAATGGGGGAGCTCCAAGAATAGAGACGCAGAGAGAGAAAAAATGTAATTGAGCTATTTGGTTTCTTTCAGCCTAATTGGAGTTTCGGTTGTTAATGGGATAATCGATAAAGTGTAGATTTATAGGAGAATTTAAAGGTACATGTGGTCTCGAAGCGAACTCGTGAAAATTTCATTTCGAAAATAATTTCAAACAGAAGAATGACTGTTTTTCAGAATTAAAAAACGGTAAAAAATCACAAACCTTATTCTGTGTCAATCTCAACCAATCCATAAATCCTTTCCCAGGAGCCAACGCGACTTTTACTCTCCCATATTCACTTCGACCGATTGCAGGTTTCTGAAATTGTCTAAACAAACGACTATAATTTTTAAAACGAGAACTAACCGCAAAGAGACTATTGTTGACTGTTAGATTATTCATTTGGTCTAAAGTGTCCTATTTCCAGCGAAAAATAAAAAACCAGGAACAAAAAAAATAATAAAAAATGAAAAAGAGAAAGTGCGCTCCAATGCACACAATTTTTTGAATTTGAAAATTTGCGCGCAGAAAATTTGAATTTTTCCGGAAACTTTTTTAGGCCTGAAGCTGCAGCTCAGCGCCCTGTTCTTGCGTTTATAAAACTTGTGCGTTTCAGAATGAATCAAACTCAACCGAAATTAGGAAATGGATCTTACATTCCACCAAATAAGCGGAATAATTCAGAAGGATCAGAAGTGAGTCCACAAAAGAAAACGGCTGTTGAAATAACGAGTGGAGTTGGAAGAATTGATATTGGTGGAAGAAAAAATGCGGAACCAGTTGTTGATATGAAGAAAATCAAAGAAAACAAACCAAAATCACCAATTTTCAAACTTCAACCTCGTGTGCTTACAAAGTGAGTTTCTCTGTAAATTTTTTGGGTTTGAAATTGATTTTTATTGCAGACCGAAAGGACTCCCTAATGAGAACGAAGAAAAGTCACATTGTCACGTTGATATGATCTACAATAGGCTCAAATGCAGTTTTGAAGATGGATTATCAAAATGGATGTCGAATTATCAACAATCCTTCAATCAATATTTCATTGGGTGCATTCCAAACTTCATTGAGCCTCATCTTTTTGTTAATACTAAATTGACAAAAGATGATTATAATATGTCATGAATTATCAAAGAATTGGAATCGAATCCATTATATTTGGGCGCAACTTATGGATGTCATCCACATCAAGTCAAAAGGTAAGGTTTTTTTGAAATAACAATTTTTGAAATGTTAATTTTTTAGTTGGGCTGATAAAGAGGTATTCTGGGACACTTTGGAGATTCTATTACCTCATAAAAGATCGAAATGTATTGCTGTTGGAGAATGTGGAATCGATCTTAACAAGTAAGTTTTACTCATGATATTTTATCAAAAAGGGATATAAAATTTTGATAATTTTGCAGATGTGATTCACCACTGGATCAACAAAGATATGCATTTCGTCGACAAATTCAACTAGCCTTCAAGTACGATAAGGCTTTGGTGATTCATTGTAGATCGGGTCCAAATAGAGATGCCGAATCGGAATGTCTTCAAATTTTGGAAGAGGAATTGAATCGACCGGGACAACACTGATATTTGCGAATTCATCGACATTGTTATACGGAAAATTGGGAGAATGCCAAAAAATGGATTGAAACTTGCCCCAATATTGTATTTGGTTACACACCAGCAGTCTTCAATTTCACCGGAAGACAACTCGACGCAATTCGAAATATTCCGCTGGATCGAATTATTTTGGAAACCGATGCACCGTATTTCGTACCATCGATGTGCAAAGACGTTTTGCCACGCATCAATTTACCAGGAACCGGTGAGCGGCACTACATTTGAGTTCTTTTTTTCATCAAAATCTAATATGTATTTCAGCTGCAACTGTTGCACTTCAAATCGCCAAATACAAAAACATTCCAGTCGGCGAAGTCATGCGACACGCCCTTTTGAATACCAGAAGGATATATTCTTTATAAATTGGTGCTTTTTTCTCTCTGTTTGAATGATTTTGTGTATTTCAATTAACTATTTTATTTCAATAACTATTTTATCGATTCTACTCGGAAAATCACATTTGTAACTGTTTTTTTATGCAAAAATCGATATTTTTGGATAATTTTCGTTTATATAGTCACTTTTTTTATTTTTTACGATATTTTTCTTGTTATATTCACTTTTTGTTTTTTTTTTTGTTTCAAAAATCTTTATTTTTTCATTTTCTATTACTTTGATGTTGAAAATTGCTCGTTTTTTCAATATTAAATTTTTTGTTGGAAAATTTGTTGAATATTACCATTGTCTGGTTTTCTAGTCCTCCACTTTGTGAACAAAAATAGCTGAAACTTGAAAAAAAATTAAATTTTTGGCTGAAAAAATCTACCTTTTAATAATCGATCTAGAATCCCTAAAAATCTCAAAATGTTATCTACAGTAAACTTCGCTCCAAAATTTGAAACGAACACGACAATTCTTCATTTTCAAATCTAAAATACTTCATATATTTGAAGATGATTGATCCATTAGATCTTCATAATCCATAAGATATAGATGAATCTGAGTTTTTCATGTGATTTGAAACTTTTTAAAGCTGGAGAGATTCCGATAAAACATTTACATGTGAAATTCAACCAAAATTTATTTTGGGCATATAAAAATCAATAAATAAATTTTTCAACATGAAAGTGAATAATAAACTATAAAAAATAAAAATAATAAACTTGAAAACTAAATTTTCAAATATTCGATGCATTTATTGAATCGGGAGAATTTGTCGAAGCATCTGAAATTCAATGTGGAAATCCTATTGAACAATTTAATATTTCACTTACTCGTCGGCCAAAGCAGCATCGTAAATTGTGTATTTGATCTTGTACACTACGGTGTTGGAACATTTAATTGCAGAAGTAATCGCCAACGCATCACAACTGAAAAATGTAGTTTGAACAATATAAAAAGACTTAACAAAAAACTCACTCCGAACATAACATTTCAATAACGCCTAAAATTTCCGGAATTGATTTTCGATATCTTGAGATTTTCGATCCTTCATTCAATTTTGTCGTCTTTCCGCAACGTTCACATGCAAACTGTAAGAAGTGATTGATTTTTAACGAATAGAAAAAGCACACAGTCCGAAAAATATTGATCAGGTTTTTGATTTTTTAGCCAGAAAATTGAAGAATCTTCATATAAACTTAAATTTTTCGGACGTCGTATACATCAAAACTATTACTTACATGGTCATAAATGCCATTCTTTTTTCGTTTACCCATATATTGATCGCAGCAAAACGGAGTTGAAATTATTTGATGTTTTTCCGCATTTTCAATCACTTGATTTTTGTCAGCAAGTCGTAAATCTTGATACAAAAATTCAGCAGCATGATCTGAAAAGGTATGAAATATATCAGAGTTCCCTAATGGAACATTTTTTCGACACAGTGTCATAAACCCATTTCTTCCAAAAATTACAAAAGCGTTTTATTTTTGACGTGTCCCATTTTCAATTTTTGAATTGTGCTTCATTTTGAAATGAAACGCAAAAAATAAAAATAGAAATGTTTCACTTCAAAAATGTGGAGCATTTCAAAAAACTGAACATGCGTCATTTGAAAAATGTGACGCATTAGAAATGTTCCGCAAGATGTTCCATGGCTCATTTTCGGAACATTTTCTGAATTGATCTTTTTTTGAACCAAAAGTCACTTTTTGAGATTCTTCGAATATAATTCGGCGCCACATATAATTTGATTTCAAAAAAATGGTTATTTCTTGAAAAATTAAAATTTTGGGTTACTGTGAATTCGAAAAAAAATCATATATCAGACCTGAAAATATTGATTCACAAAAAGATTAACATTTGGCAAAGTTAACTTCATCTTGGAATTGGAAGTATTTTCCAAATGCCTGAAAATCCAATAATATTGAATAATTTCCAAATCACATTCAAAACATAAAATTATGAGGCGCCAAATTGAGAAGAAAACAATAATTAGGGCGAAATATCAATATCAACGTTGTTGCAAAGTTGCAACTTCTCTAGGTTTTTTTTTACATTTCAGGATAACATTTTCTAAAGAATATTCTTGAACAAAAATTCATTGGTGTTTCACTGAAAAACTTTCAGTATTTTTACATAAAACATTTCTTTTAATTTTACCCAAAATATATATTACGTTTTGCTTGGAAATTCGGGAAATGCGGAATTTTTGTTAAGTTTGAAAAATTTTTTTTAAATAATTTTATATATTTTGGAGGTTGGAAACATTTCGCAATGGCCTTATTATACAAGGGTGTTGCTTTAAATATGTGTTTCGAAAACCTCACCTATCTGCCAACTATCCGAATTCGCTTGCTCGAAACCACCATTCAATGAACTCGTTTCTCCTTCGATTTCTTCACCGAATTCTCCGCGAACCTGCTAAATAAAAATAATGAATATTGTTGAATACTACAAAATATTTTGAATTTTTTGGATATTGGATCATGATGTCATTGCGGACAAATGTCCGATTCATTTAGTTTGTGCGTTTTTTATATGTAGGGGAGATTTTTCGGAAAATTGTTTAAATAATATTTTGCTTTTGAATTTTCTCGCAGTTAACTCTGAAATGTATATAATTCCGAAACAAAAATTTCAGAGGAAAAAAAACTAGTATGAAAAATGCGTCACAATATTTGGCAGAATTTCACTTCTACACGATCAAAAAACTTTTAAATCTGGAGAAATTACTACAAAACAACGATGAAGGCAATTTTTTCATAAAAAGTTTTCATGAATTTTAGAAAAAAAATACCTCAACAGCATCAAAATTGAGTACTTGTTTCCTAAATTGCCATCCTTTCCCAACATTTTCCGTAATTTGAAAAAGTCTTTTGGAAGAATCCGAAACCGAATCATAAGATATGTTGTGTTCGAAAAAAATGACGGAACCGAATAAATATAACCATTTTTTGTTTTGATTGAAAACGATCTTCCTGATGAAAAAGAACTTTGACCTCATCTCCCTTTTTGAAATATGTGTCATTTTGGATGGAAAAATCAGCAATAGTGTTGACTATTCTTGTGTCACAATATCCTTTTGAATTTCTTTTTTTACAGCACTGAATCATGTTTTCCAAATTATTCTTCACTTTTGAGAGTTCTTTTTCATTGAAATTTATTTCTTCAATACTGAACGAATCATCGGAATTTGAGAGTAAGACTTCTTGATTTTTCAGGAAATCTTCAATATTTTCCATCTTTTTCGAGAACGAAATAAAACCATCCAAATCTTTTTGATGATATTTCAAACAAATATATACATTTTTCAAAGATTTACGATGATTCTCCAAACTTTCCACAACTTGCAAGATTGATATTTCATCATTGCTTATCATCATTCCATAATTCAAAATCTCTTCCGTTTTTATAATCCTTTCGGAAATTTCATCAGTTTTTTCAGTCAATTTATTCTTGTAGAATTCAGAATTCGACCGATTCACTTCCAGCAAATCCCAACCGAAATCACAACTTTGTATTTTGGTGATATTTTTGACTTCTTCAATTGCCAATGTGTAGAATTTTTGGACTGCTTCCTGTAAAATGTGATAGCTAAAAAAGGTAAGACGACAAATTTAATTAGCTCAAAAGATCGGGCCCCCTTTGAATAGTAAAAGCCCCACGGGATTTTTTCTCGAAAGGCCTAAAAAGGTCCGAAAAAAAATATTCCATGGATTTTTTTCAACTTATGCGATGTCCAAAAGTTTAGCGAATAATTTCAACGTGGTATCTAATTCATGGAACATTTTTTCTGGGCGTTTCCAGAAAAAATCCCTTGGAGGTTTTACTACTTTTGGGAAGCCTTTAACATTGCGACAACTTTTTTTTTCGTCTCACCCCGCCCCCACCCCGAGCTTAAATTGATACAAAAAGCTGTCCTGGCTTTCTGGACTATGTTTACCATGCCTTTTTGAAAAAACTCACCAAATTCTTGTTTCTTCGATCAATTTCTTCTTTTACATTCATCAATTCCACGTTCAAAACATTTTTCATTTCTCGAAACATGAACATTTCTTCTTCTTTCACCATTTTATCATAATCATCGATCTTTTTCTCTATTTCCCCAATTCTTTCTTCTTCATCTTGCAAACTTGTAATTTGTTGAATATCTTCCAAATTATTGATACATATATCCCTTTTTACTTTTGATTTGCAATTTCTTACAGAGACGATCAATGTTTCAATGAGTTTCAATGAGGACAGTTTTTCCTATAAACAATGTTTATTGTCATTTTCTGATATCCCCTGTTGAAATAAAAATGAAACAGTTCTCTCGAAATATCTACTAATTGAAAACCTATTAAATATCAATCCGCTTGTTGCGGAATTATTTTAAAAATTGGAAAAAAATTCAAAATTTTCGATTGGAATTCAAAAAATGCTCAGATTTTTTTTGGAAATTCAGAAAAACATGCAATATTTTGAGTGTTTTTCGATCAAATTATTTTGGGGCCAAAGTTCTGATAATTTCTTGATTTTCTAACAAAAATCTTGTTTTAAGCATTAGAAATCCAGATTTTTCAATTTTATCGAGATTTTTGGTCCGATATTTGGGTTGCTAACTTTGCCGCAAAAATCCTGCAGGAAATTGGAGTGTTTTAATAAGATCCAAATTTTTCCACTTTTCTAAATTTACAGTCGATTTTTGAGCAATTTCAAACGAAATCTTGGTTTTGATTAATTCTTAAATGGACCGGCAACCCAGAAATAACCATGTCCGAATCTATATAAAAAGTTGCGAAAAAGCTTTCTCAATTTCATAGAGCCCGAGAAAAAGTGTTTGAGAAATGGAGAGACTGGGAAAAATAGCTCGGGCTCTATAAAATTGCTTTTTTCAACTTTTCTTTAATATAGATTCGGACAATCTACTCAGAGAAATCCTGCGACTAACCGGCTGCCAATCGTAAATTAGTCGTAAGTACGTCGGCAGAATTTTCGAAATATGGTGTATTTCTGGAGACGCAGACGAAATGATTCAGGCGACTAATCGACGACTAACTTCTGATTAGTCGCCTGAAACTTTTTCGTCTGCATCTCCGGGAAACACACAATATTTTCGCCGACAAACTTACGACTAACTGACGCTCGGCAGACAATTAGTCACCTGATATTATCCTGTGCACTTGAGCTTTCAATAAATTATTGATTTCAAAATTTTGTCAAAACCTATTGTTTTATTTTTGAAAACATTGAATTATTTTGCCACAACTTGACTGAAAATAGAATAAAATAAGAAATCGAAAACTGGAATAAATTGACATATGACGTGGAAATTTTGAATTTTCAGTTCGAAATTGCATTGTTCTTCAAACTTTAAATCCAAATTTCTAAAATTGATTTTTAAAATCCAGCCAAAAATGAACTCTCATCCGTATAATTTAGTTTTCACTAAAAATAGTAATTTTGCGATTTTTTGAGCCCATTTACTTTATAATCGAAAAATTGCACAACATTCTAGGAAACGCCGAAGCTTTTGGAAAAATGAAGCGGGGTAAGAAGAGTTCGCGCAAAAATAAAAGAGCCGTGCATTATTTTCTCTAAATCTCCTCCTCTCATCCGATTGCATTTTACATTAGCTTGATTTCTTCCGATTTCATAAATATTATGGAATACAAACCTCGTGTAAATCCGAATCAGTTCGATTTCTAGAAGAATCTTGACAATGTGATCTCGTAATTTCATCGTCCTTTTTGTCAATACAACAATCATCCACAGTTTCATCCAACAATTTGACATCGTGGCTTTGGAAGAACTTCATCGATGAATGTGCCATAAAACAATTGATGCATAGAAATTTGCAGATATTACAAGTTGAAGTGGCCTGCAAATATTTTGTGTTACTTTTTCTTGATTAGCAAATTGACAACAAAAATAGAATGTGCGTTGAACTGAATTAATGAAAATTTTCTAGGAACTTTTGCCATAACAGTATTTTTTTAGAAGTGTGTTTTAGATTGATTTTTGAAAATGAAAATATGGTAGTTCTCTGTGTCCCAATGTTCATTTTTGAAAGATATCTAAATTTTAAAAATCTCTTTTCTACTTCATGTCAAAAATCCTTCTGCACCATAATTTTAGAAAAAATGAATCGGTTTTGAAATGCTTCTGATCTTACTTTCTTTTCTACCTCTCCTTCGGGCTTGACACCTGAAGATAAGGTTTGTAGAAAGTTGAAGATAATGACGCACAATGCGGATTTTTTTTAAGTATGTAAAAGAACGACTGAACAATCTGACAGGCTTGTGCAGAAAATGGTTTTTGGTGAAACTTTTTTGGAACCCAAACAGTCAGAGAAGTAGTTTCGAAACGCGTTTCTTTTTGCCCTACAAAATCCTCCCAAAACATTCGGGGAAAACATCGCTCACCCGGTATCCGACGTTACATCCCAAACACGTTGGTCTTTCTTCTTCATTCACCACACCAATATTTTTCTCATCAGACGAAATCGTCAAATCTTGTGATTGAATCGTTGAGCTCGGCGATAACTGGAAATTAAAAATGTTGGTTAGGTTGTCAAAAAAATTGTACCCGTGGCGAAATTGTAACTCTCTAAAATTTTTTCAGACGTGGGGAAATTGTTATTTCAGTGATCCCCTCCAATTTCAATAAATTATTACCATTTTCACTTCAATATCATTGCTTTTCCCGATTTTCGAATCCTTATAAATCCGCCGAGTCATGATCCCTCTCCAAAGTTTCTGAATAACAATTGCTGCCGATATTTTTTCCTCTCGGATTCTCTCCAAATGTGCGATTTGTCCAATTTTCAGGAAAAGTTGGGTTTTTCCAAATTCAAAGGTTCCTTTTTCCAAATATTCTTCGCATACGATTTTCGACAATGCTTTCGGTGAATCTCGGCAAAATGAAACTTCTTGTTTTGTATAAGCAATTGCATATCTTCGAGCGAAATCATCATATTTAAATCGCGAAGGAAATCCGGCAGCCGAAATCCGAACAATTTCCAGAACGCCGAAATTTCGAAGTTGATCATTGGCTCGAATGTGGTCGAATGCAAAACTGGAAAAAAAAGCAAAAAATTACAAAAGTTCAATAAAACAAAAACTAATTAAATACCTGGTTTTGCTATCATTCGGTTTGACGCATAGCACGTAATGCGGTGTTGTCGCATCCAAAACATTCATCAACTCTTTCAGCGAACTTCTAAATTGACTGGCAATTGTTCGATTACCACTTTGATCCAATATTGGTTTTCCAGTTCCAAAAATATTTTGCATTAACTCGAATTGACTCGATGTGACGAGTTTCATCAATTGTTCGCCAATCGCATCTCGATTTTTCTCAACGAATCCATTGATTGAATATGTGACATCGGCTGCAAAATGGCGAACAATGAAATCATCACATCGAACTAGTGGAAATGCCAATTGTGGATTTCTATTCAAATCGGAACTATTGTTCAATTGACTGAGCAAATCAACATCACTTCCATTCAATCTTTTGCATTGTTCATCGAGTAGACTCAATAATCCGATTGGTCCTTCAATTAAATCAATAGCAGGTTGATTATCAAATCGACTCGAACCCAATCAATTTCTTCTCTCAAATATTCTTCTTGTTCCAATTTGAAAACATAATTATTGAAGTAATTTTGCAATTTTTCATTCGCAAAATTTATGCAAAACTGCTCGAATGAGTTGGTCTCAAATTTTTCGAATCCATAAATATCGAGAACTCCGATGAAGCGCTCGATATTCTCTTGAATAGTCACGGTTTCATTTAGCGCTCCATTTATTTGATGAATCATATAACTGAAAAGCTGGGAGTAGACAAATTTTGCTAGTGCATCTCGCGATCGAATCGCTTCATCTTTTGTCAATTTTTTGGTGACAATTTCGTTGACAGCCCGAATTTCTCGTTGTGTCAACCGAATTCGCAATGCGTTCTCATCAATATTCCAAATTTGTGAACAGAGTTGAGCGATTTCAGTTGATGAAGATGCCTGAAAAAAATGTTTTTAGATATGCTCAAAATTTCGAATAAAAATAATGAAAACTCACGTCAATTGCTGAACAACCTTCTTCATTATAGAATTGAACATTTCCGAGCAAAAGAATACCAGCGAGAAGACGGAAGACATCTGCACTTTGCTTTTCATCAAATCCAAGAAGACCGAGAGCATTCACAAGATCATCAAAATCATGTTTGTCATCAACTCCGGGAATTTGACTATCTCCACCTTGCACAAGATAACGGTATGATTCAAAATCGCCCAAATGCAAATCTTTAACAATTGGATGACGTCTTGCAGCACACATCTGGTAGAAGATGTGATAATTTCGTTCACCGGGTGCTTGGAACACTAGTCGACTTTTTCGATCAAATATGTCTTGATTTCGGCTCCCTCAATTCGTTTTCCATTATCAGCAAAGTTTATTTGAATGAATTTTCCAAAACGAGACGAATTGTCATTTCGAATTGTTTTGGCGTTTCCGATACTCTCCATAATTGGATTACTCGCTAATATTCTTTGCTCAATTCCAGCTGTCACTTCATTTTTATTCGATGATGCCACAGATGCCAAATATCGCATCACAAATTTCGCTGACACCGTTTTTCCCGATCCAGATTCTCCAGAAACAATAATTGATTGCGATTTCGAGAATTCGCGCATATCAAAGAATGCTTCTTCGGCGACTGCGAAAATGTGTGGATCGAGCTCTCGAACCGATTTTCCGATTCCTCGATAAACTTGAATTGTATCTTCGCCATATAAATGTGAACAATCCGAATATGGATTTATTGCGACCAAAACAATTCCACAATATGTGTATATTGTTTGTCGATCCACAAATCGAAATTGCAAGCTGTGCAGAATTGCAGGCTCATGCAAATATGATAATAGCGTGAGATCATTCTTTCCAACCAGAAGTTGCGGGTTTCTCAGATACGGTAATTGTTGCAATGACGAGATATCGAATTCGGCGGTCTGCAAAAATATTCTTGATAACTTTTTTCGAACACTTTTCCTATCTATCATAATTTCGCAGATTTTTGCAGGTTTTCTTTTCAGAATGTACTTAAGCAGATGCATGATTTGATGATTCTTTTGAAGAAGATCTATCATATTTGAATTCAATTATGCGTATGATAAGAAAAATCTTTCAAAGCCCAAAATGAGTCAGTAAGTAAATATGAAAAAAGAGTTTGAAGACGAGATATTCAAAACTTACCGTATCATCGTCGAGCTTCAGTCGAATTTTCTTCGTCTCGAAAGTGACGTCGTGCTCCAACTGCCCGCCAATCCAAATCAACTGCGGATGGCGATGCCAAACCCGAGCACCTTTCTGCAAATACAGAAAATTAGTTTTTTAGAACAAAAATTAGCTCACAGGAAGAAGAGTCATTTTTGAATCTAGTGTATCGAGAAATGAACATTTATAAATAGGAAAATACGTATTATGTTCACATTTTAGTGACATAACGTGTTCTAGTAATTTTTTATTCTTCAAAAATGAGTATTTGAAACCTTACCTTATAATTTTTCATCTTGATATCACCATTTGTTTGATGACCCATTGAAATCTGTAAATTATAAAAATCAACCCATAGATCATTTAAATTTTCAAAGCAAAAAAACAAACGCATTTGTAAACAGACGAGAAACCTCGCGACGCTGAAAACCTGCGAAAACCTTGCAAGTAACCCGCGGGTTTTCAGTAAAACACACAGGTTCCTGTCAAAAAAGCACCCAAAACAGGCAGGAAACTCGTGGCGAAGGGTTTCGCGTCTGTTTACAAATGCGTGTGAAAATAAGACAGCAAAAATAGAATTCAAATTGTAATATGAATATAAATCCCGAGGAAAAAAATTGAACTCAAGAGTGAGAGATTTAGAAAAACTACCTAGAAAAAAGTTTGAGATCGAGAGATTTTTGATAGTAAAATACATACAAATAGTATAAATAATAAAGTCATTGCGAAATGCTTTCAAACACCAAAATATAGAGAATTAACCTATTCAGCTATGCTCACAAGCAATATGAAAAAGAAATACTCAAAAACAATCAAGTTTGACCTCTTTTGAAAAAAAAAATAATTTTTTTGAAAATCGCCTGCAGATTGTGCAGATCCGCAATTTCATGAAATTTGTGCAAACACTTTGACGACAATTGTGCGCTACAGTACCCCTTTCAACTTTGTTTCAAAAAAAAGTGAGTTGTTTCACTGGAAACAATGAAATAAATTATAACAATGATTTCTGAACATCCTTAACTATTTCTACTTTCATTTTTGACAATGATATTTCAGTTTTATATTGCATATTCTAGTCAAAAACTAAAAAAAAAAACACAATTTCCATTGGAAAATTTAGTTTTCTTCTGAAATATTGAATCTTAGTGTTTATACTTCTTCAATTAATTTTTTCATACCCAGAAAACAGTTTTTTCATGCAAATTGTCATTTTCCGAAAAAAAACGGAAAAAAATTTGCGAAAAAATAAAAAAGAAAACAACGAGACTCCGGGTTGACGCTAGTTGTTTGAATTTGAGTTTTTTTCAGTCTACTTATTCAAACGTTTTGAATTTTTCTCTGAACTAGGGAACAGTAGAACTAAGCTAAATCTAAGATTTGAGAACATTTGGGCTTTTTTCAAAAGAGTGCCTATTATACAGGGGTGTTGTTTTAAAATGGAAAATGGAGCTGGTTTTTCAAACCAAAGCAATTGATGATTTCAAAAAAGTCGTTTTGCAACATAGAAAAAAATAAAACATTTTTCTTTTTCACGTGAAATTGCGGACTCATTGTTCTGACCGTGTGAAGACACACGACTCCGCCCTCTTTTTTTTGCAATTTGCGGCGCACTCTCAAAGTTTCAATGGAAAAAAGAACGAAACAATTTTATGGTCTAATCGAAAAAAATACATGTGCCAAAGATAGAATAAGTAAAAGTGGCTGAACTGCAATAACCACAATTACACCATTATCAAAATTATCATCCAAAGCAGCAATTGTAATATTGGCACAAGTTAGAAATGCTCTCAATAAATGGCTCATACACATCCAATATTTATATTCATATGGAATTCGAAATCGATAATCTCCTTGGTCATTCAATTCTTTTTTTTCACATGCATTCGAGTGGTTTTCAATGCGAGAAGAATTAGAATCGCAAGAATTGCGATTATCAAATTTGCACAACAAATTGTGATTGGAATTGTTTCATTTTGATTGAGATGACCAAACCAGCAAATTATTACAGCAATTGTTATTAACTGAAAAAAATGTGAATTGAAATAAACTTATGACGTGGCATTTAGCTCGAGAATTGAAAATTTAGAATTTTAATTTTTCAAAAAAAAAAATCGAAAATTAACAATTCCAAATTTTCCACTTCATAACTTTTGCACAAAAAATCTAATAATTGAATTCTTTCTCGAAAATTTCCAAATCCAAAAAAGAAAGGAAAACAGAGTTATGACGTGGCATTTTGTCTACAATTGAAGATTCAGATATCTTATTTTTTTGAACATTTTTCAAAATTCAAAAATTCAGAAATAAATTCGAAAATCTTCTGGGAAACTTCAAAATTTCCGAAAATATTCAAATTTCAATAGATCTTTGAACTTTCAAAAAAAATTCAACTTTTTTTTTACAAAAAATCTAATGATTTGAAAATTTTTCTCGAAAACTTCCAAAAGAATTCTAATTTTTAGAAGCATTTGAAAAATACTGAAATTTTGAAAACTAGATTTCGCCAAGTCATACATTTTTTCTAAGAATTTCCTGATTTTCTTTTTCAAATTTATCCAAAAAAAATTCAAATTTGCCACATAATTTTTTCAAAAGTGAAATTTTCAAGACCACTAAAATTCACCCAAAACTCCAAAAAAAACTTACAATTTCCAAAATTGAGCAACGCAATCGTGACAAAATGAATTTTTTGAGTTGTTCTCCTCGAACCAACATAATTTGTCGTTTTTCAGCCAAAAGCGGCGTCGATTCGCCGATCGATCAAATTATTCTTGAATTCAGATTTCTCTGCGTCTCTCTCTCTCCCTCGCTCGATTCACCCTCCAAAAGGCTGTGAACTTATCAAAAAACTTGAAATCGAAAAATGACTCGTGGCTAAATCAGGAATGGTTCCTAATTTTGCCATGGATGACATCATCGATCAATTTTTCGAAAAAAAAAACTTATTTAATCATTTTTCGTATTGAATGTATTTCAAAGATGTTAATCAAAAGAATTACAATAAAAATTCATGAAAAAGAATATAAATGTTCATGTCAGAATATAAATGTTCATCTATCAAATATGAACATAATACATCACAGTTACTTAAAGCTACCTTTGGAAAATATGCACATCATCACTCGATAATCCTAATTCCTCTAATGATCTGAAAAAAAACCCTATTTATTTTTAAATATCATATTGAACTTACTCTTTAGCAGTTATGATAAATCCATCAGGTCCACAAATAAACGCTTTTCTTGAAACATCTTTTTTATCTATATATTCTTTGAGAATTTCAGTAGATATTCGTTGACCGATGATATTTTTTATCTGGAAATTTTAATATTGTAATTTATGTTCAAAAATTGGAAGCACTAACCATATTTTGATCTCTTGCCAATTCTGCCAATTTCCAACCATTTTCAATAGTTTTTTCATCCGTTGCAACATCATTTTCCGTTTTGTTAAAAATCAATAAACTCGTCTTGTTCCCATTATTTTTCCCAAAATCTAATCTCATAGTCAAAATATCAATCATTGGAGTAATTCCACTTCCAGCAGCCAATAATACAAGTTCTTCTGAATTCTTGATCCATTCCTCAAACTTTTTATCACCAATCGGATCACTTATTTCAACAAAATCTCCGATTTTCAAATTCTTTTCAATTGAGGGTGTACAAATTCCATCTTCATAGATTTTAATCATCAAATCCATTTGATTTTTGTCATTTGAATTTGACATTATTGGAGTGTAAGGTCGATATAATGTAGCTTCTGAAACTTGATTTTGAGGGTTAAAAAATTAGCTTTAAACTCACGTCCTTTCCGAATTTTCATCGAAACATGATGTCCAACTGGAATTCGATAGAAAATATTTGAAGGGATTTCCAAGCGATAAACCAAAGTGTTATAATTTATCCGGAAAATATTGGAAATTTGGAACTTATGATAAGATACACCAGATCTTCGTTGAACTTTGAAATGAAGATCGCCAAAATTTTGCGTGGTTTCTGGGAAATTTATAGAAACTCGAGAGGGTGAAATATTCACTTTGAAGTTTGTTGAAACAGATATCAATGTTGAAGGATCTAGAAAATTTTGAGATTTCAATCGGACCAGAACAATTTTCCCTACCAAATTCTTTTTAAACAGAAGAATGACTGTTTTTCAGAATTAAAAAACGGTGAAAATTACCAACCTTATTCTGTGTCAATCTCAACCAATCCATGAATCCTTTCCCAGGAGCCAACGCGACTTTTACTCTCCCATATTCACTTCCACCGATTGCAGGTTTCTGAAATTGTCTCAACAAATAACTATAATTTTTAAAACGAGAACTAACCGCAAAGAGACTATTGTTGACTGTTAGATTATTCATTTGGTCTAAAGTGTCCTATTTCCAGAGAAAAATAAAAAACCGGGAACAAAAAAAATAATAAAAAATGAGAAAGAGAAATTGCGCTCCAATGCACACAATTTTTTGAATTTGAAAATTTGCGCGCAGAAAATTTGAATTTTTCCGGAAACTTTTTTAGGCCTGAAGCTGCAGCTCAGCGCCCTGTTCTTGCGTTTATAAAACTTGTGCGTTTCAGAATGAATCAAACTCAACCGAAATTAGGAAATGGATCTTACATTCCACCAAATAAGCGGAATAATTCAGAAGGATCAGAAGTGAGTCCACAAAAGAAAACGGCTGTTGAAATAACGAGTGGAGTTGGAAGAATTGATATTGGTGGAAGAAAAAATGCGGAACCAGTTGTTGATATGAAGAAAATCAAAGAAAACAAACCAAAATCACCAATTTTCAAACTTCAACCTCGTGTGCTTACAAAGTGAGTTTCTCTGTAAATTTTTTGGGTTTGAAATTGATTTTTATTGCAGACCGAAAGGACTCCCTAATGAGAACGAAGAAAAGTCACATTGTCACGTTGATATGATCTACAATAGGCTCAAATGCAGTTTTGAAGATGGATTATCAAAATGGATGTCGAATTATCAACAATCCTTCAATCAATATTTCATTGGGTGCATTCCAAACTTCATTGAGCCTCATCTTTTTGTTAATACTAAATTGACAAAAGATGATTATAATATGTCATGAATTATCAAAGAATTGGAATCGAATCCATTATATTTGGGCGCAACTTATGGATGTCATCCACATCAAGTCAAAAGGTAAGGTTTTTTTGAAATAACAATTTTTGAAATGTTAATTTTTTAGTTGGGCTGATAAAGAGGTATTCTGGGACACTTTGGAGATTCTATTACCTCATAAAAGATCGAAATGTATTGCTGTTGGAGAATGTGGAATCGATCTTAACAAGTAAGTTTTACTCATGATATTTTATCAAAAAGGGATATAAAATTTTGATAATTTTGCAGATGTGATTCACCACTGGATCAACAAAGATATGCATTTCGTCGACAAATTCAACTAGCCTTCAAGTACGATAAGGCTTTGGTGATTCATTGTAGATCGGGTCCAAATAGAGATGCCGAATCGGAATGTCTTCAAATTTTGGAAGAGGAATTGAATCGACCGGGACAACACTGATATTTGCGAATTCATCGACATTGTTATACGGAAAATTGGGAGAATGCCAAAAAATGGATTGAAACTTGCCCCAATATTGTATTTGGTTACACACCAGCAGTCTTCAATTTCACCGGAAGACAACTCGACGCAATTCGAAATATTCCGCTGGATCGAATTACAGGGTGTTTCATAAATAGTGTTACAAGAGTTGTTCATCTTTAGATCAGTTTTGGCAAAGTTGGGTAATCCTAATGGTTTTGCTCATAATTACAAAAATGTAGGATTTTTCTTCCTCTACAAGAGCTATCCATGTAAATTTGACAATAACGTGGTTTGGACTATGTTTATGACCTGTAAACAAAACGCAATTTTTTGAAAAATCATTTTCTGGCACGACGGTCTTCCCAAAAATGAAAAGCCAGGAAATCTTCAGTTTTTCTGAGTTTTATGGCTCAACATGATATTTTCTAATGAAAACAATGTTTCTAGTGAAAATTTTAAAAATCTCCAGAAATTCATGATTGTTTTCTTGAAGTTAGAAGAAGATCTTCAATTTCAACTGAAACTTCGGATTTTTCCGATTTTTCGACAAAAACATCGTTAAAATCAAGTTGAAATGTTGATATAATCGGTCAAATTAGCCATTTATAGGATGAAAAACAATTGTGATACAGAAATAATAAATATTGAGTGGAAAAAATCATATTTTTCCACAAAAGTTCAAAAACTCAATTTTATTTTTTGAAAATTTCGAAAAGTGGGTTCACTTTAACCTCCCGGCAAAGTGTCTAATGTGATTCTGTTACTTTGTCCGTCTTAAACTAACGAAATAAACCCGTCAAAAAGGGTTTTCGAAAATAACTTTCCGGAAATCACCAATTCCAAAAATAAAGGCTCTCTTCGAACGAAAAAAATCGTGCGTGCCACAGTGACCCTCCACCGGCACACTTGAGCTGGTGGCAATGGTGTGAAGATTGAAATGAGGTATTATTTATGTTCAAATCTTGTCATAACCACGTTCGGCTATGTTTGTGTCAAAAAATATTGAGTTTTGATCTTTTGCCTTTCCCGGGGTGGACTGTGCAAGTTGTAACACTATTTATGAAACACCCTGTATTTTGGAAACCGATGCACCGTATTTCGTACCATCGATGTGCAAAGACGTTTTGCCACGCATCAATTTACCAGGAACCGGTGAGCGGCACTACATTTGAGTTCTTTTTTTCATCAAAATCTAATATGTATTTCAGCTGCAACTGTTGCACTTCAAATCGCCAAATACAAAAACATTCCAGTCGGCGAAGTCATGCGACACGCCCTTTTGAATACCAGAAGGATATATTCTTTATAAATTGGTGCTTTTTTCTCTCTGTTTGAATGATTTTGTGTATTTCAATTAACTATTTTATTTCAATAACTATTTTATCGATTCTACTCGGAAAATCACATTTGTAACTGTTTTTTTATGCAAAAATCGATATTTTTGGATAATTTTCGTTTATATAGTCACTTTTTTTATTTTTTACGATATTTTTCTTGTTATATTCACTTTTTGTTTTTTTTTTGTTTCAAAAATCTTTATTTTTTCATTTTCTATTACTTTGATGTTGAAAATTGCTCGTTTTTTCAATATTAAATTTTTTGTTGGAAAATTTGTTGAATATTACCATTGTCTGGTTTTCTAGTCCTCCACTTTGTGAACAAAAATAGCTGAAACTTGAAAAAAAATTAAATTTTTGGCTGAAAAAATCTACCTTTTAATAATCGATCTAGAATCCCTAAAAATCTCAAAATGTTATCTACAGTAAACTTCGCTCCAAAATTTGAAACGAACACGACAATTCTTCATTTTCAAATCTAAAATACTTCATATATTTAAAAATGATTGATCCATTAGATCTTCATAATCCATAAGATATAGATGAATCTGAGTTTTTCATGTGATTTGAAACTTTTTAAAGCTGGAGAGATTCCGATAAAACATTTACATGTGAAATTCAACCAAAATTTATTTTGGGCATATAAAAATCAATAAATAAATTTTTCAACATGAAAGTGAATAATAAACTATAAAAAATAAAAATAATAAACTTGAAAACTAAATTTTCAAATATTCGATGCATTTATTGAATCTGGAGAATTTGTCGAAGCATCTGAAATTCAATGTGGAAATCCTATTGAACAATTTAATATTTCACTTACTCGTCGGCCAAAGCAGCATCGTAAATTGTGTATTTGATCTTGTTCACTACGGTTTTGGAACATTTCATTTCAGAAGTAATCGCCAACGTATCACAACTGAAAAATGTAGTTTGAACAATATAAAAAGACTTAACAAAAAACTCACTCCGAACATAACATTTCAATAACGCCTAAAATTTCCGGAATTGATTTTCGATATCTTGAGATTTTCGATCCTTCATTCAATTTTCTCGTCTTTCCGCAACGTTCACATGCAAACTGTAAGAAGTGATTGATTTTTAACGAATAGAAAAAGCACACAGTCCGAAAAATATTGATCAGGTTTTTGATTTTTTAGCCAGAAAATTGAAGAATCTTCATATAAACTTAAATTTTTCGGACGTCGTATACATCAAAACTATTACTTACATGGTCATAAATGCCATTCTTTCTTCGTTTACCCATAGATTGATCGCAGCAAAACGGAGTTGAAATTATTTGATGTTTTTCCGCATTTTCAATCACTTGATTTTTGTCAGCAAGTCGTAAATCTTGATACAAAAAATTCAGCAGCATGATCTGAAAAGGTATGAAATATATCAGAGTTTCCTAATGGAACATTTTTTCGACACAGTGTCATAAACCCATTTCTTCCAAAAATTACAAAAGCGTTTTATTTTTGACGTGTCCCATTTTCAATTTTTGAATTGTGCTTCATTTTGAAATGAAACGCAAAAAATAAAAATAGAAATGTTTCACTTCAAAAATGTGGAGCATTTCAAAAAACTGAACATGCGTCATTTGAAAAATGTGACGCATTAGAAATGTTCCGCAAGATGTTCCATGGCTCATTTTCGGAACATTTTCTGAATTGATCTTTTTTGAACCAAAAGTCACTTTTTGAGATTCTTCGAATATAATTCGGCGCCACATATAATTTGATTTCAAAAAAATGGTTATTTCTTGAAAAATTAAAATTTTGGGTTACTGTGAATTCGAAAAAAATCATATATCAGACCTGAAAATATTGGATTACAAAAAGATTAACATTTGGCAAAGTTAACTTCATCTTGGAATTGGAAGTATTTTCCAAATGCCTGAAAATCCAATAATATTGAATAATTTCCAAATCACATTCAAAACAAATTATGAGGAGCCAAATTGAGAAGAAAACAATAATTAGGGCGAAATATCAATATCAACGTTGTTGCAAAGTTGCAACTTCTCTAGGTTTTTTTACATTTCAGGATAACATTTTCTAAAGAATATTCTTGAACAAAAATTCATTGGTGTTTCACTGAAAAACTTTCAGTATTTTTACATAAAACATTTCTTTTAATTTTACCCAAAATATATATTACGTTTTGCTTGGAAATTCGGGAAATGCGGAATTTTTTGTTAAGTTTGAAAAATTTTTTTAATAATTTTATATATTTTGGAGGTTGGAAACATTTCGCAATGGCCTTATTATACAAGGGTGTTGCTTTAAATATGTGTTTCGAAAACCTCACCTATCTGCCAACTATCCGAATTCGCTTGCTCGAAACCACCATTCAATGAACTCGTTTCTCCTTCGATTTCTTCACCGAATTCTCCGCGAACCTGCTAAATAAAAATAATGAATATTGTTGAATACTACAAAATATTTTGAATTTTTTGGATATTGGATCATGATGTCATTGCGGACAAATGTCCGATTCATTTAGTTTGTGCGTTTTTTATATGTAGGGGAGATTTTTCGGAAAATTGTTTAAATAATATTTTGCTTTTGAATTTTCTCGCAGTTAACTCTGAAATGTATATAATTCCGAAACAAAAATTTCAGAGGAAAAAAAACTAGTATGAAAAATGCGTCACAATATTTGGCAGAATTTCACTTCTACACGATCAAAAAACTTTTAAATCTGGAGAAATTACTACAAAACAACGATGAAGGCAATTTTTTCATAAAAAGTTTTCATGAATTTTAGAAAAAAAATACCTCAACAGCATCAAAATTGAGTACTTGTTTCCTAAATTGCCATCCTTTCCCAACATTTTCCGTAATTTGAAAAAGTCTTTTGGAAGAATCCGAAACCGAATCATAAGATATGTTGTGTTCGAAAAAAAATGACGGAACCGAATAAATATAACCATTTTTTGTTTTGATTGAAAACGATCTTCCTGATGAAAAAAGAACTTTGACCTCATCTCCCTTTTTGAAATATGTGTCATTTTGGATGGAAAAATCAGCAATAGTGTTGACTATTCTTGTGTCACAATATCCTTTTGAATTTCTTTTTTTACAGCACTGAATCATGTTTTCCAAATTATTCTTCACTTTTGAGAGTTCTTTTTCATTGAAATTTATTTCTTCAATACTGAACGAATCATCGGAATTTGAGAGTAAGACTTCTTGATTTTTCAGGAAATCTTCAATATTTTCCATCTTTTTCGAGAACGAAATAAAACCATCCAAATCTTTTTGATGATATTTCAAACAAATATATACATTTTTCAAAGATTTACGATGATTCTCCAAACTTTCCACAACTTGCAAGATTGATATTTCATCATTGCTTATCATCATTCCATAATTCAAAATCTCTTCCGTTTTTATAATCCTTTCGGAAATTTCATCAGTTTTTTCAGTCAATTTATTCTTGTAGAATTCAGAATTCGACCGATTCACTTCCAGCAAATCCCAACCGAAATCACAACTTTGTATTTTGGTGATATTTTTGACTTCTTCAATTGCCAATGTGTAGAATTTTTGGACTGCTTCCTGTAAAATGTGATAGCTAAAAAAGGTAAGACGACAAATTTAATTAGCTCAAAAGATCGGGCCCCCTTTGAATAGTAAAAGCCCCACGGGATTTTTTCTCGAAAGGCCTAAAAAGGTCCGAAAAAAATATTCCATGGATTTTTTTCAACTTATGCGATGTCCAAAAGTTTAGCGAATAATTTCAACGTGGTATCTAATTCATGGAACATTTTTTCTGGGCGTTTCCAGAAAAAATCCCTTGGAGGTTTTACTACTTTTGGGAAGCCTTTAACATTGCGACAACTTTTTTTTTCGTCTCACCCCGCCCCCACCCCGAGCTTAAATTGATACAAAAAGCTGTCCTGGCTTTCTGGACTATGTTTACCATGCCTTTTTGAAAAAACTCACCAAATTCTTGTTTCTTCGATCAATTTCTTCTTTTACATTCATCAATTCCACGTTCAAAACATTTTTCATTTCTCGAAACATGAACATTTCTTCTTCTTTCACCATTTTATCATAATCATCGATCTTTTTCTCTATTTCCCCAATTCTTTCTTCTTCATCTTGCAAACTTGTAATTTGTTGAATATCTTCCAAATTATTGATACATATATCCCTTTTTACTTTTGATTTGCAATTTCTTACAGAGACGATCAATGTTTCAATGAGTTTCAATGAGGACAGTTTTTCCTATAAACAATGTTTATTGTCATTTTCTGATATCCCCTGTTGAAATAAAAATGAAACAGTTCTCTCGAAATATCTACTAATTGAAAACCTATTAAATATCAATCCGCTTGTTGCGGAATTATTTTAAAAATTGGAAAAAAATTCAAAATTTTCGATTGGAATTCAAAAATGCTCAGATTTTTTTGGAAATTCAGAAAAACATGCAATATTTTGAGTGTTTTTCGATCAAATTATTTTGGGGCCAAAGTTCTGATAATTTCTTGATTTTCTAACAAAAATCTTGTTTTAAGCATTAGAAATCCAGATTTTTCAATTTTATCGAGATTTTTGGTCCGATATTTGGGTTGCTAACTTTGCCGCAAAAATCCTGCAGGAAATTGGAGTGTTTTAATAAGATCCAAATTTTTCCACTTTTCTAAATTTACAGTCGATTTTTGAGCAATTTCAAACGAAATCTTGGTTTTGATTAATTCTTAAATGGACCGGCAACCCAGAAATCTACTAAGAATCTACAGAAATCTACTAATCTACTAATAATCTACTAATTGAAAACCTATTAAATATCAATCCGCTTGTTGCGGAATTATTTTAAAAATTGGAAAAAAATTCAAAATTTTCGATTGGAATTCAAAAATGCTCAGATTTTTTTTGGAAATTCAGAAAAACATGCAATATTTTGAGTGTTTTTCGATCAAATTATTTTGGGGCCAAAGTTCTGATAATTTCTTGATTTTCTAACAAAAATCTTGTTTTAAGCATTAGAAATCCAGATTTTTCAATTTTATCGAGATTTTTGGTCCGATATTTGGGTTGCTAACTTTGCCGCAAAAATCCTGCAGGAAATTGGAGTGTTTTAATAAGATCCAAATTTTTCCACTTTTCTAAATTTACAGTCGATTTTTGAGCAATTTCAAACGAAATCTTGGTTTTGATTAATTCTTAAATGGACCGGCAACCCAGAAATAACCATGTCCGAATCTATATAAAAAGTTGCGAAAAAGCTTTCTCAATTTCATAGAGCCCGAGAAAAAGTGTTTGAGAAATGGAGAGACTGGGAAAAATAGCTCGGGCTCTATAAAATTGCTTTTTTCAACTTTTCTTTAATATAGATTCGGACAATCTACTCAGAGAAATCCTGCGACTAACCGGCTGCCAATCGTAAATTAGTCGTAAGTACGTCGGCAGAATTTTCGAAATATGGTGTATTTCTGGAGACGCAGACGAAATGATTCAGGCGACTAATCGACGACTAACTTCTGATTAGTCGCCTGAAACTTTTTCGTCTGCATCTCCGGGAAACACACAATATTTTCGCCGACAAACTTACGACTAACTGACGCTCGGCAGACAATTAGTCACCTGATATTATCCTGTGCACTTGAGCTTTCAATAAATTATTGATTTCAAAATTTTGTCAAAACCTATTGTTTTATTTTTGAAAACATTGAATTATTTTGCCACAACTTGACTGAAAATAGAATAAAATAAGAAATCGAAAACTGGAATAAATTGACATATGACGTGGAAATTTTGAATTTTCAGTTCGAAATTGCATTGTTCTTCAAACTTTAAATCCAAATTTCTAAAATTGATTTTTAAAATCCAGCCAAAAATGAACTCTCATCCGTATAATTTAGTTTTCACTAAAAATAGTAATTTTGCGATTTTTTGAGCCCATTTACTTTATAATCGAAAAATTGCACAACATTCTAGGAAACGCCGAAGCTTTTGGAAAAATGAAGCGGGGTAAGAAGAGTTCGCGCAAAAATAAAAGAGCCGTGCATTATTTTCTCTAAATCTCCTCCTCTCATCCGATTGCATTTTACATTAGCTTGATTTCTTCCGATTTCATAAATATTATGGAATACAAACCTCGTGTAAATCCGAATCAGTTCGATTTCTAGAAGAATCTTGACAATGTGATCTCGTAATTTCATCGTCCTTTTTGTCAATACAACAATCATCCACAGTTTCATCCAACAATTTGACATCGTGGCTTTGGAAGAACTTCATCGATGAATGTGCCATAAAACAATTGATGCATAGAAATTTGCAGATATTACAAGTTGAAGTGGCCTGCAAATATTTTGTGTTACTTTTTCTTGATTAGCAAATTGACAACAAAAATAGAATGTGCGTTGAACTGAATTAATGAAAATTTTCTAGGAACTTTTGCCATAACAGTATTTTTTTAGAAGTGTGTTTTAGATTGATTTTTGAAAATGAAAATATGGTAGTTCTCTGTGTCCCAATGTTCATTTTTGAAAGATATCTAAATTTTAAAAATCTCTTTTCTACTTCATGTCAAAAATCCTTCTGCACCATAATTTTAGAAAAAAATGAATCGGTTTTGAAATGCTTCTGATCTTACTTTCTTTTCTACCTCTCCTTCGGGCTTGACACCTGAAGATAAGGTTTGTAGAAAGTTGAAGATAATGACGCACAATGCGGATTTTTTTTAAGTATGTAAAAGAACGACTGAACAATCTGACAGGCTTGTGCAGAAAATGGTTTTTGGTGAAACTTTTTTGGAACCCAAACAGTCAGAGAAGTAGTTTCGAAACGCGTTTCTTTTTGCCCTACAAAATCCTCCCAAAACATTCGGGGAAAACATCGCTCACCCGGTATCCGACGTTACATCCCAAACACGTTGGTCTTTCTTCTTCATTCACCACACCAATATTTTTCTCATCAGACGAAATCGTCAAATCTTGTGATTGAATCGTTGAGCTCGGCGATAACTGGAAATTAAAAATGTTGGTTAGGTTGTCAAAAAAATTGTACCCGTGGCGAAATTGTAACTCTCTAAAATTTTTTCAGACGTGGGGAAATTGTTATTTCAGTGATCCCCTCCAATTTCAATAAATTATTACCATTTTCACTTCAATATCATTGCTTTTCCCGATTTTCGAATCCTTATAAATCCGCCGAGTCATGATCCCTCTCCAAAGTTTCTGAATAACAATTGCTGCCGATATTTTTTCCTCTCGGATTCTCTCCAAATGTGCGATTTGTCCAATTTTCAGGAAAAGTTGGGTTTTTCCAAATTCAAAGGTTCCTTTTTCCAAATATTCTTCGCATACGATTTTCGACAATGCTTTCGGTGAATCTCGGCAAAATGAAACTTCTTGTTTTGTATAAGCAATTGCATATCTTCGAGCGAAATCATCATATTTAAATCGCGAAGGAAATCCGGCAGCCGAAATCCGAACAATTTCCAGAACGCCGAAATTTCGAAGTTGATCATTGGCTCGAATGTGGTCGAATGCAAAACTGGAAAAAAAGCAAAAAATTACAAAAGTTCAATAAAACAAAAACTAATTAAATACCTGGTTTTGCTATCATTCGGTTTGACGCATAGCACGTAATGCGGTGTTGTCGCATCCAAAACATTCATCAACTCTTTCAGCGAACTTCTAAATTGACTGGCAATTGTTCGATTACCACTTTGATCCAATATTGGTTTTCCAGTTCCAAAAATATTTTGCATTAACTCGAATTGACTCGATGTGACGAGTTTCATCAATTGTTCGCCAATCGCATCTCGATTTTTCTCAACGAATCCATTGATTGAATATGTGACATCGGCTGCAAAATGGCGAACAATGAAATCATCACATCGAACTAGTGGAAATGCCAATTGTGGATTTCTATTCAAATCGGAACTATTGTTCAATTGACTGAGCAAATCAACATCACTTCCATTCAATCTTTTGCATTGTTCATCGAGTAGACTCAATAATCCGATTGGTCCTTCAATTAAATCAATAGCAGGTTGATTATCAAAAAAATCGACTCGAACCCAATCAATTTCTTCTCTCAAATATTCTTCTTGTTCCAATTTGAAAACATAATTATTGAAGTAATTTTGCAATTTTTCATTCGCAAAATTTATGCAAAACTGCTCGAATGAGTTGGTCTCAAATTTTTCGAATCCATAAATATCGAGAACTCCGATGAAGCGCTCGATATTCTCTTGAATAGTCACGGTTTCATTTAGCGCTCCATTTATTTGATGAATCATATAACTGAAAAGCTGGGAGTAGACAAATTTTGCTAGTGCATCTCGCGATCGAATCGCTTCATCTTTTGTCAATTTTTTGGTGACAATTTCGTTGACAGCCCGAATTTCTCGTTGTGTCAACCGAATTCGCAATGCGTTCTCATCAATATTCCAAATTTGTGAACAGAGTTGAGCGATTTCAGTTGATGAAGATGCCTGAAAAAAAAATGTTTTTAGATATGCTCAAAATTTCGAATAAAAATAATGAAAACTCACGTCAATTGCTGAACAACCTTCTTCATTATAGAATTGAACATTTCCGAGCAAAAGAATACCAGCGAGAAGACGGAAGACATCTGCACTTTGCTTTTCATCAAATCCAAGAAGACCGAGAGCATTCACAAGATCATCAAAATCATGTTTGTCATCAACTCCGGGAATTTGACTATCTCCACCTTGCACAAGATAACGGTATGATTCAAAATCGCCCAAATGCAAATCTTTAACAATTGGATGACGTCTTGCAGCACACATCTGGTAGAAGATGTGATAATTTCGTTCACCGGGTGCTTGGAACACTAGTCGACTTTTTTCGATCAAATATGTCTTGATTTCGGCTCCCTCAATTCGTTTTCCATTATCAGCAAAGTTTATTTGAATGAATTTTCCAAAACGAGACGAATTGTCATTTCGAATTGTTTTGGCGTTTCCGATACTCTCCATAATTGGATTACTCGCTAATATTCTTTGCTCAATTCCAGCTGTCACTTCATTTTTATTCGATGATGCCACAGATGCCAAATATCGCATCACAAATTTCGCTGACACCGTTTTTCCCGATCCAGATTCTCCAGAAACAATAATTGATTGCGATTTCGAGAATTCGCGCATATCAAAGAATGCTTCTTCGGCGACTGCGAAAATGTGTGGATCGAGCTCTCGAACCGATTTTCCGATTCCTCGATAAACTTGAATTGTATCTTCGCCATATAAATGTGAACAATCCGAATATGGATTTATTGCGACCAAAACAATTCCACAATATGTGTATATTGTTTGTCGATCCACAAATCGAAATTGCAAGCTGTGCAGAATTGCAGGCTCATGCAAATATGATAATAGCGTGAGATCATTCTTTCCAACCAGAAGTTGCGGGTTTCTCAGATACGGTAATTGTTGCAATGACGAGATATCGAATTCGGCGGTCTGCAAAAATATTCTTGATAACTTTTTTCGAACACTTTTCCTATCTATCATAATTTCGCAGATTTTTGCAGGTTTTCTTTTCAGAATGTACTTAAGCAGATGCATGATTTGATGATTCTTTTGAAGAAGATCTATCATATTTGAATTCAATTATGCGTATGATAAGAAAAATCTTTCAAAGCCCAAAATGAGTCAGTAAGTAAATATGAAAAAGAGTTTGAAGACGAGATATTCAAAACTTACCGTATCATCGTCGAGCTTCAGTCGAACTTTCTTCGTCTCGAAAGTGACGTCGTGCTCCAACTGCCCGCCAATCCAAATCAACTGCGGATGGCGATGCCAAACCCGAGCACCTTTCTGCAAATACAGAAAATTAGTTTTTTAGAACAAAAATTAGCTCACAGGAAGAAGAGTCATTTTTGAATCTAGTGTATCGAGAAATGAACATTTATAAATAGGAAAATACGTATTATGTTCACATTTTAGTGATATAACGTGTTCTAGTAATTTTTTATTCTTCAAAAATGAGTATTTGAAACCTTACCTTATAATTTTGCATCTTGATATCACCATTTGTTTGATGACCCATTGAAATCTGTAAATTATAAAAATCAACCCATAGATCATTTAAATTTTCAAAGCAAAAAAACACACGCATTTGTAAACAGACGAGAAACCTGGCGACGCTGAAAACCTGCGAGAACCTTGCAAGTAACCCGCGGGTTTTCAGTAAAACACACAGGTTCCTGTCAAAAAAGCACCCAAAACAGGCAGGAAACTCGTGGCGAAGGGTTTCGCGTCTGTTTACAAATGCGTGTGAAAATAAGACAGCAAAAATAGAATTCAAATTGTAATATGAATATAAATCCCGAGGAAAAAAATTGAACTCAAGAGTGAGAGATTTAGAAAAACTACCTAGAAAAAAGTTTGAGATCGAGAGATTTTTGATAGTAAAATACATACAAATAGTATAAATAATAAAGTCATTGCGAAATGCTTTCAAACACCAAAATATAGAGAATTAACCTATTCAGCTATGCTCACAAGCAATATGAAAAAGAAATACTCAAAAACAATCAAGTTTGACCTCTTTTGAAAAAAAAATAATTTTTTTGAAAATCGCCTGCAGATTGTGCAGATCCGCAATTTCATGAAATTTGTGCAAACACTTTGACGACAATTGTGCGCTACAGTACCCCTTTCAACTTTGTTTCAAAAAAAAGTGAGTTGTTTCACTGGAAACAATGAAATAAATTATAACAATGATTTCTGAACATCCTTAACTATTTCTACTTTCATTTTTGACAATGATATTTCAGTTTTATATTGCATATTCTAGTCAAAAACTAAAAAAAACACAATTTCCATTGGAAAATTTAGTTTTCTTCTGAAATATTGAATCTTAGTGTTTATACTTCTTCAATTAATTTTTTCATACCCAGAAAACAGTTTTTTCATGCAAATTGTCATTTTCCGAAAAAAAACGGAAAAAAATTTGCGAAAAAATAAAAAAGAAAACAACGAGACTCCGGGTTGACGCTAGTTGTTTGAATTTGAGTTTTTTTCAGTCTACTTATTCAAACGTTTTGAATTTTTCTCTGAACTAGGGAACAGTAGAACTAAGCTAAATCTAAGATTTGAGAACATTTGGGCTTTTTTCAAAAGAGTGCCTATTATACAGGGGTGTTGTTTTAAAATGGAAAATGGAGCTGGTTTTTCAAACCAAAGCAATTGATGATTTCAAAAAAGTCGTTTTGCAACATAGAAAAAAATAAAACATTTTTCTTTTTCACGTGAAATTGCGGACTCATTGTTCTGACCGTGTGAAGACACACGACTCCGCCCTCTTTTTTTTTTGCAATTTGCGGCGCACTCTCAAAGTTTCAATGGAAAAAAGAACGAAACAATTTTATGGTCTAATCGAAAAAAATACATGTGCCAAAAGATAGAATAAGTAAAAGTGGCTGAACTGCAATAACCACAATTACACCATTATCAAAATTATCATCCAAAGCAGCAATTGTAATATTGGCACAAGTTAGAAATGCTCTCAATAAATGGCTCATACACATCCAATATTTATATTCATATGGAATTCGAAATCGATAATCTCCTTGGTCATTCAATTCTTTTTTTCACATGCATTCGAGTGGTTTTCAATGCGAGAAGAATTAGAATCGCAAGAATTGCGATTATCAAATTTGCACAACAAATTGTGATTGGAATTGTTTCATTTTGATTGAGATGACCAAACCAGCAAATTATTACAGCAATTGTTATTAACTGAAAAAAATGTGAATTGAAATAAACTTATGACGTGGCATTTAGCTCGAGAATTGAAAATTTAGAATTTTAATTTTTCAAAAAAAAAAATCGAAAATTAAAAATTCCAAATTTTCCACTTCATAACTTTTGCACAAAAAATCTAATAATTGAATTCTTTCTCGAAAATTTCCAAATCCAAAAAAGAAAGGAAAACAGAGTTATGACGTGGCATTTTGTCTACAATTGAAGATTCAGATATCTTATTTTTTTGAACATTTTTCAAAATTCAAAAATTCAGAAATAAATTCGAAAATCTTCTGGGAAACTTCAAAATTTCCGAAAATATTCAAATTTCAATAGATCTTTGAACTTTCAAAAAAAATTCAACTTTTTTTTACAAAAAATCTAATGATTTGAAAATTTTTCTCGAAAATTTCCAAAAGAATTCTAATTTTTAGAAGCATTTGAAAAATACTGAAATTTTGAAAACTAGATTTCGCCAAGTCATACATTTTTTCTAAGAATTTCCTGATTTTCTTTTTCAAATTTATCGAAAAAAAAATTCAAATTTGCCACATAATTTTTTCAAAAGTGAAATTTTCAAGACCACTAAAATTCACCCAAAACTCCAAAAAAACTTACAATTTCCAAAATTGAGCAACGCAATCGTGACAAAATGCATTTTTTGAGTTGTTCTCCTCGAAACAACATAATTTGTCGTTTTTCAGCCAAAAGCGGCGTCGATTCGCCGATCGATCAAATTATTCTTGAATTCAGATTTCTCTGCGTCTCTCTCTCCCTCGCTCGATTCACCCTCCAAAAGGCTGTGAACTTATCAAAAAACTTGAAATCGAAAAATGACTCGTGGCTAAATCAGGAATGGTTCCTAATTTTGCCATGGATGACATCATCGATCAATTTTTCGAAAAAAAACTTATTTAATCATTTTTCGTATTGAATGTATTTCAAAGATGTTAATCAAAAGAATTACAATAAAAATTCATGAAAAAGAATATAAATGTTCATCTATCAAATATGAACATAATACATCACAGTTACTTAAAGCTACCTTTGGAAAATATGCACATCATCACTCGATAATCCTAATTCCTCTAATGATCTGAAAAAAAAAACCCTATTTATTTTTAAATATCATATTGACTCACTCTTTAGCAGTTATGATAAATCCATCAGGTCCACAAATAAACGCTTTTCTTGAAACATCTTTTTTATCTATATATTCTTTGAGAATTTCAGTAGATATTCGTTGACCGATGATATTTTTCATCTGGAAATTTTTATATTGTAATTTATGTTCAAAAATTGGAAGCACTAACCATATTTTGATCTCTTGCCAATTCTGCCAATTTCCAACCATTTTCAATAGTTTTTTCATCCGTTGCAACATCATTTTCCGTTTTGTTAAAAATCAATAAACTCGTCTTGTTCCCATTATTTTTCCCAAAATCTAATCTCATAGTCAAAATATCAATCATTGGAGTAATTCCACTTCCAGCAGCCAATAATACAAGTTCTTCTGAATTCTTGATCCATTCCTCAAACTTTTTATCACCAATCGGATCACTTATTTCAACAAAATCTCCGATTTTCAAATTCTTTTCAATTGAGGGTGTACAAATTCCATCTTCATAGATTTTAATCATCAAATCCATTTGATTTTTGTCATTTGAATTTGACATTATTGGAGTGTAAGGTCGATATAATGTAGCTTCTGAAACTTGATTTTGAGGGTAAAAAAATTAGTTTTAAACTCACGTCCTTTCCGAATTTTCATCGAAACATGATGTCCAACTGGAATTCGATAGAAAATATTTGAAGGGATTTCCAAGCGATAAACCAAAGTGTTATAATTGATCCGGAAAATATTGGAAATTTGGAACTTATGATAAGATACACCAGGTCTTCGTTGAACTTTGAAATGAAGATCACCAAAATTTTGCGTGGTTTCTGGGAAATTTATAGAAACTCGAGAGGGTGAAATGGACACTTTGAAATTTGTAGAAACCGATATCAATGTTGAGGGATCTGAAAAATTTTAAGATTTCAATCGGACCAGAACAATTTTCCCTACCAAATTCAAATTCCATAGCTGGTTTCCAAAAATGATGAACAAAAACGCGAAATTTGCAGGCATTTTCAGCAATTTCTTCACCTGTCGATGTGATTGCTTTCTGAAAAAAATATCTTACTTCAATTTTTTAATGTGCTTCAGAATACTTACTTTCACATTGGTTTCCTCAATCGAAACAATCACATTTTGTTCAGTCAAATCAGTCCAATCATCATGTTCCAAATACACACCGTGATCAATCGGAACAATTCGAGAACCATAGAAATTTTCAGAAGAACTTGCAAAAAGTGAAGTTGAAGCCGGAACTTTCTTGTCATCTGATGTTGTTGGTGGCAAACATGGTTTCACTGAAAATACAAATATAAGTTTTCTGATGCTCAAGGAGTTTCTTACATTTACTCAAATCTCCATTAAAAGGTCCAACAATACAAGCTTTTAGCATACTTTCATAATTAACCCAAGCGTGATATTGATTAAAAAGTGGAGTTGCATCTCTGCCAGCGGCTCGTAGAAGCTCCGGAATTCCGCCGGGATGGAAATCGAGATATTGCGTCACATCGTAAACAATTCCGAAAAGATGAACCCAACAATCCTCTTTTTTATCGTGTTTTGATAATTCAACATGGTCAACACTTGCAACTCGTTTTGCCAGAGCCTGAAAATATTTTTATTTCATTTTTTATTTTTTTAATGAAATTTTTTGAATAATTGTATAGTTACCTTCTTAAAAATTCGATTAAAATAAGAACACATTCAAAAATAGTGAAAAAAAGAAGGAAGGAGAAAAAATTGAAATGGGGGAGCTCCAAGAATAGAGACGCAGAGAGAGAAAAAAATGTAATTGAGCTATTTGGTTTCTTTCAGCCTAATTGGAGTTTCGGTTGTTAATGGAATAATCGATAAAGTGTAGATATATAGGAGAATTCAAAGGTACATGTGGTCTCGAAGCGAACTCGTGAAAATTTCATTTCGAAAATCAGTTTAAACAGAAGAATCACTGTTTTTCAGAATTAAAAAACGGTAAAAAATCACCAACCTTATTCTGTGTCAATCTCAACCAATCCATAAATCCTTTCCCAGGAGCCAACGCCACTTTTACTCTCCCATATTCACTTCGACCGATTGCAGGTTTCTGAAATTGTCTCAACAAATAACTATAATTTTAAAAACGAGAACTAACCGCAAAGAGACTATTGTTGACTGTTAGATTATTCATTTGGTCTAAAGTGTCCTACTTCCAGCGAAAAATATAAATAAAAAACCAGGAACAAAAAAATAATAAAAAATGAAAAAGAGAAAGTGCGCTCCAATGCACACAATTTTTTGAATTTGAAAATTTGCGCGCAGAAAATTTGAATTTTTCCGGAAACTTTTTTAGGCCTGAAGCTGCAGCTCAGCGCCCTGTTCTTGCGTTTATAAAACTTGTGCGTTTCAGAATGAATCAAACTCAACCGAAATTAGGAAATGGATCTTACATTCCACCAAATAAGCGGAATAATTCAGAAGGATCAGAAGTGAGTCCACAAAAGAAAACGGCTGTTGAAATAACGAGTGGAGTTGGAAGAATTGATATTGGTGGAAGAAAAAATGTGGAACCAGTTGTTGATATGAAGAAAATCAAAGAAAACAAACAAAAATCACCATTTGTCAAACTTCAACCTCGTGTGCTCACAGAGTGAGTTTCTCTGTAATTTTTTTGGGTTTGAAATTGATTTTTATTGCAGACCGAAAGGACTCCCCAATGAGAACGAAGAAAAGCCAACAGTTAGTCAAGAGATTCGAAGACAAATCCCAGAAAACTCTAGAAATTCTAGAAATATTAGAGATAATTATTCCAACTCAGCTAGTTCTATGAAAAATACGAAAACTGGTGAATTTTCTTTGAAAGATGTAAGTTCTCCCATAAATTGACCCGGTTTATTCAAAATAAGTTTTGCAGTTCTCTGAAATATCACATCCATATATCGATTCACATTGTCACGTTGATATGATCTACAATAGGCTCAAATGCAGTTTTGATGATGGATTATCAAAATGGATGTCGAATTATCAACAATCCTTCAATCAATATTTCATTGGGTGCATTCCAAACTTCATTGAGCCTCATCTTTTTGTTAATACTAAATTGACAAAAGATGATTATGATATGTCATGGATTATCAAAGAATTGGAATCGAATCCATTATATTTGGGCGCAACTTATGGATGTCATCCGCATCAAGTCAAAAGGTAAGGTTTTTTTGAAATAACAATTTTTGAAATGTTCATTTTTTAGTTGGGCTGATCAGGAGGTATTCTGGGACACTTTGGAGATTCTATTACCTCATAAAAGGTCGAAATGTATTGCTGTTGGTGAATGTGGAATCGATCTTAACAAGTAAGTTTTAGTTATGAGGAAGAGATCAAATTTTGATAATTTTGCAGATGTGATTCACCACTGGATCAACAAAGATATGCATTTCGTCGACAAATTCAACTAGCCTTCAAGTACGATAAGGCTTTGGTGATTCATTGTAGATCGGGTCCAAACAGAGATGCCGAATCGGAATGTCTTCAGATTTTGGAAGAGGAATTGAATCGACCGGGACAACACCGATATTTGCGAATTCATCGACATTGTTATACGGAAAATTGGGAGAATGCCAAAAAATGGATTGAAACTTGCCCCAATATTGTATTTGGTTACACACCAGCAGTCTTCAATTTCACCGGAAGACAACTCGACGCAATTCGAAATATTCCAATGGATCGAATTATTTTGGAAACCGATGCACCGTATTTCGTACCATCGATGTGCAAAGACGTTTTGCCACGCATCAATTTACCAGGAACCGGTGAGCACTACATTTGAGTTCTTTTTTTCATCAAAATCTAATATGTATTTCAGCTGCAACTGTTGCACTTCAAATCGCCAAATACAAAAACATTCCAGTCGACGAAGTCATGCGACACGCCCTTTTGAATACCAGAAGGATATATTCTTTATAAATTGGTGCTTTTTTCTCTCTGTTTGAATGATTTTGTGTATTTCTAAGCTTTAATTCATAAAATTTGTTGATTTTTTTTGAAAAAACTTTCTGCTTTCAGGATGGCCGAACTTTTGCACGGCCGAACTTTTTTCTCGGCCACACTTTTTAACGCTGTTTGTGTGTATCAAAACTAAGAAAATGTCTGATTTTGAACAACGCTCGGCTGAAATCGAATCATTGGAATCAATATTTCCGGATTTATTGCAAAGCAAAACCGAATCGCAGCTGGTATTCACATTTGAGAAGGATATCATGTTAACATGCAGTCTTCCCCATGATTATCCATCAACTTCTCCTCCAATCTTCGAGCTCAGTGGACCATATTTGAAAGCAAATGAAAGAGAAGCTCTCTATAATAGTTTGAATGAAAGTTATATTGAAAATATTGGATTTCCTGTGATCTTCAATTGGATTTCAATTATCCAAGATTTTATTCGAGATTCTTCAACACACGACGAAGAAGAAGAAGGAGAAGCAACATCTTCAGCTCAAGAAAATTCATTAGATGATTCGATTCCCGAAGACTTTGATGATATGAATATTCAACACGGCGAAGTTTTTCACGATCGAAAAAGTTTTTTCCAAGCTCATTTGGCTGTTGTGAACTCGAAAGAAGATGTTGATCGAGTTATGCGAATTCTGAAATCGAATACAAAAATTAGGAGAGCAACTCATAATATAATGGCGTATAGATATACTGGCGAAAGGAATGGAGTTGAGATAAAGTGGGTTTTTTGGGGGAGGGCTTGAAAATAAGCGATTTTCAGAGAAGAATATTAAAATTACAGTCATTTCGGAATTTTGAAATTCAAAATTTTCAACAGTTTTTCTGAATCAATTTCTATGTATATTTTTCAAAATTGACCTCTCTGGTTATCAAAAAAAAACATTTCAAATTGATATATTTTTGCCACGTCATAACTTATCTGGAAAGCTGATAATATCTATTTTCAAGAGATTTTCGCTCAGAAACACCCAAAATTTTGAATTTTTCAGAATTTTTGAAAAATTGCAATTTTAATTTTTTCAAAAGTCAGCTTTTAAATACTTTCAGCCTCTTCCAGTTTCAAAAATCCCAATTTTCCAGATATCACGATTGCGAAGATGATGGAGAACACGGAGCAAGTTCAAAAATGCTCGAACTTATGGAAAGAATGAAAGCGAATAATGTTATTGTAAGTTCCCTTCTCCCATGAATCAATCAATAATTACATAATTCCAGGTTGTTGTAACTCGATGGTACGGTGGAATTCATCTAGGACCCGATCGATTTCGTCACATCAATAATCTCACACGCCAAATTCTGGTTGATAATAATTACGGGAACTCTAAAAAATAGCCTGATTGTGAATTTATTTATTTTTGATTGATTCACAGAATTTATTTAATGTTTTTCTTCACGTGCGTGTAAAATTTTATTAGTCATTTTCTATTTTAACAAATAAATAAAAAAAATATGCAATATTTGATGGATATTGGATCGCCGGAAAGTGCAAAATATAGAGTGAGATTTAGATATCAGAACAAAATGAAAAAAAAACAAAATTTTTGAAGATGTTTTGCTGTTCCCATGTGATAATTGCATATTGGTCATTTTTGGTAGGGGTTTTTTTGCTGTTAGCGAGGAAAATTTGAAATTTTTGTAGATGTTCGATCTGACCGTCACAGTTTGCAGTATTGGAATGGAAAGTCTCGCGACTTATGTAAGCAGCAAATTTTGAAATAAAATTGAGATTTTGGCTGTCTGAATCGTAGAAATTTGAAATTTTTCTCAAAAAAAATGGACTTCATTCAGAAATTCCCAAAAATTTCCAGGTTTTCGAGATAGAGCACGATATTTGGGTGTATTTTCACATTGTTTCGACGATTTTTTGGGTTTTTGGATTTCTTGGAGGATTGGTTGGTTTTTAGAAATACACAGCCAACTACCGTACCACCTTCTTATCTAACTCGGTTTTCTGTACAATTTCTTCTCGGCAGTTTTTGTATCGGACCTGAGGAATCGGACCAGGTCCGATTAATCGGACCCGATTTTGAAGGTTGTTGGAATCGGACCAGGGACACAATTTTCCAATAGGAATCGGACCACAAAAAGGAATCGGACCATCTTGTGTTTTTTGAATCGGACCAGGTAAAATCGGACCAGGTAAAATCGGACCAGGCAAAAATCGGACCAGGTGGAATCGGACCAGGTAACAAAAAATCGGACCAGGCAAAATCGGACCAGGCAAAAATCGGACCAGGTGAAATCGGACCAGGTAACAAAAAATCGGACCAGGCAAAAATCGGACCAGGCAAAATCGGACCAGGTAAAATCGGACCAGGCAAAAATCGGACCAGGTGGAATCGGACCAGGTAACAAAAAATCGGACCAGGCAAAATCGGACCAGGCAAAAATCGGACCAGGTAAAATCGGACCAGGCAAAAATCGGACCAGGTGGAATCGGACCAGGCAAAAATCGGACCAGGCAAAATCGGACCAGGCAAAAATCGGACCAGGTGAAATCGGACCAGGTAACAAAAAATCGGACCAGGCAAAAATCGGACCAGGCAAAATCGGACCAGGCAAAATCGGACCAGGCAAAAATCGGACCAGGTGAAATCGGACCAGGTAACAAAAAATCGGACCAGTTTTTCTGGGCGTTTACTAAGCCTAAGCCTAATATCCGGGCCAGTAAAGCCCAAAAGCTTTAACTTTTCTGTCTTTCAAGGCTTAGGCTTAGTGAACGCCCAGAAAAACTGGTAAACTGGTCCGATTTTATCTGGTCCGATTCCACCTGGTCCGATTTTTTGCCACCTGGTCCGATTTTATCTGTCCCGATTTTTTTTTTACCTGGCCCGATTTTTTGTCGCCTGGTCCGATTTCACCTGGCCCGATTTTTTTTACCTGGTCCGATATTTGTCACCTGGTCCGATTTCACCAGGCCCGATTCTTTTTACCTGGTCCGATTTTTTGTCACCTGGTCCGATTTCACCTGGCCCGATTTTTTGTCACCTGGTCCGATTTTTTGTCGCCTGGTCCGATTTCACCTGGCCCGATTTTTTGTCACCTGGTCCGATTTCACCTGGCCCGATTTTTTTACCTGGCCCGATTTTTTGTCACCTGGTCCGATTTTTTGTCACCTGGTCCGATTTTACCTGGCCCGATTTTTTTTTACCTGGTCCGATTTTATCTGGTCCGATTTTTGCCTGGTCCGATTTTATCTGGTCCGATTCAAAAAGCAAGGTGGTCCGATTTCTTTTTTGTGGTCCGATTCCTATTGAAAAATTGTGTGACTGGTCCGATTCAAAATACCTTCGAAATCGGGTCCGATTAATCGGACCTGGTCCGATTCCTCAGGTCCGATACAAAAACTGCCTTTCTTCTCGAGTTAAATGTGCAGGTTCTACCGTATATGCCTTTGATCTTCTGTTTTTGGACAGGAAAATTCGTATTTTTCAGGAATGGGTTCGATGTTTGACAGTTTATGCGATGAGATTAGGTTTAGTTATGATGATTTCAGCAGGAAGATTAGTGTGAGTTTCTCGATTTCATTCCCAAAAACTTCAAAATTCAATAATTTTCAGCGGAACTTTCGATAAATTCTCAAAAAAAGCGCACATCAAAGACATCGTATTTCTATATCTACCAATCCCAATTTTCACATATTTTATCGGAATTATCATAACTTTTCGAATGTGCTCATTTTCATCGAATCGATATAGTGGATATTATGATGTTGATGATGAATTGCGACTCGAACTTCAGAAGTAAAGTGTTTTTTTTTTGATTTTCAAAAAAATCCAAGTTTCCAGGAAATTGGATGAAATCGATTTGAAAGAAGACTAAAAATGCACGCATAAATGTTTCTTCTCAAAATATTTGAAACAAATGTTTGTCTAAACAAAAATGATGAATCTAAATATGAATCACATATATTTTTATATTTTCGCTTAAAAGACATCTGAAAATGTCTAAAATTCATTGGCCAAAAAATGAAGATTCTTTTCTTTTTTCTTTTTCTCCTTCTAATCTCTATGGTTTTTTCATCATTTGTTTACGATGATTCTGTTTCTGATACAAAAGAAAGATCGGAAGAAGATCGATCGATCGAAAGACCACGTTTCAAATATCCACGTGGATCAGTTGGCAAGTTTTTTCTCATATGAATCATACTTTTTGAGCATGTTCGTTCCAGAGGTCAAAGGTTATTGCCCAAGACATGAAAAATACGAGGAATGTGGAACTGGATGCGAAAGAACATGCCCACATCCAAATCAACCAAGCTCCAAAAATTGTCGCAAAAAATGTATTCCTTATAAATGCACATGTGCTATTGGATATTATAGAGATAATCGGGTATATTTTGGTGTTTCGGAGTTTCTTTAAATTTGTGTGATTTCAGGGAACTGGTCGATGTGTTCTTCCAAAGGATTGCAAAGCATTCGGAAAAGAATGGCACTCATAATAATTAAATTAATATTTATAAATAATCATCTAAAAAACCACCGGGGAAAATAATATAAAAAAATATATATATGACAAATTATTATAATGAAATTTTGTTGAAATATGGATTAGGTAGCGATTTCAGCCATTTTTCCTGATTTCTATTCGCTCGTTTAGTGACAAGTTTACCATTACAAACATTTGCAGTTTCATCAGCTTTTATTGTCCAATGACAACCTAGAATAGACAAAAAACATTGCTCATATTTGGAATTTTGAAATGGGTAAGAAATCTTTTGCCCGGGAGTTTATGAATTCTCATTTGCATATTTTTCTAGTTCAAATCAGATATTCTGATAGTTATGAAAAACCCAATAGGATTTTGTAAGTAAAAATGTCTTTCATGAGAATCAGGAGGTCGAAATTCTGAATAATTTCCAAATAGACAAAAAAACCTTTTTGAAAATTTCTAACTCAGCTCAAACTCAACGAAAAAACTCGATCAAAACCGCATTTTGAAGCTTGAATTGCGTTCTTTTCGGTTGTTTTGGAGTACATTTATCAAACTTTGAATTTGATACATGAAAAAAAGAAACATTTTTAAATTGATTTTTTTGAAAAATCCACAGTGAAATTTTTTTAATTGGTGCACATACGTAAAAGTGGATGAGGAATTCAAAAAAATTAGTCTAGAATCATGCCGGCGCCATTTTTCGTTAAAAAAAAATGATTTTAATGTTTATCTTATTTTTTCATATATCAAATTGAGACTGTTCTCCAAAATAACTGAAAAGAGAGCAATTCAAGCTTGATAATGCGGTTTTGATCGAGTTTTTTCGTTGAGTTTGAGCTGAGTTACGAATTTTCAAAAAGGTTTTTTTGTCTATTTGGAAATTATTCAGAATTTCGACCTCCTGATTCTCATGAAAGACATTTTTACTTACAAAATCCCCTTTGGATTTTTCATAACTCCCCATAAGACACTATTTGAACATACATACAACCGAAATTTTTCAGGGAGTCACATCGACACAGAGAAATTTTTCTGATCCTCAAAACCGAAAATTCACCTTTAGTCCCACTTGCATAATCCTTCTGACATCTCACAAAACAATTTCTCGCTGATAAAGTATGTCTGACAGAATTGCGCCATCGATTATTACTAATTGCATAATATGGATATGTATCTGTTATATAATCATAAATCTCAGTTATCGTAAGTCGTTTCTCCGGATGTTTTCGAATTGCCATCATAATCATCGCACTGTATGAGATATTCGGTCGTTTTGGTGTGTTCTCATCGCCGCTTGAATATTCTGGTGTACTTGGCATCGATCCTTCGCTTGTAGATTCTTGACATAACTCCGGACATAATTCGCTAATTGAAAATCGATGCATTTTTCTATGAAATTTTTCTGAATAATTTTTTTTTTCAAATCAAAATGTTTACCTCAATTGAGGATAAAATAGATATCAATATGACTTTAAAAAATTCAGATTCTTTATAATTTATGAAAAAAAAACCCGTTAGATGTTATATTTAAATCATTCAAAAATCAATCTACGAACTCCAGGTCCACCTTCGGATTTTTCTTCAAATTTCCTTCTTTTTGCTGGCTGACGATTTGGATGCGGCAATTCTTCATCGAGACAACAATATGGTTGAACCCTGGAATTTTGATTTGAAAAAAATAATTTGAAAAGAATTTCTCACTTGAAATAATCCATCTGTAATGCTTGTGTAGTTGTGCATCTTTTCGCCGGATCAAAAGTCCACATTGATTTCATCAGCTCAATTAATTCGGGTCCCGCCGCAGAGAAAATGAATTGTAATTCTGGTGGCTCCTCGTTTGGTGTCCTAATAAAATTGCTTACAAGAATGTTCTTTGTTTAAAAGACTCACTTGACTGCAATATAACTTTGCAAACTTGTCATTGTTGGCCAATCTTCAGTTGTTGGACAACCAAGAACATTGAAAATTTTAACAAGTTGATCTATATCACTATCGCCAGGGAAGATTGGTAGCTGAAAAATTACAGAAAATGATTAACTTTTGAGGTTCATTATTTGAAAATCCTTACTCTCAAAAGCAATTCGGCTAAAATACATCCAACCGACCAAATATCAATACCAACTCCATACGATTTTGCGCCATAGAGAAGTTCCGGCGATCGATACCAGCGAGTTACAACTTGATGGGTGTAATTACGATTTGGAGAGCCGAAAAAACGAGCCAAACCGAAATCAGCCAATTTCACACGTCCCATTGTGTTCATCAACAAGTTATTTGGCTTCAAATCTCGGTGTAAAATCCAATGAGCGTGGAGAAATTCCAATCCGAGGAGAGTTTGCATTGTGATGTTTTTGATGTGCGCAGGCATCAGAATTATTTTTTGATCTTGAACAACATGCTGAAAAGTGTAATTTGTTATCTTATTTTCTTTTGAGAAAGATATTTACCTCTAAATCAGTTTCCATGAAATCAAAAACCAATTGAATACTTGTTCGATGGCCAATCACATCTCGTAACTTCAAAAAAAAATTTTTTTCTGAAATCAGACGATCTATCTGCTTACCCCAATAATATTTTCATGTTGGATTTCCTTCAATAACTTGATTTCTCGAATCGCTGTTCTATTGATTCCATCTTTTGCCTCATCTCGTGAACCAAGCTTGATTTTCTTAATAGCCACGGTTTCACCGGTTTCTGTGTCCTTTGCCATGTAAACATTAGCGAATTGTCCTTCTCCGAGATGCCGAATTGTCTCATATCTTTTATTCATTTGGGCTGCAATTATAAGATTATAAGACTATAGGTATTTATTTTTTGCGAGCAATAAATGAATTGTTTTGCGAAAAAAAATCATCAAAATCTTGGTGGCCGAGAAATTTCGAATCTTCGGCCACCTTTTTCCCCAACTTTTTGCCCACAATTCCTTGCATCAAAGAGGCTTTTATAACTTATTTTTATGATAGGAAAACTTCATTCTGAAAAGCTCTATCATCCTAACGCAAGTTTTTTCGAAGTCAAGTTTTCTATTTCTCACGAGAAATGAAGAAAAATCATCAAAATCTTGGTGGCCGCCAAATTTCGAATGTTCGGCCATCCCACTTCAACTTTCTCAGAGAAAGCCGGCGACTAATCGGCGACGAACTTACGACGAATCGAGATCAGGCGACTAATCGTCTGCCAATCGTAAGTTCGTCGCAAGTTCGTCGGCGAAAATAGTGTGTGTTTCCCGGAGACGCAGACGAAAAAGTTTCAGGCGACTAATCGGCGACCAATCATAAGTTAGTCGCCGATTAGTCGCCTGAAACTTTTTCGTCTGCGTCTCCGGGAAACACACACTATTTTCGCCGACGAACTTGCGACGAACTTGTTGGTCGCCGATTAGTCGCCGGCTTTCTCTGAGTTTTTTTTCGAAAAGTTGACAAATTTTCAGCTTTTCCAGAGAGATGACTGATTCTCAGATGGATTTCGAAGAACCAGAAAAAGATCAGGAACTTGTTATCCAACATGACTGGCATTTGGGATTAAAGTTAGTTTGAATTTCAACCCATTAAATACATAAATGCTTAATTTTCAGAGAACCTATTTCATCATTTTTCATTGGTGTCAAGAAGGCTGGAGATACTATGACAACTTTTTTCGATGTTCAAGTGACAAAATTGATCGATGAATTTGGATTTACAGTATTGCCAAATAAAACAGGCTCAGAAGAGATCAAGAATTTCGGAAAAATATCATTGGATTTAGTTGTAAGTAAAAAAATGCATTATTATACTATATATCATAATTTAGAACAATCTTCATGTAAATTATAAAAATATTGTGACCATATTTGTATCCCCGGTTGCCGAACTTCGACTTCACGGACTTCAAACATCAGCTCACACTTTCGATGTTTCATCAAGTGGTCAAACTATAATTTCGGCTGATACAAGTGGTTCTCTAGTTGTTTCCTCAGCAATGGATGGAAAAACTCTTCGAATCCTCGAAGGACATATTATGGATGTATATAGAACTCAATATTTTCCATCTGATCTCGTTGTTTTGACCGGTGGAATGGATTTGACAATTCGAATCTGGGCAATTGATAGTGGAAAATGTGCAAGAATATTTGGAGTTGGTAAAGAAATTCTATCTTGTTCAAATGATGGATGTGTTTTTAAATGGAGTTGTGGAACTGGAGAGATTCTTGAAAAATGGGCATTTGAAGCGGGAAAATGTGTAGATTTGAAGATATTTGAGGAGACTTCGAGATTTGCAGTGATTTGTGAGAGAAATTTATTGGTGGTTATTATTGAAAATGGTCAAAGATATGATATTGCTTTGGAAGAGGGAGAGCCGACTTGTTTGGAATTTAGTGGAAATTCAAATATTATTTTTGTTGGGTTTGAAAATGGGAGTATTGCTGCTTATGATATCGAAAACAGGAATTTGATTTCTAAAATCAAATCGAATCAAGGACGAGTTACTTGTCTCAAGTTTTATTGCAATCGACTTCTAGCCGCATACAGTGAGCATTTTATTTTTTTTTTCAATGTTCATATATAATTTTATTTCAGATGATGGTATAATTTTGGCCTACCGTATTCCTACAGTAACCCCAGAGGCTGGCGATTCTTCAGATATTCATTCAGAATTTCAACTAACCGGTCCAGATTGTGATCCGATTTATGACATGAAAATTCGGGGAAGAAATTTATATACGAGTTGTCGAGATAAAATTGTTAGAAAATACACGTTGTTGTGGGATTCTGAATAAATAAATTATTGCATTTCGAATTTTTACGGATACTATATTTTCAAAAGGTTCAAAAGCCCAATTTTTTTTTAAATTTCTGATTGTGAGTTTCAGTTTTTCAAATTACATGAAGTATTTTAGATGAATAGATCAATATTTTATACACAAATCCGATGGAAAACAGTGAAATTCAAGCCGAAAGTGAGTTAGATTTATGACTTCTAGAAGTTTGCGACGCGCTCCTAATATGAGTTATGACGTGGCAAATTTTCGAAAAATCGGGATTTTGGGAGCTGGAAGCTTTAAGCAGCTCCCAAAGTCCCGCCACGTCATAATTAATATTAGTTCTGCAATTTTGTCGGGAAAAGCGGGTAGAAAACTACTACGAAACATGAAGTTTATCAAAAATCCAAAAAATATTCAGATTGCGCGAACAAAACCACTAAAAACCCCATCAGCTTTAGCTCTCGATCATTTCGATTTCTATTACGGCCCACTTTTCGGCAAAAAATGGCCAAGTATACGCCTAGGCCTCCTCTCACCCAACAAATATTTGGCTGTAATAAATACAATGTGCCGCAATTGGGAGGCTCACGATGAAATATTGAATGAGATGGGAGCTATTGATTTGTTGGCGAAAGTTCGGGGAAGCAAAGCGGATGATCGATTTTTGGAGGAGAAACGGCAGAGAGTTGAAGTTCGGGCGAAAGAAGATTTGGAAAAAGCGAATCAGATTCTGGCTGATTCGAACAGATCTATAGAGCCAGAAGAAGCAGATGAAAAAATCGATAAATTATATCGAAGTGCTGCTGGTTTGGGAGAATTTAAAGCGAGTCCTGGAGAATTATCCACTTCTGATCTACAAATGGGCAAATCAACCAAACATACCAAAGATTTTGAGTTGGTTTTTTCTGTGGAAAAAAAAGGAAAAAATATCATTTTTTGCAGAATTACGGGATTTGAAGGGGAAGGTGTTCGACTTCCGAGACGACAGCATTTTATTTATTATCCGTAAGAGATTGTAGAACTCAATATGAGTTATGACGTGGCAAATTTCGAAAAATTGGGATTTTAGGAGCTTCAAAAATGATTTTCATCAAAATCTGATAGCATTTGGTTGTTCAGGAGGCTCGATAACATAAGTTCTGATGTTCACAGAAGCTTCAGAAGCTCTGAACTTATGTTATCGATCCTCCTGATCAACCTCGTCCTATCAGATTTGAATGAAAACCATATTAAAAGCAAGCTTCAAGCTCCTAAAATCCCGCCACGTAATAACTCATAGGCCAAAAACTATCAGAAAACTTTTCATCAAAAATCTACCCTTGCTAGAAAAAATTATAGTTTTTTTCCAGAAATCTGCGTGTTCGAAGTTTCGATAGATCAACACTTTTGGATTTTCCAGCCCCAATGAAAGACGACATCGGAGTTCCAAGTTATTGGCTCCTCGATGGCGGCTCTCTTCTTCCAGTTCTCGCACTCGGAATCCAAAAAGATGAAAGTGTTTTGGATATGTGCGCAGCGCCTGGTGGAAAAAGTCTACTCTGCGCTTTAACCCAACTACCCTCTCGAATAGTTTGCAATGATTTCAAGTTGGCGAGATTGGGACAATTGAAAAGAGCATTGATGACGTATGTGCCGGAAGAGAATGATATGATTAATCGATTTGTTTTGAAGCGGAAAGATGCGGGAGATTTGAAGAGTTGGGATGAATTGGAAGCATATGATAAGGTATTTTGAATTTCTCATATTCAGTTTTACAGTAGAAATCTCTGTAGGGCTGATTCACGAACGAAAAACATTTTTAAAAAATTTTTTTAAACATTGATTCCGAGTTTTTCAGCCAAAAATGATGACAAATCGATATTTTTCAAGCTTCTGGAGTGATTTCTGATGAAAATAAACTTCGAGACCCCTATTTTGCTTTATTTTATGAATTTTTTCGAAATTCATCAAAATTTAAAAAAATTTTTATTTTGCGAAAAATCAGCAAAACCTTCTGGAAAGTGAATTCCAAAGTCAATTTTAATCAGAAATTACTCCAGAAGCTTAAAAATAATGATTTGTTATCATTTTTGGCTGAAAAACTCGAAAAACTAAGTTTGACCTACAATGTTTTTTCGACACTTTTTGACTTTTCGTGAATTGATCTTTCAATGTTTAAAAAAACTTTTTTTTTTCGTTCGTGAATTAGCCATTGTACATTTTTACAAACAAATTAGCGCACTGTAAAATTTTTAAATTTTCAAAAAATATGAAATTCCCCGAGAAAATCCATTTCCAATGAGACATTCTGTACAGTTTTTCACGCTGAGAAAGACCACGTTTTCAGTTTTTGCTAAGCGACTCTCTGAAAAGCACAAAAATGAGCCAAAAATTGAGATAACTCATGCTAGAGAAGAGTTTATCGAAAACTGACGTTATTCAGGAATTTTTTTTCGCCAGTAATTCATAATTTTCAGAAAAATTGTTGTGTTTTGAGCCTATTTTCTGAGCCAAAAAAATTCCTGAATAACGTCAGTTTTCGATAAACTCTTCTCTAGCATGAAATTTCTCAACTTTTGGCTCATTTTTGTGCTGTTCAGAGATTTTAAGCGTGAAAAACTGTACAGAAACTTATATCTCTCATTGAAAATCTTCGGGGACTCTTAAGTCTAGGTGTGTTCAATGATCCATTCCCTAATCTACTTCCTCTCCAGGTTCTCGCCGATGTTCCCTGCTCAACTGACCGCCTTTCTGTTGCCATGGACGATGGAAATATATTTAGCACGGCTGCAACACAATTCCGACTCGAATTACCTGTTCTACAAACCAGAATCCTAGTGTAAGCCTGTTTTTTTCTCATTTTTTAATTGTAAGGAAAATTTTAGGAACGCCTTGAGATCTGTGAAAATCGGAGGATCTGTAGTTTATTCAACTTGTACACTTTCACCCAGTCAAAATGAGGTGAGCTAGAGAAATTTGAGGTTTTTTCGAAATTTGTTGTCAAAAAATGTTTTTTTCAAATTAATTTTTTAGATTTTTTTTCAAAAATCCCGAATTTCAGCCCGAAAATGCTCCAGTGCTCATTTTAGCTCAAAATTCTTGATTTTTCAAGCTCCAGAGCCCATTTTCTTTCAAAAATCCCGAATTCCAGCCCAAAAATCTTTCAGTGCTAATTTTAGCTTAAAATTCTAGATTTTTTAAGCTCCAGTCCCAATTTTTTCTCAAAAATCCCGAATTCCAGGGCAATAATGCTCCAGTGCTCAATTTTTCTCAAAATTCTAGATTTTCTAAGCTCCATCGCCAATTTTCTTTTTTTTTTCTGAAAATCCCATAATTTTGCAGGCAGTTGTCGAAAATGCAGTAGCGATCGTGAAAAAAGAGTACGGTATGCAAATTGTCGAAGAATCGCTCCAACAAATCGTCGAACACATGACTGCCACCGGTCTCTATCGATTTCACAATACACCAATCGGCGCACTCATCACACCATTTCTACCATCGAATTTCGGCCCAATGTATATTTGCAAATTGACCAGATTGCAGTGATTTCGAAATATTTGTTTTGTTTAATTGGTTCGCGTTTTTGTATTTCGCAATAGTTTTTTTCTAGGTTAGATAGATAGATTGTTATAATGTTGTTATTGTTCAGATATATAAATTTTTGTTCTTCCTTTTTTTTCTCTCCCATCATTTTAGCAGTTTCTAGAACATCTGCCATTTTCATGAATATCTTATACCCTTTTCCTTCTTTTTTCTATTTTTTCTTCCAGACAAAAATGGCGGATTTGGTTCAAATCAAACAATTGAAAATCAAAACTGGAGTTGTTAAAAGATTGATCAAGGTTACTTTTGGGTTTTTGATGAATTTTTTAAAAATTAAATTTTTCAGGAATATCAATCGTATCAAAAACAAGTGCAAAAAGATGAGGAGAAGGCGGCGAAATTGAAAAATGAGGCGACGAATGAGGATGAGGAATATGTTGCGAAAAAAGCGCAAGATGTTGTGAGGGTTGGTGAATTTTCTACCTTTCAACGCCGAAAATGTAGTTAGGGCTGATTCACGAACGAAAAAAAATGTTTTTTTAACATCGAAAGAACAATTCACGAAAATTCAGAAAGTGTTCGAGTTTTTCAGCCAGAAATGATGACAAATCGATATTTTTTAAGCTTCTGGAGTAATTTTTGATTAAAATTGACCTTGGAATTCACTTTCCAAAAGGTTTTGCTGATTTTTCGTGAAATAAAAATTTTTTAAATTTTGATGAATTTCGAAAAATTCATAAAATAACTCAGAGAAAGTATGGCTTGAACGGCGCGGTCCGCGGACGATTTTTCACCGATTTTTGGGTGAAAATCATTACGCGGATTCCGCGAAAAAAATTTCGCGGACAGCGAAACTTCAGCCAATGAGAGTCTAATTTCGCGCATTCCGCGAAATTTTTTGACTTGGAAATTTGATTTTTTTGCGTTTTTCGCGGATTCGCGGATGGACTCGAGAGGAAGGGTATAAAAAGGATAAATTGTATCGCGTACGCGACAACGAGGATAGCGCAGCAAGGAAGATGGATGACTACAAAACGACAGGATTGGGATCGAGGCCGGGTTGGAACTACGAGTCAATACTAACTTCTGATAATTATCAGGGGTAGTGAAGCATTTTTATATTTCGAGAGTGCATTGCGCGGACATTTCGCTAACAGCGGAGTATAATTTCGCGGACGTTTCGCTAAAGTTCTTGTGTCAGCCGCGGATTGGCAGATTTCTGGGTTTCGCGAACCGCGCCGTTCAAGCCATACTTTCTCTGAGAAAGCAAAATAGGGTTCTCGAAGCTTATTTTCATCGGAAATTCCTCCAGAAGCTTGCAAAATATCGATTTGTCATCATTTTTGGCTGAAAAACTCGAAAAACTAATTTTGACCTACAATGTTTTCTCGACTTTTCGTGAATTGATCTTTCAATGTTAAAAAAAACATTTTTTCGTTCGTGAAAAAAAGTTGCGATTTCAACCGAAATCCGGACTTTTCAGAGACAATATTTTTGAATTGCTGAACCACAAAAATTGTCTTTGATATCATAACTAACTGTTTTTTCAAAAAAAAGTATTTTTCCAAATAAAATTGTTTGCAGGAAACAATTTCAATGGTTCGCGACACCCAAGGTCGTCTTTCAAAAGCCGTTCAAGATCTTCAAACTCTTCTCTCATCCGTCGAATTCTCCGAAGAATCTGCTGAATTGAAAGAGGCTAAGGAGTATTTGGAAAATGCTTCCACTGTTATCGCATAATTTATTTATTTTGCAAACTTTCATAAATTTTCATTCTCCCGTTTGACTAATGATTCCAATAGACGATTTTGTTTTTCTAATCGATCGATAACCTGGAAAATTGTGAATTTATTTTTTTCCTGGGAAAATATCAAACCTGTGTTTCAAAATGTTCTAGCCTCGCATTCAGTCTCATTTCCATTCGATCAATTTCAACACCTACAACCCGATGAATAATTTCATATAAATTTAGAGATTCTGTTGGTTTTGATTCCTGAGATGTTGTTGGTGGTGGCATCACATTTTTGCCAATTTTCGAAATTCTTTCCAATAATGAAGGATCTTCTGGTTCAACTGATGATTCGATTATTTGTGTGTGAGCTTTGATTTTTCTTATTGTGACCTGAAATATCTGTTTGAGTTCTGAAAAAAACCCACAAATAAAATAAAAAAATTTACCTGATAAACAACGTTTTCCTCGTCAGGTTTTACCAATAAAATTGCATTTTTTGAAAGTCCCACAAAATTAGACAAATATGGATGATTTTCCAATTTTTCTGGTGTCAATTTTGATTTGATATTTGATTGTGGAACGGGAAGACTTAGCCCAATTTGTTCCATTTTATATTTAACAGTATCGTAAAGAACTGAAAAATATTCCTCGATTTTTTCACCAGCTCCACCAGAATCCAATATGAAAAATGGCTTGGAATTGTTGTGTAGGAAAAGTAGAGCTGAATATCTTGTGAAATCGGAAAGATCGATGAATGTTAGCTTAGCCTTTTGATGAATATTTTCGATTGGAACATCATATTTTATACTGAGCGATGCTTGATCAATACTTTCAATTAACAGTTGATTCAATTCACATCGAAATATACACTTTTTTGAGGAGTCGTATAAAATTGTGTAGATTTTTCCATCATTTTTTATCACAATCAAACCACATTTGATACTCTGCGCATTTTCTACAGATAGAAAAGCAGTTGTGGAGAATATTTTCATAGAAGGTTTCGGTTTTTCTACAATAGTGTCTTGCTCATCATCTTCGGCGAATATATTTGCCATTCGATTACTGTAATAAAACAATAAATAAAATTCAAAATGATGTTCTTACCTAACTTCAGCATCTTGGCTACTTTCTCCATCTAAAAATTGATCGAAAGAAGCCATTTGAACATGAGAAACCTTTCTTTAAAGATGTTCCCCGTTGAAAAAAAAATAAAAATAAAAAATTGTCGTAAACACACATCTCTTCCTCTCAAGACCCAGTTCATTATTTCAAAGCGCCTTTAACACGATTTTTTATTTTTTCTTTTTTTACGCCGCGTTTTTGCGTGTTCTGCGTGCTTTTAAAAGCTTATATTTTATATCAAACGATAGATAATTTTGCAGAGTATATTCCAAACTCTTTGGGTCAAAAACGAATTGAAATGGCGACAGGTACGACGATTCTAAAGAAAATTTCATAATTTTTTGATTTTTTAGAAGTCGATCAAGACGAATTCCAAAGTTGGTTGGCCACCCAAAATTTGGAGAAAGTTGGAGTTGACAACTTGACACCACTCACAGAAGAGGTGAGCTTGGATTTTTCATTGAAACAATAGTAAACTCCAAATTTAGGTCATTTCCCGTCAAGCTACAATCAATATCGGAACAATTGGACATGTAGCTCACGGAAAATCAACACTTGTCAAAGCATTTTCCGGTGTTCATACTGTCAAGTTCAAGAAAGAATTGGAGCGTAATATTACAATTAAATTGGGTTACGCGAATGCTAAAATCTATCGATGCTCGAATATTGAATGTCCACGACCAGGATGTTACAGGTATTGTTAATATTAAAGTTTGCAAAGATATAAATAAATAAATATATTTTCAGATCTGCTGGATCTTCAACACCAGACAAATTCAAATGTGAAAGAGCTGGATGTGGCGGTGAATTCACATGTGTTCGTCATGTTTCATTCGTTGATTGTCCTGGTCACGACATTCTTATGGCTACAATGTTGAACGGAGCAGCTGTTATGGACGCCGCGTTTCTTTTAGTCGCTGGAAATGAACCATGTCCACAACCACAAACATCCGAACATTTGGCTGCTGTTGAAATTATGCAATTGCGTCATTTGATGATTTTGCAAAACAAGGTTGATATTATTAAAGAGACTCAAGCCAAAGAGAATTATGAGCAAATTTCGGATTTTGTTCGTGGAACTGTTGCTGAAAATGCTCCAGTTATTCCGATTTCCGCGCAATTGAAATATAATGTTGATGTGAGTTGTTTTTCCATTTTTTTTTAATTCAAAACTGTGTTTTTTTTTAGCTTGTTTGTGAATATTTATGCAAAAAGATTCCTGTGCCAGTTCGTGATTTCAAATCGCCTGCCAGACTCATTATTATTCGTTCATTCGATGTTAACAAGCCAGGATCTGAAGTTGAAGATTTGAAAGGAGGTGTTGCTGGTGGAACTTTGATCAAAGGAATTCTCAAAGTCGGTCAAGAAATCGAAGTTCGACCGGGAATCGTGTCAAAAACCGCCAACGGACAACTTCAATGTCGACCGATTCGCTCGAAAATCGACTCGTTGTTTGCCGAAAAAAATCGATTGGCCTACGCGGTTCCGGGCGGTTTGATCGGAGTCGGAACCAAAATCGATCCAACACTTTGTCGCGCCGATCGTCTCGTTGGACACATTTTGGGAGAGGTTAACACGTTGCCAGACATTCTTATTGAAATTGAAATCTCGTTCTTTTTGTTGAGAAGATTGTTGGGAGTGAGAACCGAGGGAAAGAAAAAAGGAGCTAAGGTTGGTGTGGAAAAATTATGAAGATATATGAGAATGAGAATCTTTCAGGTCACAAAATTAGTGAAAGAAGAAACATTGTTGGTAAATATCGGATCACTGTCGACCGGAGGAAGAGTAACAGCTGTGAAAGGAGATGCAGCTAAAATTAGGTTAAATGAGCCAATTTGCACTGAAGTGAGTTTTTTTAGAATATAGTTTGCCTAACTTCAAATTTGAACTCACCAATATTTCGAACATTTTGAATTTTCACAGCAAAAAATGACACATTGTGACTTAAAATTCAAACTTTTCAATTCGAATTTCTCAAAATGAAAAAAAAATCAAAACGTGAACTCGCCCATTTTTTTTGAATAAAAACGTGAATTCTTTTTTTCATTTTCAAAATAAAAACTACTATTTTACCCAAAATCCACCATTTCCAGGTCGGAGAAAAGATTGCAATGTCTCGTCGTTTCGAAAAAAGTTGGCGTCTCATTGGTTGGGGAACAATCCGCAAAGGACAAAAAATCGATCCAATTTACGACTAAATTTTTGTCCCGTTTGTTTGTTGTTTACTGGTTCTAGTATATTCACATTTTCGGCTATGATATCTTCTAAAAAAATTTAGTTCTGGTGAAAGAATTTTTTTCCTAATTTTTCCGGTCTTTTCCAAATATTCTTGTTGTTCTGTTCTGCTTTCCTTTCATTTCCTTCCTGTTTTTTTCGTAAATAATTTTATTTTCATAATACAAAATTGGTGAGTACCGGAAATGAGATCGGTGCAATGAATTAAAAAAAATAAAAATGTCTCAATTTTCAGCAGTCAAATAGCGGATTCTTTCGCCACTTCTCACAATCGTCTCCTTCTTCGCCAATTCATTCAAAGCTTCATCGAACACTTCCTTGGTTAAGTTCTGCAAACATTTGGATTTGAAAATGAAAATACTTTAAAAACAACATACCTTATCATTATTTCTCAAAGTTTGGAACAATGCTTTCGAAGTAACAGTCGCTCCTTTGCTCGTTTCCAATTGTTTCAAAATTGATTCGGTCATTGCTTCGATCGCTTTTCTTCCAGAAGAGCTCATTCCAGATGCCAAAATTCCAACATCGACTCGACCGGTGGCTGGATCAACAGCTGATTGACGAAGAGCTTCGCGCCACAATCTAGAAATATCAGATTCCGGGTTTTACAGGTTGGAAAGTCGAAAAACGGGGTGTTTTTTGAAACCAGAAAATCTGGAAAACATTTTGAAGTTTTAAATTTGAGCACTTGTGAGTGAAATTTTCGATTTTCCTTGAAATTTTTAATCAAAATCCTCTGAAAATCAAAGAAAACTACATTTTTTCGTGAAAAATATGCAGTTTGGCAACAGAAAAAAGGTTTTTTGAAAAATTTACTGTAGATCACACTTAAATTTTTCAAATTTTAATAATTTTCTGAACTGAAGACATTTTTTTCCGGAAAAATTCATGAATCAAAGAAATACATGAACGTGACCTATTCAATTCCACGTCATTTCTCTTTCGGGATTTCCAGGTTTTTTCCCCATTCAAAACTCACTTATACGCATTTTCAACATCATCAACCGAAACCTCTTGCGAAAGTCGAATCTTCGCATGCGCTTCCGACAACCGAATCAACGATTCCAATTGTCTTGGATACGCCGAAATTTGTCCGTGTTGAGCTCCGGCTTTTCGCATAAACAAGTATTTGTCGATGATGAATTGTGAAGCGTCTTCACCCAATTTTGGATGGATGTTTGCTTTGGCGTAGGCTGAAAACAGAATGAATTTGAGAATGAAATTCATATCAGGCCTGTGCCGGAAAGATGAAACCTGGTAATCGGAAAATTTCCGGATTTTTTAAACCAGAAAATCCGGAAAATTTTTCGAAGTCTTCAAATTTCAGCACTGGTTGTATTTCAGCACTCATGAAAATTCTCTTTTTACAGTTTTAGTAACTGTTTGAGACGTTTTCAGTTCCAAAAATCAGAAAATTTTCGAAACTGAAAACGTTTCAAACAGTTACTTCACTCAATCGAAAATTCCAGGTATTTGAAAAATTCCAGAATTTTCAAAAAATTTTCCTGATTTTCTTGTTTTCAAAATCCGGAAATTTAAAGTTCAAAAAAGAAAAAAAACTAATTTACCAATATAATCTCTCAATAGTTGCATATCCAAAACTTCGGAATTCTCCTGTTTATCTTGCTCGAAATACAACGAAACCAAGTGATTTCCTAATCTTCGATCATGCATTTCATCTTGCGGATCAACAATCAAAAAGATCAAATCGAAACGTGAAAGAAGCGTGTGCGGAAGTTGAATATTATCAACAATCGTCTTATTTCGATTCCATTTCGAATCAACAGGATTCGCAGCCGCTAAAACAGAAGCGCGCGCGTTTAATTGACAAATAATTCCAGCTTTTGCGATCGACAATGTTTGTTGCTCCATAACTTCATGCAAAACACTTCTAGCACTATCATTCATTTTGTCGAATTCATCAATACAACAAACTCCATTATCCGCCAAAACAAGAGCTCCAGTTTGAAGAACAAGTTGTTTGGTGTCAGAATCTCGACTAACTGAAGCAGTCAAACCAACAGCTGACGAACCCTTTCCACTTGTATATTGACTTCTTGGCATCAATCTATAAACATATTGAAGAAGTTGGGATTTTGATGTTCCTGGATCTCCGCAAAGCAAAATATTGATTTCCGACCGGAGTTTTGTTTTATTTGTAGTCTCATCATCTTTGCGTGTTCCACCGAATAATAAGCAAAGCAATCCTTTCTTAACATCTTCATGTTCATAAATTGATGGTGCAATTGCTTGAGCCAATGCATCCATAATATTTTCCTTTTTCGAAAGTTCAATAATTTGCTGAATTCGTTCTTCACTCAAAGTTTCTCCATTATCTTGATGCAATCTAGAAGTATCAGTTTTTCTGAAATGCAGTGCATCAATTGAAGTTCGATAAACTGAAGCGAGCGCTCTTTGTCGTGGATTGACTTTGACACCGGTTGCACGGAAGATTCCAGTGACAGAAATACGATCTCCTGGTTGAACAGATTCGACAAGAGATCCATGTGCGTACACAGAGACTGTATGTGGAGTTTCACCAGATGGCATGTCATCTGAAACAGGATTTAATCAAATTTTGATAAAACATATACCAAATCGACAATGCTGATCACTATCCTGAAATCGAAAATTGCCTGTGAACACTTTTCTGGAGCTTCAATTGAGTTTTGGTTTTCGCCCATTTTCACCATGTTTCAGGGTGGAAGATCAACTTTAATGAGGTTATTCAGCACATTTGAAAACCTATCAGCTTTTTAGCTCAAAATTACATTTTTCAGCGACTTTTTGATATTTTTTGCTGTTGTCGAAATTGAAAAATGTGGCCGCAGAACTGAGTGAATGAAAACAGCTGGACTTCGTCAGTCGCGTGCGGCTGTGCGGCGCGGTCGAAAGATCAATAATCGATTTTTTCTTTCCTTTTCCGAACGCGCCGCCCAGCCGCACGCAATTGACGAAGTCCAGTTGTTTTCATTCATTCAGTTCTGCACTGGTTTTCAATTTTGACAATAGCAAAACATATCAAAAAGTCGCTGAAAACTGTAATTTTTAACTAAAAAGCTGATAAGTTTTCAAATGTGCTGAATAACCTCATTATAGTTGATCTTCCACCCTGAAACATGGTGAAAACAGGGGCAAAAACAAAAACTCAATTGAAGCTCCAGAAAAGTGTTCACAGGGATTTGTGGCAATTTTCGATTGATCAGCATGGTTCATTTCGTCTTGTGAATTTACCCGGAGATTCTTGCAATTTGACGACTTGTTTATCCAAAAACACCGATCGATTATGAACCATTTGAAAACAATGTGTATTCGAGCAATTTGTGCAAACAACCGGTTCTTCAATTCTTCCCTTATCCACTTCGCTTTCAACACTAAATGAACACACCGAACATTGGAAAAAACCACTTCTCATTTCTGGAACCAATGAAGATGTTCGAGTGACCATTCCACTAATTGTGATCAATTGATCAACATCATTCGGATTCAATCCTCTCATATTTCTAGTCTTTTCCGCATTGAATGGCCGTAATTCAATAGGTTGAGCGAGTGATCGATGGAAACGTTCGGCGAAGATTTCATTGATTGTCATATCCAAATAAGGAATAACATCCTGAAAATAAATATTTATATGGAACAAAAACTATGCAGCTTACAGCTGGATAGGCAATGAGTTTTCTATACAAAGCCTCGGAAAATGATTGAAGATGGGCTAAATTGAGATTAATGTGAGTCACTTCAGCCACATCGCATTCGAGGAGTCTTTCCATATAATAGGGTTGGTTAGTATCGACTGGCCGCAAATGATCGTTATTTCCCTCCATCATATTTTCATCCTCGTCCAAATGCTCGATTTTGAAAGTGGTGACAAAGTTGCGAAATGCTCTTTGAACATCAGCCACACAAATGCGTGTTCCCCAAATGTAAAGTCGAGGTTGTCCATCGTCCACCGCCAAATCATCGGTCATTCCTTGAATTTGAACAGTTCGATGATCACTTGGCGCAACGCCAATATCTCCACGTGGACCGCGACGCAATGTTGAAACTGATGACATTTGAGACACCGAACCCATTTCAGAACCATAGGGAAGAGCAGAAGCCGAAGACACTGAAAAGAATTGGTTGGGAAGGAGAATCAATTGAATTTCTTACTTGATCTTGGCGATCCACCTTGTGCATCTCCTGGTGTTCGACTTCCGGCAGAATCTGAAAATATTTTATTTAATAATCAACTAATTTTATTCTGCAACTCACATTGAACTGAATTTGGTTCGGCAAAAACATCAGCACTTTCCGATTGTGGTTCTTGATCGGCTCCACGACGGCTGCTGGCACGAGATGATGTTGAGCGAGGCATTATTTCACTGCAAAATTTCAGCGTACTCAGAGAAACAAGCTGGAGAACCGGCGGAGAAAACGACATGTCGGCGAACTCTCGGACAACCGGCGGAGTGTCTGACCTACACTATTTCGCCGAAACTTTTGTCCACCGGTTGTCCGAAAGTTCGCCGACAGGTCGTTTTCTCCGCCGGTTCCCCAGCCCATTTCTCTGAGAATAGAAAAAGACACAAAAAGGTATAAAACACAATGTTTTCGCGCAATTTCTTCTTTTCTGCCCGCCACATTCAAATTTACACTTTACCGCCAACACACTATTGCGTACTTGCACACATTTATTTCGTCGGCTACAGTAATCTCAAGGTTGAAAGTGCTGTGTTTTCTGCGATAAGAAGAGGGAATATTATTTGTTGTAGTATACATGAGAACAGAAATGTAGAAAGATCTTTCAGGTGTGGAATTTGCAGAACAATTTTGTATTTTGTAAAAGTTTGAATACAAATTTTAACATAAACAATAATTTATTGAATATTGGGAATGTTTAATTCAAATGATTGTAGAACTGTTGGAATGAGTTTAGTAGCTTCCGCAAGATCTGACATAGAATCTTCCAATTGTGTCAAATTCAGATGGATGCTATTCAATCGAGCAGCAACGTTCTGAAAAAAAAAATGAAATTTGAAGTGGAAATTTTCATGGCGTAGTTTAGTTCACCTGCATATTATCAACGTCAAAATGGCTGGCACCAAAACGAGAAAATAAATTCAAAAACCCCTTTTCGCGGGGATACCGTACACACAAACACGCCCCTCTTTTCGCTGCGAGATATCGCTATTTGTAAAATCGGTGCGCCTTTATTTTAATCGATTTTTTTTTGTTTTTCGCGCAAAACCGACGTTTTTCTCGAAGAACTATAGTATTTCTAGTCATACATCGATGATTTTTGACACAAACGACATCTGGAGATAGTTGGTGAGTCTTTTTTTGTAGAATTTCCCATGAAAAATCATGATTTTCAGGAATTCCGCCAAAATCAACCGGATTTGCGCAAATTTCGATGAATCTTCGCCGAATCCGTTCAATATGATTGACAACAGCTTCAACTGGTCCAACTTCGTCACAAGGAGCAACTCTTCATGATCTTGGTGTGAATTTTGATTTGAATTTTCAAGAAAAAATGAAGATTTTCAGATTTACCGGCAACAATTTTGGGAATTTCGCCGCTAGTTCGCCCAAACTTTGCATTTTCGTTATTTGGCTGTTAATCAACATGAATAAACATTTAATAACACATTTGAATAATAAAAACTTCAAATACTCTAATTATTAACACAAAAATTACATTTATTTCAAATTAAATGTTGTTTTCCTCGATTTTTCGCTGAGAATTTGACAAAGTTGGACCAGTTGAAGCTGTTGTCAATCATATTGAACGGATTCGGCGAAGATTCATCGAAATTTGCGCAAATCCGGTTGATTTTGGCGGAATTCCTAAAAATCATGATTTTTCATGGGAAATTCTACAAAAAAGACTCACCAACTATCTCCAGATGTCGTTTGTGTCAAAAATCATCGATGTATGACTAGAAATACTATAGTTCTTCGAGAAAAACGTCGGTTTTGCGCGAAAATCAAAAAAAAATCGATTAAAATAAAGGCGCACCGATTTTACAAATAGCGATATCTCGCAGCGAAAAGAGGGGCGTGTTTGTGTGTACGGTATCCCCGCGAAAAGGGGTTTTTGAATTTATTTTCTCGTTTTGGTGCCAGCCATTTTGACGTTGATAATATTAGTAAAACAATTCGCAGCTTGTTCACTAATTTTCTGAATTTGTTTATTCGAATTGGCGCATCTTCGACTTGAGAAATTTATTAGATCATTTCCAATAATATTCCAATGCTTTTGTAATGTTTTGTCAATTACAATTGGTTTTCTGAAGAAAAAAGTGAAATTTTTTGTGATCAAAAACTTTAAGGTTTCAAAATTTCAATAAATCTTGTTTTCTGAGCTACCGTAACTCTATGAAAATATTAAAGGAACATCTGAAATGTAAATTTTCCAATCATAAATCATTCCCCCTGTAAGTCATCCTGGTTATTCAACAATTTCGCATCACCCTAACGCGGAGATGCACTTTTTTGCATTCTCTTTATTTACACAGCACCCTGTCAGTCGTCTCCCAAAAAGAAAGAAACAAACAAATAGGGAACGCGCGGACAAAAAAACTCACTTGCTCAAATTCTTTTCTACTTCAGCTTTTTCATCAATTTCTTCTTCATCATCAGTTTCAGGAGCCTCTCCATCAAAAATCATCTCTAACTAAAAATAAAAAAAAAATTTAGAATAACTAGTAGATAAAAGGCTCTTATCTTATCAAAAATACCTGAAGTATACGTCTGAACTTTAGATATTCCCAAAAAACAACAAAAAATTATGCTTTTCGAACGTTTTATTAATTTTTTTGTATTTTTCCCATTTTTTGCAAAAAAAAACAAAATGTGTAAATTTCCAGTATAATACAAGTAGGATTGTGTGTGGAGGGGCTAAAACTGGGGGGCGAACACGTAAATTACGAGAAAAAGAGTCTCCAATGGGAGAAAAAATTGTTTAGCCCCGGGTAACAAAGAAAAATGAAAAAAATAAATAGGGGAAATATTATGATGTTGGAAAATGGATAAATATTTAGTAGGGAAGGATATAAAATGTGAAATGTACACGTAAAACACAAATCATAAGAGATTATTTCGAAAAAACAAAAATTGGTTGAAAAATTTTAAGAAAAAGAATCACCCGTAAATGCGTTAAAATTAAAGTTTTTCTTAAAATCAGGGAGAAACAAAAAAAGAAAAACTGGAAGAAAAAAAGGTGGATGAGATAGATGAGTTGATTTTTTTGGTGATTTTTGATATTATATAGGAAAAAAAAGAAGAAAAGAAAATGCTAAAGAGCATGAAAATGATTAAGAACATGTAAATCTTAACGAATATATGATCGGTTGCCAAATTCAGTCAACGCGGCGACAGCGAGTTTTTCTCGCTCCGAAAGTCGCGAGTATGCCAATGAGCTTGCCGAATTGTCAGCGAATTGGAAGACGTCGGTTGAAGTTGAGGGAGCGTCGAGAAGTTTTGTCATTTCTGGATCGGCGAGTTGATGGGGATCCTGGAAAAATGTTATGGGTTTTTTTAAAAGAATTAAATCCAGGATTTTGTGATACTAAAAAAATCTGTTAAAAATCCAGTTTCCTGAAATTTTAGAAAATCATTGGCTTGGAAGAAAAACTTCAACAAAAAAAGTTCCCAAATTTTTTCGAATTTTGAAAAAAAAATTTTTTCTCAAATTTCGATTTGTTAAAAAGAAGACATCTGAGTTTTAGATAAAATTCCAAGTTCAAAAAATTCAATGAAATTTTGGAAAATCATTGAATTGGATGAATATATTAGAATAATAAAAGATCCCAAAACTTTTTCAAAATTTCAAAATTTTGGTCAATTCCAAGAAGATTTTCCCAAGTTTTTTCTGAATTTTGATTTTTTGAAAATTAAATCTGAAGTTCAATAGGGAAAATTTAAAAACATGTTTTTAAATTTTAGGAAACCCACATTTTTCATAGTGGGGAATAAATCATAATGCTAGAAGTTTCAAAAAAAAAATCCCGATTCTCAAAAAAAAATGAAACCCAATTTTTTAATTTGCAAAAAAAATCTACCTTGAATGGTGGCGATCTCATTCGATCCAAATCATTTGGCGTAACATCCGCCGCTTTTTGTTGTTGCTCAAGCATTTGCAAATATGCTCTTGGCGATAATTCCGATTGTTCCGATATCTCACTATCCGAATTAATAATCGGACTTGCACTGATACTACTTCCACCCCATTGTTGCTGTTGCTGAAGCTCTTTCTGTTGTTGTTGGAATTGCGCAGCCTGTTGTTGAACTTGCGCCTGAACTTGCGACAATTGCTGATGAAGCAGATAGGTTTGAACTTGTTGCACAGCCGATCCAAGATTGATGTTTGCTCCGGATTGAAGTTGTTGTTGAAGGAAGATCATCAAAAGTTGCACATTTGGTTGTTGGAATGCAAGCAATTTCGCTTCTTGTTCAGCTTGATTTTGTGGATTTTCAGCCGATTGTTGTTGCTGTTGTGGTTGGGCAAAGAAAAGGGCGAGTTGGGCAAGTTCTTGTGATGCAACCATTTGTTGAACATTGTTGGATAGTGCGACCATGATTTTCTAAAACAAAAAATATATGAGTTATCCAATATTTTCAATTTTCAATTTTCAAATCACAAACCTCAAGAAAAGTCTTCTCCGCTTCTTTCTCCTCTCCTCCAATTTGTTGAGCTGGTGTTGCTGAAAAATATTTTTTTTTATCACAAACATTTTTTTGAGACAGAGAGACGATAAAAAATGGCTGACTGATTAAAAATGCCCTTTTATCATGAAGAGAAAAAAAGGAAAATGAAAGAGAGAGAGAATGGCAATAAATACGATTAGAAGAGTTGAAAAAATAGATTAGTCATTTTGACTACGGTACTCAAAAATGTGTGCATTTGTGCGTCGTGGTGTTTACACACTAGAAATTGTTTTCACACTGTGCCCTGAGCGCAACAATGGCCGAGTTTCCGATTAGTTCGGCCAGAACAAAAAATCTCGGCCATTCTTTTTTTCTGGGGAAAAAAACTTCTGAAACCAAATCTGGATTTTCTCATCGAATTATTTCCAAAAAGCTGAAGTTTTATACATCATTTGAAAGAGGAAGACCTATATTACATTGTTGTTAAAACATAATTTCAAATAATGTTCATTTGAACTCATGGTTTTCTGTCAAAACTTGCCCATGTATGAAACTTTGAGAGCGATAAATTCATGAAGTAGCTATCATTGTTAAGACTTTGATATTGGAATCTAACCAGCTTAACCTTCTCTACAAGATCTGTTACGAAAATTTTGGGAAAATTCATTTTTGGATGAAAAAAATTGAAAAATAGAAATTCACTTTTTTCAAACCCGTGTTTGAAAGCCGTTTCCAGAACTTTTTTGGGTGAATTTCATATCTCTGCGTTCTACTACTCTTCCTCTTTCTGATCATCATCTTACTTCTTCGAAATTCCGAGTTTCAAGCTTTTAAATTGCGGTTTTTATTCAAAAGTCAGTTTTCAGCGAGAGTGTGTGGGGTTGTGAAGAGACGCGAGAGAAAAAGAGACACACGAGAGAGTATGAGAAAAGGGTAGAGGCAAAACATTTTCTCTGCTGTCGCGTTCCGGGCACAGTGTTTTCAGCGTGCGCGCATTTTCAACGCATTTTCAGCATGTTAGAGGCATTTTCAGAGAAATCTGAATACATCATCTGATTCGTCTCATCGAGATGAATCAGGAAAACTATTTCCTAGCTTCTGAATTCTGAATTCAAATCTTGCAAGCTCTAAATACAAAATTAAAGACTGATACTTTACAACAGCAGACAAAAAAAAAACAAGTCGTCTCTAAAGTGCAAATGCACTGTTGTTTTTCGCAAAAAAATCTACACTTTCAGAGGCCAAAGAATTATATTTCGCTTGTTTTTGGAGAGAAAAACGAGCGAAATGAAATGGTGTGCGCCAAGGACGGAAAAAAAATGGGATGGCAGGTGTTTTTGTCTCTTTTTCTTAATAATTCCTTAGAGACAGATGGTTTCGCGCGTTTAAAGGCGCAGGTGGTTTTTGGTTTTGGTGTAGTAAAGAAAAATCGATCGCAACAAAAATTTCGAAGTTACCCAAACCTAGGGTTTCAATCAATCAAAAAACAAACAAAAAACTTTCGCCGCAACAAAAAAAAGAAGAAGAAAGTGCAGCAGACAAAAAAATGAACGAAAAAACCAGAATTGATGAAAAACCTCCTAGGGGAGAAAGAGAGAAAAAGAACATTTATTATTATAATTCGAATTGGATAAGAAAGAAAAAGATTGAAAATCGTTGAGAAACAAAGGCGATAGCTTAGATTTTGGTTCAAAATTCGAAAAGTCGTGAAATCAAGTGCGCGGTGTATGCAGACAAATTAATCAACAGTACTCCTTCAAAAAAACTTTTGCTAAAAAAGGTGACACAAAAATTCAAGTTCGCTCTATCGCACACATAATTTATTTGTGTTTTTTTTTAATTTTCATTAAAAAATTTCACTCTCCACCCCAAGGCCGCAAAGAAAAAAGAAATACGAAAAATTTCGAAAATCATCTTCATTTTTTTGCCATTGGCAAAAAAAACGAGTGAGAGAGAGAGAGAGAGAAGAGACGCAGAGAGAACATGTAAAAGTTGCGAAATTTTCTTTATCTGACACGCGTATTTGTTGCGCAAGTCAAGGTCAACAACACTTTGGGTTGAAAAAATATACATGAATAAAAATTTCCAAGGTTTTTGGGAGCGCGCCAAAAACTATACTTTTAAAATTATTATTATAATGATGATTAATAAGTAAATGACACACCTCAATTTCTCTGCGTCTCTCAATCACTAATCACTGAGAGAGTATAGGAAAGGTGAGAGACGCAGAGAAAGAGCAAACAGGGGAGAGAGAGACTAAAATGAGGATTGTTTATATTTAACAAGAAGAATAATATTGGTAATAATCAGTAAGTTAGAGAGAAAAAGAAATGATATCACACAGAAAAGTGTTCATTTCTTCTCACATGACCTGCCTGTTGAGAACAAAATAAAAAAAAATATTGAGATAAAAAACTGGCGATTGTGAAATTTTAGTGTGTCAAATAAATTGTTGAACAAAGGAAAAAAGGACAGACTTTGTTAGATAAATGGGATTTTCGAGGGAGGCAAAAAAAAACAAAAAAAAAAACTAGACAGGTGGTCCTTTTATGTAAATTACATGTTTCACTTCGATCTATCTTTGAAACGTATCGTGAAAGGGAAAATATTTGGGGAGGGACACGGTTTGAGGAACTTTGAGAATTTTCTAGAAAAGGAAAAGCTCGGAGCAAAAAAAAAATGAAATATAAATTTTTCGAAAAGTTTAAGAAAATTGAATTTTATTTCCATCTAATTTTCAGACATGCGGAAAACCAAAAAAAACCTCTATCCAGAATTTCGGGCTAAAATCTGAGGGTTTTGGGCTGAAAATCTTAACTTTAGTTTCCAGACAAATTAACTTATTTTCAAATTTTTCAGAGTCGGAATCATACATGTTTTTCTCCCTGGATCGACCCCTACAGTTAGCGAGACCTCAAATAAAAATTTTCAAAGTTAGTAAGACCGTTAGTGTGGGGGGCAAAAGCCTCCCACACTAAAAAAAATTTTATTTTTTTTTCGAAAAAAATTGAAAAATTTTGCAACACGTTTCCAGTATGTGAACTCGAACCCTATGGTAGCTACCATTGGGTCCCTAACTCAGCGCTCTACCACTGCGCTATGTGTGCCCACATAACCCGCATGCTGTTTTTCTCATTTGAATAGGATGCGTTTGAGAGATAGAAAAAACACAAACAGTAAATTACATTGTTGTATTTTACATTCAATTATTCAAAAAAATATAGAAGAAAATCATGGATTGAATTGTAAATTGAAATACGAATTCTTTAGATCTTATACAACAATATAAAAGCTTATCTTCAATGAATAAATACGATAAAATACTTTTTTCCATTCGAAAATGTTGAAAATTGGTTATTACCAGAAAACTCAAAACCTAGAAAAGTATGTCAAAATTAATATTTTCACTTGAAAATTTGCACAGTGTGTCTAGAGGTCCTATTGAGGTATATTGAACTATGAAGTTGATAAATAATGCTGCATGGGGAAAATAGTTGAGACCACTGGATTTTATCCAGGGTTAGCCTGGATTTTATCCAGAATTTTATATAAGTGCCCGGCGGTCTCAGTAGACCTTTCAGAAAGGGCATTTATTCTGGATAATAATTAAGAATAGACCTTGTAACATAACCTAGAACGATTTTCAGATGCTAAAATCAATTTTGGTTTAACACTTTATGATGATAGAAGTGGTGTATTGATGAAAAAAGTAGATTTTCGATAGTTTTTGGGCCGGCGGTCTCAGTAGACTTCTTAGAAAGGGGTTTTATTTTGCATAATACCTAAGAGGGGACCTTGTAACATAACCTAGAATGATTTTCAGATACAAAAACCAAATTTCGTTCAACACTTTATGATGATAAAAGTGGTGTATTGATGAAAAAAGTAGATTTTCGATAGTTTTTGGGCCGGCGGTCTCAGTAGACTTCTTAGAAAGTGTAGTTATTTTGCATAATACCTTTGAGTAGACTTTGTGACATAACTTGGAAAGATTTTCAGATGCAAAAATCAATTTTCGTTAACACTTTATTATGTTAAGAGTGGTGTATTGTTGAAAAAAGTATATTTTTGAGAGTTTTTGGTTCGGCGGTCTCACTAGATCTTTCAGAAAAAGCATTTATTTTGGATAATGAGTAAGAGTGGACCTTGTGACATAATCTAGAGCAATTTTGAAATCGAAAAATTATTTCATGTTCAAAACTTTATGATGATAACTAATTAAAAATATTTTCAAAAAAATCTATTTTCAAAAAAAAAGTTAGTAGGACCTCAAATTTTTTTCGGAGTTAGTAAGACCGCAACCCTGGATAAATCCAGGGGTAAAACATGTATGGTCGGAATCAAACCAAAATCCGCAGCAAAATTCATAAAATTTTAAAAATTTCTAAAAATTTTACAAATTTCTTTGGAAACTTGAAAAAAAAATCTCAGAAATTAACTTTAAATTTCAGACAACAACAACATAAAATAAAATTTTCTCTGAACTTCTAGAGTTCGGATAAAAATTAACAAAAATCCGTAGAGAAATTCAAGAGATCTAAAAATTTCTAGAAATTTTACAACTTCAAAATTGACCAAAATCAACATTTCTACACAAAGAACACCACACCGCAAAAAATCTGAATCTAGAACAAAGCGTATATAAACACAGAAAGATCGAAAGAAAATAGAAGAGAGAGAGATAGACTAATAAACCAGACTATTGGTCATTTCTGCGGTTTTTCGTCCCATTTGAGTGGTGGCTGTCGGCCTATATCTAAATATAAATATAATAGACATCACATCACATCGCTTGGTTCAAAATACCAGATGGCCCCCCTAATAATTTTTAGAGCATCTCTTCTTTGACCCCGTCAGAGCACAAAAAGGTGTTACCAAGTCTAGACAAATCTCTTCTTCTAAAAATGAAATGAGAAAATGAAAAGCGGCAAAATCCGCGCGGCTCGAGAATAATTACTACGGCTGTTCATTTTCTTTATTAATTTTCTAGAGCTTGTTTGCACCTGCCAACAGCCCCCTTCAAAACTATAATTATAGTATTAGCGCGCGCATAAATTTGTTATGAGATAGGGGAAATTGAAAAATAGAGCAGGGGTGGATGTTCAAACTATAAACATTTTTTTTGACACTTTCCAAAAGGTTCAGCTAATTCTAAACTTCAAAAAAATTAATTGAAGGAAATTAGAAGATGGTTCAAACTACATACTTTCAGAGATCAAAAAAATATCAGAAAACAACTTCTAAGGAGCTCAAGCTCAAGATCAAAGTATCAAGATTTTTTTTTGGAAATTAAAAAAATAATATTCAAAATTCAGGGTTCAAACTACATACCTTCAGATATCAAAGTATCAAGATTTTTTTGGAAATTCAAAAATTCAAATTCAAAAATTTTTTTTCGAATTTTTTCTACAAATTCAAAATTTTCACAAATTTCCAAATAAAAGTTTACAATAAAACTACAAAGAGGATTATATTTATATTGTGGGTCGGGTCGGGTCGGGAAACTATTTGTATTTGTGACCCAAATGAACACAGAAAAATGCATTAACATAAAAATAGCCAAATCTACATATATGTTACTTCTCAAAAAAATATTTCGCGCGCGGGAAAATCAAGAGATGTTCCCTTAATGTAGAAAAATTGTACAACTCGCCAAGAACATCAAAAAACGAATCAATAAGCAAAGAGGAAAAAAAATCGTATCCTTCTCGTTTTTTTTTCGCTTCGCTTCGCGGCCCAACCAACCAACGGAAATAGTGTGTGGCGGATGGAGAGAGCGCCAGAGAAAAGTGACCAATCGTGTCGAGCGGCGGCGCCGCGCCAAAACGAGATAGTGTGCGAGAGGAGGAGAACGCGCAGAGAGAACACAGAGTAAAAATAGAAAAAGAATAAGAATATTCAAAATATGAGTAACTTTGTCTAATTAATGAAAAAATGCTGAGAAAAAAAAAAAGAAAAAATCAGAAAAAATGAAAGAAAAGAGACTAACCTTGTGTGAAATCGACAATTTGTGGGCTGACAGCAGATGCCTGCAAAGAAGAAAATGAAAAAAAACGTTTTTCATTATTACAAAAAAATGTTTCTAGGAGGGTCAAAGTTCAGGGATAAAATTTTTGTTGCGTTGGCCGAACTCCCGACATTTCTCGGCCACCAAAATAAGTTCGGCCACATATTATCGAAAACTAGTATTCTCCCTGGGAAAAGCAAAGCTTGAAACACTCTCAGGGTTCCCAATGTTCATACATTTAACGTGTCCCTTTTAAAATCCGGGGGGGGGGAGGGGTTCCCATTTTTAAAAATCCCCAAAAAATACAGTAGGCGAGCAGCGTGTTTTCTATTCTGCAGCGCCTTTTCGCGTCAGCGCGTAAGATTAAATGTTTGCGGACCAGTTGGTGTTGACACACACTTTTAATTTTTTCGTTCTTTCTTTAGGTTTGGGATCTCATCGGTACCACGCGCTCCACCGAAATAAACACGCACCGCAGACCGCGCCGCGCCGCGCCGCGCCACAACACACACACACACAAAAGGGAGGGAATTTGAATCGTTCCCTGATTTGTGTGTGTTATAGCGCGGCGCGGTCTGCGTTGCGTGTTTATTTCGGTGGGGCGCGTGGTACCGATAAGATTTTCGATAATATTTTTTTTTGAATATTGAATATAATGACAATTTTGAAAATAAAAAAACACATCAGCATGGCCGAGTGGTTTACAGGGCTGCCTACTATTTGCAAAACCCGGGTTCGACCCCACTCGCTGACCTAATTTTTGATTTTTTCCCAAATCCCAAACTCACCTCATTGACAATTTGTTGCAATCCACCAGAAGTTGCCATAATTGTAACCGGCGAGGCTTGTCCTCCCTTCTTCGGCTTATTCTTCGATTGTTTTCTTCGCCGATTCGCAAAAAATCGGGTGACTCGATCAACGCTGATGTTCATTTCAGCGGCCAGGCGATTTTTCTCATCGCGAGATGGGTAGAGATTTCCGCCGTTGGCAGCGAGGTACTGCAAAATGGTTCAAAATTGAAAAGCGAAAAAAAGAAGAAAAATAAAAAAGAAAACAACGAGACTCCGCGTTGACGACAACGCGCGTGGTTTGAATTTATTTTATTTTTCGCTTTCATGAAAATTCACCTTATCAAGCCACGCATTATAATGCTTATTTCTAGTTTTCTCGCTCGAAATCGCCGACGCAACACTCAATTCATAATCCATCGGATCGACAGTCACATCTGGATTTGTGACATGTGACAATGTTGGTGAGAGAAGCATTGTTGGCGCATATTCGGGTGAGTTGGTTAGCACCGAAACCGATAGATTTTCATGATGATCATTTTCGAGAAGTGATCTTTCAACTTCGAGAATCGCATCACTGACAACTTGTTCCACAATGTTCGAGATTTCCGAGTCTGATTCGGCCATTCTGAAACAATAAGTGAGTGTTTTCAAAAAAAAAAGAAGATGATAATGAAAAAACGAAAGAAACTTTTTTCAAATAAAAATGATGCAAATGAAAACGAGAAGCTACTTGTTAATTAGAGCACACATTTGTTAAAATAAAAATAAAATGCAAAAAATTTGATGAAAAGAGTTTTATACTTAATTGTCTTATTATAGAATACTGTAGATTTTGAATTTGAAAAGAGTGAGAGTGAGACGAAGAGAGACGCAGAGAAAGATGATTCAGAGAAAATTTGAAAGATCAAAGAAATATTAAATGACACATCAATGAGAGATCAGGGAAAAAGTAAAAATGAGAAATGCTTTTGAAACGTGGTTTCACGTGAAAGTTTACGTGAAAAAATTTAGAAATGTAAATTTTTTCCCTGTTGTGTATTTAGCTGCTCCCAACTGCTGCAATGGGTGTACGGTTTTTCGATTTTTCCTGGAGGTACTACGAGAAAAAAAATCGACTAGAATTCATGAAACTCCTTATTTCCATAGATTTGAACACGCTGATCACGAATATGTAATCAGTTTTCAAAATGGTTCAGTAGTTTTTTTGCATTTTGATGCATTCTGTCTCAAACCCATTGCAGCAGTTTGTTCTTTTGTGGGTCGACGTGTTAGACGTAGACACGAAAAGCTTGTATATTTCAAAGGAACATGAAACATCGCTTCAAGACCCAAAACAACATTTGAAAGAAAGGATTACGGTAACAGTTGTTCATCTGTGTCTTTTTTTGAAGTCAGAGAAATTATTAAAATTTGAATTTGAAAGCAACAATCGAGAGACGCAGACAGCGAAAGATTTTGTATTAGAGGGCGACCGCAACGCACACGCGTCGCTTACAGCAACATTTCATTTTACAACAACATCAAAAAGATGGAGTGTTGAAATATCTAAGAGATATAATATTGCTACAGTAAATGTCTGCGACTCTTCACGTAACACACTCTCTCGTCGCTTTTTTGTACAAAAACAAATCAGAGACGCAGAAAAAGGCACCACAAAATCTTCTGCATTGAAAAAGTGCAGATTGTGTTTCGAAACAACACTGTCTCTTGTTTATTCCATTCCGTCTACTAAAAAACCACGAGACGCGAAAAATAAAAACGAAAAGGAAAAAGAAGAAGAAGAACACGTTGCAGAAACACACATTATTGCGAAATACATTTTTTTACGAAAAAATAAAAATAACAAAAACTAGATAGCTATGATGTGCACAATGAAATTGAGCAGAATTTTAATTAAATCCAATCCAAAAAATCCGTGTTTATTGGATTTTTGGTGGAAGAAAAGGAGAAATGAAAAGATTTTTTGGGATAAAAGTACGAATAAAGGGTATTTTGTTTGGAAATTCAGCACCATGTGTCAGACGCAAAAGAAATTTTGAATTAAAAATGCAAGAAGAAAAATTTGAAATTTCAAGGTCACGTGGGCTTTTTTTTTAGCTTGAGACTTTAGAAAAGTGTGATCAGCTTTTGGTAGATCAAAAATCTCTTCTGATCTACTCGTGTCACAAATTTCAACCTTTCAGGGTTGATTCACGAACGAAAAAAAATGTTTAAAATGTTTTTTTAACATCGAAAGATCAATTCACAAAAAGAAAAAAATGTCGAAAAAAACATAGTAGGTCAAAATTAGTTTTTCGAGTTTTTCAGCCAAAAATAATGACAAATCGATATTTTTAAGCTTCTGGAGTAATTTCTGATGAAAATTGACCTTGGAATTAACTTTCCAGAAGGTTTTGCTGATTTTTCGTAAAATAAAAATTTAAAATTTTGATGAATTTCAAAAAATTCATAAAATAAAGCAAAATAGAATTTCTCGAAGTTTATTTTCATCAGAAAACACTCCTAAAGCTTGAAAAATATTGATTTGTCATCATTTTTGATTGAAAAACTCGAAAAACTAATTTTGACCTACAATGTTTTTTCGAAATTTTTTGACTTTTCGTGAACTGATCTTTCGATGTTAAAAAAAAACATTTTTAAACATTTTTTCTTCGTTCGAAAATTAAAAAAGTTCGTGAATCAGGCCTAGAGAAAAATTGGCTGAAGTGTTATGTTTTGATCTACAAAATCCGAAAATTCCAAAAAAGTGCCAAACATCTCAATGTCTACCCAGATGTTTGTATAGAATTTGATAAATCATCTCATCTTCAAAAAGAGCACACAAACAACAGCACAAAAAAAATCGGAACACACACACAAAATGTGTGTGCCCGGCCAGCAAAAAAATGAAGACGAAGAAGACTCGCCAACCAGGCAGGCAGCCGCAGCAAAAAAAAATAGAAGGAAAAGAAAAGAGCGGTCGGTCGGCTGAGTGAATGGCCAAGGCATTCACTTCTACTACTACTCTCCACATCTTTCACAATAATAACACGAAGGCGCCGCGACTTTTTTTTCTTCTGCAGGCGAAGAAGAAAAAACGGGGCGCGAGAGAGGACAAAAAGAGGGCATAGAACGAAGGAACGAGACAAAAAAAAACACATAGATATGCGCGAAAATGTGTGTGTAAAAAACAGAGTTGTATACATGTTTTTGGAGTAAAAAGAGAAAAATAGCTGGACAAGCCATTGACAATGAGAGGAGGTGTCTGAGACTCTCAAACCTGCATACTATTTTTTTTCAGAATCTGGGAAAGTCAAAAAGAGAAGATCAAAATTTGGCGGGTAGATCAAATTAATAAATTCAAAATGTGGCTTGAAATTTAGCTCTGGTTCAGGCTCTGGAGCTTTCTGGAAATCTGGAAATTCGAAAAATTTTCTCTGAAAGTATGACAAAAAATAATTTGAACACATATAATCTTTAGGTAATCTAATTTTTGTCAGAATGATATTTTCTGTTCAGAATTTTTAGAAATATCATATTCTCCGGGAAAAAATTAGAAATCTGCCACGTGGCACAATTCTCGATTAGAAAAATTGAAATTTAAAAATCAAATTTTCATCGTGAAAAATTTGAATTTTTTACCAAAGCTTCAAAGTTTTTTAGAGAAGAATTTTTTTTCTGAAAAAATTTTTTGATCTAAAATTTAAAGTTTTCAGACAAACTTCAGTCTAAAAACTGCAAAAACATTCACCGGAAAGACCCAATTGGAACTTTTATAGAGTTAGCCTAAAACAGGCTCCGCCCCATTTTCTTGATACTTTGATCTACGAAAATAAATATTCATATATATACAAAGAAATACATTTTTTGAAACCTATAATTTTCAGGCACCGCAAAAACTAATAACAATTCGAATAATATTTTTGGGGGGAGAAAAAGAAAAAGAGCACAGCGAAAATGATAAAAACGGAGCAGTGCCAGGTAGACAACAAAAAAAGACAACTAGAAGTCGATAATTTCCATAGAAACCAGCAGCCCTGCTTTGTACTACAAGAAATGTGTCAGAGGAAATTTATGGATATATAAATTTATTTTTGTCTGGAGAAAAAGAAGAACAAAGGTTTGCGGTGTGAGTAAAAAAATGCACTTTTATATGATCAACAAAGAGACCTGGGAGAGGAAAAATAAGGAATCGTAAATATTTATAAACATGTGGAAGTATCAGATGTCTAGGAATACGGTAGATCTAGGAATACGAATAATAAAAGACTAGAAGGACTGACTGCTTCAGAAAATCATTCTCAAGGCGCGGCTGCTTGATAGAACAATCCAGAAGGGGTGACTGCTTGAGAGAATGATTCCCAAGGCGCGGCTGCTTGACATCACAATCTAGAAAGGCTGGTTGCTTGAGAAAACAACTCTCAAGGCGCGGCTGCTTGCTGACATAATCTAGAAGGGCTTGCTGCTTGAGACAGCGATTTTCAAGGCGCGGCTCTTTGACAGCACATTCTAGAAGGGCTGGCTGCTTCAAAATGAAATCTAGAAGGATTTCCAGCCCGCCCACCTCTTCCACAAATAAATTTTAATCATATAATTCCATCCGCCGACCACCAAGCTATTCAAAAATGCGCGCTCATACTGCATTATCCTCGGAATGTTGCTGTTTCTGTTTCTATTTCAAAAGCCCAGCTTCTTCCTCTTTTTCTTTTTCTTCATAAGTAGATATGTATTTTCAGCGTGCTGCCCAGCACATTTTTTGGAAAGGCAGGTGGAAAAAGGAAAAAAAGGGAACATTATTGAAACAAACACAATTAATCTGTGAACATTTAGAAAATCAACACATATGATGATAAAAACTGAAAGATATGATGACATGAAAAACATTCCATGGTTTTTGAACTTTTTGGCTGCAAAGGGTCTTCAGAAAAATTGTTGCCGAAACTAAATAAAAGTTGAAAATGAAAAAAAAAATAGAAAATGCCACGTTTCACGTCACGTCACGTGAGAATATTGATTTAACAAGTAAACTATTTTAAAAATCAGTTGGAAGAGAAAACCAAATGTACAGTAAAATGTGTCGGCTGCTTTGATCTTTTGTACCGGAAGAGGAAATGTTTGGTTTTTTAGGCCATATCGGTTTTCCTTCAAAACAACAAAGGGATTCTAGAAAAACGCCAGCAAAATTCTGAAGCCACGAAGCTATGTGATCAAAAATAAAAATTTCGGATCGGAAAAGCTGCAGAAATAAAAATGGAAAGACCTCATTAAAATTTTTTTGAATATGGGTCTCTAAATTCCCTTTTTTGTGCCCTAAAACTAGCAAGAAAAATCTGAAAATCCTGCCCAGAAACTCACAAATTTCGATTTTCTCACATTTCAAGCGACCAGTTCTCCAAGAATATAAAATCAGAAATGATCCAAATCCCACGCGGACTTTTTTAAATTTAATTTTTTTTTGTCATAAAACATGTCCATCTTTTTTTTGGATACCAAAAACTACATTTTTTGTTGTTGGCGCGTAATCATATTTATTTGAAATTCAAAAGAAGAGTTTTTTTTTTTGCTTTTTCTTCTTTTCACATTTCTCCTTTCTCCAAAAATGTCATACACATTCTGGCTAAAACTTCTACTACTAGCCTATTTCATTCGAATAGTCCGAACTTCAGACTCAGAAATAATCCTAAAATGCGATCGCCCACAAAAAACACCAGCTCAAATTCTCGATGTTATAATGGCGAATTACACGCGAAGTTTGCCGAGTCGAACACCGGTTCCAGTTCAAGTTGAAGTATTATCAACGTCAAAATGGCTGGCACCAAAACGAGAAAATAAATTCAAAAACCCCTTTTCGCGGGGATACCGTACACACAAACACGCCCCTCTTTTCGCTGCGAGATATCGCTATTTGTAAAATCGGTGCGCCTTTATTTTAATCGATTTTTTTGATTTTCGCGCAAAACCGACGTTTTTCTCGAAGAACTATAGTATTTCTAGTCATACATCGATGATTTTTGACACAAACGACATCTGGAGATAGTTGGTGAGTCTTTTTTTGTAGAATTTCCCATGAAAAATCATGATTTTTAGGAATTCCGCCAAAATCAACCGGATTTGCGCAAATTTCGATGAATCTTCGCCGAATCCGTTCAATATGATTGACAACAGCTTCAACTGGTCCAACTTTGTCAAATTCTCAGCGAAAAATCGAGGAAAACAACATTTAATTTGAAATAAATGTAATTTTTGTGTTAATAATTAGAGTATTTGAAGTTTTTATTATTCAAATGTGTTATTAAATGTTTATTCATGTTGATTAACAGCCAAATAACGAAAATGCAAAGTTTGGGCGAACTAGCGGCGAAATTCCCAAAATTGTTGCCGGTAAATCTGAAAATCTTCATTTTTTCTTGAAAATTCAAATCAAAATTCACACCAAGATCATGAAGAGTTGCTCCTTGTGACGAAGTTGGACCAGTTGAAGCTGTTGTCAATCATATTGAACGGATTCGGCGAAGATTCATCGAAATTTGCGCAAATCCGGTTGATTTTGGCGGAATTCCTGAAAATCATGATTTTTCATGGGAAATTCTACAAAAAAAGACTCACCAACTATCTCCAGATGTCGTTTGTGTCAAAAATCATCGATGTATGACTAGAAATACTATAGTTCTTCGAGAAAAACGTCGGTTTTGCGCGAAAAACAAAAAAAAATCGATTAAAATAAAGGCGCACCGATTTTACAAATAGCGATATCTCGCAGCGAAAAGAGGGGCGTGTTTGTGTGTACGGTATCCCCGCGAAAAGGGGTTTTTGAATTTATTTTCTCGTTTTGGTGCCAGCCATTTTGACGTTGATAATAACTGTTCAAGATGTTATGGAATTATCGGTGCTGAGTAACAGTTTTACAGCGGATATTTGGTTTAGTTCGATTTGGTATGATGAAAGACTTGCTTTTGAGCATTTAGATGAATGCCGGCAGAATTTATCATTTGATGATCGATTTGAAAAGGTAAAAATGGGATAAAAGCATGTATTGAATTTGCTTAGGCTTACAATTAGTTAGGATTTTTTGTTTAGGCTTAGGCTTAGGCCTAGTTGTGGTTTTTAGGCCTAAAAACTCCAACTTGGACTAAGCCTAACCTAACTAAGCCTAAGCTAAACCGAAAGATTAGGTACCATTTAGATAGTAGAAATTTCACTTACCAAATGTTTCCTCCCAAAAGTTCCTTTCCAGCTAATCTGGTCACCAAATGTTTGTATAGTCAATACAAAATCTGCACACGTTCATCGATCTCCAAAACCAAATGTTCTCCTGATGCTCCTCCCGAATGGCACAGTTTGGCTGAATTATCGAGTAAAAATTGCGTTTTCACATACTTAGAAATATGGAATTTTGTGTTTAGATTCGTGTACAATCGCCGTGCGAAATGAATTTGGAGCGATTTCCCATTGACACTCAATATTGTGAACTTGTTTTTGAGAGTTATTCATACAATACAGCAAGTGTGTCGGTTCAATGGATGGAGCATAATCCAATTACAGTGTTGCCTGAAATTTCGCTGGCTGATTTTGATTTGTCAAGACTCCGGACATCTAGGCATACAGAGGTTGGTTGAGAAACGGTAAAAGGACCACCATGACTTGAAAATGACATTTAGGGTGGCGAAAATAATGCAATATGTATTATTAATAATACAATATTTTTTATAAATTAAAAGGCGAAAATCCTATAATCAAAATTTTTTTAGTGTTAGCCTAATTAGGTGAAAACTTTTCTCAAGAATTTCCCATCTTTTGCCTCAAAGATTTTGAAAGAATGAAGAATTTTAGCATTTTTTGTGAAAAAAACGAAAAATGTTGCACAAAAATCACAAACAAACGTCGTGCTGTCTGGCGTCTCCCTTACTCGCTTCTATCTCTCATTTTCTCTCCTCCTCTCCTCGTCTCTTCTAGACGCAATACTCTCTCGTTTATTTTTCAAAGTTTTTCGGTTTTTTCGTGAAATCAGGAAGTTTCACGATTTTTATCGAGAACATCATACATGAGAAGATAGAGAAGGGTAAGACAGAGATAGAAAAATAAAAATAGAATTGTGAAATTTAACATTTTTTTTCCGAAAAAACTGAAAATTCGAAAAAAAATGCATTTTGAGACTACATTCACAGGTGGATGGAGTGTGACCCACGGCGGACCCACCGAGGACCAATGTGGAAAATTCACCCACGGTGGATACGTGGTGGGTCCGCTGTGGGTGAGATTTTGGGAGAATTCCATAAAAAACTGTTAAATGAACTAAATGTATTTTTAAGAGTTCCGCTATGCCTCGGATGGTGTAAAAAGAGATTATATTGTCTATAGAATCATTTTTCAGTTCTTACTCACTTACAAGGGTGAAGACACACATTTGTATAGCGGAGGACCAAAATAAAATGTTATGAAACATGAAAACTAGTTCTAAAACTCTATAGATTTGATCAGATGCACTAAATAATTCATTTTCTACTGTTCTCATCTCTTTTTTGAACTTTAAAGCGTTGCTTCCATAATTTTATGAATTTTTGCAGAATGTTGGGGTACTGTAGTTCGAGATGTGTGCAGTGGCATTTAATCTGACGCGCACTTATTTTTATTTTTTCGTTTTTTTGGGCCAAACGTTTTTTATGTATTTTTGGTGTTTTTTGCGGATTTTCCCATCATCTGCTCATGGTTGTAGTACTAAATGATATTTAAAGTAGTCCTTATATAGTTTCAGAAGTAAAAAGTATGTAAAAGTAGCAAATTTTAGGATATTAGGGGACAATATTCCATTTTTTTCAATTAAATTATTTTCACCGAATACTCTGTTAAAACCAAGGTTTTCTTGATTTTTATTCTACATTCGTCCTTTTACCATTAACTTTGGCACAATTTTGTAGATTCATAGTTCGTGACTTTGTCTACAACGAGGAACTGCTGAGAGCCGGAAAAACAGAAGAAAAAATGGAATAAATTGTATATTCAGATGGATCTGCTGGTAGACCACTTGATGTAAGTTTGAATAAACGACTTTTGAAATATACTTTTTCAATTATTTATTTCATTCCAGACATTGGAAGATTCACCAGCTCTCCTGTCACTTGGACTCAACATCTTCTCGGCTTCCAGTATTTAGAACTAATGGTAAGGATTCAACATTCTAACAATGTCATATATTTATCAGTTATATATTTTTCAGGCAGTGTTATCTCCGCCTGGACCGACTTGGATGAATTTTGGAAGTCTAGCGTTCACCAAGAACATAAATCACCGACTTCGCTCAATATGGTCAATATTTTTTAGGTCAGTTTTTTTTTGTAATCTATGAATAAAAGAAGTGATAAAGTACCTGCAAACTACTGTTTAATCGGAAGTTTTCAGAGAAAGAGATAACACTTTACTATGCCGATCTACTGATCAACTTATGGCAGAAAAATGTCACTTCATTCATAAAAAAACTCTGACAAAATTTTCAAAACTCTGATCTAAAACCCTAAACCCAACTCTTCAATCCAAAACTACAGTTCGCGCACCTTATATAATTCTTACAGATATTGCCAACTCGCAAAAACAGCGAACGAGGATATGGACAGAGCGAGACGTTAGGTAATCAGGATTATGCAACTCTGGCTCCCGAAATGCAACCAGGAAATCAATAAATTGTTATTTATTCTCTGGCTTTTTGTTAAATGAGAATAAATATGTTTTTTATTGAGAATAAATCATATTTTTTGGGTAGTAAAGGGAAAGGGAAGTAACAAATAATCTAAACCCACCGCCGACCCACGGTGGGTGAGGCCGTTGGTGCACCAGTAGTCCACGGCGGATGAAATCGCCGTGGATCCTCGGTGGGTCCGCCGTGGGTCACACTCCATCCACCTGTGTTACCTCATTTTTGTCAGCCTAATTGATTTTCCTAGGTTTACAAAGCTGGAGAATGGTATCGTTTAACAGTCGAACTCGAATTCACGCGAAACTACGGCTTCTACATTCTCCAATTATACGTCCCTACATACATCAGCCTCTTTATTTCCTGGATTGCATTTTGTATTGATACAAAAGCCCTACCAGCTCGAATTGTTCTTGGAGTCAACTCATTAATGTCATTAACATTCCAATTCGGTAATATAATTCGATCACTTCCACCAGTTTCATATGTCAAAGCGATTGATTTATGGATGTGCACATGTGTTGGTTTCATTTTTGCCTCATTATTAGAGCTCGCTTTTGTTGCTTATCAGGTAACAAAAATGGGATGGGTTGTTTACATTCATAATTTGTCAGCAACTATGTATTTGAACTTTGAACTCTACTTGATTTTGATCAGGAATTGAAATGTTCACAATTCCGGTTAAATTATGAATGTAAAAACTGGCGCGAAAATTTGAATTTTTAAAAGTTTCTTTGAAAAGCGGCGTCGCGGTCGGGAAGCAAAGGGGAAAATTGATCATTGACCGCGACGCATAGCCGCACGCGACTGATGAAGTAATGTTTTTCATTAACTGATTTGTACGCCATCCACATTTTCAACTTCGCCAATAACGTCTAAAATTATGACTGTAAAATGAGCCCGCGAAAATTTGAAATTTTCAGGACAAAAAACTCTCCCTAAAATCCGGCAAATCCAACGCAGCAATCCGTGCAATCGTAAACTTCATGAAATCCTACCAACCCTACCAAGATCCAGAAATAATCGAAGAAGACCGCAAAACATCTCAAAACACTTCTTGTTTTTCCGATTCTCGAAGTGATTTGAAAGGTTTGGACACTCAAGACTTGGAAGAAGAGATTGCAGAATATTCGAAAATCGCGTATGCCAAGAAGAAATTTCGATTAATGGATTTTGGATCGCGTGTTGATCGCCTCTCTTTCATTCTTTTTCCATTGGTAAGCAACAAAATCAAATGATGATTGTGATATCAAAAAAACAAATACTTTGAACTTTTTCATTTCGGAGAAATGCGTGGGGTAAATAATTTGCCTTTTATCAGGTCAAATCATAAATAGTTAATTATTCATTATCATCAAAAAATGAACGTGAGAAATATGATTTATGAATTTTTATCAGGTAGAATTTAAGTCAGCCATAGGTTCTCAGAGTCTTTTAAAAATTACACGATCATTTGCAAAAATTCCCGAAAAAAGCCGGCCCAAAACGATATTTTTTACAAAACACTCTATGATCAGATGTTTTCTCAAAACAATCCAATTTCTATGGATTTCTAAGCCCTGGGACCTTCTAAAGCGTGATCTACGTGAAAAATTAGCCCAGAATCTTATTCGAACATCCTTCTAGCTCATTTTCGTTCTTGAGATGGCTCGGCTGGTGAGAGGTTTGAATATGGAGTGAAGAGTCGCGGGTTTGATCCCGGGGCAGAACGATTTTTTTTGTTTTTGTAGTGTTTTTTCCAGAGTTTCGCAATGTTCAATGTTGTCTACTGGACTTATTATCTTCAAGACATTCGAACTTCTGATTCCTGGATTCTTGCATAACAATTTTTCTGGAAGGTCGTGACAAATGAAATTAATTTAAAAAAAAACAGGTTTATTCTCCCCTCCTCCCATTCATTTTCGTATTACTGAAACCAAACTTTTTTGCTGTGTATTTCCAAAAAATATATAATCCCTTAATCAAACATGTCGACTCCTCCTTCTATTTTTTGTTATCAATTTTGCTTCTAACAATGGTTCTAAGTGTACTCACATAATTGATAACATAAAAAATTATATGTTGAAAACTAGCACACCTGAAATTGAAATTGAAATTGAAAATCTTGAAATTATTCGTATACTTTTACTAATTCGCGCAATATTCACACGATTCACTGATTGGATAATTGCTAATTATGGCTGCCAAACTAATATCAAATGAAACACTCGATAAACTTCGAGCTGTTCAATCGTTAAGCCCTTGTAAGTGTAAGCAGAACTTCAGATAAATTCAAAAATGTAATTTCAGCACTCTGGTCATTTTCATCAATTCGATTTCAAACTGCACTTCTAATTTCTTGCGCAACAATTGTTTTTGGACTTATGCGAACATGTTTCGGAATGGCTATGGTGGATATTGTTAGTATGTATGTGAATTTTGCTTTTTGGAGGGGAAAGATAGCCTAACTTTCAACAGCTTCTTGTTATAAAATGATTTTTGTAGGAATAATCAATCGGACACAAGTCTTCATATGAATTGGACAACAGATCAACAAGCACAAATTCATACCTCATTTTATATCGGAGCTTTTATCGCTGTTTTTATTTCAGAATATCTTTCGAAAAAGTGAGTTGGTTTGGCTGTAAACTTCAATCTAACTAAGAAAATATTTTTTCCAGAATGGGCCCCAAGAATTTGCTATCCTTCGGCCTAATTCTCAACATAATTGGCTCAATTCTAACCCCATTCATCGCATTTTCCTTCCGTCACTACCTTCTAATCGTCGCAATTCGATCAATAATGGGCTTCGGCTACGGTTTCCTGATTCCAGCCGGCAGTGTTCTGATCTCAAAATGGTTTCCAATCGCCGAAAAAAGTTCAGCGATGGCAATCTTCACGACTGGAAATCAAATCGGAATATCAGCATCGATGTTTTTAACCGCCAAAATTTGTCAACTTTCATATTTCGAAGGTTGGCCAATGGTTTTCATTTTGTATGGGATTGTTGGAATTATATTCTTGTTTATTTGGCAGACAAGAATTGCTGATAAACCAAGATTATCGAAATATATCACAGCAACTGAATTGAGTTATATCAAAGGTGGAAAACAGAGAAGACCGAGGGCTGACACTATTATTAGACCTACACCATATAAAAAGGTTAGAACAAAAAAATCGCTCTGAAACGGGATCGAACCCGTGACTCTTCCCTCCATATTCACCCCTCTAACCAGCTGAGCCATCTGGGGAAGAAAAATGAGCTTGAAGGATGTAGGAACATGGTTCAGACCTAATTTTTCACGTAGATCACGATTTAGAAGGTCCCGAGGCCTGAAAATCACTAGAAAAATGAGAAATGATCTTTTCTTGCAGATTCTACTAAATGGATGTGTGTTCGCAATTTGTGCGTGCTCATTTGCTCAAAGTTTTGTGATAGTTGCTCTCGTCACATATCTCCCAAAATACAATAAAATTGCGATGGGAATGAGTTTGACGCATGTGAGTTTCCGGTTTCATTTTTTGATGAAACATGTGATTTATGCACTGATAAAACAACAAAAGACACTAAATGATCACGAAAGGCAGCTGATTTTTAATTAGGGATTAATTAGGAATTAGGAAAAATGGAGAACATGACAATTTGTGAGACGCAGAGACAAAACACCGAAATAATTTTCGTTTCGAGACCAAGCGCGGGAAATTTTTTTGAATTCAAAAATTTTACCCGCGTTTTTTTGCACTTTTCAAAAATAAAAATATCACGTGAACTTGTGAGTTTAAAATTTAACTTTTTTCGCTGATGACAGGTGTAAACGCGGAGTATTGTTGTTAATAAGAATTTGAATTTCAAAACTTGCAGAATGCAATTTGGTCATCAATCCCATTTGTGATTCAAATGTTCACCAAACTTCTCTTCGCAATCATCGCCGATAAAATCAAACAGCGAAAAATTGATGTGACAACAGTAACAAAAGGTGCAAATGCGATCGCAAGTTTTCTAAGCGCAATTTTCATTGTAATCGCAACATCTTTGCCACTTGATCAAACAGAATTGATACAAATTAGTATTATAATTTCGATGGCAATGTTTTCGGCATATGTTCCTGGTTATAATACATCTATTGTGACTGTTGCACCGCAATTCACCGCATTTATATCGTCTTATGCTCAAATGTATGCGCAGACTGGCAGCACTTTGGCACCGATTCTTATTGGAACTATTACAAGTCATGTGAGCCTTTTTCAAAACTTTTTTTTTCGAAAAAAATATCTGAACACCATTTTCAATCGAAAATATAAAAAAATTTTGAAACAGTGAAATTTTTAAGTATATTTTTTTTAGGAAAAAATCAATTTTCCTGAAAAATTCACTAAAAATTGGAAATTTCAATACTCTCTATTTTCTTATGATTGAAAGAAAATATGAAAATTTTGAAACAGTGAAATTTTTTGGAAATTCAAATGAATATTTTTCAGAAATTCAGAAGAATTTTCCAATTTTTTTTTTCAAAAAAAACCAAGAAACTAATGTTTTTCTCATGATTTTCAAAAAATATATGAAAATTTTGGTATAAACGCAGAACAGCCCCCCACCTGATTATGTCCCCCCCAGGCTCGGCAAAGCCTCGGCAAAAAAAAAACAAAAAAAAAATATTTAAAATGTGTTTCTATTCTTCCAACCTCACAGGAAAACAAGAAGGGAAGGGGGTTCAAATGAAAATGTGGGGGAACGAAATGAATTTGCCAAGTGGGGGCTGTAATGCATTGGGTGGGGGGCTATTCTAAGTTTATACCAAAATTTTGAAACATTGAAATTTTTCAGAAAACAAAAAACTGCTTTAAAATTTTTAATCGTTTTTTTAAAGATAATTGTCGCACTGATTTTCCAAAATAATTTTGATGTAATAAGACAATTTTGAAACAGTAACATTTTTCCAATAGAATTATTTTAAGAAAATTCAGAAAAATTACTTTTTTCAAAAGGTTTTTTTTTTCAAAAATATATGAAAATTTCGAAACGGTAAATATTTTGGGTTAAAAACGGGAAAATTATCAGAGTATCAACAAATTAACTCCAAACATCTTATTTTTTGAAATTTTTTTTTTCCTTTTCAAATCCCCATTCAAAAAACTCACAATTTTCCAGGACACAATTGAAGAATGGAAATGTGCATTCTATAGCCTCGCCTTAGTTCTCGTTATAACCGGAATAATCTTCCAATTCCTTGGGCATGGAAGAACAGAAGCATGGGGCGAAACACCATCAAATTCCACATCAGTTCGACTTTCGACGTGTACTGTAAATGGAGAAGATGGGATTTGTCGAATGACTCTTCTAGAAAAGCATAATAAAGATTTCCGATCGGAAAATTCAGGAGGTTCGACAAAGAAAAAGGTAACTGTTATAGTGTGATTTTTAACACATTTTTAACCAAAATTTCAAGGTTTCGCGCGTTTCCTACGCTGGCGAAGAAATCATTCTTCCAACTCGTCTAGAAGATCTCGAAAATGATGTTATTTACAGTATTGAAGAAGAAGAAAATGAACATTAATTTCATTTATCAATAAATATATGTATTATGAACTCACAACCCGTCATAAAACTTTTCCTAACAGTACTAATTAAATCACAGAAAAACATGGTACAAGATTTGAAATTTACAAGAAATGATTATGCAGTATATGCTTCTGTTCGATCACTTGGAATAACAACAATTGATTCTTGAGGTTGAGGTGGAGAACTTGAAGAAGGAGATGATGAAGAATATAGGCTATTTTCGGATAAAGATTGGAATACATTATCCAATGTGGATTGGGATAATGTGAAATCTTCCATTGAATATGTTCTTTTCGCCTGAAAAATTAATTGGAGTAGAAAAATTTGACACTTTTTCCAAGTACGGTGTTTCGGTGTGAGACCCTTTCACTTTGTTTCTCTGGTGATCTCAAAACTGTGTGTTAGTGACGCAGAGGAATACCAAATTTGGGATATTTTTGTGAGAATTGGGCCGATTTTTAAGATTTTTCGAATCGGAGCTCTTTTTTGCGAAAAATTCGGAAGATCGCATCACTTTTTGAAAATTTCAAGATTTAGGCATCAAAAAATTGAGTTTTTCGAAAAAATAGTTTACCAAAAAAATTGAAGAAAGCTTTGGTGTACCAAAAATTTTTTCTGTGCCACTTTTATGAATTTGGGCCCAGGTGTGAGAAAAATCTGAATCGGACTACTTTTTGACCAAAACATTGACCTATTCAAAAATAATGCTACGAAATCCCATTCAGAATGTTTTTTTTTCTGATTCCAAAAATCTACCTTATTAACAACTTTCAAAATCTGCGCAACACTCGAAGTTCCTTGTTCAATATGTATAAAAACCGTCGAACAATGAATCGCCTCAATTCTCGACCCGTAAATCCTCTCCTTCATCAATTCAGCAACTTTTCCAGCTTCATCCATTTTCGACAATTTCAAAGTCAACATTGAACCTTTTCCAAATCTACAAGAAACTTAGATGAGTTCCAGTTATCTCCAGCAAAAAACCCACTTATTTTTGAGATGTTGTTTGCCTCCAAGACATCGAATTATTCCCCGATCCATAATTGCAATTCGAGTGCAAAGCGCTTCGCATTCTTCCATTGAATGTGAGGTGAGAACAACGGCTTTTCCACTTTTACAAAGTCGTTCAATGACTTTCCAAAGGAATTGTTGAGATCCGGGATCCATTCCAGCAGATGGTTCATCCTAGAATTTTGGATTTTTAGATTTTTTTTTTCTATGTGAGAGAGATATTTTTGATATATTTTATTTTCATGTAATTTTTCATCTAAAATTAAGATTTTTTTCGGATTTTGAAAAAAAAAAAATTGAATAAAAATTGTCCATGGAGCGCGTTTACTCTCTGCTAAAAAATCACTGTTTCAAATGTTTAAATGTTTTTTTAAAAGAATTAATGTTTTTTCTACCTATTTTCAAAAATATATGAAAAATTTTGAAACAGTGAAAATTTAAAAATATAATTTTCAGAAAAAAAAAACTTTTCATAATTTTTGGTTTGAAAAACTGATTTTTCCAAATAAATTTTATATAAAACTTTTTTTTTAAACTTATTTTCTGTAGAAAAATCCGAAGGAAGCCCATTTTTTCTCTCCAAATCCTAATTTTTTCGATAAAAAAATAGGTACTTTAGAAAAATCTCATAATTTTACTTGAAAAAAAAATCTGAATGAATTAAAAAACCCCATACATTAAATTTTTGAAAAATTTTGACTTGTGCTCACCAAAAACACCAAAGACGGCTGGCTAACAAGTGCAACAGCAACCGACAATTTCCTTCGATTTCCACCCGATAAACTAGCAGTCATCGTATCAGAATAGGGTTTCAAATGCAATGCAACAAGTAATCGATCAATAATCGAATTTATTTGATTTGGCACAATTCCACGAATCCTCGCATAGAATTTCAAATTCTCTCTCGTCGTCAATTTCATATTCAACGCATCAAATTGCGGGCAATATCCCAATTGCTTAAAATCATGTTTGGTGACCGATGAGAACGGCGAAATCCTTGTGTCATGCATTTCAATCAACCCATGTCCTGGCCAAATTTTCGCAGTTAACATCGAAAACGTCGTCGTTTTTCCAGCCCCATTCAATCCTAACAGCCCAAAACATTCTCCCGGTTCAACAGCAAATGATATTCCTCTCACAGCCAATTGTTCAGCTGTATATGCTTTTGCCAGGTTTCGAACAACTAGCGCATTATTATGAACACTTTGGGGAATTGAATCAACTCGATTTTTCTCTTTTATAACATCTTCATCATCATCATTTGTTTGATCTTTTAACATCATTGAAGTTGTCATTTCTCGTTCTCGATGTCTCATAAAACTGAATTCATCCATTTGTGAGAAAACCAAGCAACCAGCAGCGACAAAACAATGAATTATGAGAAATACAACATGAAGACCCATTACATCCCAATCCAAAAGTCGAGGAAGTGGCAATTTATCAATCATATCACTTCGATTTATATTTTCTGGAAAAACAATATTGAAATTTTTGAAGTCATCAAAAAATTTGGGTTATTTCGATTCCAAAAATGATAGGTTACTGTAGATTTTGGCTTCAAAAATCCACGTGACAAAATTTTGGACAATTTTCGGGTTACTGTAGGAAAAAACCAGCTGGCAAAGTTTTTAAAAATTTTCTGGCTGAATTCAGCAAAAAATTGGATAATTTGAGAGCAAACTTGATGGATTACTGTTGATTTTGGCGCGAAAATCCACGTGGCAAAATTTTTGAAAAATATCTGGTTGAATTCAGAAAAAAAATTACGTTATTTTCAAACCAAAAATGATTTCTACAGTAACCAGGATTTATTTTTGAAATTTTGCCACGTGGATTTTTGAGGCCATGAACTACAGTAACTTTTAATTTCAAAATGACCTAAATTTTTTGGTGAAATCAGAAAACTTTTGAAAATGTTTGAAAATTGTCCAAAATTTCCGAATTTCATTATTGAGGAAAATTGGGATCAAAATCTCGGATGTTCCATATTTCCCCGCATTAATTTAGGATAAATCCCCCCAAAAACCAACCCAAAAAATTGATTCCAACTTTCTTCACTTGATAAACCATCGATCCTCGAAAAATCGACAATCCCAAATTATACTGTGGCATTATCAGGAAAACCCACGAGCAAACCGTGTGCGCCGGAACAAGTGTCGGATCTTTCTGCATCAGATTCTCCAACATAATTACGGTAAGTGCACAAATTGTTCCAATAAAATAACTCCCAATCGCAATGAAAACAAAACAAAGTGCAGCTACACGAAAATGTCGTTGAAGAACATAAGAATAAAGGACAGCACAAGCACCATAAAGGAAGAAAACAATCAAAAACGCGCAAAATGATTCGATAGTTCCCGTGAATTCATTGACATGAAATATCGCATATAAACACATGATAAATATCACCACTATTGTATAAATCACCTAAAATTAATTCAAAAATTGGGCAATTTTTGACCAAAAAACTCACCATATCATACAAATAACTCGTAATCCAATAAGTAGTTTTCTTCAAACCTCCAACTAATTGCAAATGAAGTGCTTCACAAACTCGATCTTCAACTAAATAAACTGTAAATCCAGCTGGAATCATTGAAAGAACTAATAATAAACAAGTGATTCTGAATAGAGCCAAAGATTGTGCGAAACCCGTGGCAGATGCTGATAATGATTCTTCGGCTGTTTTATTCATTGGATGATTGAGGGTGAAGATTCCGAGTTTTTCAGGGGCTGGAAAATGAGATTTTGTGCTTACAAGGCAACTTTTTACTCAACACTTCGAATCTTGATGAAATTTTGTCTATGAACAGCTTTTGGGATCAAAAGAACACCCTTAGCCAAGTTCTGGGCTCTCAAAACTCAACTTCTAATCATTGTAGTGTAAAACTGAGTAGCAGAGGGTCGATTTTCCCAAAAAGCGTCTTGAATTTTCAGAAAATTTATTGATTTTGAACAAAATGTGAAATTTCAGTCGAAAAATAGAAAACTTCAAAATGTTTCGAAATAAATGTTTTTTATTGATGTACTTTTAGTAAATCGACTATGTTGATAAATATCCAAAACTTGATTTCTCCCAAAAATTATTTTGATATGTAAAGCCAATTTTTGAACTTCCCAGAGCCCAGAACTTGGTTCAGAGGTCCTAAAATTTTTAAGCTGTCTATGGACAAAATTTCATCAAAGGTTTGAAGTTTTTCCCTTGTGAATTGAATTTTCAAAAATAAAAAACATCAGGTTTTTTGGTTCAAAAATCTTTCTCTCATCAAATTTTTTTTCAAGGAAAATTTTTCCCAAACTCACCAATTTGCTTATTAAAATCCCTCATCAAACTATTCGAAAGAATATTCGACGAAATCGGAAGAGCCGGCCAAATCTTATTATCAAACCACGTCTTAACATTCAGTTTCACATCAAGATTTTGCAGCAACCCATCAACAACTTGAGTTATCGTAACATTCATCAAAAATGGATCAATAATTTTGGGAATATCCGGTTCAATTGAACTTGTATTCATATTGATGATTTTTGTGAACATAAAAGTGTCTTCAACCACCAAATTCCATCCTTTTTTCGCATTTTCAATTTGTTCTTTCGATTGTGCACGATGATTTATATGACCAAGTGAGAATCCGCCAAGGCTAAATGAAAATAATTAAACATTTCTTGAGAAATTCACAAAATTCCGGGAAAAAAACTCACAAAAACGGTGCAGTTTTATTATTAATCTCTTGATTTCTTGTAACCAATCTGAATTGTGTCAAATTTCTTCCAGTCATATCAAATATTCGATCAGTTGTATTCAATCTCATCCAATTTGTTGTTTGCCAATCCCAATCTTCTAATGTGCAATTCCATCCAAAATCCACACAATCACAATAAACCGGCGAGTTATAATCGATGAGTGATAGATTTTGAGCATAGTTGAAATTGCCTTGAATATTCTGGCACTCTTCAAAATTGGCACTGAAAACGGAAAAATTATGGGCTTTGAAAATTTTCAAAATTAAACTCACATAAATTCCCTGGTAACTCCAGGAGTCGGCTGTCTTCTTCCCAATCCATAATGATTTCGAATATATAGATCCATATGGTAAGGAACTCTGCAAAAAAGAAACAATTGCTCATTTTAAACTTTTCAATTAAAAACCCTTGAAAAAAGCGTTGCTCATGTTATAAATGAAAATTACTCATATTAAACTTCTAGTTTTAAATCCCATAAAAATAGCATTGCTCAGGTTATAAACTAAAAATTGCAAATTTTAAATTTTTTTCAATCAAAATCCCTTGAGAATAACATTGCTCATGTTAAGTTTGAAAAAATTGGATTTTCTCAGATTTTTTACTGAAAAAATGGTTTAAAAACCATAGTTCATATTAGTGAAAAAACTAGACACTAGAAAAATTGCTCACATTTAACAAAAATAATATGAGGGAATCTGGGCTTCCTCAATAAGCTAAAAACATGTTTTTTTTCAAAATCCCAACCCACAAATTCGGCACATCATCGGCACATCTCGGTCCAGTTCCAGGCGATTCAAACATCGACTTGAGAATCGACGTAGACGTCGAATTCGCCGTCGAATCCCAATTGTTCACATAAAAATCGCTCATGTTTCCAAAAAGCCCGGTTTCGAGAGGCAAGGGAAGTTGACTTATAATCAAATCAGGGCGAGATGACGGAACTTGTGAGACAACATACAGTTCGCAGATGACAAGAAGGAGAAGGGGAATGAGGACCTGGAAAGGAAACTTTTGTTTTGCAATTCTGAAGTCTGAAGTCTCAAACAGAAAAAAATCAGGAAATTGCTCATATTAAACTTTTCATATAAATTCTCCTGAGCATTGCTCAGTTAAAAACGCTCACTTCAAACTTTTCAATCAAAATCCACAGAAAATAGCATTGCTCAGGTTATATGTGATTTAAAACTTCTCACTTTGAAATTTTTAATTAAAATCTGGAATTCCGAAGTCTCAAACCCAGAAAAATTGTTCATATTACATTTTTCACAAAAAATCTCCTGAGCATTGCTCATATTAAACTTCTCAATATAAATCTGGAATTCTGAAGTCTCAAACTCAAAAAACTCACCTGGAAAAGGAAAATACGTTTACTCTTCAACGTATAATTCATTCGACAAACCAAAAGAGCATAAAAATGTTGAAGTGTTAGAACAAAACCATCCAATAGTTCAGGCTTTTCAAAATCTTCAAATTTCATTGTATCCTCTTCAATTTCATTGTTCTGAATCTGAATATTTTCAATATTCGAAGTTGATGGCATATTATTCTGAATTGTTCCATTTCTTTGCTCCTCTATCAAATCATTCCGATCTTCTTCCGATTCTTTGAAAACTTTCGATTTCAATTTTCGAACCCATGCGAATTTCGAAACTTTCGGCACATTGTATTCTTTTTGTGGAGCCAATGAGACGAAAATCTGGAAATAAATTAAGATAATGAGGAGAAAATATGAAGTGGCAAACCTTTTGAAGTGTCGGTGCTGAAATTCCATATTGTCCAAGCTTGAAATTCTGAAGACTTTCGTCAAGTTTCATAAAGAACACTTCCAGCTTGTCAGAATCGGTTTGGATTGGGATACTGGAAAAAAATGATCAAATTTTTGGGGGATTCGTATTTTTTGAAAATTTTAAATCTAAATTTTTCTGCCACGTGGCACATCTAAACTTTCAAATTCCCCCTGAAAACAGCATTGCTCAGGTTATGAATAAAAATTTCAACTTTTAAACTTTTCAATTAACACCTGTTGAAAGAAGCGTTGCTCAGGTTATAAGTTAAAATAGCTCACTTTAAACTTTTCAATTAAAAACCCCTGAAAACAGCGTTGCTCAGGTTATAAATGAAAGTTTCAAATTTTGAATATTTCAATAAAATCCCCTAAAAAAGGCATTGCTCAGGTTATATATTAAAAGTGCAAATTATTAACTTTCCCATTAAAATCCTTTGAAAATAGCATTGCTCAGGTCAAAAATAAAAATTTCAACTTTTAAATTTTTCAATTAAAATCCCCTTGAAAATAGCAATAGCCAAGACCTGGTTTTGTCCAAATCGGGAGCTGGGATTTTTCCAAAATTTAATATTTTTCAGCCACATGGCACTTTTTGTGGCGCAGCCAATAGCAAAGGGTGTAATATAAGTAAGCCTCTCTGTGACCACGCCCATTTGGTGGGATGCAAGGTCCGAGGGAAGAGACGTCAGTCTATCGAGGAGATGACTCATCACCGGTCTGTGGATCTAGCGCGGAAATCGACGCAAGGATATTGTGGAAGCTGAGCTACAGAAGTAAGTCTTTGGGATTAGGGTAACTAGCTGTGACGAGTGAAGTCATCAGCTTGTGTCGGAGACGACACTTTTCGCGCCAAAATGGTTCAATCTCGAAATTTTGACCTAAATTTTCAAATTTGAATTTTTGAATTTCAACAGTTTCGCTCCAAAAAATCCCAAAATCGGATGCTGGGAGTTTTTTTTGTTAAAAATTTAAATTTAAATTTTTCTGCCAAGTGGCACACATAATTTGGCGCTTAATGTTTTGATTCGAATTTTTGACCTAAACTTTTGAATTTCAATATTTTGTTTCACAAATTTTCAAATAAAAACCAACTTGAATACAACTTCTTCTTCATTTTCATCCGAAACATCCAAAAAGACACCAACATCTTTGCCCATCTCACAAATCTCTTTCGAAATCTGCGAATACTCAATCTTCGAATCCTGTTTCACCACGGAAAGTGTCATATTATTCCCGAATCTCCTTTTCAAAAACACCGACGACCCCACAGTAATACATTGTCCATGTGAAAGAATCGCAATCCGGTCCGATAAAACATCAGCTTCATCCATATGATGTGTGGATAGCATTATAGTTCGTCCCTTTTTGTTATTCTGCAATAATTTCCAAATTTCTTTTCGTGCAGTTACATCAACTCCAGCTGTCGGTTCATCGAGAATCACAAATTTCGAGCCACCAATGAACGCGATTCCAATACAAAGTCTTCTTTTCATTCCACCGGATAATGTGTTTGCCAATTTATTCGCTTTTTCTTTTAATGAAACACTTGTCAGAATTTCATCAACTTGTTGATCTAATTCATCATCTGGAACTCCTTTCAGTGCAGCAAATAATCGAAGTTGTTCAGCAACGGTTAAGCTTAAAATTAAGATTTACTTGGAGGATCTTCGGGGAGGTTTTCAATGAGAAATATATTTTTTGTACACTTTTTCACGCTGAAAAAGATCCTGAGCCCAAAAATGAGCAAAAAGTGGAGAAATTTCGTGGTTTCGAGAGCTCATAACTCATGTTAGAGATGATTTTGTGAAAAAACTGAATGCAGGACAATGTTCAGAAGGGGCGATTTACCAAACTCAAACGTTTTGACAAAATTTTTCAAAAAAAAAAAAAAATATTTTTTGAGCCACAAAATTTTTTTTCTGAAAAATTATAGGTTTACTGATCAACAATTTGTGACTTTGATAAATCGATCCAAAAAAAGGAAAATTTTGTAAAAACTTTGGAGTTTGGTGAATCAACCCTCTTGAACATCGCCCTGAATTCAGTTTTTGATAAAATCTTCTCCAACACGAGTTATGGGCTCCGAAAACCGTGAATTTCTCAATTTTTGGCTCATTTTTGTGCTCTTCAGAGAGTCGCTGAGCAAAAACTGGAAACAGGAGTTTTCTCAGCGTGAAAAACTGTACAGAAACATATATATCTCATTCTGAAGCTGCTTTGAACTCTCTTAAAACCTACAATGTGAACAAAACATTGTGCTGTGGACAAATTCCAAGAACTTCTCGAACTCTTCTCAAATCGGTTCGAATATCTCTCGAATAGATTTTCGCTGTTCCAGAACTCGGCGCATAAAATCCACACAAAATCGACATTGTTGTCGTTTTTCCAGCACCATTGTGTCCGAGTAAACCGGTTATTTGGTTTTCATAGAGTCGCAAATTCAAACCATCCAGCTGAAAATTTTTAAATATTTTCTCATGCTCATTAGAAAAAAGACTTGAAATCTCACCGCTTTGGTTCCATTTTCATAAACTTTACTCATCGAATTGATGTGCACAGTGACTTTCATTCCAGTCGGTTCCGTATCGAAATTATCGCCATTTTGAATCACATCGAAATTCTCGTCATCGTCCAGAAATTCAACGCGATTGTGATAGAAATTCGGCAACCAATAGCGAATTGTTAATGGAAAATAGAAGGGTTGGCGAACGCCGAATTCGCCGGGTGCAACTGCCGAAATATACCAGGCGAGGATCAGGAAAATGACGGTGTCAACGACCAACATTATCATACATCTTTCAACCGATAAGCCAAGGCCTGGAAAAATTGTTCATGATTTATGATTTTTGTGAGCTTAAAATAATCGCATAGGCTTCTTGGAAACTGGGCTCTCTAGGCGCTGATCCTTGGTGATCGAAGTTTATAGGCGCAGCTACTTGACAGCCAAATTTCATAGGCTAGGTTACTTGAAACCTGGGTAATCTAGAGGCGATGCCTTGAGAACTGAGTTCTCTAGGAGCGATTACTTGAGAACTAGGATTTCTGGGTGCTGATCCTTGGGAGGGTGAAAGTCTAGATGTGGATACTAGAAGCTTAGACTCTCTAGGCGCGGCTACTTGACATCTGAATTTTCTAGGCTAGGTTACTTGTAAAATGAGTCCTCTAGGGGCTTCCACTTAATAACTAGGATCTCTAGAGGCGGCCCCTTGAAAACTAGGCTCTCTCGGCGCGGCTTCTTAAGAGCTAAGTTCTCCAGGCGCAGCTTCTTTAGAACTAGACTCTCTAGGCGCAAATACTTGAGTACTGGGTTCTCTAGGCACGGATCCTTGACGATTGAATTTTCTAGGCGCACTAGGTTCTCTAGACTTTCTCAACTCACTAGGATCCACCATTTCCGGAACATCAGCCCAAGTCGCTCTTTCGATCGCATTAAAACTTTCCAACAATTTGAAAAGATGTCCCATTGCAGTTGGTGGAAGTAATAGCTGAAAACATCATTTTTTTTAATTTCAGAATTTTCATCAGAAAAAAATCTTACACAAATTCTGTTAAAAGTCGGTGTTTTCAAATCATCAGCCTTCAATTGAAACGGAATAAAAAACATGAACCATAAAACACAAGTGGCAGCAGTCGCAATATTGGCATTTGTGAAAAATGTTGTGAAGAAAAGTGACATGGCTGAAATTATGACGTCATTAATTAATTCATACCTAAAATAACTAACCTATTGATGCGAAAACAAATAGGATTAAGATGAATAGCAGAAGTGTGTAATCCGTATTATTGAAAATTTTCGCAAATTTCGTGATCAGCGAGATTACCAAAGCCGAAAGAAAATTTAGAACTAGAGAGATCAAAGCCCACGAGATAAAGTGTACAGAATCTCCGAGACCCATAGATCTCATTTGCTCCTTGATTTTCAATTCTTTTTCGTATACAATATTTTTGACGAGAAGAGCAGAGGGTAAAATAAATGAGATGAGCAAAAATAATGGCATGAACAGTGCAACATTGAAACTGAAAAATTTAATGTTTTGAAAATTATTTTGTGAAAACTCTTACGTGTCTTTTGTTGTGCATGGAAATGGTTCTTGTTGAGCGAAAACTCCGATTTTTTCACCGTTTCCTCCTCGATCCGAAATAAGAAAATTATCGATTGATTCCTGAAGATACGAAAATCCAAATGTTAGATATTTCAAATCTTGGAAAGGACGATTTCGAGAAAATGGGTTACTTCTACTATCCATAAATCCACTTGTAGCTGAAAGTTTAAAGGTTTTTCTCAAGGTTTCCAAAGAAAACAAAATTACAATCTGTGAAAGATGGATAATGTCGAATTTTGTAGGTTGTAAATTCATCGAAATGTGTTGAATTGATTTTCATTCCTTCGAAAACGATTCCAGAAAAATATTGTTTGCCATCCATCAAACAAAGAGCATTCTATTTAAAAAAAACACATTTTGCTTATTTTTCAACTCGTAAAAACCTACATCTTCCATCTCCTTTTCATTATTCACAAATCTGAATCGATCAACCAAAAAACACGATAAATATTGATTTGCAACCTGGACGAATTGGGAAGTATAAGGGCCGAAAGAGTATGGATCGGAAGGATCGGCGAAGAAATGTTCGAAGATGAATTTGAGGGTTGGATTTGTCATAATTTCAGCATGTGTTGTCATGAAAGTTGCATTCGAATTCAAGATTTTCAAAATATTCTGACTAGCTGGCCATAAATCACTGTTATGAAGGGACCATTGAAGATTTGTTGATTCGGAGGGATAATTGAATAGAAGATTCCGGATGTATTCAACGTATTGGAGGGGTTCATTCAGCTGAAAAACAACAACACTTGAATTCATTTTAAATGTACAAGTAACTCACTTTATCAATCATTCTTCTGGTTGCTGCATTTTCTGGTGACACTAAAATATAACCTTGTAAAATCGGCATAAACTCAGTCAACATTGGTCCTTCTAAAGATGAGCAATTCATCTCTTTGTGATATGTGATTGGTGTACAAGTTCCGTTTTGAATATGTTTACCCGGGGTAACAGTTTGAATAAATTTGATGAGTTTTTCGCGCATTTTTTGAAATGGTGTTTCTACTTGAATTTCATTTGTTGGATTTATTGATTGTTCGATGATATCCATTGGATTGTTTCCACAAAAAACAGCGAGGAGAAGATCATTGTTCGATGTATTTTGATATTTGTTTAGGAATTCGAAAGATGGTTTGAAAATCATTTGAAAATCACTCATATATTTTGCCAAATTCAATCGAGATTCCTGGAAAAAATAGTTGTTTTTTATTGAAAAAAACCAAAAACTCACAATAGGAAGTGAAACATTTTGGAAAACATCCTGATAATCTGCAAGATCTACCAAAGTCAATTTATCGCAAAGTTCTTCTTTTTCAGATTTCTCCAATTTTTCTTTGAAATAAAAACTATTTTCGAGAAGTCGATCATCACAAAACAACGGGTTGCTGAACATGCTCATAAAATCTAGCGAATCTGGATCAATCACCCTTCGAACTTCATAAATTCCGGGTAAAATTGAGGCCCCTAATAGTTTATTCGCTGTGGTTTCTGATATATTTGATTGTCTCAATCGGGAGAACACAACTGGTTGCAATTCTTTTCCGAGTAATTCGTTTATTGTGATTATTCCAGGTGTTTCCAATTTTAATAAACTTAGAAAATGAATAACTTCCGCGCTGGCTTTCACAAATTCTTCAAACTCATTTGGATGTTCTCCAATCCATCGCAATTGTAAAGATGAATAATATATCAAATCAACGACTCTAAAAAACGAAAAATTGATGAGAAAAATTAAAAAAACACTCACATTGACTCATTTTTTGATTTTCCAATGAATAGCGATTCTTTTTCATCTCCAGTTGTTGGTGAATTATAGCAACGATTTGAAAATGAACAAAAATATGAGTGGATAAATGGGAGAATACCCGATGAAAGCATTCCTTTTGAATCATAATGACCTGAGAATATTTCAAATTTTTTCTGGAATTTGACTAGAGGGAAACTTACATTGTTCACGGCTTTCATTAAAATCACGAGTTCTTACTAATGCGATGATAATGAAAAGTAAGCAAGGCACAATTAATTCAACAGCGAGCCAAAACTGAAAAAAAAATTTTTTTGAAAACAAAATACAAAAGTCAGGGCGCATTCATAATTTGTGTGTGGTCTCGACGCGAACCAAACGCGCCAAATAATAATATTTACAAATTTTCAAAAATTTAAATTTGAAAACCCAACCTTCTGCCGCTTCTTCACCAAAATACATTTCCAAAGTAGAAAATTGAGCTGTCGCGTGAATCTAACCATATTCTGACTTCGATTCCTACAATCTCCGCATCTGAAAGGTCAGTGATTTTTTCAATTTCAATAGAAATTAGCATAAGAATAATAATTAGAAGACAATTCATGAATTCAATTTGAAATTCAAATACTTTTTGACGTGAAAAAAAAATGATGTGGGAGTTTATGAATCAAAACGAAAATGTTCTCTTATCAGTGAGTAGAGAATAAAAAAATTGAAATGAGAAAAATGACGTGGCAACGAAAAATGACGTAGCAACTCACGTTCACGTGAATTTAATATTTATTTTATTATTTTATTTTTTTTGTTAAATTCTTTTTTTTAAGTTCCGCTAAAAAAGGTGTCCAAGAGAAAAAAATGAAAATAAATATAATTCATTTTTCGCTGTGATGAAAAAATAGACATGGTTTATTTGCACTTCTTATGACTATAGAAACAACCTGCGCGCAGAGGCGAAAAAAAAAACTAAATTCAACAGAAAAAAATCTTGTTTGGTTGTCAAGACAATTGGCTTGGGGAAAAACACATATTTGAAAAAATCAGCTTGATAAATCATGTGAAAAAGCTCGAAATAATTAAAATGAGAACAAAAAAACGATATTTTTTTGTTTTTTTTTTTGAAGGAACGAACGAAAGGTGTCAAATTTCTGCACTTTAAATTTTTTGAGCAACAATCGATTTTAGTTTTGAACCAAAAAATGCTCGAAAAATTACTTGAAACTATCTAGAAAACATGAATAAAAATAAAAAAGAAAAAAAGAGAAGAATCGATGAGATTTCGGAGAGTTTAGAGAAGCAGACAGACAAAAATTCCTTCCTTTTTTGAACAACTCATAAGATAAAAAGTGACCGATGAAAATACTAGGTCATTTTAAGTGGAAACGTAAATAGAAATGGATGTAAGTTAGAGAGGAAGTTGGATAAATAATCTCTTGACAAATATTTATGTTTGAAAAATGACTATGATATTCGTATTGCTTCAAAAATAGTCAAATTTTTGGGCAATGACACATTTTTGTCAGCAGAAAAACTGAATTTTAAGAAAAAAATGTGGAAATTGAAAAGTTGTCTGATATTTTATGCAAAATTTGGTCGAAAAAAAATAATTGCCGAGAGAAAATCCGGTCTCATGGTCAAATAAATGAATTATTGAATATGTGTTTTTGAGTTAGACAATAACAAGATACTAATTACTTTTTGTTGGTGCGGAAAAAATCAGTGAAAAATATTCTACGTCATGAAAAACTGAAAGTGGGGAGCTAAAAATAAACAAATAAAATTTAATCAATGCAAAATTATATGCTCTGTGTTTTTTTGCAGAACGATAAAATTACTCAAGAGAATGTCCCAGATCGCACTGGGACACAAAACATGGCTCAAGACCAGCCACGAAATCCGGAAGGACAAGTGGTTGTTGTTGAGGCGAACGATGTTCAGGCTGAGCTTCGCTCTAGGCTTCGCCAATTGGGATTTTTCAATTTGGCTGAGCAACTTGGACTCAACATAAGTACGGAAGAAACTGAGCCGGGGGAATTGACCACCACTGGCTCAGAAACGCAACAAGAAGAATCGCCAAATCCTTCGCCAAATTTAAACTTTATCCTTGCCAGAGCTACTCTCTAGAAGCGGATATTTGTCAAACCTATTTTATCTTGCAGACCAGAAGTTCGAGGCTCGAAAAATACGGGCTTCCGAAGGCTCACGAAAATTTGTTTTCTGTAACTTACAATTTATTAATTTTTGACATGTCTAGAGTGTAGCATTTTCCCATTTGTGTGAGGATTTGTGTGGCCAGCGAGCAACAATCGAAACTGGAAAAATTGGGAACTCAGAGTTTTTGAGAATCCAAACATTTCAAAATTTTGCCACGTGGCTTTTTAGTGTGAGAATTCAAATCCCAAATGTCAGCTATAAACTTTGCAACGTGGCTTTTTAGTCTCAAAAATTTTAATTTTTAGCCCCAAAACTATGGAATTCGAGAAGAAAAATCGTAGGAAAAATTATTAAAGGGGGGGTAAGACGACAAAATTTTTTTGTCGCAAAGTTAAAGGCTCCCCAAAAGTAGTAAAACCTCCAAGGGATTTTTTTCTGGAAACGTCCAGAAAAAATGTTCCATAAACTAGGTACCACGTATAGCATACGTTGAATTTATTCCATAAACTTTCGGACAACGTATTTTTTTTTCGGACTTTTTTAGGCCTTTCGCGAAAAAATCCCCTGGGGCTTTTACTATTCAAAGAGGGCCCGATCTTTTGAGCAAATAAAATTTTGTCGTCTTACCCCCCCCCCCCTTTAAAAAATTGAAAATGAATATATTTTTGACTGGAATTGCAGCGCGAAAATATTGCAGTTTGATTTGTCTTTTTCTCTTCCAATTTTTGTTTCCTCTTCCGAAATTTCGATGGATTTTCCAGAGAGGTGGATTTGATTTTTTGAATGTTTGTTGTTTTGGAAGTTTGGGTAACTGAAAAACTGGATATTTATTTTTCAAAATTAAAAAATGTGCTCAAAAATTGCCTAGACCATATTTTAGGTCAAAAATTCGATAAAATTTTTTGACACATGGAAAGAAATTGAGATTTTTGTTAGAAAAAAATTTCTAGACTCAAATTTTATGCGGAAAAAGCTGAAAACGATTTTCATCCATTGTGCTCCATATAAAACTGAAATTTGAAGAATTTTGGGAAAATAAGAAATGGGTTTCCAAAATGAAATCGAGAAACAATTTAATTTACGTGAAACGTGACACGTGTATTAGTGGCAAAATACGTGGCCGACAGGAAAACAATTCGAAAAAAATGCCTGTGGGTGGCATTTCTCGGCTTTGTTCCGCCTGTTAACAGTTATAATTATAAAGAAGAACAATATTGTCTCGTACAACATGAATGCCAACGCATTTTATCGATACTTCTATCAATTTTATTTGACACTTGAGGCGGAAGAAGATGGATGGAGCAATTGTTTTAATGTGAGTTTTTTTGAGTATAAAAGTGGTAATATATACTATTATGTTTTAGAGAATAGAAAAAAAATTTCAAGAAAGCTAGTCAACAAATTAAACCAGCTGCAAAACGAGAAGGATTTGCCACAACTTCAAATGTTTCGTGGGATGATATTGGTGCACTGCGAGAAGTTCGTAAAGAATCGGAATGGAGTTTATTAAAACCAATCAAACACCCTGAAGAGTTTTCTGAATTAGGGCTGGATAATCGAGCTCAAGGTATTCTTCTTGTTGGACCGCCAGGTTGTGGAAAAACTATGTTGGCGAAAGCAATTGCGACTGAAGTTGAATGCAACTTTATAACTGTAAATGGGCCGGAATTGATGAACAAATATGTGGGAGAAAGTGAGAGAGGTGTTCGGGCAGTGTTTCAACGAGCAAAATCATCTCAACCATGTATCATTTTCTTCGATGAAATCGATGCATTGTGCCCGAGAAGATCGGAAAATGAAACACCCGGTGGAACCAAATTGGTTAATCAGTTATTGACGGAAATGGACGGAGTTGAAGGAAGAAAGCAAGTGTATTTGATTGGCGCGACAAATCGGCCCGACAGTATTGATGGCGCTATATTACGCCCTGGTCGCCTTGGCAAATCAGTCTACGTTGGTTTTCGTTCAGTTGAGGATCGAGTGGATATTCTGCGAAAATCCACAAAGGTAATTTTAAATAGTTGGGATGGCTTTACAGCTTAAAATTAATGAGAATTTCAATACCGAAAAAAAAACTTTTGAGAATTCTTATTTCAGAAAAAGTCTATTTTCTCTTATCTTTTTTGAGAATTATGTATTGTCCATTCTGCTAAATTGATCAGCAAGAAGTGACAAGGGAAAACTGAACACAAAAAATTCGCGCTTTCGCCGGAAAAAATATCGCGAATTTTTTGTTTTGATTTCTTGTTTTCTTTTTTCCCTGTCACTTCACGCTGATCATTTCAGCAGATAAGACAATAGAAATTGTTGTTTTTTAAGTTCAAGTTTCGTATCGACTTTGAATTTTTGAAATTAGCAATATGTTTATTTTTCAGAATGGAACTCGCCCAATGCTTGATAAAGATGTAAACTTCGAAGATGTTGCAAAGTTGCCACAACTCGATTGGTTCACGTTAGTTTGATTACATCTTTGTTATATGCAAAATATTATATTTTTAGAGGTGCGGATATGATTTCACTGGTCCACGAATCAGCCTTGTTGGCTCTCCAAGCAAGAGCTTAACAAATCGACAAATCAAGTAAAACTCGGGTTCATATGCATCATTTTATGGAAGCCACCAGGCGAATTCGCCCATCTGTCACCGAAGCAGATAGAAAGAAATACGAGGATATGAGAGATGTTTATGGGTTGAAAAATGTTGTGGAAAAATAGAAGCATATTTCGATCAATAATTACTTGTGCATTCATGTGTTTTGGTTTCTCTTTCTTTATCTTTTAAATTTTATTCAAATTATTATAGATTCTTTAAATTAACGTTTATAAACTACATTTAGTATTAATGTTTCAAGATCACATTTTTACCAGGATGTTTCTTTATCGTTGATTTCTGATTGTTTTTCTTCATTTCCTTTACCGAATGAGAAACCAGTGAATTTCTTAGTGGATTTGTCATCTCTGAAATCAATTTGTTTTTTCACATCATCAAAAATTCAACTAACTCTTTCAAAAAAGCTTGACGTTTCGCTGGTGTCTTGATAGTTTGTGCAGCAACTGTGGATGTTGCGTTTCTCCGAGCTGCTAAACGTTGTGCTAATCGCAGAGGCGGAGTGGAAATTCTTGGTGGTGTAATTGCTCGAATTGGCCGTGCAGCATTTCGATTAGAAGTTGGCGCAGTTGGTCGAGCTGGCCGCGATGAATTGTTTGGCTGAACCTTTCTTCGTTTTGGTGGAGGTGATGTCGCAACAATATTTGGACTTTGAAGAACTGCAGCACCTCTTTTTCTTTGCAGGCTTGGTCGAGGCGCAGGCAGAAGATTTGGTCGAGGTGCGGCAGGAACATCATCGTCATCATCATCGGAATCCGTATACGCATTCAAAGCGTCTTGTGCCACAAGTATATTATAAGCTGCAGCCGGCACATTGGCTCCTTTATACCTAACATGTTTCGACTCAATCTCCCGTTGCACTTTCAATTTAATCGCGCGCTCCATTTGTGCGACTGACATTGTTTGATGCGCCAAAATTCCAACTGTCTGATCCGCAACAACTTCCACAATATTAGTTCTCAACTTGCCAACCGCCGTTTTACCATTCCCCTCAACAGTTATTCTTGCATAATTTTCGAACAAATTGTTCGAAACACTCAATGTATGCGTGCCATCATTGTTCGATTTGATAGAAATCGCCGGGGTTGAGTGAATCGGAGCTCGATAAGCGGGTGGTGGTGATGGTGGTGGAGTTGAAGATCGCGATGAGTTGGATGTTGATCGACCAGGTGTCGAATTTGGAGTTGAAGGTGGCGGCGATGTTGAATTGTTTGGAAAAGTTGGAGTTGGAGATTTGGGAACATTTCCAGTTGGTGGTTTTGGAGAATTTGAAGTCAAAGCTTTTGGAACATTTGCAGTTGGAGGTTTCGGTGGATGTGCAGTCCGAACTCGCGGCGGTTCCGAAATACCAAGCAAATCAGTTGGCACAAATCCAACATTAACATTTTGCTGGACAACTTCAGGATTCGCAGTATTCAAAACTGGATCAATTTGCTCTTGATTGGTCGATTGCTGAAACAAGAAATTTGGTAATTTTGGATACGGTAAGATATTTTTAGGAAAAAATAGCGCAAATTTTAGAGGCTATCTCAAAATTTCAGAAATTTCTACTGTCCGTTCGCCAGCGAAGGAAACGCGGCCAAACGCGCCCATTGATAAACAACGCATTTTTGTGCGGCGATTCAAACAATAATTTTTATTCCTTCACTGTGAAAAGCATTTCCACTAATTGAAAAAATGAATAATTTTGTTCAGATAAGTTTTTGATCATTTCTCCCCCAATTTTCGAATAAAAAAACTAACTTCAGCCATATTTTCAGTTGTTGGTTGCATTTCAACTTCACCATTCCGGACATCTTTAGCCATTTCCTCATTTCTTGGTCTTGCTGGTGAAATTGTTGAAGGAGCGGGTTGGACATGTGAATTCGTTGGAATAACGTCATTATCTTCATCACTATCATCATCATCAGATTCAGAATAGTGCATATTTGGAATTTTTCAAAGGTCGAGTTGGCTGGCGAGAAGAATTGGTCGGTTCCTGAAACGAAAAGATGGATTATTTCGGATACGGTAAGATATTTGTTTGTTTTCAGAAGGCAAATATTAGCGAAAATTTTGAAAAATATCTTCTTTCAAAATTTCAGAAATTTCTAGCTAATAATTTTGTTCATATATGTTGTGTATAGAAATGATTATGATATACACGTGAACGTGCAACGTCATTTGGGTTATCTATTTGTGCCATCTATTATGCCTGTGTATAAAAGAAGACCGACTAGAGTAATCTGGAGAGTTGAGGAGAGCCAAGAGGTTCTACGGAACTGAAACTAATTCTTATTCTTTCTTTCATAATAAAGACTTTACTGTCTAGTCTTGTCTACAGTAATAACTGCATCTTGTAATACAACACATAAGAGATCAGAGTATCTCAAATACATTACATTGGCTTAGGAACTTTACAGTGGCGATCAGGATGACGAAGTCGAAAACACAAAGTATAGACTCGAGAATGAGAGGTCGTTCAGGATCTTTACAGCGATCCAGATCGACAACAACTATGAAAATCGACGATGGAAATACATTGGTAAACAATCCTGAAAACACAATTCTTCGCGAATTACGGAGATGTGTGGAGCAGTTGAAGAAGAAAAATATGTATCTTCGACAACAGCTGGAGAGACGAACTAGCAACTCGTCAATATCGTCGATGGAAAGGGAAAGTAGAGAGATATCATACAATAGTTCTGCTGGAGTGATATCTGGAAGTATACAAGAAGCTGAGCAGTTGAAGAAGAATAGAGAACACACGAAGTCTTCTAGTCAGAAGCAGAAAGACACACCAAAAACAAAATGCACCAAGAATAGTTGGAAGGAAAAACTCAAGGCAGTTTGTGGGTCCACTATTAAGGCCAAGGAGAATCAAGAGCACACATTGTTGGAACGATATGAAGAATATCGGGAGTGCATAGGATTCTTTGGTGATCGTCATTCGGAGGAGCGAATAGTTGATTCGTGTTGGACCGTGGCGAGGGGTACTCAGAGTGAGGACCGAGTGGTGACATGTTTGGTGGATGATGGCGGAAGTGCCAAACGTTGTGGTGGCGGAGAAGTAGCTGAGGATGTTGGACACAAGCCGGTTGATGTTCCAATGGGGCTGCCGTGTGAGATCAAGATATGGAATCTTGATATGGCCGAACAACGTCGAGAGGAGCAGGAACATCGGAATAGTACGATGGCTACCTCGAATATGAAAATGGATGAAAGAGTCCATAGTATATACAATAGATACACCAAGATGGGTGAAATATCTCGAGGTATATACAACAAGGCGATGGTTCGTAGCAACGATTGGTTTATCGTGCGAATGTTGAAACATCGAGTGTTATTCGTTATATGGACATCAGTTTGGTCAAAACTTGTCGTATTATCGAAGGTATGGAGTTGGTGGAAAACAACCGAAGTCAATCGTTTATACTTCTTGGAATACTGGGAGATGGTTGCAATATTTGGAACGATGGTGTCTTTCGGGGACAAAATACATCAAGTGATATTATTATCGGGTTTGGTCGTAGTATTGGTTCGCAAATGCAGCTTCTATGATTGTATTGGGAAGAGGAGAAATGTCGATGACTTGAAACACTGTGGGCGAGAAGAATGTATGTCAACGGGTCCAAAGAATATGAGTTATGATTTGGAATGGAAAGACAACATTGAGATTACTGTTTGTTGGATGGATGCTAGTCATTGGTTTGAATACAGTTCATACAATGAAACAATACACTATTCGTTTGAGAACGATGGAGGAGTGGCCTACGTGAGCGTGACACTGGAAATAGCATATCTATCTAGAACATCGAAGGATGACGTGGAAAACATCAGTAGAGAAGAAGACTCGCATACACAGTATATCGTGGATGGAAAAAACGATATTTGGTTGTATCAAACTAACTTGGATTGCTGCAAGCAAGTCGAATGTGTGTCGGATCTCATTCAGGAGTTGAAATGGGAAGACAACATTATGGTAAAAGTGTGTTGGATGGGTGCCAAGTCAAAAGAGCCTGGAGTTCCAGAGCATCTCGTAGCAGACAACGAAACACAATTGGTATCTGATGAAATCAAATACACGTGTGAAGAGTTTGGCATTAAACACACTTATACATCAGCTGACAATTCTCAACGTAATGGAGAAGCAGAAATATTTGTCAATAATCTGAAACAAGAATTGAACAAGCTGAATGGAGATGGAAACACAACTGATACAATGCGAAATCAGCTTATCTCGTGTTCAATTCTTAACACATCATTGGATGGTGTGACACCTGCTGCTGACAAGTATATTGGTTATTGTTGGAGCAAAATATCCTCATTGATTCCGAAAGGGGAAGAGGAAGGTGTGAATGCAGACAAATACAAGATACAAGCTGATGAAAGTGCGACTATCAGACACTATGAAATTATGGTGGAATGGTTCGTCGAAATATACAAAAACAACAAATGGTTTTGGCGGACTAGAATCAGGATGTTGAAGATCAGGATGAAATGGATCAGAAGCTATAATAGGAACATTACAGTGAAGATCAGGATCTGTAAGTGGATCTTACAGTCGAATATCTTGTCAATAGGATTCGGGATTATTGATCGTGGATCAATTTGGTTGATAGCTATTGTTTATCATTGCCTGATGCATGAAACATCTGTGACTCGTGATCTGGACGAAGAGACAGCAAATATCTCGTCAATTGTATACGGGGAAGGTGTTGTGTATAGAAATGATTATGATATACACGTGAACGTGCAACGTCATTTGGGTTATCTATTTGTGCCATCTATTATGCCTGTGTATAAAAGAAGACCGACTAGAGTAATCTGGAGAGTTGAGGAGAGCCAAGAGGTTCTACGGAACTGAAACTAATTCTTATTCTTTCTTTCATAATAAAGACTTTACTGTCTAGTCTTGTCTACAGTAATAACTGCATCTTGTAATACAACACATAAGAGATCAGAGTATCTCAAATACATTACATTGGCTTAGGAACTTTACAATATAAGTTCAAAAAATAATTCACAAATTATCGAATCATAAACCGAACCTCCGTCAAAATTTCAGCTCTTCCTCCTTGATTCGACATCAATTCGCAATCTCCATCATTTAATACATTTTCCGATTGTTCAATGTGCGGTTGATCATTTGGCGACATTTGAATATCTTCTAATGTCTCTTCTTCAATCACTGTTGCATCAACCATTTCAATATCACTATCATTTCCAACCAAATCCATATCGACTTCATTTTCATTTTGATATGCCATATATGAAGCGTGGTCAAGACTGAAGCTTCTGGGTTTGTTGGGCGGAGCGACGTGAAGATTCAGAACTTCAGCTGATGAATCTTCATGTTGCGTGGTCGATGACAACATTGGATCATCTAGTTGAAGAGATCTTGTTGGATCTTCCACCGGTTGTTAAGTTGGCTGAAACGAAAAATTGGATTATTTTCGATATGGTAAGATTTTTTTGTTTTCAGAAATCCAAAGGAAAAATTTCCCATTTTCAAAATTTCCAGAATTTCTAGCAAGAAAATTTTGAACCAAAAAACTAACTTCATCCAAACTTTCAGCAACCCAAGATTCCGTTATAACTTCACCACTTTCCACTTGCTCATTTTTCATTATCTGCAACAATTTCCGGTCCAAGTGCGATTGGTCGATTCGCAGATGGCGATGAACTGGAATTCGAGCCAGTGGTGGTCATGTTCAGTCCAAGTTGAGCGGCCAAATTGAAGAATCCCAATTCGAGAAGCCTGGAGCGAAGCTCGGCCAAATGAACATCGTTCGCCTCCACAGCAACAATTTCTCCTTCCGGAATTATTGGCTGGTCTTGTGCCATGTTTTGTGTCCCAGCGCGATCTGGGACATTCTCTTGAGTAACTTTATCGTTCTGCAAAAATTGGAGGTTTTTATTGATTTTTAGTTTTGTTGAAAAACTTACATTCATTATTTTTGCGCGAGTTGCGACTTTAACTAATTAACACCAAGTGAGTAAACTGTAAAAAATGAACTTTGATGATTAATTTTTCAGAATATTTTAGATACTTTCAGCAGAATAAAAAACGAAGGTTATTCAGACATTGCTCATATTAGATCAGAGAAAAATTCAGAAAATTCTAATCTGAGCCATGTTTTTCAGACATGGCTCATAAAAAATCCCATTTCCAAGCTTAAAACATTCAAAAATCCAGTCGAAATTCAAAAAATCATCAAAAAACCATGACACTGGAAAAAAACAAAGACGCCATCACAATCGCACTAATTCTCTGCATTTTTTCTGTTTCTTGAAAATTAAAAAAAAGCAAGTTTTTTTTTAAAATTGGATTACTGTAATTCTAAATTTCACAAAAAATCAGCTGTAACTACACATGTTTGCCACTAAAACATACGTAACCTTTTTTTTATATTTTTGATGTGATCTATTCTCAGTCAGAGTGAGAGGGGGGGGGGTTCCCGTTTCGAAGAAAACAATCTCCTGAAGTTACAACAAGCGTGTTAGATGTTCCAAAAATTGCAGCTCTCAAACCCTCAAAAAAAAAAAAAAATAAAAATTCACGAATACTTCTACCGTACCACTCATCAAAGGCGCACACAATTTTTCTCCCGTGTCTCGCAACGCGCGTTGATTTTTCAAAAAACGAAGCGGTGTTTGCACAAAAAGAAACATTTAATGTGACGCCAAATTTTCAATGATTTCGTTTTTTATATTTTGCTCCCAAAACTGTGATGGGGAGATCATGGCATTTGGAAAAATTTTTCGAGGGGGGGGGGACGGCACACCTGGCGAGAGTGTCCTAAAATTTTTGTGCAGCGTGGAAATTTTTGAAAAAAAAAATTGTGCAGCGTGAAATTTTGAATTTTTTGAAAATTGTCATCAAAATTCGCCGAAAATCAATGAAAACTAAAGTTTTTCATGAAAAAATGTACAGTGTGGCTTTTGAAAATTTTTGTACAGTATGCACTAAAAACTCAGATTTTTGTGCTGAAAATAGGAATACGGTTAAAGCGCAGAACAGGCCCTCACCCAAAAAATCAGAATGATTTTTTTTGCAACTTTTTCTCAAGAATAATAATTTTCTACTCGCAATTCTCGCGGGTAGGTCAAAAAAAAATTTTTTTTTGGTTGATTTCTCAATAAATCTTTATTTTTTTTTTGTGGATTCGCGGTGCAATTTGTGATGTTCGCGAGTCGAAAACGGCCGTCTGTAATTGTCCTCGTTGAATCGATTGATTCCGCCTGGGTTTTATATAAACTGTCGCCACAAGACCAATCACACCGCCAACCATGTGAACCTGAAATTATGTTTTATAAATCAAAATGTATTGATTTACGGGGATTTTGGTGAGAAACAGAATTTTCCAGAATTTCGGTACATTTTTCTACGTAATCAAACTTACTTCCAACCATTTTAACTCGAAAATTATTTATCCGAGAAAATTACGTTTCAAAATTGTTTCAATTAAAATATCCGTACAATTTTAATGATAATGTTTTTCCTGATCCCCCATTTTAAAAAATCGGAAAAAATATTCAGACAATTTCAGACTTTGAAGTTTTCAGAAAATTCAAACCAAGAAAAACCTGTATTCCCATTTCCAAGCTTAAAACATTCAAAAATCCCGTCAAAATTTAAAAAATCATCAAACACCATGACAATCGAAAAAAACAAAGACGCCATCACAATCGCACCAACTCTCTGCACACTCTCTCATTTTCCCATACTCTCTCGCTCTTTTTTCTGATTGACCTAATCATTTTTTGGATATATTATAGCCTGGAGTGTGTTTGTTTTTTTGTGGTTTGATCTTTGATCACAAAAACATTTTTTGAGTTTTTTTTTTTTTTGAAACGAATCATTTTGTACAAAAATCTGGAATTGAGTACTGTAGATGGCTACAGTAGTAGATAACCTTTTTTTTTAATTTTTACTGTATTTTTTTGATTACTGTAGTAATTTTCATTGGGGGGGGGGGTGTTTTATTGCGTTTTTACCCAAAATTTGGCTGAAAATCCAAGGAAAACTAGATTTTCAGTCAAATTTACAGCTCTACACTTTTCTAGATCAAAATTAATCCGATTTTTGAGCAATTTAAGACCGAAAATTCGCTACTTCCATAAGTTCCAGGTGAAAAAGCCCGGAAAATTATCGATTTTCAGACTATCAGGTCCGAAATCCTCAAATTTTTCTACCTAAAAAAGTGCTTAATGCATTGGGGGCTATTCTAAGTTTATTCCCATATCCCTTTCCTTCATTTCTTATTTTTCATAAAAATAAAAATGTTGTAAAACAATATTCGGTTTTCTTTTTTGCACATATGTCATCAAATTCTATTATTCTCCCTCTTTTTCTTTGTTTATTTTCATCTCAGATTTTTCGGCCTTTTGGCATTTGAATATTTGGGAGAATCAAAATTAGGTTTCATTTCAAAAAAATGTTGATTATTTTTTTCAACATAAGGTTGAGAAAGCTTGAGAATTTTGATCATAATAATTCTGAAATTTCAAAAAAAAATCTTTCCTAGAGTATTTTAGAGCTTCCTAGGGCACTTTGAGACTTTTCAAGGCTTGCCAAAGCTAACTAAGGCTTCCTAAGGCTTCTTAAAGCTCCCGTAGGCTTCTTAAAGCTTCTTAAGGCTTTTTAACGTTATCCCAAGGCTCACTAAGGCTCCCCAAGACTCTTCAAGACTTTCTGAGGCTCCCTTAGGCTCCTTAAAGCTTCTCTAGGCTTCTTAAAGCTTCCTAAGGCTTTTTAACGTTATCCCAAAGCTCTCTAAGGCGTCCCAAGGTTACTTAAGACTTTCTAAGGTTTCTATGAGCCCACTAAAGCTCCCTTGGGCTTTTTAAAGTTATCCTAAGCTCTCCAAAGCTTTTTTAGGCTTCCGTAGGTCCCCAAAGCTTCGTTGGCCCTTCCAAAATCCAGTTTCAGCATAGCTTGAGCCATTTCACCGATGCTCACCGAAATATAAAAGCCTTCACTGCTTTTCCTCAAAATCACGACGATGCACCTAAATTGTTTCGTTGTTCTCCAGTTTTTTTCAACAAAATTTACCAAAAAGTATTTTATTACTGTATCGAGCAACAACCTTTTTTCTTTTTCTTCACTTTTTCACCCGATCCAGTGGCCACGTTTGCAGTTGTTGTTGTTGTTGTAACTTGTTCATTCCCACCACATTCCTCTTTTACTTTCCCAGCTGCTGGCATCACAGATTCTTCGCGTGTCTGATTTTCCTCTTTCACCGCCTCAGTTGACTCTTTCTTCGGTGTTGAACTTATTGGCGTCGTATCATTTTTTATTTTCTCCTTACTTCCTTTTTGAGTTGCCTCTTCTTTTTTGAATCCAGGATCTTTGGTCTCATCTGATTTCACATTTGAATCTGCCGAACTTGGAACTTCCTTTTTTGCCTTCTTCGATTTTGTCGATTTTCCCTTTTGCTCTTCATCATCATCACAATCACTTAATTTAACATCGTCGTATCCTTTCTTTCGAATCGCAGGTGATGGAAGTGACGAATTCTTTTTTGCCAATTCTTCGATACCCATTACAGAGCTGCAAAATAGACTGATAGGTTCTCTGTTTTGTTTTACCTCTTACCTTGATTGTTTTTCTCAGATTTAAATATCTGATCGTTTTGAATTTTGCAAAAAATTCTTTGGTAAAAATAAGGAGACGTCTGAAATGCTAAGCTTTTATAGGCCAATTTTTTTCGATGACCTAGTTTTTTCGGCACACGTGAAACGTGATGATGTGATTCGGATTATTTCTAAATTTTTGTTTCGCAATGAACGGTTGGAAAAATTCTTTTTTAAGGAATTTAGTGAGTTATGGGAACTTTTCTGGTTTGAGAAATATATCTTCTTGAAAATTCGGTGACAGAAAGCCAATTCCTTGGGATAATTTTCTATTTTTGACTCGTGGACGGCTAATAGAGCCTGTGCCGGGCCTATTTGTCAAGTAGCTAAGCCTAATTGTCTAGGCCCCGCGTCTAAAGATCCATTCTGGCAAGGAGCTGCGCCTTGAGAGCTTCTATGCCGGCATGCCAGGTAGTCAAGCCTAGAGAGCCTAGTTCTCAAGTAGAAGCCCCTAGAGATCAAAATCCTGTTGTCATTCTTCCCTACCCGAAAATTTTGAATTTGCAATTTTACCGCCAGAAGTTTGCAACGTGGATTTTTGACTCGAAACTTAAATTCAAATTCAAATTTGAAATTTTTGGCGCCGAATCTTCTTGAAAAATTTGAATTTGCAATTTTCCCGCCAAATATTTGCCACGTGGATTCTTGTGAGCGCGAAAATTTTCAGTTTCAAAAATTATTTTCCTAGTGAAAGCTAATTTTTGCTGCCATCTCCATTCACCTCTTCCTCGCTAATAATAATATGCATTTGACCTCCTTCAATCAGATCAAATTGTATACGTAATCGATTGTCCTTGTTAGTCACTTGCCTCTTTTCCCTCCCCCCTTCTTCCACCCAATATGTTGTGCACCATGTCTGTCACCCACAACAGACAGACACACTCACAAAAAAATGTATCGCAATGTGGTTGTGTTCGTCTGCGTCTCCTCGAAGGTCACCACTCTCTCTGCGTCTCTCTTCAGGTAAAATGACCAAGCGGGACGGATTCTTACCTTTTTTTGTTCACTTATTTTTTTCTTTGATTTTTTTTGTTTGGGAAATTTATGATTTCAATCTGCGTCTCCATATCTTTCGTAAACGGTCCAAATCTAAAATGTAAATTCATAGAAAAAATTTTATAGAAAAATAGGAACAGCTGTCCTTTCGAACAAAAAAAAAGTATTTTTTGTCTAATTCTTCTTTGTTACCCAAATAAAAATCTCGACCTCATTTCATTTTATTTCGACAAAGTTTACAGAGTATTTGCTTTTCCCTCGAAGCGTGGGAATTTTTGTAAAATTTGGATTTTCTGAAAATCGATAGATATTCGTAGTTGATAAGAAAAACCAACATTTATGTGGTATTTAATAACAAAACAACATTTTTTGTTGATTGGTCTTTTTTCTCCTCGTTTTCCCCCTCGAAGCGTGGGAATTTTTGTAAAATTTGGATTTTCTGAAAATCGATAGATATTCGTAGTTGATAAGAAAAACCAACATTTATGTGGTATTTAATAACAAAACAACATTTTTTGTTGATTGGTCTTTTTTCTCCTCGTTTTCCCTCCGCTCGCTTCTCTATTCAATTATTCAAATTTTGTTTTCGCTTTCCAAAACGGACCACTTTGATTTGAAATTGAATTGTCTTCTTTTTCCCTTTGACCTTTTTACTCTCCCAAATTCCCCCCCAAAAAATACATTTATTCACAGATAAATGTGCTAAAATGCTAACCGAACGTGAACAATTGGCTTGTCTCGTTCAACAATGGAACGAGAATCGCCTCGATCTTTTTCATCTCTCATATCCGACTGAAGAATTGGAAGTGGAAGGAGTTATGCGATTCTATTTTCAGGTTAGTTTCCTTTATTTATATAAATAGAATAGTAAAAAAGAGAAGAGGGTTTGGTATAAGAAGTACTACAAATATATGACTCTGTGTTAATCCGAGTCAAGAAATAAATAGAAAAACAATATTTTTATAGGATGGCGGTGAAAAAGTGTTGACAAAATGTGTTCGAGTTTCATCGACTGCAACAACTCGCGCAGTCGTTGATGCGCTTTCGGAAAAGTTTTTACCGGATTTGAAAATGTTGTCAAATGATGTTTATACACTTTGGGAAGTTCATGAGAATGGAGATGAACGATGTTTGGATGAGGAGGAGAAACCATTGTTGGTTCAATTGATGTGGCATAAGGATGATAGAGAGGGAAGGTTTTTGTTGAGAAGAGATCGAACACCGGCACCGCCTTTGAATGTGAGGATTGGAATTGGGAATTGGGAATTTGATTTTTGATTTCGGGACTCGATAGAGAAATTATTGGAAGAGGAATTGTTTGGTTTTCTAGGCCATCCTGAATCTTTTACACTGAACTAATTTTAAGAATTTTTTATTGGAGAACTTTGCCACGTCATAACTCCCATTTTTGCAGCCAATTCAACTACAAGAACTTGACCAGAAGCATAACAGATTTGCCAAGAAAAAAGAGAAAGAGCCGCGCAAAAAACACCAGAAAGAGTTCATCCACGTGAATTCGGGAAGAGAAGAAGCAGCCATATTACAAGATGAAAAATCGGAAGATATTTATAAACAAGTACCATTCAACACATTCACCCGAACAATTTCCAATCCAGAAGCGGTGATGCGCAAAAAGCGCGAGAAAAAACTGGAGACAAAACTGAAAGAAATGACATATGGTGGAAGTTTGAAAGTGTATGGAGGCGATATTATTCCATCAAGGCCTTATGTCACGATTTTGGCTGGAATTAATGATTTTGCGGATAAAATATTGGCGGAAGCGCTGGAAAAATATGGATTGGAAAGAAAATTTGACGAATTTATGCTGGTTGAGGTTGGTTTTTATTGAATTTAAAGGAACATCTGGAAATAACAGACAAAATAAGCATGTGCGCTCTATCGAACACATATTCTTTGTTTTGTGTGCGATAGAGCGCACTCGATGCTTCAAAAAATGCGCGAAATGTCTTAGTTGTTATTGTGTGGCAAAATAGGGTTTCAAATTAAACGGTAAAAATAAATAAGAAAACCAGTTTTTCCTGAAAAAATTTCAGTTTTCTTCTTTTCTTTTTTTCCCCTTATCAGTTTTTTCCTGATCTCGAACTGAATTTAGTTTCTTTTTCTTCTCTCTGATTTTCTTTATTTTCCTGAAAAATGCCCAGAAGTTGTGCTAGTATTGATACAATTGATGAACTATGCGAATTGCAATATTTGCACGAAATGCGATTGAAAAACGAAGAAGAGGAGAAGAAGCTGAAAATGAAAAAAGTGACGATTGGCAAAAAGATTCAGCGATTTTTTTCGCTTTCGATTGAGGATGATAAAGAGGATCAAGAGGAGATTGCGAGCGAGAGGAAGAGGTGTTCGAGTGTTGATGAGAAACAGACAAGAAAGTTGTCGGTTCGATTGTTTCAGTGGTTTGGTGGATTGAGGAATGAGGTGAAACGAGAAGGAAAATATACGTTTCAACGGGTTTTTGTGATAGAAATTTAGGCGGTCTGAAATTCAGTAATTCACAAATTTAATGGGGTGATTTAGGTAGAAAAAAAAAAGAAAAATTTCGTTTCAGCAAATGCCAAAAAACTATATTTTTTTCCACACAAAATGAAACATATCTCGCAGCGAAAATTTTTCAAAACTTTCCCTCTAGATTATGACGTGGCGGGATTTTAGGAGTAGCTTCAATAATGATTTTCATCCTAATCTAATGTAGTACTAATTAGATTTGCATGAAAATTATTCTTGAATCTAGTTTTCAGCTCCTCGAATCCCGATTTTTCGAAATTTTCAAATTTTGTCACATCATGACTCATATTTAGAGTTAGAGAGAGCTAGATTTGAAAATCGGGAATTTGGAGTGACTACGAATCCACGATTCATCATTTTTATCCATAAAAATGAGCTGGATTTTGCCACATCATAACTCATATCAGAAGTTGAGTTCTCCAATTTTTTCGGCGGAATCGTGATCAGCGGGTCGAAAACTACTAGAAAACGTTTTTTCGCAATTTTCTAGTTCCAAAGTTCCAAATACAATATTCCAGGTAACATCTGGAAGTGACGCACCGCGCAAATCAATGTCAGATCTTCGAGATATCGATGGTCGACCAATTGGACCCGATGAATGTCCGTTGGCTGAAATGACTGCGAGATGTGGAGAAAATGGATTTGAATCATTTTTGGCGATTAAACGAAAACCCCATGATTATCAGTAGGTTTTCCAGATAATTTTGAAGCGTATTTTTTGTCCTGCAGAATCCCGTCAACATCTGTCATCCCCAACATCGCTCCTCCTCCTCTGCCACCGATTCCAATTTCTCCGACATCGAGAAATTTGCCGATATTGACGATAATCAATTCGAATGGAACTCCATCGAGTCATCAGATTTTGCTGCATGAAGGATTGACGGAAGTTGGAAGCGATAGAGAAATGTCGAATTTTTCGCCGCATAATATTTATGTGAGTTGAAAAATTCAAATTTTCGGGGATATCTTCTGAGCCCAGAATCATGCTCTTAGAACAAAAATTGATGAAAATCCTCATTTTGAACGAAAATTGATAGATTTCGACTCGAAAAATGGCAAATGCGCTCTATCGAACTCTGTCATTTTTTATTGCGAACTTCAAAATTTCTTCTTTTTTTCCTGGTAGTTTTTTGAGCCTGGATTTGGTGAAAATTGATTTTTTACTTGAGAATCATTATTTTTTATGAATTTGGAGCAATTTTGAGCCGAAATTCATGCTTTTCGATGGAAAATTGATGAAAATCATAGATTTTGACTAAAAATTAGCAAAAGCGCTCTATTGAACTCTCTCATTTTTGTGGCAAAATTCAAAATTTCAATTTTTTCCTGGGGTTTTTTTTTGAGCCTGGATTCGGTGAAAATGGAATTTTTACTTGAAAATCGTGATTTTTGATGAAATTGGAGCAATTTTGAGCCGAAATTCATGATCTTTGATCATTTTTTACCCTAAAGCTTCCAAAACTCCTGGAATTCCAGCTCGATGGAATCGAAATCCGAGGTCGACATGCTGCAATTGCAAATATGGAAAATGTAGTGACCCTAACTCCATCAACCCGCGATGCTTATTTAGAGGTTGGTTTTGTGTTTTTTCCTGGGAAAAATACCTGTTTTGTTTTCCCTATTAATAATAATGAAAATACATATATTATTTTCATTATTGTTATTATTTACATGCCGAAAAGCCCGTTTTTCTCTTTTGTTTTGAGTACTCTAGCTTATTGTAGATCGAAAAATCAACCCAGAAAAATATAGGGTTTTGAGAGAAAACCCCAATTTAATTATAGTATACTCATTCATTTCAATGTGTTTTTTCTTTCTATACTGTAATTTGTTTAGCACGCGCGCGACAAAAGGGTAATTGGCCTAATTCGATGGGTTTTCGCAGGTTATTTTTCCGACCTCAAATATTATTCTTTCTCATTTTTCCACTCAAATCGCCCTATAGAGAGATTTTGGGCAAAATCCAAGCGCGCGAAATTAAATTTCCGTTTTTTTTTCGAATGATGTTTAGTAAGTACTTGTCGTCCTCGAAAGAATGTCCGATTCTTCTCCACACAAAATATTTATTTATTTTTTCGTTCTATTTGTCTTCTATTTGACGCATCATTTTTGCGGCGGTGTGACCGGCTGGTTTTTGAGAGAAGAGAGAGAGAGAGAAAATATGGGCTGAAACTTTTTTTGTTAGAAAAAAGGTCTTGAAAATCTGTATTCCGAACACTTTTGGCTCAAGTTTAATATCTTTTGATGAGCTCAGAGTCCGAGGTCTAATTTGAGCAATCCACCAAGAAGATCTGAGCTTCAGAATATATGGATACTGTAGTTTTTAGCTTCTTCAAATTCACCAATTTTTTCAAAAAACTACATGTTCCTTTAAATTCCTGTCAGGTACAGTAATTGTTTTTTTCTATAGTTTTAGTACAGTAATACAATTAAAGGAGCATGCGTTCAGATTGCTCATATTTAACTATTTCGTGGCTACAGTATTCGCATTTAAAAGCACAACGATTATAACCTGAGCAATCTTTTGGGATTTCTGGAAGGCCAATTTATGTTCCTTTAAAAATGTAGGTACAAGTCTCGAAGTCATCCTCAGACACACCTCGGCCAAAATCGTGTTTTCCACAATAAAAATTGTACGCTAAATTTTTACAGTACAAAAATTGTGAATTTTTCAATTTTTGACCTCTCAAAACTGAAATTCTGATTTTTCAAAAAATTGTACTCTGTCCAGCCACGGCTTGGCCGAGGTGTGTCCTCAGATCTTCCTATTTTTCCCCCAACAAAATGAAAATGCCATTTTAGTCTCCCACTTCTTTTTTCTTCCTAATCCTTCCCGTTTTCGATTGCGTTTATTTTTTGTTGTTTCGAATCGAAAGTTTTTTTCCTCCGATTTTCTAATCCGCGAAAATTCTATCTATTTTCCTCTCTTCTTCTTCTTTTCCTTTTTTGGCCAACTTCCAAATTATTGTGGTTTTTGACAGCGGATTTTTTATTGACTTTTGCGCGATTTCTTCTCTTCCATCTCCGATTTTTTACCTAATCTTTTAATATTATCTCAATATTTTTATTCGATGACTGTATATACGTTTTTATTTTTGGGCGCGGAAATCGTATATGAGAAATGGTGAATAGTTTTGTTTAGTTTTGTATGAATCATTTTTTTGTGTTGTTTGGCGGAAGTGATAAAACTAGGTTTTTGCATTTTTTTTCAAACTGAAAATGAGATTTTTGAAGTCAAAATTATTTTTTTTTGAAAGAAAAAATTACTGTTTCAAAATTTTCATGAAACAAGATCTTGCTAAGGTTTTTCTATTAGTTTATTTATCGAACAAGAATTTAAAAAAAAATAAAAGACAATTTTTTCCCTGAAAAAAATTGTTGGCTGGTTTTGAATTAGTGATATTTTAAATAACAAACTCACTTTTAGAAATCTCCTTATAAAAAAATTAGCATTGCTCATGTTAAGCCCAGAAAATCAGTACACAGTGCGTAATTTACCATCCCAAATCGCTAGACGTCAAGATTTACAAAACATTTTTCCGGGGGTAGATCAAAAAATATTTTCTCTAATTATCTCACTTTTGCGTTGACTCTAGTCACAGCCCTAACAAGGAATGGTTTTCAATGTTCCCCCAAGGAAAAAATCGAGAGTATGTGGAATGTTGAGGGTTCCCGTGGGTAAGAAAAACCCTAACGGGAATAAGAAGAAAAATGCCTTATTCTCGAGAAAAAATGTATTTTAGGTCGATTTTTACACCATTTTTTGATTTTTAGAGCATCTGTAACTCGATTTTGAATCTATTTCATGAACTTTTGAGTCGTGGAAGTTGTTCAGAATGGTCGATTACGTGTTTGTGAAACTTTTTATCAAAAAATTAGACATTTTTTGAAATTTGGTTTTTTTAGTCGGGGTTTTTCTGATCAAATGGTCACCAAAAAACACAAAAAATAATTTTTTCCATTTTCAAATGAACGGAACTTGAAAAATTTATGACGGTCAACAGACGTAATTTGGTCCGTAGAATCCAAAAATCATAGTCTCGATTCACACAAACTTCTCCTTCACAACGAAAACGTTGATTTTCTATGAATTTTTCAAACTAGAAATTTGATTTAGTGGACTTTTGGGACCAAAATTATTTTATTCCTAATTTTAGTCGAAGTAATACTAAAGTACGCCGTTTGCGCTACAAATGGATTTTTAGACTGACATTTTTCATCAATTTTGAAAAAAAGTTTCGATTTTTCTAAAAAATTTCATCGCAAAAATCAATAACACCAAAATTTTCTAAAACAAGGCATTTTTCTCCTTATTCCCATTAGGGGTTTTCTTACCCATGGGAACCCTCAACATTCCACATACTCTCGATTTTTTCCTTGGGGGAACATTGAAAACCTTTCCTTGTAAGATCAAGTCGGGTCTCAAAAAATTGGGGAAATTTTCGGGGTAGTAAATTATACAGTGTAAATTATTGCTCATGTTAGGCTTTGTAAAAATGAGCATTGCTCATGTTAAGAATGTGAGTCAGATACATCTACTAATCAGATGATTTTCAAGAAAATGTTTAAACCTCGTAAAATCGTGATATTATTTTTCCCTCGAATTCAAAACTCATGAAAACATTTGTATTTCAAGTACTTATTGAGTTTGTTGTTGTTGTTATTTGTCCTCCTTTTTCTTCCACTTGGTTTTTCTCCTTTTCGTGCCACGGCGAGAATTTTTAAACCTCCCCCCTCCCTTGGAAAATGCGGCAGAGAAACCGGTGCAGAAAAACGAGAGAGTGAGAAAATCGGGGAGAGTGGGAAAAGAAAAAGAGTACAGGCGAAAAAATGACTGCAGAAAATTGAAAATCCTAAAAATTTCCTCTCGCATACTTTATCATTAGAGCGCACATTCTCTACTCCTCTCTATTTTCTGCGGGAGGGGGAAGAAGAACAAAAAGTTTTATTTTTCTCGCCGTGGTGCCCGTGTTCACCCTTTTCTCATTCTTCTCGTCGTAAACCGCTCAGCAGTTGCAGATGTAGCTAATTCATAGCTCAACCGATCGCAGCCCTTGACACTTGCGTTTTATTTACGAACAGTGTGCGGTTTAGCTACAAACACACACCGAAGTCTGTTTTAGCTACGAAACACACACGCATGTTTTAGCTACGAAAACTGTTTTCCTGTTTATTGCGAAATACTGCTTATGCGGGTTTATTTCTGTATTTGGCGTAGCTAGAAAACTTGCAAATATAAAACATTTATTCGTATTGAAACATACAATAACATAAGAATATGAAATTATAGTCAGTTATTCACCAGAAACACTTAATTTTCTCGCAGTTGTTTGATAGCTTCTGGATCCTGGACCGGCCGAATATTAGATAGAAAAGTAGCAACTAAAATTTCCCAATAGGGCGGTAGGCTTGCAAAACATGACGATGTGGTGTTTGTGCATTTTGCGACTCCATTTGGCGGTTTAACTTCCCAAAAACCTATTAAAAGCCAAATTGGTCGAGATCCATGACATCCGGCATTTTTCTTGTTATTGGCATCTGTAAATTGAGAAACACTGTGGAATATTGAAAATTTTGTTGGAATTACCTTATTTATTGAAGATTTCACCATCACTTTCCACTTTTTCGAGAAACGCAACAAACTGACTGTTTTTCTGCAAAGATTCAACGTAAAACGTAACTTTTAGATGAACTTACTCGTTCTCCATCGATAAAACACTGACGCGTAGACGATATAATATGTTACCAGCACTTTTCTAGGCTTTAAGTCACGAAAATCGTCGAAAAACAAAACAAAACGAAGAAAACATGTTTGCGCGCCAAAAAACCGTAGCTAAAACGTATGTGTGTTTTAGCTGAGAAATCGGTCAGAAACACTGAGCTAAATTTTTGCTTCGATTTAGCTGGAGATTCAAGTTCTTTCTACGGTTCAGCTACGAAAACCCTCAAAATATGATTTAGCTACATCTGCAAATGCTGAGCGCAAAAAATTCTTGCGCACATACACAATGTTTTTTTTTCTCTTCCTTCTGCATATGTTTGTTCTTGTCATCGACATAATTTCTCAATAGTTTTTGCTCATGAATTGAATAGCTTTGGCTGTTTTTTCCCACCATTTTACAACCCATAGAATTTGCGTTATTCCCACACACTTTATGAGGTTTTATGGTGGGTTTGGGGGTTGTTAATGCTTTTTTTCGTTCACACTAGTCAAGTATTTGTTCATTTTTTCAAATGTTTCTCCTAGAGGCAATCAAGTTTGCCCTATCGCACACTATTCATTCGTGTTGTGTACTTCTCGAGGATTTTGGAAGAAAAGTAGCAAATGCGCTCTATTGAACTCTCCCATTTTTTTTTTGAAAAATTCAAACTTCTATTTTTTTAATGCAAACACTGTGACGCACGCAATCAATCAAGTTCGCTCTATAGCACACATGATTTGTGTACTTCTCGTGAAATTCGCATTTTAAAGGGGGTTAGATATCATTTTTCGGTTGATCTAGACCACCCACGAAGCCTTATGCTCCAACAGTACGCAAAAGTGCGTCGCAGTGTTTGCACACACCAATTCGCTTGATCAAGAAAAATAATAGAAATTTAAATTTTTCAAGAAAAATGGGAGGGTTCAATAGAGCGCAGTTGTTATTTTCGAGTCAAAATTGTCCATTTAGAGTTGTGAAATCCTCGAGAAGTACACAACACAAATGAATAATGTGTGCGATAGAGCAAACTTGATTGTCTCACGTGACGAATTGTCCAAAAGAATACCAAGCTTTTAACATGTCTAGATAAATAGCAATCCCCTTTTTGTCATCAGCTGTGTTCGTTTTTCTCTCTTCATCTCCTTTTTTGTCTGCGGTTTCGCTTTCAAATCGCTTCCCTCCCCACATTGATTTATCTTTTTGAGATCGACGAAATTCCTCCATTTGCAACACTAACTTTTTTTTTGCCTACATATTATGGATTTTTGTTGGAATTTAAAGTTGAATTCAATTTTTTGGTTCAAAAAAATTCAATTTTGAACCAAAAAATCTTATATTTTTTGTTTTGCAGCTCCACAGTTTTTCTTCCCCTTTTTCCCTTTTTAAAAATGATTTTCCCTTCAGGTAAACGGTGTGCAAATCATGCAGACAGAAATATTGAGAGATGGTGATTTGATTCGAATTGGCACCGATAATTTGTTTCGATTTTCGAATGGAAATGAGATGAGAGAAAATGGAGGACATGGGAATATCAAACAACACAATTCGTATTATGCTGAAGTAGTGAGTTTTTTTGTGATTTTTGACTTCAAAACGCTGAAACCGGGCAAATTTTCACCCACTATATTATTATTTTAGCCGTTGCTCATATTAGGCCTAGAAAAATGAGAATTGCTCACTTTTTTTTTACTTCAGAATTTTGGAAACTTATTTTTAAGTTGTTAATCTTCCTGGGAGATTTTCAAAAGAATTTTAAAATGTTTTCATCAGAACCGAGGTTTTTTTAGCTTTCATAGGGAATTTTAGGTTGAATTTTTCAAATGTATGGAAATTTGAATCTGAAAAACTTTTTCTGGAAAAAAAATCAATTTTTGAAAAAATTTCTAGTTTTGTTTTGCTCAAATATTTTGCCTTGGGATTTTAAAAAATCCGATTTTTCAAATTTTGAAAAAAAAATCGATTAATTTTCAAAAATTAAAACTTGAAATCTCAGAAGTTATAACTATAGTTTTCAATTTTCAAAAATTTTGAAATTTTGATTCTTAAAAAATTTTGAGTTCGGATTGCTCATGTTAAGCCTAGAAAATTGAGTCTTGCTCAGATTAGTCTCTAAAAAAGGAATATGGCTCATGTTAGGCTCTGAAAAAATGAGTATTGCTCAGGTTAAGCCCAGAAAACTTTTTTTGGATTTTTTACGGATTTTTTACCAAATGTTTTCTTCCAGTCTGATTCACGTGCCTCAACTGCCAGATGTGCTCCTTCGGATTACGGTAGTCTGCCATTGAATGGAAATTCAGCGGAAAACTATCCACCCAGGTGTGTTCTTTTTCTTTTATTTTTTGTGTTGGTCAAAAAAAGGCCTATACAAATTTTGGGGATTATTCATTTCACAGAAGCGTGCATATATTGTCTTTTTTTCCACACACACAAAAAATATTATCATATTTCCACTATACAAAACTTTTTCAATTTCAGTTTGAAATTAATATTTTTCTCAGTTTCCAATATTGTTTTTATTACGATTTTTCTCGGGAAATATATATTTATTCAGCTGTTTTTGGCCGTTTGAAAAAAGTTTTCCCCCATTTTTTTCCTCCTTATTTTTTTTTTCGGAAAGGATATCGAATGACATTTTTGATGGGAATATTTTTTTGTTGTTGTCCTAGCAAAATTTATGCGAAGTAGTGCGAACCATATAATTTCAAAATTCCCGAGAAAATCGATGAACCAAGCACAAAAAATAATCGTTTTCACCTTTTTTGTGATAAGACGCGACAAATGTAAACATTCATGCATGAACCATCTTTTTTTATTCCTTTTTTCTTTTCTTGCCGAGACCTTTTTATAGATGAGTCATCCTGAAGAGGGACAAATAAATAAATACATATTTTTATTTATGTAAATGTTTTGGGTCATGTTTGGTGATAGGTTTTTGAATCATGTTTCTATTATTTTTTGGAGAATAGTTTGGGAAGATTTAGAAAATATATTCCCCAGAATATTACTTAGGATAACTTTAGAATTCTGATATTTGGCTTAAAGTAGAATTTTATAAATTCTAAGTTTTTCTGTGAGCCAAAAAAATTTTTTTAAAAGTTAGGACAACTTGAGAATTCTTTTTTTGGCCAGAAAATCTATCAAATTTTCCCGGGAATTTTTGTCGAAAAAATTTCAAAGGGAGAATTCGAATTTTGACAGATTTTTCAAAAACATGGATGAAGCTTGAGATTTGAAAAATATTAAATCTCTTTCTAGAATTTTATAAGCTTTTCTGAAAGCAAAAGTGTATCCAGAATATTTTTAAAAGTAATTTTTCCCCCAGAATATCACTGTTTCATTTTCTAACTTAGCAAAACTTCAGAATTATTTTTTTTAGATAGTCTAACTTCCTTAAAAACCCCATACCTAAGATTTTCCTCTAAAAAATCCTCTCGAACATCGGCTTCAATACTTTTATGAGCCAATTTTCGTCATTCTCTTTTTTCATGTTCTCCGTTGTTTTTTCTATAATCGTATTGTTAGTTACAACTTCCTGTATCTCTCTCTCTTTTATTTTTTCTCCATTTTTCCTTCATTTTTCGAATCTCTAGAAATGCGTCGATTCAATTCGGAATCTCGTCTTCAAAATGAGACCACTTTTGGTATTATTCCACAATCTTCCTATAATAATAATTCATCCTATAATAATTCATCTCATCATCATCGAACTCTTTCCTATCGTCAACATCGCCGCGCGGCTTCAACTGATGCGGATCCGATTCCGATTCCGGATCACAACCAGATTCCAATCCCACGACCACGTCGAGTGACTTTCTCACAACAAATCGAGACTCCACCAATTGCACCGTCGGTCGATAGGAAGCCTGTGTTTTTCAGCGCCACGCAATTGAAATCGCTGTGAGAATTTTTTGAGCGCGCTTCTGTGGAATTTGAATTTTTTGGGAGGGAAATTGGGATTGAATGGGATAAAAAAATTGTTGTTAATATGAGCAATCTATATTTTTTCATAATTTTATGAATGATTTTTAATATGAGAAATCTAGTTGTTAACATGAGCAATCTATATTTTTTCATGAGCTTATGATTGTTGATATGAGCAATATATGCAATTAAGTTTCTGATATGAGAAATCTAGATTTTCATTATCTCATGATTTTTAATATGAGCAATCTAGATTTTCATAATCTGATTTTTGTTATTATGAGCAATCTATATATATTCATAATTTTTTGATTGTTAACATGAGCAATCTAGTTATTAACATGAGCAATTTAATTATTAGCATGAGCAATCTAGATGTGATGATTAAAAAATGACCGTGTTTTCTGTTTTCTAGAGAGACTTTCTTCATAAAAAAAACCAAAATGGTCCCATTCAGACATCCAGGAGGAAATTCCTATCCAAAATGTTCCTCATCCCATAAATTCTCCGTTTTTTGCAGTGTTTCTGGTTCGTCAATTTCGTCGAGAAATATGAATGAGGATATTTTGAATTCCAATAATAGTAAGTCACTTTTTTAGTTGAACATCTAGAAATTCAAAAATGCTCCTTCTTCCAGACCGATTTCCGAGTTATTCGAAATTGGAGCCAATAAACCTGAACATATCTTTACAAATTGGCGACTATAATGTTTGGGATTTCCTCGGTGAAGTGATGTCGAATCGTGCCTCGTGTTTCCCATCGGATTTCCGTCTCTCACCCGCCTACTCACTCTATTTGGCCCTCCGCTTCTTCCAAAATCACAGCAAACCCTACACTGTGCAGTTTTTCTCGCGAATCGAAAGCAACTTCAAACAAATCGCACAGGAATGTTCGTCGCGCGATGATTTGATATTTTGGTTGGCGAACGCGGCCGAATTCAATCATTTGATTGAGCGAGACAAAACGTTTCGATTTGCGAAAATTGGAATTGAAATTGAGAGATTGTTCAGGAAATTGGTAGCTGTATTACAATCCCAAATTCGACCGGCATCTCGTGCAATTATTGATATTCATTTAACGGATTCCGATTCGACTCGAGATATTATTAAGATCCTTGACTCCACTTTGCGAACTTCTCGAACATCTCGATTAAATCCAGCCATCGCAATTCAATTATGCGGACACATTTTGCATTCTGTAAACAGTCACATCTTCAATCATCTAGTCGCCGTCGGTTTCCCGCCAATTCCCCTAACTTCCCGACTCGGAAGATGTTTACAAATGAGACTTGAGATAATCCACAGATTCGCCGAAAGTATGGGCATTGAATTGGCAGCGGAATGCCATTTGGATCGATGTAGACAGGCGGCGAATTTGTTGGCAGCGAGTAAAAATGATGTGGCAACACTTGGATCGACTTGTTATAAATTGAATAGTTTGCAGGTAGAGGAGAAGATTTTTAAGAAAAAAAAATCAATTTTTTTTTGTCCAGGTTGTCCACCTTCTTTCCTCATTTGAACATCAAGATGGTGAAATTCCTTGTGATGATGATATTATTGATCGAATAGTACGGTTGTCTGAAAAACAGGCTGATGTGCTGACAATTGAAGATGGGCAAAGAATCACACTTGAAGAAGCCGATGAATTGCAACTGCCATTCTTACTCCCGCAAGATGGATATTTTGTTGAGCAAATTCGAGCGATACCCGATGGATTGTGGCAATATTTGATGCAACTTCAACACCGAAGACTTTGTCATAGTGTGACGAATGGCCAGCAACAGAATGGATCAGCACAATCACAAAATCATCAACAACAACCGATTGTTCGAAGTGTTTCGCAGACAACGTTGACTAGTATTCCGACTACGCAATTTGTGAGTTTTTTGAAAAAAAAAATAGAAAATCAGATCAGAAATACGACAGGATTTTCATAGAAATCTATATCGGAATTTTGAGCTTCTCCTAAAATTATTTTAATATTTCACGGCTTCTTACGTAATTTCCGAAAATTTGATTTTCAAATTTTATCGAGAAGAAGTTATTATCATAAAGTCCACCTGAAAATTAAAAAAAATATATGAAAATTGTTTTATTCACAATCAAAATTATTTAGAACTCAAGTTTTGTTCAATGAACATCTGATTTTTTCATCAAAAATCAGATATCAAATGTTTTTTGATTTCACATTAAAAATTGTAAATTGTCAGTCATTTTTGTTTCCCCTTGACTCCCAAAACGAAAAAAATACGTTTCAACAATTTTTAATTATAAATTGAAAATTGTCAGATCTGCTATAAATTGAAAATTGTCAGATCAAGTTATTCAATTTAAAAATTTAAAAAAATCTTTAGAAAATTTCTCAAAGGTTCCTCATTCGATGTTTTTTATCTATATTTTCTAAAAAAAAAATTCAACCCTAAAATTTCACTAATTTTTTGTTCCTACACAAAACGAAAAAAATACGTTTCAACAATTTTTCATTATAAATTGAAAAATACAGTCCTCCACATAATCTTAGCCTCACCCCCAAAATTTTCGAAAAATCGAAAATTTGATTTTTTCAGAAAAAGTTGGCATAGTCAAAATATGTCAAAAGGTGATACATAAATGTACCCTACTTCGAATTTCAGATAAAAATGAGGCTGAAATAAAAAGTTGACTTTTTTGAAAAATAGGTCTTTTCACTTTCCACATAATCTTAGCCTCACCCTAAAAAATTGCTGGAATTTCAGGTTTTTGGCTTGAAATGAGTTTGGAATGAGGCTGAAAATGATAGTTAAATCAATTTCAGATAGAATTGAGCTGTAATCAACCACTATTGATTGATTAACAGTGACCGAGAGCGCTGATAGCGTGAAGACTTCCATAAAAACAAGTTTTCAGTCGAAGTTGGTCCAAAATTCGATTATTTCGAGCTTAATTTTTAGAAAATTGGTAGAAAACACTTTTTCCAACATAATCTGTCAAATTCTAACCCGAATTGCAAAAAATTTTGAATATTAGCTGATTTTTCGAAAATTTAAAAAATTTTTTGAACCAAAATTTTTGAGTTTCAGCCAAATTTCCGACATTTTTCTGAGTTTTCCAGTTGGATATTCTTGTTCAGGCAAGATACTGATCTCTTACATCTGAAATAAGCTTATTCTTCAATAGGGCGCTCTGAAATTGTGAGATATCGGTCATATCTGATCCAAAGTTTCAGATAAATTTTGAGAAAAACAGTTTATTCTTGTAATTTCTGAAAATTTCAGTTTAACTGTGTGATAATGGTTGAAAAACTGACAAAAACCAATAACTTACTTCAATTAAACAATTTGTGTCCAAATGTTCAACCAGGAAAGCTCCTCAATGTTGGGTTAAAAAATTTTCAAAAATTCATCAAAGTCAGGTTTCAATCTCACCTGATTCTTACTCCATTTTTGAATTTCTGAGTGTCAAAATTCGAAAAATTATCAGAATTAACGTGTTTTCGTAGAATCAAGAATATCCAACTGGAAAACTCAGAAAAATGTCGGAAATTTGGCTGAAACTCAAAAATTTTGGTTCAAAAAATTTTTTAAATTTTCGAAAAATCAGCTAATATTCAAAATTTTTTGCAATTCGGGTTAGAATTTGACAGATTATGTTGGAAAAAGTGTTTTCTACCAATTTTCTAAAAATTAAGCTCGAAATAATCGAATTTTGGACCAACTTCGACTGAAAACTTGTTTTTATGGAAGTCTTCACGCTATCAGCGCTCTCGGTCACTGTTAATCAATCAATAGTGGTTGATTACAGCTCAATTCTATCTGAAATTGATTTAACTATCATTTTCAGCCTCATTCCAAACTCATTTCAAGCCAAAAACCTGAAATTCCAGCAATTTTTTAGGGTGAGGCTAAGATTATGTGGAAAGTGAAAAGACCTATTTTTCAAAAAAGTCAACTTTTTATTTCAGCCTCATTTTTATCTGAAATTCGAAGTAGGGTACATTTATGTATCACCTTTTGACATATTTTGACTATGCCAACTTTTTCTGAAAAAATCAAATTTTCGATTTTTCGAAAATTTTGGGGGTGAGGCTAAGATTATGTGGAGGACTGTATTCGATCTGCTATATTTTTTCATCATAAAAAACGATATCCACCACTAGATTTACAATTAGATTTATATTTTTGCACAGAAAAATTCCAAGAAAAAATCCTGAAACTTATTTTTATTTTCCGAAAATAAAACAATTTAAAAAATGTCAACATTTTTTTCTGCTTCTTCACAAAACGAAAAAAAAATACGTTTCAACGATTTTTCATGATAAATTTTGAAATATCCGATATGCTAAGTTGTTTAAATCACCATCATTAATTATTTGCAGGGCGATAGTATTGGAAGTGGAATGTCTCAATCCCTTCACCAACATTTCTCAACATCTCACAACACATCTTCATCAACAACAACCCAGCAGCCATCTGCAATATTAGCCGCACCTCAATCATTTTCCGCTTCCGCAAACCAACAACAAGATGCGTTGATTCGTGTTTTATTGCGCAAAAATGGAGGGGGAATTGGATTGAGTATTGTTGCGGCGCAGGTAATAACGGGGGGAATGACTAATTAAAACAGGTAGTAATTAGGTATAGTTAACTTTATTTCTTTTCTCGTTTTTATTAGTGGCAAAAAAAGAAAGATAGATTAAAATCTGCTTTTGTTTTTATTTGATTTTATTTCATCCGATCTCTTTTTATTTCTGGGTCGATATGGTTATTGTTGGAGTTGTTGCAAAGGTTTTTTGAGCTACATTTTGGCAGAGATTTCAAAAATTAATTCTGGAACTTTTTTCAGGGCGTCGGTGACAGACAGATGGGAATTTATGTGAAGAAAGTTGTTGAGGGAACGCCGGCTGCGTTGGATGGAAGATTGGAGACGGGAGATCAGTTGATTTCGGTTAATGGACATTCGTTGATTGGCATTTCGCAGGAGGAGTGGGTTTTTTTGGGGGCGATTTGGAAAAAATTGAAGTTTTGTTCAAAATAACTTTAGAAAAATTCAAAATAATATGAGAAATGCTTTAATTTTTCTGGGTTTTGAAGATTTTGAAAAGAAATTGAATTTTTGTTCAAACTTAGCTTAGATAGAAAAATTCAAAATAATAGAAAAGTAATATGAGCAATGCCTAAATTTCTAGTTTAATATGAGCAATTCTTAAATTTCTAGACCTAGAGTAATGTTTAGAAAATTTGGAAAATTTTAGATCTTACAGTATAAATTTGAGTCAAATCCTGATTTTAGAATCGAAAATAGAAAATACCAGATGATTTTTTTTTAATTTCAAAATATTTCCTGAAAACGTTTTTCCCCTCCTCTCATCAGAATGATTTCTTGCAGAGCTGCAAAATTAATGACAAGCAGCGGAAATGAAGTTCACTTCGATGTTCGCAAACGCGCCGCACATCGAAATGGCCTCAGCACGTGGCTCGTCTCACCAATCACACCATCCACTTCTTCGCCAATGTTCCCGCCGCCGGCCTATAACAATGTTGTCAACAGACCTCCATCAACTGCAAATTATGACGTGGTTCCTCCGCCATCAAAATATCCGAGTGCTTTCGTTTCGCCTCAACATTTACAACAACATTATCAACATCATAATAATAATATTCATGGAACTGAGCCTGGATCTGTTCGACATTATCGATCGTCGTCGGCTTCCGATTTACAACAACAACAACAGCAATTGGCAAATGGAGGAGATGTAGGGGTTTTTTTTGAAGCTAAGCGTTTAGCGCACAGGTGTAATTTGCTACGCGATTTTTTGCAAAGCCTAACATGAGCATTACCTCACACTTTGTAATTTACTACCTAAAAACTCTCTGAATCAATTAAGACCTGACATGATCTTAAGGTTGGTTCTAAAGTTAAATCGGAGAGTTTTAAGGTAGTAATTACAAAGTGTGAAGTATAGCCTATTTTAAGCTCTGAAAAATGAATATTGCTCATGTTAGGCTTTGCAAAAAAAATGAGAGATTCAGAGAAAAATTATTTTTGATCTACCCAAAAAACTAGCGATTCTTGTTAGTAAATTACACACTGTGTAGCGGCCACGTGAAGTCTCTAGCTATCCGCGTGGCCGCTGACGCGGAATCTTGCGGTTTACACTCGCTCCGCTCGAAAAATAAAGCCTAAAATGTTTTTTTTCAGCCTAACGCATCTTTCTCCCAAATGTCAATAACATCAAGCGGCCAGCGATCTTCGGTCTTCGACAAATTACCCTCCCATTATCGCCACTCGACCCGCCCAACAGTCATTCAACCGAACCGCCCTGGTGCACAATCGCCGTCGGCACTCCGAAGATCGGCGCCGTCTCCAACCAATTTGTATCGACCCACATCGGCTTCGAATCTTTTTGCGCCACCTAGGCAAAATGGAGCGCTTGCCGGGTATTCGAGTAATGCGGCTAGAGAGAGTACACAGGATTTGCATAGAGCTGTGAGTTTTTGACTGATTTTTGATAGAAATTTGATCTTAAAGGTGGAGTCTGACTAAAAATATATCAATTTCAATTCAAAACTTCGTCTCCTGGTTAAAAAAGCCATTGACTAATTTTCATTAAAATCGGAATTCACAGAGAAAAACAGCTCCAAATTACTGGAAAGCCATTTTACACGGTGTTTCACAGTTTTTTTTCGAAAAAAGTTTTAAAATAATGTTTGAGAAGCTCCTGATAATTTGTTTCTTGCTCAGGCTCCACCTGAAATTTTTTAGTCATGGGATAAATTATTGACTTGAATCTTTTATTTTGCTGTGGGCTGATTCACGAACGAAAAAGTGTTTTTTAAAAATTTTTCACATTGAAAGATCAATTCACGAAAAATCAAAAAGAAAACATTGTGGGTCAAAATTAGTTTTTCGAGTTTTTCAGCCAAAAATGATGACAAATCAATATTTTTCAAGCTTCTGGAGTAATTTCTGATAAAAATAAGCCTCGAGGACCCTATTTTGCTTTATTTTATGAATTTTTTCGAAATTCATCAAAATTTTAACATTTTTTATTTTACGAAAAATCAGCAAAACCTTCTGGAAAGTGAATTCCGAAGTCAATTTTCATCAGAAATTACTCCAGAAGCTTGAAAAATATCGATTTGTCATCATTTTTGGCTGAAAAACTCGAAAAACTAATTTTGACCCACAATTTTTTTTCAACATTTTTTGACTTTTTCATGAATTGATCTTTCGATGTTAAAAAAAACATTTTTCCGTTCGTGAATCAGCCCTTTTGTTTTTTTCTCCCATTGTATCCTTCTTTTTTATAGCTTGAACTCTCTTCCCCATTGGCCCGCTCAACCCCGAATGAAGAATCATTTAACAGTCGATCAATATATTCAACAACCAACACATCCAATACTAATAATCGATATCCTTCTAATCACACTTCTCCACAATATCAACAACCAAAAGTTGTTAAGGAGCCGGCGATTGTTCGACCTGTTGAATTGAATATGCCCAAACCGACGCCGGTTATTAAGGGAGCTGTTCCGACGGCGATTACGCAAGCATTACAATTGCAAAATGGAACTTCAACAAATAATATTCGAGCTGTTCGACCGCAATCTGGACTTCGAGAGAAACTTCTAGAAAGACAAGATGCGGATGTTCGACAATTGGAAAAGACAAACATTGCATTGATGAGTTATGAAGCTGTGAATGAGGAATTAGATCGACTTGATATGAAGGGACAATTTATGAGTGAAGATGAAACGAGAAGATATCGAGAATTGTTGAATGTGGCGGCTGAACAAAGTCGAGCGAGACGGTTGTTGGCTGATGTGAAAAGTCCATCGGTGGAGAGGAATATTCCGATTGTTGTGCAGACGCCACAGAAATTGGTACAGAGAGAAACGAGAATTGAAACGGTTATTGATGATATTCCGAATTCGAATTCGAGTATTGAAAATGTGTCACCGGATAATCGGAAAGTTCAATTCATTGATGAAATTGCGCAGGGCCCATCGACGACGGCGACGCTGTTTGCAGCCGATGTTCCACTTTTGGATTCACCTGGGGTTGGTTTGAATTGGGTTAACCTGAGCAATACAATGCTCCAAAATTTTCGAAAAATTGAGATTTTCAGTCTGAAATTGGGTTAACATGAGCAATGCTCCAAACTTTTGCTAAAAAATTTGATCATATTTTTTATCTTTTAAAAGATTTCAAGAATTTTTTCCACAAACTTCTGAAAAATTGAAGCCAAAAGTTTTTCAAAAATAAAATTCTGACTATGATTTTGGCTTAAAATTGGGCTGAAAATTTTTTTATTTAAAAAATAATTAGAAATTTGAATTCTGGGGATTTTTTTGAAATTTTTTAGCCTAAAATTCAAATTCCTTGAATTAAATTTCAAATCGGAACACTTTTTTGGAATTTCAGAATTCTAAAAATCCAGCTGGGATTTCTGATAATCCTTGAAGTTCAGAGTGGAACTTTCTAGAATTTTTTCCAAAAAACAATTCTGACAATGATTTTGGATTAAATTAAAAATAGGACTGAAAATCCGAAATTTTCATTGTTTTTCGAAATTAAAAACATTTTTTCATCAAAACCCATATTTTTCCAGATTGTTGGCACAAATGAAATCTATCGCGATCCCCGCCAACGTCGTCTAAACGAAATTCAAGATCGCACAAAATCCGACGGAGCCGATGGAGCAAAACTTGGCTTCCGAGACAAGCAGAAATTGTTTGCTCGACAAATTGGAGAAGAAGAAACACCGAGACAGCGAAAAGATGTTAGCAGTGCTCAAAGACAAATTGAAAATGAAATATTGAATCAGAATCAGAATCAGAATTAGCCATAATCTATAATCTCGCTATTTTATTTTTTGTATATTTTATGATAGCTCACTAATCGGTTTAATTTTTGATGTTTTTCATGTGAAAAAAGGCTATAAATTTTTAACATTTGCTGACCAATGCGATCAAAACTGAAAAGATCAATGCAAGGGAGTTTTGATAAAAGAAACAATTTGGATCGGGAAAAAAAAATAAACAACGTGATTTATTCTACAGCGGATCGTACGAAATCGTTTTCGAGGAATTTGACTAAAAAATTTTTCACAATTCAGAAATTTCTGAAATTTGTGATCAGCAAATTATTTTAAGTTGAAAATATTAAGAAGTTTTGAAACATATATTTTCCAGGTTTTGGGTTCATTTATTAAAGATATGTTCGATCTCTGTTCGATGTTTTTGATGGATATATTTGCACCGTGAGATCAAATAGATCCAGATTTTTCTCCAAGTAATCTCTATCCGGTTTCTCTCTTCATCCCTTTGTTTCATTTTCATGATAATCCTAGAAACTATCATAATTAGGTCAAATTTTCTTATTTTCATCACTTTCCTTTTTCATTTCTTTTTGTTTCTGAACTTTCATCGACCAATGACGCACTGGATTTTTTCTAAATTTAGAAAATGGTGATCGATATTTTTTCGGATAATTTTATAAATTATTTATTTATAAATAAATCTATATTTTCTCCGCCTACAAAAATCTTTTCTTTTCGATTTATTTCGTTTCATTTTGTTTTTGATAATCAGATCAGAAAGTTCATCTTTTCCCAAGGATCTTTTAATGTTAAATTATTAATTAAGTTCTTGAAAATCATTGATAAACAAAGATCGGAACACAATTGATCCCGTTGACACTTATCATTTTCGCCCCGTTCCAAATTAATCTTTCTATTTATCTACCTTTCAGATCAACCGATTCAGTTCTCAATTTCAAAAAAAGTGTTCGCAAAAAGGTTTTGTAATCCAGTATGCAAATTATTAAATGTGCGGAACTCTTCGAGTTGGCCACATAATCACTTTTACCATTCTGCTATTTTTTATTTCTGGAATCCAGGGAGAAGAAGAAGAAGAGGATTTGAGGCAGTTTCCACGCGGTGTTTATCATTTTAGTGATCTTGATCGGGAAATTGAGACCTCTTTTAAGGTTCCCGATTTTGGAGCGGTTAGTTTTATGGGGATTTTGGGAAAAAAAAAGGGGGGGGGGTGAAATATAGGCGTAAAAAATAAAAAACATTACTTCGTCAGTCGCCTGCGGCTATGCGTCGCGGTCATTGTTTCCTTTGACTCCCGACCGCGACGCACAGCCGCACGCGACTTTATTTTTTACGCCAACCACATTTTTCAACTTCGACACTAACGATTTTCCCTGTAAAACGACCCTCTCTTTCATTTTCCCCCCAGCTCAAACTAGAAACTTCCAGCTTGACCCAATAAAAATGGCCTCCGATCTAATGTCCTCCGCAATCCGAACTGATACAAAACGAAAAACTCTAGCCGGAATCGAACTTCCATTTTCATTCACCGGTCGACCGATGTCAATTCAAATCAATGGAGAAACTCACAATGCGGTGAATTTAGTCGACCCAAAAGCTATGCGAAAATCAGAGAAGCCAAAAGAAATCCGAAGATCTCCTGAAAGTCGACAAACATTTCTGAAAGCTCGACAAATATGTTTGGAAGAAAGTATTGAATCATGCGATGAAGCACTTGACACATTATATCAATTGAGATTCGGGAAAAGTCTTGTAAATAATGATGAAGAGGGTGAAGATAATAATGGAGAATATCGGAAGATTATTGAAGATAAAATTAAAGAAATTGGTACAAATCATGAAGATTCTGAGGAAGATTATCATGACAAAGCTCGAAACTTTCTCCGTCAAATAAACTAGTCATTAATAAACATTTTAATCATTTGATTTGTTTCCGGAACCATTTTTTTGTCAGGGAATTTTCATAATTCATTGTTTCCGCATGATTCATGAAAACAAAAGACTATTTTGCTTTAAAAACCCCCCTCTGGAAGTTGATACCAGAAACAAAATGAAATTCATCATTTTATTGGCGATTTTGGTGGTTTCAGCGAGTTGCGCCTATCCACCAAACAGGCAACAATGCTTCAATGGTCAAGTTCAAATTCGGAATTCGAATAGTTATTGGGAATGTTTGAATAGTCAATGGACTATTGTAACTTGTCCATCTGGAAGTAGATTGGATCAAAATGTGAGTTCACTAGAAACATTCTCATGTTTTTTGAGTAAGTGAGTTGAAATATTGGGTTTTAAGGTCATTCCACTGGTCCTGGGAGTTTGACCAAAAATTGGTCAATTTTTGGTCAAAAAAATTTTGAACAAAAATTGACCAAAAATGCACCAAAAAATTTTCACCATTTTTTGGTCAATTTTTCAACTTTTTCCCACCAATTTTTCACCATTTTTTGATCATTTTTCCCAACTTTTTTCAAATCAAAAACACATTTTTTTCACAAAAATTTATTGAAAAGAACAAAAAGAAACAAAAAAATGGTTCTAACTGTTAGGAATCTGCTTATATTATGAACTTTAATTTTCATTGAAAAACATTTTTAGCTAATTAGAGAAAAGAGTTGGAGGCTTGTGCTCGGAAGAATGTAAATTTTGCCCTAAGAAAGTCAATTTTAGAGCAATCGCAGACTCCTAACAGTTTGTGAACCTTACAAACAATAAAAATTGCATCAGTTTCGACTAATACTTCTGCTTTCTCTGCACCAGCAGAAAGAGCAGTGTCAACTTGTTCCTTGATTTGCTCACGTCCTTTTTCTGACAATTTATCCGGATTACCATATTGTTCCTCGTCGATTGAATCGTTGTTGGCATCACCTTCTTCTACGGTTGGCAATTAGTCATGGCATCTGAGAAAACTTGATCTTCAAGTTATCCAAAGGGCTTGTCCATAGTAGAAGCAAGGTTCAAATGATTGTTCGCTGTCGTCTCCGAAGAGTTTACCACTGAAATGCATAGAAATAGAAAATGTATGAAAATTTCAAAACTTACGCAAGTTGAGAAGCCAAACTCAAGAGATCAGCACCCATGCTGAATTCGCTTGTCAACAAATGACGCTTTCCAGATGTCAAGTTGTTCTTCAATTATGTAGTCCTGGAAATAAGAACCAACTTTGATTAAAATTCTTCAGAAGAAAAAACTGACTTTTCCTCGGCAGTGAGCTCTTTGGTGGCAGCGGTGGAAGTTTCAGCAGTAGTTGGACTCGAGTTGCTTCTTCAGTAGTGGTGGTCTTGACATTTTCAACTGGAACAGTGGTTTCTCCGGTCATTGTGTTGGTAGTCTCAGCAAGAGCAGTAGTCATTCTTTCTTGGTTAGTAGTTTCTAAAAACAGCAGAAATATCAATATTGCGAAATAAGATCGATAAGAATCGAATTTTAAAACCCCGACGGCCGTCTACCGGCTGTTGAGACACTTCTGATTGTAACATAGAAACTCATGCAAATGTTGCTGAAAACTTGTCAAATTGAGAAACAGCCCCGTTCTGATAAAAAATCTAAAACTCAAAGAAAACCAATTTTTTGTTTTTGGCCTAAATTCAAGTTTAATATGTGAATTTCAAAGTTCTGGTAAAACTTGCTGCTAGATCCTAGTCGGGGAACAAGCTTTATATCTTATTAGCAGTCGTGAACAATCAATTTCTCTATAAGTAGGGCAACACACAAAAAAAACGAAAAAAAAAAGAAAAATTTGGTGGCGTGCATTTCGTCCGAGAGAAGTACGCACACACATTTCGCTGCAGGACCACATTGCATAAATATGTGCGCCTTTAATCTATTGTTTTCGCGCACCAATTAGTAGTGTTTGGTGATAAATAGTTTGCACCATTCGATTCAGAATTTCACGCTGAGTAAAATGATATAAAAATCATCTCTATGTGTGGAAGTTTTTGAGTTCACGTTTTTGGGAAAAAATGCACGATTTTTGGAACACTGGTGTTAAAAAATAATGGAAATTATTGCCCCTGAACCCAATACTTCTGATTTCTCTGAGCCCTTGTTCTTGATAAATCAAGGATCGATCAATACAACTGATAGATTCGAGATAGGCACCAGGCCTGGTCGGAATGGACCTTGTCGGAAGGTTCGGAATGAGCACGCTCGTTCCGAGTGGTCAGATCGTAATTCCGAATTCCGAACCTCCATTCCGACATTTTTACCTCGGAATTTCGGAATTTTTCGGAATGATATAAAACTTCAAAAATTTGTCTTCAAAAGTTACATTTTTCGAGAATCACAAGAGAAAAAGAGATTTTTTGAAAATGACAGGTAAAATTCATCAATTTTTCCTTTTTTTTGTTGAATTTTTCACTAATTTCAACTCAAACATTCCGAAAAATTCCGAACTTCGGTAGAAAAATTCCGAAATTCGGAAGAGAAACACATTCCGAAATTCCAAAAAGTTTCGGAAGTAACATCGGAATGATTCCGATTCCGAGAAAATAGATTCCGATTCCGAGACACGTTTGTCTCATTCCGAAAAACCTGTCGGTTTCGGAATTTCGGAATTCCGACATTCCGATTCCGATCAGGCCCTGATAGGCACAGGGTGTAATTTACTACCTCAATCGCTAGACCTCAAAATTTTCATTAATTTTTGGGTAGATCAAAAATCAATTTTCTCTAAATCTCTCATTTTTGCGTTGAATTTCGTCGATTTTAGTCCCACCCCTAAGATCGTGTCAGGTCTCAAAAAATGCGCGAATTTTTTCGGGTAGTAAATTACACTCTGTGATAGGTCTCTGCTTGGTAAAAATAGCTCCAAGATAAGTCAAAACTGATTTTAGTTGAAGATTTGGGGCTGAAATTTGCGCCAATGGTGAAATTGGTGTGAGTGGCGCCAAAATTCACCAAACGAAGTATTTTACTCCTATTTATTGATTCATCAGTAGAAAAACAACGAAATTCATCAACCTAACTTCACCAAAAGCCGCAAAACGACATGCCTGCCCAACAACATTAAGATTTTCGAAATTTTTCACAATTAAAATTTTCACTGATTTTTGGCCAAATTTCGACCAATTTTTCGGCCAATTTCTGACCATATTTTGGCCAATAAATATTTTTGATCAATTTTTGGTCAAAATTCGACCAATTTTCGTTTTTGGCCAAAATTTGGTCAATTTTTGGTCAACCTCCCAGGACCAGTGTTCATAGGATAGAGAGGTCTAGGACAATTCGAATGATATAAATTTTTATGACATTTTGTTACCCATAAGTGATTCAGCGACTCTAAGTCAATCAACTCGTCTTATCGACTAAACGTCGCTAAATCACTTTAGGGTAACGTAATGTCCAAAGAATATGAAGTTTTATGGCAATACCTTAGCCATAAGTGATTTCGGGACGTTTAGTTGATCGACTAAATATCAATCATTCGGTCTGTCTTGGACATTACGTTACCCTTAGGTGATTTACCGGCGTTTAGTCGACAAAACGAGTTGAGTTGCTACAGTAATGTCATAAAAATGTATATCATTCGAATTGTTTTAGACCTCTCTAGCCTATGAATAAGCTTAAAACCAAATATTTCAACTAACTCCCTCAAAAAAAAATTAAAATAAATCAATAAAAATTTCCTAGATATTGAAATGTGTCCCGATTTATGCTCCACCTCCACCCCCACAATATATCTGCATTGCTGGAACAACAAGAGCCGATATCTTTGACAATCGGAAATTCCAACGTTGTGACAATGGTGTTAAATGGGTTGAGATGGAATGTCCAGTAAACGCTGTTTATGATTCGAATTCGATCACAAATTGTAAATGGTTGATAACAACCACTAAGACTTCGACTACAACTACTACAACCACAGCGTCGCCAACGAATGGATTCTGCAGTGCTGGATTATATAAACCGAATATGAATGATTGTAGAACATATTATCAATGTGATAATAGTCATTGGAGACTTCGACCATGTGGCGGTGGAACTGGGTGGGATCAAATTAATCTGACTTGCAATCATATTGAATTGGTTTGCACGAATGATTTCAAACCGAATTATAATGTTCAATCAACAGCTACTACTCAAACAACTAATAACGGGAATGGATTTTAATGTTTTTTTTTGTTTTGAGTTAACTAATTCGAATAAATGTTGCATTCTAAATAACCACAACTTGGAATTCCGGAAACTCAAAAAAAGAGAGCTAAAATTCGAAATTTCCGAATTCGCGAAAAAACAGAAAAAAAATGTAGAAATGCGTCAGCTGTCGTTGATTGACGCATTTTGTGTACTCACGCGTCTGGCTGTTTGCCAACATCTTTTTATTTTTCCCTTTTCTTCTCCCCCGTTGTTGTTTGTTGTTTTACAAAGTCATAAAGCGTTTCTTATGTTATTGATCTTTTGCAGAAAACATGGATGAGCCTAGTTCTTCGACAAATTTCCAACCCGGCGATTTGTTATGGGCTAAAATGAAAGGATTTCCACCGTGGCCGGCAAAGGTTTTGGAAATGACTGTGGAGACGCCGGCGAGAAGAATTCCTGTCATGTTTTTCGGAACACTGGAAACATCATTCATGAAACCAGCGGATTTGAGCGATTATATGTCATTTCGAAAAGAATATGAGATTGCGAGAAAGCAGAAAGATTTTAACAAAGCGGTGCGGGAAATTCGTCGAGCTGCTGGATTATCTTCCGAACAAGATGAATCTGCGTTTCCTGTTTCAAATTCAAAAAGTCCACCATCTTCACCAAGAGCATCTTCTTCAGTTATGATTAATACAGAATCAAAAAGGAAACGCTCGAATAGTGCGTCAACAAAATCGCGATCGCGAGCAAGTAGCACTGCTTCAGTTTATCGAACAATGAAAGATTTATTCAAAAAAGATCGAAGAAGACTTGACAGTGAATCATCTCACGGTTCAAAGCGAAAAATGATAAGTGGAATGGGTGCTGGACAAGGATCTGAAGTTTATGAACAATATGCTGATAGCACAGATTTCAACGCTCTTTTTGGCGATGCTTTTATCAATGATTTAGGAACAATTCCTGACGACAACAAATCGTGGAAATCAAAAAGATCGCGAGGTTCATCGAAAATCTTTGATGATTTATTATACGGAACACATCGAACAAGAAATCGAAGTGGAAGTGCAAGCGGTCGACGATCTCGACTCATCTCAATGTCCGGATTTTCGGGCGTTTCTGATGTTTTTGATGATTTTTTCAATAATCATGTGGATTTAGATGTTCAAGCCGAACAATTGATGCATACTTTGAATAATATGCCATCTGATGGAAGTATTGATCGACCATTATCTCCTGAATTAGCACCAACGATGCCTGCGCCTGTTGAATTCTGTTCAAGTTGTGGATTTGAGTGTCGATTATATAATGGGGTTTTGAGGTGAGTTGGGGGAAAATTTTCAATCGAGCCAGATCCGATTGGGCTAATCTCAGGCTTGAGCTAATTAATTAGGCCTAGTTAATTGAGGCCTAGCCAATTAATTGAGCCAAATCAATTAAGATACATCTTAGGCTTGGGTTAATTAATTAAACCTAATCGATTTAGGCTCAGCTTAGGCTGAGGCTTAATTAATTTTTTAGGCTGAGCTTAGGCTTATCCAGCTAATCAGACCTGATTAATTTAGGCTCTACTTAGGCTTAGGACTAGTTAATTTAGGCTTTAGAAAATTAAAATAGAAAAAAGTCTTTAAAAAAGATAGAAAATTATTTTCAGATGTAATCACTGCTCGAAATACAAAGAAGCACCTCAAGCAACTTCTTCAACTGTTCGAGATGGAGATGACAGTAGAAATAAATTGAATATTCCACTCTCGCTCAACATCAAGACTGAATCAGTTAGCAGTGGAGAGAAATTCATAAATAATATGTTGATGGCAAGACCTGCGGATAAAACACCTGAAAAAGGACTGAAATCTGTGAAACAGGAAGCCTCATCTCCAGCCAAGCAAAAACGGAGTAATTTGGTGATAAATATAAAGCATGAGGATTCGGATGATAGTTATCGAAAAGAGCAGAAGAAAAAGAGAAAGGTGCAATTAATGAGTCCACGATCTCCAAATATGATATCAATTCCATCGGAAACTGCAAATATTCCGACTGGAGGAGACACACTTTTGAGCGGTAGAACAAGTCGAGATCGAAGTCGACCAAAACATTAGTAAGTATTGGTGTCGGGCGGTAGTTTGGCTTTTCAACACTAATCAAGTGGTTACAGCAAAGTCGAAAAAACGCCGCCAATTTCGGCGAGTGGACATAGACATTGTGTGAATTGCAATGGACAGGTTCGACCGCAAATGTGTGGAGGAAATCGACATCGATGGAGATGTGTTGATAAGAAGTGTCGGAAATGGTATGGTTGGGTGCGATCGCATGAGGAAATACCGAAGAATGTGGGAAGGAAAAAGGTTGGAGTCAAGCAACCGCAGATTGCTGTTAAGCCGCAGAAGGTTAAGAAGAAAGGTGAGTTTTTAGAGGGGAAAGTGCATCAGGCTTGTGAGGAAGCGGAAAGGATCTCTAGGCTTGTTAGCTACTTGAAAACTAGAATTATTAGGAGCTGATCCTGGACAATTGATATTTCTAGGCATGGCTCCTTGAGAACGATGATCTCTAGGCTTGGCTTCTTGGCATGACTTCTCTGGAGTAGGCGCGGCTCCTTGCCAAAGTAAACCTACCTCTAGGCGCTGACCCTAGACAATTGATTTTTCTAGGCACGTCTTCTTGACACATTTAATTTATAGTCGCTTCTACTTGAGAACTAGATTTATTAGGAGCTGATTCTAGACAATTGATATTGCTATGCATGGCTACTTAACAACTAGGATTTGTAAGCGCGGCTACTTGACGTAGTAGCTTTTAAGCCGCCGATCCTACAGAGTTTGGTTCTTTAAGCGTGACTACTTAAAAACCTGATTTTCTCGGCTCCGCTACAGGACAACTAGGTTTTCTAGTCGTTGATTCTGCAAAATTCCGCGATTTTTTGATCATTTTTTATCTCAAAAAAGCTAAAATTCATGCTCTAAAAAATTTAGGATTTTTTGAAAATTTCAAAATAAGTTTTTTACCTGAAAATCAGCTTCTGAAATGAAAAATCCGAGTTTTCCTCTCTAAAATTGAGCATAAAATATTAAAATTCACTTTTACCTAAAAATCAGCTTCTGAAAATAATTCTAGGCAATCTTAATCTAAAAAAAAACCCATTTTCCCACCCCACATTCTTTATCCCATGATTTTCCAGAAGAACCAGAAGAAGAAAATCCATTATTGAAGCGAAAAGTTGGACGACCTTCGAAAAATGACATTAAAATTCGGCTGAAACTTCAAAAAGAGGTTTGTCTCCCCCCAAGTTTTTCAATTGTATTCAAATCCTAATCATATTAATAATATTCTAGCAAGCAGCAGCTGCTCTTGTTGCACGTTCTGCTATTCAACCACAAATATCATCATCATCTGATCCAAACGGATTACAAAGAAGAAAATATACGAAAAGAAAAATGAAGGATGGAACAACGATTATGGGAACAAATGGAGGAGGAGGAAATATGAAGAAGGAATATAGTCCGTTTGAAGAAGATGTTAAGAAACGATGTGGGTTGTCCTTTTGAGGGGAGAAGGGAGCAACTAGAGTCTAGTTTGATTTTTATTGAGTAGATTTTTCGCTTTGAAAATCAATGAAAAATGACTTCAGGAGCTATAAACTGAAGTCTAGTTTGATTTTCAAATGTTATTGTTAGATTAGAGGTGTGAAACTAGAGTCTAGTTTATAAAATTCAGAATTAGATTTTAAACTTTTTTCAGCTGGGCTCATTTTTGAAAAAAAAAATTTTTGAAGTTATACCTTTCCCCCCACTTTTTTTCAACGATTTTTAGTGAAATCTGAGAATTTTGGCCAAAATTAAGTTAGAAGCTGCTAGAAACTAGAGTCTAGTTTGATTCTTTCAAAATTTAAAAGACACTCTTTGTAAGACTGCAAAACCCACCGGACAAAGAAAAAGTCATGATCTCAGAATCGGCCCAATTTTTTTCTTAGTAAGCCCCATGGGTGGGGAACTTTTTCCACCAGGTTAGAGATCATAATATCGTTTCGCCAATTTGGTGGGACCGGGTGAAGGGGAACTCTGTTTTTCGAAAATTTATCGTAAGTAGGGTTAAAATTCATAATTTTCAATGATTAAAAAAGCATTTTGCTCGTCTTTTGACGCTCTTTCCGATGGAAAAGAGTATGAATTTCGATACTCAATCCTAAAAAAAATTTTTTTTTCGCCCTATATAAACATTGCTCAGGAGTCATTTCCGCTCTTTCTAACCGCTTCCAAAATGTTCCTCGTGCCTTTTTACGTAGATTTGACTACATTCAAAAAAAATTTTCGGGGTCCCTCATCTTCAAAAAATCACGTTTTTACGGTCTATTCATGTTTTTTGCGCGCGCACACACACAAATTAGCATAAAATAAATGAATGTTTATTGCCCGAGAGGTCCTGGTTCGATTCCTCACCAATGCAAATGTTTTTATTTTTTTTGTGCATTAGAAAATTACGATAGATAAATCAAAAAAAAGTATTACGCAAGAAAAAACATTGACCTGGTCAAACCACAATGACTGGAGTGAAGTTATGTGAATGCTAGAAGGTTCTGTGAAATTTGGAACCCTTTGAGCAAAAAATTGCACTTTTTACATACGACTTAGTTTTTGTTTTTCAAGTTTTTATACGCGTTTTCTTTAAATACACCATAAGAAGTTCAAGATCGAACACATTTCTGAGAACGAATTTCTTTTGGACAGAAGTTTTATGGAAATGCTGGAAGCTGAAGTTGACAATTTTGACAATATATGTATTGCCTCGAGGTTGGGCGCTGAAAACCCGAAAAAAAAGTGGAAGATCAGTTTTATGAATATACTAGAAGGGCTTCGCTGGCTAACGCCATCTACAGTAGTTTGACTTACTTTTGATTTATTTTCCGGTTAGGTAAAGAGAAACATTGAGAAATGCCCAGAAATTGTTCGCTTTTTTCAGAAAACAGAAAGATCAGATAAGAAACGTGTCCTTTAATTTTTTTGGAATAAAAACGTGATCATTCTTTTTTACATGAAAAAAGTTTGGATTTTTCACGTGAAAACTCGCGCATTTTTTGAAAAATCGAATATTAGCGCCTCGATGGGAAAGAATTTGGAATAGAATGGTGAAGGTCCCATCAAAAATGGTCTTCTGAAAATTGAGAAAAGTCGAGCGACACATTTTAAAATCGAAAAATACATTGGAGTTTTCAAACTTTTGATTCTCCGCGCACTCACATACATTTTGAGAAAGAATGAATAGGATGCGCATCGAGCTGCCAACATTTAGAAACTTTTTCTTTTTTTGATCATCAATTTTTATGCGCACAGTTTTGAGAATGGGACCTGGACACACTATTGCCAAAAAAAATTTCCCAATTAGTATATAGTAGAAGTAGATAGTAGATACAAAATCCTGATGGAAGTCATACGTTTGGAGAAGAAGATTACTTCAATTCAAGACAGATAATGTCATATTTTAGTAGATTGAAATCTCAAAGAGAGAAAACTAGATCGTCTAGAAGTGTTCCAACGGAAACCGGAGAAGAAAACGATGATGATGATGAAGACATGTATTCTCATGATTTTGAAGTCAAATATGAGACAATTTTCGATCAACTTGATAGCACAGTGAGAGATATAGTTAATTGGTACAAGGATGAATTTTTTATTGACGAAAATGAGCCGGAAGCTAAAAAAAACCTAAATAGGATTCTTCATAAATTGGGCAGTAATCTTTTCTGTGCCCCCTTTTTACTCTACCGCGTTCTCTGTTTTTCTACCCGTTTGTGTAATCATTTGAATTAAAAATCTTAATTGAAATTACATACATTTTCAGATGACATTATAACCTAAAATTTAAACTTATTTCACAATTTCCAGACAGAAAATTTAAAAAATAAAAACATTCGCATTGGTGAGGAATCGAACCAGGACCTCTCGGGCAATAAACATCCAATTATTTTATGGCAATTTGTGCGCGCGCAAAAAACATGAATTGACCGTAAAAACGTGATTTTTTGAAGATGAGGGACCCCGAAAAATTTTTTTAAATATAGTCAAATCTACGTAAAAAGGCACGAGGAACATTTTGGAAGCGGTTAGAAAGAGCGGAAATGACTCCTGAGCAATGTTTATATAGGGCGAAAAAAAAAAATTTTTTAGGATTGAGTATCGAAATTCATACTCTTTTCCATCGGAAAGAGCGTCAAAAGACGAGCAAAATGCTTTTTTAATCATTGAAAATTATGAATTTTAACCCTACTTACGATAAATTTTCGAAAAACAGAGTTCCCCTTCACCCGGTCCCACCAAATTGGCGAAACGATATTATGATCTCCAACCTGGTGGAAAAAGTTCCCCACCCATGGGGCTTACTAAGAAAAAAAATTGGGCCGATTCTGAGATCATGACTTTTTTGTCCGAGCCTCTGTTGTAAAGTTTACGTTTTTACAAATAATGTCTTTTAAAATTGAATTAATAATTTTGAAAATTTCAAAATACTGAAAATTCAATTTTCTAGTGGAAATTTAATCAGAAGGGATTTAGGGGTCATAAACTAGAGTCTAATTTATATTTATTTTAAAAAAAATGAATTTGAAATGTTCAGCTTTTTCGCTTTGAAAATCAATGAAAGTGGCTTCAGGGGGTTATAAACTATAGTATAGTTTGTTCTTTTTAATTTTATGAAATTTTCAATACTGAAAAGTCTCAATTTATTAAATTCAGTTTTTCGAGTGGAAATTTAATCGGAGATGAGTTCAGAGGTTATAAACTAGAGTCTAGTTTGTTCTTTTTTTCTAAACTCAAATTAAGTTTGAAATGTTCATCTATTTTTAGCAAAAAAAAAAAACAGTAGACCTTCGAAAAAACTTTCAATGTTTTTTTTAGATTTTCTGAAAATTCAGTTATTTTTGGAAAGTTTGATGAAAATACAAATTTTTGAAATTCTGAAACTAAAAAGACTCGAATAAAAAGTTTTCCAGAATTAAAAAAATCCCTTCTTCAAATATACGTTTTTTCCAGCCTGTTCCCCACTAAACGAAAAAGAAGCCAGCTATCGACCGTGTGCAATGGAAAAACGAGCCCGCTGGTGGACAGGCGAAAAACGACGAGTCGACGTGTCACCAGAACGAGAACTCGGCACAACTGCAGCCGACACTGCAGCCGCATTCCGAATGATGGCACACGCCGTGCGCTCAGCTGCTGTCACTCGAGCCGATGAAGTTGGAACTGTTAATGGATCACTTGATCTTTTAATGGATACTTTGGTTGGATCGATGGCTCCACTTTTATCACTTCTTCAAAATGTTCCCGCCTTTCAAATTGATCCCGAACTCTCGCAACAAATGTGGAATTCATCGGCTATACATATCCCAACTTTTCAATAATTAATAATATAGTACAGCAGGTAATGATGTATTTACGGTTCTAAAATGATCTCTTCTTATGTGCCTCCATTTTTTTAAATTGAGTTTTATGTAATAATAAAAATCACAAAAAGAAAATTCCAAAAAAAAAACATAGAATATCTATTCTCGATCACATTATGGCCCTAAAAAATCGGGCCCGGGATGGGGATAAGGGAAATGGGGGATAAAGCTAATCTGGTGCAGAACGAGACAACAACCCTGTGGGTTCATGTACAAAATAATAAAAATGTTGGGGGGGGGGGGGGGGGGGGAAACAAGAGAGAAGCTGGGAGACAAAGTTGATGATTTTGAAAAAGAAAATATACACATACTCGGATTTGATAGATGAAGAAGAAGAAGAAGAGAATAATGTCAGGATATTTATGCATTTGGATCTTTGCCAAGGCGACGTAGTCGAACTGAAAAATATAAAATTAGGAAATTTTGAAAGCCGTGGAAGAGAAACCCAAATTTGCAGGGGACTTGGTTTTCTAGGCCACTAGTGGTAAACCAAGAAAAAAACTATTTTGAGACCGAAATTGTTGTGGCCATGGAAGAGAATCAATATGACCTAGAAAACCAACAAAAAAATTCGGTTTTCTAGGCCATATTGGTATTTTTCCAAACGTAAATACATACTATCTGATCAAAAACCTTGGAAATCCCTAAAAATAACACCGTTTTCCCTTCATCTTTTTTCGAAATCAGTTGGCATGTGTTCAAACTCCAACCCACACAGAAAAAAGAAAGAAAGAAAGAAAAACACAGAAAAAAGATTCCGAGGAATAACCCTTGCGTCATTTGAGACGATGAAATGAGATGAGATGGAGACGAGACGGAATGTTTTGGTTTGGCTTGGGTTTTTTTTCGGTTGAACTGATTTAGCACTTTTTGGGAGTTAGGCTAAATGACAGACTGAGAGAGATAAATGTGTGATCTTTGGGTAGAGAATTGCAGTTTTGAAGAAAAAAAAAAAAGAAAAGCGGGGTTAATTAAAAAATTTTAGGTTTTTCAGAAACTGGAATTTTTCATCAGATATTTTTTGAAAATCGAAAAAATTTGAATCCACGTGGATATCCAAAAATTTCAGTTTCTCAAGAAAAAATTTGGGGCAAACGTTGAAATTTTCAAATTTTTCAAACCACGTGGATATTTGACGTCAAAACCTTTGAAATTTTCAAGAAAATTTAGCTCCAAAACATGAAAAATTCAAATTTTTCATTGCCACGTGGATATTTGACGTCAAAAACTTTGAAATTTTCGCAAATTTTGTGCCAAAATTAGAAAATTTTTAAATTCAAAGGCGGCAAAACGTGAAAAATTCAAATTTTTCATTGCCACGTGTCATTTTTGACGTGAAATTCCAACTTTTCCACGTCATAACTTTATTTATACTAGCTCTAGGGCAGATCTATGGACTAGGGACCCTTTTTCTCATCCCGGTGCGGCCCCTTACCTCGCTCATAATTCCTCTCCAACGCCTCCGACACTCGATGTCTTGCCTCCATCGATTGAAACGATATTCCGACTCGCAAAAGTGCCTCATTCTCCTCGATCGCCATCATCATATCCATCTCGATTTGATTTCCCAACACCGATTGTCGCTGGAAAAAAAAACATTTTATTTCTGGACAAACAGTAGTGTTTACTTTTCAGCTAACTAAATGAACATTTCGAGAAAAAAAAGTGTTGGGGTAAAATAAATATTTACCATGCAACCAAAATTGTGCCAAAATTGAAAAGAACACAATTTGTGTATGTTTGTGATATTTTTAGGTTACTAAAAATTCCGAAAAAAAATACCTGATTATCTGCCTTGAAATCGACAATCGATTGAGTCGTCAACGTTGATCGCAATAGTTTTGCTAACAATTCAGGCGTCAAGAAATTCGATTCAACGTTCAGAACTCGAAGTGATGGAGATGTTTCAATCAATTCGATGAGACCCTGAAGAAATCACTGATTTTCAAAACAAAGGGGGAATTGCTTACTCTAGCTTCACTATCCGAAATCGCTGTATTTGCCAACGATAATTTTTCAATGTGTTTACTATTACAAGCGGCTTCGATCAGTGTTCGAATTCGTTCCTTCGATAATCGTTTCATATTGTTGATGTTCACTTCTTTCAAATCTGAATCATCTTCTCGTAGCCGACTGGAAAAAAATAAAATGATTTATAGAAAATTTTGGAAAAACTTAGAATTTATAATGAGCGGCTACTAGAGAACTAGAATCTATAGGCGCGGCTCCTTTCCAAAATTAATCTCTAGGCGTGAGCCCTAGACAATTAGGTTTCAAGGCGCTGCTCCTTGAAAACCGAGATTTCTATGTGCGGCTACTAGAGAACTGGATTTTCTAGGCGCTGATCCTTGACGATTTGGACTCTCAAGGCGCGACTCCTTGCCAAAGTGTATCTCTAGGCGTGGGTCCTAGAAAATAGGGTTTAAAGGCGTGGCTACTAGAGAACAAGGATCTATAGATGCTGATCCTTGACAGCCAGGATTTCTAGGTTCGACTACTTGGCTTAGAAGCTCTATAGAGGCGGCTACTTGACAACCAGGATTTCTAGGCTCGGCTTCTTGGTATAAAGGCTCTCAAGGTGCGGCTACTTGATAACTAGGTTGTCTAGGCGCTGATCATTGACGATTCAACTCCCTAGGCGCGGCTCCTTGACAACTAAGATTTCTAGGATCGACTCCTTGGCATAGAAGCTCTCAAAGCGGCTCCGATGAAGTTTAGAATTAAAAATTTCAGGATAAAAATATCCCCAGATAATAAAATTCAACAAAATTTCCAAAAAAAAAAATCAAATTCTCTCGGCTCAACTCACTTAATACACGCCTCAACATCCGTATCATTATCCGGCTCATCTGGCACAATTCGAGGCACATACGACTGTACAATTCCATTAAATGTGGTACCCGTTGTTTCGTCCTGCGTTTTCCCTTTCAGTGCATTATAATATTGCGGTTGATTCAAAACATTGTGCATTCCCAAAATTCCGGCCAAATCAACCAGATCCTTTTCGGGAGCCGAGACAAGCGCACATTCGAGCTCATCTTCATCCTCGTCCAAATCGATCTCAATCGGCATCTCCATCTTACCAATTGTATTTTCGGGCTCTTCCGAGTTTCGACCACTATCACTGTCGTACACTTTTCCTGAATTTGTTTTGTTAAAATTTGAATTTGAAATTTAACTTGAAAAAAAATGAATGAAAATCTCACCTCTTTTGAGGCCAGGTGTGTAGGGACAAACATCTTCCCAATCTTTTTCCGTCTTCGCTTTTTCTTCGAGGAATTTCAATAAATTATCTCTTTTGTAGGGGCCGGTTGGCGTTTTTTCGGTTTGATCTCGACATCTTTGAGAGGGCGGTAGCATGGAATTCTGGAAAAAATTAGACTTAGGTAACTAGACCCAGGTTTTTCAGGCTTATTCTTTAGACTTTTTATTATAAAGAAAAGTCTAAAGATCCTATAGGATGTTAAGGCTATTCTTAGGCTTTGGCTTTTTAGGCTCAAGCTTAGGCTTAACCTGTTTCACCATAGACTTTTAATAACAGTTTTCGACCCGCTTATCCCGATAAAATTGCAGAACTCAACTTCTAACATGAGTTATGACGTGGCGGGATTTTAGAAGCTGGAAACTAGCTCAAAAATATTTTTCCAAGCAAATCTGATGGCACAGGGTTGTTCAGGAGGCTTGAAAAATTTGGCGTACCAAAAATTGTTTATTTTTGCTGTACCACTTCTATGAATTCTGCCCCCGTTTTAGATTCACATTTTTTTGGGAAAATGTTTTTTTTTCGGATTTTTGAATGAAACTTGCATAAGTTCAGAAGGTTTATTCAAAAATCAGAATCTAAATCAGAAACCTGGAGCAGAATTCATATAAGTGGTACACCAAAAATTTAAAAAAAAACTAATTCACAATTTTTGGTATTCCAAATTTTTCAAGCCTCCTGAACAACGTTATTCTATCAGGTTTGCATAAAAAATCATTTTTGAAGTTAGTTTTCAGCTCCAAAAATCTTACCACGTCATAACTCATGTTAGGAATTGAGTTCTCCAATTTTCTGATCCAAAAATTTATTTTTTTTGTTTTTCTAGAGTCCCCTGTCAACTTTTACCCATTTTATTCTCCCATAAATTCCCCAAAAACCAAAAAAATGTGTTTTTAATCAATTAGTAATAAAATCTCAAACATACATCTTCATCCTCTTCTTCATCAAGCCATCTTTTCATCATTTTCAATGAAAAATCAAGGAAAAATCCGATTTTTCTTACTTGTTTTAAAACCGAAATATAAAATAAAATAATAAAAGAGCTGCTGAGTTGAGAAGAAAGAATGAAAACTAATAACTTTTTCACTTTTCAGCAGTCGATTTTCAGCCTCAAAAATAAAAAATAAAATAAATCATATCGATGGCGGTCTTATGATATTGGGGAGAGGGCAATTTGTCAGAGTGTAAAAATGAGATTGGGTTTTGGTTGAGGTATAGAAATATGAATGGGATAAGGTGAACTTGGAAATTCCCTTATGTTAATTTTTGAACAAAAAAATGTGCGTTTTTCTATGAAATTTTTTGAATTTTTTTCATATTTAGAGCTCACAAAAATAGAAAAATGGTCTCTTTTCAATCTGTGAACCGAATCAGCACAAAATTCGGGAATTAAGATGCGATTCAACAATTCTAAATATCTTAATGAGGTTTTAGGTCCAAAAATTTGTGATTTTGGTAAATCGACCCTCCTGGACATCGCCCTGCATTTAGTTTTCGATAAAATTTTCACTAACATGAGTTACGGGCTCTCAAGAAACGAGATTTTTAGAAAATTCTCAACTTTTGGCTCATTTTTGGGCTCTTCAGAAAGTCGCTCAGCGTGAAAAACTGTACAGAAACATATGGGTATTATTGAAAATTTCTGAGAACTCATAACACACTTCCCTCGTTAGTAAACCCGTATTTAAAAAATGTTTAAATTTTTAAAGACCTTATTTTAATTTTGAGTTTGTTAGAATATTCTAAAATTTAGAACTATCTTTAAAAATCCCCCTGACAAGATCTCTGAGTTCCTCTAACTCCAAAGTTTCCCAAGAATTCCGTTCAAATTCTATGTAATTCTGATAAATATTTATATTTACTTTTCCCCTCCTAAAATTCCAATTTTTGTTGTTTTCCCATTGTATAAACATTCGATTCGATAATAATATTTAACAACAACAAAAAACATCGTTTTTTTTGTCCCCCCTTCAAATATTATCGATTTTTTGCTGCTCCTCCGGGCGGTTGATTGGGAGAGGAAAAGGGATAAGAGAAAAAAGGATTTTTTGAGTGGAGTGCTGCTTTTTGTGTGTGGACATAGAGACATACTTTTACTACTCATGTGATGATGTTCAAGTTGAGGAGAAATTGATAAAATGAAAAAAAATTTTGAAGAAAGAAAGGTTGTTTTTGTCGAAAATACTTAACACCTTGTCACTAACAAAAAACAAGGGTTTTATGGGGGTTTTTTTTGTCAAATAATAAATTAGAAAATATATTTTTCAAAAAACAAAAATGTTCTCTTCAAAAACATCTATAATCCCATAAATAGATTCTACAGATGAATCAGAAAAAATAAACACTCAAAAAATCGTCAGCTGAGATTTTCTCTTTTTTTATTTATTTAGTTAGCCAATCGAAAGCTATTTAACCAGGAAGAATGCGCAACAAAACGTCACATAAATCCTCTGAACGAAGATTGAATCAAACTTACATCCGGATCAAAATCATTGTTCAGATTTTCGAGCTCATCAATCGATAATTGTGAGAGGAGTCCTTCGATGTCATTATCTTCCAAGTCCTGAAAACAACCATTTTTTTGTTGGAACAAAAGTTCGAACATCGGGAGGGGAATGTTTGTTTTTTGCCACCTAAAAAACCCCTGACCGTATACCTCTAGTGATTATTTGTCAAAAAGATAAGTAACTTTACAAATATACGAAAATCTGTGGGGGAAAAGTGTTTACGATTTGGAAAAAATTAAAAGTTCGGGCTCAATTCTGGAAGGTCAAAAATGAGCCACGGAGCTTCGAAATTCGCATAAAATACCTTAAAATGGCAATCAATAAAGCTCTCAGAGTAAAAAATGACTTAGAAACTCTCAAGGCGTGGATCCTTGACAATAAGGTTCTCTAGGCTCCGCAACTTGATAAATGGGTTCTCAAGGCGCGGCTACTTGTCATAGAAGCTAAGTACCTTGAAATTGAAAAATTTATCACTTAATTTATCATAGGCCCTCTAGAATTCAGAGAAAGATCACACAAAAACGAGAGAGCGCAGACAAAAATTCTCTGCGCTCTCTAGATTTCATGTGATCTCTCTCTCTCTCTCTGAATTCTAGAGGGCCAGTGCTAAATTTTAAACTTCAAGGCACCACACCTTACCCTCAAAGCTTCTATGACAAGGAGCCGCGCCTAGAAAACATGTTTTTCAAGTAAAGATAATCTTATTCTCAAGGATTCACGTCTAGATAACCACCCTGACAAGGACCGAAGCCTTGAGAGTTTGTAAGTCAAGTAGAGAAGCCTAGACAGACTAATAGCTCATTTTTTACTTTGAGAGCTTTATTGATTGCAATTTTAAGGTATTTTATGCGAATTTCAAGACCAGAATTCTGTTTTCACCCGAATATTAATTATCAATTCCCCAGAATCACTAACCTTAAGACCTTTATTATAAACTTTCGATGGAAGTGATCCTTTTTGTGTATTTGCAGATGGTGCTGAGAATGTCTTCTCCTCCGAATAATAGCTGAAAAATGCCCATTTTTTCAGTTTCAAAATATTAGGACTTGCCCCCCCCCCCCCAGATTTATCCTAACTACCTATGATAAAGCCTTGATCTCGGAAACATTGGCGCTGGCGCTTCTTCCATTTTGGTTCAAAAAATTTCAGCCAAAATGGTCACGAAAAAATATTTTATTAGAGCGAATGAATAAGGGGCGTTTTTGTTCGCGCGTGCGCGATGACTGTACGAAATAGTGGAGAGTGCAGACGGCTAGACGCGAATATGTCTGCGTCTCTCACTTCTCGAGGCACATAGTATTGCAATGTTTATCTTTCTTGGCACAAAATTTGAGAAAAAATATTGTTTATTTACGAGTCGCGAAACAAATTGTTGTAGGGAATTTTTTGAAAATCAAAAAAAAATTTTCTCGATAAAAATTGGGTCATTTGTCAAGTGCACCATCTCAAAAATTCTCTGACCTATCTTTTTACAAAAAATCAGAAAAAAAAAACGATTTTGTGTGTGACGTGACTTTTGGAACACATGAGTTTTTGCAACTCGACACCTTTTTTTTTGAAACAAAAAAAGAAAAGATAAAATCTCTGAAAATCCGGAGAAGGACAGGTTTTTGCGGACAGGAAATAATTATCGAAAAGGAAATTAATTGGGAAATTTGGATTGGTCAGAAAATGTTGCAATTTTCTTATTAAGGGAGAACTTTGGGAAAATTTTTGAATGAGATCAGTTGAAATTATAATTGTCTTTAGAATGTTTAGGCTATTCTTAGGCTTAGGCTTTTTAGGCTCAGCCTTAGGTTTAACCTGTTTCACCGTAGACTTTTAATAGTAGTTTTCGACCCGCTTATCCCGATAAAAATGCAGAATTCAACTCCTAACATGAGTTATGACGTGGCGGGATTTTAGAAGCTGAAAACTAACTTCAAAAATATTTTTCCAAGCAAATCTGATAGCATAGCGTTGTTCAGCGATTAATTTTGTTCAGTGAAACTTTTCTGGAAAAATCTTCCGGATTTTCAAGTTCTTCAAATACTTGAAGTTACAAACAGGGTTCTGAAATTAACTTTCGATGAAACATAGTGAAATATAGTAATTCGACCATACTGAATACGATCCCGAAGTCAAAAATTGCTATAACCTATTCCGAGCCGAAAATTTGGAGCTCCAAAAAATGGCTTAGAGTGAGTTATAGTAATTTTTGACGTCGGGATCGTTTTCAGCATAGTCGAATTACTATATTTCACTATGTTTCATCAAAAGTTAATATCAGAACCCTTTTTAAATACTTTCCTTGTTAGGATAACTTAACTTAAATATTTGAAGAATTTGAAAATCCGGAAGATTTTTCCAGAAAAGTTTCACTAAACAAAATTAATTTCTGAACAACGCTATGCTCTCAGACTTGATAGAAAAAATCATTTTTGAAGCTAGTTTTCAGCTATCAATTTTCCGAACTTCGCCACGTCATAACTCATATTAGAAGTTGAGTTCTGCAATTTTATCACGATTTTCGGCTCGAAAACTACTAGAAAACCAATTTTTCAAACATTTTCTCACAAATTTTAAACGCAGCCAATGGTCAAAATTTTTTTTCTTGAAAATTTCCAAACCTTTACCCCCCCCCTCGTCCCCTAAGGGGGCCCCTCAAACTCACTCAGTTTTCGCCTGACTCATCGCCTTTGGCGTGCAGCCTAATCGTGGAGCTCCAAGTGCAGAAGTCAGTTTGTCGATCGGTGTCGAGTTTCAGTGCGACTGAAACTCTCTTTAAAAATTCCAAAAAGAAACCCGTAGAAGGGTGGATTTATATAATAATAATAATACTAGAAATAAAGTGTATCTTATTTTTTCTTTCGCCGACGACAAAAAATCTCTTTTTTTCAGTGGAAGGATGAAAGAAGAAAAAGAAGAAGAGAAAATGAATCGATGGGCTTTGAAGCAACAGAAAAAAGAAGAAGAAGACGAGAGCACAATTGTTATTCGGAGACTGAGTCTGACTGCGGATACGTAGAGTCTTCTATTAAATAACACCTGTTCTTCAGGTGAAAAGGCCTCCGACTTCTTGTTCTTTTTCCTGTCATGGGACACTTTGAAAAAGTGTCCAACCTTTTGAAGGTAACAATGAAAAGACACGGGATATCACGGGATAAAATTGACCTTACGGAAAAATTTTTACTTTTGAAAGTGTTTAGTGCAGAATTCGGGAGGAAAGAGAAAACTTTTGAATTTTTTTTTGAAAGCATACACAGGCGGTGGGAAAAAGATTAAAAAAAGAAAGAATTTGGTGCATTTTTTACCAAAAAAAATTTTTTAGCCAATTTTTTTGACCAATTATTGATTAAAATTTGGTCCTAAAATTGCCAAAAAGCTTCGATTGGCCAAATTTTGGTCAATTTTTGATCTAAAAACGATTTGGTGCATTTTTGGTCAAAAACTGGTCAAGCTCCAGTGCACCAAGTTCAGAAACTGAAATTTTCCTCAAGTCAATTTTCAGAGCTAAAACTTGTAGTAAAATTGATTTTTTAAACGATTTCAGGGCAAACATTTTCTGCACAAAATTTCTGAACAAAAAAGTTTTAATTTTTTTTTGAAAATTGGATTTAAAAATGTGTTGAGAGTGAGAAAATGGGTTATTTGTTTTTCAAGACGTTTCAAATTTCATACGATTTTTTTCCATGAATCAAAAATCGAAACAACTTTTAATCTAGAAAACTGTGAGAGAAAAATAAAATTTGAAAGTTTTTTATAGAAAAAATTTAGCTCTAGCTTCTGAATCTGAAATTTTTTAAATTAAAAATATAACAGAACATTTTGTAATATAAATTTCACATTTAAATTCAAAAATTTTGAAAAGAATCAGAAGTTCAACACAATTCCGAACAATTTTCCCTGTTTTCTTTTCAATTCAATAAATTTCAAGGTCAAGTTTAATTGGATCATCAAAATCCTTCAACTTACATTTCTCTCGAAATCCGCAAATTGCAAGTCTTCAAAATGAACCTGAAATCGATTTTTTTTCAAAAATGAAAAAGAAAAACCTGAAAAAAACAACCGGAAGAATGTCCTCAACGAAAATAAGTTGAAGAATCGATGAGCAAAAGAATGAGCATTGTAATAAACAATAAAAATTCGAAGATGAGAATTTTGAAAAAAAAACATCAAAGAAAAACTTGTGAAAATTAATTTTAAATAAATACAACTTGAAAAATAAATCAATCAAGACAAGAAAATCAATTGTTTCAAAAGAAAAGAAGTATTTTGAATCTATAAAATCTCAAAGATCGAAATAGGCGGGGATTATCTATTTCTTCTCATAACTTCTGTCATAGTATGTGAAAAAGTTTAAATTTCGAGAAAAATAACATTATTTTAGAGAAAACTTGAGGACACGAATTACTAATAGATAGCGAAAAATGCATTCTTTCACATCAGACTAAAGAAAACACAGAAAACGAGATAGAAATTGCTTAAAACACACTCACAAATGAAAAAAAGCAAGTTTTTCAAAAAAATAAAAAGAAAAAGTAAAGGTGCAACCAAAAACCGTTCTGTTTGGTCTCGCAGCGGACACACGTTGGCAAAATTACTGTACCTCATTTTGAATTTTTGTTTTTGTTTCTGTTTTTTCTTCTTTTTTAGCCGAAAAGTGAGGGTTACGCTCGCGCAAAAGCATTTTTAAGTTTAGAAAATCTGAAAATTCTAAATACAATTGTCGTGCTGAAAAACGGGGGTCTTCAGTTTATCAACGCTAAATTTTAGGACCCGAATGATTTCTGCTGAAAAAACTTCGCAACTCAGGCAAACGAGCCGACGAATCGGCGACCAACTTTTCTGGGCCGACTAATCGCTGGCCAATCAGTAGTTGGTCGAAAGTTGGTCGGCCGAAATCTCGAAAAAGATAATGCAAAAGTGAGAGACGCAGAGCTAACTGATTGGTCGGCGATTAGTCGTGAGTTAGTCGCCAGTCTGCGTCTCCTTTTTTTGCGTTGTCTTTTCCAGATCTGGGCCGACCAACTTCCGACCAACTACTGATTGGCCGGCGATTAGTCGGCTCGTTTGCCTGAGAATAGTTTTTGATTTCTCTTTCTCACTTTCCTATTCAAATCTTCTGATATTCTGTTTTTGTTATTAGATTTTTTGACAAGTGACACCAATGTGCTTTGAATTATCGTCACAATTGCCATTGGTAAATATATTGATTAATCTGTATCCTTGTTTTCAGAAAGAAATGTCTTATCATTTATGGCCTGACACCTATGACTTAGCTTTTCGTTTGTACAACCATTCGGTTGGAACTCACCGATCTGATTTAGATGTGCTGGACATAAGTGTAGCAGACAAAAGCGCCAAGTTAATTGGATTTGATCCATTTACAGGTTATTTTTGTTATTTATTTATGTCTTATATTTGTCTGTTAGCTAACGTTTTTGTCCGTCTTTCTGTTTTGCTCTTACTAAATTACTTTTTTCAGGAAGATACCAACTACTTATCATGCAAGCGGATATAAATACACCAATCAAACCTGTTGTGCGAGAATTGGCTGAATGTGACATCGATGAGATCAGGAAGAATCAAAAATTTGCGACTATCAGTTATCCGAAAGTAATCACCATCAAACTTTTGCACGCTCTTCCTCCACTCGGTCTGGTTGCATTCAACTGCGAACACAAAAAATCCATTGATCTCGAGAAACAGTTACAGTTAGTTTTTCATGCATCTTACGTTTAATTCATTGAACGACCCGGGTAAATGCAATTATTATTTCAGAAATGTCGCTACTAAGTTCAAGCAAGCTCTCATAGGAGATATACTTCCGGGTGCAATTCTTCTTCGAAAACAGGATGATAGGTACTATCGTGTGATGGTAATTGGCCAAGTTGGTGACAAATACGAATTATTATTGCTTGATCATGCGAAGAAAGGATCCAGTAGACTCGAAAAATTGTTCTTGTTGAAGCCGGAAATTGATTTATCAAATTTTCCCAGCGCACTCATGATCTGTCGAATTCGTGGTTTCCGAAAGCTCAACAAATGTGCATTCAGCGAATTCAAAAATCAAATTGATAAGCATGGTCCGCAAGAAAAAGTGAAAGCGGTGGTTTTTGAACAAGATGAGGTTTGGTTGGAAAATTGTGTCTAAACCTTACAACATTTTTTTGTAGGTTAACAACATGGTGATCGACTTCAAAGGGTTTTCCGGTGCGAAAATAACTGCAAGTGAAGAAATATCGATTTCTATGAATGACGACGGAGACCAAAAAGATCCACAATTGATCCCATTGAATGCCATTGAAATAATGCAAATCTCGCCAATTTCTGATGTTCAAATGAGTACAGCAACTCTGAATAATCCGTACGTTCTGAACCTGAAGTTCAGATTTTTCAATATTATTTCAGAATTCGTATGTTTGATGTGCCACCTCAGCCAACTCGTCCGGCTTCAGTTTCAACAACAACTGGATGGAGAAAACTTCATCTTCCACCAGCATCTGCAGATATGAGTTTGGATAATGCAAAAAATGCAAAAATTCCATTCGGAAAACAATCGACCGCAAAGGAAAATGTTTTTCCAAATGGAACCAGTTCTTCAGGATTGGGAAAGAAAATATCGCTTTTTGGTATCCAATCGACTCAACCTGCTGATTCTGAAATCGTTTCAAAATCTAGTTTTCTTTCAAATCCTGTAAAAGTGAGTTAGATAAAAATTGGATTCATGCTAAATTGTCTCTTTCCAGGATTCTTTGAACACGGAATCTGGATTTTCCGCGAAATCGAACACAGAAGCTGGATTTGATGCGAATTTGAAAAGAGAATCTGGATTTCTCGCGAAATCGAACACAGAAGCTGGATTTGATGCGAATTTGAAAAGGGAATCTGGATTTCTCGCGAAATCGAACACAGAAGCTGGATTTGATGCGAATTTGAAAAGGGAATCTGGATTTCTCGCGAAATCGAACACAGAAGCTGGATTTGCCGCAAAATCAAAAGCTGTCACATTCTCGGACGAGGTTTGTTACAAGCTCACAATAAATTGAGATTTCCGTGAATTTCAGACTGTCGAATCAACCGCAAGCAATGTTCAAAGTTCAATTGGCCACAATGAAGCATTTTTATCTTCGCCGACTGACAAAAAAGTTGTAATTCAGGATTGTCCAAATGGAAACGCCAGCATGGAAAAATTCCTCAAATTGAGAAAAAACACCGGCGAAAGTTCGTCTTTCGGTCCGCCAACTTCTGTTCATGTTGAACCGGTTTGTTTGAATGTTGAGCCACCAATGGTCTATGATGAAGGAGACGAGACCGATACCGAATTATCATTGGATACCAGAGAGGTTAGAAAAAGTTGAGGTCAATCTATTTAATGAATTCAATTTTCCAGACAACAACCGAGAGAAGCACGAGAGGCGTCATGGAATCCGGAGAAATTGTGAGTTTTATTAGGATTTATCAAAGGGAAGACATTTTTATCGTTTTCAGACTCCTTGCGAAGAACAAGACATCCCTGAAAGATCCATAAGTGTTCCAGAATCCCATTCGCCTTTTGCTGTAAGTGAACATATTAAATTTTTTGAATTGGAGAAAAATTTAGGCGAATGCTGATATACCTAATGTGTCCGACGACCTTTTGCCATTTGAAACAGACGATGGAATTTCTGATGTCCAAAAGGATGACTCCGAAGTTTTCGGCAATCGTTCGATTGTAAAAAGTGTATGTTTTTTTTAATATTTAGTCCTTGATTGGTTTAATTTTTCATACAGCCATCTGACGAAGATACCGCACAGAAACCGGAATTCTTCGAGAAAATTGAGAAGAAGGAAGTGTGCCCCATCGAACAATTAAAAGAGACGATTGAAAACGCAATCAATGATAAAAATGATTGGAACTTCCATTTGAATATGTTGACAATTCTCATGGTAAGTTGAATTGGGAATAATTAACTCTAGAAACCTATAATTAATAAAAAAATCAATTACAGAATGCTTCATCTAGCAAATCCGACGAAGAATCACAAACATGGAAAGATCTCGCCAAATTCGCTCATCAGATGTTTGCCGATTCAATCAAACAATCCTAAAATATTTTTGTTTTAATGCACCAATTTAAAAGTAAGTATTTCCTGTTTTATTTTCTTTCTTTTAATCTTTTTTATTTCTTCTAATGAACCAATTGTTAATATAAAAGTCCAGATGTGTTCAAACAACGAGAAAAAAACTAATTCTGAATATTTTTCTATCTTCCGCTATTTAACACATCTCGAATTTCACCTGCACTCTCTCTTCATGAGCTCATATCACTGATTGATTGACATTTTTGCAAGATTATTATTTTTTGTTTTTTTTTTGTCGTCTGATCTAGATATTTGTTATCCCATTTGTTATGTTTACTATAGAAAACAAACCTTCATTTTCCTAATGAACACTGAAAAATGAGAAGAAGTAGATGAAAAATATTCTGTGAATAGCTCTAGGAGCACTTGAAACAAGTACTTTTGAGCATTTTTTTTGAAGCAAAAAAAAAGTACAGTAAGTTTTTTGCATAAAAATTTTTTGGACAAAAAAGTCAGAAAGACTAGGCAGGAAATCCTTTTCCGCCCAAATAATTTCTTTTTTTTTTTTGTTGGCCAAAATCAAATATTTTTTAGTTTCAGACAGAATTTGATTATAGCCAAAAAAAACAGCGTGAAAAATCAGGCGCCAATTTCGAATATGGAAAAAAGTGACGGCCGAGTGGTTTGCATGGATGCCTACTAATTGCAAAGCCCTGGTTCGATCCCGCATGGAGGCTTTTTTGAAAATTTTATACATTTTCCTTCAAACTTCTGAAAATATTTGCTTGTTTTCTCTAAAACCTCCATACATATCTCAAATCGATTTGTCTTTCGTCCGTCTCTTTTTTTTGCTTGCTCCGCGCGCAAACTCCACCCCCTTTTATTTTTTTTCTTTTTTTCATACTTTTTTCCCCTTCTCTGTCCCGTTTTTCATTTTATATATGAACAAAAAAAAATATTTTTTTCTTGTCAGGAAATGATTTCTTCTCGAATCATCGGATTTTTGATTTTGTTTTTGGTTTCGATAGATTTGGTTTTGACGAAGAAAATGAAAGAGCAAGAGGTGATTCAGCGAGTTTTGAAGGATTATGATTGGAGAGTGAGACCGAGAGGATTGAATTCATCATGGCCAGGTAATTTTGAGTGAAAAAAAATTGGGAAATATATAAATTTTGAAAGAAAAAGTGCAAGTTTTGCAGCTGAATATCAAGAATTTTCATTTTCCAGCTGAAAAATTCTGGTTTTCCTACAAAATTCTGAAATTTGGAGCTTTTCACGCTGAAATTTCAGATTTGAAAAAATAAACTTCAAAAAAGCTTGGAAAATTCCTTAATTTTCCAGCTAAAATTTGCGAAAAATTCAGTTTTTCTAGATTTTTTGAATCTGTATTTTCAGATTGAAAACAGCTTGAAATTTCGCTGAAAAATTTTGAATTTCAAATTTTAATCCTAAAAATTGTTTTTTGAAGCTTCAAATCTGAAATTTACTTTTTCGCCCGAAAAATTCCAAACTTTTTCCAAAAAAAACATTTTTGCAATTTTTGAATTTCAAACTTTTTTAAAAATTTCGAGTCTCACTTTTTTCTTCTTCGAAAACTTTTTTCATCTCAAATTCCAGCTTTTCTTTAATTTTTCGCCCAAAATTTACTCCTCAATCACTTTTTTCGCCCAAAAATTCCAAACTTTTTTCCAAAAAAAATGCTCTCGAATTACCTCGAAAAACCTGGAAAACTTGTGTTTTTTCGCCTCAAAAAGTCTCAAATTACTACGTTTTTGACCAACAAAAAACGAAGCAGAGAAGAAAGAAAAAACGGCGAATAAAAAGGTGCCTAATTTTATTATCCACTCTTTTTATACTACTTTTTGGAAAATGGGAAAAAGATGAGGAAAAAAAGAAAAAGGAAAAGAACTTGAGAAATTGGAATTGGAATATTCATGAAGGAATGTGAAGAAAAAAATATGAATATTAAAATAATCTAGAAAAAAATTTGCAAAATTTTCATTTTAAACGATGCTCCGCATTGACACCCCTGCGTAAACCCGTAGTTTCGTTGTTTTGTTTTGCAGACACCGGCGGACCTGTTCTAGTCACTGTCAACATCTACCTTCGCTCGATTTCCAAAATCGATGATGTGAATATGGAGTATTCGGCACAATTTACGTTTCGAGAAGAATGGATTGATAAGAGATTGGCTTATGAGAAATATGAGGGAGCTGATAATGAGGTGGGGCATTTTTTGGGGGAAAAATTTACCTGTAGCCAAAAAAATTAAATTTTCTCACTAGGACTGATTCACGAACGAAAAAAATGTTTTAAAATGTTTTTTTTAACATCGAAAGATCAATTCACGAAAAGTCGAAAAAACATTGTAGTTTAAAATTAGCTTTTCGAGTTTTTCAACCAAAAATGATGACAAATCGATATTTTTGTGAGCTTCTGGAGTGATTTCTGATGAAAATAAGCTTCGAGAACCCTATTTTGCTTTATTTTATGAATTTTTTCAAAATTTAAAATTTTTTTTAACGAAAAATCAGCAAGGTCAATTTTCATCAGAAATTACTCCAGAAGATTGGAAAATATCGATTTGTCATTATTATTTGCTGAAAAACTCGAAAAACTAATTTTGACCTACAATGTTTTTTTGACTTATCGTGAATTGATCTTTCGATGTAAAAAAAACATTTTTTTTCGTTCGTTTAGCCTAAAATCCACGTGGCTAACTATTTTCAAACGACAATCCAGGTTCACACTTTCCATGTGTCACTAGAAAAATCTGGGATTAAAATTTGGTTGCCACGTCATAGGTTTTCTTTCAATCTTCAAAATTAAAAAAAAGTTCAAAGGTCCATTTTTGTTACACTTTCAAATCTTTCATTTCATTTTATTTATCATCCGATAAAACTTTTTTATGACAAAAAATCAAATCAAATCTTATCTATGTACTTTTTCGTACACTTTTCTGTCCACTTTTACACAATTTAGCCTCCTCGACTTCACTTTTGACTTTTTGTGTTGTCAAATCCCATTTTGCGCACATGCGCATGCTCAATTTAGAGAACAATGACTTTTTGCTTGGCCAACCAACACATGGAAACACAAAAAACGAATAGAAAAAAAGTAAACGCTTTTTTCTTCGCTTTTTGTTCACATCTTGGAAAATACTTGAGGGGGGGGATGAATAATAAAAGCTTCTTTGAGATAGGCTAACTACGAGGGGATATTATATAGGTTTGCACAGAAAATTTGGAATTGGAGAAACACAAGGATTTTTGAATCACAGAAAAGGATTTTGAATCACAGAAAAAAACAATAAAATTTTTTGGAACTTTCAAAATACATGATTTTTTTCAGGTTCAAAAAAATTGAAAAATAAATAAATTTTGAAAGAAAAATGCCAGTTTTGCAGAAAAATATCACAGAATTTTGAGAGAATTCTCCAGCTGAAAAATTCTGCTTTTTCTAAAAAAAAATCTGAAATTTGAGATTTTGCTGGAAAATTTAAAATTTAATTTTGGTTATCGTTCTTTTTCGGGTTTCACGCTGAAATTTCAGATTTTTTAGTTGAAAAAATAAATTTCAAACAAAAAAATATCTTGGAAAATTCAGAGGTTCGACCTCATATTTTTGAAAAAAATCGGAAAATCTTGATCACGTGTCCTATGACGTGGCAGCTTAGAAATGTTCATTTTCAGATAAATATTCGAATTTTCTGAATAGTTTTTTATCAAGCGAGTGTCGTTTGAAAATGTTATGCAACGTGGATTATGAGGGAGCTCTCTAGCCTCTCTAGCCTCTCTAGCCGTCTCTAACCTCTCTACTCTCTCTAGCCCCTCAAAAATCAATACTATTTTCCAGGTTCCCCCATTTGTCGTCCTCGCCACTTCCGAAAACGCTGACCAAAGTCAACAAATTTGGATGCCCGACACGTTTTTTCAAAATGAAAAGTGAGAAAAAGAGTTGGATTTAATATGCAAAATATTAAATATTTATGAAAGCTTTTAGCTCTTGTGAGAAATTTGTTTATTTTCGTGTTTTTTTCCAGGGAAGCTCGTCGCCATTTGATTGATAAGCCAAATGTTCTAATTCGAATTCATAAAAATGGACAAATTTTGTATTCTGTCAGGTACATATTCGGGGAAAACATTTTGGGGAAAAATATGAATAAAAATCGGAAATTTTTGTAGACTTTCGCTGGTTTTGTCGTGTCCAATGTCGCTGGAATTCTATCCGTTGGATCGACAGAATTGTTTGATTGATTTGGCTTCGTGTAAGTTTTGCTGCCACGTGGATTTCTTGGCTGGAAAGATCAGAAAATTTTCAGAACATTGGGAAAAAATCTAGAATCCAATTTTCTTGAATTCTGAATTCAATAAGGATACTTTCTGAACACAAATATTGAACTACAGTAATCCTGGTTTTTCCACGATCAAACTCAAATTCAAAGTTTACTAACTGTAAAAATAGATCATAAAAATACCGATCTACAGTAATACAGTAATCCTCAAATTCTAGAAATCCCAAAAAGTCTAAAATTAGGACGTCATCTAATAAATTCTAAAAATTTTCAAAACAAAATTGTTAGGGCTCTACAGTAATCCTAGAGTTCTACAGTAACCCTTTACTTCTAGAAATCCTGAGAAATTCTGAAAATGTTTCCAAGACATTTCTAGAGCTCTACAGTAGTCCGAAATTCCACGTCACGTTGAAACTTTCAAAAATGCAAAACTACAGTAATACAGTAACCCTAAAATTCTAGAAATCCAAAAATTTCCAGATATTTTTGGAAAGTTGTTAGAGCTCTACAGTAATCCCAACAAAAAAAGTCCAAAAATCGAAATTTCAAGTATTTGACTTTAATATGAGCAATCATGTGAATTTTCTAGCTAATCTAAGAAGTGTTAATTTTTCTTCAAAATATTGACTATAATCTGATTGTGAGCAATCATGTGAATTTTGAAGCTAATCTGAGCAATGTCAATTTTTCTTCAAAATATTGACTATAATATGAGCAATCAAGTGAACTTTCTAGATAATCTGAGAAATCTTCAAAATATTGGCTATAATATGAGCAATAATGTTTCCAGATGCCTACACCACACAAGACATCAAATACGAATGGAAACCCGAAAAACCAATCCAACAAAAAGACGGACTTCGTCAATCTTTGCCTTCTTTCGAACTCCAAGATGTTCTAACTGATTATTGTACAAGTAATACAAATACAGGTATTTTTCTAGAATTTTTCTGATATTTTCTAAATGTTTGTTGCTTTTTCTCTTCTCCTTATGTGTCCAATTTTTATGCTTTTTGTCCAATTTTGCAGGTGAATATTCATGTCTTCGTACTAATTTGGTGCTTCGTCGCGAGTTCAGTTATTATCTTCTACAGGTCTCGTCTAGTTTTTTTTGAATTTATGTTTTGTGTTGTGTGAAACTTAAATGTGCTTGAGTGTGTCAACAACAATTTCAGCTTTATATTCCAAGTTTTATGCTTGTCATCGTTTCGTGGGTCTCATTTTGGTTGGATAAGGATTCGGTGCCAGCGAGAGTTACCTTAGGTTAGTTTGATTCATCTTCACGGTCTTTTAAAAAAATAGTGTTGTGATTTGAGAGAGAGAGAGACGCAGAGAGAAAGAGAGAGAAATACTAAACTCTCATTCTATCAATTTTCTAGCTAATCTGAGCAATGTCAATATTTTTTCGAAATATAAAAAAACTGAGGATAGATTTTAGTCGCTTGGCACAGTGAAAATTCAAAAATGAATTCTTAAAAATCAAGCTGAGGCCTATTTCTAAATTTATCAAATCCTAGACCTGCAAATTCAATTCGCTGTAGATCACGCGCGATTCCAATATCTTTTCGTCTCTTTCACTCTCACTGATTGCTTTTTGACATATTGCGATTTCTCTTTTTGAAGCTAATATGAGCAATGCCCCATTTCTTCAAGTTTTTGACTATAATATGAGCAATCCTATTATTTTGTTCTGTAAGTTGAGCAATTCAAAATGATCAAACATTTTTTGGATTTCTCAGGAATATATTTATTCTAGTTTTCTCTGCGTCTCTCTCTTTCTCTCTTTCAAACTTCAATCATGATAATAAATTTTCTCATTTTCCTAGGAGTCACAACTCTTCTGACAATGACAACTCAAAGTTCCGGAATCAATGCCAAACTTCCACCGGTTAGTTATACAAAAGCGATCGATGTTTGGATTGGTGTTTGTCTCGCCTTCATTTTTGGAGCACTTTTGGAATTTGCGTTGGTGAATTATGCGGCGAGAAAGGATATGACACAGGTCTCGCAGAGAATTGTGAGTTTGGGGGGCTTTAAATCTAGATTTGTCATTTTTCGGCATTTTTTAATCGAAAAACTATTTTTTTTTTCTGCAAAAACTTAGCTCAGTCCCAGATTTTTTCCCAAACCCCAAAAAATTCTTTCAAATTAAAAATTTCCAGCGTCAAATGAAACAACTGCCACCAGATGGTTATCGTCCATTATCAGCCTCGCAAGGCCGTTCCTCATTTTGCTGCAAAATTTTCGTGCGCAGATATAAGGAACGATCGAAACGTATTGATGTTGTTTCCAGATTGGTGAGTTTCGAGGAGAAGCTTTTCAGCTCGCGGAAAAGTTTTTCGGCTCAAACTTTTTCTGAGGAGATCCCTGAAAAACTGAGCTACTCAGAAAACATAAATTTTGATGAAGAAAAAATTAAGATTGCTCATTTTATAGTCAATATTTTTTTTTTTTAAATTGACATTGCTCAAATTAAAAATTCACACGATTGCTCATACTAAAGTCAATATTTTGAAGAACATTGGCATTGCTCAGATTAGCTAGAAATTTCACATTGTAGAGCTAACAACTTTCTGAAAAAAAATTTAGAATTTCTAATTTTTGATTTTTTAGGATTTCTAGAATTTGAGGATTACTGTATGTATTACTGTAGATCGGTACTAAATTTGAATTGGGATTCTTCGGGTTACTGTAGTTCAATATTTTTATTCAGAATTCTAAAAATTGCAAAACGAAAAATTGACATTGCTCAGATTAGCTTCAAAATTCATTGAATTCTCTCTCTGCGTCCATCAAGAAAATTTCATTTTTTCAAATTTCTAAAAGACCGTGAAAAACTGTAGTAAAAAAACAGGGATAATAGAAATGATGAACCGCGAGCTGAAATTCCATAATTTGGAACTCAACATTATTTTCATGCCCAAATTCTTTTTTTTCAGGTATTCCCAATTGGCTATGCGTGCTTTAACGGTATTTGTTCATTTTTTGTGCGTTGCAGTGTAATAATCGCAATTTTTCAGTGTTATATTGGGCTGTCTACCTTTTGTAAAACCTACTTCTTCCCTCTGTTTATATGTGCCTTATTTAACGAATACATGTCAAAAATCAAAAAACCAAAACAAAAAATGTGAATTTAGGTGAATATAGTTGTGCACGGGTGATATTGGAATTGAGAAGAGAATACAGGTAAGAAAACCCTGATCTTCAGGGTCCTGGAAATTTCAGAAGTACAAAAATTCAATAATTTTCAGTTATTATTTAATTCAACTTTATATTCCATGTATGATGCTTGTTGTTGTTTCCTGGGTCTCATTTTGGTTAGACAAGGTATTTAATTCTTAAAAATTTTATTAATTACCCTAATTACCCTAATTTAGGACGCTGTGCCGGCTCGTGTTTCTCTTGGCGTCACAACTCTTCTAACAATGACAACTCAGGCGAGTGGAATCAATTCCAAACTTCCACCGGTTTCGTATATCAAAGTGAGTTAGCCTAACTATATTTTACTAAGGCATTTCAAGAATCGAATTATTTTCAGGCAGTTGATGTTTGGATTGGTGTTTGTCTCGCGTTCATTTTTGGAGCACTGCTGGAATATGCGGTTGTGAATTATTATGGGAGAAAAGAGTTTTTGAGAAAGGTGGGTCTTCTGAGAAAAAAAAATTTGTGAAAATTGAATTTTTTTTTGAAATTACAGTATCAAATTGGTAAATATTTTAATTTTTAATTTAAATTCAAAAGTTTTTGTTCCAAAAATCAATTTTTCCGAATATCTCAAACATTTTCCGATACAAAAAAATTTCGCTGTGAAATTCCAGGAATTTTTTGAGATCAAACCATTTTTTGTAGAGCTTGTGGAGCTTTAGGTTTTGGCTCACTGGAGGATTTTGGTTCAAAAAATGAGCACCTAAACATTTGGGTTCATAATTAATAACCTAAATTTGCTTGTCTAGGCTCGGATACTTGGAAGTAAGGTTCTCAAGGCTCAGCTACTTGACTTAGAAGTTCTAAAGTTACCGTGCCTTGTTACAGTGGTCATCTAGGAGTGGGTCCTAGACAACCAAGATCTCTAGGCGCAGCTACTTCGCATAGAGACTCTCAAGGCGCGTTACGTTGTTCCAGTGGTTCTCTAGGCGCAGCTGCTTGACAGCTTGGTTTTCTAGGCTCAGTTACTTGGCATATAAGCTCTCAAGGCTCAGCTACTTGACAACTGGGCTCTCTAGGCTCGGCTCCTTGACAACTTGGTTTTATAGGCTCGGCTGCTTGAAAGCTAGGTTCTCTAGGCGCAGCTTCTTGAAAGCCGAATTTTCTAGGCGCAGCTGCTTGACAACTAGGTTCTCTAGGCGCACCTACTTGCCGTAAGTCAAAATTTCTCTGATGAACTTGAGATCAGCGAAATTTTAGGTATCCGAAAAAATTCCAAAATTATTCCACCTTCAAAAAAACGACCTCTGAACTTGTTTCGTTGGTAACCACAGACACAAATCTTGTGATGTTCGAAAAAAATTTGTCTTTGAACCAAAAAAACCTCTCAAATTTCCCAGGAAAAAAAGAAGAAGACTCGAATCGATGATTGTGTTTGTCCCTCTGATCGTCCGCCACTTCGTCTCGATTTATCAGCTTATCGAAGTGTGAAAAGGCTTCCAATTATATCAAGGTTTGTTTTCGTTTCATTTCTTTTGTTTCCCTCGCGCACCACATCTTTTCTTCTTCTTTTTTTATTTCATTTTATTACACACACAACAATTTCGGTCGGACATATGATACGAGTATCTTTTTGCCTGGTGACCGATCAAATTTGGTTACTGTAGAAAAATAGGATGATCATTTGTTGTTATTGGATAGGCTTGAGTGAATTTTTTTTGTGATTGGACTCTTCGAAAATCAATGACGTATAGAGAAAATATCTAGAACCGGATTAAAACCGTGCCGGGGGTACTGTAGGAATCAAAAGATTCACGGCATTTTACAGGGTAAATCGAGAGAGAGAGACGCTGAGAAAACGAGACAAAACCCTTTGGCGGGAAAAGTTCGGAATTCGAAAATTTTTGAAAAACATTGGCTTCCCGCCAAAATTATTAGAAAATGAATAGCATTGCTCATGTTATACTCAAAAACTTGAAAAAAGAGGGCATTGCTCAGATTAGCTTCAAAATTCACATGATTGCTCATATTATAGTCAAAGTTTTTTATAAAAACATTTAAATTGCTCATATTATGATCAATTCTTGAAGAAAGATGGCATTGCTCATGTTAGAATTGCTCAGGAAAAAATAACTTGAAGAAATATTGCTCAGATAAGCTTAAAATTCATAGCATTGCTCAGATTAGCTTCAAAAGTGCTCAGATTAGCTGGAAAATTCATAGCATTGCTCATATTATATGCAATATTTTGAAGAAAATTCGAAATCGCTCAGATTAACTTCAAATCCATGGCATTGCTCAGATTAGCTTCAAAATTCCTCAGATTAGCTACAAATTCCACTTGATTGCTCAGATTAACTTCAAAATTCATAGCATTGCTCAGATTAGCTTCAAAATTCATGGGATAGCGCAGATTAGCTTCAAAATTGCTCAGTTTAGCTAGAGAATTCATAGCATTGCTCATATTAGCTTCAAAATTCACATGATTGCTCATATTATAGTCAGAAATTTCAAGAAAAATTGGCATTGCTCAGATTAGCTGAAAAATTGCTCAGATTAGCTTCAAAATTCACAGGATGAGAGTTTTCTCTGCGTCTCTCTCTCTCTCGAATTCCAATTTTCAAAATGTCGTGTAGTAAAAAAAATAGAACTGGAATAATAAAAATGAAACACTAGACAAAGTTGAGATCAAAAAATTATAGTTCACATGACCGTGGAAGAGAAAACCAAATCCGGGTTTCTAGGCCATTTCGGTTCTCCAAAATTCTTGAAATGTTTTCAGAATAAGCGAGATTCTGGCAGCGAATACGGACATTTCGAGAAGAGTCGATTTGATGTCAAGACTAGGATTCCCAACATTGTTCATCTCCTTTTTAAGTGAGTTTTTTTTTTCATAGTGTCCCTTTAAATATCTCAATTTTTACAGTATTCTACTATCAAACCTATGTGAAACAGAGTCGAGATTAATTTATTTTTCCTTTTTTGTGTATTTTTTATTTTGAATATGTATATTTTTGGTTGTAAGTATTTAAATACTCAATAAATTCTAACCTCTTCTATGAAACTTTGAAAAAGTTCAGCTAAAAACTGGCAGGTCGTTTTTAAAGTGCAAAGGAACACTTGATTTTTAGAAGTTGGTTCAAACTGAACTTTGCACAGAGCTACAAATTTTAGGGACCAAACTAGAATTCTCTCAAAAAGAAGCTCCAAAACTAGATACAGTCAGATCTAGCAATATAGCGAAAATTGCCACGTCATAACTATATATTTGTGTATCGTAGACTTTTGAAAAAAATAAGGTGTTTGCAAATCAAAATAGAGATTTTACATAAAATTGAGAGAACTCTTTTGATGTTTTGAACTACTAAAAAATGTCTGAACTTTCAGTTTTTCAAAAGTTTCTTGATGTCGAAATTTTCTCCAATTTGCATTTGGAAAAACTCTTCTATAAAATTTGGATTCGACAATTCCAGAAAAAAACGTAGTTTTAAAAATGTGCCAATTTTCCACATCAAGAAACTCTCCAGTACCCAATGAAGACATTTTGGAATCAAGAAACCAAAAATTATAAAGTGAGAAATCACATGTTGGATACTGTAAGTCATGAGTTTTAAAGCGGAACCATTCATAAACTTCTTGAATTTTGTAGCTAAAAATCTCCAGATTTTTTCCAAGGAAAAATATGTTTCAAAAAATCTCGAAAACCAAAATATCAAATTAAAAATTGATTTACCATCTAATTTTTTCAATGTTTCAATAAAAAACTATCAAAATCAAATAAAACACAAAGTTGCATAAACAAAAGGAAATGAATGATCTTCTTATCAAATAAAGATAATGAAAAACATTAGGCTTCTCCTTTTTTCTGACCAATCGTTGATAAATCATCTCTCGACGTGGAAATTAGAAACTATTTCCATTTTCAGATTTGTCAGCTCAAAATGCTCCACTAGCTATATTTTCAGAATTTATTCAATTTTTTTTTTTTCAAAAATATATATTAAATTCCACCGACTCCTGAGCTCGAGCAAAGTAAATACAAACCTTCGATCTAACTAAAAATTTTAATTGGTTACCGTACACAATTTGTTTCAATGATCCCATTGACTCCGCCCCATTTTCATCGCCTTAAAAGTGTAAGAGAAGAAGTGACAGATCAACAGTTGAACACGTTGTCTTCCTAACCTTTTCAGACTATTATTCTCTAAAAACATGTCGAACTATACAATGATTATGATTATTGCCATTGTTTTGGCGCTCACAGCCACCGTCGATTGCCAATGGTTCGGTGGCTGGTCCCGTCCAGCATGGGGATATAACTCCCAAGGTAAGAAATCACCTAAAAATTCTAGATTTTCTACAATGAATTATATATATTAGAATAGGTTCTTTCCGAATTTTTAGAAAAAGCCTGAAGTTTTTCGCGATTTTCCAGGCGAAACTACTACAATCGTGCCAGTCGTAGCTAGTTCAGTATCTTCTATACAAGTTAAGTAAACTTGCTTTTCCGTAGAAAAAAATAATAACCAACAAAACCATCTGACCTTGTAAACTGTTTACTGTACTTATCTATCTTGATTGATTGCCCTCACATATATTGCTATCACATTGAAAATAACCCGAAAAAACATTATTTATCAAAAAATCATCAATTTTCAGGAATCGGTGTTGATCAATACGGCAACACTTTCGAAGGAACCCCAGACAATGGAATCTATTTGTTCTGTAATGGACATGGATGCCCAGGACGCGGTTAGAATGCGCTGAATCAATCACATTATCACATTGGACACGATGCTATTTTTTTAAATTTCGGTTTTTTTGTATAATATATAACTTTTTACTAAACATATGAATTTTGTCAAGATACAAGATAGGAATTTGGCATGCTTAAAATAATGTACATGATTTTCTACATGTGGAAACACTTCAATAAGAGAAAATAAACTTAGATTTGAGCATCGATGATTTGTGCTCCAAGATTGGCTTCACCAAGAGCACTTCCGCATCGATCAGTCAAGATGGTTTGAGCCTCGTTGATGATTTCGCGGCGAGCTCCTGCTTTAGCCTCCTCAGTTGTTGGTTCTGGTGATTTTGGAGCACGGTTCTGAAAAACAAAGAATTGAAATTTCGATTCAGAACCTATTTTATTTATTAAATACCTTGCGTTCCCGTGTCTTTCGTTGCTTTCCTGGTTTTTTCGCAGATTCCGCGGACTTGACTTCGGAGTTGTCAGCTTTTTCAGTTGATTGCTGATTTTTGCGAGTGTTTTGTCGATTTTTGCGGAAACTCGAGAAAAGAATATGACGGAATCTGGAATTTTTAGTTTTGTTTGGAACTCCCCCTCTCTCAACTCACTTAGATCCGTGCACATTTTCCCCATTTGGACCAGTCACGTTGGCGGCTTCTGGTCCCTTTCTTCCATCAACAAGATCGAAGACAACTTCTTCATCATTTCCAAGAGTTCGAAGGTAGAACTTGTTGGTTTCCGAAGCAGCAATTGCTTTTTGATGAACAAAAACATCCTTCTCTCCGTCTTTTCGGGAAATGAAACCATATCTTCCAAGAACAGAGTACCATTTGACGGTTCCTTCAATTCCCTTCTTCAAAACAGTTTTGTTCTTTTGTTCTTCTTCCCAAAGACGAACGCGTTCTTCGACGGAAACTCTTGGTCTTCTTGGTGATTTGCTGCCGTCGGAGACTTTGAGATTCTCGAGTTTCTCGATTGCCTCTTCGGCGACTTCGATGCTGGTGTTAACTTCGTCTGACATTCTGCGATAAACCAGTTTTAACGGGAGAAAAACGTGAAAAAAAAGAAAAAGAAGAATTTTGAAATCATTTTTGAATTTTCCCGCGCTTACAGTAACCCAACACACATACAACATGCGTATCTAACTAACCCGGGCGTTTTTTTTCAAATTTTGGGACAGAAGTTTTCGTTTTTTCAGTTTTCGCCTCGTTTTTCTGCTCGCTCTCGTCTCTTTTGTTATTCTAGTTCTAACTCTGTTTGAAGCGTATCGTTCCGACCGAAATGTGTATCCGTTCTGATTTATTTACACGCTTGAATGTGTCACGAAATTTCTAAAATATGACAATTTTCAGACTCCTTGAATTTGCTCAAAAATGGCTGCAGCTGCACCAAAAGTCAAGACATCAAATCACGCACCATACATCGATTTGGTCAGAAATGCCATCATCGAGATCAAGGATCGCAAAGGAGCATCTCGTCAAGCAATCGGTGCTGTTCTTTTGAGAAACACCACACTTGGAGGATCATCCAAAATGGTAATCGTTCATTTAACTGAATTAGCATGTTGATGTTGAATTTAACAATTTCAGATCAACAAAAACATCAAGAGCGCATTGCTCAAAGGTGTTAGTGATGGAGTTCTCATCCAAACATCTGGAACTGGTGCATCTGGTCGCTTCAAAGTCAACAACGGTGCAAAGGCTCCTGTCAAAGTTTCGACACCGAGAACTGCAAAGGCTGCCGAACCAGCAAAAATCAAGAAGATCGCCACGGCTGTTCCAAAGAAGGCTAGTGAAAAATCCCCGAAAACTGCCAAACAAGTGAATGCTGTTCCGAAAACAACTGCAGCCAAAACTTCCACAGCAGCAAAATCAGCTAAAAATGCTCCAGCGGTCAAAAAATCGTCGACAACTGCAAAAGCCACCGAAACTCCAAAAAGTGCGCCAAAGCCAAAGAAAGCCGCAGCCAAGCCAGCTCCAAAGAAGGCTAATAAGTAATTTAAATTTTCTCCCCAAACATCTCACTATATAAACTCCCCAATCCAATAATCTGGTTCCAAATAAATACCATAGTTCTTATTTGTCTTGACATTGTCATTGTATTTTTCTGAATTTATTGACTGACTAAACCATCTGTATCATTCTTCTTCATAAATACGTTTGGAATTTATGATTTTCGTTTTTTTTTGTGCATTTCAAAATAGTCGATATTTCAACATTTTATCTCAAGAATTTACTCGTATCAATAAAGCAAATAGTTTCCCGACGATCAATTTTGTTTCTCACATGAAAATTGAATAGGAAACTCTAGACATTGTTATAAATTATATCATCTATACTTGAATACAAACCAGATGCCAAAAACATCCATCCAAGAACAAAAAGAATCGAGTTACTGATGAGTTTTGTATAAAACTTGAACATATCTCCCTCTTTCTTGAAAACCGGTAAAAATACCATACAATCAAGAAAAGAAGGAATTATTAGGGAAATTAGAAGTCCCGATGTTATTCCAACCAAAGGTATAATTTGCATTAGATTCGGAACAATCAATGCCAATGCAACTGAAAATTATTTGAAGTTTGAAACATTTTCAATTCAAATTCAACTTACGAGCGACCAACATAAGAGAAGCTCTCAGAAAATATGGAACACATTTTTGTAGAGTTTTCCTTTCGTCTGAAATTCTCGAACGAACTGTTGGTAAAAGCATTTGAACAATCACGAATAATTGAATCGCACATCCGAAAAATATTTTGAGCACCAACAACGCTTTGATGCTCACAGATAATCTAAAAAAAAAAGTTTTCCAATTATTTTTCTATGTGTTGTTCAGGATTCAGGTCGAAAAAAAAACATTTTTAACAAAAATTTTCGATTCAGAAAATTTCAAACCCTGTTTTTCACACAAAAATGAAAAATTTCTCGCTCCGAAAATGTTTCAATGAAAAAAAGTAGAAAAAATATAGTTTTTTGATTTTTCTGAATCGAAAATTGTTGCTAAAAAACGTTTTTCAAAAGTTTTTTTTCGATCTGAATCAGGCCTGTGTCGGAAAACGGAAAGTTGGAAAATTTCCGGATTTTTTGAACCAGAAAATTCGGAAAATTTCGATTTTCAGCCTTAAGTTGGCACTAAAACTTATTTTTATCTACAATTTTTCTATTCACAGGTGATTTAGTAACTATTTGAGACGTTTTCCGTTCAAAAATAGTAAAATTTGAAAAATTAAAAAAAAATTCCAAAAACTTCATTTTTTCACTCATAAACTGAGAAAATTTCCCAAAATTTAGGCAATTTCGAAAATATTACTACTAAAGATCATTTTCCGGATTTTCCGAGCACATTTTCCGGAAAAAAAATTTCTGGCACAGGCCTGATCTGAATCTCCCCATTATAAAACTCACAAAGAATTCGGTAAATTCAAAGTCAAACTTCCTTGAACACTTGGTCCAAATTTAATATAACCAAAAAATCCCAAAAATGCATATAAAATTGTGACCAAATTCATAGAAGTCGACAAAACCCCAGTAAAACCATTCATATCAACCGGATGTTTTAGCGAATTCTCCAAAGGAAGAACCATTGCTTGGCCTTCAAATGAATAGATCAATGCACCAGCTGCTAATGATATTCCTTCGATTCCAGTTACTGTGTTCAAAGATGTTACCGGATACCATGGTTCAGCCACGAGTTCCTAATAATAAACAATATCGATAGAAGAAGAATAAAAAATTAAATAAATTGACTCACTTTTGTGATCAAAATGATTGCCGCAAAAATAATAACATTTCCAAAAAGACACAGAATAGTTATCAATTTCATGTGTCCAATAAAATTTAATGCAAGTTGAGGAATAAAATAAATAACAATCATCCAAGATTTAGATATAGGAATTGGAGCATCCGCTATATATTCATAGACTTCAATAACATGTTCGGTGGCAAAAACCATAAATACAGTAATCACTCCGATTTGAAACGCCAAAAGACAAGTATTAACTATGATTTTTGCAAGTTTCGCATGTTTTTGAACCCATTTATAACTATTTGATAAAGCTGCTTCGGCCATATCACCATAGTCCAAACTTTGATCTCCATTTCTTGAAAAAATGTGTGGTTTTACTCAAAATTCTGTGAATTTCTTACATTTTTGCAAGATATTGAGAGCAACATACAATTTTATGCATTGAATATAAACTCAAGAATCCAATAATAAATACAAGTGCAAAACCAGCCCATAATCCAGCTTGTTTGAAGCTAACAGCTAAAGAAAAACAACCTGGGCCAATCATTCCACATATAAAATTTATTAGTCCAGATGTTGCGCTGAAAAACTAAATTTCAAACTCCCTCTATTCGTTTGTGTGTGAACACTGTCACTTGCGTACTTGGCATTTTATTCGACGACACTTTCTCATTTTTTTTTCAATTTCCCTTTTTTTCGTCAAATTAAATTACCAAAGCTTTGGGTTTATAGGATTTTTTCAGTTACTCTAAGCTCTAAAGTGTTACTAAGTATAAGGTTTCTTTTGAAGATGACTTTGAACTTCTGCATTTTGACAAAAAATTAGGTTATGATTCAAAAATACATCGGAGTTTTCATTTTGTTGAGTTCGAATCTTTGTGTTTTTGCTGTGGTAGATAATGAATTTTAGCCCTATTCTCTACAGTAAGCCTACCCTTTTTACCGCCAAAAATCACAGTTTTTAGCCTCGTTTCATTCCTCCTACTGTAGATCACGATTTTCGCCTAATTTCTCTACATAACTAGTTCAAAAAATTCCATAATCTCCAGAAGCTGAATTCATAAAGTTGGTACACCAAAAATTGATGAAGGAAAATTTGGGGCGTACCAAAAATTGCTAACATGATCATATTTCTGATCATATTCTTGTAAACAAAATTTTTGGTATACCAAATTTTCTGTACAACTTTTATAAATTCGGCCCCTGATCAAATAACTTCAAGAAATGTATCCCAACTATTCGGAATATTCCATTTCCGAAATAATTCTCCCTGATTCACCTAATTCCATGCGTTCTCCGAATCATCGTACTATTTTTCTTCCTCGAATCTCCACCATTTTCTTCCTTCACCACCGGCGAAATGATCATATTCTCGAGCTCAACTAAAACATGTTGTTCTTCAGCGGTAGCCATAATTTTTTTTGAGTTAGTTTTATCAGTAGCAATGAATTAGACAATGAGCATAAAATATGTAATATAAAATTGAAAATGGCACACTCTTTTTTCTCAGCCTTCTTTCTCTTTTGCTCTTTTTTTTGCTCTCGGTTCGAATGTACGCAATGTACTCAGATTTAGTTTGGGATTAAATGAGGAAGAAGCTCGTCGGCTCACAGAAATTTGTTTTCGAAATTTTTCTTTTTGGTAAACATGATGAGAAGCACTCAACGAATATTTGTTCGTTTTTCTTTCTGTTATTTTTATGACTGACGCGATTTTTGACAGCTATTTTTTGTTTGAGAAAAAAAGAAGTTATTGAGGGAAAAATGAATGACAATGATCTTTCATCAAGAAAAAATAATGGAAAACAGATGATTTTGAGTTATAGAGTTGTATTTTCTTTTTTTAAAAATAGGCTAAATTCTTAAAAATTCCTAGATTTAAAAAATAAATGAAAATCTGAAGTTGAAAGAATAATCATTGTAGTACAAATTTTATTGTTATCATCAATTTATCACAAAAAAAAAGAAGAGACACAGTAGAGACAAGGAAAAAGAAACATCAAAAAATGATTAACCTAACCTAACTAGAAGTTGTGTTGTAATTTATATGGAAGACGAACACAAAATAACAGACATTGTTTTTTTTTTGGAGGCCGAGCCGAAAAAAACCGGTTGATTGCCAAATTTGACGAATATTTTTCGCTATTTTTCGGGAATTCGAAAATGATCATCGAACAAAAAAAGTTGGTCTACTGTTTTTCATTGTTGTTAAATATTGTTATTATTATAATTCTTCACTTTTGATCTTTTTTTTGTTCAAAAAAAGAACAGAGAAAAATTACAGGAGGAAAAATGGACCAGAAGGTGATAGAGAATGGCGAATATCTGATTGTACAAAAAGTGGACGGTGAGCAGATTAGAGTTATGCGATTCACACCGAAGCAGAAGATTTTGATTGAGAAATTGAAGTTTGATGCCGATAAGTGGGTTTTTTTTTGAAGAAGAGAGAGAGAGAGAAACGTGATGTGAATGATTTTTTAAAAGTCAAGACTTGATAATAGAAAAAAAAACGGTGTGATAACAATGAAAACCGGCCCACGCCCCAGGAATTTTGTATTTGCATGTGACGAATTTCGAAGGGGAGATTCGAAAATGTCGAATTTTCATTCAAAATGTCACCGATAACGAGTTCCGATGACAAGGGAACAATTTTTTGGAAAAAAAATTTCACAGGGAAAATTTCAACTTTCATCCTGTTTTCTAGTAATTTTCTTTGTTTTCTAGTAGTTTTCGACCCGTTGATCACGATCCCGTCGTTTAAAATTTCAGAATTCAAGTCCTAGCATGAGTTATGACTTGGCAAAGCTCAGAAATTTCGAAAAATCCGGACTTTAGCAGCTGAAATCTAGAATCATTTTTGAAACTAGTTTTCAGCTCCTAAAGTCCGGATTTTTCGAAATTTCCAAACTTTGATATGGTATAACTCCTGTTAGGAGTTGAGTTCTGCAATTCTAGACCGCAGGATCGTGATCAGCGGGTCGGAAACTACTAGAAAACGTAGATTTTATGAAAAATCTAGAGTGAATGTTGAAAATTTTGGTCTGGAAGTTATTCCACCTGGAAAGCATAAAACATTCGAAACCTGAAATTTCAGAGAATTTTTTATGGAAACAATTTTCCCAAAAAAATTTCCCAGTTTCTATATTCTTGAAGTAAAAAAGTTCAACTTCGAAATTGGAAAATCCACAAATGTCCTCTTATTCCAGTGCATTTGGAAAACCATACGGTTTGTTCGAAATCGTCGGTGGAGATTGTATCCCAATGACTGCGCAAAAATTGCGAGACGAAATCGAAGAACAAGATGCAGCGCTCAGTGTGATGAGCAAAAAAGGTTTGTTTTTTATCGAAAATATTTCCCGAAAAGTCCGAAAAATCTCCAATTTTCCAGAAGATTTGACGACTGGCGATTCTGTTGATTCAAGTTGTGAAGAAAAACCAAGCGAAAGAGTTGTAATCGCTCCTTCGGCATTGAAATTAGAGCCCGAGCAAAAACGTCAAAAATTGGTGCAAGACGAGGTTTTGGAGATGAAAAAGCAAGGAACGACGGGAAATGAATTGGTCGCGAAATTAGTCGAAGGATCAGCTTCTTTTAACACTCGAACAACTTATTCGCAAAGCAAATATATAAAAAGGAAATCGAAGAAACATTCGGATCGAGTTCTGATTCTTCGACCAACAATTCGACTTCTAGCAAAATCATATTATATGAAAGATCCGGATCGAATTGCAATGCTTCGAAATGATCAACTTGGTTTAATTTTGCAAATGGCTGGAATACATCATTCGAAAAATGTGATTGTTTTTGAGCAAAATCTTGGGCTCATCACAAGCGCTATTATTGAAAGACTTGGTGGAAAAGGCGCTTGTATTCATATTCATCGGGTTGGTAATTTTATTCATAATTAGTAAATTAATTATAAAATATAAAATATTAATTTTTATAGGGAGCAATAGCCCAATCGATTCCCTGTGTTCATTCGATGAATTATGACGAGCAAACGTTATCCACATTTTTGCCGGTGAGAATTGGATGTGTTTTGGCTGGAAAACAATTGCCTTATGATAATCAGAGGAAGAATGGAACAGATGAAGAAGACTTGGATGTGAGAGCTGCTGATGTCAAAGAATTGACTGCGGAAGAGGTGGAAATTTTATGTTTTCTAAAAAAAATTGTAGAACTCAATATGAGTAGCGAGACTTTAGGAGCTGAAAACTATAGCTTCAAAAATGATTTTCTCAAGAAAATCTCATAGCTGTTCACGAGAGTCATAAGTTGAGAAGGTTCACCCATGAACAAACTTTTTTCACTCAAAAAAATATTCAAAATTATTTAAAATTTTTGCAAATTTGGTTTTGTTGAGTGAAAAAAGTTTATTCATGGTTTGCAGAGATCAAATTTTTCTTTAAAGACACATAGAAAACTAGAAATGTGTGTTCGTAATCTTCAAAATTTGAACGCGCGCCTTTTTTCAAAGTTGTGTGTTGTTCGTTTGAAAAAAGAAAAAACGAATAAAAAGTGGTGGTACGGTATGCTAAGAATGCACACATGTGCGGCAAATAACGGACATTTGTGCAAACACCAAATTTTGCGTCGGCTGAGCGATTTCAAAAAAGGTTTTTTCTTTTTTTGACTTTCGCTAAACTCAATATTTTTCAATTTTGTTTATGTACTTCCACTATTTGAAGGATGATAAGAAACATGCAAATAATGCTTTTCAAACGATTTCTAGTTTTCTACGTGTCTTTAAAAATCTGATTTTCTAATGAACCTTTTGAACTTATGTTGTCGACACTTCTGAACAACGCTATCAGGTTTGCATTAAAATCATTTTTGAAGTTAGTTTTAAGCTTCTAAAACATACATCAGTTTCTCGACCCCCTCCGGACGAAAATCCGGGGATACTGATGTATGTTCTAAAATCCCGCCACGTCATAACTCATGTTAGGATTTTTTTGAGTTCTGCAATTTTATCGCGATCAGCGGGTCGAAAATTAGTAGAGAATTTGATTGAAAATCTTTTTTTGTCCAGGAAGAAGCCCTTGTTCGTCGAAATGATCGATTGGCGAAGGAAAAACTGGCGATGGATTTGATTGAAAATGGACAAACGCATTCGCTGATCATTGGAAGTCGAACTGTAGGTTCCACATATTTATGTTTTTTCAAAAACTAAAACTTTTAGTAAAAAGTATATTTCTAGATTGACCCCATCAATGTTTTGGAGCAATTCTATCATAAATTGGCTCCAGCATCAACAATTGTCATTTATTCGCCGCATTTGAATGTGCTAGTGGAATCGTATGAATGGCTTGTCAAAAATTATGCGATAAATTTGAATATTACAAATCAGATGTGTCGCGTTCTACAGGTACACTTTTTTGACGTGGCAAAGCTCTGAAAATTTCCAATTTCCAGGTTCTCCCGGATCGAACTCATCCACTGATGTCTCAACACATTGCCGGCGGCCATATTTTGAGCGCAATCAAAGTGCTTTCGGCTGAAAATTCCAGCTGAAACTGATAAGTTGTTCTTTCTCGTTGTTGATTTTTATTTATTTGTTATAAAGTTTTCTTTTTTTTTTTGAAAAAACAAAAAAATCAATTTTTCACGTGACACACTTTCAAAAATGACGTGTTTTCCAAAAATCCACGCATTATTTATTTATTTCTCGATTTTCTCGTCGTTTCAAACCAACGCGGTATGTTTGCCAAATAGGCTCCGCCCATAAATGTGTGCGGCCAGCGTGTCAAAATAGATTTTTGAGAGCAGATAATTCATTGCATTTGTACTTTTGCATTTTCATTTTCAGACGGAAAATGCTGAAAATCGGCACCATATTGGTGCTATTTTGTCTTCTGCCCTCAAACGAGGGTTTCTATGTGCCCGGAGTTGCTCCGGTTGATTTTAAAGTTGGAGATGTTATTGATGTTAAGGTAAGTCTACTAAACTTATAATAATACTGTGATTTTTACTCTTTAGGCTATAAAATTGACGAGTTCTAACAATATCATGCCATTCGAATATTATTCCGTTCCATTTTGTCGACCGAAAAATGGCGAAATTGTTTATAAATCGGAAAATCTTGGAGAAGTTATGCGAGGCGATCGAATTGTTAACACACCATTTGTTGTAAGTAGACTTCAGAAGTGACTTAAATGTGGAGCTTCCAGCCATGTAATTTGAGGCTCCCAGAGGCTCAGATTCAGCCTGAGCCTGGACCCACAGCCTCTGGCGACCAATATTTCATGTTTTCTAGTAGTTTTCAATCCGCTGTTCACAATCCCGCCATATAAAATTGCAGAACTATACTTCTAATATGAGTTATGACGTGGCAGGACTTTAGGAGCTGGAAACTAGCTTCAAAAATTATTCTGATGGCATAGGGTTTCTCAGGAGGCTTGATAACAGGTTCAGAAGGTTAATTCAAAAGATTTTTTTCATGCTGAATATGGGTGTTCAGCGTTTTCAGCGTGAAAACCTGATCTAGATCAGAAACCAAGGATCAAATAACCAAAGCTCGAACCAAAAAATTTTCTAGACCAATTTTTCAAGCTGAAAAAGAATGTTTTCGGCGTGAAAAACTGATCTAAGTAGAACAATTTTAGAGTTCACAATCAGAAGGCTCGTTCAAAAATCCGAAAAATTTTTCATTGGTTATTTGATCCTTGGTTTAATGAGAATTTCTGTTCTAAATCAGGTTTTCACGCTGAAAACGCTGAACACCCATTTTCAGCACGAAAAAAAGCTAGTTTTCCTCTCCTGAAGTCCCGCCACGTCATAACTCATGTTGAGTTCTATCAGTGGGTCGAAAATTACTAGAAAACATTTAGAATCAGTCTAAAATCACGTTTTTTTCCAGTTCAATATGATGAAAAATACGGAATGTTTATCAGTTTGTTCAAATATAGTCTCAAAACAAGACGTCAGTTTATTGAAGGAGCGAATTCAACAAGAATATTCGGCACATTTGTAAGTCACTCTCTTTTTTATCAAAAAAATGTTTTCAAAACGAATCGATTCCAGAATCGTTGACAATCTGCCAGTTGCCACAGTCATCGCTGGAACCAAAAACTTGGACGTCTATTACGATTTGGGTTATCGATTGGGTTGGAAAAACGACGCGGGAAAAGTATTTCTGAATAATCATCTGGATTTTACCATCAAATATCATCAACATTCCGAAGGTCTTTATCGAGTGGTTGGATTTGAAGTGAAACCGAAATCATATGCGAATGTTCAGGCGGCTCAAGGAGATGTGAGCTTTATTTTGTGATAAAAAAATTTCAAAATTCTTTTTTTAGACGTGCACACTTCCTTCGGATAATGCTCATTTCGAATTGACTGATGGCGAACAAAAGATTCCATTTTCTTATTCGATCAAATTTGAAGAATCCGAGGTTTGCTTTTTATCTGATCTGATTTTATCTAAATACAAATTTTGCTTTCCCTTTCCTTTTCCGTCACAAGTTCCAAAAAATCATTTTTCCCAGGTTCCTTGGGCGAGTAGATGGGATGTATATTTATCAACCAAAGGAAGTGAAATCCACTGGTTCAGTATTCTCAACTCCCTCGTCGTTGTCTTCTCCCTCTCTGGTTTCCTAAGTGTCACAATTGTTCGAACTGTTCGACGTGACATTGCTCATTACAATCGAGACGACGAAGAGGATGATACATTAGAAGAGACTGGTTGGAAATTGGTGCACGGTGATGTGTTTCGACCACCACCACATCAAATGATTCTTGTGAATATGGTTGGAACTGGTATTCAATTGTTGGGAATGTGCGGAATTGTTGTTGGTAAGGGTTTTTTGAGAAATATTTTTATGGGGAGGGCGAAAAGTTTTTTGAAAAATTTTGATCCCTGATGAATGTTGCAAAAAAGTTCGGTCAATAATTCAATAACACATTTCCTATATGCAAATTTTTCTGTTTCTGTGATTTTAATTCCGAATTTTCAGATTTTCCATTCGATGCTGAAAATCACATTATCTTTCTTTCCTAGCAAATTTTTTTTTTCAAAATCAGTAATATGAAAAAACCATTGATCCTTAATTTCAGGCCACATTTTTTCCAGACTTCTAAAGCTGAAGAGTTTCAGATTTTCTGGAATTTGAAAAATATCACAAATGAACCACAGCTGTTCAAACAATTTGTACAGTCTGAAAATTGGTTTCTTGGATTTTTTTTGGAAAAAATTCATACCTCGATCTCATAGAATAATACAATTTTGAATAATCTAAATTTCAGATTTTGTCAAAGTTCAAAAATGTGGCAGCCATAAAAAACCATTGAACGAATGAAAAACAACACTTCGTGAGTCGCGTGCGGCTGTGCGTCACGGTTTGTTTCCCGACCGCGACGCACAGCCGCACGCGACTCACGAAGTAAGGTTTTTCATTCGTTCAATTCTGTTCTAGTTTCTATTTTTTCCGATAGCCACATTTTTCAACATCTGAAAAACTGAAATTTAGATTTTCCAAAATTGAATTCTTTGAGATCGAGATGTGATTTTTTTCCAAAAAAAATCCCAAAAATCAATTTTCACACTGTATAAATTGTTTAGTCTCCACATTTTTCAACTTCGAATAAATCAATATCATTTTTCAGTATGCGCAATGCTTGGCATGCTCTCACCAGCATCTCGTGGCTCCCTAATGTCCGCCTCCGTTTTCCTCTTCTGCTTCATGGGTCTCATTTCGGGCTTCCACGCCGGCCGACTCTACAAAACAATGAAGGGCCGAAATCCAATCCGTTGTGCCATTCAAACCGCCACACTCTTCCCCAGTTTGATTCTTGGCGCCGGATTCTTCTTGAACTTTTTCCTCATTGGCAAACATTCATCAGGAGCTGTAAGAGTTTTTTTCCCCAAAACATCTCTCATAAAAAAAAAACAAATATTTAGGTCCCATTCGGCACTATGATTGCCCTGTTGTTTATGTGGTTCTGCATTGATATGCCATTGATTTTCCTCGGATTCTACTTTGGTTATCGCAAACAACCATACACGCATCCGGTTCGAACCAATCAAATTCCACGTCAAGTACCCGATCAACCATGGTTCCTTCGATTGATTCCATCTTCATTGCTCGCTGGAATTTTGCCATTTGGTGCAATGTTCATCGAACTTTTCTTCATTTTTAATGTGAGAGTTTCAAGATTTTTTTTTTGAAAAATCAACAAGATTTCAGGCAATTTGGGAAAATCAATTCTACTATCTGTTCGGTTTCCTGTTCATCGTCAGTATTATTTTGGCTGTTTCAACTGCTCAAATTTCGGTTGTTGCCACGTATTTCTCGCTTTGCGCAGAGGTAAGATTTTGGATATATTTTTTCTTCGGGGGAACTTACGCTTGAATTCCAGCACTAATTTGGTCGTGAAATCTTTACATCTGAAATTTTTAGTTCAGAAAAATTTAGAATCATTTCTAAAACTGGAAAAATCCTCTGAAAGTCTTAAGAAGTGTTCAGATGTCTCCAGAATTCTTCAGAAGTCTTCATAAATCTTTAGAAGTCTCCAAGAGCTTTCAGATGTCTTCAGAAATCTTTAGAAATTTTCAGAAGTTTCCAGAAGCCTTCAGAAATCTTCAGATATTTTCCAAAACATTTAGAAGCCTTCAGAAGTTTTCAGAAGCCTTTGAAAATCTTCAGAAGCTTTTAAAAATTTTCAGAATTCTTCAGAAGGCTTTAGAAACTTTCAGAAATCTTCAGAAGTTTTCTAAAAACTTAGAAATTTCTGAAGATTTGTGAGGGCTTCTAAATATTTCGGAAGACATCTGAAGACTTTTGAACATTTCTGAAGATTTCCGAAGTCTTCTCAAAACTTCTGAAGATTTTTAGAGGATTTTTTCAGTTTTGGAAATACTTCTAAATTTTTCTGAACCGAAAAATTCCAGACGAAAATAGGTTTTCGGCAAAATTAGTGCTGGAATTCAAAATTTTCAGACCTTCAAACCTTCATTTTTTTCCAGAATTATCGTTGGTGGTGGAGATCATTTGTCATCAGCGGCGGATCAAGTTTCTACGTCATGGCCTATGCGATTTTCTACTACAACACAACTTTGACTATTGATGGATTCGTGCCAACTGTTCTCTATTTTGGATATTCGTAAGTTCAAGGCGCATGCTAAAGTACGGTAGAACCTGCACATCTAACTCGATTTGTGAGAAAAATTGGAACAAGTTAGATACGCAGGTGATACTGTGTGTTCCTTTAGTTTAGAAATCCTGTGTTTTGGACAGAAAATTATCCAATTTTGCAGATTCCTTATCGCGTTGACATTCTTCTTTATGACTGGAACTGTTGGATTCTATGCCTCGCACTTTTTCTTGACCAAAATCTACGCGGCCGTCAAAATCGATTAAACATATTTATTTTTGCCTTTTTCTAATGCATTCCACTGGGTTTTTTAATGATAAATATAATATGTAGGTAATTTGGCTTGTGATTTCTTTTTGTTGTAAATATGGATAATAAATTATTTTTTATTAAAAATTTCAAAATTTCATCACTGCGTTAGTTTAAGTTAGAATATGCTTTTGGGATATTTGATTTTTTTTCTGAAATTTTGAATTTTAATTTGAAAATTAAAAGTTTCAGAGAGATTTTATGGAAGAAGTTCAGCCATGGAAAGCTAGACTTTTATTGATTGCTGGTGGAATATTTGGAATTCATAGGCTTTATATTCGACAGTTCCCAGAGGCTTTTGTGTTTTTCTCGACGGCTGGGGTTTTTCTGTTAGGTTTGGAGTTTTTTTGGGGAAGTGGAGGCTTCTGAAGGTTTCTGAAGACTTTTGGGGACTTCTAAAGAATTCTCGAGAATTCTGAAGGATTCTGAAGACACCTGAAGATTGCTGAATATTTCTGAACACTTCTGAAGAATTTTGAGAACTTCTGAAGGCTTCTGAGTAGTTCTGAGGATTTTTGAAGGCTTCTGAAGATTTTTTCATAAAAATCCAAACTTTTTCCAGGCTGCCTTTATGACAGTTTTGTTTTTCGCTTCGACGTCGAAGCATATAATTTGCAATGTTTGGAAAATGAAGAAAAAGACTATCGAAAACCACGACAAAAAACATTGATCAATTATTCGCTGACCCGATTTCTATACTCGGTTTTGTATGGAACTTGGATCGGAATACTCGCGTGGCTTGCTTGTTCGGTGACTTTTGGATGGAGTGATATCAATCATGTTCCGTTCATTTTTGTTTTAGCTGTTGGAGTTTCGGCGGGTTGGTTTTTGGGGTTGAAAATTTTGAAACAGAATTTTTTTGTATAAATCAGCTTCTGAAAAATCCCCATTTTTTTAAATTCAAAAATAAATCAAATTAATTTTCATTTTTTGAAGAAAATTCGGAATTCCAGAATTTAGTTTTTAAAAAATACCTAGATTCAGGTTTTAATTTAGAAAAATCAGAAAATTCCCCAAAATCTCTGGAAAAATATAATCATCATTTTTTTTCAAATTCAAAAAAATTTCTGCCTTGTTCATTTTGAAAAATCTGAAATTTGAGGTTTAAAATTAATTTTCATTGAAAATTTTGTAACAGAGTTTTTTATCGAAAAAAATCAGATTTTTAAAAAGTTGAAGTTCCGTTAGACTTTTGAACTGTAAATTCGAAATTCTTATTTTTTGAAGAAAATACGAAATTCCAGAATTTTTGTTTAAAAAACATACCTGGATTTTTTTTCAGATTTTAATTCAGAAAATCTGAAAAATTGATTTTCATTGAAAACAACAGAATTTTGGTCGAAAAAATCAGATTCTGAAAAAAATTCCCAAAAATGTCTAATACAAATATTTGAGGTTGAAAATTCTGAAACAAATATTTTTTTTTAATTCTTCAAAATAATTCTCCAATTTTTCTCCAGGCGTCTACATAATCGGACAATGTGGCGGACAATCTCGAGAACTCAGTTACATCTGGATTTCTGCATTCTCCGCAATCTTCATCCTTATTCGCTTGGCTCAATGTCAAGTCTTCAAAGCTCTCTTCTTCACATCAATCATCTCAACAGTTATCGCAAATCGAAGTGTTAAAATTAGGAAACGAGCTCTCACCTGGAAACATTTTCTCTTCTGGGTCTCGCTGTTTTTGATGTTGGTTTGTGTGATTGTTCTAGGATGTTCGAGAAAAATTATGGATAAACAGGTAGGTAAACTGTGGATTTTGAGTTTCCAAAAATATTAGGAGATTTTTCAGATAACAGCCACACGACCTGGAAACTTTCGAGAAACATCTTCGATCGGAAGCCTTTTGCGTGATCGATTTTTTGATCCGAAAAAAGTGCACGAATTTTTCAAAACTTCTCCGATTATTGAATACAACAAATCGAATAACGAAAAAATGAGAACAAAAAATGAAAAAGTCAAAAAGGAAAATGGATTATGGGATCGAATTTGGAGCGGTGAAATGTTTGATGATTTTACCGGAGCAGCACATTTGACCAAAATTGATTGGGTGAGTTGTTTTTTGGGTGGCTAAGGGTTTCTGAAACATTAGAGCGCCTTTGTTGGGTTGGCCGAATTCTCAACATTTCTCGGCCAAGCAAAATAGTTCGGCCACGCTGAAATTCGGGTTCAATTTCAATTTTTTCGAAATCTAGTAAGAGGAAAAAAATCCACGTGGCAATTTTCAAATGAAAATTCAAATTTTAAAAATTTTCAGTATTCACATGTACACAGGGGTTTTTTCACTACCGAGTCAATGTAAAATTGTAATCGAGCAATTTGGCTCCGCCCATCTTTTTCCGCACAGATATGTGGGCGGAGCTTAGATTTTCAGATTTTCAAAAAAGAAAATTGAAAACCCTTTGGCTCAAAAGACACACAAATAAAAAGAAAAAGTCGGGCTATATGTGTGTTTGCAGCGACCGACATCTCGCGAGGCCGGCCTCACGCTATTGTTTTTTTTGTCAGCCACGCAGCGCGCTGTTTGCGGAGGTTTTTTGTCGTCAGATAAAATGTTTTGTACGTGATTAATTCTCGGTAGTAATAAAACCCCTGTGCATGTATTTTTAGCGGCAAAAGTTTTGAATTCAAATTTTGTTTTTTTTTTTCGAAAATTCATTTTCAGATCGAGCTTTTCACCGTTTTCATCGTCGACATTCTTCGTGCCGAAACCAAAGTTGTCGAAAATCCCAAATCACCAATCGAACCATTACAATGGGCGGCTTGGAGGAATTATCTGATTCATGTGAGTTTATTCTTTTTTTCCCTTTAGAAACCCGAAATTTCAAATTTTTCCAGAAATTCTCGCTCAAACCTCTAGTCAACGATGAGAAAATCAAATCTTCGTGTAAATCCTGGTCGCAACAAAATCCTACAATCAAAAAAGAGCGCGAATCCAAAGATTTCGCAGCGAAAGCAACTCGAAAAGCGTGTAAAGTGTTCAACGATCTCTAATTCAACAAAATCTCAATTATATATATTTTCATTCTTGGCGAAGATCGACCAAATGAGCACCGAAATGGGTTCTAATTACATAATAAGAGAAGAAGAATAGTATAATAATAATAATAATATGATAAAAATGTAAACGAAAAAATTTTAAAGCAAGAAAAAAGAAGAAGGAACAAAAGTATAAGGAGAAAACACATAGAAAACGAGTGTGACATGAAAAAGTCGGATTCGAGACAAAATCAGCTGAAATTGTAAAAGATCAGTTACCCGGGGGGTTAGTTATGGGTTTAAAAAATATACATAAATTTTGGGGGGAAATCATTTATAAACCAGTTGGTGGTGGAGCACCGCCTGGAACTCCTGGAATATCAAGCGATGCGCCGGAAATTGTTGTGACAGATGATGAAACTCCGGTTGATGACTGCAACAAAAAAAATAATATTACTTTGATTTAAAATGTTTTTTCAACATCGAAAGATCAATTCACAAAAAGTCAAAAAATGTCGAAAAAACATTGTAGATCAGAATTAGTTTTTCGAGTTTTTCAGCCAAAAATGATGACAAATCGATATTTTTCAAGCTTCTGGAGTAATTTCTGATGAAAATAAGCTTCGAGAACCCTATTTTGCTTTATTTTATGATTTTTTTTCGATAATCATCAAAATTTGAAATTGTTTTTATTTTACGAAAAATCAGCAAAAACTTCTGGAAAGTGAATTCCAAGGTCAATTTTATTCAGAAATTACTCCAGAAGCTCGCAAAATATCGATTTTTCATCATTTTTGGCTGAAAAACCCGAAAAACTAATTTTGACCTATGTTTTTCCGACTTTTCGTGAATTGATCTTTCGATGTTAAAAAAACATTTTTTGTTTGTGAATCAGCCCTAATGAAAAATGGATCACAAACCTGTTTATCAAATTGATTAAAGATATCAGTTATCAAATCTGGATGTTGTTTGATGATATTTTCCCATCCTGGAGTATGTGTCACGTTTTTCGGGCGTTGCAAGATATACTAAAAGTTACGCTAAATTAGAAAAATTTCAAAATATGTTAAATGTTACCTGAACTGCTCTTTGTCTCAATCTTGGCGCCATATACAAATCGCCCAATATCAGAAGTGTACACGCATTTTCAATCGTCAAATTTTCGACAAGAAACTTCTCGCAATGCGTTTTCAATTCTTCCAATCGATATTTGTCGGCGGCAATCAATAAATCGGTCGCAACATCAGAAATATCTTTTTGACATCTTCCACAATAAATATAATAAATCATTTCGTGAATCACGTCATAATCCATATCAGTAATGTTGAGAATTCCAGTCTTTGATTCTTCCGTGTCCGCATGTTTCAACATTGCTTCGAAGACTGGAGATCTCGCTGCCAAAATCGCTTTATGTGTTCGAATCTCACGATTTCCGACACGAATCAAAAAATCGGTTAGCATATTATCCCGAAACATTCTTTGATAATCTTCAACAAGTTGCTGTTCACAATTCGTCGATTCAAACATTATTGGTTCGGCTGTGGTGGTGATTGTTTCAACAGCAACATCAATCTCAACATTCACAATTATCAAATCACGTGGGAGAATTTGTGGAAACAGAACATCTCGTTTAATGTAAGACACATAATCTGAATGTGATGGATTTGGATGTATTCGCATCTGGAAAAACAATTTTTTTTTTAATTTTTAAAAATCACCAATTACCTCAATATCCTTATTCTCTGCAGTTCTCAATTTAAATTGTGATTTGAAGCCAATTTTCGCCGACTTCGCATTGCTATTAACCACCCGATTCAAACATAAAAACACAAAATCCTTGTTATTTTCACCATTTCCTTTCGGATATATTTTGATACTCCATGTTAATTGCTCATCTCCTCTTTGTAAATACACAAAATTCTCCAAATATTCTTGATAGCAATGTGAGAAATTTTTGACTGTCCACGTGTGTTGAACTTTCTGCAAAAGATTGATGATTTTGCAAAGTTTGTAGTCAACAGAAAATAATTTCTGATGATTAAAAAAATAGGAAAACCTATCACAAAACACATATTTTGTAGACTAGAGTGTAGTTTAGTCATGTGATTTGAACTCACCTCAACTTTGATTTCAGTTTGTGACGAAACTCCGCTGAATGTTGGAACGGAGTTGGAATTCGGCTCTGCACATATATTATTCACAACATCTCCTTGTGGTTCCATACTATGTGCAAAACTGGAAAAAACGAAAATTGAGGAAATTACGTGGCAAGAAAACAAAATTTGAAAAAAAAAATCAATAAAGCAACAAAGAACGAGCAGAGGAGGAAAAATGAGAACATAAATAATTGAAAAAAACAGAAAAGGACTACAATTTGCAAACATAACATTATTCCTTCTTCTCATATAATACATGTATTTAAAAAAGGGAAAGGGAAAAGTCAATTGTTGTGAAATATTTCAAAAGTCCTGAAAATCATAGGGTTCTAATGTGAATGCGGAAAAACTTTTTCTATAACTTTGGCAGTTCAAAACACATTATCACTCTAAAAAATTCTAGGGTGCACAACTCGCCCAAAATATAGGTATGACGTGGCAAATTTGTCATTTTGGCCAAAATCTGTACTTTTCGTATACTGTAATTCATTTCTGAGACAATATTTTTGAATTCTGATTTTGCAGCGTTGTTCAGTTCAGCGGCATCGATTTTTTTTCGCAATTTTTTAAAGATTATTGGAAAATTTACCAACATTTTGAACTAACCAAATCGATCCCGCTGAACAATGCTGTGAAATCAGAATTCGAAAATATTGTCTCGGAAATAGATTACAATACCCGAAAAGTCCGGATTCTGGCCAAAATTACACAAATTTGCCACGTCATAACTATATTTTGGGCGAGTTATTTGAACTCAGAGAAACATGCTGAAGAACCGGCGGAGAAAACGACCTGTCGGCGAACTTTCGGACAACCGCCGGAATGTCTGACCAACACTATTTCGTCGAAACTTTTGTCCGCCGGTTATCCGAAAGTTCGCCGACAGGTCGTTTTCTCCGCCGGTTCTCCAACCCATTTCTCTGAGAAGAACTGTCAAATTTCCAAAAACACAGTAGAAAATATTTCGCGCCTATAACAATGCAACAAGATCAAAAACAAAACTATGTTATGTGTGACCGAAAAATCGATAAAATTTGATTTGATTACTTTTTTCCATGATAAGATATACAGAATTTCGAGAAAAAAATGTTTGCAGTTTGACATATCAAACAGAATAGAACAGGGTTATAAATCATGATTTATTTATAGTTTGAACGTTCTCTGCAAACAAAGTTTTTCTCAGGCTAAAATAAAGTTTATTGAGTTTTGGACTCGAATTTTATATGAAAATTTGAAAACTTCTGGAACTGACAATAATGACAAAACGTTCTGGAATTAAATTTAAAAGCTTCCGCGTAGTTTCCCCATAATTTCCGAACCTCCAAATCCCTACTTTAATTTCTTAAACGATTCCAAAAACTGAATAGAATCGGATCAGCTTATCAAAACTAGAAAACCAAAAAACCTGATCTTGTAGCTCTCTTCGAAACAACAAGGAACTAAGGCAAAAGAGTCAAATTGTCAGCAACATTTACTTATCAAAAAATGAACATTGGACGTCTGCAACTCAGGCGTCAGTCATTTTCATACATTATCACTTCCTTCAAAGCGTTTTATATATGATAAGAAAATAGAAGATTGAAGGTTTGATTCGAATTTGATCATCAAACGATTATTATTTCAATTTTCTAGAACAAAATCGATTTAGCGAAAGGAAAAAGCAACATTGGTTTTGAGTTATGTCAAAAATTAATATTGATTTCCAGAAAAAACAGCTCCGTTTCTTAACACAGAAAAAAACTGGAAAAAAGTCGAAGTGGTAAGTAATAAACCGGGTAAACGGGGGGACTAGAAAGAGAGAGGGAGAGAGAGAGAGAGAGAAAATAGAGTTAGAGACGCAGAGACCATCATCATGCATTTTCGGTTTCTCTCCGCTCTCTCTCTCTTCTTCTCAAATCAAACATCAAATACACAACAATTCTCTTCTTTTCCTCTCTCTGTTTTTCGAATTGGCGCTTGGTTGTGTCGTAAAAGATCAGAATAAATCAGGAGATTTCGGGAAACTGATTGTTTTTTGAATGAATGAAGTGATAATTTTATTATTATTATTATTCGTTCGAAAAAATGGTATACTCGAGGGAAAATCAAAAATGACCGACAAGTATAGATAAAGTGCACTCTCTAAAATTATTTTTCATCAGGAAAAACAATATGTTCGAAAAATGAACTGCTTTGAGGGGGAGCAGACGAATAATATAGATCTGAGTCATCTGCTGACTAACTTTAGGGGGATTTTGAAGAATTTTCTGAGCTTTTTACTCTAACACTTATTGGGAGTGATTAAAATTCCCACGAATTTTGATTGAAAAATCGATAATTTCAAAATGTTCATCCAAATTTTGAGAATTTTGGTTTTGATCTATTCTCGAAATTAATAATACATCAATAATCAATAATACATAATGGAAACATTGAAAAAATTGAAAATAAATTATATCAAAATTTTGAAACGTATTTTTTTGTTTTTGAAAAATTAGAGTTTTTGAATCAAAATTTGACTCAAAAGCGGTGAAAATGAGAATTTTTGCCGAAACGAAGCAATTTCGCTGCTTAGCTCAAATTTTATCAAAAAATGTAGATTGTCAAGTTTATACGCTGAAAATGAAAAAGGAGTAGGAACCTTATGTTAGGGCCGAAAACAACGTTGGGAACGTTTATTTTTGTCGAAAATTGGTGTTTGGAGTCGATTTCAGAACTAGCGAAAGTGACACCAAACAAGATTTGAGTCAAAAATTTTCACAGATCTCTATTATTCAAACCTCAGAAATCTCTGTAACAAATAAATAAATTTCTGACGAAAATCAGACCAAAAAAAATAAATTTGATTTAAATTTATTCAAAAAACCATGACGTCGATTTGAATTTCATTTCCAAAAATAAACTGTTTTATTTTTAAATTTGGAGGTCACGTTTTCAAAAAATTTTTAAGAGAGCTCACAAGAATAAAAATAGAAAACCAAACGTTCAAAATAATGCTAATTTTGAGAAAAGGGGAACAATTGGCATTTTCAATAAATATCGAGAAAAAATGTGCGAAAATATTTGTCCCAAAAATGAATTGATCCCTATTAATTTTGTCACTGACACAATTTACTTTCAACTAAAAAAAAGTGAAAAACTTTACATCAGATAAATAAAATATGATCGAAATTCCTCAGAAAACAACTAAATATTCAAATTTTAATCCTCCAAACAAAAGAATTTCAACTTTGATAATAAATATCATGTGAACATTGATCATTATGACTATAGTTGTACTTTAAAGAAAAATTTTCGCAGAATTCGAGTTATGACGTGGCAAAAATTCAATTTCCGAGTTTTTGCCACGTCATAACTTTATGAGGAATATTTTTGAAGAAAAAACTCACTTTACATTTGATACTCATAATCAAAAAAAAAAAACAGTTTTGCAAATTCAAAGATATTGGAAAGGAAAAAACTTTCAAAGTTTTTGAAAAATCAACAAAAAACCCCAATTCAATTCGAATTTTTTATATTTTTCATCAATAAAACGATAAATTACACGAAAAATTCAAATACGAAAAAAAATATCTTGTTTGATGGGAACGTAAATAATCTCTATTTTAACAAAAAAAAGAAAGAAGAAAAATCATAAAACATTCCAAAAATAAATCAGAGATTTTTAAAATTACGAAAAGTTCCTCGAGACAAAAAAAAGAAAGAAGCATTATACAGAAAAAATTGGCTTTTTTTGGGGGATAATAATAATAATGATGACCAGCACATTTGAGGGAAGAAAAAAAGGTCGAAAATTATTACATATTTTTTCGGAAAACAATTATTACTATAGAGAAAAAATTATAATAATAATAGTAGTAGTAAAAATAAGCGAACTATCATGTGTACGGTAGAAAGGCAATTGAGTGATGATGTTGATGATAACTTTCGTAATGGGACCCATATGGCAAAAAAAAAGTCAAGGGGAAGAGAGAGAGAGAAAAACATGTCACCGTTGGACAGAAAATATTTGATTATCCGTATTTTGTGGTTTGAAAAAGGAAAATTATAAAAAATGAAAGATTTTGGATAAGTAAAACAAACAAAAAAAAAACAATTTTTTTCTACATTTTTTTGAGTAAGAATTAATTTTTGAAAGATGATTGATATATGACAAGAAAAAAAACTACACTACTACGAATTAATTGTTTTTGTGTGTATTGGAATGATAGCTAGACGAAGGAAGGAAGGAAAGAAGGGGAAAAATGATTGAAAACTATATTTCAAGACGAAGAAATCATCGACGATTATTAACCTGCAAAATAAACGGTCAAGGCAACCCCACACTTTCAGAAATGACCTTTTGCAGGCTGCTAAAATCAGAGTTGGGTTATTTAAATCAACCCAAGTTTGGTTGATTCAAATCACCCAACTCTGATTTTAGCTGCCTGCAAAAGGTCATTTCTGAAAGAATGGGATTCCCTTGAATGTTTACTCACCGAAACCAAAAGTTGTGGATTAATATCATTGATTGTTGGCGAATTCATGCTTGTCTTGTTATTATCATCAATAATATCCGAAATACTACCATTTTTTAATGGTTTTGAATTAGCAATAATATTATTACCATTTGTTGTTGTTGTTGTAGTTGCGACAACTGTAGCTGCCGCCGTCACAACTCGATTTGGCGCATTTCCATTCGATGTCATTTTGACAGCATCAGCGTATCGAAATAATCCCGGATTTCGACCATTTATTGTCGCATTCACTGTTACTTCTTTATTATTTGTTGCTGGTGTAACATTATCATTAGCAACAATAATATTACCATTTTCTTTTGGTCGATTATTTTTATTATATCCAGTTGAACGAGAATCTGACGAATTTCTAGAGCGATTTGATGAATGTGAAGATGTTCGACCACGTCCACGGCTATTATTCGAATATCTTTTGTTGTTTTGCTGATATTCGGATACTGAACCGTCGTTGCTTCCTTGCGAATGATTTCGACTTGTTCTTTTGTCGCGGTTGTAGTTGAATGATCGATATCTGTTGCCATTTCCATTCACAGCTGCTGCATAGCCATTTGGAACACCATAGAATGTACTTTCATTGTATGGACGTTCTGAAATCATTATTTTTAATTTTTAAGATGAAGCTTAATTGAAAATTATCGAATCCCTGTTTTTTATTGAAATTTTATAATTTTGGCGAAAAAAAAAGACATTTTTCAAGCCAAATACCAAATTTTCATCAAGAAGATTTTTCAAAAATTTTGATGGGATGATTTTTTTCGAAAAAAAAAACCAGGTATCTTGAAGAGGTATGATCTAGCTTTCATTGATTCTCTAACTATTTCGAATCATTTTATACTTGAACTTTTTAAGATGAAGCTCAATTGAAAATTATCGAACTCCTAATTTTTATTGAAATTTCACCATTTCAGACCTCGGCCAATCTTCTGTGGTACAATTTTAAAAAATATCTTAATTTGAGTATTTTTGAGGTCCAAAACACAATTTGAACCGAAATCTCCATCATTTTTTCCAGCTCAAACCCTATTAAAACCACTCACCAATATAATTGTTCTTCTGACTCGTATAACCCTTTTTCGTGTCATTCGATAAACCGGCTGACGCGGCAACAACTTCACTAAACGGCTTTTTGAATTGAACAGCATGATTTTGAGTGGCAACCCCATATTCGTCATCCGATGAAGTGACAACATCATTCGATAAAACCGGCGAATCAGTATCTTCTCTTTCACTAATACTCGCCGCCGTGCTTACAGTTGTTGTGACAGAAGCTGTTGATGTGATGACTGGTGGAGGTGTCATCTCATCATCATCCTCTTCATTCTTCTTATCCTCTACCGCTTCTTTGAATTTTCTTCTAGTTTCTTCGAGTTGACTTTCTCGTGCTTCCTCTGCGGTTTGTTCTACTATTTCTTCTTGTTGGCCAGCAGAAGGAGTTGTTATCGACGCCGGTTTCTTTTGACGTGATAATGGTACACGACGCATCCATTCGAATGGAGTCAGATCTCTTGTCTAAAAATATAAATATTTGTGAATTGTTATTATCAAATAACATTTGTACATCGACATTTTCATGTTTTTCTAGCAAGTGTGCTGAAATATTGGATTTTAATCTTATTCATGGGATAAAAATGTCCAAGACAAACCGAATGATATAAATTTTTACGACTTTACGTTAACCACAAGCGATTTAGGGACGTTTAGTTGATCGACTCCATCCCTAAAGTAAATGACATAAAATTGTATATCATAGAAATTGTCTCGGACATTTCTATCCTATGAATACGATTATGGGGTGAGTCAATTTTATTTTTTGTCAATTAATTGACAGAAAAAGTGAGTCTTTTTTGTGCGATTTTTTCACGTTTTTGTCGATTAATTTCATCTTTTTTTGCAATTAATTGCATTCAAAAATAAGGAATTTCAATACGAAATAGAATTTATTTGACCTCTTTTTTGAAACGTGTCCCAAATTCACTGCTTATTTTTTGGATTCATTTCGAAATGAAAGAAAATTGAGAGAAGACAATTTTTTATTGATAATACCAACTCATATAGGTCACGTTTTAAAATATAGGTCAAATAAATTCTATTTTTTATGCAATTAATCGCATTTTTTACCAAGAAATGAAAGCGATGAATTGACAAAAACGTGAAATTAATCGCCCTAAAAGACTCACTTTTTTTGTCAATTAATCGCAAAAAACACGTCGATTAATTCGATTGACTCACCCCATTAAAATTCAATATTTCAAATCACTTGCTGAAAAACATCAAATTATTGTCTTTATCTCAACTTACCGGTGCGATTAGTGTGTTCGAAACATAACTCAAATTATGAATTTTCTGTTTCTGTCTAAAGTCCATAACACCGCCCGTCAGCCAATTTCGATAATTAATTTCATGAATAGTGAATGGTGTTATCAAATACAACAGACTTCCTCGATACACTTTGTGCCACGCAACAGATCTTCGACGATCTCGAACAGTTACAGCGACAAGAAGAATTTGAAGCGCTTGACCGAACGCGTTTGCGATTACAGAAAAATTATAGGTGGAGCGGCCAACGTCGTTGCACGACAACAGAGGATCTTCGAGATAGAGGGTTCCAGTTTGAGCACGAGTTGCGACACCGCGAAGTGTTGGTCCGTCTTTTGGAATATATCGCATTTTTGTTACAGAGATTCCGAGATTCTCGAAATTGAACTCTTGCGAATACACTTCCAAGAATCGCATGAGCAATTCACCAAGATTCACACCTTTGTCGTAGATTTGTTTTCCGCGCATCGGCATTGCATACATCTAAAAAAAGAGAAAAATAGACTACACTCTAGTCAAATTATTATGCATCGTGCGAAGCGAAAAAAACTGCTAAAAATCAAAAAATATCGTGCAAACAGCCGCATTTTTCCCCAGAATTCGCATTTTCTGGTGTTTTTCGAGCCAAAATGGACAGAAATTGAAAGAATTTGTCTGAAATAGACTTTTTTCTGCGAAAAAAAGCGGCTGTTTCAACGATATTTTTTTGATTTTTCGCATTTTTTTCTTCACTTTGCACGATACATTATCAGCAGCAGCATACCTGGAAGAAATTGACAAGTAACAATATAAGACCATATGACGACAATCCTCCGGTGAAAGTTTGATTTAATCGACGAAAATGTAGAAATTGTTTGAGAATTAATACCAAAGGTTCGATGATTGGAAATTCGGATTTGACTTTTTCGATGTAATCAGCAGCACGAACACCTTGAACAGTGTTGAAGGAAATATCGATGGACAAGCGGGAATTCCTGAAATATATTGATTGAATTTTATATTTACTCAATTCACAAAACTTACAAATCAACCATTTTCACAATCGGTACAAAAGCACCCGTTAAAACTGACACTTGTTTTTCGATTCCAACTGGATGCAAACATTTTGCTGTTTCTTCCAACCACTGAAATTATTATTTTTAATATTTTTTCATGTTATTTTTTTTATATATTTACTTACATAACTACAAATGTCCTCACGAATTGCTTTCGCTTCATCAGCCGGCAAATTCGCGGGAACATCGTAATCCCAGTCAGGACATTCAATTAGAACATCGATATCCGAAGATGGCAAGAATAGATTGGTGCGTAGACTTCCGAACATTGAAATTGTCACATTTCGATCTTTCCATCTTTTTGCTATGGTATCGTATACTTTTTCAAACACTTTCCGTCGTATCCTTGTTTCCAATTCGTTGGGTCGAATCCAATGATATAAATCGATGATTTCTTCGTGTAAACTGGAAGAACAAACTTTTTTAAATGGCTCGGCAAATAAACATGGCCTTCTAAAATAAAATATATTCATCTCTAGACTGTCCGAATCTATATAAAAAGTTACGAAAAAGCTTTCTCGATTTTATGGAGCTCGAGGAAAAGCTTCTGGAGGGACTAGAAATCTATGAAATTTCCTAGTCGCTTTTCCTCTGGCTCCATAAAATCGAGAAAGCTTTTTGGCACCTTCTTATATAGATCCGGACAATCTAGAGGTGAATATCTTTCATTTTAGAAGACCATGTTTGATTCTGGGTTTCCAGGCTATTTAAAATCAGAAATGCATGTTGTGAAAAACTAACCCTTCTATCGAAAAACTGTATCGTCTTCTTCTCCAAGGCGCAAAAGGAACATCTGAATCGTATCCAAATTCATGGTATCCATCCTAAAATAACAAAACAAATATTTAATTCTGCCCTTGTAATTTCAAACTAACGAAATATGGTTCCTCTGAGGTGCCCTGTTTTGGTTGCTCATCATTCACTTCTTCATTTTGTTCCGGAGCATTAACCGTAGGTTGAATATTCTTTGGATTTTGTGAAGTCGACGGTTGGGATGTTTGGACTTCGTCTTCTCTCATCTTAAAAAAAAACAAATCAGAAGTTCATTCAATAAATAAATAAAAGAAAAGTGTGGAAAAAGAGGAAGAAAAAGAAGAAGAAAGACACATGGTCCGTTTTAAAGCCAGGGCAAAACAAAGCGAAAAAAACAAAACGCTGAATGAACACTTTATTTTTTGGCGGTCTCTTGAGACAATTTTTTGGGGTGAATAACAATTAGCCTGTTTAATGGGCGGCTCAAAATGTGATGGTCATTAGGAGAAGCTTGGATCAATATACAAACATGCAAAAATGACGTTGAACAAATATGAAAATTGCAATTGCAACATCTAAATAAAAGAAAATGACGCAAGTCTCATAAATGCACTGTGTGTCATGAAAAATACTATGCATTTTTAATATTGTTCCATCTATCTATCTTATCGCAAAATCCGGGTCAAGCGCAATTTTTTTGGATGTCTCGAAAAAGTTAAGTATTCGCATAGTTTAGATACCAACAATCTGGTATTTATTTATTTGCGCATAATTTAAACAAAGAAGAAATTGTGATAAAATAATGCATCATTGAGCAGAACTAAGGTGTATTTGAATTGAAAAGTGCGTTCGTTCCTAGAATAAAACAGGCAGCGAGAAATGAACACTTGTTGATGATAAATTGTCGCTTTTTTTATTTTTTGCAAGAAAATAGTTTGGCGGCAAAAAATACTAAAGATCAAAACTACATGACACGATCTTCTATTGTCATTCCGAAAATAAAAGAACCCCCGTTTGAATTGGCGGTCACGTACAGTAGACTAAAAATGACGTGACACATGCACATCAAACTGGTTGGCAAATAGCCAACGTGTAAATTTCGCATTTTATTTTTTCAAATAGACTCCAAAATTTCGCGAAGTCTACTGTAGTCTTGGTTTCCTAGGCCACTTGGGTTCTCTTCCAAGTTCTTATTTTTCGGAATGATCAAAACTATTTTCTACAATCAATATTATTTTACAGCTTTGCTACGCGAATTTGTAAAAAATATATAATTCGGATGATTGGATTAACAAAATGTACTCTCAAATATATGGGGGTTTCATAATGTTTTTTCTCTTCTATAGTGCTTGCTCAATTTCAGATGATGATAAAAACTAATCAAAACAAAAGTATAGAAAAAGTTTACAATTTGATTGAATATACAATATAAGTATAAAGCATGGAAAAAAGAAAAAAACAATATCTCATGTCTACTACTGAACGACGAAAAGAAAAATGAGAGAAATATAATAGACCAGTTCCGCAAAACTATTTAGTTTCTCTGTCTTTTACAAACCATACAAATTTATTACCTGTGTGAATGCCAGTTCTAAAAACCGTGAAAAGATGAGAAAACGCGAGAAAGAAAAAAAATTTTTGGGGAAAATTCAAAAATGTTTTCCGCCTACAGTACTCTCACGCAACGAGACCATTTCCACTTTTTTATGCGTGCGTCTTATTTTTATTTTATTTTTTTTTATTTTCAAAAAAGAATTATTTTTTATTTTTTTTGTAGGAAAAAAGCTTATCAATAAAATGGATAGAAATGTCTAGAATATTTTTTTGTCAAACAAAAAAAAAACATCCGTTTCTAACTATCAAGTGGATAAATATCCTCTTTGCAGGCAGCAACTTATCTAGAAAAATCGAAAGTCAAATATATTCGGTCATTTATTGGCGCCGGTCGCAACTTTTTATCAGACAAAAAAATTTTCGGTCAAAAAACTGATTATGAAATTTCCAGAAATTATTTTCGTATGCACTTTTTTTCAGAAAAATGGGATTATGAGTCATTTTTGAAAATTGTCAGGAAAAAACATAGAATTTTGGAAGAAAAAAAAAGAAAAAAGTGAAAGTGTAAAATAAACATGATAAAAAAGAGACAACAAAAACAATGTCAAAAATGTTTTCGTCCTCACAAAAAATAATAACAAAATGCAACAGAAGAAACAGATTGTCCAATAGGTAGAAATGAGAGGTAAAAAAGAAGCAGCATGAAAAAATATATGTTTGAAAATACATAACATCGTCACCCGAGTGGGAGAGAAAAAAGAAAAGAGAGACGCAAAAGCGCGGCGCAATAGTTGTCAACCGGCGATGCGAAATAGTATGTGTGATAGAAGAGACGACAGACAATTCTATTTTTCTATCCATTGGAATTTTTTTTCGTTTTTCTTTATTTCTCTCCCGTTTTTTTTTTCGCTGCACTCGCTCATTGATTCTCTTCTTTTTTCGCTGTTGAAAGCGAAATTCGCTGCGGTAATGATGAAAGTTCGCGTTTTTTGCAAATTTTGAATCGCAATTTTCAATATTTTCAGATAATGACGTTCAAAAAATGATGACAAACCTGTGCAAAATTGATTTTTGCAGGGTAAATTAAGAGAGCCGCAGAGAAAACTGGACAAAACCTTTCAGATAAATTCAAAACGAAAAATTTTGAAAAAAAATTTTTCCCGCGCTTAGTCTCGAAACGAACAAAAAATGGGTTTGGTGTTTTGTATTTCGCTTGGAGGAGTTTTGTGTTCCCAATTTTTAAAAGGCCGTGGTCGCAGAAAAAGTTTTATTCGAAAAAAGTAAAAATATCGGGTAATTTTTGAAACAATTGTGAGAAATCAAGAAAAATCGAGTTTCAAAAATGACCACTTCCAAAAATTGCACCCAATCCAAATTCTTTGTTTTTTGAGCGACCACTTTTTTGGTTTCGACCTTGAGAATTTGCAGCCGGTGATCTTCTGAAATTCAAAAAATACATTAAAAAAAAATTACAGGAAACTTTTGGATTCCTCACATGGAATGAGAAAACTTCGGGCACAGAGCATCTGGTTGGATTCTGATTTGCTCGTGAGGAACAACGTGTCCATCTGTACCTCTTGACAGTTTTCCGTTTACCGATAGCTATAAATATAAAACATATATATATACATCAGATCTCCTGAAATTGAAACAAAAACTCACAAAACCGTTCATACTGTACGATTTCCCTTCAAACATCACATTTCTCAATTTCCACTTGCATTGCGATTTCTGACATTCATCAAACGATTTCAGTTCAATAAGAGCCTCAATTTTTTGAAATCCATATTTTCTCAATATTTTCAAGTCTTCAATTCTAACTTCAACATATCCATAAAAGCTATTGGTAAAGTAGCCGAAACCATTTTTATCCTCGCAATATGTTATCCAGGTTTTAAACAGAAGAACATTGTTGTTTGTGTCAAAATCAAAAAAATCTATGGACATTTTCTGATTAAAATCAAACTGATTATTGTTTTTGAATTCATTTGTTGCCGGGTTTTTTGATTCGTTTCCTTCAACTTCATAAACATTCAAAGCCTTATACTTCATTCCACGAATTCCAGTTTCGACTTCAATAAAATTATAAACAACCCATGAACAATTTGAACACTGAAACAAAGAAGATCTATGAAATATTCAATTAATTACTTACTGTGAGACTTGTGTCTTTTTCTTTCGCAAATAAAAATCCTAATTCTACATCGAAAATTTGATAATATCTTGTTGACAGGTATTCGAAGCTTCCACAAATGACTCCTTGATGTTCTTTTTGAAGGGGTTTAGAATTTTTATTCGAATTATTATGAGCATAATAAAACTTTTCGACTTCATTAGAGTTGTTGTTGAACATAATTGCAGGCACTACAGTAACCAACTAGAAAATTCAAAACAAATGAGCAAGATTTCAGTGACTAATCTTAAATATGGGTTTTATGAGATTTAGGGCAAGATAACACAGTTCACGAATAAAAAATTATTTATTTAATTTATTCAGATTCCGAGGAATTCCAGTTTTGTTGATTCTGGAAAAAAATCGAACTTTTTTGTGGAAAAATTATTGCCAGGAGTTTGTAAATACTTTTGATTTTATATTTTTAATAGGATTTTGTTTTTTAAGTTTATTTTTTTGTTGTTTTCCCGGAATATTGTGCTTTAATTAATCACAGAAGTGTGAAATGAAAAAAAAGTAAAATCAAACGACACACACATTTTTGAATTGCCTCCGTGGTATATGTGGGTCATGCACATCTAACTCGGGTTACTGTATTGGCGCGAACAGACGATTGCTCCTCTCCTCGCCACTTCTCCCAAAATTCGCCGGTCGTTTTGTTTTCTTCTGTTTCAGCTGGAAGCTGTACTTCTCAACTTGAATATCAAGGTTTTATTTCAGCTTATCTCACTTGAACGTCAACCAGACAATGTCCAACAACGCGAACACCACCATCGAAGTCGCCGAAGAGGCAATCGAGAAACTCGAGAATCTCAAAGTCTCCGACGGCAACAAATCACCAAGAAGACCAAGAGTTTCCGTTGAAGAACGCGTTCGTCTTTGGGAAGAAGAACAAAAGAACAAAACTGTTTTGAAAAAGGGAATTGAAGGAACCGTCAAATGGTACTCTGTTCTTGGAAGATATGGTTTCATTTCCCGAAAAGACGGAGAGAAGGATGTTTTCGTTCATCAAACAGCAATCGCTGCTTCGGAAACCAACAAGTTCTACCTTCGAACTCTTGGAAATGAGGAAGAAGTTGTCTTCGATCTTGTTGATGGAAGAAAGGGACCAGAAGCCGCCAACGTGACTGGTCCAAATGGGGAAAATGTGCACGGATCTAAGTGAGTTGAGAGAGGAAAAGTTTCAAACAAAACTAAAAATTCCAGGTTCCGTCATATTCTTCTCTCGCGTTTCCGAAAAAATCGACGCAACACTCGCAGAAATCAGCAACCAACCGATGCTGACAACTCCGAAGTCAAGTCCGCGGAATCTGCGAAAAAACCAAGAAAGCAACGAAAGACTCGTGAACGCAAGGTAATAATAATAAATTAGGTTCTGAATCGAAATGTCAATTCTTTGTTTTCAGAACCGTGCTCCAAAATCACCAGAACCAACAACTGAGGAGGCTAAAGCAGGAGCTCGCCGCGAAATCATCAACGAGGCTCAAACCACTTTGACTGATCGATGCGGAAGTGCCCTTGGTGAAGCCACTCTTGGAGCACAAGGTCTTGATGCACAAATCTAAGTTGTTTTCAAACTGTTCATATGTACAAAACATTGTACCTTTTCAAGCATGCCATTTTTTCATCTTTGTATCTTGCCAAATCCATATAAAATCTTACATTGCCTATGTTCAACAAATTTATTATTCAAATCTCGAAACGATAACAGTTTAGTGAACTGAATTTCTTCATTTCTACAATATTAGACTCGTTGTAATTCTTAAATCCATCCAAAGTCGAAATTTGCCTTCTGAAATATTCACTTTAAGGATAAGGCATTAGTAGACTGAAAATTCAAACTTCATCATTAAGTTTGTAATCTTCACAGAAATTCTTCTTCCATCGTATCTTTTGCCATTCTCCAATTTATAAAGAAAAGCATTTGCAGGTAGAAATGAATTGCCCAAAGAAATCAACTCCTTTTCCACCCGGTGTTTAACAATCTTGTTTGATGATTCTCTAATAGCAAGCTCTCCAGTTAGTGTATTTGTTGTGTTTGCGACCTTTTTATGATAGAAATTTATTGAAAGACTAAAATACAAAAAGTTACAATACACAATTAGAATACAAAAACAGAACAATTTACAATTGTTTAAACACAGCTAAATATACCTAGGAAATTGACCCGATGAAAACCTAATGAAAAACCGCCTAATAAATGTGCAACGCACAAAACACCTAATCCGAAACTGCCGACAACTGCACACACAAAAACAAAAACAGAAAAAAGATAGGCGGTCTCTACGCCGCCACCTCTGCCACGTCACACGTGCACGTGAAAATAAATTAATATAAAAAGATTGATTCTTTTTATCTCTTTTATTTATTCTTTTTTACTACATTCCAACACCTCCCCTCTAAGATGACTTCTTCCCTTCGAATAACAAAATGAAGTAGCAATGGAGATGTGGACAATAATACAAAACAGGAGACAGCAACAATATGAACATGCAACACGATAATACAATTTGACATGAAGATAGATTTCAGCACCACTAATCAGTTGACTCATCATGGTTGACTTGATGATGATCTTGGAATGGATGTTGTGAATTTTCGGCTTTCTCGGCGGGTCCTTGATCTTTGGAATAGGATTGGCGGCTAGGAGGTGCGGAATTTATTTTGGGATTTTTAAGAATCAATCTTGACTTAAAACTTTTGTTATTCACGCACACGGTGTCCGATGACTCGGGTGGACAAGCCTTAATCTCACAACCAGGAAAAACACATAGGGTGGGGATCCTACTGGGTCTCAAACAAATATCATTCAAACTTGCGTAACGGCGTTCAACATGCATACATACAACTTTGGAAGACGACAAAGGGTTAGGTGACGAAACAACATTTGGATTAGACATTGACAATGACGGCTTGCGATGGTTTGACAACGTTGAAATATTAGTAATTGAAGGTGGACGGATGTTAGGTTGAGTTACATGAAATTGAGAAGTGTGAATTGGTTGGCGACTTTTAACTGAAACAAAGAATTTATCAACTGCTAAATTAACGAAAACCTTGATCTTTCGATCTCGGAACAAATCATCAAAATTAACTTTCCTGATTTTTCCATTTTGTCTGACTCGACAACTTTTGGGTCCCAACGACTTTAGCACCACAGCTTTCTCCCAAAAACACTTATCCTGGCGATACTTCTCCAAATAGACAGTATCACCGACTTCAACCGACTTGACCCCGATTTTACAAATTTTGTCAAAAAGCCCGTTCAATTCAATTTTCTCTAAATTCCGGCCATTTAACTCACGTTTCGATTTACTCAACAAATCCAATTCGATTTTCAACCTTTTCCTTTCAACAAAACTCAAGCCAATTCTTCCAGGTGTCGATCGATAATCAATCAATTTGTCCAAAACAATTTTAGACACCATCTCCTCCCTCTTTTTCAAAGAATTTGAAAAATGAAATGTGTCCCGACAACGATCCGACAAACTATTAGACTTGATTTTGATATGCTCGATTTCCAAATCAGCACAGAATTCAGCAAACATTTCCGACACGAACTGAGTTCCACAATTTGAAACAACAAATTTGGGTTTTCCATTTTTTTCGAAAATGGACTTCAGAAATGATACTAACGCTTGAGTCGAGATCGACTCCGTCAACCAAACTTCTTGCCAACCATTTTCGGCGTCAACTGCGACCCAAAAATATAACCCAGATTCCGATCCAACATATTCAACATGAACATAACTCCCAGAATCTTCCACATTTGGCAAAGTTTCGGATGACAACTCATTTGACACCGATTCCGTCTCTTGACCTTCGAATCCGGCATCTGGTAGTTCTGGCAACGATATTACTTGCAAGCAATTTTGCGATTCTTCCTCGAAGACATCCAATTTCTTCTCCACTTCTACCAATTCGACTGATTTCGTGGCTTCAATGGTCACAAGATCCAATAATCCACTCATTTTCGGTAATGATCTGATGAGATCCAAGCCAAGCAAGTTAGTACCATGTTCCCGAACATGCACATTTCCTTCGCAACAATCACTATTGATGTTGATCTTGCCCTTGAAAACTCCCAAAAGCTTCAACTCACTACCATTTGCACATACAATCCGGCTAGCTTTCTGGTTGAGCTTCGGCGGTCCAATCTTGACCCAATCACTTCGACTTATGATTGTTCGATCGCTACCCGTATCCAGTTGGAATTTCACCATTTTCCCATCAATTTCAGCATCCAACAACAATCTATTCGACCCAATGTTTCCGCATTGCACAATAGCCTGGTTGATAACTTGCTGACAATCTCTCGAATAATGTCCCATTTTTCCACAATTCCAGCACTCAACATTTGACAAATCTTTGGTTACACGACGACCATTTCGAGTTTGACCTTCATTATCTCGAGCATCCTTGACGAGATTCGGTTTCGACTTCTTTTTGCTGAACGCACGAACTTGTTGGACAGTTGATGGACCTCCGATTTTCTCCGAATCAGCTCGCAAACTCAGTCTTCTCATCCACTCTTCATACAAATCCTTGATCGTTTTCTTTGGTGCTTCCTTGTCATAATCCATGAAATCAAGCAGATGATTTCTCATATCCACATCCTGAGCATTCTCCAACCCTCGAAGAAAGAAAAAACATTTCCAGTCTTCCATCTTGATATCGGCGAGTTGAGCTTTTTCACAGGTTTCGTTGACTTTGTTGGTGAAGGCGAGTGGTGATTCGTCGGTTTTTCTCAGCGTCATACAAGCAAATCGTTTACGAAATAAAGATTGTTGAGTATCAAACATATTTTTCAACAAACTCACAATTTCTTCAAAACTCAACTCATTTGGGTGTTTTGGCGCCACGGATGCTGAAAATTGATCATATACATCATCCTCCAATTTTCCCAACAACACTTGACGTTTTGATTCTTCCGATGCTTCCGACTTCTCAAATATATTTCCATATCGAGTCCAATATTTTACAAACGTTTTTCCATCCTCCATGTCAAATTCGAACTTTGGTGTGCGGCTATTTAGACTATTGATTCGATGTGCTTCACCTCGTCCGTCTGTAGTATCACCATCACCACCAGCACTTGCTCTTTGTTGACTTGTCACCGCTTCCAATGTGGTTCGAAACATTTCCGACAATTGTGCGAATTGTGCGAGAATTTCCGTGACATCCACATTTCCAACTTGACCATTGACCATCTTGAACCTAATCTACCTATGGCTCTTCAAAATCTCAATAAATCAACTGGTTTACTCGCTGCGAACAACTAAAAAGCTTTTTACGATCTGAAAACAACGTTTACGAGCAAAATACGAACAAAATTCCTAATTTAGCTGCGCGAATTTCCTAAAATGAGCCCGAATACTGATCGCCACTGTTGTGTTTGCGACCTTTTTATGATAGAAATTTATTGAAAGACTAAAATACAAAAAGTTACAATACACAATTAGAATACAAAAACAGAACAATTTACAATTGTTTAAACACAGCTAAATATACCTAGGAAATTGACCCGATGAAAACCTAATGAAAAACCGCCTAATAAATGTGCAACGCACAAAACACCTAATCCGAAACTGCCGACAACTGCACACACAAAAACAAAAACAGAAAAAAGATAGGCGGTCTCTACGCCGCCACCTCTGCCACGTCACACGTGCACGTGAAAATAAATTAATATAAAAAGATTGATTCTTTTTATCTCTTTTATTTATTCTTTTTTACTACATTCCAACAGTATTGAACCTATAACTCGCATAAATCTCAGTGAATTGTACAGGTAAAATATTCCCGTTTTTTGGAATGAATAGATTATCATGATCCAAAAATGCTATAAATTCAGAAGCCGTCTGTAAAATTTTGAATTAACAAAGATTCTAGTAACTGTGATTCTTCTCACTCTGAATCGATTCAAACAATCTTGATTCACAATTTCTAATCCACCCATTTCAAACTTCGAATAATCCCCAAAATAATCAATACCAATTTTAGGAAATTTCCGAAATTCCTCGTAAATAGTCTTTTGATTAATATAGAATTGAATAAAAGCACCAATTGAAATATGATAGTTCATTGTGATCAAAATAATTTGAAAATCAATGTTTCCATAAATCGGCGGAGTACAAATCACAATTTTATGTTGTTCTTGTGAAGCTAATTTAGTTGCTATTGGAATAAGTTGATTTCCATAGGATAGTTCATATTTCTCCTGATCTTTCATTTCAATTTCAGCCACAAGAACAATATCTTCACACAAATTATGAAATGTTTTCCTTTTTGGTCGAAAAGTCACAATTTCATTCGAATTTCCAATTAATTTCATCGATTTTCGTTCCCATTTTGATTTTAATTTGCCAATTAAAATCAGCGAAATATTTCCAGATTTTCTGAAATTTTTTGAAAAAAAAATAGTCAAAATTAAAAAAAAAATTACCGATTTTCATACGCTGAAAATATAGTTAAATTATCATTTTCAGCCCTTATTTTAAAATCATATGCAGTTTTAATTCTTTTCGCAGTTGGCAAAGGAAAACATATAAAATTCAAAATTCCAAGTAGAATAAATATCAAGTATAAAGGTTGGAAAATCAATAAAATATCCGAAAACTTTTGGAAAAACATAGGAAGAAAATGAAAGAAAATTATCTGATTCAAAGTTTTAAAAGAAATCCAAAAACTTTATTATTTTTAAATATCGTTATATACATAAACATAAAACCGACAAGAAAAAGAAACTGAAAAAAATTGAAAAAAAAATTGTTTTTGAAACCGTAAATATTTTTTATTTCATCTTCTAATATAAATTGATTATTCTATCGATTTTTCTGCGCAAGCATAACTTTATTGATAAAATTGACGACAGCAGTGGCTGGTTGTTCGGGTTCAAGTTCAGCGAAAACGTGACAAGCGTTTTCGGATGAGGAAGGAATTCGAGCAACGAATGCAAACATTCGAGCTTGAGATATACATCCCTCGTGGAAACCAAGGGCATGACTATTTTCGAATCTGAAAATTGTTAAAAACTAGTTGAAGCTCTAAAATTTCAAAACAGAAAAACCGAACCTTCTTTCAATCGGATCCATTCCGGCAAAAATAACACTTTGAACATTGAAATGTCTGCGGAAGAATATTTTACGTGTATTATCAGTTAGTGTAACTCCTTGGGAGGAGACTTTGAAATGGACGGAGACGGCTCGATTGTCTTGATTGAATGCGCGCTGTGAGCAGGTGGCGATACTTCTTTTGACACATTCCAAACCGGTTAGTGATTCGACATCGACACTTCCGACGTAGACAACATTGCAGGCTGGAAAAATCGGGGATTGAGAGGGAAATTTTTCGCGACAAAAAAAAACTTTTTTGAATTCTATTGCCACGTGGACTATTTTTCTAAGATCCCAAAATTATTCGCAAAAAATTTGAAAAATTCCAAAATTAGATTTTTTTAAAAATTCTTTTTTTCTTATAAATTTCTAGTTTTGGATGATTTTTTGGGTCACAAATCCACGTGGCTTTTTTTCACAAAACTTCCAAATAAACTTGAGTTTTTAAAATTTCATGATAAATTTTTGAAAATTGTGAAGTTTGAGTTAGCTTTTCTGAAAAATCCAAATTTTATCATTTTTTCTCTAAAAAGTTTTAAAATTGGATTTATTTTTAGTTCAAAATTTGTTCTTTTCAAAAATCCTAGTTTTCACAATAAATTTCTAGGTTTTCAAATTTTAGTGCTAAAATTCGGATGATTTTTGGCACCAAAAATCCACGTGGCAATTATTTTTCACAAAATTTCCGAATAAACTTGAAAATTTTGGTTCCCGGATTTTTTGGCGGCAAAAAGTTCAAATTTTTGAATATTCGCGTTGCCACGTGGATTTTTGTAAATTATCAATCAATTTGAAAATGTTGAATTTTAGCGCCACGTGGATTATTTTTCTTTGGCACCAAAATATTTTTTTTTGAATTTCAGAATTTTCAAATTTTTTTCCAAAAAATAAATCCAAACCTGCTCCTTGTTCCAAGAGCGCTTGTGTAGCCGAAACATGTTCAGGAGTTGCAGCCGGATCAAAATCCGGCAGCACCAATTTCGTCGGAAGTGCGAGCGCCGTAATCGAATGTTGATAAACCAACGCGGAAAGCGATCCGAACACCGGTTCATTATTGCATCCTTTGAGTTTGACACCTTTCGGTGATGGTTCAATCAAAAAGTGTCGAACGAGTTCAGTTCCATCACCTGGATTGACACCTGGCGGTGGAGTTGATACTTTTAGAGCCAAACCGAATGCGCCGGGGAACGAATTCGAGTCTCGAACAACAAATGTGCCGGGTGATTTGTCTCGAAGCATATTTATCGCTGAAAATGAAAAAAAATAAATCTTTTTTTTTTGGAAATAGTTCAAAAAATAGCGAAAATTTCTGAAATTCACTCGAAATTCCACGTTTCGAATAATTTTTTCATTTAAAACTCAAAATTCAAAACTTGATATTTGTATATTTTTGGTCCCAAAACTTGTCTCAAGAACCTTATGATGTGATTTTTTTTTCGCAAATCTTTGGGGAATTTTTGAAACATCAAAACGTATCTTTTTCGGCTTTTTTTCAACAAAAAAGGGATAAATAGGATTGCTCATGTGAAAGAAGGAAATATGATTTTCGACACACTTTTTGAGAGAAAAAAAGTATAGAAAAATTCCGGTTGTTTTGGAATTTGAGAAATTCAGAAAAGTTATGAAATAAAATAAAATTTTTCAAATTCCGATTGCGAAAAAAATTTGCCACGTTATAACTTTGAAAGAAATTGAAAATGATGTGGCTAAAAATTCTGGAATTCCTAATTTTTGGAATTTTTTGCCACGTCATAACGTATAAAAACTTGGGCCTATAGAACGTTTTTATCTACAGTAATTATTTTAAAGGAACATGATAGTCTCTTTGTTACAGTAACCTCTGAGCTAAGGTCTAAAGGCTTCCTTTTCATGTAGCCTCGCCTAGAACTCCTAGGTTTCAAGTAACCGCGCCTTGAGAGCTTCCTTGAGATCTCAAGTAGCCGTGCCTAGAGAACCAGGTTGTCAAGGATCAGCGCCTGAAGAACCTAGTCCTCAAGCAGCTGCGCCTAGAACTTCTAGTTCTCAAGTAGCTTCTTCTTGTACTCTCCCAAAATTATCAAATTCCCAAATTTCCTCGATTTTCCCGCTCATTTCAAAAATAATACTCATATTTGTTGTAATATAATGAATGCAAAGAGAAAGAAATTGAGCAAAAATATAAAAAATTGTGTAAAGTTCGCAATTTTACACAAAAACAACATCAATTTGACGCAAAAAGAGTCGCGGATACAATTATTATATTTGACTTGACTTAGCGTAAGTCGAGGAAACATTTCAAGAAAAAAAAACGACGCGAGACAAACCTTGTTCCCTTGAGATTGTTGGCTTGTACCAATATTTTGAGGTATCCTTCACAAACAGCGGATGATGATGAATGATTTCCGAGGGATCTGCAAGACAAAAAAATCATTTTTCAAAATTTTTTTCAAAAAAATCCTTGAACACAAACAATTATTTTCTTCTTCTTTTTTTTTGCTGGCACTATTTTTTTATTTCCAAAAAAAAGAGCGAAGGGAAATTATCCGCGGTTCAGTGACTTGTTGAGAAGAAAAAACACACTTTTCTCTTTTTTTCAGGGTTTTTCAGTCAAAAACAGTTTTGAGTTGGAGCGCGCCAAGCTATCCGCATGGCCGCTGCGCAGAAGCTTGCGGTCTACACTCGCTTCGTTCGCTGCTTTTCATCAAAATTCGACGCTATATCCTAAGATGCGTGGCTAGCTCAGTGGTAGAGTGTTTTGCCGCTATTCGCGAGGTGCCGAGTTCGATTCCTCCCGCCGCGCAAACTTTTTCATTTTTTTTTTCTTTTTCTACAAGGTTTGCTCGTAATTTTTCGAATCCCAAGCACGGACAGCGTTTCGAGACCACCCCGGGTAGAGTGCCAAATACCTTTCTTCATTCCACCTGAACTATGTTTCAATATTCCGCCAACTCGCTTCTCCACAATCAACTCTTGCCGCGGAACTTTTTTCATCTCATCCACAAACTCTTCCTCCTCTTCTTCAGTCTCTTTTTCCGACGAACTCGAAGTTGCGTCAACTAGATGTTTCTCTTCGGCTTCCGACAAATCCGAACTTTCTTCCGACGATGCGAGGCTAACAATATCATTTAATCGCGACGAAGTCGACGGTCGAATCATTGTTATCGTATTTTGATTTTGTCGTTGGGACGACGATGTGTTTTTGAAGTGTATTTCAATCGTAGTTTCAGACATTATTATAGAATAATAAATAGATAGAAAATACAGCAACAACAACAAAAACGAAGAAAAAAAGAGAGGCGAAGGGGCGAAAAGACGAAGGCAGTTTGAAAGGGGCAGTTGTATCCAGGCTCCGCCCACTTTTGACATAGAGAAGAAATAGAAGAAGAAAAAAGAAGGAGAAGAAGAAATACGAAGGAGTGTTCTTTTCCCGGTGGGATTTGAGATGATTAGATATATCACTGAAGTTTTTATATGTTTGTTTTTGGTTTTTCTGGCCGAAAAAGCGGATATTGGCAAAAATGATCAAAGATTTTTTGCAAAATTTAAGACCGAATTTCACGGTGTATCAATTTCCATGAGCTTTTTTGGTTGAAAATTGTGAAATTTCAAATTTTCAGCTTACTTTTCCTAAAAATTATTATAATTTTCAAATTGCTCATGTTACAAGATCAAAAATATTTTTCTCTAAATCTCTCAATTTTGCGTTGAATTTCTTCAGACTCTAAGATCGTGAAGGATTTCAGGAGATTTTTCAGAAAAAAAAATTCCTGCATTTTTTTGAGACCTTACACGATCAAGAAATTCAACGCAAAACTGAGAGATTTAGAGAATAAGAATATTTTTGATCTACTAAAATGAGCAATGCTTCAATTTGAAATTTTTAATGAAAAGTAAGCTGAAAATTTCAATTTTTCATGATTTTCAAGGGCTAGTAATTTACACACCGTGAAATTGAGTCTAAAATAAAATTTTAACCCAAATTTTCCTCAAAGGTACTTAAAGTTCAACTTAAAAAGTTAAAACTTGAAGTATCCTTTCTTCTCCAAAATCTAATGTAAACTTCAAAACTAACAGCCCGTGAACTAATTTTATTTCATTTTTTTTTTGAAAACTTTTATTCCCTCCAAAAAAAACTTGTTTATCCCAATTGTTTTTTTTTTCAAAAACATCAATCAAAATGTCAACTTTCTTCCAAAAACCATGTGAAAATCACACCAAAAGTGAATAACAACAAATATTTGTATTATTTATTATTTACCTCAAAAAGAAAGAAAAGTTCCTTTTGTTTGTGTTCAGGATTTTATACCTCTTTTGGGTAGGAAAAAAAAGAAAACTTACCAACAGCAGAACTTGACGAATTTCGTCGAATCATTGTCGAATTTTGTTGTTGAAAATGTCGCGGTGAAGCTGATCTGCAAAAAACCAAACAAAATTAAAAAGGGCCCGAAAAATTTTATAAATAATAAACTAATCGAAACATTTGTCATGCATGTTTCTTTTTCTTGCGAAAAAAAAAACATATTTTTTCGTACAATTTTCCAGAAAAAAATTCATAAAAAATTCTTACCTATGATTCATTGTATTATTTTGTTGATTGAATAATAGCGGGTGGAATGGGAGGGGAGTTGATCGATTGTTGACTGGAAATGAGGGTGTGGCTGATCTTTCCAATACTGCGCTCTGAAACAATTCACGTGATGAATCACGGCATTTTACAGGGGGGAATCGAGAGAGAAAATTTGATCTATCGTTTCGAAATCCAGCATTTTGGTCTCGAAACGAGGAATTTTTGAATGACCTTTTTATTTTTATAAGAAACATCTGTGAAAACGCAACACCTCTCTCTCTCTTTTTCTGCAAAAAAAAGACAGCAAATAATGTGGCCTCCTTAGCTCAGTTGGTAGAGCGTGAGACTTTTAATCTTAAGGTCAGGGGTTCGAGTCCCCTAGGTGGCTAGAATTTTTTTTTTTTTTTTCTTACATTTTCTGGAAAATATCTTCCCGGTGTTTCAGCTCGATTAATCGTCATACCACTCGCATACATATCACGGTGCGGCGTTTCCGCGCGGTAAATTGCGGCGGCAACGCGCTCCTGTCCGGAATAGAATTTATTGTTTGGAATATCGTGTTGTGAAGCATAATAAGCGTCTTGAATTCGTGCACCTCGCGATAAACTACGACCACGATCCATAGTTGAAGAATTATCGTTGTGCTGGAGGAAAAAAACAATAGAATATTCTGGAGAACGTGTGGAAAAACATACAGAATAATTCAACAATGAGTTGACATCGAAATCGTCGTCGAAATTGTTTTGGTGTCGATTTTGCATTGGAAGTGGCACTGATTGGTTGAATCTTTGACGATTCTGCGAGAAAAAAATGAGATTCAATTTTCGAAAAAACGCTGTTTTTATATGGGTTTTGGAAACCATAAACAACAACAATTTGGACTTGGCACAGAATGTTTCGAGAGAGAAAATAATTGAAAATTTTTGTTTGAAAATCTGTTTTTCTCACGTTTCAAGTGGGTTGAAAATTTAAGGATTTTTTTTGGAGAAAAAAAGTAATGTGCAGCTGGACAACAAGTGTCCTAAAGGTGTTATGTACTTTTGGTGACGTCATTTGAGACAAGGAGATTGGGGATTAATTTTTAGAAAAAATTCTATGAAAATTTGTTTTTGAAAAACTGAAAACATTTTAACTTTTACAAATAGATTTATAAGTCAAAATTTAAAATTCAGAGCTTTTGACGCCAAATAAGTTTTCAGTTTTCAAAGTTTCAAATTTTGTAACACATTTTTGGTTCCAAATTATTTTTTGTTCGAAAAATCTTCGGAATTTTAGGCCAAGCACTTCAGGTTCTTATGAAATTCAGTGAACTTTTTTTTATTATGAAACAACAGGATTTTTTAGAGCTGAAACTATATTCTAGTCTAGTCAATGTTTTGTCCAAAAATTGTATTTTCATTAGAAAAAGGTCCTTACAATTGTCAAGATTTTCGATCTGAAACTATAGTCTAGTCTAGTTCTTGATTTAAAAAAAACACGGAAAAACACATTTTTTATTGTCAACTAAAATTTAAAAATCTATGTAATTTTAATTTCAAAATCCCAAACTATAGTCTAGCACATTTACAATCTGAAATTCCAAGGCGGAAATTTTTCCTCGAGCTTTTTTTTTTATTTTCAGAGCAAATTTTTTGAAAAATGACAAATTTGCCGGATTTTTAGACAATTTCAGGAGAAGAGGTATAAACTATAGTCTAGTCCCTCCCAAAACCAACCTGTTCAAAATTGGGTGTCATTCGATGATTAATCGGACTTGCACTAGCTTCCCTCGGTGGCGGCGTCGGCGGCTTCCCTCTCATTCTACCTCTCCACCCACTTCTCTCATCAAACGGACTTCTCGTATTCTTCAATCGCTCCTCTTCTCTTCTAAATTCAGCCAACGGATCAATATTCATTCCATTTCTAGGCTTCGAACTATTTCCATCTTTCAATTCTTCCAAAAGCATTTGTTCCTGTGTTCTTCTTCTCGCCAAATCCGGATCAATATCTCGTTTACTCTTCACTTTTCTCAATTTTCCATTCAACCACGAATCAGCTGAATCAGTGACAGGTTCTAGTGGTGTTCTTGGTTGATTTGTCACCGATTGACAATTTCGATTTCGATATTGTTGTTGTGGATAATGATTATTGATTGATCCATTTTCAGTTGTGGCTCGAACATCTCCAACTGAATATGCATTTGACAAAGGTTTCGAGTGTTCGAGTAGAATATCATCTAATTGATCGCTGAAAACTGATATTTAGGGGCGCGGAGCAACGCGCCGAAACTCACGTAAAATTTTCCGGATTCAATTTTTTGCGCGGCAATTGCACACTTCTTGCTCCAGCATGTTGTTGTCTCGGCGGAGGAACTGGTGGCGCCGAAAAATTCAAATAATAATCGGGATCACATAAATCATCCATATCGCTACTGTAAAAAATGAGGCTTTGGGGAAATTTTGAAACTATAGTCTAGTCTAGTCAAATTTTTTGCTCAAAAATCGTATATTTGGGGGAAAAATTTCAGAAACCTGGAAAACTACTTTTTCTGAAAAATTTTGAAATCCCAAGTTCGAACTCAGGATTTTTTGAGCTGAAACTATAGTCTAGTCTGCTATCGTATTTTTATAGAAAGGTCCAGAAACCTGGAAAACATATTTTCAGCTGAAATTTGAGAATCTAATGTTAAATCCAGAATTTTTACAGCTGAAACTATAGTCTAGTTTACTCAAATTTTTGCTCAAAAATCGTATTACTTCGAGGAAAAGTTTCAGAAACCTGGAAAACTACTTTTCTGTAAAATTTGAAATCCCAAGTTTGAACTCAGGATTTTTTGAGCTGTAACTAAAGTCTAGTCTGAAACCGTTTATTTTTAATACACACATTTTCAGCTAAAACTTGAAAATCTAATTTTATGTAATTTCGAAATCCCAAGCTATAGTCTAGTCTAGGAAGTTCCAGAAATCTTGAAGGGAACACATTTTTCTGATAAAATTCGAAATCCGTAAAATTTTCCGGATTCACAAAATTCTTTTTGAGCTCTAACTATAGTCTAGTCTAGTTCAAATTGTTGCTCAAAAATCGTACTTTTCATAGAAAAAAGGTTCTTTGAAATTCAAAATAATAATTTCAATCAAAAAAATCTTTAATTATAGTCTAGGCTAGTTTTTCAATGAATTTTTCTCAAATAATTTTTTTTCAATTTTTGTGCCTAAACTATAGTCTATCCAGATCTCCTAGAAAATCTTACCAATAAGCATCATCATTAAGTGTTCGATAACTTCCATATCGTCGATCATTTCCATTTCTTTGAAGTGTAGAAGTCGGTGTCACAACAGCTCTTTGTGCTTGATCAAATACTTGTGCCGGTTCAAAATAATTTTCCTGTTGATAATATCTATGATTATCTCCACCATTATTATAAACAGGTTGTCCAATCGACGACGGAGCTCTCGCTAATTCCTCCAACAATTGTTGTTGTTCAATTTGTTGATCCCATTTTGGTGGTTGTTCCGGGTGAATTGGTGTAAAACTTTGTGGAATATGTGCACGAGCTGCTTCATCTTGCGATACATTTTCAACGCTATTCTCGCGTTTTTCAATTGTTCTGGAAATTGATGTTCTGCGGGGTCTTTCGAATGCTTCTTGCATTGATTTTGCTGGCACATATGAGAAACATCGAGACGCTTTGTCATATCTGGAAACATTTCAGATTTTTATCAACGTTTTGGGTATAATAGGAGAGTATTTCTCAAAAATCAATCAAAAAAATATAAAAATTTTGAAACGTAAATTTTTCGGGTTAAAAAATTAGTCAAAAATGTATGAAAATTTCAGATTTTTTTGAATAAATAAATTAATTCAGATTTTCAGCTGTAATTTTCCAGGCTCAAAAAAGAAAATTCTGAAACAGTGAATTTTTGTTTAAACCTCTAAAGATATTAGAAAAATTCCACATTTTCAAAAAATAACTGAAATTTGATTTTCAGCTCTAAATATTTTTGTTGGAATTTTCTTCTTCCCAAGAAATTTTCTCGTGAAAAATGAATGTACTAACTTGACCAAGACTCAATATTTTTATAAGAAAATTCTGAAACGTAAATTTTTCGGGGTTATTTTTCAATCAAAAAACTCACCTAAAAGCTCCAAAATTTCTAGGAAAATTAGACAAAAATTAATAAAACCTGATTTTCAGCTCATTATAATAAAATTCTGAAACGTAAATTTTTTGGGGTTTTTCTAGAATTTTCGGGAAAAATGTCAAAAAAAATCGAAAATTCAAAATATTTTTTTAATCAATTTAAAAAAAAATTTTTGTTGTTGGAATTTGCAATTAATTTCAAACTTTTGAATAAACATTTGAAACCGTAAAAAATTAGTGAAAATTTCAAAAAAAAATTCCTGAGAATCAACACCAACCTATCTCTTCCAACCAAATCCGGTTCAATACTCGGTGTCGCACGTCCTTCCAACTCCTTTTTCTGATTGATTTTCTCGCGAAGTTGCGCTGGCAAAATGCCACGTCTTTCGGGCATTTCTCCACCAAACTCTTCACCATTTCGCCCATTTAATAAGGGTGTTGATGGTTTTGGTGGAACTGGTGGCGGGACTGGCATTTCTTCTTCGTCTTCTTCTTCAGATGACAATTTTTTGATCGACGGCTTTTTGCGAATTTCACTATATTCAACTTCTAATTTCGATCGATTTATTGAGTCGTCTGGAAAAAAAAATGAAATTTTTGGCTAAAAAATTCTAATTTTGAGCAAAAATTCTTGAGAACTAGGCTCTCTAGGCGCTAATCCTTGAAAACTTTGGCTTCTTGCCATAGAAGTTCTCAAGGCGCGGCTCCTTTCCAACCTAGCCCTCTAGGCACCGATCCTTGACAATTGAATTTTCAAGGTGCGGCTACTTGACAACTAGGATCTCTAGAAGCGGTTACTTGAAATGGGAACTCTCAAGGCGCTGCTTCTAGCCAGAATGGTTCTCTAGACGCTGATCCTTGACAGTTAGGTTCTATAGACGCGGCTACTTGAGAGCTAGAATTTCTAGGGTTGGCTACTTGACATAGGCGCTCTCGAGGCGCTGCTCCTAGCCAAAATTGTTCTCTAGGCGCTGATCCTTGAAAATTGAAGTTTCTAGGCTCGGCTACTTAAGAACTAGGCTTTCTAGGGTTGACTACTTGCCCATGAAGCTCCCGAGGCACTGCTCCTAGCCAGAATAGTTCTCTAGGCGCTACACCTTGACTATTGTGCTCTCTAGGCTCAGCTACTTGAGAAGTAGGATTTCCTACTTAGCTCTCAAGGAGCTGCTCCTAAGCAGACTGTCTCTCTAGACGCTGATCCTTGACAATTAAGTTCTATAGGCGCGGCTGCTTGAAAACTAGAATTAGTAGGGTTGGCTACTTGGCATTGAATTTTCCAAGGCGCTGCTCCTAGCCCAACTGGCTCTCTAGGCGCTGCTCCTAGCCAAAATTGTTCTCTAGGCGCAGCTACTTGACAACTAGGATTTCTAGGCTCGACTATCTGATACACAGAAAAAAATAAAACCTTCTAGAAAAATGTCAAGAAGAAAAAAAATGAAAAATTTTCAGCAACCAAACGAAAAAATTGATCAAAATCAATAGTTTCATTTCGTTGTTCTATCTAGAAAACAAAAAAAAAGTGGAGACGAAAAAAGTTCAAAACAACAATAATAATAACTCTTTGTGTCTAGTTGTCTTCTCTCAATTCTTTTGCTTCCCTCTCTAAAGAGCTCCCGGCCGGGTTCCTCCAGAAGCTGGCTCATTTCTGGGGGTGAAATAGTGTGTCGGACATGAGAGAGATTAGAGATCAGAGATATTTAGGGGGCGGAAGAAGGACATCAAAATGTGTAATATTTCTGGGTGGATAGGAAAAAGCACAGGATAATATCAAAAATCTACTTCTTCTTCTTCTCCCTCTCAAAAATTGTTGTGATAGAAAAAAATGAGGGGAACACCAAATGGTGTACGAAATTTGGAAATTTCACATAGGCTTGGCTACTCGACATCTTAAGGAAGCTCTTAAGGGTCGGTTCCTTGTCAGAGTCGATCTCAAGGTGCGGGGCCTAGCCATAGTGCTTCTCAAGGTGTGGCTCCTTGACAGAGTGAATCTGTAGGGGCGACTCCTTGACAGAGTGGTTTTCTAGGGGAGGCTACTTGAGAACTATGTTCTGTAGGCGCTGATCCTTAGCAACCTGGATTTCTAGGGGTAGCTACTTGGCATAGAAGATTTCAAGGCTCGGTTCCTTGTCATAGTGCTTCTCAAGGTGTGACTCCTTGATGGAGTGGTTCTCTAGGAGCGGCTACTTGAAGAATATGTTCTCAAGGCGCTGATCCTTAACAACCTCGACCTCTAGGATCAGCTACTTGGCATTGAAGATTTCAAGGGCTCGGTTACTTGACAGAAAGGATCTCAAGGCGTCTCTAGCCTTAGGAGATCTCAAAGCGCTTTACCTTGCCAGAAATTATCTCTAGGCGCTGTACCTAGCCATAGTTCTTCTCAAGGCATCGTGTCTAGCCAGAGTGGATCTCAAGGCGCCGTGCCTAGCCAGAGTTGTTTTCTAGGCGCGGGTCCTACCCACATAGGTTCTCTAGGACCAGCTACTTGACAACAAGCTCTAAAATGAACCCGAGAAATAAATTCCAAAAGAAAATTCCAAAAAAAAAATTCCGAAAGTTTTACTTTAAACTAAAACTGGAAGGAAAACCTATCTTTTTTTTTCATTTTTATTTCCTCTCATTCCGTTAGCTGGCAAATTGCCGATCATAAAATTTCAGACTGAAAATAATATATCTCACATTTCCTCCTCACACAACAGGTGGCCCTCTATTTTGTGCTGTACAAAGTTAAGAACATACCTTCGGGTATCTCAAAAATCTCATAACTATTATTTCGCGGCAAAAGTGTGATGACTGATTGAGCAGCTTGGCCGGCAATTGTTTGCGGACCTTTCGAGTTGCTCAAATATAATTCGATTTGAGCCCGGTTGTCCACTTTTTTGTCTGCAAAATGGAACTTTTAAAAATTTTTGTTACGAAACTAAAAGAATTTCTCAAAAAAACAACCAAAAAATAAAAAATTGTGAAACGTAAATTTTTCGGGTTAAATTTTTTTTTGAAATGAAAATCTAATAACACTAAAAAAAATTTCTGAATTTTTCCGGGTAGATCAAAAATATTTTTCTCTGGTTGGTTCTAGAAAAAATCTAGCCAACCTTTTCTTTTCTAGCGAAAAATGTTCATTTTTTGTTTTTTTATTTTCAGCCTCACTAATTTCTCTGAAAAACCTCACCATTAAAAATCAAATCCAACTCTTCTTTATGAAATCGAACCACATTGAAATCTCCCGATTTTTCGGCTGGCAATTCAATTGAACACGTATTTATTTGACACGTGAACAGGCAACGATTCGAACTTCCCGGACTGCAAAAAATATGTTTTTTAAAAGAAAACAACGAGACTCCGCGTTGACAGCGACAGCGCGCGCGGTTGAAATTTTTTAATTAAAAAATAAAAATGATATTTGAGAGCTTCAGAAATTGGATACATTTTGTTTCTTTTGTGACTTTGAGAAAGCAAAACAAAAAAAAACAAAATTTTCTGAAAATCGAATTTTCCGCTTTCTACACCACAAAACGGGGAAAACAAAACAAAAATCTCGCACTTAAAAAAATTTTTCACAAAAAAAAACAATTTTTTTTGCTGTTTCAAAGAAAAATGGCTAATATTTCTCATATGTTTACATAACATGAATATTTCTAGAATAAGAAAAAAAAGGATGGAAAAAAAGAAAAAGCGGAAAAGAGACAACTGGCCAAAAGCCAACACAAAAATTGGCTTCTGAAGTATACTTATTTTAAAGGCTAACTCTATTAAGTGAGTGAAAAAGGATCTGTTTTTGTTTGCAAAAATAGATATGTGAGAAAACAACAATTATCCACTCAGGTTTGGAAGAGTGAGAAAGAGAACGCTTCGGTTATTTTTGCGCAATCATAAATTATTCACACTCACCTCGAAGCAGCAACAATACACTTCAAAAATACATCACCGCGAAGTTTCAATGAATTTTCCAACTCGAATTTAGTCGTGTCTTTGAGAGTTCTTTAAAAATTTTTGATTTATTTTTTGAAAAGTTCAAAAAAATGTTGATCATGAAAAAATGCAGAACTCAATTCCTAATTTGAGTTATGACGTGGCAAATTTCGAAAAATTGGAATTTTAGGAGCTGAAAAATAGCTTCCAAATTGATTGTCATGCAAATCTGATATCATAGAATTGTCAGGAGGCTCGAAGTGAACTTCTGAAAATCTTTGGGATTTTGAATGAATTTTCTGAACTCCTGAACAAAACTCCTTAACAAAGTTCATAAAATAATTCAGAAAAGTTCAGAAAGTTCATTCTAAAATCCGAAAGATTTTCAGAAGTCCACTCATATAATGGAGCATCCTGACAATTATTTGCTATCAGATTTTGCTCCTAAATTCCCGATTTTTCAAAATTTGCCACGTCATAACTCATATTGAGTTCAGCAATTTTTGGATCGTGATCAGCACAAAAATGTTTATAAAAAATCTAGACTGAAACTCCTCAGTCAAAAATAAAACTTACACACTCTTCGTTTGATAAGACGGTAATAATCTCTCATAAATTTTCAAAAACACAGTAATCGGCTCGAAATTTTTCAAAACAATAAAATGTAGAAAAATTGGATTTGGATTCACCGAAATTCTTCCAGAGAGTAAGGAAGTGAAATAGCCAATATATCTGCAAAATTTTTTTATTAGCTTTGTTATTTAAATATAATATTCACCTTTTATAACTCGGAGGACCATCGGGTCCCAAAAATCTCTCAGAAAATCTTTGCATGTTAAAGCGATCTTCAATTGAGTCATCTCTAAAATTGTTCACAAATGTTTTATTGATTTTTCTTGGAAGAAACCCACGTTGCAGAAATGGCGTTATATCTCATCAAAGAATTGACAACAATTGCAGCGCGTTCTATTCCAGACTTGCAAAAAACGACAGCAATATTCAGCGGATGTTCCAAAAGCCATTGATCGATATTTTTACAAATCTTGCAAAGTTTTTCGAGTGATGGAGCTGTTTCCGAAGGCCAACCAAATTGCACAACTTTTTCGAAAGTGTCGGAAAGATCGTGACGACGCTGGGAAACATTCCATACCTGAATAATATATTTTTTATTTTTGAATCCAGAAAAAAAACTCACTCTAAAATGTGTTCCATGATTTTGCTTGATTTGCCCAGCTGCTTTGCTCAAACTTTCCAAATATATCTTTTCGCTGGTTTCAGCAGTGCACGACAGAACTGAAAATAAAAATTATTTTCGGTCGAAAAAAAAACCACACAATTAATTACTGTAGATTCAAAGGAACATGGGCAAATGTGTGTGTGTCTCGCAGCAATCTCGTGCCGCGATTATTTTTTTTGAAATGTGTAAAAAAATTTTCGAGTTTTCGCTCCGAACAAAAGTAGAATGGTGAGTTAACTCAACAATTTGCGAATGAAAATAGAAACCAAAATGACGAAAATTTCAAATTTCAAAAGTTCACGTATATGTTTCCACGTCAAAAATTGTTTTTTCAGCAGAATTTTCAAAAATTTCAAAAAAAAAAAACCAACCAATCAATCTCGACGTGACATATTCCAATTGAACACCTTCTTTCTTGTCGCGCATTTTCTGTTTCTGCAAAAAAATAGAAATAAAAAATAAAATATGGAAAAGCTGCCAAAAAGATATCCCATTGGGTCCAATTTACTTCCTCAATATTTTGTTGTTTTTTCACAACAAAACAACATTGATTTACATATTTCAAAAAAGTGCTAAAAAACTTTTTGCTTTTTCCGGAAAATGGAGTCGGATTTTTTGACACATTTGTCTTCTCGGAAAAGTTTTTTTTTGGATTTTTGTTTTTATTTTTTTCGTGCCAAAATTATGTGAACATGAAAAATTCATTTGTGCTTCAATAACTAAAAAAAAACCACAAATGCCACATCAAATTACGAAAAAAAATTAAATTGAAAAAAAAATGTCGAAAAATGTAGAAAAATTCAAGGTTATCACTACGACTACACAACCTTTTAATCAATTGTTTTAGTGTGAAAATGATTTATTTTTTGGAACCAAGAAACCAAGAAAGGAGATAAACTAACCATTCTCAATGCATCTTCACTTATTGTATAAACTTCATATCCGGAATCGTCGGCGAATTTGGATTTCTGTAAATAAAACATAAAATGCAGTTTGCCACGTGGAATTTTGACGTTTTAGATTTTTTTTTGAATTTTTGATCCCCCAGGATTATTTTCATTCTTCCCTCATAAATCTTCCCAAAACTCCATATTCGTTTTCATAAATTACGAAAAAAAAAACAAATCGTTTCGTTTTTTCCGAAAAATATTGCATAAAATGAGGAGACGACATGTTTTATTACAGTTTTGGGAGTGGCGTTTTTTTTTTCTTTTTCGGATTTTCCATATTGAATCAATCAACCAATAAAATATGACTATTCAAATAAAATGGATTTTATGAGATTCTCTATGTTTCGCTTATTAGAGTTCCTTTTCCTCCTAGGAAAATGCAAAAATAAATTTTAAAAAAGGTTTTGCGCCGGCTGGGGGTCGAACCCTGGTTGTGCAAAATGGAGGCACACGTGTTAACCACTCGGCCATGGCACTATTTTTTGAAATCTTCAAAAATGTCGAATATAAAATGCTCGTCTCATTAAAAATTCCCCTTGTAAGAAAATGTTTTGTTTCATCTTTGTCTCTAGTCAATTAGAAGAAAAAGAAGAGTTGTGTCCTCGTAGAAAAAGTGCTCGCTCGCGCCAAAAATAAATATACGCAAAATCTAAATATTATTTGCTGTGCTGTGTTTTTGGCTCCCGCGCGCGCAGCTTCTTCTCCAAGTGCGCAAACAACATTCCGCCACCAAAAATATTATTTACTACGAAAAAAACAACATTTTTGGTTGATTTTTTAAAATACTTTTTTTAATTAGAGCAGATTTTATGTGAATTTATTGTCATAAGATTTAATTTCACAAGAAAGAAAAATAAATTTTGAATTTTTTTTCAAAAAAAAAATAAATAAAACTAACCGCTCCAGATTTACAGCAAAGTGACATTTGAAAAATTCCTAATTTCAAAAATATTAAAATCAAAATAAAAAAAAGATAGAAAAAGACAAAACCTTCGAAAAAAGGGAACCGAAGCAAATCAGCCCAGCAAAAAATGTGGGCGGAGCCTAGTTTCGCACAGGTCGAAAAGGAAGGCAAATATTTGGAAGAAGAAAAATACAACTACGAAAATTTATCAAATTTTTATGTTGGAAAAATCATCACAAAATAATAATGAAATTAAAATTATGTAGCACAAAATAAATTATTTGATTTATTGATAATATAATTCGAAATTGAAACCCTCGTGAATTTCGTAGTCCATCAAAGTGATGTGATCTTTGTAGATTGTGTACCATTTTTTCAGCACGATTTTCTCCCATCTGAAAAAAACAACATAGATTGTATTCGAATTTATTTTTGGGTTCATACGTCGCATACCCTCGTTTCAAATCAACCAGTGCACACCCCTATTTTTGAAAATTTCTGGCAAAAGGGTTAACCCCCTTTTCCTTTTTCATTTTCAGCTATATAAACTTGACAATCTACATTTTTTTATAAACTTTTAGCTCAAAATTGCTTCATTCGGAAAATATTCTCATCTTCTCCGCTTTTGAGTCAAATTTTGATTCAAAAATTCTATTTTTTCAAAAACAAAAAAATACGTTTCAAAATTTTGATATAATTTATTATCAATTTTTTCAATGCTACCACGATTTCATACCTTTTATGACAATAAATCAAAACCAAAATTCTCAAAATTTGGATGAACATTTTGAAATTATCGATTTTTGAATCAAAATTCGTGGAAATTTTGATCACTTCCAATAAGTGATAGAGTACAAAGCTTAGGAATTTTTTTAAAAAAATTTTTCTCAAGTGACATCCCCTTCCAAAAACTGGGGAGAATGATAACCCCCTCAGGTCGGTTACCCCAGGCATGCGACGTATGTTTGGGTTGTTTGTTGGGATTTATGTGTTTTGTTATTCCATAAATGTATTTTATGAAGCGTTACATATCGGATTATAATTTTTTGATGAAAAAAAACTGGGTTTGTTGGAAATTTCAGGCTTTTTAGAGGTGGGAAGGGAATAGGAAAACATAATTTTTGAAATTGAAAATAAAATTTCAGTTTTCAATTCTCCAGGCCTTAAAATTGACCAAAAATCTCGAATTTTAGCTCGTTTTCGCTCAAAACTTCAGCTTTTCTATATTTTCAGATGAAAAGTGATCAAAGCCGGTTGCAAAATTTCAAAAACAAAAACTAACCGTGTTCCAGTTTGAGCAGCAATCAACTTCTTCAAATCTCCAATTGTATCAGATGGATTGCATTTTATGCGAACTTTTTTGCCTAATCGATCGTTCACTGTCACTTCAATCATTTTATCTGAAAACACGATTTTTAGATTGATTTTTCGAAATATGGGTGACGAAAAATAAAAAAGTGCATGCAAGCGGTGGCCTAGGAAATCAAAGAAAAACTCGGCCACGCTGAAAAGAAAGGATATTTTTTGGAGGAAAAAGTTAGGTTAAAATAGAATCAATAGGAATAAATGAATAAACAATTAACATGAGTAATGGTTAATTTTTCTAATAACATGAGCAATGCTACAAATTGAAAATTTTGATGAAAATCTGAAATTTCATAGTTTTTAACTAAGAAACCTTTCAGAATCTCATCGAAATCATGATTAGAATTTCAAAAAGTCGGAAACTTTGAGGATTAAAATATTCTGGATTGACATGAGTAATGGTTAATTTTCTATAACATAAGCAATGCTCCAACTTGAAAAATTTGATGAAAATCTGAAACCAAAAAACCTTTCAGAATTTCATCGAAATCCTGATTTTTTAGCAGCCTATAATTTTGTAGATAGAAATATTCTGGAACTTTCAAGAAAAAACCAAATCAACATCATTTTCAAATCCACATTGCTACAATAAACTTTATTTATACTGTCTAAAAATATCTGTAAGTGATTTAAGAATTTTAAAAAACACAACGTCAACATTGAATAGTGACTTAGCAAAAAGAGGGTAAAAAAGAAAAGAACGGAATGTTAGAAAGAGAATATATTGTTTTTACATAAAGTAACATGTCGATCGATAAGAGAAAAGAGTTAATTGAAATGAATGAATTAGGCAGCGAATTGTCCGTGCAATTTCTTTTGCAAAACCAAATTGTGATGAAGTTCTGGCTTGATATCGCATACCAATTGAAGAAGACGAACAATAACAGCTTGTTTGTTCGCAGCAACCGATTGTTTCATTCCATTGATTTGATCTTCAGTATCCTTACGAATTTTGCTCTCAATATCTTCTTTGGTTCCCAAATATTGTTGTTCAAAAGCCTTGAACTCTTGCTCGCGTTGCTAAAAAAATATTGATTTTTTTCAAACTTTCATATGAACATTTCTCAAATTTCAGTTCATTTTCAACCATAATTTCAAATTCTCAAGTTTCAAACTTAAAAGTGACCAAAAACCTCAAATTTTAGCTTGTTTTCATTGAAAATTTCAGATTTTCTCAACCTTGATTTTTAAATTGTTAATTCTGAGAGAAAGTGAGCTAAAATTTGAAATTTATCGTCATTTTTAAGCCAGAAACCAGAAATTATGGTTGAATAATTTTATTTTTAGTCTATGAAAATTTCTCAATTTTCATCCATAATTACAGATTTTCAGGTTTCAAGCTTAAAATCGATCAAAAATCTCAAATTTCAGATTAATTTCAGTCAAAAATTGAAATTTCAGTTGAATTTTCAATTTTCAGTCGAAAAATCTGAATATTCAGCCATAATTTCAGGCTTCAGGCTTAAAATCGACCAAAAAATCTCGAATTTTAGATGAAATAGCCAAAATCTTCAGCCGAAAATCAGATTTTTCAAAATTCAAAAATCGCCCCCACCTGCTTGTACTTCTCAACTTCAGCTTGAGCCTCTTGCTTGGCTTGCTTGGTTCTTTGCAATTTGCGTTTTCTGGCCTCGTTGATCTTTTCGGCGGCTCTTTTTTCAGCAGCCAACAATTGTTGAATTCCTTGAGTTTGGGAAGCCATTTTAACTTGAGTCTACAAAAATTTTGGTTGAAGAATGTGTTTTGAGAATTTCAAAAGTATCAATCATGGTTTTCACGACCATTTTCAGAAAAAATAATAATCAAAATGCATAAAAATTTAATAAATAAATACATCAAAGAAGCTATTTAGAAAACCCGTAACATTTAAACCAGTTAAATTGATTTGACCACCGATAATATGCTTGGCACCTGAAAAATCATAAAAAATATTTGATTTTGTGATCGGAAATTTAAAATTCCCTACCGTATACGTAAATTTCTCATCACTTCCATCAAAAATCGCATCAATAACAAGATTATTTGCACCAACAACATCATAAACCGAAGCGTTTGCCATTCGAACTTTCATCACAATCTCTTTCCTCTCCTTTCCTTCGAGATTTATTCGCCGAACCGGTCGATCGACCCAAAGTTGTTGGCGATTTTCGGGTGGAATCAGGTGGATTCCTTCAACAGCTTCGCGAATTTTCGAAACATAACGTAGGGTTATCGACGCTTTTCGATTGATTGAGTCGATGTTTTGAACGTGGATTTTGATTGGGAGTTCGGCGATTTTTGAGGAAGAGAAATCATGGGAAATATCTCGAATTGTATCGCAGGATATTCTCAATTTCGAAGGATGTGCAATCACTGGAAAAAAAGAGGGGTTTTGATTTTTCTAGAAGCTTAAAATTCAATTTCAGAACTTTTTTCAGCTAAAGGGAATTTAGCCTAAAGCTTTTCATATTAGCCTAGAGCCTAAAGCCTACCAGATTAGGCCAAAGCCTAAAGCCTTTCAAGTTAGGCTAAAGCCTAAAGCCTTTCAGATTAGCCTAAAGCCTTTCACATTAGCTTAAAGCCTCTAGCCCACACCTCGGCCAAAATCGTGGTTTCCACAATAAAAATTGTACGCTAACTTTTTACAGTACAAAAATTGTGAATTTTTCGAAAAATTGTACTCTGGCCAGCAACGGCTTGGCCGAGGTGTGCTCTAGCCTAAAGCCTTTCAGATTAAAGGCAGATGCTGAAGTACGGTAGAACCTGCACATCTAACTCGAGAAGAAATTCAGCAGAAAACTTTTTAAAAAAAGGTGCAAAAGTTAGATACGCAGGTGCTCCCAGAAATTTTGTTTTGGCCCAAAATCTCTTACCATCATCATCTGGATGAATCGCGCCTTCCTTATCAAACGGATCATCAACAAAACTTTCTCCAATAATCGAGCAAACTTGTCCATCATTATTCACAATATTCGCCTTCCATAACACTCCAATCTTCCTCTCCACATTCTTTTTCACATTTTCCTGATTATTATAAATATCATTCATAAGTGGCGCAGCTGGTGGCGGCCAATTTGGCGGTGTCTCAATCATTTCACCCAACCACAAATCATTTGCTCCCGAACTTCTTGACATTTTCAGCACAATTGTATCATTTTGTTCACTTTCCACTTCAATTTTCTGTCGTTTCGATATGATTTCAAGGCTGGAATTTCGAGAACTTCGAATTCTTAGAACTTCCACACGCGAAAGAGCCGCTTGCGAAGAACTCAATCGATTCGACATTTGCAACGAGAAGGTTCCAGTTTGCTCATCTAACAAATTGGATTCAACATGAAGTAGAGGAATTCGTTCAACATCAACAACTTTTCTCCATTCTCTCATCACCCCATTTTCTCCTCGATATCCAAATAAAAGCGCTAATATCTTGCTCGATTCACTCGCACGAATATCAATAAATATAGTCCGTTTTTCACCAATTTTCAGAATATTTTCACCAAATGAAAAAGTTGCTAATTGATTGTTATTTACTGCTAATTTCAAAGGAACATCAACGCGTTTTCCATCTTCAATAATTCCACAACAAACTCTATCATAACCATTTGTCGCCAAACAAGTTGATACAATATTTTCTTTTCCAATATTCTCAATTTCAATTTGATATCTCATTGCTTGATCGATAAATGCGACTTGTTTTGTGGGATGTTTTTGAATTCGAAACTCCAACAATGGCCATGGTTTTTGTGAAATATTCGCAGATAATCGCTCATCAATCGCATACATCTTAGCTTTTTGTTGTTTCGATGTTTTATTCAACCGTTTTCCTTTGCATTCCAATGGAATTTGACAATCAATCATTTTTCCATTCTCAACCATTTTAAAAACAAGGGCAGTGACTTTAAAAGACCCATTTGTTGCAGCAATTCTTGGAAACACATAAAGCTCAATAGTTTTCGTCTCCTTTTCTTGAATCTGCAATTCCGCCAATTCACCAACATCATATTCGTTATTAGATTCACTGGAAACCGCCAATTTCACATTTCTCAAATTCAACGGAATATTCAATGGATTACTCAGATCAATAATAACTCGATATCTTTCACCAATTGGTGTCTCACGAATCTTTTGATTATCCGAATAGCAATCACTAACTAATTGCATTCCTCGAAATGGTGTTGAAGATGTGAAAATTGTATGATGTGCAGCTCGCTCAATAGCAATCCATTCATCCGAATTAATATGTCTATTTTCATCATCATCAATCTCATTCCACATTGGTCTTTCACCATAAATCACTTTTATCCCATTCATATCCACTTTTGGAAGATCAATTCGAATTGGTTCATTTGGATCAGCATACGCATCAATTACATGGATTATTTTCTTCAATCGATCAATTTGTTGTGATTCATTTAGCTTCGAACAAACAACAATCAATCTTCGAACACATTCCATTGCCATTTTCGAATTCATTACTCCAGCTTTTTCTCCTTCAATCAATAATTTCATACTCAAATGTTCATCTAGAACTCCCCAATGTTCCTCGTTGAAATTCGGCAATGCTAATCGATAACAATCAAATGCAAGATTATGAATTCCCGCGTTCGAAAATCGATTGGCAGCCAGAACTCGATAAAACGACGATTTTCTATGCATTCCAGAGTTCTCAAATGAAATTGCAGCCAATAATTGTGAAACTGCAACAAGATGATCGCCTTCGATACTAGATAATCTTGATAAAATCGTGGCTGCTTCTTTATAACAAGATAAATCTGATAGAATTTGTTTGGCATTGAAAGCACATCGCATAATGAACGAGTATTTTCTGAAAGAAAAACAAATGAAAGATTTAAAATCGCGATTTCAATGATTTCTAATGAAAATTATAGTTTTCAACCCGCAGATCTCTATTCCTAATATGATTTATGACGTGGCAAAATTGAAAAATCGTGACTTTCGGTGGTCAAAACTCGATTTCAAAATGTTTTTCATAAAAATCTGATAGCATAGGATTTCTCAGGAAATTCGAAAGATTTTTTTAAATCTTTAAGTACTATCAGATTCCGAACATTTTTCAAAAAAATCTCTCGAATTTCCTGGATGAAAACTATTTCGAAAACGAGTTTTACCAGCTAAAGTCACGATTTTTTAATTTTGTCACGTCATAACTCATATGGAATAATGATCATCGGATCGAAAACTATCATTTCCATTAGAAATCTCGATGGCAAGTCCCTTGTTCGAACTTACGCAGAATTATTGAGCAAATGTGAAAGCGATTCATCCAAATATCGAACAGGGAAATTTTTGGGATTCATATATGGCTCAGCCATATGAAGTGCAACCGCGCACATTTCAGCAGCCAAAGAATGTGCAATCATAGCCTGATCCGCTTCAAAATCCTTTTTCAGCGTTCGATATTGTTGATAGGCAAATTGATAATTCCCAAAAATATATGCTAAATCGGCTAATCTTCTAGTTAACATCTCCGGACTATCCCATGCATAACTTGCTGCTGCCAATGGAAGATTTGTTTGTGAAGTTCCATTTCCAAACCATTTCTTCATCCCAATCGCCAATCCTTTTCCAATCAAACCCCTCCGATTTCCAACTTGTTCCATCAAATTTCTCATCTCTTTTTCAATAAACGGAGAGAGACATGTTGTTGTGAATTTTTTAATAATACTTCTACAATTCTCTGCATCTTCACTCGAAAATCGTTTCTCACTATTTTTCCAAAAAACACTTTCAGCTGCTTGCTTTGAAACATTAGATGATGAAAACGGTACAGATATCGTTGAAACCGAAGTTGAGCTAATTGAATTCGGTGATGTTGGACTACTTGCTTGTTTCATTGCTTCTTCTAATCCACGATTAAGTATATCATTCAATTCATCAATTTCATTCCAACACTTCGAAGAATCTTCAGTTGAGCTATTTAATTGAAGAACTTGACAATTATCCGTTCCATAAATCGAACACATTTGATTATAAATTTCATCGCGTTTTGTGGAATTTTCAAATTTCGAAGAATCATGCAAAAGAATAAAGTGTTTCAATGTTTTCGAGTGTTCCGTATTCCATTTTGGAGAACAACAATATGGTGGAATCATTAAAGTTGATGCAGAATTCTGAAAAAAACATGGATTCAAAGAAATAATTCAAGTTTTTTTCAAACTTACGTATAAAGTTTGTTGAGTTTGAATCATTTTACTCAATTCACCCATCGCATTTTCATCATTTGTTGATATCACGAAAAAACAAGCTAAATATGCTCCGAAAGATTCATGTTCTGATGGTTCTGCCCAGCGAATTAACACATTTTTGAATGATTCAATTGCAGATATCGAATCATTTGCTGATTTTAAAGCTTGGATCAAAACATATGGGAGAACTGAAAGTGTAAGAAGATGACCATCATTTGAAATATCACGAATATCCAGGCGTACTTTGTGATTTATTGTTCTATTATTTACAGGATCCTTAAATAGTAACAATCTTTTATTTTATATAACTTAAAATCAATAACTTACCCTAACATTTGTCTCGTGTGAACTAAATGGATATAAAAGATGTGAGAGTGATTTGAATCCACGTGAAACAGCTATCGATTGCGCATTTGATGATGCGATCAACGCAATGAGTGGCTGAGCCATACACCAACACCAACAGGAAGAAGAACCAAACTAAACTTCTGAAAACCAACGATCATTTTATGAATATGTGGGTAAGAGATGGAGAGAAGGCGATGAAATGTTGGGAAGGGGGCGAAAACCGAAAACCAATCAATGGAGCGCGTTTGCGGCAATACGAGATGGGAAAAGGAAAAATGAGGTGAAAGAGAGGAGAGACGTGAGAAAAACAAGTTTTTGACAATATAATGTGAAGAGTAACTGGAGAATTTTTATAAACTATTATCAGGGACTGACTGAATTTGGAATATTGATTTTTTGAATACAAAGAGGAATGTAAGAATAAGCAAAATACGAAATGAAATAGTTTCTTACGTTGAATACAAAAAAATCCTCAATTTTCACGTGAGTCTTGTCATTTCTAAAAGAAGATTTTTCATTTTTGTCCCTTGGAAAAATATTCGCCCCGAAAATTGTCAAAACGGCGAATCTGCAGAAAATGAGCAAGGATACTTGGCAGGAGGTTTTGCAAAGTCACTTTTAAAATTCAAACTTGAAAAATATTGAATATCCATTTGAAATCTAAAATTCTCCAAATCTGAAGTTCCTTAGAAATGTCGTTTCTACAAACTAAAACATGTTTATGGCAGCAGAAATTAGCTTGAACTTTGAAAAACTCAAAAAACCAAGGCGTCGTGGCGAAAAAAGAAAAAAATAATAATGCACACAGTTGGAAGTAGTGGTACAGTAGCACAAACGGGTCTCGCCGCGTTGTTTGCATTTTCTGAAATTCAAAATTTCGTTTTTTTTCTTCCGAAAAAATCCCACGAAACACGCGTGGATTTCTGACGTTTTATTCATTTCTAGTTCGAAAATATCTATTCATATATTCTGGTGTTCTCGTGCGATTCGTAGAAAACAATTTGTAGTGGCTGTGAGAAACAAATTCGTGCAAAGGTAAATTTCATTCTTTTGAGTTCATATCAGGAACAAATAACAATTCTGAACATGAAAATCGATTAAAATTCAAATCTTTATTTCAATTCCAAATATTTACATTCCATTTACATATTGGTACTCATTTAATATTGATAACAGTCACAACTTTGTTTTATCCAAAAAGTAATAATGGGTTATTTATTATGATGTAAAGTAATTGAACAATATTTCTTAATTAGAAGCTTGCTCGATGTACTGTGGTCTCACTTCAGCACAATTTGAACCGCATCGCTCCGAAACCAATCTTGACATGGATGGTGTCATTTTTATAATTCGGAAGATGAATGTTGGTGTGCCTGAACCTTGTTTCATTAGATGCGAATTTTAGTATCAACAAACCTTCTGACATGATTAATCCAACTGCACCAGGCGTATCAAATTTAGGGCCTTTTGTGGCAAATGTATATCCTTCTTCATCCACTTCGCGCCAGATAACTTGACAAATACTAGAAAAAAGATTTCACAAAGTTTTCAAAATCACGAGTGAAACTTACTCTGTCATATTTTTCCAACAAGTACATCCAATCTGATTCACAATATCTGCGAGATCCAAAAGAGGTGATGAGACATGTAATCTTTCCAGCTTTCTTTTTCCCGATTTCCAATCACGCAAAATTTTAACTATCGAACTTGACGTAAGAAATTGACTGGATACTCGAATATTTTGGGCAGAGAGAGCTGTCAATTGATGATCTTGGATATTACTTATAAGTGACCACAAAATAACGCTATTTGCTTTCTTAATTTTTTCCAAGTCAAAAATTGCAGTCTCCATTCCACCGTGATCATTTGCCATTAGTGATATATCTTGTTTTGAGTTTTTCGCCGATCTCAAAGCAAATTCTACCAATCTATAGTCATTTGTTCTTATATTGAAAACTTTGACTGCAACATGACTATCTGTGTGGTAGTTTTGATGTTCCCACAAATAACTCAATCCTTCGAAACATGGCTAAAGTTCACTATTAAATAATGATTTCTAACTTGTCAACTCACTATTTCTATGAGAACTGTTTTTATTTTTGATCTTCTCCATAGTCGAACAAATGCATTCATTGCTTGTGATGTGTGATCGGGGCAATCTTGATGTCTCCTAAAAGGTGAAATGAACATTTTTTAGCCGCGAAACTTGTTCTTACATTTCTCTTCCACGATATTCAACCATTTTACTGACAAGTCTTCCGTTTTCATTCTTCCATTTCATTACCAACGTGGTTTTCTGAAGAAGAAGAAGAAAAAGAATCACATGATATTCTGTTTATCTTTGAGATCTTACCGCTGTAGTGGGAAATTCAGTGATTCCAAGTTCACTCAATTTATTCGGAATCGTTTCACATATTCTCGAACATTCCCAATTCGCAAGCATCATATTCTGTTTGTCCGGGAAGGCTAGATATGTTATGATATTTCGTTTGATTTCTGGTGGAATACTACGCCAGCCAACGGCCTCTTCTAAAAGAAACGATTTTTTTTTATTTTGAAAATATCACCTAAAATCTAACCTGTGCAATCCATAGCTTCAATATTCGACATTATTTCCAAGAATCAATTTTTTAGTTCAAAAAAAAAATTGCGAAATAACCATGGAGAAATGTACACATACACACAAAAAGACACACACAGAAAAACGAGTCGATTGGATTTTAGTCTGTGTGGCGCAGGTAGACGCAGACTGGTCAGACATTTATTGAGATGGCAATTCGATTGTTATATTTGCGATTGCAGAGAAACGAGAAAGAAAAAACCATTACCCTAATCAGTTGTAAAGAAAAATGACGTTATTAAACATGAAAAGTACTCTACTCGCACGAATTTTCGATCTTGTTGTTAGAAAAAAATGATTTGGAAAGTAGACTCTATTCTGAAACTAAAAAAGTGTAAAATTAGAAATCTCCAGAATACTGTTCAACCCACAGTAACAAAATTTTGAAGTTAGAGGTCTTTCACGTTGTAAAATCCTTAGCTGATAACAATTTTCATCAAAAACTGAATTGAAAAATTGTTTCAGATGAATTGGGTTCATTGCAATACATGTGGAATTCGACCGAAACAAATCAAAATATATATCACAACCTGTGGACATCTGATATGCGATAATTGCACCAAAAAAGTGGTCGAAAAAAAGTGTTTGGTGTGTAGGAAGGAATATCGAGCCGAAGAAGTTTGTGGAAAAATGCGACCATTTTTGATGAACATGTTTCGAGAACCACAAGATTTGGCGGCAAAATTAGGAAAAGAGCTGGGAAACACTATTGCGTTTCAAACTAAACAGAAAAAGTTGATTCACCAGGCGAAACGAGCTAAGGTGTGCGCTGAATTGGAAGAACTCAAAAAGGTATATACTGAAAAAGTTGGCTCATATCAGTAAGTTTTATTAAATACAAAAAAAAACAAATATCAATTTTTTTTTTTGAAATTTCAGAACTCTGAAAAAGGAATATATCGAAACCAACTCAAATTTGAAGACATTGAGCACAAATATGAAGGAAATGGTGGAAAAATTGACAGTTTCACGCAAAGAAAATTCTGCACTCAAAGCCGATCTCAAAAATGAGATGCTTTTGGTGAAAAGGAGGTGTCAAACTGAACCGCCAGCTGCGAAAAACTCGAAAAATTTGCCGAATTCCACGTTTTCTGGAGCAGCGGAATTTGTCGAAGAACAACATCATGTTTTGAGCGCATTTGAAGGTTTTTTTATTGAAAAAAATTTCTGATTTTTACAAAAAAAATTTCAGGAATTGAGTTATCAAAAAGTATTGATGAAGCTCCTTCACGTGTTACGAGCACGCCAATTCCGAATGTAAGTTTTTAAAAAATAAAATTGATTTTTCAACAAAAAATTGATTTTTTTTCAGAATCAAGCAAATCGAAAAGAATTTATGAGGCGAATGTTCTCGAGTGGCGTGGATCCTTCGCCAATTTTAACCAAATGAGTTGTATACACCCCCAAAAAATTATCTTGTGAATAGTGTTTTAATGGATTTCGTTCGCTTTATTTTCGATTTCCTTGTTTTTTTTGTTATAAATTTTTATTCTTGATTCTGTACCGTAATTCAAAACGAAAAGAAATGTATTTTTCATTTTTATTAAATATCTACTAATTTTTGAGCTTTGAATATTTTTCAATAAGAGGATAGACCGAGAAATATTGTAAGACAAAACACAATCCAAGTGTTGACCATCTCCAAACGGAAGAATAAATAAAAACATTGTTTTGTACATATTTTCGCCTCTTCTTTTTCTCCGCTTTGACGCCTTACAATTGTTTTCGCCCCACTTCTCTACTTATTTTCAAAATTGATTGACTAGTTTTTGGTGAAGCTCAAAATTTAGTATGAAAAAACTTTTTTCGAAAAAATTCAGATTTTTCATTTTGTGAACTTTACTTTGAGGTAAATTTGATTCTAGATTCGAAAATCGCCAATTTTATCTTTGAAAAATGAGTTTCTAGAACAAAATTTCAAGCTGAGCTTTTTTTTTTCAAAAAAATTGAGAAAGTTACAATTTCTGCAAATTTTAGAGCTCTAGAAAATTAATGTTTTTAAGTTTTTTTTTGAAAAAAAATAAGTACAGCTTGAAATTTCGCGCAGATTTTTTATAGGCCTGAAAAAAATTTGAAAAATGTTTTTTTAACTTCAAAAGATAAATTCACGAAAAGTCAAAAAATGGCGAAAAAACATTGTATGTCAAAATTAGTATTTCGAGTTTTTCAGCCAAAAATGAAAACAAATCGGGATTTTTGAAGCTTCTGCAGTGATTTCTGATGAAAATAAGCTTCGAGAACCCTATTTTGCTTTATTTTATGAATTTTTTCGAAGTTCATCAACATTTAAAATTTTTTATTTTACAAAAAATCAGCAAAACCTTCTGAAAAGTGAATTCCAAGGTCAATTTTCATCAGAAATCACTCCAGAAGCTTCAAAAATATCGATTTGTCATCATTTTCGACTCAAAAACTTGAAAAACTGACTGTAAGCTTTTTTACTTTTCGTGAATTGATCTTTCGATGTTAAAAAACCATTTTTTTTAAATTTTTATCGTTCGCGAATCAGCCCTTATGAAATTGTTGGAGCTCTAAAATTGCGATTTCAAATACAAAACAATTCAATAATTCCCCCTTTCCCCCCTCAAAAATCATCACATTTAATTAGAATAAAATGAATGTTCAATCGAATCGAATAAATAGTTAAACGACCTCTCCCGAATTGTCTCTCTGCGTCTCCTCAAATCGCCCACTATTTCCCTCCTCAAGTTACATATCTTGAGGCGATTTCTTCTTTCTTTCTGGATATATATGTAGTACAGTGTTCTTCTTCTTTTCACATTCCTTATTTTTCATGTTGTTGTTTTTGTTATTGTCTTCTTCTTCTTTCTTTTGCAATTTGCGTAATCGCATCTTTTCTTTCACTTTTTGCCCTCTTTAATTTTGTTCTTTTTGATAAAACACAAAGAACTTTTTGGCTCTTGATATTCAAAAAAATGTCTAGTTTGATCTTCCTTTTCCAATTTTAAAAATACATATATTTTCCTATTATCACTTCTACAATAACAACATTTTTTGATGATAGCAACACAAAATTCGTATTTATTTGTTTGCAGTATTAATATTTGTTTTTGAAAAATAATAATTCGAAAAACGAATTGTGACACATTTATAGTATTTTTGTCGCCAATCGGGTGCCTTTTATCAATTTTTTTAAAAGAAAAATGAGCAGAATTCAATAGAGAATTAGTTATGACGTGGAAAAATTGGCCAAGGACTCATTTTGAACACGTGGTCCAGCTGTGCGAGTGAAAATTGCTTTGCCACGTCGGCTGAGATTTTTTTCCTATGAATTTCTGGTATCCACCATTTATAAAAAAAAAAACAATTTCCAAAAATTCTCAATCGTTTATTTTAATTTGTTCCGGTATTCAAGTCACGGTCGTCCAAAATGTTTTTTAGCCGAAAAAATCCGCTCGAAATACTTTTGTGCCCTAGATTTAAGCTTGTTAAATAATTTGACGTGAATTATTTTGCTCATTTCTGATTTTTCAAAACGTTTGGATTGCCGCATTTATTTTCTGCACTATTTTTTGAAATGTAGCAAAGTCTGTGAGTTAATTAGAAGAGGTATCGTACGATTTTCATCCACAAAATTGAGCTAGATTTGAAAATCGGGAATTCGGAGTGACTTCGAAACGACGATTTATCATTTTTTTTTAATCCATGAAAATTGAGCTATGTTACCCATAAGTGATTTAGCGATGTTTAGTTGATATTTAGTCGCTAAATCACTTATGAGTAACCTAAATTCATAAAAATTAACACCATTCGAATTGTCTTATGCCTGTCTATTCTATGATTAAATTTAAAATCCAAAATTTCAACTCACTTTCTCAAAAAACATGAAAATCTCATTCATTCGATGCCCAAAAATACTTCAATTCACCGAAATTTTGACTAGAATCTATTGAAAATTCATTCTCAATCAATTTAGCCTAACTATGCACAACAATTTCTTCTAAATTATCATTAGTTAGATTTTTGCACTAATGCAGGTGGTGTGAAAAAGTGAGTAGTAGAGAAAAGAAATTGGCGCGCGGCGTCCGCCGTCGCAATACAATAATGTCTATGGTCACCCGGTCATATGTGTTCTTTTCCTGACTGACTGTGTGCGTATGTGTTGTTGTCTTCTCTTCGCTGTCTCGTCCTCCGCTTTTCCTTCTTTTTCCTCCTCTGTTACTCATTGCACGACGTTTTGTGTTGTATGTGTTTTTTTTCAAAAAACTCGCATTTCCGGATATATTGTTTCATTTGAAAATTCCTTTCCTTTTGAATCGATTTTCCAATTCAAAAAAAAAGTTTTTTTTTAATATTTATAAATTCCTAAAATAGTAGAAAACTTGGGGAGATTCAGTTCATTTTTAAATATTTACTTTTTTCTTAAAGTGACTCATTTCATATTTGTGGCGTGTGTTATCAGCAATTTTTTCATAAACCAATTTTTGTGAAACATTTTTTTTCGTATATTATAAAATTATACAATGTAACTAGTTATTTTTATTTTTTCAATCAGAAGATAAGATTTTTGTTTTGAAAAATGAAAAATTAAACAAAAACCTGTACGATTTTGAGCCTTGGCCTAAGAAACCAAATTTTCAAACAAACTAGTCCCCCACATTTGGTGCATCGATTCTTTTTGTCTCGTGTTTTCAAACTTTTAAACATTTCAAATTTTCCCATGAAAGATGAGGGCGTTTGAAAAATACATATTTCAGATTGATAAGCTTTTTCATGTGACACTTTTTGTTTTGAAACTTTTTAGAACATCCGGAAAATATTGTTATTTCTTCTTCTTTTTCGCTCTTTCTTTTTGTGGAAACAAAAACAAAACTTTTTGTTCGCTCCCGTGTCAAATATGTTTTTACGTCACCGAACTTACAGAATATTCAACGAGCGAAAATATTGGGCAAAAAAGATAGAACACATCATATTATGGAGCAAGAAGAATTGCTTCGGCAATTGCTTGATGCAAGATCGCCGATTAATATTGAGAGTTTATTGGTGGGTTTTTCTCAACATGAGTTATACCGTGGCGAAATTTTCAATTCATAAAATGCTATACTTAAAAATAAGTTTCGGAATCATTTACAGAGTTTTCTGATCCGCTTGTTTAGAAAACCTGAACTTAATTTGGGAAATCCATTTTTAGATCAAGTTTCACTACCAACTCTGAATATGAGTTATGACGTGGCAAAATTTGAGAATTTCAATTTTTAAAAGGCTATGCTACAAAAAAAGTTTAGGCCTGAATTTAAATTTTTTAAATCTAAAGTTTCACATTTTCCAGGATACCATCACTGCACTTGTAAATGATTGCAAAATCCCCGTTTTGATGCGTATGAAAAGCATCGACAATTTCATCAATCGATGTGAGTTTTGAGGATTTTAAGTCCCTTTATTATTTCTGTGTGCTTATTGTTGTTGTTGTGATTTCTATCATAAAATTCAGATGAGCGAGTTGTTGAAAGTCTTTCCTCGATGCGTATGAAGGCTTGCGATTTTCGTCAATTGAAAGTTATCGGAAGAGGTGCTTTTGGTGAAGTTCATCTGGTCAGACACAACAAATCGAACACGGTTTATGCGATGAAAATGTTGAACAAGGATGATATGGTTGGATTTTTTTCCGCTTTTGATTTTTGAAACTAATTGAAATTGATGTAGTGTTGTGTTTTTGATTTTAAGAAATTTATTGATTTTGTTCAAAATAAAAAATACATTTTTTTTCAGATCAAACGAGCCGATTCGGCGTTTTTCTGGGAAGAACGGGATATTATGGCACATGCGAATAGCGATTGGATTGTTCGACTACAATATGCTTTTCAGGTTAGTCTAACTCGTTTTTTGGGCAAGTTTTTTTGGATTCAGAACTTTTTACGGAATTCAGAGCTCTCTGCAATGTTTCTGTACAGTTTTTCACCCCGAGGAAGATCCTGTTTACAGTTTTGGCTGAGCGACTCTCTGAAGAGCCCAAAAATGAGCCAAAACTCGAGAATTTTCTGAAAATTCTCGAGTTTTGAAGGCCTTTAGCTTAAGTTAGTCAAAAACTTGATACAGGACGATGTTCAGAGCGGTCGATTTGGTAAAGCCAAAATTTCAAGCCATAAAAGTTGTGCTTATATCAATATGTACTCAATTTTAGATGAAATTTGGCTCTCAAAACTCCAGTTTTGGCTCATTTTCTGCTCTTCAGAGAGTCGCGCAGCAAAAACTATATAATATTATTTTTAATTGAAAATCATAGCACATTTCCTTCCCCTGAAGAAGAATTTCTAGATTTCTCCAATAAAACCTTTCTATTCTTCAGGATCCCCGCTATTTGTATATGGTAATGGAATACATGCCCGGTGGTGATTTGGTGAATTTGATGACAACCTACGATGTTTCCGAAAAATGGACAAGATTCTATACGGCTGAATTGGTTGAAGCCTTAGCCGCTCTTCACGAGATGGGATATATTCATCGAGATGTCAAACCGGATAATATGTTGATTTCGCGAAGTGGACACATCAAATTGGCCGATTTTGGAACGTGTGTGAAGATGAATGAGGGAGGTGTTGTTAGATGTTCAACTGGTAAGTTTGAGCGTCAGATATTATTGAAAATTGGAAATTTTCAGCTGTTGGAACTCCTGATTATATATCTCCGGAAGTTTTGAGAAATCAAGGACAAGATGCTGAATTTGGAAAAGAAGTTGATTGGTGGTAAGCATTTTATTTTACAAGGAACTGTTTCAATTTTCACTCTAGATTTTTGATAAAATATAGGTTTTCTAATAGTTTTCGACACGATTCCGCCAACTAAAATTGCAGAACTCAATTCCTAACATGAGTTATGACGTGTCTTTCGAAAAATCTGGACTTTGAATGGTCAGAATTCGCCTTCAAAATGTTTTTCATGAAAATCTAATAGCATAGCGTTGTTCAGGAAGGTCGATTACATAAGGTTCATACAAAAATCGAATAGATTTTTCAAAAAAGTTGATATTTTTCACCGAACAAAATTTTCGTTTCAAAGTTGATCATAAATAGAAAACATAAAGTTTACTTATGTAATCGACCTTTCTGAACAACCCTATGCTATTAGATTTTCATGAAAATAATTTTGAAGATGAATTCTGACCCCTTCAAAGTCCTGAAAATGTTTTAACTTTGACACGTCATAACTCATGTTAGGAGTTGAGTTCTGCAATTTTAGACGGCGGGATCGTGATCAGCGTGTCGAAAACTACTAGAAAACATAGATTTCATAAAAAATCTAGAGTGAATGTTGAAACAGTTCCCTTGTTAGATGTTATGGATCTTCAAACTCTTAAAAAATTCAGGTCCGTTGGTGTGTTCATTTATGAAATGCTCATCGGCGAAACGCCATTCTATGCTGAAGCTCTCGTCTCAACATATACCAATATTATGAACCACAAAACTAGTCTCAAATTCCCGGACGACGCTCAAATTTCTGAAAAAGCAAAAGATATCATCAAAAGATTTCTATCAGCCGCACCTGAGCGATTGGGAAAGAATAGTGTGGATGAAATTAGGGCGCATCGATTTTTTGTGAATGACGAATGGAATTTTTCGACACTTCGCAATGCGACTCCTCCGATTATTCCGACTTTGAAATCCGACGATGATACGACACATTTTGAGGAGATTGAGTCGAAAGATCGAGATAATCAGGAAACTTTTCAATTGCCAAAGACTTTTAATGGAAATCAATTGCCTTTTATTGGTAGGTTCTAGAAAAATCGAACACTTGAGTATATTTTGACCCTATTCTGCTTGTAAAATTTCAGAACTCCTAACATGAGTTATGACGTGGAGGGGTTTCAGGAGCTGAAAACTAGATTCAAAAATGATTTTCAAAAGGAAAAAAATTCTGAACGATTTTTCAGAAAAGTTAGAAATCTGCGTTTTTATCAAAAATATAGGCTCCAATCTTTTTTCACTGAATATTTCAAAAATAATTTCTCAAACTTTTTTTAAAAAATTATTTTTATCCAGTGAAAAACGCATATCTATAACTTTTCTGAAAAGTCGGCTTTTTAAATCCTGATTTTTCGAACTTTGCCACGTCAGAGCTCATGTGGAGTTCTGAAATTTTACAAACGGAACAGCGGGTCAAAATATACTAGATAACATATATTTTATCAAGAACCTCGAGGTTTTCGAATTAAATACATTCAAAAATTATTTTCCAGGATTCACATATTCGAATGAATATAGTCCTGTAAATGGGTTGAAAAATCAAAAACAATTGCAAAACGGAAATGGAATTGCTGTTCAAAAAGAGATTCCACAACAACAAAATGGAAATAATCGACCAATGATTCCGAAAGAACAATTTGATGAAGTTTTGAAAGAAAATGAAACGAAGAAAAAAGAAATGGATCATTTGAAAGATAATATTGCAAAAGCTGATATTCGAGCGAAATTGATTGAAGGAGAGAAGAATTTGTAAGTTTTATTTTTGGAGAAACATTTTTTTGAAAACAAAATCCTTGCAGATTGTCCAATAAAATTCAAGATCTTGAAAAAGAATTGAAAGAGCATAAGGAGAAAATTCGACATGGCAATGATTCGGACGCAAAAATGAATGGATTGGCTGTGGAATTGCGATCGGCGAAAGAGTACAATTCAGAATTGGAGGGAGAAATGTCGAAATTCCGTGAGAAATACGAGCAATTGAAGGAGGATTTGCGGAAAAAGTTGGGCGAAATTGCGCAGGAGAAGAATGAGACGCAACGAATGTTGTCGCAAAAAAAGGAGGTTGAGGAAATGTTGGCGGAATTGAGAAGAGAATTGGAGTTGGTGCAGAATCGAGAGGCGGAGACGAATGTTCAATTGAAGAAAGCGTTGGAGGAGAGGAAGGAGAATGGAGCTTATCAACAGGTAGATTTTGAAAATTTACGAGAATTTTAAGCCAGAAATTGTGGATTTTGATCCAAAATTAAGAAAACTCCCCGTTTCTGTGAAAATTTCAAAGGTTTTTGAATTTTTTCATGAAAATCTGGAATTTTCTGACCGAAAAGATCAAAGGAGCATACAGTACCCCTTCCTAATATTCAGCGCAAAAAATGATTAGCGAAAAATGTAATAATTCAAAGGGACATACAGTATCTCAAAATCAAGAAAAATTTTTTTAAAATTTTTTCAAAACAAATTCTATCAATAAGCTTCACATTTTTATGGGCATTCTGAATTTTTTTTAAATTCTAAAATTCTGAAAAAAAAGTTCAGAACTATTTTTGCTCGATTTTTTCACTGAATCCAAAAATCTTATTTTCAGAGTGTTGCAAAAGCGACAGACGCCGAATGGGAGAGAAAAGTGCAATATTATGAAAAACAATTGGAACATGCGCACGAAGAACGAAAAAGAGAAGAGCAAAAAAGGACAGCGGCTGAATTTGATCAGAGTAGAGTTGCACGAAAATTGGCTGGAATTGAGGCGAATTTCGAGTATTTGCAGAATGTAAGTGAAAAGGTTTCTCGAAAAAAATATTGTTTTTTTCTTTTCCAGGACTATAAAAATTTGGTGGAATCACGTGAAAGATTGGAACGAGATCTGCAAGAAGTTTCTGCTGAAAAAAGACGATTGGAAATTCGAGTTGAGCAATTGATGGATAGTCGAAATACGGATGAAAGAGTTTTGAGTTTGTGTCAAGATGAACTTGTTGAAAGTCAAGAAGAAGCGAAAATGAAAGAGGAACATTTGAAAAGTCGAATTGATCAAACAAGATATGATTTGGAAAATGAGAAATTGGTTGGTTTCTTTCTTTTTTGGAAGAGTGTCAAAAAATTCTCGTTTTCAGAAAGCGCAAACACTCGAAGAAAATCTGTCAGTCGCTGATAAAGAAAGAGGAATGTTGAAAATGGAAGTTCAGGAGCTAATGCAGCGGCACAAATGGGAAATGTCGACGAAAGAGCAACAATTAAAATTGTTGGAGAAGCAACTTGAGGAATTGACAGCGATTTCGCAAGAGAATTCGGCGCAAGAAAATCAGGATTCGCAAATTATTGCCGATTTGAGAAAGTGGGTGATTTTTCAAGAATTTTGAAAATTATTTCATAGATAAATTTAGTTCACCGAGCCAAAATCTGATTTTTGGAGTTACTCCGAATTATTGATTTTTTATTTTACTCAATTTTATTGATTAAAATGAGCAATCGTATTTTCGGAGTTACTCCGAATTCACTATTTTTGTCTAGCTCATTTTTATGGGTAATTTTGAGCAATCTAACTTTTGAAGTAACTTCGAATTATAGATTTTTTTGTCAGCTCATTTTTATGGATGATGTTGAACAGTCTGATTTTCGGAGTTACTCCGAATTCACGATTTTTTGTCTAGCTTATTTTTTTTTGGAACAAGTTTCCGAACGATTTTTAGATAAATCTGGGAATTTTAGTAAAATACCAAGTTAGACACCCTTTTCTTTTAATTTTTGAAAAAATTGAGCTTCTCGCCCCGGATCTGTTAACCCCTCTTATTTCCAGAAAACTCGAAAATGAGACAGCTCACAAAAAAGCGGTTATCAATAAACTTGAAGAAGAAGTTGCGAAGAGACAGCCGACGAAAAAAGGAGAGAAAGGAGTGACGAAATCGGCATTGATCAAGAAAGAGCGGGAAATTGTAAGAATATAGATGTTAATTAATTAATTAATTAAAAAATTCTGAATTTCAGATGATGTTGCAACAAGAAAAAGAAGAAATGATGAAACGAATCAAATCGTTGTATGCTGACCAAGAAAAACATATGAGCGAATTCACGATTCAACTTCAAGAAGAGCTCAAAATGCACGATATTCTACGAGATGAGAATAAGGATTTGAAAGAGCGATTGGATGAATTGATGAGGAATGGAATGCGATTCTCGGATGACAAAAGATCGATTGATTCAAGAGAGGGACTTCCACCATCAATAAGTCATCATAATATTCAAATGGAGGGTTGGTTGTCGGTTAGAGAAGTGCAGAAGAAATCGAGAAAGACTAAGGTTTGTTTTGGGCAGATTTGTTCTGAATAGGAGCATCTAATTTTTTTCCAGTGGAATACAATTTATGTGGTCCTCAATGAATATGCATTTATAATCTATAGTGATGAAAAAGCTCTTCAAGTTGTTTTGTCGGTTGAGGCTGGAAATATGTGCCATGTTCGACATGTTACAGCGGCAGATTTGAGAAATGTTGATGATTCACAATTGCCAAAGATATTCCATGTGAGTTTTTTTTTTTTTTTGAAAAATAAAACTATCCATTTTTAGTTGATGTATGATGATAATACGAATGCACAATCTCGACACGCTTCGAATTCCGATTTATCGATGATTGAAAATCAACGAGAAGAGAGTTGGAAGCGACACGATTTCCAGGAATTGTCATTCCATATACGAACACATTGTGATGATTGCGGTAAAAAGTTGTCGGATATTATTCGACCGACTCCGGCGTATGAGTGTAGGAATTGTAGATATAAGACGCATAAGGAACATGTTGCACAAGGAACTATTACACCGTGTAAATGTGAGTGTTTTTGGGGTCGGAATTGGAGTTGGAATTTTAATAAAGATCAGTCTAACTGAACGCTTATTTTTAAATTTGAAAATTCAATTTTTTTGGTAATTGAGGACGAAAAATAGTTGATATTATTGAATTAAAAACACGTGAGAAATAAAAAACTAGGTCAAGTGGCGTGGATTTAAAAACAGTATAGGTAGCCATGTCGTCAGTCGCGATGCGTGTGGGCGACACGTTTTTAGAAATGAAAATTTGAAAAATCCAATGGAAAATATCGAGGTCAACACGCAACGCAGAACCGCATCGCGACTGACGACATGGCTACCTATACTGTTTTTAAATCCACGTCACTTGACCTAGTTTTTTATTTCTCACGTGTTTTTAATTCAACAATAAAAAAGATTTTCACAAAGAAATTTGGCTCACAGCAAATTTCAAAAAATTATTTTTGTTTCCCTATTTTTTTGCAATTTTTTCCATTGAAAAATGAAAAATAGCTCGCCACAAAAATGTTTCAATGGAAAAAGTTGAAAAAAAAACAGTTTTTTTTAATTAATTTTTTTCGTCTTGAAAAATTTCTGTAAAATTTTAAACCGTTTTTATGAGAAATCCAGGAAATCCTAATTTTTTTTTCAAATCCTAATTTTTCCCAGAATTCTTGAATTCTTTAGTGTCAGAATTGGAATTTCAAAAATTCAGATAACTTAACATGAAAATTTAAAAATTACAATTTTGAAAATTAAACAATTTCATATTTTCTTCTGGGATGTTTTTTGACAAAAAAGTTCGATTCAGCAAATTTCAAAAAACTACTTTTTTTTGAAAAATATAGTTTTTTTATTTGCTGAATCGTAACTTTTTGTCAAATAAAGTTTTTTAAATTAATTTTTTTGACTTGAAAAATTCTGTATAACCTTTTTGTTTTGAGAAATTCGAATTTTTCAGATCACCCTGAAATAAAAAAATTACAACTTCGAAATATTTTCGTTCCAATCTTTTTTTATTCAAAAATTGTATAGAAACTCCCTCAGCGGATCGATTTCCTCACAAAAAATCCCAAAAACCTCCAATATTTTTCCAGTCACCGGGCTTTCTCGCGAACTCGTCTTAATGGCTCCACAAACCGATTTGTGCATCCGTTGGGTGTCACAAATCCGTCGTTTTATCGAAGCCGCTCGACCGGCCGCTGTCTCAGTATCCCGTGTCTCATCTCGACGACACATGACCGGCTCGACGACTTCATCCTCAATTCATCCATAATTTCCCCAAAAGACTGTGATCATTTTTTTTGCCCCGCCGCTTTTTTATTCCATTGTGAAACGAGTGACCATCTTGCATCTTCTTTTTTTCCCCCGAATTTTTCCCCATTTTATTCCAATATTATCTCAGGATTTGATTTACTCGAAAAATCCCCTCCCCCCCTTATTTTTTTCTGCGAATCGATAGATTTTTTGTACATTTTAAGGATTGCGGTTATTATTATTCAAATATTGTTTTTTTCCCTCTCAATATATAAATTATTTTTTCGAGTTTTATTGATTTTTTGAAATATTGATTTCTTTGTCGGTTGAAAATATTCCAACTAATACTTCTAACATGGAAAACTTTTTTGGATTCTGAAAAAAAAAACTTATTTTTTTTTGAAGTTCAATAAATCCACGTGGCAACATTTTTTTTGTTTTGATATTCTGAAATTCGGGAAATTTTGCCACGTGGATTTTTAAGCTGAATTCCAAAAAAATGGATTTTTGGCAAGAAATTTCAAAAGCCACGTGAGTTTCACAAACTGTCTGATTTTAAAGTTTTACTGAAAACATCCGCTGAAATTACAAAAAATCTGAAATTTTTGAGTTCAAAACATCACATCATGTCAGCCCAATGAAAATTGGCAATCGGTGAGAGTAAATAAGACTTAGAGAAAAATAGATCAAAGGTACATTAAAAATTTGTGGGTCTGAAAATCCATAATTTCTGAAATTGCGGTTGCTAAACATATTTTGTTTCGAAAAAAATTGAGGATGACTTTTAGTCGCTTGGCACAGTGAAAGTTCAAGAATCAATTCCTAAAAATCAATCAAAAGCCTATTTCTAAATTTCACAAATCATAGACCCACAAATGTAAATCGCTGTAGATCACGCACGATTTCAATATCTTTTCGTCTCTTTCACTCTCACCGATTGCTGTTTGACATGTTGTGACATAGAAATGTCAGAATTTTCATCGGTAGGATGAATTTTTGACCACATAACGAATTTTTTTCGAGATGCAAAATTTTCGCGCCAAAAATCCGTTTCTGATTTTTTTGAAATTCGGGAAATTTTGCCACGTGGATTTGAAAAAAAGTTGAATTCAAAAAAATAATGATTTTTGGCGCGAAGATTCAAAAATGTGTGCCACGTGGTTTTTCAAGTTGCAAAAACTGTTTCTGAAAAACATCTGCTGCTTCTAGATTATCATAGAAATGTCAGAATAATTTTTTGAACACATCTAGAAAATTTCAGATGCCTGAAAATCTTCTCGTCTCCGCTTCTTACGATCAAACAATCAAAATCTGGAACATCGCCGATGGAAGAATGGAAGCAACAATTCAACATAATGAAGGACAAGTAAATGCGTTGAGCTTGACAACAAACGGAAGAGATTTAGCGTTAGGAGCATGGCAGAAAGTGAGAATATATGATGTTTCGATGTCCAAAGATCCGAAAGCTACAATCGATTTGCCGAAAAATGTGACTGTTGTTGGATTTGAGGTTTATAAATATCTGAATTGAAAATATATTTATCTAAAGTTTTTTTTTAGATTAGTGGCAGATGGATGTATACAGGAGGAGATGACGGTGCTTGTAGAATTTGGGAAATGAGAAGTAATCAATTGGTGGCAAATAGAACGTTGTCTGTGAGTATTTAACCCAGATTACTCTTTCCAAATCAAAAAAACTTATAGTTTACTCCTGCACAAGTTACAAGTATGGTTCCACACGTCAATCAAACTGAAATGTTCATTTCAACAAATGCTGGACAAGTTATTGTTTGGGATGTGACAAGTAATGAGACACATCAATTACCAATGCCCGAAAAATTGGGACTATTGGAAAGTGTTCAGAAATTGAGTGTTCGACCCGATGGAAAACGGTTGTCTGGAATAACAAATCGGGGGAGATTGTTGTGTTGGGATGTGAAAACGAGGCAAATTGATCCGGTTCCAAATAATCGATTTGATAATATTATTCAAAATGATAAATGGTATGGAACACTAATCAATAAAGATAACGAGGATTGTCGATTGAATAATGGCTATGGATTATCATGCAGGTAAGATAATTATAGTGATTAGATTTTGCAAATCAAAAAAAAATCAAATAGATACTCATCGGATGGTTCTCACATTGTTGCATCCAGTTCCGGACCAGACATTCATGTTTTCAACGCGGAAACTTTGAGACAAGTTGCAACTTTGAGAACGGATTGCGAATGGAATTGGGATGCGATTTTTTCGCCAGACGGAAAACATATATTTAGTGGTGGAAGTGATGCGAAAATTAAAGTGTGGGAAACTGCGACTGCTTCGAGAGTTACACATTATGAAGGGCATGTTAAACCGATCACAGCAATGTGCATCAATAATCCACCACCCAATTGAATTTTGTTTTTTCTTCGTTTAGTTGAATAGGCACCAAAGTATTGATTAGTTTTTTTTAAAACATTCTATATACGTCAAATTACAAATCTCATGTATGTAAATAAATATCGTTTGAATTCATAAATTAGTTTAAAATCGGTTTCAGAGAAAAAGGTCTTATTTTTAGTTTCAGCACAAGTTTTTAAAATCACTCGAGTTCAATCAAAAGGAAACAGTAAAATTCTTCTCGTGTTCGCAAATGCGCTCTAGCGAATTGCGGATACAGTTGTTCGTTGCGAGACCCGTTCATTTGGTAATTTACAAATCTTAGGCCAAACTTTTTCTTTTTTTTTTGCGCGTGAAAAAGTACTGTTGTTTTGTTTGTGTGCAGCCGTTTGTGCAAACACCGACATTCATTCATTTTCTAGCGTCCGCCCGTATTCGAATATTCTGAAAGCTCTTTTTGAACCTCGCCCGTTTAGATTTACAAAATTATTAATTTTCCAGAAACCAATCGCTCCATCTTGAAAAATGGACGACATGTTTGTTGTTCCGATCAGTGAGTTCGACAGAGAAAGACTGTTGCCTTTCGCAAGAAGTCGACCTGCACCAGAAGAGCCGTTTAATTTTCGAAAATCGGGAACAAGTGAGTTGATAATAATTCAACTTTCACAATTGTAATGATAAATTGTTATTTTAGGGCTGACAGCGTCGAAGAAGATTCTCGACAAGGCAATGCAAGACTTCAAAGATCTGAATGACACGGCGAGGGAAGAAGAGATCGAAGCGTCTTTGTTCGCCTTCTCTCGAAATTATCGATTGAATCAAACCGTTCAAGACGAAACATTTGAAGACGAACTAGGTGCGAGCTTCATTAAAGCCATGGATGAAGGAAGGGACAGAGTGCTGGCGAAGATCGATAGAGGAGATTATTTTCCGGATTGTGGGAGTAGTGGAAGTCGTGGAAATCAGATTCCAACCCAATCGAAACAACATATTGGACCATTATTCTCAATGGTATGTTTTTTTTTAACATTGATTTATCTAATTCAAGAAAAATTTATTACAGCGTTCAATCGATCTTCCGCAATCATCAGGAACTGATAAAAACAAGAAGCAATCAGCGCCAAAAAATATTCCAGTTGTATCGAAATCTATCAGGCAATCTTCGAACAGCAAGAATTATGGAATGAATTCGGCCAACTCCACGATCTCGATCATAAGTTCTAAATCAAAAATTCCTGCAACAATAAGAACGAAATCACCAGCAATCAACTCGCTGAAAATTTCAACAAAAGCATCTTCAAAGAATGTAAATAAGGTATCGGCGGTTGTCCCAAATAAGCCTACAAAGCCAAAGGTTGGTAGACCTTCGAAGATGTCTTCTACAAAAACAACAGCGGAAGATTCATCGTCGATGAAGTCACCTTCATCTTCAAGTGTCAACCAGGATCGCCCACGAAGATATAAAAAACGAGCTTCAACGAAGGCAATTGACTATTCCGATGACCGTAATTGTGCTGCAACAAAATATGGAATCTCAAAAGCTCAGAAACTGTCGACCCGTTCTTCTTCTTCAGGCAAACAAAAAGTTGAAAACAAAACATCTGGAAATTCAACTTCACCAAGAAATGTCCCTTTGTTATCTTCCAAGAATTCGCCGTCATTTTTCAACAAGAGGTATGGAAGGAGATCAACAGCCGCCCGCGTGAACTATTCCGAAGCGCGGAACCAATAGTAGCCGGCGGGTCGATAAATTATTCCAAAATCATGTTAAATATTGTCAATTTGTAAATGTCGAATCATGTCACATTTTAATCGTAGATTTTTTATTGTTTCCTCAATGAACTTTTTTTGTGTGACAAATAGGTACCAGTTTTTTTTCGTATTTCCTTTTCTCCTGTTTCAATGTTCATTTCTCTATAAATCAATTTGCCTTTAGTCATATTTATTTGTATCTATGTTTGTCAGGTCGTCTCCCTATTTGCCGTGCTATTTTTCAAACTGTTGTTTATTATGCGATGCAGAGACAGTTTGTCTTTTTCTCCCTTTTTCTATTTTTTTTCTGTGGCTTTTGACTCGCTTCTTTTTTGAGAATTTGCCTCCAATATTTCAAACATTCGTGGAATATTTTTTTTTGAAATTGATTTTTCATCAATTTTGAAAGATCTTTCGAAATTTTCGCATATTTGTCATATGGCCGAACATTTTCTAGTCCGCACAGAAAATATTTATTATTTCTTCATTTTCAGATAGCCGAAAAATGTTCGCCCGAAAGGGCAAATCATCAGATATTCAAGCGAGTATAACTCGTTTCACTGATTTAACTCGTGACGCAGTCAGTCGTGTAAAACATCTCAAAATTCTTCTCGACACATTGACCACAAATGTAAGCTGATCACAAATCGAATAAGCTTCCTAATGAAGTTTGTTTTTTTTTTAGGAAAAACGACAATTTCTCGATGAGCACAGTTTTGAGACATTCCATTTGGTTGATGAATTATTGATGGTCAACGATGCTAGTAATCAGGTTTGGATCTTGATTTTATAGTAAATCATATGAATACAAGTATTTCAGATAGACACAGCGATTGAAGCTGAAAGTGGATTATGGACATTGGAACAAGTCCTATGCTTGGCACCTGAATTAGTTGGAAGTGGATGGCAGCGGCATGCAATCGAATCGCTTCTCAAAAAAGCGTTTCATCCAACAAATCATATGGCTGTGAGGAAAATCGCAATGCGATTGTTTTTGACGTTTTATCAGTGTTTGGGAGTTTATGGCAAGGTTAGTTAGCTCGCTAATTTTTGAATTTGAGTTTTTTTTATCGAAAAATTTAATCATATTCGATTTCAGGCAACTCCTGACCTTGATCGTGTATTTCAATCGATTCTCCCATTTTTCCCACTCAAAAGTGGTTTGAGTACAGATGATGTGCTTTTGGAGTATTGTCTTTCGTCTGGAACTGGAGACTGGTGCGAGAAATTGCGAATCGGACAATTCAGAAAAAGTGTCTCGGCAAACCTATCAACCAAAGAAAAAGCACAAACATTGCAGTTGTATTTGGATAAGTTTTTGGAATATTGTACAAGAGAAACGGGGAGAATTGAATGGAATGATGATTCGAAACGATTGGAGTGTGCGAAATTTCTCATTGATAGGTTGGTTTTCATGATTTTTGCAAAAAAATCTGAATTAGAATTCGAAGCATGTTTTCCTTTAGAATCATCAAACTGTACATGAGCGAATGTTTCGAAGAACTCGAATCAAATGGAGTTGATGTCTTTGGTGGTTGGGAAGGTGCAGAAGAGCAGGGAAAACTTCTTGACACAGCAGATCCGGTGGTTATTGCAAGATATTGGTTGATTCGCTGGATCAATAATATCGCATCTGCTACACATCAATCTTCAAATTCTTCACAATCTACACAAACATCATTACTGTTATATCGACAAGCTTTGTTCTCATCTCAAAAGGCAACAAATGTCGCATTGACTTTAATGCGTGAAGCAATGACACTTCCAATCGCATGTAGCAGTGTTACTCATAAAGTTGTGAATGTTCTTGCCACGTGGCTTCTTCAATACGAAATTCCACCATTTGTGCAATCTGGTGAAGTGTCAATCGAGAGAAGTTCTTTGCTATTGTCGAATATGATGCTCAGCTTTTTTCATTCGCCATATTTGAAACAATCGGGAGAGAAGTTGAATTCCGCGGTTTCCATATCCTTCTCAATTTTACAATCATGCAAACAACTTGTTGCGCATCGAATTCAACTTCCAAAACCGTTGCCACAAAAGTTTTGGTCAGAATTGATGTTGGGTCTTTGCAATTGTGGAGTTAGAATATGTTCGCAAAATGACTCGTTTTCTCAACAAGTTTCTCCGGCTTTCACATCTACAATTATTTCAAATGTTGTTATTATTAAGGTACGGATTTTATTCATTAAACTTATAATTATTGAAAGTTTAAGGCTGTTCGACGCATCGAAATTGAGGACGATATTTGGGATGATGTTCACGATTTTATGAAAAAAGGAGTTTGGATTTCAATGGCTGAACAATGGTCAACGGTTTGTAAACTACAAAAAAAGCTTTTTTAGCATTAAAAAAACCAAAAATGTGATCCACTAACGGTAGTTTTATTCATTTTCACCATTTTCTCAACACATTCGCAGCTGAACAAAGTTGAAGCTGAAACGCATTTTAGTATCCAGAAATGCTATTTCAAGACATTCTAGCTTGATTTGTCCTTTCGGCTGATTAGAAGGTCTTGAAATAGCATTTCTGGACGCGTTTTAGCTTCACTTTATTCAGCTGGGGAATGTGTGGAGCAAATTGTGGAAAAATGAATGAAAATACCGTTCGTGAATCACATTTTTGATTTTTTTTAAACGTTCGTGAATCACTGCACTATATCTAAAGTCATTTTCATTCCAGATAGTCAACAGTGTTACTCGTGCATTAATTCTGCATCTCGCACACGTCGATCTATTCTCCCGAGAAGAATCGATGAGAAAAGCCACAGAAACCCAACGAATTTCGGCGATTCGCAGGCAAGCCGAGTCATCGGGCGGTGCTATTATGCTAGAGGAAACCAGGAAAGAAACAATTGATGCTGGAGATAGTTTGAATTCAACTGAAGATAATGTATTTCATGATACAGATGATATTACAACCGCGGTTACTGTAAGTGAAACAAAAAATGATTTTTTAAATATTTTTATAAATTGTTTTCAGTCATGGTCTGGCGATAAATTAGCGTGGCTTCAAACTTGGCGACGTGTTATTAGTTTGGTTGATCCGTATACAACAAATTCAAATGCGAACGTGGCAATTGATTGTTTATCAAATACAATTTGCAATTTATTATCCGTAAATCTTCACCCGCTTGCTCATTGGATTGCCTGTCGTTTGGTTACAGTTCCACACTCATTATTATCTCGATGTGTTCCAGCGTTATCAGCGATTTTGAAAGATTCAACAATTCGCCAACCATCTCCCCTACTTTCCGCAAATATATTATTATGTTTCATTCGATTGATGCAATCAAAAGATCAATTGGTGGTTCCAGCAATTTGTGGATTATCAGCCAAAGAATTATCGATTGTTTCACCAAGAGCACTGGAACATCTTCCAAAAATGTTGAGTGCTGCAAAAGCATCGAAAGATGCCAAGGTTTCGGCGAACTCTTTGAAATTGTTTTCAATGCTTGCTTCTTCGTATCCTGGTGCGGAAGATGTTCTACTCGATCAATTGAATTTGACAGATGTTTCGGAAAATGCGGTTGTTATTGTGAACACGTTAGCAATTCTAATTGTTCAGCGAGCACAAATTGATCTGGTTCTCACAACTATGAAAACAATTGAAGCACATCAATTCGCAATGCGACTTATACCATTATTTTGCTCTTCGATCGCGTCGTTGGCTCGATTTAGTAATTCTGGATTATTGCAAGCATTGCTCAGAGCAGCAAGTCTTCTTCGAGATGAAAGAAATCGAACTGAAGTTGAATGGCAGATGGTTAAATTGTGTATGCAATCGAATCAACAACAATATCCATTGGTTGTTCGTGGAATTCTTGCTGATAAACAATCGGTTTTACAAGGAGAATTGATTACGATGGCTGGACAATATCCGTTGAAAGGATTTGAAGTTTCAAGATGGAATTCGGTGGAAACTACACCGAAGATACCAGCACTTAATGATGTCAATGATAAAACAGTTTTTATCAATCGAAATAGTTCGATTGTGAGCATCTCCCGAAAATCTGATGTAACCTGTCGAACTGTTGTTGGAAGACATGTTTGGGAACTTGACACATTTGATGAACCAAGAAAACCCGCGCAAAATGCGACAAATTGGCTGAAAAAAGAGGCGGCTAAGGGAAAGAAACCAGGAAGAGAATCGCAGGGAATACTCGGAGCGATGGATGATCCATTCGATGAATTGCCAGAAACACGGCCGAGTTCGGGTTATTCGGATACAACAACATCGCCGATTGAGGGAAGTGCACAGTTTGCGGCGATGATTGAGACGAGTCGCAGGCAGCCGCAGCCGATTGGGAATTGTTTGCAACATGAAGTTCCTGGATTTGTTCCGAATACTAGGTTTGTTTTATTATTATTTTTTGAATGGCCTCGGCCTAGATTCAACTCTAGATTGTCCGAATCAGGCCTGTACCGGAAATTTTCCGGTTTTTTTTAAGGAAAAATCAATTTTCCGGTTTTCCGGTAAATGTGAGAAAATATTTTCAATATTGCCTAAATTTTGGGAAATTTTCTAAGTTTATGATTAAAAAAAATTTTTTTTGGAATTTTTTATAAAATTATTCGAATTTTACTATTTTTTGAATGTAAAATGTCTCAAATAGTTACTAAATTACCTGTGAATAGAAGAATTGTAGATAAAAATAAGTTTTAGTTCCAACTTAAAGCTGAAAATCGAAATTTCAGACCTTGAAAAATTTTCCGGATTTTCCGGTTCAAAAAATCTGGTTTTGGACCTCTGGGGCGAAATCCACAACAAAAGTGGTCTACCAAAAATTGCTGAACAAAATTTTTTGGTACACCAAATTTTTCTTCAGTAATTTTTGATAGACCACTTTTGTGAATTCGGCTCCTGAACCGATTTTTTCCATTTCAAAATTCCCACCAACATAAATACCTCAAAAAATTTGCAGACTTCTCGAATGGCGTTCACTTTCCGCATCACTTGGCTTTGTTCCAACAGTTTCGCATGTTCATCCGAATTTCCAACGTGATCTCAAACATCTCGATCAAACTTCTTCTCGTGAAGTACACAAAGTCGCCGTGATTTATGTCGCTGAAAATCAGGAGGATCGAACAACGATTCTGTCGAATAACCAAGCATCGGAGGATTTTGACGAGTTTGCCGGTGAACTTGGTTGGGAAGTTCGAATCGGAAAAGGGCACGAAGGATATGGTGGAGGATTGCCGGTTGAATCGCGTGCACCCTATTATTCGGACGCCGAAACTGAAGTCATATTTCATGTGAGTAGTTGGTTGAATGGAGATGTTCAACACAAATGGAAACATATTGGAAATGATGAGGTTCATGTTGTGTGGACGGAGAATTCTCGAAAAACCTATACACGCGAAACAATTGCGACGAAATTTTGCGATGTTTTGATTGTTTTGGAGAATGTTGGTGATAAAATGGTGCGAGTTCGAGTTGACACGTCATCGAGTTTGGAATTTGGACCACTTTTTGATGGAGCACTCGTTTCACAATCCGAATTGGCGAATTTAGTGAGATCAACTGTGGTGAGTGGTCTTACAAGGGACTTACATTAGGGTGATAACGGGTTTTGAAATAAGGCAAGTACATTCTTATGTAAGTCGCCGCGTTGATCACGATGCCGCAAAAATTAGCCGCTGAGCTCCATTTTGAGCCGCGCAAATGAGCTGCGAAGCGAAAATTCACGAAATTTTTTTCACGTTTCTTTGGAAATTAAAGCAATTTTTCACGTGAAAGTTTCTGACTCAAACATTTTTGGTGTCAACTTTTCGATGGTCCCAAAATCGACTTCAAACACCAATTTTCGAAAAAATATCTATTCTACCCAAAACTTACTTATTTCATATGAAAATTGAGATTTTCTGAGCAAACTTTGGAGCTCAGCAGCTAATTTTCGCGGGATCGTAATCAGCGCGTCGATTTACCTAATACTGCGCTTATCTCATTTCAAAACCCGTTCACCCTTATCGAAGTCCCTTAATATCTTTTTTTCTTCAAAATTACAATTTTCTCCAGATAAATGCTTCACGTGCATATCGATTAGCTCGAATCGAACATTCCCGTCCACTTCGACATCGCGAAGAAGTATTTTATAACGAAGCGGTTGCTCATATGAAACCAATGAGTTTGGCACATTCAATTAATCATCTTTATGTACCAACTATTTAGGGGGTTTAATATATTTGGGTAGGTATTAAAGTTGCACAATATTCTATAATGCTTTATATATGTGATTTTGCGAAAAATTTGTGATATTTATACTCATTGTGAATATTTTTATTTATTTATTGATTTTCCATAAATGTTTTATTCTTATTTTAAGATTTCTCGATTTTTTGTGTCGTTTTTACCGATTTTAATACATTTTAACACTAAATAAAGAATATTCTAACAAAAAATCCATTCCAGATGAATATTTTACACCACAAATCATGGCATGTTCGCACCAAAGCGAATATGCAAAGAGTTCGGCGAGATGAGGCGAAAGCGGCCGAAGAAGAGCAACGAATTTTGGATCGACAAATTCAGGCGGAAAATGAGCGAAGAATTGGTGTTTTGAGACAACGAGCCGAGCAAAAAGTGAATAGTTTATTTGGAGAATCGAGTAGTGAAGCGGCTGGAACATCATCGAGAGATGTTTGTATTTCGGATGAAACTGGACATGTTAATTTATTCCAAGTGAGATTTTGAGAAAATTTGGGAGAGGGAGATGAAACTAGAGGAAAATCCGGAAAATGATCTTTAGTAGTAATATTTTCAAAATTGCCTAAATTTTGGGAAATTTTTTCAGTTTATGATAGAAAAAATGAAATTTTTGGAATGTTTTTTTCAATTGTTCAAATTTTACTATTTTTTGAATGTAAAATGTCTAAAATAGTTACTAAATTACCTGTGAATAGAAGAATTGTAGATAAAAATAAGTTTTAGTGCCAACTTAAAGCTGAAAATCGAAATTTCAGACTTTGAAAAATTTTCCGAATTTTCGGAGTACCAGAAAAAGTGTCTAAACCAAAAAAATTCAAAATTATGAATTTTTCATTTGGAATTTGTTTATCTAAAGATCATTTAGTAACTATTTTGTTCAGAGCTTCAAAAAACATTCAGAAAATTTTTTTCCTTGAAAATTGAGCGATTCTGAAGATATCATAACTAAAAAGATTTTTCAAAAAGACACCGAAAAGTTTAATATGAGATTTTCCGAAATTAAAATTTTGACAGCAAAAAGTTTAATATGAGCAATGCCCTGATTTTTCAAAAAAAAACCTTCATAATTTCAGGATCTCGAACGAGAAGAGCGCAAAAATCTAGGAACCGGCAATAAAGAATATGAAGAAGAGAAAGCGAAGGAGAAACGAGAATGGGAGTCGAAAATGGGAATTCAAGTGTATTTTGCTGAAAATACGAATGATTTGGATAAGAAAAAAGAATGGTATGAAACTATGCCAATGAGAAAAGCACCGGATAAACAAAAAACAAAGAAATATGATGAGGATTCATTTGCGGATCGGAGAATTGAGAAGAGGAAACGAGAGGATTCAGATTCTGAAGTTGAGAAAAAGAAGAAGAAGAAAAAGCATAAGAAAGAGAAGAAGAAAAAGAAGAAACATCGGAAACATCGAGATTCTTCTGAAGAACGAGAAATTGAAAAAGAATATGAAAAAGAAAAACGGAAACGATTGGAAATATTAAGAGATGAAAGATTGAAGAGAGAAAGAATGGAATCGGCAAGAACTTATGCACTTTTACATCCAGAAGAGATTAAGAGGGAAGAACAATCGAAACGGCCAAAATATAATTCACAGTTTAATCCTGAACTTGCAAGGCGATAAAGAATTCTTGAATATTTTTGATATGTTTTTTCAATTCGTTTTTCTTTCGATTTTTGATATTTAACGAAATCTTGCCCCATCTAACAAAAATTGTATTTTATCTAGAAATGCCTATAACTTATCCGCGAAAAATTTGGATTGTTCGACATGCTGAGCGAGAAGATAATATAAATAAGAATTGGAGAAGATTGGAAGAAGCTGAAGATTTGGCTCGCGATAATTCAATGTTATCGGAAAGAGGAAGACAGCAAGCGAAAGAATGTCAGCAGAGGTTCAAAAATGCGCAGATTGATCATTGTTTTGCATCGCCGTTTGATCGGACAATTGAAACTGCTTCAACTATTGTGGAGGGGAAAGGATTGAAAGTTAAGGTAAGTATAAAAAATTTTTTCAAAAATTACAATTTACCTCCGAAAAGTTTAACATGAGCAATGCCCTCTTTTTTCAAAAATTAAAAATTTGGTGCCGAAAAATTTAATATGAGCAATGCTCTGATTTTTCAAAGTTAAGGTTTTGACACCAAAAAGTTTAATATGAGCAATACCCTGATTTTTCAAAATATACAATTTGCCGCCGAAAAGTTTAATATGAGCAATGTTCTAGTATTTTTGTGTCTGAATATTTTGTCTCCAGAAAACTCTCATCTCTCACAAAATCTAGGCTTATCCGGGCTCAAAAAATCTCAAATTTTCTAGACATTGCTCATGTTAAACTTATCCGTTCAGAGCGATATTTAGGCCCGAAATCTAGGCCGAATTCAGGCTCAAAAAATTCCAGACCCAACTCTCTAGTAAGATAAGAGCCTCATATATTTTTTCATTTCCAAAAAGCCCACCTTTGTCAATATCGCTTCATTTTTTTAAATTGATTTTTGAAGGAATAGACAAAATAATCAAATAAATAGGAAATTCACCGTTTTCTTGCCAGATTCAGAAAAAAAATGAGCGGCATAAAAAATTAATCTAGACCACGTAGTTTAAAATTAGTCCACGTCATTTCGAAACAATTTTTAATTTCAAAAATCATTTTTTCCAGGCTGAAGGTGGATTATGCGAAGCTCTTTATCTATGCGAACAACCACCGGGTTTCTGGGAAACTGCAGAACTCGCCGAAAAATTTCCACTCGTCGACACCGCCTATTTCCCCGAATTCTCCAAATTCACACTTCCACGCGAAGGATGCGGCGATGATGCGTGCGTTTCGCGAGTTCGACAAACTCTCAAAAAACTGTTTGAAAGACACGAGGGCAATTTATTGTTGGTCGGACACGGCGCGTCGATTGGAGCTTGTCACGAGGTTTTGATGGGCGAATTCAAATATGTCGGACAGGCGACTGTTTCGGAATTCGAGGAAACCGCGCCGAATTGTTATCGACATAAGTATAGTTCGGATGCTTCACATTTATCAGACAAGAAAAATTTGAGACCGTGGTGAATTTTACTTACTGTTAGTGTAGTTTAATAAATAATCGTTGAAAACTGAGTTAAATAAATTGAAAAATGAACATGAAAAATTACGTCGCGTGCGGCTGTGCGTCGCGGTCGCCAAACAACCGCGACGCATAGCCGCATGCGACGTAAGTTTTTTTTTTCAAAATTTCGAAAACTTATAAAGAATGCAGAAACACTTGTCAACAACAAATTTCCAAAAAATTAACTGAAAGTGAAAAAAGTAATAGGCTTTTTTCTTTCTTACCGCATAAAAATCATTTTTCAATAAAATTTTGGGTGAAAAATCGGACAAAGCCAAAAATTACTCAAAACGAAGTGAAGAAAAGTGATTTTCATTGCAATTGATGAATAAAATTGTCTTTTGGGAAAGTCTGACAAAAATTAATAATTCATTCCAAAAATAAAAAAAAGCCCAAAAAATAAATATAAAAATAATTCAAGATGGTACAAGAATCTGTACAGAAAAGTGTCCAGGAAGACATTCGACAATCAATTGAAATCGTCGAAAATGATATGAAAAGAACAATCGATGTTCATCGCTATCAAATTCAAAGTCATCAACAAGAAGTCGGAGAAATTCTTCAACTGGTTTCCAAAATTCATAATCAATCCATTTATTATTTATTATAAGATCTTGTTTTTCGCCGTCTTCGATATAATTTTCAAGAACACTCAGAAGTGTCATCCCGTCATAATTCGGTTTGCTCCAATCATCAATTCTCAAACAAGTTCCTCGAAATTCGAGAATTGTAGTCTCATCTACATCCGTATGTCCCTTTACATGCAAAACCGCAGCGCGTCGCAACTGAAATCAAACAATTTTTTGATTTTTCCCTGCGAAAATATTATTTTCTTACATGCTCAAGATGTTTGATGTGAACCATTTCTTGTTTCGCCGATATTTGAATTCCATAAATTCCCGGTCTGAATTGTGAAATCCACCAGGCTACCAATCCATTTTCTTCCGTTTCGAAATGTCCATTTATCCATATTTTATTAGCCACAATTAATGGAACAATACTGCCTTTTTTACACTGCAAAAAATTAATAGAAGTCTGAAAATTTCAAAAAAATTCGAATCCCGCCGCAAAATAGGGCGGGATAGTTCAGTGGCAGTGGTGGCTGCTAGCAATCTTAGGGTCACGAGTATAGTTGGACAACGACTCAAGTCGACTCAAGTCGACTCGGAGTCGATAAGACAGCTGTTTTCGACTCGACTAACGACTCGAGTCGTTTAGTCGAAAAGGTGAGTCAATTAGAAAATGACTCGAGTCGAGTCGAATGGTTTTTTTCGACTCGACTCGACTCCGATGGTCAATTTACTCATGGTGAGTAGGGGTTTTGTAATATGGTTAAGGTGTTGGCTTAGATGGTGAATATTGGATGGTGATTGGATGGTGATTGGTGGACATGGTGATAGTGCACCAATCACACCAATTGCGCCAATAATGGTAAATTGGTGTGATTGGTGCAGTTGGCGCAATTTTAACCATTGGTGGAATTTGTTGAATTGGTGGATGGTGGAATTGGCGAATGGTGGATGGTGGAATTCGCCAATTGGTGTGATTGGTATATTTGGTCATTGGTGCACCAATTGCGCCAATTGGTGAAATTGCACCAACTACACCAATTGGTGAAATTGCACCAACTACACCAATTGGTGAAATTGCACCAACTACACCAATTGGTGAAATTGCACCAACTACACCAATTGGTGAAATTGCACCAACTACACCAATTGGTGAAATTGCACCAACTACACCAATTGGTGAAATTGCACCAACTAAACCAATTGGTGAATTGCACCATTCGCCAATTCGACCATCCACCATTCGCCAATTCGACCATCCACCAATTCCACAATTGGTTAAAATTGCGCCAACTGCACCAATCACACCAATTTACCATTATTGGCGCAATTGGTGTGATTGGTGCACTATCACCATGTCCACCAATCACCATCCAATCACCATCCAATATTCACCATCTAAGCCAACACCTTAACCATATTACAAAACCCCTACTCACCATGAGTAAATTGACCATCGGAGTCGAGTCGAGTCGAAAAAAACCATTCGACTCGACTCGAGTCATTTTCTAATCGACTCACCTTTTCGACTAAACGACTCGAGTCGTTAGTCGAGTCGAAAGGTATTTTCCAAACGACTCGACTCCAAGTCGACTCGAGTCGACTCAAGTCGAGTCGTTGTCCAACTATAGTCACGAGTTCGATCCCCGGTGCGCGCTTCTAATTTTTGTTGGTGAGATTTTTACTCGTAGATTTTCAGCCCCAGATTTTTTATAAAATTTTAACTTTTTGGCGAGAAATTGTAATTCTTCGTGATTTTTCTTTGAGAAAAGATGAAACAGTGAAAATTTTCCATTAAAAATGCCTTTTCACTATCCAGAAGGTTTTGCTGATTTTTCGTAAAATAAAAACAATTTTAAATTTTGATGAGTTTCGAAAAAATGCATAAAATGAAGCAAAATAGGGTTCTCGAAGCTTATTTTCATCAGAAATTACTCCAGAAGCTTCAAAAATATTGTTATGTCATCATTTTTGACTGAAAAACTCGAAAAACTAATTTTGACCTACAATGTTTTTGACTTTTCGTGAATTGATCTTTTGATATTAAAAAAACTTTTTTTTTCGTTCATGAATCAGCCCTTTTCAATAGAGTTAAAACTCCGGTCTCAAATTTTCCCCCGATTTTCCCCCCAACTCACCGGTGCAATATAAACATGTAAAAATCGGACACCAGTCGACTGCTCGAAAAAATTAATAATCCAATCATGCGACGTATCAATACAACTTCCCTCTTTAATCGCAAGATCTCCAAAACTTCTATCATTTACTCCATGAAATATTCGAGATTTATTATTCGATTCGTCTTGAAATGATATCCAATATTCGTATCTCGGTGTTAATTGAATACTAATATTGACGCTCTGCAGAAAACCGGGTTTTTGTTTGTTTTGAAAAAAAAGACGTTTTGAAGAACTAACCACTTTAACTTGGTCTAATCTTGGTTGATATCTTACTGATTCGATGAATTGTTTATGTGTTTCTTCTTCCTTTGTGCTGCAAAAAACGGTTTTTTATTTATTTAAAAAAAATTGAGAAAAAAACAAATTCAAACCACGCGCGCGCGCGTTGTCGTCAACGCGGAGTCTCGTTGTTTCCTTTTATTTTTTTTGCATTTTTTTTTTGAAAACGACAATTTTCATGGAAAAAAACAAATTTCTGGCCATGAAAAATGAAGTGAAAAAAAATCACAGGCCCCAATTCAAAACTCACATAACATATCTGGCCATATCATTCTTAATCGCTGATCGATGCGGTTCTGGGATTCTATCCAACCAATATCCTTCTTCCATTTTTTTGAGTTAGAGAAAGACTAACGAAGCGAAGAAGACTGATTTTTTTTCGAAAAAATCGATCTTGTGAACATCGCACAGTTTTGAGTTTGGCGGGTAGATCAAAAATCAAAAAAAAAATTTTTCTCATTCCAAATAATTTTCTGATCATTTTTGAAATTTTTTCAAACCTGAAAACAAAGATTTTTTTGAAATTCGGAAAATTTTTGCTTTTTCCAGATTTCAAAAATGTTTCTGCTATATTATATTAAAGTGGGGTGACTCATATTAATGACTCATATTAGTTATTTTTCCGAAAATCAAAAATTTTCTCTATTTTCATTTTTCACCAAGATATTCTTGTTTTACATTGCATATTGCGGTCAAAAACTCAAAATACACAATTTTCATCGAAAAATCAGTTTTCATATGAAAATATTGAATTTTACTGGTTATCGATTTATTTTTTTCATACCCAGAAAAATAGTTTTTCCCATGCAAATTGCCATTTTCCGAAAAAAAAACGGGAAAAAACATTTTGCAAAAAAAATAAAAAGAAAACAACGAGACTCCGCGTTGACAGTAGCCCGCGTGGTTTGAATTTGTGTTTTTTCTTTTTTTTTTTTTGGGAGTTGTTTATTATTTTTATTTATTTATTATGTTTTTTGCAGTTTTTCTTCATTGAAATGTTCTGAATTTTTTCTCCCAACTAGAAAACAGTAAAACTGGGCTTTTTCAAAAAGAAAGTGCCTGTTAATCCAATTTTTCTCAAATTCCAAAGCGTTTCCCCCAAAACTTTTCAACATTCATATTTCTTGTTTGGACCTCATAAAGTAGTGCTCATCCGCCGCCGATTTCAAAAAAAAAAGAGTCCCTCCATCTTTTCTGCTCTCTCCCCTCATTTTTTGTCGATTCCTTTCAGACTCCTCCCACTTCTTTCTTCTTTTTTCATTTTTTCTTCTCGTTCAGCTTCTCCTTCTTCTTCTGCTTCTTTCTTTCTTTATTTTTCACACTATGTTGTATAACATGGTCCTTTCTTGCTTGCTCGTGAGCTCTCTGTGTCTTTGTGTCATCATCATCATGAATGGATGAATGATGTTGGGCTAACAAATTGCTGTTCCCAATTATTTTTCACTTTTTAATGAGAACTTTATTTGAAGCAGCATCATTTTTGTTACACACTAGTTATTTTTAGAATCGTTTTTTTTTCATGCGTTAGAGCGCATTTTCTTGTTTTGTGTGTTCGAAAAGTTTTCCATAGCCTCTTCTATTTCCTGCCTGCTCAATTCTTCACCCAATTGCATTTGTCGCCCCCTTAAAAGCGTGGGTGACACACATACACACAGAGAAAAAAATTGGGGGCACCGCAATTCAATTTTTCTCACAACTTGATTTCATAAGAGGGAAAAATGAAGTTTCAGTGCAAATAATTTAGTTGTGAAGTAGGGGAGCCTTGAGAGCCTGGTTGGCAAGAAGGCGCGCCTAGAGAGCCTAGCTGTAAAGGATCCGCGCCTAGAAATCAACTCTCGCAAGAATCCCCGCCTTGAGTTACTAGCCGTCAAGCAGCAGAGCCTAGAGAGCCTGGTTGGCAAGCAGCAGAGCCTACAGAGACTAGCTCTCTAGCAACAGAGCCTAGAGATCCTATCTGGCAAGCAGCTGAGCCTAGAGTTCCTAGCCGTCAAGCAGCAGAGCCTAGAGATTCTTGTTTTCAAGCAGTTGAGCCTAGAGATCCTAGCTGTCAAGCAGCCAAGCCTAGAGAGCCTAGCTGTATAGAAAAAGCGCCTAGAAAATCTAGCTCCCAAAACAAATTGGAACTTTTGAAGGGTATCGTCAACGCTGAGTATCGTTATCCCTCCTCATTTTTTGGTCCGCCCACGAAGCTCAAAATTTTTTTTCCAGGCTTGACAAAACAAACTCAACCAAAAAAGAAAAGATATTTCCGTTTCCGACACGTGGCTATAATCAAGCGTCGTCTGAAATGACGCGCGCTGGAGGAGGAGCTGCTGAAGATGCTGATAATGATTCTCCAAGTAGCAGTGGTGCAACACCAGCTGCTCAACAATCCTCGCCACCGCCACCAGATTATTCAACGGCCGCAACTTTGAGATCAACACCATCACAAATGTCAGCAGCGATTACGGTGGATTTGGTGATCGCTGCGCAGGTAATTTTGAGGTTTCCAAATTTCTAGATCTACAAGAATATAGCCTAACTAAAATGTTTGAAACTGAAATTCTAGCATTGCTCAGACTAAAATCAAACTGTGGAGTTCCTCTCTATTTAACATGAGCAATATCCAACAAAAATTGACCATTGCTCATGTTAAAATCATAGCCCTTTTCAACATATGGTTCTTCTCAGCATTTTATGAGTCATGAAAATAAAAAGCTTTGCTCTTTTGCTCTCTTACCGTACTCATTTCAATTTCGATTCAGAAAATTTATGTGTTCTAATTTCCGGAAAAGCGAAATTTAATGTGATTGTTTCCGTCAAGTTGAGTATTCTGAATTGGTGGGAAAAAAAAACAAAATTGAATTTTTTTCAGAGGGAAGCCAATTTTCTTCGAATGATTGATCGGAAGGCGCCGCTACTGTATGAACCAGATGTTGTGAATCAGGCGATTCGGAGATATGAGACTTATTGGCTTCCGATGCAGGTAAATTTGAAACCCCAGTGTGCAATAGAGCGCACCTGCATAAAGTGAAAAATATTTTTTGTGATCTACCCCAAAATATGTTGTTCCAGGCTGCTCATCCAGATTTGAATGTGATTCCACCGCTAGATGTCCACTGGATTTGGCACACTCATATGCTGAGCCCAATTCATTATCAGGAGGTGAGTCTGGGGTATCCTGGAATGCTTAGATCTCCTATATTTCTCAGATCTATTAGAGCTCCTAGAACTTCTGGAGCTCCTAGAATTTCTGAACTTCTAGACCTCCTGCAACTCCTGGAACTTCTGGAATTTAAGATCTTGTAGATTTCTCAGATCTATTAGAGCTCCCAAAAGTCCAAGAATTCCTGAACTTCTAGAATTCCTAGATCTTGTAGATTTCTCAGATCCTTTAGACCTCCTAAAACTCCAAGAATTCCTGAACTTCTAGAACTCCTAGATCTCCTAAAAATCCTAGAGCTTCGAGAGCTCCTGAATTCCTAGAATTCCTGGATCTTCTAGATTTCCCAGATGAACTTCTAAAACTCCTAGAAATTCTGGAACTTATAAAACATTCAGAGCTTCTAAGTCTTCTGAAACTCATAGAGCTCCCATAACTTTTGAAGATCCTAGATTTTCCAGATCTCCTAGAAATCCTAGAGCTTTGAGAGCTCCTGAATTCCTAGAACTTCTAAAATCCTAGATCTCATAGAGCTTCTAGAACTCCTGGATCTTTTCCAGAGAATCATATAAAAAATATCCAACTTTATTCGTTTCCTGTTTCTCTCTCTCTCTTTCATTTTTTTCTGTTTCCCGGACATATGATACTTTGAATGTTTCGTCGTATTCACATTCCATTCCATCATCTACAAACTTTTGTTCTTCAAATTCGAGTAACAAAAAAAATGAAAGAAAGAAAAAATGCTGTGAAAAACGGGGGTTCGCTCGCTCGCTCTCTAAATTCTCGCTCGTAACATATTCAGTGAGGCATCGGTAATTTTGTTTTCGGCGGCGCTGTGTGGACCGACGTTTTTTTTGGCCAAGACGGCGACGAAAAAAGAAAGAAAACGATTAGAGATGACACTTGAGTTTGTTTTTGGCTTAGGCTTCTTCTGGAAGAAAAAACGAAAAAAAAATATAGGGACCACAAAACAACTTGTTGTTATTTATTTATTTATGTGAGAGGATAAAGTAATGGACACAATTTGATTGATGTTTGGGAGAAGAACTGCAAGAGTCTGAAATTTGTCTGAAAATAAAAATTGCCAGGTTCCATCAAAAATGCACCATTCTTTTTTCGTTTCATATATCAAACATTTGCGGGCTAAAAAAAAGAGGTGCGCGTGGCCAAGTGGTGAACATGCACGTCTTTTAAATTTTAGGTCGCGGGTTCGATCCTGCTCCGAGGCAAACTTTTTTTCTTTTTTTCCTCAATTTCGCTGCTCAAAATGACCATAACCAAAGTGAAAATATCTAGGAAATATACTAGTTTTTGGCAACATTTGTTGCCTTGCACACAAATCCCCCTGAGGCAATGTCCTTTTTTCGCTCACTCGCCCCCTCGATTCTTGTTTATATTTACATCACTCTGAAAAAGAAGGGGGACTATATAGCCATATATAAATTTGGTTAATTTCAGGATTGCGAAAAATTGTGCGGCAAAGTTATCGACCACAAATTGTTGTCGTCGGATGAGATTCAGAAGCGGTGAGGGGGCAACAATCATTTCAAAAAAAAAAAAAAAAAGAAATCAACAATTTCAGATATGAGAGCAGTGTTCGCGCTTGGGACACCTTCTGCTCACCGGAACCATATGATTTTCTAGCAAGCCCGGCACCAACTTCCAACTACAAAACCAAATGCGATTACGATATTTGTGGAGCAGTACAACGGCAAAGAAACTTTAACTATCAGGTACTCAAATACATCAATCATTTTGATTGCCTTCTGTTGTCCGTCTGTCGTTTTTGTTGCCTCCCTCAAGTGTCAATCGTTCGATTATCGCCTGAGAAAAAATAGATTTGTTGAGGAAATCGATTTCATGGGAAAAAAACAGATTCAGAAAAAATTTATCTGAAAATGTGTAAAAGCCATCAAATTTTTGAAAAACAATTCTGGATTTTGACCTTGAAAACCTCATGATCTACAATATTTGAAGTCACTGATGTTTTGAATATTATCGAAAATCTCACGCGCTCTACCGAAATAAACACGCAACACAGACCACGTCGCGCCACAACACACAAATAAGGGAACAATTCAAATTCCCTCCCTTTTTTGTATGTGTTGTGGCGCGACGCGGTCTGCGTTGCGTGTTTATTTCGGTGGAAACACGCGCGGTCCCGATGAGATTTTCGATAATAGAATCTGATTGTCAAGATTGATTATTTTCCAGGTCTCCCTACCACATTATACATCAGCAAAATTCCTCTCGGACGCCGTCAAAAGATACATCCAATTCCTTCTCCTCAAACAAACCTATTCGGATCAATTCCTAACTCCTTGCTATGATTTCGATATCATTTGGCATACTCATCAGGTTTGTGTTGTTTTAAGTAGAACATCAAAAAACATATATAAAAAGTGCTGCAACTGTCAAAAACATGTCAACCGAACTAATTTGAGAGCAAGCAGTTGGAGCAAAAAAGCCTCATATTTTATATACATAGAAATTGTTCTTTGAAGGTTCATCCATCGAGTTATCTTCGAGATTGTACTGCGATTTTTGGATCATTGTTGAAACACGATGATACGGTGAATGATCGAACGAAGGGAAGTAAATTGTTGAAAGGGGAAGCGTTGACAAAGAAGTTATGGACAACACATTTTGAGGAACCGTTTTGGAGAAGAGGTTGCATGTTTAGGTTGGTCACTAGAATTTGAAAAAAAAATCTTTGCCCCAGAGCGGGATTGAACCAGTGACCTAAAAATTGTAAGGCGAGCGTGTTAACCACTCCACCACCCGCGCTTCTGTTTTTCTAGCCCACAAATGTGTGATATATGAAAGCGGATTCGAGATCAGCAGGTTCGAACGTGTACCTTCTCTTGTTAATCTTTTTCGAACAGATCCCAATTTTTCTCTCCTAAAACTTCAATTTTTATTTCAGAGGTCACAATGCTCCAGCTTTCCTTGGATTCGAAAATCAAGATCTTTCCAACATTGCCTATGGAGATATCCACATTCCATCAATAGCTCTCAAAGATATTCCAGTTCAACGAGAACAACTTCGACTGAAACTATGTTATGGTAACAAAAAAGTCACCACTTTCAACGCAGATTTATCACAAAAACAGGTTTCCTGAAAAATTTCCTGAAAAAAAACATTATTTTTTTGTTACAGGTAACAAAATCGGGTTTTTCATTAGTTTGGCAGCCAACTGATGCATCATCTTCCGCGTCAATTGTCAAATTTCCATTCGAAAAACGTGCGCCAAAAGAGTTGACGGTTGAGTTGGAGATTTTCGACAAAGTATTTTTGCAACGAAAAGATTTGATAAAATTGGTTGGAAAATCAACACTCGATCAATTATTGCCACCAAATAAATCGAAATCCGCACATAATGTGGCTGAAGTGAAATTAAAAACAAAAGATTCCGATAGAGAAATGACAGCTAAAGTAAATGTGACAACAAGTGTCACACTAAATAGAGAATTACAACTTTTGTCTGGAGAATTTGTTGAAAGACAGCTACAAAATGATTCGCATTTAACATATTTATGTCATTGTGCTTCTTTGAATCGCGGATCATTGACACCAACTTCAACAGTTCATCTAGCTACACACAGGTGAGCTATAATTTTGGGAAAAGCTTTTTAAAAAAGTTTTTTCAGCGTTGTGGATACTCGAGATGGCACTAAATATACAGTTCAAGTGATTCATTCAGCTCCACTTCTTCTTTCAATGATTCTTGTTTATGGAAGAGAGCAAAGATTGTTGGCGTTGGCACATTTGATAGGAGCTGATTCTTTACCAAGTAGAGATCAATTAGATAATAATTTGGTATGTTTTCTATCGGTGCTGGGCAAAAATTTTTGAAAAAAAAAATGCAAAAAATAAAAAGAAAACAACGAGACTCCGCGTTGACGGCAACGCGCGTGGTTTGTATTTATTTATTTTTAAAAGTTTTCAACGGGCTTCCATATTTCAGCCTATACTTATCGAAATTTTCTGAATTTTTTCACCGTACGTTTTTCAAGAAAATACAGTCCCCTGATTATTTCAGCAATTTTTGCCACATCTCTCAAATTCTGATGAACGCGCATTTGTTATCGTAAACAAAGATGGAGATTATGCAATAATAAAAGGACGATGGTCTGGATTTTCGAGAAAACAAAGTGCCACAAAAGGGCAAAAAGCGAAGCCTGGAAATGCGGGAAGACTTCACATCGACTCATTCAATCTTCTCAAAAACACAGTTCAAAAATTGGAAGTTCCATCGCCCGAAGGATCGACACTTTTTGTTATTGGCGATGCGCAAGCGAGATTGCCCGGAAAACGAATCGAGTGTCGATCGACGAATACGGCGGAGCAAATTGCGAGCGTGTTTTGTGTTTCGACACTGTTTGTGTTGTGTAATCCGGATAAAGTGAGATCGAGAAGTGATAGTACTTCGGTTGGACATCAGGCGCATAAATGGCCATTGACATTGGCGTGTGGTTATGGAAGACAATTACCGACTAATCGATCGATTTTGAGCAGTGATCAAGATGGGACAGGTAAGGATGAACGTTTGAAAAAAATATTAAATTGCGCTCAGTTCAACACTGGGTCATGACGTGGCAAAATCGGACTTGGCCTAACTAAGTTCCCCACAGGAACCCCCCCTCCCCCAAAGTACCCTCAACATTTTTCAAATTCCGTACACAGATTTTTACACAATCAGAAAACCAAAGTATTTTCATTTTAACAGTGTACAAAAACAATAACATTTTGCAGCTGTGTCCCCCAATATCAAACTAAACTTTTTTCTGTCCATAACAATAAAATCTATTTTGGCAGGTGGTTGCGAGATAGCTCCCCTTCTGATGTGTGGAATTGGTTGCGACGGTGCGGCTTGCGGGGCGTGCGGAGCTTGTGGAGCGTGTGGAGCTTGCGGTGGATGTGGAGGGTGTGGCGGGTGCGGTGGTTGCGGAGGATGCGGTTGATCTCACTGGACACATTATTATAATTTTATTAACGAATCATTCATTCTTTCATATTTTTCCCAAAGTTTTATTATTTATTTTTTAAACGCATTCATATGAAAAACATTCCATTTTGCATTGAAAATTGAACAATTTTATTATGAAAATAAACACGTTTTTAATTGTAATGTTCCTGGATAATTTTTTTTTGAATATTTTGCAAATTTTCGATGTTGCAACCACAACGCCCACACGCAACGCAATCAATGACCCGACGTTATTTATCTATTTTTTTTCTGGAAACGCTCAGAAAAAATGTTCCATAAACTAGGTACCACGTACATATATATGCTATACGTTGAAATTATTCCATAAACTTTTGGACAACGTATATATATATACGTTGAAAAAAGTTCATGGAATATTTTTTTCTGACCTTTTTAGGCCCTTCGAGAAAAAATCCCCTGGGGCTTTCACTATTCAAAGGGAGCCCGATTCATTGAGCAAATAAAATTTTGTCGTCTTACCCCCCCCCCCCCTTTAAAACTAAAAAGATACTGTATGTTCCTTTAACTTCTCTATTACCTTTGGAAGATAATACCCCGTATTTTTTTTTAAACATTTCCGAAGAACTTTCCAGTTTTCCATCCAAAAAATGTTTATTCCAAAAACAAAGTATCAAAAAAAAATACAAAAACTACCCAATTTTTGTTGAAAAAAGGCGACCTGAAGTCAAGAAACATCACTAACTACATATACAAAGAAGTGTCGAAGAAAAAACCGAGGAAAATGCACAGGACAAAAAAAATGAAGAAATGGTATATGAAGTGACTAAAGTTTTCTTAAAGAAAAAGAAAAAAAGCAATAATTAGTAGGTATCATGTTGAAAAAGAACATATTGTCGAAATGAAAACAGTAAGAAAAAAATTGTGGATAAGAACAAGCAGGAATTGGGTTCATACAAGAGAGACACGTTTGAATCGCGAAGTCGGTGAATCGAATGGTGGAGCTACTGATGGCGACGCGCCGCCACTTGTTGGTGTTGCAAGTGGAGAACTGCAAAAAAAACATATTTGATGTGAAAGTAAATTTATCTAAAAATCCGGATAGCTAAGCCTGGGAGGTAAGCCAGAGCCGGACACTAAGCGTAGGGATATTAACCTGAACGTTAATTACTAAACCTTAGTCGGGTAAGGTACCAAAAGACGTATGAAGGAGGGAACCCTCAACCTAAACCTGTGAGAACTTAGCCTAAGTCTAGTGGTAGGGCGACTGGAAGCCTACTAGAAAAACCGAAATGTAACCCTAGAAGCCTAACATAAGTGAGCAACTTAGTCGGGGTAGGGCACCAGCAGAAACGTGAAGGATGAGCCTTAACCTAAACCTAGGGCTCTGAGGCTAGGGTACTTTGCGTAAACTTCTCGGCATTTTACTTTTTATCGCGGGGCTACGACGGTGGTAGAAGTCTATGCGGATATGGTCGAAGCTTCTTAACCTAGTAGCCCCATTCCAAGAACTTCAAAAGTATTAACATAACCTTTTTTAGATACTCTCCCCATCTCCTCATCTAAAATGTTTCTTTTTTTCACACAATAGGTTGTGTCCAGTTCAAAAAAGAAACAATAAAACTCTATTCTCACATAAATGTATTTAATGTGAAGGGAACAACCGCTTTTCTCACACACCAAAAAAAATGTAAACACAAAAATGTTATAAAAGTGTCACTCTTACCTACTATGAGATGATTGTGAAGGCGAATGGGACAATGAGACGCGGCGAACACGGCGGGTTAATTCTTGCAAATCGGTCACAACTGGTCCAACAAGATTTTGCACGTTTTCCGATTCTTGGCTAAAAAAAATGTATTTTTTAAATACCAGTCTTTTTTCTAATGAAAGTACTCACATTTCTTGCGCAAACTTCTCCAATTCATGCGTGATATTAACAAGTTCTTTGGGTGGATTGGAGTTCCCAATAATTTGATCTACCAACAATCCATTGACAACCATCTTCAGCACATCCAAACTATATTTTTCGGCGATCAACAACAATTTTTTGGCTAGCGATGTGTCGAGATTCTCCTTGATGATTTCGCGACAAATGAATCGTTCGACTTCTTTGCGAAGCGCCGGAATATGTGCATAAGTGACACCATCGAGAAGATTGATGAAGTCGTCGAACATGTGCATTTCTCGAGACAATACCCGTTCGAAATAAATATGTGCAAATGTCTGGAAATATTTTTTATATTTGGGCTTTTTTGTTTTTGTTTAAAAAATTTTTTGAATTCCGAGAAAGGTACACACAAATAAAAAATGTGTGCGATAGAGCACACTTGATTGTCTCTATGATATTTTTGAACTTTTTGTGTGTTTACAGGAAAAGACACGCTCTGAAATATTTTTTGAGAAACCCATCAGAAATGTTTTAATTTCATTCATTTATTTCTATTTCTATTTATGTTTATATGAAATCGATATGTTTTTGTTATGATATTTGATCCAAAAAACTTTTAAAAAAAAGCTGAACCCCTGATCATTGAAATGTTTCTCTTTCTGTTTCTATCCCCCCCCTTTCCAGATGTTTATTTTGTTTTTTAATCGCGAAAAAATAGAGGAAAAAGAAAAATATTGACCCTCTCATGATCACAATAAACATGTTTACGAGCCCCCCGGTCGATGTGTTTTTTTCTCACATTTTTCACCAATTGTTCGCACGCTTCGTTTTGTTCATTTTCGGCAAGTTGACGAGACACCGTGTCGACACCATATATGAAAATGAGACGGTGAATGGAGAATTTGTCGGCGTGCTGTAAGTACATTAATCGTGGGACATGTTTTTCAAAAAAGAGAGAATACTAACCTGTTCATCAACATGTTCCAAATCAGGAATCCTGATTTTCCCCTCAATCACATCGTCAACAAACTTATCACAAGCTTTCTCGATTCGTTGACTTCGAAAAGCCGACTCAACATCCGGCAAATAGTTCAATGGTTCGAACAAACTATTCTTCATTCGAATCTCAACCACCACCAACAAATTCGAATCAACTCTTCGATGAACGAACTCAGTGAATTCGGCGCGTCTCTCTTTCTCAACATGAATCGGCCAACCACTGCCTCTTTGAAACTCCGTTTGTCCCAATTCCAATCCAACGAAAAGCGTTTCATTTGTGACTGGGTCAATGATTTGCGCGCGAACTTGTTCGACACCAACTTCAGGGCATGGACCCTCTTTGTAATACAAGTGAAGGAGAACATGACGATTCGAATCAACGGCTGCAAAAAATTAATTTTCTATAGTTTTTGGAGAATCAAAAATCGTTTCCATAATCAAATTAAATACATGCAAAACTAAAATATTTTCTTTTTTTTTCTCCAAAATGTATTATTCTTATCGCTACATTTTTTAGTTCCCTGTTGCTCCCCTGGGGACACCTGCCACATCATTTTTCTTCCTTCCAAAGATCAAAACATGAAAAAAGCAACACTCACCACTACTATTTGAGAGCACATACTCATCAGTCAATCGAAGAGCCCAAGTGAATTGCACATGTTTGTAAGATGTTGAGAACGGTCTCGACACATTCAGAATTATCGATTCGTCTTCGATTTGTCTGAAAATAGGGTGATGTGTTAGAAGAAGTCCCCGATAAACTTTTTTTTAAATTTGTAGTTACTCAGCATTTGCGGGCGTAGCTTAAACGTAGACAGAGGGTGCATTTAGCTAATGCGTAGCTACGGTTTAGCTACGCATTTTTACAAGCTGGCCGCGTTGCAAAGCGAATACTCTCGAGTGCGCTGCGGTTTCTCATTTTGCTTTTCATTGTTGTTTTTTCAAGGCCTAAATTTCCCTAAAATTCAAGTTACATCAACTAAAACCGGTTTTAAGAAGGTAAGTTACATTGACAGACTAATTTCCACCATATATGATGAATAAACTTGCAGAGAAACCGTTCGAAAGGCTCGAAAAATCGATTTTTTGACAAAAAAAATGGATTTTTATCGAAAGAATGTGATTATGCTGTCAGAAAGCGAATTTCGGAAACAAAAAGTGAGTTGTTTTTAATTATCCTGATAAGCAGAATCTAGAAAATGAAGATTGTTGGAATTTCTGTCTAAACTTGTGTAATGAAGGATATTTTGTTGAATTCCTGATTCTTGAAGAATAGTTGCATTTCTCAGTCTATCTTTAGTTCAATAAATCAGTTTTTCAGCTCGTACCCCATTCAATCTTCCATCAGACAAGGAAAATCACATTGCCAGCCTCAAAATATTCTTCAGCATCGCCATTTACATCAAAACCCGGATAAAACTGATATAATTTTTTTTCTATGTAAATATATTTGTTAAAATTATGTTATTTATAACTTCTGTATATAAATAGTATAATAAATTCTTCTTTTTTTCTATTTTATGTGTTAAAAACAGAAAAATTCCTAGGGCGACTGAAAAAAGAAAACAAAACCCATTTCCGGCGCACAAACACACATTGCGTAGCTAAACCGTACCTATTTGTGTAGCTAAACCGATGTCAGCGGCTGACATCGGTTCGTCTACGTTTAAGCTACGCCCGCAAATGCTGAGTAGGTGCAGAAAAAGTTATCAGTAATCAAATTGTGCCTCTCAATCATTCGAAAAAAAACAGACTTTATGGCACCGTACTCAAAAATTGAGGTGAAAGTTGTTTACTGCTGATAATATAATATGAATTCTGGGTTTTTTTTTGTCAAAAAAATGATAAGGGGAATCATTTTTCGATGAAAGCATCAGAAATCGAGAACTCGGTCAAAAAATCAAAACTTAGGTGCGGTGATTATTATAGGAAAAAGTTTCAAAAATAGATTTCTTTAAGTGGAAAATGGGAAAAAATGCCACGTGGAACTTCTCGCGTTAAAAATTAATTAATAATCACAAAATTGTACTACCTCATAAGTTGGGGTACATTTTTTTCAGAGGGTCCCGGAACTTTTTTCTAGCCCTGGAGTTACCTTAACTTCTGGGTACCTATTGAATAGTGAAAGTAAAATTCTCGGGATATTTTCCTCCTCTTGAAAGCTATCAGAAAAATTATTCTAGGATTTTTTTTCTAGTCGATTTGAGATTTCTAGTCGATCTGGAGTTACATTAACTTCTGCACTACAACTTTCACCCTTCCCCCTTAAAAAATTCCACCAACCTGTGACAAACTTTCAACGCCCATGGATATTGAAACTCAATAACCCGCGAATTCTCATCACCATCATCGCATCCAGAAGTCGATGCAATCGGCACAGCTATATCATCCATTCTGAAATCCAAATCAAATCAATCAATAAAATATCTGCCATCCAAAAAAAGAAGAAAAAGCGGTCGGTCAACCAGTCAGTCGGTGACGAAAAAATATAATATAGGAGAAGAATCCGACAGGAGGCCACGCCTCTGTTTCTCTCTCGGCGACGCGTTGATAAAAATGGGCGGAGTTTGGGGGGGAGGGGGGAAAACGAAGCAGAAAAAAAGATGAGGGTGCACTTTTAGAGAGAGAATGGTGTCGGAACGGATCAAAACAAAAAGGGAAAAGTGCAAAACGTGATTCAAGAATGGGTTTCTAAAAATATCAAGTTAAGCTGGAAAGAAGTTGTGAAAACTAGACTGTAGTTTTCTGATCTGAATTAACACTTGAAGAGGTCACAAAATTTTCAGATATATTGCGTCAGATAACCCTAGCCCCAGAAGTTTTTGTGTCTAGAATTTTCTAGAATTTTTTCCATCTGATGCAATACATTTCCATTCTCCCAAACAAAACAAAAATGTATTTTTTAACATTTTATGGGCCTCCTCAAAAACAATCATGTGCTTGCTTCATTTCATTTGTTTTGTTTTGGTTTTCCTGATTTTTTCTCCGAAAAAAGGAAGCAAATCAATATATAATCGGATCATTGAACTTTTGGAAACAACACATAAATATAAATAAACAAGCAATGTTGCATTTGCATATAGAGTATTTTCAAAGATGACTTTTGAAACGTCATGAGATTGTTGGAGGTGAATGTGTGATTTGTCATCGGAAATGATGAAACATGGAAATGGTGGGGTTTGAACTTTCAGTGGTCTGAGGTGTTAGGTGTTAAAATTATTCCAGAAGGTGGAGAGGGGGGGTACAAGGCATACATACATGAACTGGGACTCCGAATTCGGAGGGAGGGGGTTAACTTTAGGTGCCATTTTGAAGGTAGGGCCCTTAACTTTTGAAAATTTTGGAGAATTTTAAGGGGCCAAAAACCCACAAAAAGTTGGTTAACTTTTTGAAAATATTTCCTGTTAACTCAAAGGTCCGCGGAGCGACTAGTTTATGTATGGTACAAGAAAAAAAGCTAGGGGCACACTGTCCAAAAGTGACACTGTGCAAAAATTATTGGAGGACAAGTCTTTTGGGATTTTCACTAACTTACAGTCAAACAAGAGTTGATTTATGTTCCCAAGTGAAGTTCATCATTTTTTTAGTACACATTACAAAAACCACTATTTCTTTTTTGACCAACACTCACTTATTTCGTCAAAAAATCAAAGTCCAACTCTGTTCTGTTTTTAAACTTCGAAGTGTCAAAACATAAGGTTTTGTTTTCATGAACTTGGCATGTGATAAAATTGCTATTTTGAGCAATAATAGTACGTTTTTCTTTTTCAGTGATGATTGAGTTTTGAAAGAGAAAATTAATAGCATAGATAAGCATCTCACAATCAGATTATAAATATATGTATTTAGGCGTATGCGCCTTTATATTGGACACTAAGTTGTAGAGTCCAAGTTTCTCATACGTAATTTCAAGTTCGTCTAAATCACATGATCATAAAAAATAAGAAGATCGTGTCCAAAAAAAAGATGAAAAAACAACTTTGAAAAAAAAAGATTAAAAATGAACACAAAACAATCAGTCAAACATGACTAAGTAGTTGGAAAAAGTAAGTATTTTTGAAAAAGGAACTGCGATTTGAAAAAAAAGGGAAAAAGTCATTTTTGAACTTCAACGAGAAATAATCACGTCAACATCAAGGGAAACTTCAATTTGATAAGAAATGTACTCGAAAAATGTTTGAGAACACCACGAGTATTTTCGATGGTTGATAAACCAAAAATAGTAGCAACACAAATGTACCCAAGAAAATCAAATGAAAAATGAATGAGATTTCTATCAACGATGAAAAATAAATTTTATACGTTTTTCAGACAAACAATAATTATTGATAAGATAATGAATGATTTTGGTTTTTGAAATGAAATGAAGACAAAAAAGAATGAGAGAGAGAGAGAGATACGAAAGTTTCTCTACTTTGAAAGTTGATAGAATGATAAGATCGTGGAAAGTTCGGAAATCGATCAAAAAAATGTTCTGATGTGTATGTAGGTGTGGTGTGGTTTCGATCTTTGAAGGGGGTTACAAAAAATTTATAGAATTACCGCTTCAGCGGTCACGTGGATGTGCTATGACGTGGGAACAGAGCTGATCTTAAGTAGAATTTGGAAATTCCTAGCTCGTTTCCTTTCAAAATGATATCACTTAAGTTTAAACTATAAATATTTTCGAGAAAAAATTCCTCATGATACAAAAAATTTTTCGATTTTCCACCTACACATCATTTTTTGGAAACTGTGAAAAAGTATTTCAAATTCGGTTCCGGAATGAATTTTGAAATTGTTTCATTTTCAAATGACATCATTCGCTTCGAAAAAATGTGCACATTTTTGTTTCCGATACAAACTATTTTTGTAGCTGTAGGTGTAGCTCATGACTAACTCCTGAGCACAAAAAATATGTAGAAATGGCCTAGAAAGTCATGTGCAAAATCATTTGGAAAATGGAATATTTCAGGTTCTCAAGGTTATTTCGAAATTTTTTTGAGTCAGTAATACTCCAAATGATCACTGGTTCGGTTTCAAACTATACTTTTTTCCACAGAAAAATTCTGCTGACTTCATTTTTCACCTACAAACTATTTATGGTCACTCGCGAGTTTCATCAATTCGGTCTATGTGATTTTTCCGATTTCGAGAATAATTTTTAAAAAAATGGAAATTTTTGAGCATTTTTCTTATCTTTAATGATATCACTTGTTTAAAACACAATTCAATTCCTAATGAACTCTTTTTCAACTACAAATTATTCGTAGCTCCTATTTTTCCTATTCCTAATTTTTATTTCAATTTTATCGATCCACAACCAGTATTTGTCTCAATCAAAATAAGGTTGTAAATTTTTGAAAATTACAAGAGTACAAGTTGAAATCATCTTATTTTCATTTCATTCATTCATTAAAAAAAGACAGAAATTTTATTGAAAGTACTTTTACTATTTGGTAAACAACATCACTTTACGAAGAAGAAGAAGAGAAGAAAATAATTCGGGTGGTCGAAAAATGAAATCCGAAACCTTGGGTCCCTTTCTATACGTTTAAGGTTTTTGATCATTTTATATTCGAAAAAGGGAACGAAAACGTAAAATATAGCAACATGGTCGAGTGGTTTGCGTGGCTGCCTACTACTTGCAGAACCAGAGTTCGATCCCACCTGCCGACCTACTTTTTTGAAATTTTGAATTCGAAGAAATAGAAAATCAAACGTTCAATATTCTCGATTTTATTTACCTATTCATTTTTGACAAAAAAGTAAACATGAACCATATGTGGAACTTGCAAAACACACAGATTATAAGTGAAAAAATGGCCAGTCTAAAAGTCAAGTGGTTCTATTTTTTTTGAAGAAAAAAAAACGAGGGGTTCTATTTTTCCAACAAGCAAAGCAGAGAGAAGCAGACATAGAACATAGATAGAGTCAAAAAAAAAATTTCAGACGAGAAAAATGGAGGAGGCTGAAAATGGAAAACAAACAAAAAACAAACAAGTAATTAAGTTGGTGGAACAAGAAAAAAAGATATTCGAGAACAAATAAAAATGAAAAAAAATAATTTGAATATTCAGTGAGGGCAAAAGAGACAAAAACAAACAAAACACTGGATTTTTTGTGTTGTTTTTCAAAATTTTTGAGGAGCGGCGGGAAAAGGTTAAATTTGAAGAGTTCCGGTTGAAAAAGAAACATTAAAAAATTATGAAATTACAGAAATTCCGAAAAATTGAAAAATCCAAAACCCAAAGAAAGAACGGAAAAAATAAGAGTGTGTGCCATTTTGAAAAAAAAAATAAAAAGACTTTTACAACGACACTCCGTTTTTTCTTGCCCGCTGTTTAGCGCAACACGAAAATATTTTCATTTTTCGTGTTTTCTCGCTGGGTTTTCTGGTTTCCGGGGAAAATCAGTGAATTTCAGTCAAAAATTGAATTTTCAGATGTACTCCAAGGCTGGAATTGTCGCTTACAACGGAAAATCCAAGGATTATCGCAGAAAGGTGGGTTTTTTCCTAGGAAAACACTGTTTCCATTGAAATTTTTCGGTTTGAAAAAGAAATGGAGTTAGCAGAACTCAATGGTACATGAAAAATTGAAGTTTTGTGATTTTCAGCATGAAATATTCGATGGACAATTGGATTTCGATGTCAATAACGTGGAAAACTTGGAGGATTTTTGTACGATTTGGGAAATAGAAGCGATTGGTGAGTTTTTTTGGGGAGGGATTTCGGAAAAATCGATTTTTGCAAAAAAAAATAAAAAGAAAACAACGAGACTCCGCGTTGACGACAACGCGCGTGGTTTAAATTTATTATTTTGTTTTGAAGTTTTCAATGGTCTTCCATTTTTCGGCGATTACTTATCGAAATGTTCTGAATTTTTTCATCGAACTAGACAATAGTCAAACTAAGCTAAATCTAAGATCTGAGAACAAATAGGCATTTCAAAGATTTTTTAAAAATCAAATTACAAAGAATCCTCAAAAATTCTATATTTCCCCAAAAAACCTGTCTGAAACAACCTAACTCAATCAATACTATTTTTCATTTTCAATTTTTTGCGAAACAACAACAATAACACGAAAAGTTTCACAAACAGACAGCGAAAAAAAAGAAGAAGAAATAATAAAAACTTGTGAGAGAGAATCAAAAATCGGGGAGAGAGCAGCTGACAGGAATAAAAATGGCGGAATCCATAAATCATGGAGCATTTGAAAGTGCACATGGCAAGAAAGAAAGAAAGAAAAACAAAGACAATTCTAGAAGGTTTACAGTTCTTTGTTCATCCCGAAACATAACAACTTTCGGAAAAATCCCAAGTAAAGGGGACTCTGAAGTACGGTAGAACATGCATATCTAACTCTCACGAGTTAGATACGCAGGGAGTACTGTGTGTTCCTTTAAACTGGAAATCCTTTGTTTTTGAACACAGCATTTCAAAACTGAATTACCTTTTCAGTGTTCGAAAACCACCAGAAATAAACAAAAGCTATTCCCCAAGTGATGACGTGAATTTTTTGAGAAAAAGTTTTTTATTTCGTCTAGAATCAAGCAAGCACACAATGAAAAATGAAAAATGAATGTTTTTGATATTTGGCGGTGCAATTTCAAGCTTTTCGCGACGAAAAAAAAAACAAACACATGACACACGTGGAGGATACTTTGATCTTTTTTTTTCAAAAAGAATTGAGGAAAAACAATGGAGGCTTTTAACTACAAAAAAATGCATTTTTGCACGTTGGAAATGTAGTTGGGAAAACAATTTTGGGTGAATTTTTTGTGAGGCTCAAAATTTGGAAGGTAAACAGAAGGGACCTTGTTAATTCGGGTCAGTTTAAATTTTCAGATTTTCTGAATCGGATCAGTAGATCACATGTTCAAATTTGGACAATTTTCGATTTTTTTGAGAAGATTCTAAAAAAAATTGGATCACTTCCAGAAGAAAAATTCAAATTTTCAGATTTTCTGAATTGGATCAGGCAGCTAATTTTGAGTCAGAATCTGTAGATCAAAAAAGAGGTCCATCTTAAATTTTTGGAGATCTAAAAATATTTTTAATAATTCAGATTTTCCAAAAAAATTCCAGTTCAAAATTTGATTCAAGAAGTTTCATCCGATTTTTGAGCTGAAAGAGCAAGGCTGGAATTTCAGATTTCTCAGCTAAAAATCTCAAATCCCTATTTTAATCAAATTGAATTTCAGAACCATAATTTTCAGATCAAAAAATCAAAAATAAATCAACTGATCAATTAAGTTTCTTCTCTTTCTCCCCAGAATGACAAAAAAATAGGAAAATCCTTTGCTCTGAACTAAAATAAGTAGCAAAAACTTGTAGAACACCTGTTTGGTACTTTCATGATTTCTAATCTTTTTATTTGTTTTTTTTTGCAAAAAAAAACACTCTTCAATAACAAAAAATGGTAGCAAAGGGAAGGGAAGAAAAAATAGAAATAGAGAAAAGTAATTCAATATATTTAATATGACCATGTGAGAAAAAAGAAGAAGAAAAAAACATTTGCGAGAGGGAAAAAGGGCTTGTTTTGAATGGGAAGAACATTGATCAACTAGAAATGAATTGGAACAAAACATGATGAAATTAGATGTATTGAAGTTGGAAGATTCGAGAATCAAGATCAAGATTGATTTCAAAGAACATCCAGAGAACAAGATACAGGAAAAAAAGTAGGGGAAGAAAACTTTGCGCAAGAATTGTGCCACGTGGATTTTTTGCAGTCAAAAATTCAAATCTTAAGAGATGGCCTAGAAAACCAAAATACACAGTATTTCACGGCTCTACAAATTGTGAGCCTGTTTTCTGAGCTACAAAATTTTGCTCTGAAAAAATGTGGATCGATAATTTTGGATTCGAAAAATAGGGTTCTGAAGTACGGTACCACCTTCTGAAATACAGTACCACCTTCTGAAGTTCAGTACCACCTTCTTCTAAAGTACAGTACCACCTTCTAGTTCTCTAGACCTACAGTAACCCTTAGACCCATGGCATTTATTCCCAACAAAAGTTCCGAGCCAAAAAGATATTCCTGCGATTGACACTTCTAAATCTTTTCAGCCACGAAAATAAGTCGGCTTTAATTTTTCCAAAAAAATACGTGGGTGCGAATTCAAAAATATATTTTTTTCTTGAAATTTTTTGAAATGTTTTCAATTTTTCCTGTCAACAAAACAAAATATGACTAATCAGCGTTTCCAAAAATTCTCTTATCACAAAAAAATATGTGTGTCTCTGTGTTTTTTTCGGCGAACTATGATCTATTATGACACATTCGATCTTCAGACCGCTTCTTTTTTTTGAAACGTACACTTCTCTCTTACACACATTTTTGACGTCATTTTTGGCTGGCTGGATGGCTGACTACAGTGTGACATTTGGTGTTTTTTGTCTTCGCGAAGAGCAAAAAAAGAGGAGTCAGGTGTTTTGTCGAAAGATTGATATAGGTCCAAACAGGTTCACAAAATGACTTGACTTGTTTTTGATTTGTCTTTCGCATGTACATATTTTTTGGGATGAAGAAGAAAAAAAGCAAATATTTTAGTTGGGAAACAAAAATTGGTTGAAAATATTTGCGAACATCAGAGCACATGATCACAGAAAACAATCAAAATACTTGAATTGGGGGAAAAAAAAAGTTATGACGTGGCAACTTTTTCTAGGGAGTTCTTGGAATTTATGTAAGCTTCAAAATATATTTTCAGATCTGGTTTTTTAGATTTAGAAAAGTTCCACATAGCTAGATTGGGCCTAAAGATCCAGGGCTCATCAAAATCTCTGCCAACATCGTGAGTTATGACGTGGATTCCTTGACAGTGAACTCTGAAGTTGATCTACACCTTCAAAAAGTTCCAAATCAGATGTCAATCCATAGTTTGTACTAACCAACTGCCAAACTTCTTTTCTTCGAAAATGACTCACTAGACTCTAGTCTAGATACTCTTGTTATTTTTCCTCGCTCACTCAATAATACTTATCTTGAAAACAAAACAAAAAAGAACAGATGTTTGTTGAATTTTTTTGTGTCTTATATTTTTCCCGGGATGAAAGGGCATTTGGACTTGTCAGCAAGCACAAACTAGATACAAAAAGATCAAAGATTCAACAATTATTAGTTGAAATTGAGAACTGTAGTGTGGCAACTGACACAAAGTAATATATATTTTGGGAAGAAATTGGAGAATACATACAAAATTAACTACATTATCCAATTTTCTTCTCGAATTCAAATTGTATTCTTGAGAAGCGATGAAAAATATTTAGTATGAGGACAAGGATTTCTGAATCAGAATCGAGGAATCAGATCGGGGAAATCAAAAGTAGCAGCTGGGACGAGACAAGATAAATTTCAAAAAAATGATCTACCTTCTCAAGTCAAAGGCGGGAAAAATTTTTGAATTTGAAAAATATTATTCCCGCGCTTGGTCTCGAAACGAAGAGATCGGAATGAATCTGATGTTTTGTGAATATTTTCAGAAATTTCTGATTTTCTGAACAGAATGAACAAATTCCAGATAAAAATACGTTTCGAGACCAACTTACAATTAGTGGTAACATTCCTCATCTCTCGGACACGGATCTTCAGATCTCAAAAACATCCGATTTCTGATCCATCTAGATATAATAAATAATGGTGTGATCTTCGAAACGTATGTATGTGCCACTGTGCAATCTGCAACCTTCGACTGGTCAACCAAAACCTCGTGATTTCGTTCTGGTTAAAACAAAAACAACATACATATCCCAGCTATCTCTTCTCACTTTTTTCTTTTATTCTAACAACCCGTGATTATTATTTTGATCTTCAAGCGAGAAGAATTCAATTTCCGGTCAAAGTTAATTTTGGATCAAAGGAATGAAAATAGAAATTAAAATGAAAAAAAAAAGATATTTTTAGATTCCAGAAAAACCAATAGATCAAATTTTTCCGCTTCTGAAAAAAGAACAAAAAAATTCCAACAAACCAACATTACACTTCCGATAAATTTATCATTGGAAGTGGAGAAGAATCAAAGCTCGCCCACAACTAATTCATGATCAATTCACATGTTCAAATGAACTTCAGTCTCTTTTTTATCACATGTTTTTGTTACCTTTTTGTTTTGGAACGGTTGCAAACACAAATATTTTACTTAGTTTTGTATTCAAAAAAAAAGGAAAAATGTTCGAAAAAAACAGGATTTTCAAAAGAAAAAGTGAGGGTGGAGGTAAATATAACGAAACAAAAAAAAGTGAGGAAAATATAAGAAAATATATACACTTGACATGTTAAACAGAGATGTTTGAACTTTTTACATTGTTTTTTCGAGGTTAGGAAACTACTGTAGCCAAAAAATAATTGAAGGAAAATTTAATTCAGAGAGCAAAGTTTATTTATTTGAAAAGTGGACATTTCTTTTCGGGATTCATCGCACTATTTTTCGGGCAATTGAAAGCTTTCGCAAATTCTTCAGAATTTGACATCATTCCATTTACACGAAATTTATGGGCACTGTGAGTATCAGCCTGTGCAAGAAGGATGGTTTGATTATTCATTTCAGCGAAACACCTAATCTGAAAACCTCTTGCTTTAATTTTTACTGGCTCTAGCCAAACTTACATAACCCAATCTGTGAAAATATTGCTGTTCAAAGGTATATTTTTCAAAACTTGGCAGTTTTTCAGTGTCATTTAATTTCTTGAATAATCTATAAGCCAAATTGAATCCAATCATATCTGCAGAATCTTCGGTTTGTGTGCGAGTTCCACTTGACTGAAAATTTATTTGTATTCAAAACAGGCCTGTGCCGGAAATTTTCCGAATTTCCGGATTTTCCGGGTTTTTCAAGGAAAAATCAATTTTCCGGTTTTCCCGAAAATGTGCTCGGAAAATCCGGAAAATGATCTTTAGTAGTAATATTTTTAAAATTGCCTAAATTTTGGGAAATTTTTTCAGTTTATGATAGAAAAAAATGAAAACTTTGGAATGTTTTTTTTCAATTGTTCAAATTTTACTATTTTCGAACGTAAAACGTCTGAAATAGTTACTAAATTACTTGTGAATAGAAGAATTGTCGATAAGAATAAGTTTTAGTGCCAACTTAAGGCTGAAATTCAAAATTTAAGACCTTGAAAAAAGGCTGAAAATCGCAATTCAGACTTTGAATAATTTTCCGGTTCAAAAAATCCGGAAATTTTCCGACTTTCCGTTTTCCGGGTTTCGATTTTCCGGAACAGGCCTGAATTCAAAACCAAAAAATGTTGAAACTCACAAAACTTCCATCCGGAAATTGATATTTGTCATATTTTTGAATAATGCAATCAACACGATCTTCGAATATTTCCTCCATTTTTGCTGACATCTCAATACCATTTCTCATTTGATTTATAAAAAAATCATTCGCATCGAAAGCGTGTCCAATTTCATGTCCTAAAAGGTAACCAAGTGTTGCAATATGATTCCATTCCGGCAAATTTCTATCGATTAATGGGAAGTTGAGGAGAAGTGGACCGATGGCTGCAATAAGTATTTATGAGATATGAAAATAAAAAAAAATAAAATAAATTACTTGTTCGATGATTAGGTTTATAATAATGGGCATTGAAACCCATTGTTGATCCCAGATATGTGATGCCTTCTCTTCTAGCAACTCTTAAAAATGTTTCTTCGCTATTCATTTTCAATAAATTTTGAATCAAACTCAAATATGTTTGATTTTCAAAATTTCCGATTCGCGAATACATTTTATCAATATTTTCCTGATCTTTATGTTCATCTGGAATCCCAATCGATGCTTTCAAATCCAAAACTTCTTGCTTCAACACATCTTTCAATTCCTCATCCAACCAATCATTCTCTTTTAACATTTCGATAAAAACCTGCTGGAGATCTTTGAATATTTGATTTGCTTTGTGCAAATTTTTGGTATCCACAAAGTTTTTCACGAAAATATTGGCAAGAGTTCCAGGAAATAATGTAATCAATTGCTGAAAACAAGATTCAAATTCAGGCGTAACAAGATATTTTTCAATCGTTGATTTCCATTTATTTTTGATGGTTTCTTTGGTCTCATCCACTTTTATAATTTCTTGCAAAACCAGCAATGCACGTATATCAACATACACTTCTCCATGATTTTTCATTTCTCGATATTCTTCTGGCACCAAAAAATCGACATATTTCATAAGATCAATAAAAGTTATCGAATCTTTATAAGTTTCTAATCTCTCAAAAGATAGTTTTTGGATTTCTTTATTTTTTTGTAGAATTCTATGGTAATGTTCTATTTCTGAATTCTTTTCAAGTCCTTGAGTAATATAAAGATAAATTGATTTCGAATTAGTAACTGGATTGTGAAACACCTTAACATTATTCTTCAAAAAATCCAGTATCAATTGGATTAATCTTAACAGCTTCAATCAAAACATCAGTTAAACTATGATTTTGTAAATTGTCCCAAAAACTCGTGTCAAATTGTTTTCGCTCTTCAGATGAATCCATACATTTTTCCATAACTTTCATCGCAATTTTTTCAGCTCTTGTGATTGGTTTATAAGTTTTCATGAATGTCGCAAATTCCTTGTAGTTCTCATTTTTATTCTCAAATATTTCAGATTTTAAATTCTCTGGATAATTTCCGCAAATTGATTCATAAAAATCATCGCATGGATCGATTTTTGGGTTCATGTGGGATTTCTGAAAATTATTAGAGTTTGGCTTAAATAAATTCTATCTCACCATTTTTCGCGCCAGAATTTTACATTCTCTAGTTTCACAAATGTTTTTATTTTTATAAACATCTTCTTCAGATCTTGGAATTTCATTTTTCGGTATTTCTTCATCATTATTTGGTTTCGAACTTCTAACTTGATCACTTCCAATTAATCCTTGATTTTTCGCGTAGAACAAGAATACAATAGCTAGAAATAGAACTGCGGTAAAGATCGATTTTTTGAATCCTTTGATTTTTTCACTCGATTTTGATATTGGACCTTTTATTTCCATTTCCAAGTCCACCATTTTCAAAAACTGGTTTTTTTTGTTGAGAAAAAATATCGTTGGAAAAAAAATTAGGTCACGTTTAAGTGCCAATTTTTATTTTGAATTTTGTCATTTGAAAAAAAAAATTGAAAAAAAGGGTTGCCTCGAAGCGGGATCGAACCCATGACCTAAAAATTGAAAGACGTACGTGCTTACCACTCGGCTACGCGTACATGTTTTTATTGCGTGCGAAATGTTTGATATATGAAACGAGGATGGTGCAGGGAAATTTCTTGAGTTTTTCCCAAGCTCCAGAAAATTTTCAAAAATGTTTTTATTCCTGAATTCAAGTAAAATGTAAACTACTTTAAAAAATGTGTGAAAAAACTATTCATATTTATTTATGACAACTCGCTAAAAAATGCAATACAATTCCCCCATTTTTACTCCATTTTTCCTCAACCAACTAACTATCTATCAATCCTTTCCTACTAATTCCCTATTTTACACCAACTACAAAAAAAACACTTGTTGTTATTTTTTTCTAGTATTCAGAATAGATTAGCATGTACATGTTAATGAGAAGAGGAGAAGCAAAAGCAGTTCAATTCTTTCAGTTCAGATAGAGCCATATGTTGTTTATTTTTGACATCTTTGTATATTTTTGGGTTGGGCAAAAATTTTGAAAACCGAAAAAAAAAAGATTTTCTGACCTGATATGAGCTTCTTTTTCTTCCTTTTTCAACGATACTTTTTTTTTATTTTTTAATCGGATTTTTTTCTTGCACTTTTTGAACAAAGATCAGGAAAATTCTGTAGATTTTTATTAGTTCGTATTTTTTGAAATCTAGAAATTTCGAGCTCAAAATAAAAATCTGAAAAATTTGAATTCTTTCTAATTTTTTTGTTACCTCAAACTGCAAAGGGTACTGTACCTCGAATTATCTTATTTATCAAACTGCAAAGGGTACTGTAGCCTCGTGGTTATAAATACCTCAAACTGCAAAGGGTACTGTACCTCGAATTATCTTATTTATCAAACTGCAAAGTACCTCTGTACCTCTAAATATCTTTACCTCTAAATACCTCTAAATATCTTTTTAAAAACTGCAAAGAGTACTGTATTATCTTGCAGTTAGATAATAGTATTATCTAACTGCAAAGAGTACTGTATCCTCGAAATATCTCTTACCAGACTGTAAAGGGTACTGTACCTCAAAATGTTCCGAATTTTATGAAAAAAATACCAAAAAATCGGAAATTTTCGGAATTTTCAATAAAATTCAATTTTATTCCAAATTGTTTGAAGCTTTTCTGATTCAAAAAATTAATTTCGAAAAACTGAATTTTTTTGTGTTCAAAATTACTTCATTCCCGAATTTTTCAAACTATTTTTTTCTGGAATAAAAATAATCCAAAAACCCAAAATCACCCAGCCCTCCCATATTTTCTCGAATTACGAAAAATGTTGGTGATGACAGGAATAACAATGAGAGGGCTACTACTACCAAAATTCTTTTCCCCTTCCCTCCTTTTTCCGTTACGTAACATTACTTTGAAACGTATCCCAAACATTTGTGTTGCACCAAGACTTCTCCTTTTAACTCGATTATTGTTGGTGTTAGTTAGGATCTTCTTCTCCTTTTTTTGTTTTGTTTTGTTTCCCGTCGTTTCTTTCTTTTCGCCCCTTTCTTAATTGCATTTATTCATTTGTTATCTACTCGTTTCGTTTCGTTTCAAACTCTTTTCTTTTCGATGTTTGTTGGTTTTATCTATCTAGCGTTCTTGAAGTTCCTTTTTTCCAGATGAAATCTCTAACTTCATTATATATTTTATCCTTTCGGATACTAGAAATATATGGACACCTAATAAATTCGGAAATCGCAAAAGATTTATCTGTTTATATTTGTTCACATGGTTCAACTTATTCACATGCTAATATGAATGTGAGTTGTTTTTTTCTTGAAAATTTATATTTCATCCCGAATTTTGAATGTTTCAGTTTATTCAATATCCCGTGCAATTTTGTGTGTCACTACGATCAAATAAGGGAATTCGAGAACATTATCGAGATCTTCAATCATCAACTTCACTTCAGGGAACTGTTCAAATATCATGGAGACAATTAGCCACTGCAAATTCGTGTAAACTTACTTTCAAGGTAATTTTAATCTTTGTAATATACTTAAGCTTATCCCAAGTTTTTATTTTTCAGGGATATCAAACAGAATATCGAATATCACCTGATTTGGGTGGCTATATTCCGTGTCAAAATGCGATTTCGCGACATCTTTTTAGATTGTCTCAAAGTATGAATTTTGGTTCGGGGCAGATTGAGAGAATTGAATTTAATAATTCGAATAGTAAATGTCCTATTGAAAATGTTCCGACTGCATATCCCGTAAGTTGTTTTTTCCATGAAAATTGTAAAAGAAAACAACGAGACTCCGCGTTGACGACAACGCGCGTGGTTTGAATTTTTTAATTTTTCAATGGGCTTCCAGGGTAAATCGCAGAACAGGCCCCCACTTTCAGCCAAAATTTCAACGATTTTGTGTTTCTTTTTGAATAGAAAATGAATAACATTAAATTGTTCATAAAAAGCAAATAAATATTATAAAAATCAAGGCAAAAAACCTATAATCATAGTTTTTGGTGTTTGATGAAACGTTTTCGAGGTTTTTCTTTTCGCCATCTCTATTCTCAAGAATTTGCTATTTTTTGCAGCAAAGATTTTGAAATTTGGTGAAGAATGAACGATTTTAGCATTTTTTTTGAAAAAACGAAAAATGTTTTTGAGGTTTGAAAAAATTCACAAACGTCGTGTTGTCTGCCGTCTCTCTTACCCGCTTCTATCTCTCATTTTCTCTGCTTCTCTCTCCTCGTCTCTTCTACACGCAACACTCTCTCGTTTATTTTTATTTTTCAATTCGTTTTTTTTTTTCGTGGAATCAGGAAATTTCACGATTTTCATCTAGAACATCATATATGAGAAGATAGAGTAAGACAAGGCAAAGACAGAAAAATAAACATCGGATTGTAAAATTGAACATTAGAAGGTTTTGACAGTTTTTTGCCAACACGGGAAAAAATGTTGTATTACTGCATTTTTCACCAAAAAATTCATTTACAAAAATGTGATCATCGAAAAAACCATAGTTATTGCTAGAAAACTATATTTCCTTGCTTCATTTGCTGTCTCATCATAATTTCCCTGATTTTCTCCATATCTCGGTGAATCTGGCTCCTCAAAAATCGGTGGAGGTGTTTCTACAGTGACAGTCGAAGTTTCACCTCCTTCCGGATCATGTTCTAGAAATTTACAAGTATTTCATTTTTTTTTTTGCGAAAAAATTTCACCATTTTGAATGGATAGAAGAATTGAAAGAATAAATATTAGAATCGCAAGCTTTTTCATTTTATTTTGATTAAGAAATGAAATAATTTTCACGTTTTCACGGAAATCCCATGATATTTTTTGCAGGAATATATTTCGTGTAAACTTCAACAAAATGAATGGTATATGATTGAGTGGAAGTCTACGACTCGTTATGAAACTTTTAGAAATGGGGAATATGGTAAGGTTGGGTCTCTTGAGGATTTTACTATTAAAAATATTGCAGGAACACATTGGGCAAACGATACACAATCATTCGTTGTCAAAATGTCTGAAGAATTGCGAAGAAACGGAACAGAATTAATTTGGCTTCAAAGATTAGTCAAACTAGATTCTCGGCTGAATGGATGTGATGATGTCAAAGTTCTTGTCAATTTTGCCGATGATTGGACAATTCGAACGAACACAATCACATTGACTTATCGAATTTTTGATGGAACAATGAAGATACATTCGAAAATTATTGGAACTTTTGACATCGAAAATTGGCGAGAAATACAATTTCCACTAAAAAGAACGCCTGGCGATCATCAAATTTGTGCACAGGTATTTTTTTATATATCTTAAGTGGACATTTCTATGAGAAATTCAATTTTTTAGATGAACTCTCCTGTCCCATCTCGATATTTGGTTTGTCGAAAAATCGTGGATTCGTTAGATTGTCCCTTTGCTCCCGAAGAATCTTCATTATCTAACAATATTAAATTTTATTTATTTTTCTTGTTTTCATTGTTATATTTTCTATAGTATCTATCTATGATAAAAATTACGAAAAAAAATAATTTTGAAAAAAAATATAAATTTGAATTTTCTGTTTGCCGCCAGCGGAGTGTCGTTGCTGTGTACTTCTCTCGGACGAAATTTTTCGAATTATTTTTTCCTGTTTGCTTGTCCTATTTTGAAGTTATTTTGAAGTATGACTTCGGTTTTTTATGAAGATTCAAGTTGGGAAGATCGATCATTTGCAAGAAATCAGAGGCAATTATATGAATCTACGAATGATTTGGTTTTATTGACAGTTTTTCGAAAAAATGAATCGAAATATTTTTGGTTTTGTGCTGCATGTAGATCAAAAACGAATAGTTTCAAAAATCTATTATCTCTCCGATTATTCGCATTAGATCATTTAAGAAGTTCGCATTCTGAAGAAAATCCAGATATTGAACAAATTGTGAAAGATGAATGGAAACTGGTCAAGGAAGAAACAAATTTTGATGTGGAAAAACTAATGGAAATCAGTAGAACAAGAAGAGATGTCAAGAATCAATCACGTCGCAAGTTTTATATGACGAATTTGAAAAGTTTCGAAAATGGTCAACATTTTGAAGAATATCTAAAGAATACTTACTACAAGAAAGATGAAGACGAAGAAGAACAGAGAAAAGAAAAAGATTATAGATTCTGTTTTATTTGCCTGGAATTGGTCGAAAAATCTGATATCGATCAACATTTTCGGGGAAAATCGCATACCGAACTCGAATCTCATTCACATGTCAGCACATTTTTCGAGCTCCCATCATCTGTTATCACAAAGGATTTCTATGATTCTGATTTGACATTTCCAAAAGATATTTTTGCTTATTGCACAGTCTACAAGGTAATTTTAATTGTAATTTTAATTCGATTAATTAATTAATTAATTAATTAATTAGTTCAGACTCTTCATCGAGATATGTTCAAATGGCGGTGTTGTCTTTGTCCAAATACACATGCTCATACATTTGTCACTTTTATTGTTCTTCGAATGTATGCACTTCGACATATTGAAGCAAATCATAACTATTTGTTTCGAGAACAATTTATAGAATCAGAATGGTAAGGTCGTATCGTTAATTAAATACTTTATGTTTTTTCTAGGAATATCATCAAATACGAGCTTCAAATTGGTTTCGATGTTCAAAAATATCTCCCAACATTTTATACTATTCGAGGAGAAAACACTTTTAACCCTCATAATCCTAATGATTTTACACTTCCTCAACAATATTATTTTATTCCTCAAGAATTTGTGAAACATTATTCGATTTGTGGATTTTGTTTCAAATCGTTTCCTAATCGTGAATTTATCAGACATATTGTATCGCATGGATTTGTTGAAGAAAATGGTGGAAAATTGTTGAAAAGAGCTGAAACCAGCGCTAAAGTTGAAGAATTAATGGAGTCAACGAATCAATTTGATGCGCAGAAATTGGATGAACCTGTTAAAATGCTCACAATTGAGGGAAAACAGTTGAAAGCAAAAATTGAAGAAATTTCTGAAAATGCTAGTTCAATCAGTAATTCGTCAACTCGAACACAACAAAAACGAAAATCAGCTTTGGATGCCAAACAACTTTTATCGAAAACTTTTGAAATGTGAGTGAAATAGCTTATCTATACTAAAAATTAAAAAAAATTGTTTCAGCCTCAAGGAAAACTTCAAAAAGACCTCAAAAACTTGGGATGATCCAATGAATTCGAATTTCTCAAGTTCGTCTTCTTCTTCAGATCAAGAATCATCGAATGATGAATATAAAGCATCGAAAAATGAGAATAGGAAATTCAGAAGGTAAATTGGGACATTGTTTTTGGCAATGTATACTACCAAAAACCTCTAGACCTCAAAATTTTCAAAAATTTTCGTTGTAGATCAAAAAAAAATCCTTCAAATAGCCCGACAACAAAGATTTTTTCTTGAAACAGAAAAAATTTAAAAATCTGAAAGATATACTTATGTGGCCGAACTTCCGACATTTCTCGGAAAGCGACATAGTTCGGCCACATATTTTTTTTTCTTGTCAAGGCCTGCTGCCGCTCTTTTCGCTTCTCTTCTCCCCTTTCCCCATCTTCTCATATGTTTTCTCACACAACCCGGCGAGTTGCCTCAAAATCGACAAGGAGACACTACTTGAGAGAGAAAAGAGGAGAGAAAAGACGCGGCCAACACTATTCCCCACCCTATATTTCTCTAGCAGCGTCTGTTTGTCCTTTTTGCTTTTCTAGTGTGGACCCATTTTTGGTTTATAAAATATTCTCTTTTTTTTACAGAAATCGAAAAATGTTGTCGAATTCTATCAAATATGATGATTTCGGTGATAATTCTCAAATGGTTTTACAATGGATACAAGAACAAGCATCGAAAAGAGGATTGGATTGTAATTTTAATAAAGACAGTAGTGATGAAGATACGGGGATTATTATAAAAAAAGAGAATGTTGAAGAAAAAGTGCGAGTAATAAAGTTACCTAATGAAGAAAAACCTGTTGTTATGCTTGAAGAAGAAAAAGAAGAAGAGCCGGAATTTGTTGAACCAGAAAATAGGAAAAAAGTTGTGAAAAAACGAGTCAGGTAAGATTTTTAGCTCCAAATTTTCACGATCCCGTCGTTTAAAATCGCAGAACTCAACTCCTAATATGAGTTATGACGTGGCAAATGTTTTGAAAACTAGCTTCGAAATTATTTTTGAAGCCAAAGTCACGATTTTTGCAAATTTTGCCACGTCATAACTCATATTAGAAGGTGAATTCTGCAATTTAAATCGTGACCACCGGGTTCAAATCTACTAGATTAGCCTATATTTGAAAATCTTCAGATTCCAAGAATCTACCAAGAAAGGAAAGAAGTCTAATGATAAATCAAATGTCAATCTTGTCCCCCAAGGAAACTTGAATTACAGTTCAATGACACCAGTTCAAGTTAGAGAATTGTGAGTTTGAAGTCAAATGCAATTTTCACAAAAACATAATTTTTTTCCAGAATCCAAAACGCTGCGAAAGAAAGAGGAATAGTTTTTGATTCAACATCTTCAGAATCGGATTTGGATTCTGATTCGAATGCGGCACCACAATCACGATCAAAATCAAAACCAGACTCGATTTTCGACAAGATGTCGCCGGATCAAATGCGACTGTATCTCAAAATTCAAGCAGCTCAGAGAGGAATTCAGAATGGATTTGTGAATTCTTCGAGTGATTCGAGTGATCAAGAAGATGAAGAAGAAAAAGTGGTGTAAGTTTTAGATATTCATATTTAAAATTAAACGAAAATCATTTATCAACCTATTTTTGACAATAGAAATTGGATTTTTTCAAATAAAACTGGAATGAAATTAAAAATTGCAACTATTTTTCTTCCAAATCCAGAATTTAAATTTTTTGAAATCCTAAATTTTCTCGCAAATTTTAGAGCTCTAATTGAGTGTTTTCAACTACAAATTCTAAATTTGGGTAACTTGAATTTAAATTTAAACTTTCGGAAATAATTTTCAGATAAAAATTTCAAAACCAGTTTTTTCCAACCCTAAATTTTCGTGCAATATCTAACTGTAAATCATAAAATAAATTTAAAAGTCAACTTTCAAGAAAAAAATTAACTCTGCAATTTTCAGATAAAAATTTCAAAATCAGATCGAAAACCCTAAATTTTTCGTGCAATAACTGTAAATCATAAATTTGACAAAAATTCAAAGTTCAAATTAAAAAAATATTTTTAATCATAAAATTAACCCAAAAAGGCAAGAGACCATTTGTAAACTTTCCAGTTTTCAATTAAAAATTTTTGAATCAGATTCAAACCCTAAATTTTCGTATCATAAGTTAAATGTTCAACTTTAAAAAAAATTTTTTAATTATAAAAAAAATTTGTTCAAGAATTATGCAAAAATTATTTCCAACGCGTGAACTGTGACGTGGACATTAGAAAATCATTCTATTTTCAGCAAACCAACAACTCGCCAAACTCGAAAACGTAAATGCGCCCGTCGTTAATTAATTAATTTTTCCGGTATCTCCCCCTATTTTTCTCACTCCCCCTTTCACTTTGCCATGTTTTTTTTCTAAAGCTCGAAAGCTATAATCACTATAATAAAGTGTATACGTATGTCGTTTTTTTTCGCCTCAGATTAGCTCAGCTTCTTCTATTTTTTGCTTCTTCTTATTGTGTCGCTATGACAACTTCTTTTATTCTCTGAATTTTTAATAATTTTTGGTTTTTTTTGGGAAAAAAAACACGGGTGATAACTGGATGAATGAATGAACAGAACAACATCCGGATTAAGCTGACCACAGGAAGTATTAGATTCAAAAATTGTAGGAGAGCATGAAAATATTCAATTTTGTGGTTGAAACTCGAAGCTTTTCGCTTGTTTCTCCTCCAGGTTTCTTTTTCTTTTTGTTTGCGCACTTTTCTACCTGCCTACCTCGTTTTTCTTCTTTTTTTTCCTCCGCGCTCTCCCAGTTTTCTTATTATGTATACACAAAATTTTGTATGAGAAAATGAAGAAGCCTCCACTTGATTTCTCTGTTTTTTTTTGCTTGTTTCGAGGAAAATTTGGATCAGTGACTGACTGATAGGATAAGTATCTTTTTTCATTGATTTTTTTGGGAGTTCAAAATTTAAATATTAATTGTAAGTAGTTTGATCTCTGTTTTTTTTTGCTAATTAATTGATGAATATTTGAATCACTTGGGGATTTTCTCTGAATTTTCCAATCTTGAAAACTAATTAGAAAGTTCCCCAAGGCTTTATGGGAGAGAAATAAAAATTCTAAAATCTGAAATTTTTCAAACCAATTCTAGAACTCTTTAAATCTACAGTAATCTAGTTGGAATAACATTTCACAGCGGTTTAAATTATTCTCAGAATTTTAAAAATCCCAAATTTCCGATTTTCCCAGAAAATCTAGTCAAAAAAAGTTTTCTGCAAAAATTTCCCTATAAAAAATTCTTCTAAATTTGATCTGCCTGAATCCAAAGCTACAGTAATATTTTCACAAAAAATTCCATGTTGCTCACATTAATCAAATTTCCTCAAACTCTTTTAGATCTTTGTAAAACCTGCTAGGCTGAATTAAAATTTGCCTAGATCTTTCTGAATCCAAAGCTACAGTAATCTTTCTACAAAATCTTTCATTGCTCATATTATTCAGATTCTCTTTCATTGATCTACCAAAATCCAATTCTACAGTGCTCCATTCTATTTAATTTAACAAAAAAAAATTCCAAATTCCCGCCAAAATTATTCTCTAAATAATGGTTCATTATTTTTTTTCGCTGACATCACAATTTGATTTCACATAAATATTATACATTTGAAAAAAAGTATTCTTCATCTTTTCTTATTTTATTTTCAATATACAAATATTTAGAAATATATGTATTATTTTTCACATATTTACCTTGTTTAGTCAATATGTTTTGTTTACAAATCATGCCATCTTGATCCTCCTTTTTTTGTTGAAAAGATTAAACACCTTCATTCAATTTTTTTCTAAAATCAATTTTCCATGTATCCATTTATATCCCCATTTTGTATAGTATTTATTCATGCATGAAAATAAATACAAAAATGTGTAGTATTTCCTTATTCAAACAAAAAAAATTCAATTTCTTTTTCTTTTTCTCTCTTTTTTTGCCCGTATGTGTTGTGTCATTTTATCAGTTGCTCTCATCGATTTTTGATTTTTTCTCAATTCTTTTCCTCCGCCATCAAAAAAAATATCAACCTGCTTCAGCGCCTTCTCGCGGGCAAAAAATGCGAAGTCAAAACTATAGTTTACCAATTTATGGTGGCGGTCAGATGGTGATTAATATGAAGACGACGGTGACGACGAGCGGTGGACAACATAATGGTTTGGTTGTGCATAGTGCTGTGCAGTCGAATGGATCGGCACCGATATCACCGTCAGCTAGTTAGTTTTGGGGAAAAACAATTAATGGCTACTGTATGTAGAATTTTTGATCTGTTCAGAAAATCATTTCAAAATGGAATTTTTTCGGAATCACTTTAAAATGGTGTCTTAAAACATTCAAGTTAGGATAAATCCGTTACTTCCTAATACTTACTGTAAAAGTTTAATCAATATGAGAAAAATTCAAATTGTGATTTTTTCTGAATGACATTCAAAAACTGTGACCAAATTTACTGTACAATTTTTTTAAACATTCAAGTTAGGCTGAATCCCTTGCTTAAAAAGCTTGATCAATTTCAGAAATTTCACTGTGATCTGTTCAAAAATAATTTCGAAATGGAACTTTTTCTGAATCACTAATAAAAACTTTTGCCAAATTTGAAGTAGAAAACTTTCAAGTTATGCTAAATCCCTCACTGTGCAGGCGTCATCAATTTCAGAAACTTCAAAATGAAACTTTTTCTGAATTACTTTTAAAAAAACTGTGGTCAAATGTATTGTACAAAATCACAATTTTTTTAAACATTCAAGGTTAAATCGAAATCCTTACTGTTTCAAATTTCGTTGAAGCTTTTATAAATTATTTCAAAGTGGAACTTCATCAGAATCACTTTTTGTACAAACCAAATTTTTCAAGAAACATTCAAGTTAGGTCAAATCTCCCCTTGCCTCACTGTAAAGGTTTGGAGAATTTCAGAAATTTCAAAAAATCATTTGGAACTGTAAAATTTATAGTTTCTTTTTTTCTGATTTCCATGATCTTCTATTTTTGGACATACAAAGTACGAAGTAGTTTCTGATTTTCCGAATAATTCAATTTGCAAAGTGCCCTATCTGTTCCTAATCTGATCTACGGAAAACAAATTCCAGGTACTTCAAATTGGCAGCCGTATATTGAATCGCCTAGAATGAATCGATTAGAAGACCGAATCGAAATGTTAAGATCAAATTCTTCGCTTCATGTAAGCAAGCCCCCAAAGCTTCTGCCCTTCTCTAATTCCAGAAATTTCAGCGAGATCATAGTCCTTTACCAATTCAAATGGTACCAAGTACAAGTAGAGAAACATTATTATCCAACACTTCCAAACCTCGATCAGTCGCGTTCCAAGAAAAACCGCCATCCCCTCCGCCGTCTCCAATCTACTCATTTAAAGGCCGTGATTCCCCACCGGATGAGTTCATTCAACCAACAAAACTGATGCTTAATTTATTTCGACCTGTAAGTTCTTGAAAAAACTCACGTGATTTGTTTGTCTAACCATCGTTTTCTAAATATTTGTTTTCGCTCATTGTATCCATGTCAAATTGTGAGAATTGGTTGGTTGGTTGGCCAAAAAAATAGAGAGAAAAAGGGAGGAATGAAATTCAATACGAAGAGTAAAAATAGAAGTAAATAATAACTTTGGCAAAGGCTACATTTTCATTTTTTGTTGTTTCGTTTGTCATAAAGAAACATCGAGAAGATGTTGAGTCGAAGCACTGTTCAAAGATATTTCTATGAATCTTTCGAAAAGGTAAATTGGGTGATTTGGTGTTTCTTCAAGGAAAACCACGCTAAAAGCTTATTGTTAAAACTACGAAAGAAAGTTCGCTCTATCGCACACACAATTCCAATGTATGTAGTTCTCTCGGAATTCACACCCAAACATTTTGTTTATTTTAAAAAGCATCCCCAATCAAGTATAGACTGATTTATAGTTCTTTAAAAATACTTTCAAAGCCACGAAATAAAACAAGAAAATGCGCTCTAATGAACATGTGTTTCCAGAAAACGGATATTTACCGATTTTCAAAAGAACATCATCCCTTTTTCAGACCCAACGAGAACCTCAATGGCAAGTTCCAATATCTCGAAGTCAAATCACCGATGACAACGGTGGAATCACATTGTCGAAGAAAAATGCACTTTTGAATGATAATGTTACGACAACAACAACTGTTGAAGTTTTTAGAGCACCGGTAACTATCCACTTTTTTTTGAAATTCCAACAACTCATTCACTCATGTTTTAGATGGATCCACATGCACCAGTCATAGGGTTATCTCAATCACCTTATGGCGGTCAACCACTTTTAATTCGTACACACGGTCCGCAATATGAGCAATGGTCGAATTCAAAAACACAAACAATGTTGTCTGACGAACCAATCTCATCCTATGGACCGAAAGGTGTACAGTGGAAAGAGAGATTGATTGAAGGGTCGAGATATATTGATAATATGAATGATGATAAAAATAGTGATTATGACGAGATTATGCCATTACCCTATCCAGATGGAAAACAACCAAGAGAATATATTAACCATGATTATAGACCAAATGCAGTTAGACAACCTTTTCAACCGATTACACATCCGATTTTATCGGGTTCTAGAGATGATTTGAGGTTGGTTTGGGTGGCACTGATAATAGAAGTTTTTTGGAATGTGTTTTTTAAAGATCTAATCATAGCTTGAGAAGCCCGAGTCCAATGTATGTTGTTCCACATCGTCGACAACATCGAGAGGAAATTGAAAGGTATAAGATAAACAATATGTACATTCCAAAATGAATTATTTAGAAGAGCATCTCGTAGATCAAAATCAAATAGTCGAGATGAGCCTCAAGATCAATCTTCATACCCCCGTCCACGTGGACTTCTACGTCATCGAAGTATGTCGCCAGCAACATCTTCACATCGACAATTCGGCGGATCACAAGAGTTCGTAATTCCCGCTCATTCGCCAATCGGCAGCACGTTAATGTTAGCAAGTCCAAACCCGAATGAATTACCGGGACGACCTGCAAGTGCACGAAGTCAGGAAATATTTGCATTGTATCAGACTAGAGATGCTTTAAATCGAATTGTAGATCAGCATTAAGTAGATGCATGTACAGATAGACGAATATTAATCATTCACTATTACATTCTTTTTTCTTTTTATTGTTGTAATTGTCTTCTTCTTATACATATTCTAAGTACTCTCTCTGATGAAGCATGTTTTTTATATTCACTTAATTTTGTGATTGTATTGTTATCGCACGGTGAACAAAATAAAAATTCAATACTCATTATTAAATATTGTCCAAGTTGAAAATGTGGCCAGCATTACTTCGCGTGCGGCTATGCGTCGCGGTGTGTTTCCAGACCGCGACGCACAGCCGCACGCGACTGACGAAGTAATGTTTTTAGTCACATTTTCAACCTCGACAATATCAGTATTCATTTAAATTTCAGTGAATATTTTATGGAAAAAGAATTCAATGAGATGGAAATGATGTCATCGCCATTGGCAGAATCCGAAGATTCACTGATTTCGGATATGTCAACAAGAAATGATTATGCAAAAGCATCCTATTTGGAATATAAAGCTTCGAGAGATGGAGATGATGAGATGGAATATTTCTTTCCACCTCCTCCTCCGATTCCGAAAGATTATTCAAGGTTTGCACAAAGTGGAAATATTTTTTAATCAAAAATTTTAGACTCCGTAATCAAATATACCGCAAGAAAAATGAGGAATATTACCTTCCTCGTTCAAAATCTTATGATCATCGACATGATAAAAATCATCATCGAAGCGCGAAAAGTGTGATAAATGTTCGAAAGAAAGAGGCGATTTATGCGACACCAATCAAAAAAAATAAATTGGATCAAATCGAGGAGTTTGTTGAACTTCCGAAATATTTGAGATGTGAGGAGGCGAGTACAAGTACAACAACACCGCCAACTATTGAAATCGGATCGAATGAGAAAGAATTTACGACGAAAGTTGAAAAAGTTGAGGAGAAATTGAGGGCTTTGAAATTGGCTAGAGAAGATTCATTGTCAAATTTATTGAAAAAACAACTGAAAATCAAAGAGGTTGATAAAAAAGAAGAAGAGGAAAAAGAAAAAGAAATTATTGAACAAGAAAATAATATTGAAGAATCTTCTTTGCCAAGTTATGTCGAACCAAAAGATCCGATTATAAAAGAACTTCAAGAGTTTTTGAAAATTGAACCCGCTGAAGAGGTTTGTTTTGAGAAATTATTCAAAAATACAACTAAATTTTCAGAAAACTCCAACGATTGATCATAGATTAGTTGTGAAAGATTGGCAGAATTTAATGAAGTCACCATCTCAATCAACAACTTCTTCAACAACTTCAACAACTGTTTAGAAATAGATTTTTCATTTGGTTTTAATGAATATTTTGATTATTAGCTATTTTTTCATATAACTTATAATAATAGAAAATCCATGACAAACTTCAAATCTGGTTTTTAAAAAGTAAACTCAAAGTTAAACACGGTTATACAACCAAATATAAAAAGGAAATCAGGAGATATTCCTCTACACTATTCTAAAAAAAATTTAAGCATCAAAAAACTCCAATGTATCTCAAAAACCTTTTTTTTCGCGAAAAAATGAAAAAAAATGAAAAATAAAAAAAAAATAAATGTGTGTCGATTTACGGGAGAGACTAAAGGCGCACATGTTTGTTTGCTGCATTGGTCTCGTCACTTTCTCTTTATTTCCCTCAAAAACGTACTTTTATTTCCAAGTCCTAAATTTTTCTACCGTTTTCTTCCGTTTGGCGTGTTGTTTTTGAAAATTTTGTCTAGAATTGGTGTATAAATTTTCGAAATTACTGAAAATTTTACTTGTAAACTGTTTTTCTCTCCTGTACACTTTGAACTTTTGTTTTCGAACTCTGTGAAATTCGTAATTTTTCGAAAAATTGTATTTTTTCAGTCTTTAAAACGTGACTTAAACGCGATCCTTAATTCACCAAGATGGTTAGGGAAGACAGAAGCACTTGGAAAGCAAATTACTTCGTCAAGCTCATCGAGCTTTTCGAAGAATATCCAAAATGCCTCCTCGTCGGTGTTGACAACGTTGGATCAAAACAAATGCAAGAAATCCGTCAAGCCATGAGAGGTGAGTAATAATTCCATAGCAAAGTAGTTCATTAGAAAATTGTATTTTCAGGACACGCTGAAATTCTTATGGGAAAGAACACCATGATCCGTAAGGCTCTCCGTGGACATCTCGCCAAGAATCCATCTCTTGAGAAACTTCTCCCATACATCGTCGAAAATGTTGGTTTCGTTTTCACCAAGGAAGACCTCGGAGAAATCCGTGGAAAACTTTTGGAAAACAAGAAAGGAGCCCCAGCTAAGGCCGGAGCCATCGCTCCATGTGACGTCAAGCTCCCACCACAAAACACCGGTATGGGACCAGAAAAGACTTCTTTCTTCCAAGCTCTCCAAATCCCAACCAAGATTGCCAGAGGTACCATCGAAATCTTGAATGAGGTTGGTTTAACCATGTAATATTTTTCTATTGTTATCTTTTATTAGGTTCACCTCATCAAAGAAGGAGACAAAGTCGGAGCTTCCGAATCTGCTCTCCTTAACATGCTTGGTGTTACTCCATTCTCATACGGATTGGTCGTTCGTCAAGTTTACGATGATGGAACCCTCTACTCTCCAGAAGTTTTGGACATGACCACCGAGGAACTCCGCAAACGTTTCCTCACTGGAGTCCGCAATGTTGCTTCAGTTTCGTTGGCTATCAAATACCCAACCCTTGCTTCCGTCGCCCACTCGTTGGCCGGAGGATTGCAAAACTTGTTGGGAGTTGCCGCCGTCACCGATGTCACCTTCAAAGAGGCTGAAACCATCAAGGCCTTCATTGCCAACCCAGGAGCATTCGCTGCTGCTGCACCAGCCGCCGCCGCTGCCCCAGCTGCTGCCGCTCCAGCCGCCAAGAAGGAAGAACCAAAGGAGGAATCCGACGATGACATGGGATTCGGACTTTTCGACTAAGTTTCGAACATTGTTTTCTGAATTTGTTGTTAATAAAATGTTGCAAAACAATTTTTATCGTAATCACGTTTCATGTAATGTCATTCTGTATACCTGTTACTCCTAATTTCTGCTCTTTTTCAATACGTTTTTTCAGTTACTGGCCCATTTCCTAAAGGATGCTGATCTTCAAGGATATTTTCAATGGTGGGTGAAAATCACTATTTTGGTGTTAAACGGTTCTATAAATCATAAGCTTATCCACACACCTTAAGTCATTTTGCTTGTAAGGATCTGATTTTGGTTCTTTGACTGTTGGAGTCGGCGTTTTGTCGATTCCAACATTCAGCCCAAATTTCAACCTTGTGCATAGCAAACTGGCGAGTTACGTGTGGAAGATAAAATTGTCATTTCTAATAAAAAGTTTTTGATTAGCCGTAGACGTGTTGCCAGATTCAAATACAGAAATGAAATGTCTTACATTACAGATGACGAACTCGCTTCCGACTCTTTCCCAATGAAGCTTGTCGATGGACTCATCTACGAATTCCAAGGCAAACACGTCGTCCGTAAAGAAGGAGAAATCGTTCTCGCCGGATCTAACCCATCTGCCGAAGAAGGAGCTGAAGACGATGGATCAGATGAGCACGTCGAACGTGGTATCGATATCGTTCTTAACCACAAATTGACCGAAATGCAAGTGTATGAAGATGTGTCCGCATTCAAAGGATACGTCAAGACTTTCATGAAGAAAGTTATCGACCACATGACCAAGGAACAACGTCCACAAGAAGAAATTGATACCTTCAAAAAGAAGATTCAAGCTTGGGTTGTCAGCCTTTTGGATAAATCTCGTTTTAAGAACCTCGCTTTCTTCGTTGGTATGTTTATAACATTTTATATATTGATGATTATATAATTATTTGTTTAGGAGAACGCATGGCTCAAGGTGAGGAAGGACAACTTGCCATCATCGAATACAGAGATGTCGATGGAACTGAAATCCCAACTATGATGCTCGTCAAGGAAGCCATTCTTTCCGAAAAGATCTAAATGGTTGCGCTTCATCTGTTATGTTTTTCCAATTTTAACCGTTTCATGAATGAATTTATATAATTCTAAATATACATATCGCTTGCTTGCAAATGAAAAATCACATAAATTATTGATGTTTTAATATCTGGTATACTACTACTACGGTAACCATCAGCTTGAAGTTACAGTGTGAATGGATCGAGAAACATCCGAGAAAATATTGTTTCTCTACAATGAAATTATGGATATGCGAAGTGTTGAATATTTTTCGAATGCAAACTTCGAAAAGCTCCCAAAGTCTTGGAGGAAATTCATAACTGAAGTTCAACTCAACGATCTTATTGATCTAGTAAATTTAAGAAAAATTGGTACAATTTTACCTCTTTCGATAATTTGTCTTTGTCAATTGTTACGAAGATTGACGTTTTCTCGAAAAATGGTCGAATCTCCAGAAGAAATGGAAATATTTTGGAAAGGAGAAGAAGATATTCGAAATATTGCTAGCTGTTCAAAATTTCGAGTCATAACATCTGAAGACATTTTCAGAAAACGTATAAAAATCAAAAAACAACATGAAATTGATCGAATTGTTGAATTAGTCAGGCAAATTCAAGAAAACAATTCAGGTTAGAAAAGACAAAAATAAGTATTCAAGAGGAGAAGGAAAACGAATTTCAGAAATTGAAAGTCTTGTTGATATTGGCGCCGGAATCGGACATCTTTCAAGAATTATTGCAGTTCAGAATAATTTAGCTGTTTTTGCAGTCGAAGGAAATGAACAGGTGAGATCTGTGATTTTCCAAAAAAAAACGCCCCAAAACTAACCTTTTTCCAACAATTTGGAGAATAAAATTAATCAAGAAATGATAGAAAATCACATAAATTTTATAATTTTTAAATATTAAAAAATTATTTGAAAGTCGCGTGAAAATCTATATTTTTCAGTTCACAATATCTGCAACTTCTCTCGATGAAAAACTTTCTCTAACTCCAACTTCACCCGTGAGATTCACTAGTTTCGTCACCGAAGAATTATCTGAAAAAATTGACGAATTTACAAAATCCCAATCAATTATTGTTGGTCTTCACACTTGTGGCGATTTTTCTTCGACGATTCTCAATGTTTTCAAAAAATCCAAGAAATCTACATGTTTGATTTTATTAGGATGTTGTTATCACAAAGAATATCAGTGTTTCAGTTTCTCCCAGCAAACTTCAGAGGTTACTGTTTTCTTTTTAAAAAATCTATCAATCTAAATAACAAAAAATTTCAGGCAACATTACCTTGTGGAGTATTTCCATTATCTCAAAAATGGAAAGGTTCAAAATTGAACTACACAAAAAGAGAGATGGCTTGCCATAACATTGAGAATTTGGAAGAGGTTCGAAATCGAAATACGAAAAGTTTTGCGCGATATGCGAGAGCTCATCTCGAAAAAATCATATGGAAAATTAGCGAGAATGAGGCGGATCGAAATATTGGAATGAGTTCGGTGAATTGTGGAATTGATATGAGATTTGGGGAATATATTGAAAAGGCGATGGCGAAACGAGGAAGTCATTTGATGCAAAAAGTATTGGAAGTAAATATTTTATTTTGACAAAGTTGCATATTCACAGCAAAAATTAGTATAGGGGTGCGATAAAGGAAGTTGAGATGTTTTCTGAAAAATTTTAATTTTTCCCAAGTATTTTCAACAAAACAAAACCTAGTTAGTTGTATCCATTGAATCGTTTGAATATTCACTACAATCCATTTCATAATTTGGCTCATCGATTTCCATTTTCTCTTCATTATTATTTTCTTCAAACTCCATTGGAATATCTGAAAATTTTGGTGTTTGAACAGCTGAAAATCGGTCTCAACTTCTAGTATGAATTATGACGTGGCAAAATTCCAAAAAATCGGGATTTTAGCTTTGAAAATAGCACAGGATTGTTCCGGAAATTCAGAAGGTTCATTCAAAAATCCGAAAAATTTTTCAGAAAAGTTTGAAACCTATCAGATTTTCATGAAAATCGCTTTTGAAGCTAGTTTTCAGCTGCTACAATCTTGATTTTTTAAACTTTGCCACATAACTCATATTAGAAGTTGAACTTTGCAATTTTAGACGGTGGAACCGTGATCAGCCGGTCAAAAACTACTAGAAACGATTTTTTGATAAAAAAAAAATCTAGACCTAATTTGCTTGTTAGGATAAAAAATTGCCCCAAAAAACTAACCGGTTAATTTTTTGGTGAAATCTTGAATTTTGAACATTTTGGTGTTAGTTAGTAGAATTTTATTCGGTAAATAAATGTGATTTTTATTTGAAATGTTCCCCAAAATTCCCCCCAAAAATGTTTATTCCAGCGCGCGCGCGATAGATCAAAAAATCTCGAAAACTTTGTTTCCAGAACACTCCCAAGGAATTGCTCGGTTTGCCAGTCTCCCAATTACCTCAAGAACATTTCGATAAAACCGACACAATTCGACTGATCTTCGCGCAATTGATTGAGTCTTGTATAATTGATGATCGAGTTGAATTTCTACGTGAAAACGGCTGGAAGACGAATGTTGTGCCGATTTTTGATCCGAAATTGTCGCCGAGAAGTTTGGCGATTGTTTGTAATAAAATTTGAATTCTATTTTTTGTTGGTGATAGAGAAATTTAAGTTTTCAAACTTTTTAGAAAAATACATCGAATCTGATTGTTTCAAGTCAAATTTCAGGTTTTTTAGAGGGAGAAAAATGCCAGCCGATGTTTGGATAAATCCGAAAATTTGTGTGAAATTCCCATTTGAACCTTATGAATGTCAGAGGATTTTTATGAAAAATGTGATCGATGTTCTTGATTCGGTTGGTTTTTTTTTGAATTTGAAAAAAACGGAGCATTTTGAACCTAAATTTAACCTGAATTCGAAAATCTTCTTTGAATTTTTTCGAAAAAATTTGCCACGTGGAAATTTAAAGCCTGAAGAAAAATTTCGGAATTGTTTTGTTCAACCAAACTTTTTTCCTTCATACGTTAAAATTTTGGAGCACTTTGAACGAAAATTTAACCTGAAAATCTGCAAAAATTCGAATTTTCTTTAAAATTTCAAAAAAAAATTGCCACGTGGCTATTTTCGCGCCAAAAGCATTTAAATTGTTGAGTAAAAACCGAAAAAGTTTCCTTGAAATCAGAAATTTGAATTTTTTAAATTAATTTTTATACCTTTTCGAATTTTTTTTTCCGAATTTTGAAAACCTCAAAACTAGACAGCAATTTTTTCCAGAAAATGGATGCCGCGCTAGAAAGTCCAACAGGAACCGGTAAAACTCTATCCCTCCTCTGCTCAACTCTGGCATGGGTTCAAAAACAAAAAGAGCAAAAACCAACAGCCGAATGGCAAATTCAACAAGCCGAGCAAAAATTGTCAGCAGAAGGAGGAATCAAGACTTCATTTATCCCAACAATTTATTACGCGTCACGAACTCATTCACAATTGGAACAAGTTGTACATGAATTAAATCGAACTGATTATAAATGGTATTAATTTATCTGAAATTTTAAAAAACCATATTTTTTACAGGGTGAAAACTACAATTTTGGGAAGTCGCGATCATTTTTGTATAAATCCGAAGGTAAAATCAATCAAAGAATCAAATAGACAATCGCATGTTTGTCGAGGAATGGTCTCGAAACGAAAATGTCATTTTTATAATAAATTCGACACGTTGGCCAATGATAAATTGGCTGAAATTGTTGAAACTGGAAAAGCGATGGATATTGAGGAATTGGTGAAAATTGGAAATACTCATAGTATTTGTCCGTATTTTATGAGTAGACAAAGAGCGGAAAATGCTGAATTGATATTGTTGCCCTATAATTATGTGATAGATCCGAAAATGAGGCGGAGATATAAACTGGATTTGAAAGATTCGATTGTGATTTTTGATGAGGCACATAATTTGGGTTGGTGCTTTTTTATGCGGTCTGCAAATGTTCGTGTTGTGCGTAAAATCTACATTAAAGCGCATTTAGGGTAATTTCGCTAGAGCGCGTTTGCAGTGATGTTTGTGTACTTCTCTCGGACGATTATTTATTTTTTTAAATTTTTTTTGTATTCTTTTAATAAACATGGGCTAATTTGATACTTCAAAAGAATTTTTCTTCACGCGGAAAAAAACAAGAAAATGCGCTCTAATGCGAATATTTTATGTGTGCAGATTTTACGCGCAACACCGTGACGAACATTTGCAGACCAACTTTTTCTTCTTCAAAAAATACTAACCCTTTAAACTTTATAGAATCAATTTGTGAATCAAATGCGAGTGCAGAAATCTCATCAACAGAAATTGCACTATGCATCCTTGAACTCAAAAAAGTATTGGCTCTTTTGGTTGAAGAAGAGGAGACCGAAAGAAATGAGGCTGATATCGCAACTGAAGCATTTGGAAGTGTGAAAATAGATCCAGCCAAGAAGTTGATAGAATATTTGCGAGTTGAAGATTTGATGGCAGTTCTTGAAAAAGTGTTTAGTCTGGAAGAGGAATTCGAAAAAATATGGAAGGATTTGAGGCAAATTGAAAATCTTGACGGGAAAGCGAGCAATGGTGAAATACTACTACAAGTATTTGAGCGAGTTGGATTGGATGGGAATTCGATTGAAAGAGTTGTGGATTTATTGAGAAATGCGACAACCTATTTACTATCGAAAGGAGAAGAAGTTAGTCTAACTGAAAAAGGAGATGGGATGGAGAAATTGTGCGATTTTATTCTTTCAATATTTTCGACGCATGCTCAAGAAGTTGCTGCGGCTGTTGGAGATTCGAAAATCAAGATGGCTGATCGAGTTGATCCAAGGGTGGTTGCGAGAAATTGTAAATTATTTATGAAGAAAGAAGGAAATGGAAAGGTTGGTTGGAAACAAATCGGGAATTGATTGAAACATTTTTACGGGTTTCAGAAAAATTGTTTCTACTGATTCTAAAATAATAAATTTACTGTATAGAAAAATCTGGAAAATTGATATAAATTTTCAAAAAAATGCCACGTAGCAATCGTCAAAAATCTATATTTTTGATACTTTTTTATAGTCAAAATCAGGAATTAAAAATTCAAAAATGGATTTTCTAAATGAAAAATTATGTCTCCAAACCAAAATTTCTGTTCACGAAAAATTATTACCGAAAAAAATAAGATTCCAAAAAAAATAATAATAAAATATTTATTCCGAAAAATATGGGGCAAGAATGAAAGCAGCATCAGCAAAAGAACCACAAAAATATGTGAAAATAAGAGATTTCACATATTTCTGTGATTATCTAAAAAAAAGAGCAGCAACAGAACCACAGGAATATATGAAATGATGGTCCCCCTCTAGCCACCAATTACTAGAGGTTTACCAACATTTCACATATTCCTATGGGGCGAAAACAGACAGAAAGTAGCGGGCAATCACAGAAATATGTGAAAATCAGAGATTTCACACATTCCTGTGATTATCTAAAAAAAAAAAGAGCAGCAACAGAAAGCACCCGACTCACGTGTTTCCTCCTCGGGAACGGCGGCGATGGCGGCGTATGGGCGTTGATGATTGGCATTGTTGATCAGCAGCAAATAGGTATTTAGAGTAAGGTAGGAATATTTGGATGTGAGTAAACAACCTTCTCGCCGGCTTCTTATATAGCATCTCTGAGAGATTTTATCATCACGTGTGTCACGTGAATAATGTAACAGCGTTTTTCATTTTGTTTTACTTTAAAAAATGGAGAATGACATTTCTAATCATCACGCGTGTCACGTGAATAATATTCTATCGGTGCTTTTTCATTTCTAATTATAAAAGATCGAAATGGCGTTTCTAGAAAATTCCGATCTGATGATCGCGGTTAAATTTTCTGAAAATTCTTCGACTGTGGTTTTTTTGTGATATTGTAATTAGTGATTTTACTGTTCAATTCGAGATTTTATTTTGTTCTGAGAAATGAAGTGAGTATTTTTGAGAGAATTGTGATTGGCAGGGCTTTTGGTACATTGGATGTTCGATTATTTTGTAATTTCAGTGTCAACAGACTCCAATTCCGACAATTTCAAAAATTTGATATTCTTGATCAGATCTCGGCTCAGATGTTTGTAGCCTACACAGTTTGTTTTAGTAAAGATGGAATTTGAGTGTGTGAAATTCTGAACAATTTTTGAAAAGTTTGGATTCAAAAACTACTTCGAAAAAAAGTAAAAACTCTAGTTTGAATTGCCGTATACAGTAATTTTCAAAATGTAAAAACACACGAAGGTTATCATTTTCGTTGACGGACAGTATCTGAAATTTTCAAATTTCCAGAATTTTTCCTAACTTTCTATGTCTCGCATTTCAAAATCTATAATTTTCATATTTTTTCAGACTGTCAAAAAATAAAAATTTTTATAAATAATTTTTCACGTGAAACCGTCGCCCAAAATTTCATTTCTAAATAAATTTCACAATTTTCATTTTCCAAAATGCTTCCAGACAATCATCAAATATTTCTGCTTCCAAGCATCAATTTCAATGCGAATGCTGAAAATGCGCGGAGTTCGAAATGTTCTTCTTGCCAGCGGAACACTTTCTCCAATTCAAAGTTTTACATATAATATGGGATTGTGAGTTATTTTGTTAAAATTTCCCTACACATAGTTTTTTCCAGAAACTTTGGAGCAGTTTTGGAAAATGAGCATGCGTTGAAAAGTGTGCCTGTGATCAGTTCTGTTGTTATGAGAGGATATAAATCTGGAATAACGGGTTCATATGCGAATCGAAAAAATGCGGATTATTTGTCAGATGTTGCTGAGACATTAATCCGAGTGCTAGGTTCGACACCTCAAGGAGTTATTGTATTTTTCTCATCTTATTCACAAATGGATGAACTTATCAAATATTGGAAATTGAATAAACGAGCAAATAATATGGAAAATTTTTGGGAGAAAATGATCAAATTGAAACATATTGTTGTTGAGCCACGTGGCAAAGATGAATTAGCCGCGATTCGAGCAGAATATGTGAAAGGAGTTCAGAATCCAATGGGCGCTGCATTATTTGCAGTTTGCCGAGGAAAAGTTAGTGAAGGTATCGATTTCTGTGACGCTGAATCACGAGCTGTTGTGATTATTGGGTTGCCATATCCACCGGTGAATGATGAAAGAGTTGTATTGAAGAAAATGTTTTTGGATGAAACAAATAAATCCAATAATCTACTACAATCATCCAAAGATTGGTATCAAATGGAGGCGTTTCGCGCTGTAAATCAGGCGATTGGCCGAGTTTTACGGCATAAAGATGATTTTGGGGTGGTTGTGTTGATTGATTCGAGATATGCCAGTGTCAAGTTGGAGATGTTTCCGAAATGGTTGAGGAAAACGATTGTGCGAGGAGATATTGAGGAATGTGCGAGGAAAATTGAGCGGTTTTTTGGGGAACGCAAAGAGATGGTGGAGACTTCGAGAAGTTGTTATACAAAACGGATGGATAGTAAGAATTGCAATATGTATAAACGGACAAAATTAGAGAGGTATCTATTTTGGAAGGGTTTTTTTAAAGGTGGAGTGCGAGTTAAACATACATTTTCTCAAGCCATTTTACACGCTGTTTCACTGTTTTCATGAACTTTGAACCTGTTTTACTAATGCCCTTCGAGGTATTGCAACTTTCTGTCTCGAATGAACCTAACATTGTTTTTATATCGGACTCCACCTTTAAATGCCCCGGAAATGAAGATTATGAGAACTTTCAGAAATGTTCAAATGCTGAAAATTGAGCTCAGAATTTATTTTGGCGGCGGAAAAATGTCGGGAATTCGGCCAAAGCAACAAAATGAGAGTTTTCGCAACATTAGAGCGAGTTAGCTCCGGCCGAATTCCCGACATTTTTCGGCCACATGCAATTTATTTTTTTTTGAAATTCACGTTCAGCTTCAAATTTTCCTGAGTTTCATTCATCAAAATTTGAACATAGTCAAATATGCCCATAATTTCATTCAAGTCGTTTAATAGTTTTGAATTTAGCTCAACTCCTTCTTCAAATCTCTTATCGCAAATCTCAATCGATGAATTATTCTCCTCTCCATCAACTTCTACAAAAATCAAAAAGGAAAATATCAAATTTGAACCCGAACCTTCTGGATTTTCTTTACCTACTGTGAGTACTGACATTTTTTTTAAATTTTAAAACGAACATTTTTTAGAACGAAGATGAGATAACTGGAAAAATGTATAAAAATCAATCAGATAATCTTCCAAATTCAATAAATAAAAATACATTTCGAAAACGACCTTCAACTTCAAATGCACTCTCAAAACAACCTCCAGCAAAAAAGAAAATCGTATTATTGAGTCGAAATGATAGTCTACCCCCAAAATATGAAGAAGCGCTGAGAATATCGACTTCGGAAATTGTGGAAAAAATGTCGAAAGAGTCGAAAAGTCAATTTGCGGCCACATTGAAAGCCTATAAATCGGAAAGTATTGAGTGGCAAGAGGTTTTCGAGAGATTTAAGACGATTTTTATTCCCAACAAACAATCGAATTTATTTATTGGTTAGTTTTTTTGGAGGGGGGTTGGATTTTGGGGTTCAAAAAAATCTGGAAAAAATTATGTTGAAAAACTTATGTTAAATCAGGTCATACATATTGCTCATGTTTAAAAAAGCTCTTTTCAATTGCTCATGTTAAATTGACATCAGATTGCTCATTTTATAGAGGTTATGCTAAATCATGTCATATTGCTTATGAGGCTTCTTTAAAATTGTTTTTTTTTTTCATTTCTGGGAAATTTTTGAAAATGCATGTTTCTAACACACTTTTCCGAATTACAAAATCCCAAAAAAATTGAAATTCAACATTTTCATCCCGCAAAAGTGTGTGCTTGTGTTTTATTTTTAATTTTTTTTTTCAAATTTATAATTTTTTTTTCGATTTCTTCTATTCTCAATTTCTAGGTTGCTCAAATATTCTTCGCCCAGAAGATCGTCCGAAATTCCTCAAATTAGCGATGGAAAAAAAGATACACTAAATCACTCATTTTATTGCCTTGATTTATTTTGTGAATAAATTACTTTTCGTTTTTTTTCGAGAGAGAGATTCTCATAAATAATAAGTTACTGAAAGTTGCTTCCACTTTACGAGCAAAAAAAATAATAACATAGATGGCTAATATAAGTAGAAAAGCTATTCGAGCATACAAAATGACCTAGAAAACAAGGAACCTTCTTCTCCTCCTTCTTTTAAAATTTTTTTTCTCGAAATTTTTTTGGAATTCTTTTTTTTCGATAATAAGTGGTTCCGGAAATACTCGTTTATTTTTGGACCGAAAATTTTGGTTCACCAAGTTCTTTTTTTTGTGAGATCATTTGAGCATTTTCTAATTAGTTCTACACTTTTTGCTCGTTAGCAAAAATTATTATTACACTTTTTCTCGCAAAAAACTTTGGGTTGTGAGAAACCTTTGAACATCTGGAAAAGTTTCGGAATTTTTTAAACGTGCTAGAAAAATTGATAGCCGACTTATTTTTGAAGTTTAACATGAGCAATGCTCAAAATTTTCGTCAAAAATCAGATTATTTTGAACAAAAATTAACTAATATGAGCAATGCCTTTTGATGAAGATTTTTCTAGTTTTGTAAATTTTCAGAAAACTTCAGACGTACAGTAGCCGAGCTGCAAAACTGAAATTTTTTTTTGCAGTTCGAGTTACTGTAGCTGAATCCCCGCTAATATGAACAATGGCTAATTTTGCTGAAATTTTTTGGGATTTTCAAAAATTTTAACTTCTAATTTACAGTAACCCGAACTGCAAAATTTTGAACTTTCTTGCAGTTTGGGTTACTGTAGCTGAATTTTTAAAAGTAGAAAAAATTTTTTAGTCAAATTTTTCTGGAGGTTAACATGAGCAATGCTCGATTTTTCATCGAAATCCGTTGAAAATGAGGATTCAGCTACAGTAACCCGAGCTGCAAAATTTGTATAATTTCTTGCAGTCCGGGTTACTGTAGCTGATTTTTTTAGTCAAATTTTTCTGGAGGTTAACATGAGCAATGCTCGATTTTTCATCGAAATTCGTTGAAAATGAGGATTTAGCTACAGTAACCAGAACTGCAAAATTTTTATAATTTCTTGCAGTCCGGGTTACTGTAGCTATATTCCCATTTTCAACAAAAATTGTGCATTGCTCATGTTACACTTCAAAGGTTTTTTGAGAAATTTTCAAAAACAGAAAAATTTGAAAATTTGGAAAATTCTTCAGAATTTCGACTTCTGAAAATCACAAATTCATAGCCAAATCCATCTCTCAAAACGTCGTGCAAAACAATTAATCAAATCGCAATCTAGAAATGAAAGATTCATGACTACAATTAGCTTTTGAAAATTGCCTGAGGGCAATTTTCGTATTGTTGTTTTTATTTTCTTTTCTCTGCGAGTGTACTTACTTAAAAGCTATACACTTTTTTCCTCATCATATATTTTTCACTTATAAATTCTGCATAACTTTTTTCCCCGCCCAATCAAACATTTTTTGGGGGAAAGGAAAAAAAAAGATGGGAGAAAAGCAAATGAGATTTTTTGAGATTCGAAAAAAAAACCGAAACTCCACACATTTTTCTCGATATCATATAGTTTTTTATTCGTTCATGCGTTCTTTTTCTTCTCTCCAGCTGTTGTCACAACAAATGTGTGTGTGAGGTTTTTTTCTTGAACGCGGATTAGTTACTCTCTCGGGTTTTTACACATTTTTTTTGACCACTTTATTTTTTTGTTGTTGTTTTTTTCTTGAAAAGATTAGCAAAAAATAAGGTTGAGATTTTTTTTTGAAATATTCAAGCCGGAAATTTCCCGAATTTTCCGGAAATGTGCCCGGAAAATCCGAAAAGTGATTTTCAAGATCGCAAAATTTTTTGGAAAAGTTTTTTTTCAGACACTTAAATTCAAAAAAAATGTCTGGTTTTTTTGGAACTGAATTTTACAACTAAAAATTTAGTCTGAAATTCAACATTTAATTTTTCTGGTTTTGAAAAATCCCGAACTTTTCCAGATTTTCCGGGTTATGAGCATTGCTCATGTTAATAGATTTTTTAACAATCTTAAAATCTACTCACAATTTTTAGCCAGTAGTTTTGCTCAAAAATGTCTTGCTCACGTGAAGAAATTTTGAGTATTGCTCATGTTAATATGAAAAATGAATAATTTTGGAGTCCTGGAAATTTTTGACCAGAAAATCTTTTTTTTATTAAAATTTAGGCTTGAAATGCTCAAAAATTCTGAAATTCCATCAAATTTAGCTATGAAAACGCAAAAATTCTGAAATTTAAGCTTTAAATGATCAAAAAATCTAATTTTTATTCAATTTAGCTATAAAAACTCAAGAATTTTTAAATTTGGGCTGAAAATGCTCAAAAATCTAATTTTTATCAAATTTAGGCTCGGTAGTCCTGAAATTCAGGCTCAAATCAAAATTAGACTCAAAATGAGCAGAAAAAAATCAGTTTTTTTTTTCAGAATTTCAAAAATAGCAATCGCTATTAAAATTTGGCTCCTACTCAAAATTATATTTAATGATATTCTTCCTATTTCAAATTTCGCTGCAATAAATTGACATCTTCATTAGTATTTCCCATCTGTGGTCTTCTCTTTCCTCCTTTCTTCTCCCCAAAAAGTGTTCAAAAATTCATTAAAGAATGTCCCGCTGGAAATTTCATTAGTTTTTGTGTTGTGCTATGTTTCAAATTAAAATAAAATATGTATGATGTTCTTCGAAGAAGAAGCTTCTCGTTTCCGAACTTCTGAAAAAAATAATCTTTGAAATCTTATAGCTAATATAATATATAAAATATCTGATGTTTTCTTTTCCCATCACTTTTTTGCGCATGAGACTTGAACAAAAAACAGCGAAAAAAACAACAAGAAGCAGCTGACGATTGGCCAATAAAACTAAACAAAACTATTAGTTTAACTTTTTTCAAAATCCGATCCGTGGGATCATTCATTTCCATTGCACTTTTTGTATACTTCTCTTTCTCGTCTGTTGTTTTTTGGCATTAGATATATGATATAAATTGAGATATTTTTTTGCTAGAATTCTGAACTTCACAGACTTTTGAAAGGAAAAATAGGAAAGTTTTTGGATTCAAAAACTTTTTTGGTCTATAATTCATTCCATGACTGAAAAATTTCCGATTGATACCAAATTTCTATAATTTTGAATTAGAAAATGTCAGATTTTTCATTTTTCAAGTCAAAAATCGGATTGTTTTCAAAAACAATTTCTGAAACTTCAAATGTGATATGTGATAAATTTTTTCGGATTTTGAATTTTTCTTAGTTTTCATAAGTCCAAAGCCTCTTATTCAAATTAGGCCCAAAACCTTAACATTAAGTTTAACCCCTTAATTAGGCTCAAAACCTTAATCAAGCTCAAAACCTTAACATTAGTCTCTAAACCCTAATTCAGGTTAACCCCTTAATTAGGCTCAAAACCTTAGTTAAGCAAACATTAGGCTCAAAACCTTAAAATTAAGCTTCACCCCTTAATTAGGCTCAAAACCTTAACAACTTCTGAAAATTACTACTGAACGAATTTCCTCTTATTTTTTTCTGAAAATTTCTCTATCCCCTTCGGTGCCCCGGATTTTTTTCAAAGAGAAAAGTTCCGAATTTTTTTGAAACTTTTTCTCGATTTTCCGAAAAATCTGGATTCCGAACTTTTTCACCTTCTGATTCGGAATTTCAAAATTCTAAAAATCAATTCTGGCTAGCCCTAACTTTTGACCTGCGAACACTTTTTTTTGCCGCCCAAAAATCTGCTTGTCACACAAACAATAACAGATATTTTCTCATGGGACCGATTCACTTTCACTTCGCAAGAAGACAAGACAAGACATTTTTCCCAACCCAACAAAAAACGCACCGAATAGCCAATGAATTTTAAATTTTAAACTCGTTAACTCACTCTCCACGACCTCCTACGGTGTCAGAAAAAAATGTTGCATAAACAACTGGAGGCGGAGACAAACAACAACATTTTTAATTATTTTTTCCACTCTCCAAGTTTTCGCGGAAAAAGCTGGCTAAAAACAATTTAGCCCAAGTTTAACACCTGGTTTTTTTCGACAATAGGATTAGACATTTTTATTTCTGAATTGAACCGGAAAGGCATTTCTACTCTACTTACTTTTCCACTTGATTTCATTTATTTCGAAATTATTTTTTTTCTTACCTCAGGTTTCGTGTTCGTAGGAAATGTGCAGTAAATGACGAAAATGTTATTGACTGCATTATTTTTGGCGTGTTTCCCAGTTCTGATCAAATCAGATGAATGTGCTGAAAGATGCGAGAGGCTTAAACAACGATCATTGGAAAGAGTTGGATATGATGATGAGAGGTGGGGTTCTGGGCCCGTTTTCGGCCGTTTTGGGCTTCAATTTCCACGTGGATTACAGAAATTTCAGTTTCAGCTTAAAATTTGGAGCATTTTAAGTATGAAAATGCTAGATTTTGGCCTCTAAATGCTCCAAATCCCACGTGGATTCTAAAATTTTCGAGTTTCAGCTTAAAATTTGGAGCATCTTGACTACAAAAATGCTGATTTTCAGAGTTGAATCATTATTCGAACGACAACGACCACTTGAATCGCTCAAAGATATTTGCTGGTAAGAAATTTTTTTATTGATTTTTTAAAAAAATTTCAAATTCAAAATTCCTTTTTTTCCAGGCGACTTTACGACAATATTGATTGCATGAAAAAATGCAAACGATCCGAAAAACATGCTGCTTTTACTAAAATTATTAGGAATAAATGCAAAAATGTGCTTTACGGTAAGTACATCTATTATCCAAAAATAAATTTTATATAGTTACCAAAAAAAATGATTTTCAGATATGGAACCAACATTAAAATGTATTTCAAAACATCAATCATTTCTAAAAATGAAGTGTAAATCGTATATCGATGAAGCATCGAAACTTCGCGCTGAACAGGATATAAATCAAACACCATCTCGAGATGTCTGTCAATTTCTACATTTTAATACAATTTGTTTGGAAAATGATGTGAATAATTATTGTGCAAATGGAAAAGCGATTTTTAGAAGATTGAAATTCCGCGATTATTTTTTAAGTTTTCTATTGCCGAATGACGATGATTTATTTGATGATGAAGATTTGGATAGTTGTAGAATTTATGATTTTGTAAAAGATGATGAATTGAAACAAAAAGAAGAGGAAGAATTGAGAAGAGAACAAGCTAAACGATTGAGAATTGATGATGATTATGATTATGAAGTTTGTTTTTTTTTTAATTAATAAAAAATCTATTATCAAAAATCTCCTCCACCGAAATAAACACGCAACGCAGAGGGAACGATTCAAATTCCCTTCATTTTTTATGTGTGTTGTGGCGCGACGCGGTCTGCGTTGCGTGTTTATTGAGATTTTCGATATGATTTATCAGAATATTTTTTATTTTAGGAGGAATTGACAACTGTTATAAATGGTATTGAAGACGAGGAAACAACAACTATTGCTCATTTTGATACTTCAACAATTTCCAGTCAAAAAGCTGAAAGTGTAACACCAGATACAAAGGAGTTTACTGAAATTATTGATGAAATGATTGATTCGTCAAACATGGCAACTCAGATTCAAACGACTGCAGAACCAGAAGATGAATATTTCGATGAGGAAATTGAGGAGGAATATGATGACAATTCAACACATCCAACTATTAATGTTGTGGCGATTGAAGACAGAAAATCGACGTATGAAATTGAAACGACGACTCAGAAGGATCCATCAACGTTTCCATTGAGATTAACGCCGCCACTTGCTGAGATAACGACTACAACTGGGGAAACAACCGCAGAGACTAAGAAGAAAAAAGTGTTTTCGGATGATTCGATGGAATTTACACCACCGAATTTCTTTTATTCATCGAGTCGATTTGATACAACAACAAGATCCAATTATGTTGTGGATAATATCGATAAAAGCGTGAGTTTTGAATATGAATTCCTCGAGAAGTACACACGTGTGCAATAGAGCGCACTTGATTGTCTGTGTGTTATGTTTTTGATACAATTTTTTTCCAAAATCAGGAGATTTTTTAGGAGAGTACTGAACCGATGGAAATTGACACAACGACATTATTTGGAATTGAAGAATCTTCAGAAGAAGAAAAAGAGCAGAAAACGACAAAAATGGAAGATAGAAATCCTTGGATAAATAGTGGAGAAGTGATTGTGAAACCAATTTTAGGATTCGATGAAAAAGATGTGGATGCAGGTCAGAAATCACTGATCATTTTTTTTCTTATCGCTGATAAATGTTCGTTTCTTTACAGAAGAAGAGAGAGAACGAAAACATCGGGAGAAATTGAGAGAACTTCAAAATAATCAGAATGATGGAAATTTGGATTCACCCGAAGAAATCAGTCGAACTCAAGATTCATCTACAACATCCCCGTCACTCACTTCATTCAATGAAACAATTGTTGCAGTTGCTCTTTTAGGAATTGTATTTTGCAATTTTCATTATAGTTTTGCTTACTTATTTTTGCACATCTGCTCGACGATCCACTTATAATGTTCAGAAAAATGACAATTCTGCTGCTTGAAATTCCGATCTTTTTTATATCGAAATATACGTGTATTTCTCGTTTTTTTTTCGAAGAATGATAATGAAAATTTATGATTTTATGTTTCTTTTTTTACTGCTTGTGTTTTGTTCGGCTTCAAAACTGTGATACTTTTCAAAAAAGGGAAATTTTCAGGAAAAACATTCTATTTTTATCTATAAATTCTCTAGAACCCACTATTTAATAATTAGGAATTTATTAGTGTACACATCTGCAACAAGCACACAAACAAATTACGTGCATTTCAACGCGTGACCTAGAATCCCGACGGTTTTCTAGGTCACACAAAAATATTTTTTTATTTACACAAAAAAACAAAACAATTTTTTGTCAGCGCCAAAAAATTTTGACGGTTTGATATTGTACGAATGTGATGCTGAAAAGGAAATTAATTGAACAAGTTCGTCGAAAAAATACGAGAAATTCACGATGGAATGCTGATGCTCATCTCAGGTATGTTGGTTGTTTACAAGCTAAAAATATAATCAAATAGTTTTAGAGCTCATGAAAGAACATCGAATATTGAAGCAGATGCGATTGTTAGAGTGGATACATGTCAATTAGCAGCTAATAATCCTATTGAAGATTTTTATTCGGCTGCAAAATGTCTGTCTAGTCGCGCATTTCTTTTCGGTGTTTATGATGGACACGGTGGCCAACAATGTAGTCGATATATTTCAACCAATCTATTTCCATATATTTGTGCGTCAGTTCTCAAAAAACACGAGATTGCTGAATATCCGTCAGCCGAACGGCTTGAATGGCTTTTCAGCAGTTCCGACGGCCATCTGCCAAATGCATTCAGCGAAAAACACACTGAAAATATAGTGAAATATCATAAAAAGTTTCGAGCGAGTCAGGAATTGTATCAAGGAACGGTGAGAGAGGCGCTGAAATTGGCTTTTGAACAATGCGATGAGGATTTGTCGAGAAATGCGTTGCCAAGTGGAAAAGGGATTATCGATCGATTATCGGCGATGATTGCGGCTTCTGGTTCTTGCACAACGTTGGCACATATTCGAGCAAGACATTTGCATGTTGCAAATCTTGGAGATGCTGCTGCTGTTCTAGGTTTGTTTTAAAATCTGAAACACTTCTCAAATCGTGAATTTCCAGGAGTGGTGAATTCAAATGGAAGTGTTACCGCTCGCCAACTTTCGCGAGCCCATTGTGTCGATAATGCAGACGAAGTCCATCGAATTCGAACATCTCACCCCGCTTCCGAATCTCAAACAGTTCTTCGCGGCGGTCGCCTTCTTGGCGAACTCTTTCCACTTCGCGCATTCGGTGATGTTCGTTATAAATGGCCGTTGGAATTGCAAAAAGTTGTGCTCGAGCCATTCGGACATCCACCGCCCTATCATCTACTCACACCACCCTATCTCAGCTCATCTCCCGAAGTTTTCTATCACAAATTGACAGCAAATGACAAGTTTTTGGTTTTGGCAACTGATGGATTATGGGAATGGTTGGATCCGGATACTGTTGTGAGATTGGTTCATGATCATACACTTGGAACAATTACACAACAACCATATGTTCCGAAATCTGGAACTACTTTGAATGAGGTGAGCGAGAAATAGGGAGATTTTAAACCTTCGAATTTTACGTTTCAAAATTTTTGTTTACGGTTATCTGTAGTTCCAAAATTGCTTTTCGAATGATATTTCGAGGTGTATAATTTTTGTGTTTTCTGATCCCTAGATCCCCATAGAAACCCACAATTTTCAGAATTATTTTACAAATATTTCACAGACCAAAATCATACTTTTCTAATTTTTTGAAACCTGCAAAACTTAGGTTTCAAAAAATCGATTGATCCTCAGAAAATCTTATTTTCAATTGAAACTCAAAATTTATTCCAGGTTCGCGAACAACTTCGAGACCGTGCTCAAGGCGAAAAGAAGACGAAAAAACCAATCGACGAGAACTGCGCGACCCACATAATTCGCCACGCTTTGGGTGGTGTCAGCGGCGGCGCCACCAAACAATACGAACGTCTCATCGATATTCTCCAAGTTCCACCAGGCCGTGCTCGAAATTATCGCGACGATATCACTGTTATTGTGATACACTTCAATGACAGCTATTTGAAAAAGTATGATAATAGTGAGGAATGATGAGGAATGCTTAGCTTGTGCCTTTTTCTGCCAAAAACAAAACCCCAGCCATGATTTTCTATAATCACCGGTATTTCATAATAACTTTTTTTGCTCCAACACACAATAGGGTCTTTTTGTATTTATTAGAGATTCGCTTTGTATATATAATTATATAATTCTATAATGAACCAACATTTGGATACAAAATAGTTTAGGGACGAATGTAATGAAATGTGAGATTATATACATTTGAGAAATAAGATCATCAAGAAATTTAGCGCATAAATTGTTGTTGGCCTTGTTGTTGTTGTTGTCCAGAAAAGCCTTGTTGTGGTTGCTGTTGTTGGCCACCTTCAAATCCACCCTGTGGTGGATAACCGCCTTGATATCCCGGGCCGCCATAAGGACGAGCACCACCCATTTGTGGACCAGGTTGGCCGGCAAATTGGCCATATTGTTGCGGTGGTCCACGCATTCCTTGTTGTGGTTGTTGTTGCTGCTGTTGATACATCATTTCTTGATTCGGATATTGATGTGGTGGTTGCATTTGTGGATGTTGACTTGGACTTGCTGCAAAAAATGGAATTTTGAAAGTCTGAGCAGAACCCTCACCTGAATGATTTTGTTGTGGAGGTGGAGCAAGTTGCTGTTGTTGCTCTTGCGCGTGTTCTTCCTTTAAAAAATGTCGGTTATTTATAGCGATTCAAGTAACTATGGAAATGAAAATGATGTGGATGTTTGAGAAAGAAGATCAGCAACAAAATTTGTCATAATTTTTAAATTTGTGTTTTCTTCGATAAATTAAGTATAAATTTGAACAAACCCTCATTTGTTGTGCTAGAACTGGATCAGCCAAATTCGCCAAATGCATCAAATTTCGATGCAAAAGTTGTTGATGTTTAATGGCATCCTCTGCTCTTCCCTGATTCTGAAATTCGGTCACAATATCGATTAGCCGCGAATTCTCATCTAATAATTTCTGAACTGTCGCCTGTTGATCATTTGGACTTCCTCGCATATTTGGTGGCAGATGAACTAAAGACATTTTTCTGGAAAACATTTTTTTTTTGAAAGTTTTTCGAGAGAAAGGGAAAACAAATAATGATTTCGGGAACTTTTTGTAACCGCATTTTCAGAGAAAAATGATTTTAAAGAAGACTAAGATTTTATGTATGTACTTATGAAAAAAACTATATGATTTATTTAGTTCCGATGCGAGTTCTACGATTCCACGCGAAATTTTGACCATAATTTTTTGGCTTGATTTGACGCTCATGTGGCTCTTCGATATCGAATTCCCAACGATTCTTCTCGCAAAACGCGATAGCGTCTTCTTTTGTTGCGAATTTCAAATCCATTGAGACATTTGAGAGGGGGTCAGCGCTAAACAATTTTTTTGAACAAAAATTAAAAATTTCCAAAAAAAAACTTACGTTCCTGACCATCCCATCAATGGATTCTCCCATCTTTGACGATTATCCAACTCGATTCTCCACAATTTAGTGTTTCCCCATGGGCTTTGAGTGGCCTCTCTTGCTGGACGGAAAATGCGAGCAGTTCTAGCTTCTTGATGTGCAGATGGAACACCGCCAATATCCATCGTCTCGTCGGATGATACATTTACTGGAACTTTTGGTGATTTTGTCTCCAAAATGTCGTTTACATCAATCTTTTTGGCTTCGTGCGATCTTGTCACTGGCAAGTTATCTTTACCCGAAGAAAAGCTGCGCAATGCGGTATTCGTTGCTTGGAAACAACGAGACACACTGGTTCGAAGCATCTGAAACGTTATTTATAGATTTAACGAAATTATTATCTTTTCAAGAAAACACAGGAAAGACAGGAAAAATGCGCCGCAACTACGACAATACGCTATGCCATGTTTGCCCCTTGTTTAGCAGCACGTTTTGTTCACAAACGAATAATCACACATCTATGATTCCCATCAAGTTTCCATTGGAAACGCGGTTTCACGAAAGGAGGACGGAATTGCTGTCCTACTTGTCCTACTCGATGTTTTTAAATGGAAGTTTGATGAGTTCATTTTACTCGATTCACTCTTAAAAGTCAATAATGTGATGCCTGACAACAGAGAAAAAGTAGAAAAACTGAAAAAACTAAAAATGAGCAAAATGGAAAAACAGGCGTTTCAGTTTTTCTTCAGCAGGTAGGACAAGTAGGACAGCAATTCCGTCCTTCTTTTCAACGAAAAACAATTGAAAATTAAAAATTTTTTTCTGCGAGAAGTACATAAATTGGTGTTCGTTTCGAGATATTTTTCCAAACAAACTCCTCCCTTTAAAATATTTACTGTAGATACAGTAAAATCGTGGCAAGACCGTAAATGACGCAATTCGTAATTTTGACAGCATTTTTTCCAGACTTTTTGCTAGGCCTACTCGGCTGAAATTTTGAATTCAGAATTTTTCGTATATATTTTTAGATGGGATTAATGTTCCAAAAAAGTGTCTTTTTCCAGAAAATGGAAGAAGAAATCATCACATTGAGCAGCGATGAAGAAATGGAAGAAGAAGCTGAAGACGAGCAAAATGTCTATGAAATGGAGCAAATTTGCGATGTCCGATATATTAATAAGCAGCTTCAATTCAAAATAGCTTGGGTTTCTTCAATCGAAACAACTTGGGAACCAGAATCGAGTTTCATAGGACCTGAGAGCATTCAAATGCTTGAACAATTCAAAAATGCGAATAAAGCAAGGATCGATGCATTTATAGCTGGTCCAGAAAAACGAAAAAGGAAAACAGTGGTTGAAGTGGAAAATGAAGAGGAAGAAGAAGATGAAAGTAATGAATCGGGAAGTACAGAAGAGGTAAGAGTTCGGTGAAAAATTTTCAAATATTTGAAAAGTAAACAGGATTCACTTTTGGCGCCAAGAGAATTAACTGAAGAGGATAATTTTTATGGTAGACCTGTGAAAGAATTACAAGGAGAAAGCAAACGATTATTTGATCCTACACACAGACAAACTACAACTGATTTGGTAACTTACCATTTTTCTTCGCTTTTTGTGTTTGTGTTCCTTAATCAGCTAACACCTTTTCTGTAAAATGCACGGGCGAAAAATATTTTTTTTTCGAAATGAATGACACGTGGCGTGGAAAATGTCCTTTTTTCGCATGTAAAAACTGAACTTATTTAGCGATACTGATGTTTGAATTTCAGCTTTTGGCAAATATCAGTGGAAATGGAAGAATTTCGAGAAGCAAAGCGGCCGAATTGAAGAAAACCGCGAGTGATTATGGAAGTGGAGGAGAAAGTCGATCACAAACACCATCGAAACTTGAGATTGTTCCTCCGCCGCCAATTTTAGAAGTGGAAGAAACAAAACAAGTGAAACAGAAAACACCTCCAAAGAAAAGAGGAAGAAAAAAGAAAGAAGAAACTGTAATTCCTGTTGAACCGCCAAAGAAACCTAGAATTCCGAAAAAGAAACCAGAAAAAGAAAAAGTCACGCGAGATCTCGATGTTTTTGATGCGGAAGATGAACCAACAGTTTCAAGGAAACGTGTTATGATTGATGAAGATGAAGATGATGAAATCACCAGGCAACGATCAGAATCTCCAACAACTCAAAAACCAAAATATTATGCAAATCGAAACGATGATGAAGATGAATCTGAAGTATTATGGGAATTGAAAATAATGAAAGTCAGCAAAGCAGATCCCGAGAAAAATATCAAAAATATCATTGAAAATATGGATTGCAAAAAAGGCAGACTGATCGATGCAATTTTACGAGAAGATTTGATGTCTGCGAGAATGATAAGTAGAAAAATGAGTATTCCTGAGATTCATGATGTGGTTCTTCATTGGAAAGATCAATATGGAAAACCGCTTTTGCACACAGTAAGTTTCTATTGCTGTGAGTGAAATAATTATTTAAATTTGAAAAATTTCAGTTGATCAATTCGTCAAGACCGAATTTGAACGGAAAAAGTACAACATTGGCAACAATTCGATTCGTTTTATCGTAAGATTTTGTTTTCGTGACCAAAAAAATCAACAAAAAAGATTTTCAGCGTCGCTCGTCAATTTATTTTCTGTGTTCGTGACGATAGTGAAAATATCGCAATGCATGAAGCAGTTCGAACAAGAAACTTCAACATTGTTAAACTTTTGGCGAACAGCGGATCGAAATTAATGGAATTGAATAAGAAAAAACAATCGCCATTTGATTTGGCGATTTTGAGCAAAGACCTGCGAATTATTGAATTTCTATTGAATCGAGGTGTCACTTATCATCATTTATTACGAAAAATTCCAGTTACACCAATCAGGTAAGCTATTTTTTTATTTTTTTTCAAATTTAATTATTTATTAAAAATATTTTCAGCGAAATCGTTCATTCAAATCCTCCAATTTGGCAAATGATCGATAAAAAGAACAAATCGTTGGAACGAGATTTGCAGAGATGTCGAAGAAAACTTTATCGAGGGTATATATTTTTTATTTTTTAATCTTGAATTTCACAGATTTTTACAGACGACTTCAAGATATTTGCGTAGTTTCGGATATTATGATTTCTCCACGACATGATGATAATGACATCAAATTTGAGGTGAGTTTCATCTCAAGCGGTGTATTTTACCACCAAAATATTTTTTCAGTTTGAATATAATGCTTCAAGTCCGAAAAACGATGATCAAGGACATTTCTTGATTTTATTACCGGTTTTCTATAGTTATACACATAATCGATGGATTGCATCTCCAAATACGATGAAACTGAGAGATCCTCCAGTTTTAAATGAGAGATGGTTGACGCATGCGCAGAATCGAAGGAATCCAAATATTTTTTATGCTGTGCCACTGTTAGGAAAAAATGTTTTGGAGATTCATATGTCCAATACAAATTGGTAAGATTTTATTTTTTTTGTTGTAGTTCAAAAAAATCAATCAATAATTTTAAGGGATCGAGAAATGGCAATAACTGCACATTTGGCTCGATACGAAACTGTCAAAACTCCTCCGCCTACAGCTCCTTCAAATCAACCATCAACTATTCCGCCACCACGTAAACCTTATAATGCACCATCTTCCTCATTCCAACCAAATCGTCCAAAAACATACAGTAATTATAACCAGAAAAAATATTAGATTCAATCGGGTCAGTTTTCCTAAGTTTTTTGTTATATAATGTTAAATAAAATTTATTATAGCTTATTATAGAAGAGAAGAGATCTTAGTGAATTTTTGGAACTAGATTAAGTTATGAACATTGAGCAAATAGGCAAAATTTCTCGGATTATTCAGCTTTTTCATGATTCTCATCATATTCCTCCTCGTCTTCTTTTTCACTTTCCTCTTCATCGTCTAACAAAGGATCTTCGTCATCTGGATAGAATTCATCTCGATCAACGGAAAAATCAGCAGAACAAATGCTGAAAATTTTTAGTTTAGGAATATTCTATTTTTTTTTTCTAAAAAGAATCAGCAAACCTGTAGCAAATAATACTCAAAAAAGCGATCGGAACTCCAAAAAGACAACTCGAAAGAAGTGGCTGCGTGGCAAACATTTGTGCAATATTCCAATAAAACTCGAAAACCATTCTCTTTATTCTTGTAAACAAATCTCTTCCACCAAACGCAACAACAGTTCCCTTGTCAACAGATTCAGCAAGTTGTTTCAAAAAAACCAAAATCGAATTCTTCGTCATTTTTTGAGGCTCATCTTCTGTCAAATAATATTCATAAGTTGTATAATTGAAGACAAACAAATGCGGCGCTTTGATGGTTGTCATTTGAATTTGTGACGCTAAATCAGATCCATCGAGCCATGCAAATTGAAAACGTTCCCAAAGTTTTCGATCTTTTCGCAATTCTTTTGACGCACTTTCAACCAGAGAGTGGAATTTTTGAATTTCCGATGATGTGTTGTATTTTTCCAGCTAAAAATTTGAAATTTAATTTTTTTAAATCACACAAAAATTTGCAAAATACCTCATTTGATACCGCCAAAACAACAAGTTTCCCACTTGCCCCAATTTCCGCCAAATTCGCCGAAGAAGCCGCCACAAATCCAGGCCATCTTTCTCTATTCACCCAATGTTCCAATTCCTCAACATTCCCAACAAATTCGAATTCAGCATTATCCTTCAAAACACAAATTCTTGTCTTGAATCCCTCTTGATTTTCCTTGTCTTCTGATAAACTATAAAATCGGACCAGCGAAAACATTTTATTGGAGATTTCTTGGAATTTTTCGTATTCAGCGCCGCTCGGTTTTCCATAGAATATGAAAGATGGATCGGTTCGAGAATCGAGTTTTACTTTATCCAATTGTCGACGTGTTATTTTTTCAATTGTTGGGGCTGCACATCTTTTAGCAAATGAGACAAGAGCATCTCTTTCACGACTTCCACGATAATCAATACGTTTACCATTTCGGAAGCTGAACATAGAAATTCTGATTTTTTAAAATTAATTTTCACTACGGTATACACAAATTTGTGCATTTGTGCGTCGCGGTGTTTACACATTAGTTGGTGATTTCAGCGGATTTTCAACGTATTCTCAACATGTTAGAGGCATTTTCAGAAAACGCTGAATATACCATCTGATTCGTCTCGTCGAGATGAATCAGGAAAATTTTTACTTTGTTTCTGAAACGCATTCTCAAAAAAGTTAAACTAAATTCTGAGCAAATCAAAGGCGCACACATTTTTCGAAAGGGTGAGGTCTCGCAGCGATTCCAGTTTTTCACGTTTTTCTACAAGAAAACGCCAAGGCTTCTACTACACTTATTCCAAGAGAAGAGATGAAATTACAAACTCTGAATCACATCAAGATGAATTAGGAAAACTATTTACTTGTTTCTGAAACACATTCTCAAAAAAGTTATGGGTTGAAAATCAAAGGCGCAAACATTTTTGGAGGTCTCGCAGAGAATTTTCAAAAAAAAAACTCACAAAATAAGTGTTGGATATCCATTGATTCCAAGAGAATTCGGAACTGACGGGAAACGAGTGCAATCTAATTTTCCCACCCGGATCGGTAGATTTGTATCAGCTAATGTATGTCCAACTTGATCCCAAACTGGATGAAGACGTTTACAATGTGCACACCATGGAGCATAAAACTACAAACAAAGTTCTTATGAAAAATCAATTAAAGTTTCATTATCTCACCTCAATAAACCACATTCCCTCATTTTTGACCTCCACAAATTTCTCATTCAACTCCAAAACCGAAGATGGAATATTTGAACATAGACAGAATGTAAATAAAACTGCGAAATGTATAAATAGAATCCGCATTTTCGCAGAATTCTAAATAGTCAATTTCCCTGGCTTTACACAAAAAAATCGAAACCAAACCAAGCAGAATGGTGACTGGCGCATTTTTCGTGTCGTTGGCGCATTTGGTGTCGAATTGTGGGCTATTTAACATGCTGTGAGAATTCTCTAGAAATGAACAAAAATAGAAAGTACCTAGAAAAAACGTGAACGTGTAAAAATGCTACGTTTTTCTTGGAAAAAAAAATCATTTTCATAAATAATGGAGTGGAGAAATGATGTTTTGAGTTTCAGCGGTTTTGATTATGGTGTTGCATTGAAAAATAATGGTATGAAGTTTTGTATCACTTGAAGACTTTCAAATTTTTTCAGAAAATAAATTTGACCAATTATCAGAGATACAAGAAATAAGCGAAGATGAAATAAGCCGAAAATCGGAAAATGTTGAAAGGGATAAATATTTGAGAACAACTTGTATGTTTTCAAATCACACATTATTTATCTGAAAATCAAGTTTTTCAGATATAAGTTCGTTGTCAGATGAAATTGCAGAATCAACAGCAATCGAGCCCAATTTGAGTATTGAGGAAAATGCGAAAAAAGAAAAAGCTAACACAAAACGGCTGGATTTTGAGGCAATTAATGAGAGAGCTGTTGAGAATTTGTATTTTAGAAATGTAGAGCAAGCGGAGAAGAAATGTATGTTTCATGAATTTAAATTATTTTTACGAAAATTTAAGATTTTCAGTGACAATGATAAGTCAGATGCGGAATAAATGGCGTAAAGGTGAGATGATAAATCGATCCCAATTGAAAACAACTCTTCAGCCGAATCCATGGAAATTTGAGGATGAAATGGTCACAACTATCGCGAAAACTAGTCAGAATAATAATTCTTATAGATGTGGATGTATAATTAGTTGATGAAAATAAACTGAAGATATTAAAATTCGAAATTATATCGAAAAGATTTTAAACAGAATCAACAAAATTTGAGTTTATTATTCATAACAAAAATGTATTTTCAGCCAGATTTTCTGTTCTTTCTCTCCAAAAGTTGGCGGATTTTGTTTCGAATAGATTGATTATCCTCAATAAGATTTCTGAAATATAAAATCAAAATTTTTCAGAACACTCCGTGATGAAAAACTTACAACATTCCAAGTTTAAACCACTCTGGTAATTCAGCAATTTTGAGTTCCTCCACAATTTCCATCTCCAAACATTCGATACTTTCTCGATCTTTTGCGTTGATGTGGCGAGTTCGCATAACTTCTGCCAAACTCTTATGCTCCTTACAATTACAATTGTTTCTTTTTCCCGATTGTGAAGGATCCGCATTTTCAATCACTTCAGCTAAATCTTCAGATTTTGCAACGGGATTCATCTGAATGATTTCATTATTTCGAAATAGCTCTGGTAAAAACAACCAACCCTTTCTGAAATTTCAGCAAACAGCGACCAAAAAAAAAAGAAAAAAACTGCGCGTACAGTAAAATGTAGCTGCAGAATGTGTGCAAACACACACTGCGTACCGTACACCGCGGAATGTTTTTTCCGAAGATTTTTTTCTAGTTTTTTGGAAGTTTTCACCAATTTAGAGCTTTTAAAATTTTATTCATAGGACAAAACGAGAATTATTATTATTGAGACACATTATAAATGAGTTGTAATTGGTCCAAGATTTTGGAGTTCATCATCATTCAAAATTGATTCACCAGTAAAGCGAGGAGATTTGTTAGTGGTCGAAGTCGGATCTTCGGAAGATTTCAAATCCGGTGTTGAATATAATATTCGACAAGTAATCCTTGTCAGGCTATCTGTAAGAATTTTTTATAAATTTTTTTTTTTTGCAAAAAAAAACGAAAACAAAACTTGCCATTTAATTTAACTAAAAATGATGGCATTGTTTGAGGTCGTTTGAAGATCAAATAAATCACGAGTCCAATCAAAACTAGAATAACACCAACAATAGTTTCCATAGTTTCCTCAACAAACGGCACAATAACAAGTGCACAAGTGAGAAACCAGAAAACGATCGAAAATATCAAAGGAACATGAATTGCACCGGGTGCGACTTCGATTTTTCGAATTCGAATCCAAATCAACGCGGTCATTGTGACAGCTTTTTGTCCGAAAATAACGAATGCGACATAAGTGATTAGTTTGTCAGTGTTCACAAATGAGATTAGAATTGTGAAGATGAGTTGGAAAAGGAGAGCAGCTCGTGGACTGTTTGATTCTTCGTTGATGCAACTCAGAAATGTTGGCAAATGTCCTTGGCGAGCGGCGGCGTGGGTGAATCTGCAAAATATTTATGCATTTTTTTTCAAAAATTCCTAAAATTCGAAATTCAAGCAGAAAATTGACTTGAAAAATTTCACATTCAAATTTTTACAGTATTTACCATTGCTCAGGTTATTGTAGTTTTTGACAATCGATAAACGAATCGAACATTGAAAATCCAAAATTTATTTCAAAAATTTTCGAAACGTATTTTTTTCTGGTTTTTTTGTGAACCGAAATTCCACATGACAGAGCTATAAATTTGACGCCAAAAATTTTCAACAATTAAATTTCTACAGTACCATTGCTCAGGTTACTTTAGTTTTTGTAAGTTTGTAATTTAATTGAGAAAAATATCGAAAATTGAAAATCCTAAATTGATTCATAACATTTTCGAAACGTATTTTTTTCTGGTTTTTTTGTGAATCGAAATTCCACATGACAGATCTATAAATTTGACGCCAAAAATTTTCAGCAATTAAATTTCTACAGTTCCATTGCTCAGGTTACTTTGGCTTTCAGTGAGAATTCAAAAATTTTTGAAACATATTTTTTCGCGCCCAAAATCAATATCAAGGCGGCGTAAATCTGGAGCCTCGTAAATTTTCAAAACAGGTGTAAACTCGGAGTATCGTTGTATCATAGAAAAGTATTTTTAAATGTATGAAAAATGTTTTACAACGATACTCCGTTGAAAAATTCCGGTGTATTTTACGTGGCTCCACATTTACACCAACTTGATTTTGATTTTTTTGCCGCGAAAAAAATACGATTCAAAAATTTCTGAAACAATATCGGAATTATTTTCGATATCTTTCTTCTTTTTGAATTCTCACAGAAAACTAAAGTAACCTGAGCAATGGTACTGTAATAATTTAGTTTCTAAATATTTTTGGCGCTCAATTTATAGCTCCGCCAAATGAAATTTCGGTTCACAAAAAACCAGAAACAAATACGTTTCAAAAATTTCATAAATAAATTTAGGATTTTCAATTTTCGATATTTTTCTCAATTAAATTACAAACTTACAAAAACTAAAGTAACCTGAGCAATGGTACTGTAGAAATTTAATTGTTGAAAATTTTTGGCGCCAAATTTATAGCTCTGCCACGTGGAATTTCGGTTCACAAAAAACAAGAAACAAATACGTTTCAAAAATTTCATAAATAAATTTAGGATTTTCAATTTTCGATATTTTTCTCAATTAAATTACAAACTTACAAAAACTAAAGTAACCTGAGCAATGGTACTGTAGAAATTTGAATGTGACCTTTTTCAAGTCAAGTTTCTACTTGAATTTCGAATTTTAAGAATTTGAGTCGAATTTTTGTAAAAAAGACAAAAAATAAGAAACAATTTCAACAAACTGAGAGCAACTTGATTTCTTAACGCGAAAAAAACGTTTCAAAATTGTTTTAAAAATGTCAACGTGAAAGTGAGATACTTAGAAAATTTTTTTAAAAAAAGATTTTGAGGTCTAGTGCCCCTCCCTCCAAAACCATACCTTGATCCACAGAAAATATTACTATTCAATGTTCCAATTAACAAAACAGCAATCATAAATGGAATAGCATATGAAAAATTGCCAAGAGTTTCTTGTGCAAAATCCGCCGCAATTGCAGTACTATTCTCAATTTGACCTTTGGTTAATACAGTCATATAAGCCACATTCATCGCCAAATAAATCAATGTAACACATGTGATTCCACCCAATAATGCGATCGGCATAGTTCGTCGAGGTTTATGGATCTCCGGTGTTCCATAATTCAAAATATCCCATCCAGCAAAACTCCAAAGTGCTCCATAAAATGCTAATGAAATATCACCGATATCTGTTGTACTTCCACCGAATAGATTTTCGAGATTTGCAGTCCAGCCCTTGAAAATCAGAAAATAGAAGCCGGTTACAATAATAACAGCCAGTGATAAAAGTTTGGCGAGAGTCACAAAAACTTGGAATTTCGATGCGTATTTATCAATGGCGTAGAGGTTCAAAATTGTGAGTAGAACTGCAAAAATTTGTATATTTTTTTGATGAAATAGAGAAAAAATTCTTACTGATCAACAAAAATCCAAGTCCTCTTTCGGTTATTTCTTTGAGAAGATCATCTGGTGTCCAAATCGGGCTCAAACCAGCGACTGGAAATATTTATAGAGAAAGTTAGGAGAGAGAAAACAGTGGAAGAAAAAGAAGCCTACCAATATATTGTCCAAAAGTTTGTGCTTGAACTGCGGCTGAAGCTGGAAATGACATGACAACTCCAACCCACATGAATGAAAATGCAATCGCTTCCCAGCCAACGTACACCTGGAATTTGTGGACTTCAGAACAGAACACAAAAAAATTGAAAATGATTTTTTACCTGAACTTTTACTCAAAAATAATGGATTCTTGAATTTTTAAAATTGAAATTTGGATTTTGGTCAGAAATTGAATCCAGAAACTCAAAAAAATATTTAAAAATATTTTTTACTGTTCCAAAAAATATCAAAAGATCAAAAAAATTCAGAAAAAAGATTTTTTTAAAAATTCTGAATTTTTTCCAGAAAATTTGGATTTGGATTTAGTTAAAGATATTTTTTCCATTAAAAAATAGTTTTTCAGATTTTTTTTTAGAAAAAACTTGGATTTTGGTAATTTAAATAGTTGAGTTCTTTTAAGTTCTAAAGTTTTACAGTAAATTTTTCTGAAGTTAGTACAATAGAAGTCAAAATTCAACTATTTCTCTGACCAATATTCAAATTTTCGGAACTTTTTTTGAATGAAAATTCAGGAATTAAAAAAAAATCTCAATTTTATAAAAAATTTTTCCAAAAAAAAACCAACATTATATGCAAAATCACAACCCGGTTCCAAAATCGAAGTTCCCAATTCAATATAACAAATTCCGCCAATCAATGATATCAAACCACAGCCAAGCCAAACAACAAGAGCCAAACCATTCGATTGTGCATATTTGAGAATCGGACCGGGTGTGATGAAAATTCCAGCTCCAATGATATTTGCTAAAAAATTATATTAATTAATTAATTAACTGTTAAAATGTTCTCAAAAATTCTCACCAATAACATAACTCATACAGGGCCAAAGGCCCATTTGATGTTGTTGTTGGTCCGAAACATCGGACATTTTTTGGACTTCGCTGGCAATAAGCCTAGAAAAAAGTGTACTTACTTTTTTATCACAAAAAAAATAAGCCAGTGCAAAGAACGATTTTTTGCATGATAAAAAAAAATAAGATTATTTGTTCCTGCTTGCGAAAAAATCAATAAATATGAATGGACCTCTAAAATTCACCAAAAACAATACATTTAATATCAAAGAAAATTTATTTTTATGAAAAAAAGGAAGCTTCTAGTATAATTACAGACAAACCGGTTATTTTGCAAAAAAAAATCTATTTACAATCATTTTGGGAAATTTTGGAATGGATTTATTTGATTGAGGGGATCGGATTGATCAATTTTCGGAAGCGGTTCATTCGATCTGAAAAATTTTGTTTGTTAAAAATTTTAAGCTTTAAAAATCGTCCAAAAAAAGGCTACCGTATGCTATGATGCAACATTCGTTTTTCCAATTTTTTGAGCATTTCCAACTCCGATTTCGAATTTTTTCGGGTCTGTTAAATCTTGAAGATTTAGCGATTGTTGTTGTTGCATTGGGAAAACAGTGGCTGCTGGTTTTTGTGCGATTGTTGTTTGAGAAAAATCGGGATTTGATTGCTTTTGATGTTGAGATGGTTGAAGAGCGGGTTGTTGAAGATTGAAATCGCCCAGGAGATCGCTCAATAAATCCTGGAAAAATAGGGGTTTGGAGAAGCTTCTGGGAAGTTTCTGAATTTTTTTAGGCTTATGGGAGCTCAAAATGCTCCAAATTTCATGAAAAACTTGGAAAATCCCTCAAAAATCATCATTTTCTGAAGCCTAATCTTATGAGATCTCGAAAAAATTCTAAATCCCGTGAAAAAAACCCAGAAAATGCTCATTTTGAAGAGCTGGTTTAAAATATTAAGGATAAAATATAGCAGATTCCGAAGTGTCAAATTTTCAAAAAAAAAAAACAATTAAAAAAAATTTTTCCCCAAAACGACATTATTGGAAACTTTTGGGAAGCTTTGAATTTTTTTTTCCGAAAAAAAACTGAAGCTTGAAGCTTTTTTTTAAAAATGAAACCTAGGGAGCTAAAAATGCTCTAAATTTCCCCAAAACCTACCACATTATTTTTTTGATTCTGTGCTTGTTGATTCTGTTGTTGCTGCTGATTTTGTTGATGATGCCAAGCTGAAGTTTGCAATTGTTTTGGTGCATTATGCCACGGTGAAGATGCATTTGGTTGAATTGAATTCGCAAGAAATGGAGATGTGGATTTTGGTGGTTGAGATGAGAATCCGAGTGGTGTTGATGGTTGTTGTTGTTGAACAAATGGAGATGATGGGTTCATTGGGGCGAATTGAGATGTTGGTGGAATCTGGGGATTAGTAACTTCCGATGCTGCGGTGAATTGGGATGTGTGGAACTGTTGTGGATTACCAGGAGCGAATTGCGATGTTGGTTGGATTGTTGCAGAAGGCATCGGTGACTTTGGAATCTGGGGATTAATAACTTCCAATGCTGGGGCGAATTGGGATGTTTGAAACTGCGCTGGATTACCAGGCAGAGCTGGAGTTGGAGCAAATTGAGACGCTGGTGGAACTGTTGGATGATTTGGAGTTTGAAACTGTGCTGGATTACCAGGAGCAAATTGAGATGTTGGTTGGGTTGTTGCAGAAGACATCGATGGTTGTGGAATCTGGGCACCAGTAACTTCCGATCCTGATGCAAATTGGGATGCTTGTGAGATTGTCGAAGAAGCCATAGATGTCTGGAATTGTTGTGGGTTACCAGGGGCAAACTGAGACGCTGGTGGAACTGCAGAATTATTTGGCGCTTGAATCTGTGAAGATTGATTGATCGGAGCAAATTGAGAAGCTGGTGGATTTGTCGGATTTTGTTGATTGATCGGAGCGAACTGCGATGTTGGTTGGGTTGTTGCCGAAGACATCTGTGGCTGTGGAACCCGAGGATTTCCAACTTCCGATCCTGGGGCAAATTGGGCTGGATTTCCAGGAGCAAACTGAGCCATTGGTGGATTTTGCGGAGGCCGATTGATGTATTGGTTTACAACAGGAGCCGCTGTTTGAAACTGCGGAGCATATTGAGAAGTTGGTGGTGCGATATGCTGATTTTGAACCTGCGGCGGCACAGAATTAGAATTATATTGCGGAACACTTTGATGTTGTGAAGTTGGTGGATAATAATTCGGAGGAGCTGGTTGGAATTGAACTGGTGGAATCTGTTGATAATGCGAATATTGATGTGATGTCGGTTGTTGATGATAATTTGAGATTGGATTCGCCGGTGGGTTTTGATTGAAAGATGCTGCTGGCGAATTCACTGGAGGTTGTGAATATTGTTGTTGTGAATAAGTGGAGAGAGAGGAATTTGAAGTAGAAGGTTGAATTGGGTTTGGAACATGTTGAAATTGATGATTTTGATATGGAGATGAAGTTGGCGGTGGATGATATTGTGGTTGTTGTTGTGGAGAAGGAAGATACAGATATTGTTGAGGGTTTGGTGAGTGTTGAGAAGATAGGATTGGTGTATCGCGGATGCTTGCAGCGCGACTTCCACGGACACCTGGAAAAATAAATCAGAATTGGATTACCCTCACAAAAACTTACTCGGACTGATCGGAAATTCATTAATACTACTTGGCGTCGGTGATGGTGGTCCAGGCAAATAATCTTGTGTTGATTGATCAGTTTGTATTGGCGCAAGTTTCGACCGATTGCGATATTGATCCATAAAATCGCGAAGTCTTGGATGTCCGGAATCAACTGGTCCAGGAGGAGCATACATCTTATTTTGAGCCGGGAGCATTGGAGCACCAAAATCATTCAACGCTTCTCGCGCTTCTCGTTGTCTTTTTGCCGCGTTCATGCGTTCTTCCATTTCTCGTTTTTCTCTTTCTCGTTTATCGATTTCTGCACGAACTGGAAAAGAAAAGGGTTGTGTTGAAAATTTTCCGCAAAATCCGGAAAGGTATTTTTGATAGTAATATCGTCGAAAAGGTCCAAATTTTTTGAATTTTTTCAAAATTTTATGATTTTCTGAACAGGAAACCGGCCTGTGTCGGAAATTTTCCGGGAAAATGTGCTCAAAAATCTTCAGGTTATCCCAAATTTTACAAAATTTTAGATTTTTTCTAAATTTTTCAGTTTTCTGAACACGAAACAAGCTTTTGCTGAAATTTTCCGAATTTTTCTGTGCTCGAAAAATCGGGTAAGGTATTTTTTAAATTAATATCTTGAAAAAGGTCCAGAATTTGTAATTTTAAAAATTTTATTATTTTTTGGACAAAAAACAGGTCCCTGTTAGAAATTTTCAGAATTTTTGTAGAATTTTACGCTTCTCTAAACAGAAAACGTCCCAAAGAGTTCAATTTCCAATCCCGAAACCTTTCCGCATCTCAACTCACATTGATCTTCCATCGCATGAATCGGAATAGCAAACTGATCACATCTCTGCATCAATTGTCGATAAAACTTCTCACCATCCGCAACTTTATTCGAAACATCTTTGAAAATATCATAAGCCGTCACCAAGATCATCACCTGTTTATTGAAATCCTCACTATTCTTATTAATAACAATTCTCTCGTCACAAAAATCAGCGTTCGCTTCAGTGAACGCATGCAAAATCTTCTCTTGAGCCATCAAATTCAATCGAAAATATTTGATAGTCTCGTCATGTTTACTCAACTCTTTCTTGAATATTTCTTCATGTGAAAAATCTCGCTGAGCCAAGAGTTCTTTCGAAATATCATCCTGATTTAGCTCAACTTCCAATTGATCCAACAATTTTGCTCGTTGATTTCTCATCTCCTCAATTTTCTCAATGATTTTCTTCAAATGTTGCTCTTCTTTCGATTTTGTTGCAGTTTCAGATTTTTTCGGCAAAAGTTTTTGGCGAATTTCAGACAATGGTGAACTCAGAATTTGCAAATTCGAGGAATGTGCCGCGATTGCTTTATTCAACGCAACATTATTCGATTTCGCATTTGTCAAATGCTCGTGTAATTTATCCAATTCTTTCGATATCAAAATATATCCCTCGTCATTTTTCTAAAAGATTATTTTATTTTGATAAAAAAATGTTTTGTTTTCAAAAAAATAATCTCACCAATCTTGGCAAATCTATCAATCTCAATTTCCCAATCAGCGTATTCAATTTGGCTTCAGCAACACGTGAAGTATCACAACTTTCTCTCAATTTTTCCAGCAATGCTGGAATTGCGTCTGGTTGTGCAGTCAATTCAGCATTTCTTTCCAATAACATATCAGGTAAGGCAAACATTTGCTCACTGTCTTTTCCATTTTCAGATAATATCCAACGAAGATCCGTATATCCAGCTTTGTTCAGGAATTTTCTGGAAATTGGTTTCTGAGGGCTTGAAAAAATATCTGAAAATTAGCAGCTTCAAATATGGCCTAGAAAAACTCGACATGGCCTAAAAACCAAATTCACAATTTTAGGGGCCTAGAAATCTTTGAGATGGCCTAGAAACCCAAACATACTACTTTGGTGGCCTAGAAACCTTTGAGATGGCCTAGGAACCCAAATATACCATTTTGGTGGCCTAGAAACTCATATTCACAATTTTGATGGCCTAGAAACCCAAATATAATATTTTGGTGACCTAGAAACTCGAATTCACAATTTTGATGTCCTGGAAACCTTCGAGATGGCCTAAATCCCCAAATGTACGATTTTTGTGGTCTAGAAACCTTTGAGATGGCCTAGAAACCCAAATATACCATTTTAGTGGCCTAGAAACCCAAATATACCATTTTGATCCCAAATGTACGATTTTTGTGACCTAGAAAGCTTCGAGATGGCCTAGAAACCCAAATATATCAATTTGATTCGAGAATTTGGCGAAAAATGAAGGTTTTTGTGATTTTCAGATAATTTTAAAGAATTTTTTCGCGCCAAAAAACTGCCCCAACTCACTCCAATTCCTCATTGGCATGATGAACTTCTTGCAAAACGCCTCGCTTCAATTCCGCCTTCTTCTCCTCGTATAAACTAACAGATTTCAAAACCGTCGGTGGAAGAAGTGTTCCAAATATATCATCGCCACAAACCGATCGATCTAATGGATTGAATGCTAATGACTTAGTTTTACACATTGCTCCATCTTTTTTCATTTCTTCAATTAATTCCTCTTCTTTCGGAACTCTTTCATGGTAAATGAAATTGTTCTCTTTGTCCGCATTCGATTGTCTGAAAATTAAAAACGTGACCCAGATTTTTCTCCAAAAAAAAAAACCAAGAAAAAACTCGACAATCCACTCTATTTCTACCTATACAATCTTCAAAAACTGCTTCATTTACTTCAATTGAATTGACATAATTTTCATCGTAATAACAATAATTAATGACGAGTAAGTTGGGAAACTATAGTTTAGTTCAATTCAAATCTTTACAGTAAGAAGAATAAATAATAATATAACAATGGCGGCGGGGACGACGACGACGACGACGAAAAAACTGGATCCGAGTGCTCGAAAACCGCTTCTACTGCGAAAGAAAAGTGTATTCTTGTTTGGTAAATCAGTTTCGCCGCCGGATTCATTCAAGGAGGCAAAGACGCAAGCTGTTGCAACGACTGTTAAAACTGAAGTGGTTCCTACATTGCAAATCAAAGATGATGAGGAATTGATCAAGGGATTGTCGAAGAGTTTGATTGGACATCAATGGTTTCATGGAGTTATGCCGAGAGAGGAGATTAATGATTTGTTGAAGGTTTGTTGGTGAAGTTCAGTCAAGATGGAGGCCTTTTCCGGTGATTTCAGAGATTTTTAGCTTCACTGTGTTTCACAGAAAAAATAATTTAAAATGAGATTTGGTACATCTATAGGTTCGAACCCACTGACCTCAAATCCGTTGTCAAAAATTGCCAAAAAAAAGTAGTTCGGCGGGTGTTGTCGAACCCTGGTTTTGCAAATAGTAGGCAGCCACACAAACCACTCGACCACGCTGCTTAAAAACTTTTGCACCATCGAGCGTGTTTTTTAATGACAGTGAAAAAAAACAGCGTGGTCGAGTGGCTTGCGTGGCTGCCCATTATTTGCAAAGCCAGGGTTCGACCCCGCTAGCCGAACTACTTTTTTGGGCGATTTTTGAAAACCCGATTCGAGATCAGCGGGTTCAAATCCAAATGTTTCAGATCAATGGCGACTACCTTGTTCGAAAAACCACCGAAAAGCGTCGTCCGATCATTTGCCTTTCAGTTTTTCACAACAAAGAAGCTCGACACTTTCCACTAAATTGGGAAAACGGAACATGGTTCATTAAAAATGCAAGTTTTATTCTCAATTGAAAAAAATTCATCATCAAAGAAAAGTTTCAGATGGATTCCAGCACCAAATTTTTCGAGCTTCAAGAACTTCTCGATTTTCTTGTCTCCAAAAAATTCCAACTTCCTCCAACCAACGCCGTTTTGATTCGACCAATTCCACGTCCCGAATATTATATTCTTCACGATGACATCATTTTGATCAATAAATTGGGATCCGGTGCTTTTGGTGAAGTTTGGAAAGGAGTTTGGAGAAAACGCGATAAAACATCGGTTGATGTGGCGGTGAAGAGAATGAAGGGAAATTCGACGAAATCGGTGATCAAGGAATTTGTGAAGGAAGCGAAATTGATGAGAAAATTGAAACATCCAAATATTGTGACAATAATTGGAGTTGCGCCAAGTGAAGAACCACTTATGATTTGTATTGAATTGGCATCAAATGGATGTTTGAAGAATTATTTGAAAATGAAAAAATGTACATTGGATCAATTGACTAATTTTTGTATCGATGCAGCGAGAGGAATGTCCTATTTATCATCTCAAATGATTATTCATCGAGATCTAGCCGCAAGAAATCTTCTATTAGGCTCGCATATCGAGGTGAAAATCGCTGATTTTGGACTTTCGGAAGCTGGAAAAACCGAAGTCAAGATCAATAAGATGAAGCTTCCGATTCGTTGGTTGGCACCAGAAACAATTGATACAGGATGGTTCACAACAAAGACCGATGTTTGGTCGTATGCCGTGACAATTTGGGAAATCTTCTCATATTGCGCGAATGATCCATTCCCAGGTTTGACAAATAATCAGGCAAAAGATCTGATTCGAACAAAAACGCCGCCAATGCAAGCACCAAATGATACGCCATCAATTATTGTTCGATTAATGTTGGATTGTTTTGAGAAGAAGCCCGAAAATCGACCAACTTTTCCGCAATTATTGAAGAAATTGTCGCCGAAAGAGGATGTCGAACAATATAATAAGCAGATTCGAATTCACGATGGAAATGGATTGTCAGCGAGCACATGTTCGAATAGTCAATCAGAGAAAGGAGTTAGTGTGAATGGATCTGATCTCAAGATTAAAGCATCGAAAGATGGAAATATCTCATCGGTTTGTGATTGTTTTAAGGGGAACGTGAGGAAATTGTGTTTTTGCAGGATCGCGCAGTCCGAATCATAATTCCAGCTGGAAATATGACTCTACCACAGGACAGCAAAAGATCGAAGACAAAAATGGTGACGTCAAAGCCAGCAAAATGAGAATTTTGTAAGAATTAATGAATGAATGATTGCGAATATACCGTGGAAGGGGAAAATAATTTTGAAAATTCAGAAATCAGAAATTTTCTGACGAAATTTTACCCCAGAACCGGTTCGAAACCCTGAATCGGAACTTTTTGAATCAAACCCAAAAATTCTCTACTTTTCAAAAGTTTTCTGGTTTCTTTCAGACTTTTGGAAAATTTTGGTAGGGTTTTAATATCCAGAGATTCTGAAAATCAAACCTTATCAAATAGCTCGGGTTACAGAATTACAAAGTTTGGAAAATCTACAGATCCAGTCTGCAACTTTTCTCAGAGAAGTTTTCGTTAAAAATTGATTAGCGGCTCATTTTTACCGTATACGATTTGGTATTTTTTTTCAGAAAAAATGAATTTTATGCTCGAAATTTCAGATGTATTCGGATTTTGATTTTCTAAGAAATCAATAACGATGGTCCCGATTTGCCCCTCCCCAAAAAAACCAACTTCGCAGTGATAACATCATTCAAAAATGAAATAGCCGGCAAAAATTCGGGATGATATTCGGTCAATCCCTTAATCTTCAACACATTTTTCATATATTTCAACGAAATATTATAATATTGCAATCGATATCCCATTTTCTTCGTCTCACTTTCCGCATTGTCACCCATCGATAAATACGCAATTGTCGCATACAAATCCGATTTGATTCGACAAATGCCGATATAAACTCGCTGAATTCGTTCGGAAATGTTGACATTCCAATCTTCGCAAATCGTTATCATCTCCTCGTAGGTTTGATAGAGCCAATAGGAAAGTTTGCCAATTACAATTGGTGAGCGATTGTCGAGCAATGATTTTTGAACCAAACATTCTTGGGCTTGAGCCTAAAAGATTTTGATTCTGAATTAAATATATGTGTTCTAGTAGTTTTTGACCCGCTGATCACTATTCCGATGTCTAAAATAGCAGAACTCAACTCCTAACATGAGTTATGACGTGGAAAATTTCGAGAAATCGCGATGAAAACTAGCATCCAAAATAGATTTTCAAGCAAATCTGATCGTTGTTCAGAAAAAATCAGATTCTGAACTTATGTTATCGATCCTCCCGAACAATCAATATCTGCTTGAATATGATTATTGATGCTAGTTTTCATCGTGATTTCTCGAAATTTCTGAACTTTGCCACGTCATAACTCATGCTATTATTGAAAATCTCATCGGTACCACGCGCTCCACCGAAATGAATACGCAGCGCAGACCGCGCCGCGCCACAACACATACACAAAAAAGGGAGGGAATTTGGATCGTTCCCTTATTTGTGTCTGTTGTGGCGCGACGCGGTCTGCGTTGCGTGTTTATTTCGGTGGAGCACGTGGTACCGATGAGATTTTCGATAATAGGAGTTGAGTTCTGCTATTTTAGACATCGTTAGCGCTTCAAAACTACTGGGAATATAGAAAATAGATCTAAACCTTACCAACATAAGTTTCTCCAAAAACAATACAACTTGTGGATCCAAATCAACTGATGGGTAGAAAATATCCTCATATCTCTCATTTTTCAATTGTTCAAAAGCATATGCGGCGTATTGACAATGCATAAAAGCATTTTTGATGCTCTGAAAATTTCTGTTTTTTTTCGAAAATAAAAACCCCAGCACTAACATCTTGAGTTTCTCTATCAGCATTTGCTGCAATTTGCGCATGCGCTGCTCCAATATTAAACATCACTGACGCTTTTTCAAACTCGATATCTCCATGGGTTATTTCATTGTTTGGGTGTCGATTATCACTCAAACTGTCGAACCTGTACAGAAATTATTTTTTTTAATTCAAATTTCGCAAAAAAATAATATACCAGGCAAATGGTGTTTCGAGTTCTTGTCCAGCAGACATTGGAAATCGTTTTTGAATCATACATAATTGTCCAAAATATCGCTTCATTTTACAAGATGATTCAATTGTTGCGGATGGATTGTTGGCTTCCTAAAATTAAACATATACTACTTATGTAGAAATAATAGGATTTGTGTTCTCAAAACTCACAAATTTCATATCAGACAACTCACGAAACGCCTCATCATAAGCATGTGGATCGGCTTGGAAATGTAGCAGGATGTACTGGAAAAATCGATATCTTCCCGTTGGAAAAAAACTCAGATTTCAAAATGATACCTCTTTGACTTTGGTTCGAAAATCGAATCTCGTAATATTGTCGTAGCTGAGAGTTGATGCACGAAATTGTGGAGCAAGCATTGGGATTATTGGAAGACCTTCCATGATTTCTGGGAAATGAAATATGGATTTTTGAAATGAGGCACGTGAAAAAAGATTAAAAATCACGGTCTTTAAATAGAAAGGTAAATCGTGAGAGAGAGACGCAGAGAAAACGCGAAAAATCCTTCGAGAGAAGTCCAAAACTTGAAATTCTATCGTTTTGAGACCGCGCTTGGTCTCGAAACGAAGCCTGCAATTTTGGTATTTTGTATTTCCCTTGGAGGATTTTCAAATTTTAATTGTTTTTGAAAGGCTGTAAAATTGAAAATGAGCCTGGCAACTTCAATTCAGAAATAAAGCAAAACTCTGGAAATATTCAAAAACCAGGAAACACATTAATTAATTCTGAAAAAACCTTCAAATGATACAAAAAGATATGAATCAATAGAAACGAGGAAATGCTTATTCGGCAAAAATAAACCGGTTCTATAGCTATTTTTATTTTTATTTGCCTATTGTTGACCGGCGGATGAACTTCGCTCCACTGGGAAAAAATATTTTGTCTGCTGCTCAAAACAGATTTCGTAACACATAAAAAACACATGAAAAAAATAATCAATAAAAAATTTATAAAATCAACAAAAATGTAAACAACAAAAAATTACATTTGCAACAAATTTTGAGTGATTGTCTGGAAAAAATTATTATTTCGCAATACAATTTTCTGAATCACTCACCTTTCTCAAAACACTGAATCTTTTCGGAAAATCAATAATTCCCAAATAACAAAATGCTCTAGACAACCATGAAAATACCATTTTATATTCCTCGAAACTCTCATCGCCTTCCAAATCTTCTAATAAACGAGAAGATAACAATAATAATTCCCTCTTTTTCTCAATTGACAAATCTTTTCTTGATATTTTTGCTATCAGAAATGCAACCGTATGTTTATCCGAGAATGATTGAATTGAGATATTGGCGAAATTGTCGGTTTCAAAATATTTTGAAATATTTGAAGGGCCAGAAAGGTCTAGAATAGCATCATTGTTTACAAAATCTCGATTTTTGACAGCATCTCGAAATATTTCCCTGTTAATTAATTAAAATAGAGTTATATTGTCAAAGGAAATTCTTACCAGTAATGAAAATATTTGAAGTCAATGTCATTTTCATTTTCCTCATAAGCCAAATCTCTGATATAATTCCATGGGATAATTGCGCAAATAGCGTCAATCGCCGCGCTTTTCATTATTTCATCATTTTCGAATTTTTTCAGACAAAATTTGATGAATTTCGTCATTTTTTGGATGATCAACACTTTTGGAGCAGAATAAAATAATAGACTTCCAATTGCGAATCTCGAGAATAAATATAAGGTGAGATGAATCGATTTTTTGTCCTTCAAGTTTTTCAAATTTGATAGAATCTCTTCTAATAATTCGAATATCTCATCATTTTGTGTGAATAAATAACAACGATCTGTTTCATGTTGTGTTCCAAGAAGTTTTGATACAACTGATTCGAATAATTGGGTACATGGGGAATCGAGAATTCCAATGGAGTATAATAACATTTCCCTGAGTTGTTCAAATGCAATTGATGTTGAAGTATTTCCAATAACATTTGCTAACATTTCAAACATTTTTCGCTTTTTAATCGATGGCTGAATTTGATTTGATTTGATTCAATTATTTTAATGTTTTGGGAACTTACCAAAGTTTTCAAATTTTCCCAAGTTTCTTTCATTTTTTCTTGATCCTTCAAAATTGTCGCAATCAATGTTACTTCAAAAAATAAAGCTCGAGAATTCTCTTCAGATTTCCTAAGAAGATTCAAAGAATAATTGAAGGTAGAAATCCGGAATTCCTCATTTTCAACACATTTTTTCCTGATAATCTCTCCTCCATAATCAACAATTGCTCTCAATGGACATCTCGAAATAATTCTCAAAATCAAATCCGAAATTTCGAAAATTTCCCAGTCTTGACTTGATGAATAATTCAGAACTTCGATGATTTTTTCAACATAAAATCTCTCGTCGATATTTCGATTTCTGAAATTTTCCATAACTTTGGCAACTGATGGAAATTCATCGTTGCTTTGAAATTTGAGTAATCCAACAACAGATTCCAAAGTTGTTGAATAATTTCCTAGATTTAGAGGTATAATATCAGTTTTCTTTTCAGCCGGATAAAATCGAGAAGATTTCTAAAGAATTTAGAATTGGTAATTTTATAAAATTCTTTATACCTACTTTTCTCTCTTCATCTAACTGTTGTTTAACTCGAGATATCTCCAAATTCCCATTTTCAGTGAAAACATTTTTCATCGATGTGGCAATATTAAATACATCTTCATTTTCCAAATCTTCAATAATTCCTTCTTCTAAACTTTTTGGATAAATCTTGAAAGCTCGTGCAACTGAATAACTCAACAATCGAACTTCTGAATCTACAAAATGCATTCCTAACTCCAAAATATTTTCATTAACTTCCAATTTGATTTGTGATCTTGATACGAGTGTAGATAATAAAATATTGAAATATGCATAGTAAGCAAGAGTTCTTCTTGAAACTGGATCAAAATCGAACTTTGATTTCCATTCCAAATCAATACAAGTTACACCAATAAGTTCTCGATATTCGATATTCTCGAGAAATTCTTCTTCGTATAAAATCTCTTTTTCCGCCAAATTAATAATTTGATGAATTGTTGAGATTGTCAATTTATCACTTATCATTCGAGAAATCCAAGATCTCATCGCATTTGATCGTTTAGGTTTTGAGGGTGAACTGAGAGCGTTATAAATAACTTTTGCAATACGTTCGATGTTATTTCGAGATCGCGACATTCCAATAACTAAACTTGAACACCATGTTGCGCAATTTAGATCTTCGGAACACGCAAGAATTTCGTCATATATAAAATCTTCATATGCCTCAAGTTTGAGTGAATTCAATATCTCCCATTTCGACTCCATGAATAGTGGTAATGTATAAAGAAATTGAGTCACCTTCAAGATAAAATTTTACACAAAAATTGAATATCAAACTAACCTCTTCAATGCGATCATCATTCAAGGATTTCAGGTATTTTGCAATGAGTTTCTTGGAGCTTTTAGTTACTTCTAACTTTTTTATCAACTCAACTGTCTCATCTATCGCCATTACAAACAGGAAATAGTCGTTTTTGAATGCAACCCGGAAAAAGAAAATAAAAACAAACGTGGCCGTGACCTAAAAAACCAAATTATTCTTCAAGAGAACTACACAAATTAAAAACCGATCACAGACATAAATTTCGAAATTAATTTCTGACTTTTTTTCCTGCTGGCTCCGCCCCTGCCACGATTACACGTTTCACGTTTTTTAAATTATTTTGTTGTTTTTATCTTTTTTTTCTTCACTAAATTTCGAAACGCAAAAAGTCAGAAATTATTATTCATTGAAAAAAACGTGCCGCACCTTGCAAAATAAATCCCGCCTCCTGATTCACGCGAGAATTTGTTTTTTCTGCGACAGGCATTTCTGAATTTAAAAAGTCAAGAATAAAAATGCCTGTGAACTAATTTTTACGGATATACGGTAGACAAGTGTGCATACACTGCGACGCGCTTTTGCGGTTGGAGGGGAAAATAATTTAAATTTATTCATGAACTAGTAGCTTCCAAGACAAAAAAAAAGGAAAAAAACAAAAGTAAAATAGCGACACTCGGTTTGCCTGTTGTTTAATTTTCTCACACTGTTTGAGCGGAGTGTCGTTATTTTATTTTTACAAAATTGCGCGTAGGATTTTGTGGTTGCGGGCATTCAGTGTTAACACACACTCTTATTTTTTTCGTTCTTTCTTTTTTTTTGGATTTTGGATTTTTGTTTTATTTTTTTTTGCTACTAGGCGACCCTGCGCAGAAAGTTTTATCAGGCGTATTTTTATGAATCTGATAAATTTACTGTTATGGAGAGACATTTCAATGATTCCTTTATTCGTAAAATTCGTAATGGGTTTCCTTTAATTGTTAAGATTGATTTTCAAGGAATCATATCATCTGAAGGTTCAGAATATGATGATGATGACTCAAATCAAATTAAAGATCGAAAAAGACGCATATATTCATCAGGATCAGAAAATCATCATGGAGAGATTCAGAATTGTGAAGAAGAAGAGGAAATTCGACAAAGCAGCAAGAAGAAGATGCAAAAGAAGAAGATGAGAAAAACTGAACCATGATGTGAAGAACTGAACCATCAACGCTCGATGTAATTAATCAAAATGGCTGATGACGAAGAAAAAGAACAAGGTTATGATGTTGTTCAAAATTTTAAACCTGTTGATACCGAAAATTCATTCAAATTTGATGATTCTATTGAAGTAATAGATGGTGAATGGATGAATTTGCGAGGAATTGGGTTGACGATGGAAGATCAAAATGTTGTTATGGTTCTGTTCCAAGATGGAATGACTGTAAGTTTTTTTTGGAGAAAAACGGTGGAAAAATAAATTTAAAATTTTCTGAAGATATCTAATTTTTCCGAATCCTAAAGTTTCATTTTTTTTTATTCTAAAATCATTTGTTCTCTTTTCAGGAAGTCACAATTAACGCATCACAACTTCAGAAATCGCCCAACACCGAAGATCGTACAGACGAAGAAATTGATAGAAAATATGAAAAGGAGGAAGCTGAAATAGTAAAGAAAGAAATGGAAAGTGCGAAAAAAGGAAAATGTTTGCGACAGAAGAAGAAGTTGGAATGTTTTGAAAATGAATTTGAATCGCAGAGAAATGATGGAGATAATGATGCCGATGATCTAGAGATTGATGATATTTCAAGGTAAGAAAGAGAGCAAAAAAAGAAAAAGAGCACAAAAACAATTAGTTGTTTAGAAATGGTACACTTCCACCAACCAAAGATTCCACTTTATGGATTGTGAAATGTCGAAAGGGACAAGAAAAACTAACTCGTTTCCTTTGAATTAATGCGAAAATGTTTGAACCAAGAAAACACAAGCGAACCACTACAAATTAAAAGCGTTGTTGTGAAAGAAGGAGTAAAAGGAAGGATTTATGTGGAAGCGACTGAAAAACCACATGTTTTCTCAGTATCGAAGGAGTTTTGGCGTTGAATCAATTTTCTGTTGAGGTAAGAAGAGGATTCGGTGAATGTGGGGGGGGGGGGGGAATTTCGAGGATTTTTTTCATTAAAAACCTAAAATTTGTAAAATCTTTCTCTATAAAAGTATTCTGAAACCTTTAGATTTGATCTAAAAGTTTTCAAAATTGGCTTAAAAATCACAAAAAAAATTTTTCGGAAAATTTTATTTGGGCTTAAATGCTGTTCTCCACAAAATGATAATCTTGAAAATCCAAAAACTCATCTAAAGACTAATCGACTCGATTACTATGAAAAAGTTTTCTTATCTACTCGAGTAGTTGAGAAAGTCAGATAATTTTGGGCAAATTTTAGGAATTTTTTTTTTCAAAATTCTAATATTTTCAGCTTGCTGATGGTGTCAAACTAATTGTGGCAGGGTGGGTGGGAGGGCACAATGTTGATTTGATGGAGGATAATGAGCAACTTCCAGTAAGTTTTTCTGGGGGAAATGTGGAAAACAGACGAAAATAGAACATTTGAATTTTTGAATATGGCTAGAAATCTGTCTAAATTGTGCATTTTTCTTGAAGATGTCAAATTTTTCCGAATCCCAACATTTCATTTTTTTTATGAAAATTAGAAAAAGTTTATTTTTTTTATAACGTGAAATTTCATTTTTTAGGTCACGCATTTTTTTTTTCAAAAATGATTGCGACAAAGTTTCAAATTTCAGCACAAAATTGGCTGTAAAACTTTTTTATCTGGAATTCATCCATTTACAGATGATTTAGTAACTGTTTGAAAAATATTGGTCAAAATTGAGGGGTGGGGAAACTGGCTCACGTTGGCCTCATGTTGGCTTTGGTGGTAAGAACATAAGCCATGACAGGTCCACGTGTAAACCTGTCTACCTGTCCTGTCCTGAGCAGGTTCTTTTTTTATGGGGCTATTCATGTATTTTCTCAGCATGTTGAGAAAACAGGAGAAATGCGGAGGAAATACATTTTCTCCGCTTTTTTCGTATTTTCTCAGCCTACCTGAATAGGTTTTCTCCGCTTTTCTCCCGTTTTCTCAGCGTTGAAAAATAACATGAATAGCCCCATTAGTCGAGAAAAAACACGCCGAAAAAAGAGGAGTTCGCATTTTTACTTTTTTTTATGCAGAAAAAAAAATTTTCTCTCTTAATTTTTGTTCACGCGAGGACAGGTTGGGCATATGGCTTTAGGACATGTTCAACTCAGGTAGCAGCTTGCCCATGGACTGCCCCTTACTCTGCCCTTAGAGCAGTTTCTAAGGGCAGCATTGGAGCACTCAAGGGGCTATCTTTGGGCATTTCAATTAAACAAGGACATCACGTTTAAAATTCAAATTAATTCAAGCCACGTAAAAAAAGCATTTTCACTAATTTTTCATGTTTCCAGCTTGGAAAAATGGATCCTAGGCCCAAAATCGGGCAGTTTGGAGGGGCAGCTTTCATCAAAAGTGAGCAGCCTTCAACTAATTCAAATTTAAATACAGGAAAACATTATTATAAGTGTTTTAGAAGTAAAAGTTTTATTGAAAGAAATAACATAGGAGAGATAGATGCACTTCAGCTTGATTTTTCGAGCATTCGTGAATTTTCTAGGTGATTTGACCGAAATTTTATGGGCCTATGCAGAATAATATTTTGTAATAAAAAAACATAAAAAAACATTTTTTTCCTATGCAGAAAAACGTCGAAAAAACAAAATAAAGACAACGTGAAATTGAGAGAGCGCAGACATAACATGGGTTTTTTGTCTGCACTCTCTCAATTTCACATTGTCTCTACTCAAAATAGTAAACTGTATATTTTGTTTTTTCGACGTGTTTCTGCATAGGAAAAATATGTTTTTTTATTACAAAATATTATTCTGCATAGGCCCATTATAATTGGTTTGAAGGAGTTGATCCAAAATAGCTTTTTTGAGAATCGGATAAATTTATACATGATTTGGAACACATCTAATTCACAAAAATCCATTTAACAATCACAGTGATAATCCCAGAATCCGCTTCACTATATTTGAATTAATAACTTGCTCACAGTGTTTTGCATAAAGTTACTGCTTCTCTAATAAATATTTGAGCTTCATCGAAATAGTTTGATTTATTCGCTATTTTCTTGGCTAACAGAATATCAAAAATGAGAAGAAATTCCGATTTCGAAACAGGACACGTATCAAAACTAGGTCACGTTATGAAAAATAGCTATAAATTTATTTTTCCCATTAAAAAATTTGCCCTTAGGGCTTGCCCAAGGTGCAATTATGGGGCAACCGCTTTCCTAAGGGCAGTCCATGGGCAAGCTGCTACCTGAGAAGCCATGTTCGAGCCAGGACAATTTTAGGCCATATTGAAGGACAGGACAACATGAGGGCATCACATTTTCCCCACCCCTGAAAATTACATCATTTTTCACATTTCTCCCACCATCAGTGAGTTCAATTTTTCAGAACGCAACCGGAGCTGTTTATCACATTTCCCAGATGATAAACAACAAGAAAATCAAATCAACAAAAGAATCGGTAAGTAATCAAAAATCGAATCAATATAAAATCGAACGATATAACAAATTTCTTTTTTTCAGATTTAAATTCTCTTGGCTGCATGATGATGAGAACGGAAGCGGATAAGAACGATAAAATCAAACCGAGACCAAGAAGGCAAAAAATGTTTGCGGTGAAGTAAGTGGAAGTTTTGGGCTGTTATTGATGGGAAAAATGTTTTAATTGAATTTGCACAAACGAAAACTTGAAAAATTGTGTTTCTATTCAAAAATCTTTTTCAAAAAAATACATAATTACACAAATAACTTGAGATTGTCTAAAGTTGAGAAATCTGAAAACCTTTGAAAAATTTTTTAAAGCCAAAATCAGACATTCTCCTAAATTTCTCTTTTTTTTCTTTCTCTTTACTGTTATTGATGGGAAAACTTTCTTTCTAGTAACTCGCGCAATCATTTTTTTGTCGAAAAAAACAGCCGAATATTGGAAAAAAATTTTGGTCAAATTAACATCAATTTTTCACATTTCTCCCACCATCAGTGAGTTCAATTTTTCAGAACGCAACCGGATCTGTTTATCGGATTTCGCAGATGATAAACAACAAGAAGATCAAATCGACAAAAGAATCGGTAAGTAATCAAAAATCGAATCAAAATAAAAACGATAACAATTTTCTTTTTTCAGATAAAACTCTTGTTAGCTGCGTATGATGAACTTGGAATTGTTGATTCGACTTTCAAGAATATATCGGGGTCACGAAAAGATTTTTTCGACGGAATTGAATATGTGAGTTTAGAGTGAAAATACTTTGATAAGTAGAACTATTGTATATCAGTTTTTGTATATCAATTTTCAAACCATTTTTTGGATCAATTTTTGAAAAGTGATTCAAAATCCGCGGATATAGTATATATATGTGCCGAGTAGAGTTGGACATAGTTTGGAAAAACTCGTTTTTTGAGTTCGGTCACATGTTTGGGTTTGAGGGTTTTCGCCCAAATAATGCTCATTTCTGATTTGAGAGAAGGTGGATTTTTAGGTTTTCGGATTATTAAAAAAGTAGATATAGGAAATCGATTGGTGATATTATTTCGGCCCAAAAGTTTCTTTTAAACGAACACTTCAAGAAAAAAAGCGATTTTTTGTGAAATTTGAAATTCAAGGGTTTTTTTGATACGGGGAACATTTTGGTATGCTCTACGGAACAGACACATTTTTGAGACACAAAAAAACTAAAATGATCTTGACTTTTTTTTTCAAGTTTTGTCAAAAATCTCTGAACCACTTTAACGTGCTGGTTGTCAGCTACATTTTTTGTGTGGACACCAAAACTCAATAGCTGCTCCTAATGCGCGAAACATACGTTTTTTTCTCGTAAATGTAAATTTTCAGCAAATTTTCGCGCATTATGGGGCTATTTAAATAAGTTTTGCAACCGAAAAAGGAGGAGAAACTCTATTCAGATCTCAGGAATAAAAGAAAGAGAAACTGAGTTTAGTTGAACCCGAAACCAAACAAATGAGCGAACTCAAAAAACTGGTTTCGCTCAGTAGTGCCAATTTTTATTAAAAATTATTTTGTGAATTGAAGTTTTCCTTGTAAGGAAATTATTTTGAAATATATTCCAAAAAAAATTGGGAAAATGCTTCTATCGAAAAGAAAACAAAAAATAGAGGAAAAAATGAGAATGATCCTGTTTTACAGATTTGGTCAAGCGATCTTTTATCGATTTCGAAAAAGAGAGCAAATTTGCTCATTCTAAAATGAGTATATTCGATCAAAGAAGTCTTACCGGATTATTTAATAATCAGTGTGCGAATTGCGTTCAAAAAAGATGAAGAAAATGCTCGTGAAGTAATCAACAATTTTTTGGCAGAGGGAAAAACGAAATTTGCAGATCTTCGCGATGTAAGTTCCTCTTATCTTTGTACCACAACATTTTAGGGTACTGATAAAATACAAGAGCTAGGGGAAGAGATTTACAATTAGAGGAAAACATAAAAGTATGTATTTTTATTTGATTATTCGCGTGAACTCTTGTCGACTCACTTCATTTTTCAAAAATATTTTTATTTCCAAACTGAAGTAAAGATACGTGCAGTTTGTTAACAATTTTAAATTATTTCAGTCGCTCAAAAAACATCCGAACCCGTTCGAATCATGGATACGCAGAAGACTATCGATGTATATGTCGGAAGCAGAAATATTTAAATGTGCCAGGGAAATGGGAAACAAGGAGGATTTTGTTGAATGGATGATGAAGTATGTTTTTACAATTCAATAATTATTCTAAATAACAAAGTTAACAATATTTTTCAAGGCCAAAACTCTTTTCCAAAACTATCTTACTTCAAATTTTATTTTATTTTTCCCGAAATTTTCCAATAAGATTGTATTTTTAACCATAACCGTTCCTAATTTACAGAAATGTTCGAGCCGACAAAAGATCAAGCTACACCGTCGAAAATCTTCAACCAAGATTTGATAATTATGTCAAAAACCGGAAAAAGGTGAAGAAAAATGTTTTATTTTAATACTCACTCTTTTTTTTCTGTATATATTGAATTAATTTTTTTTCGAAATTAATGTAAATATATTAGATATTCGTAATGCTAGGAATAATTTTAAAATTTGTATTTTTTTCTGTGAATGATAAACATTGATATCTTTCATGTTGAGTTCCAAGAAGTTTTGATACAACTGATTCGAATAATTGGGTACATGGGGAATCGAGAATTCCAATAGAGTATCATAACATTTCTTTGAGTCATTCGAATGCAATGGATGTTAAAGTATTTCCAATAACATTTGCTAACATTTCTAACATTTTTTGCTTTTTAAAATAAATCGATTTCAGCCATCGATTTATTTGATTTTGATTCAATTTTTTTTTATTTTTTTTCTGGGAACTTACCAATGTTTTCACAATTTCCCAACTTGGGAATCCCAACTTTCTTTCATTTTTTCTTGATCCTTCAAAATTGTCGCAATTAATGTTACTTCGAAAAATATAGCTCGAGAATTCTCTTCAGATTTTCTAAGAAGAATCAAAGAATAATTGAAAGTCGAAATTCCTCATTTTCATAATATTTTTTCCTGATAATTTATCCTCCATAATCAACAATTGCTCTCATTGGACATCTTGAAATAATTCTCAAAATAAAATCAAAAATTTCTGAATTTCCCAGGTTTGACTTGATGAATAATTCAGAACTTCGATGATTCCTATCGTCATTACAAACAGAACATAGTGGTTTTTGATAAACAACCCGAAAAAAAGCAAACGTGGCCGTGACCTAAAAAACCAAAATATTCTTCGAGAGAACTACACAAATTAATTCGGTTTTTTTGTTTTCGAAATCGCAAAAATTATTGTTTATTCAACATAATGGCGGATGTTTGGGTTTCAACTGGTAAACGATTCTGCGAAATTTGCAAAGTTTGGTTTGGCAACAATAAAATCTCGCAAGATCATCATGAACGAGGAGAACGACACAAAGCAATGCTCCAACAAAAAATTCGCGAAACTATGCAAAAAGGCAAAAGACAAGAAATCGCTGATGCAAAACTAAGTGCAACTCTAGCAAGAATGGAATCTGCAGCAACTTCTTCAATGGCTGCGAAAGGTGAAGGTGTTATGATGGGACCAAGTGTACCAGCAACTGGTTTGAGAATGAATATCTTCGATCCAAAACAACATAAAGACGTTGGTTCAATGGCAAGAGAAATGGCATCGAGAAGAGAAGGAAATCTGAAACGAAAAGGATTGAGTGGCGCAGAATGTCCAACCCAAGCACCATCACTTAAAGTCACAAAAGATGATGTTGTCTCGGCATATCGCGATCTCACAGCTCCAAGTGCACACGGTCCAGCACTTCCCGAAAATCTTGCTGTTAACTATTTACCAGATCAACAAGTTCAATGTGGCGAAATAAAATGGGTGAGAGCAAAATCGGAAAGAGGAACATATTATTGGAATATCTTCGATCAATGTAAGTCTCAAACTGGGGAAAAATATTATTTCAAATATTTCAGCAACTCGATGGGATCAACCTTCATTTTTCTATACCGAACAAGAATATGAAGAGAAATGCAGAGAATTTGAAGAAAATCGAGCGAAAAATTATTATGGTTTAGATGATGTTACAGCAGTTCGTCAAGGAAAACAAGGTAAAAAGTTTATTGAAAAAATTTATCAAGAATTATTTTTATTTCAGAAGTCGAAGCTTATATCAAAGAAATGGTGTCTGCAAGTGGATTGAACAATGAAATTGAGAAAAACCGAAAAGAACTTAATATTGTGGATAAACCTGATAAAAAGACAAAAGCAGAAAGACGGAGACAATGGGAGGAGAGGAAAAAACAGCGAGAAGAAGCTAGAGCAAGAGGAGAAGATTTCGAGAAAAAATATGAGGAAGAAGATATTGATGAGATACCATTACCAAAAACAGAACAGGAGGTAGTTTCTGAAGAATTTGAAGAATTTGCTCCTCCACCACCACCGGTTTTTGAAGAAGAAGAAGTTGAGGAAAAATATGAAGTTCAACAGAGGCAAGAGGAACCAGAGCCAGAAAGTTCAAGTGCAGCTCCATATGGAGCATGGGTTAGGATTAAGAAGGAGGATAAACCGTAAGTTTATGTTGACAAAAAAAGACAAAATTATTTCACGATGTTAAATTGTTTTTAAAAATTAAGAAACCTTTTATTCGAAAGCTCTTGAAATATTTTTAAAAAAATTTCAAAGTTCGAAAAAACAGTTTACACCGTGTGAAATGGCTTAAAAGTTCATAGAGCTGTATTACTTTGGTAATTCCGATTTTTATAAAAAATTTGTCGAAAGATGTTATTTATTAAAAAATTAAATTCGGGAATTTCTGATTGTAAATAAGTATTCGGACATCACGTGATTTTCATCGAGTAATTCCCGAAATAAAATCATCAAGTCTCAAAAAAATGATTTTCCAGTGAAATTCCATTCGAATCGCCATTAACTGCTCGATTCCGCGAAGAAGAGGAAAAAGCGAAAGAGGAAGAAGAATGGCGCGAAAAAGAGGAGCCAAAAATTGAATTCGGCGAAAAAACGGCGACAACAATGACGAAAAAAGTGAAAGGACCAATTGAGTTCAAGAAAAAAACAACGACTCGAAATATTCGAAAACGGGAGGAGAATTAATTTATTTAATTGCGCTAATAAAAATATAATATTGAAGAAACTTTTCATATTTTATCTGGTCCGGAAATCGCCTGAAATATATCTTTATTATTTCGAATTTCAATATTTTTTCAAAATAGATGGTTCAAACTGTTGGAAATCTCTCGGAGTTGAATAATTTGGTAGATCGTGCTGATGCGAATCGTCTTTTTGTTATTGATTTTTATGCGGATTGGTGTGGTCCTTGCCGATTTATCGCGCCGTTTTTCGAACAATTAGCCGGGCAATTTGCGAATGCAACTTTTTTGAAAGTTAATGTGGATGTTTCCAGGGGTAACTTCATCAGTTTTGGTTGATAAAAAAAAGAAAATTTTTAGATATTATGGGACGATATGGTGTTAGAGCTATGCCAACTTTTGTTCTTCTTAAAAACAGACAAGAAGTTGATCGGATTCAGGGAGCTGATCAGAATCGACTTCAACAAGCTGTGCAACAGTGAGTTTAGCTTCTTACAAGAAAAATTCACTCTAGATTTTTAATGAAAATAGTTTTCGACGCGCTGATTACGATCTCGCAGTTCAAAATTGCAGAACTCAACTCTTAAAAAGAGTTATGACGTGGCAAGTTTGGAAATTTCGCTTCAAAAATTTTGCAGATCTTGAGCTACATAGTTTTCAGCACCTAAAGTCCCGATTTTTCGAAATTTCCAAATTTGCCACGTCATAACTCATATTTAGGAGTCATAACTCATATTTAGGAGCCACGTCATAACTCATATTTAGGAGTTGTGCAATTTTAGACGACGGAATATTGATCAGCGGATCGAAAACTACATTTTATTAAAAATCTAGAGCTGAAACAGTTTCCTTATCAGAAAATGATTTTTTTTTTTAAATTCCAGACATTATTCTGATACTCCGGCCAATCCAAATGCTGCAAATTCAGATGAAAAACGATTTCTCGATCAATTCGCTAATCAAAGTCAAAGAATCAAATATTACAATGATATTGTTTATAAAACCCTGGCTTTGAGTTGTATACCTGAAGAAGAAATGAGAAAATCAGCAAAAAATGACTTGGAATTATTAGAATCGCTTGTGAAATGGTTCAAGGAGGATTTCTTCTCATGGACGGATTCACCAATTTGTGAAAAATGCAAAATTCAAACACCAAAAGGGAAAGGCCTCAATGGAACACCGAATAAAGAGGAAAAAGAGATGGGTGCGCAAAGAGTTGAAATATATATTTGTGAAAAATGTGACAGTGAAGTTAGATTTCCGAGATTCAATGATCCCGCGAAACTTCTTGAAACTCGAAATGGAAGATGTGGAGAATGGGCGAATTGTTTTACTTTATGCGCAGCGGCGATGGGTTTCGAAGTGAGATTTATTTACGATGTCACTGATCATGTTTGGACAGAAGTGTTTCTAAAATCTCAAGATCGATGGATTCATGTTGATCCTTGTGAAGGTATTATTGATAAACCTTTGATTTATGAAAAAGGATGGAAAAAGAGATTATCTTGGGTTATTGGATTTGGAATTGATCATGTTGTTGATGTTACTTGGAGATATGTTATTGATAGTCGAGATGTTGCTAAAAATCGGCGGTTTGAAGTTAGACCCGCGGTTTTTTCGAATTTTATGAATGTTAGTTCAATTTTTTTATTTAAAATTTAAGGCGGAGTACGAGATAAAAATATGTTAGGCTCACTTGAGATATAAATTTGCAATTAGTACATTCCTCGAATTTTTAATGTAAACCTTTCAAAAATTTGTAAAGCAAGTTCAAAGTTTTTAAAACAGTGAAACATCGTGTGAAATGGATTTAGAAAATGGAAAAATCCACCTTTAAAAATAGGAAATTTTTTATAGAAATTGAACGAGCGCCAAATGTCATCTTGCGATGAAAATCGCAAAAAAGAGCTGACCGAACGACGATTGAAAGAACTCATTGTTTTGATGGTTGAAGAAAATTTGAAGAAAAAAGGTTCTGAAAATTATGGGGGAAGAATAACTGGAAGTGAAGAATGGAGAAAAGAAAGAGGAGAAATTGGAGAGGGAAATGTGGAAGAGGAAAAACATGTTATTCAAATTCCGGGCGAAAATGAAAATGGTGTATTTGAGTGAGTTTTTGTTTTCAAAAATCATCCCCTGGCTCACACCTCGGCCAACATTGTGGTTCCCAAAAGTCAAAATTGTACTCTGAAGTTTTGAGTGTCCTCTTAAAACCGCGGCCCTTGGCCTAGAAAAATTATTCTGATTATGATTTAGGCGCGAGGAAAATTGTAAAAAAAATTTTGAAAGTTTTGAATTTCCGCCCAAATGAAAATTTTCATTTGGGCGGGAAAAAATTTTGAACAATTTTGTTTTGAAAATTTTGAATAATTTCCAGATTTTCCTATTCGTGCGCCCAAGATTCATACAAATTTTCCGATGGCAAACAAATCCACGGATTCCAAAAATCGATTTATGAATCGGAAAATGTTGAGAGAAAAGTGGAAAAAGATTGGAAAATGGCGTATTTGTGCAGGAAAAATGATCAACCGGGGACCGTGAGTCATAAAAAAAATTCAAATCCAAGAAAATTTTTTCAGATAACTTGGAAGTTTGATTTATCATCTATCAATAAACCCATCAAACGCATCGAAGTTCAAGTGAATGGCTTGGAGACTTTTGACAAATCGGCCAAATGTTTTATGGTTGCATGTTTAGGAGATGTAGGTTCCAAGAAATTTTTTTTTTAACCAACAACTTTTTTTGAAAATCTTCAGTCCTGCATTCGAATTTCCCCCAAAACCGGTCGCCTCGAAATCGATTCGCCTGAAGAATCTGAAAACATAAAAATAACTGCGACATTGATCGGTGGATCGGGTGATAATGCATTTCAACAATCGCAATTGTTTCGAACTTCTCTCGATGATTGCAACAACGCTCAATTCGATGTAAAAATATATATGTGATGTGGTAATTTTCAATATTTATGGGGTAATAATATAAAAATTTTGTTTTATGTAAAAAAAAATAAAAGAAAATGGCGAGATTTCAATGACTATGGCAAAAAAATGACTGTGAGAAGTTCTTTGGGAAAATGAAAAAACGGGTTAGTATTTGAAAAAAAGAAAAAACTATGAGTACCTAAAATAACATGCAATATATTCAACTCTAAAAATACAATCATCTACCGTAGCCTAAACTACAGTAAGCTCATCTTGAGATGCTTTTGACGAAAAACAAAAAAATCAATCGTCATCAGAGCGAAGATGATACTCTTCAGCTCCTCGTTCTAATTGATATTTGAGAAGTTCTGACATCTTCCTGCCACGTTCTTCAGCTTCCAATTTTTCAGCTTCAATTTCACGTTTCTTACGCTCAACATCTTCCTCTTCCTTTTTAAGGCGGGCTTCTAAATCTCTTTGTCTTTGTTCATCTTCCTTTTTAACACGAGATACAATTGCAGCAATAAGTGCAGCTCCACGACCTGATCCATCTCCGGTTTGTACAATTTTGAACTGAAAAAATATATATTGAAATTGGGAGGGAATAAAACTGAAGAACGAACTTACATCAAGTCCAGGATCCAAAAGTTCACGAATTTTTTCGCAAACCCAATGATTGAAAAATGGATGATATTTATAGGTTGAACCATCAATTGCAACCAACATGAATGGTTTTCGAACACGATTCAAAACACAAGCGATTGCTGAAAAAATAGATTTTTTGGGAACTTTGAGAAATTCTTACACGGGAAGAGCACAATATGAGCCTAAAATAAAAATTCCGAGGTTTTGGATGTTTGTAACTCATGCTAGAGAAACTTAATAAAAACTTGAAAATCTACTTTTTGAGCTTAAAATTGCTCCCGTTGAGCACAAAAATGAGAAATTTGATTTTCTTTGGATCCAGAAAGCTCAAATTCTCATTTTCACAGTCAAAATTTTTTTTTTAAACTAATTTTTCAAAAACAAAAAAAATACGTTTCAAAATCTTGATATATTTTATTATCAATTTTTTTCTCAATGTACTTGGTGAAATCGAAGTGTGACATAAAAAATTCACAAACATTTATTGAAAATTCTGAAATTATCGATTTTTCCATCGAAATTCATGAAAATTTCAAGTATTCCCATAACTTATATGTATATCATTAAGGCAAAAAAATTTCCCCAAAATAATGGCATTCGAAAAATGTTTTTTTTTTCAAAAAACCAACCAGCAGCAGCCAAATTAGCACTTCTTCTCGAGACCACAACACAAACTTCTCTCAACAAAAGCATATCACTGAATGTGGCTCCTTCAATTCCCAATTCTTCCATAATTTGACGAGTGTTCATATAAGAACCACAATCATCGCTGAAAAATCAATATTTTTATCTCTTTTATTTCTTTTCCTGAAAAAAAAAACAAAAGACTCACTGTAAAATTTCAGAAATATATTTGGTGGGAAATGTGTTGACAGTTCGCAATAATTTCGAGCCATTTCCATTGAAAATCACCTTGTTTTCACACAGCCGTTCAAGAACCAATCGAACCAATTCACCCATACACATTCCGGCAATCAATTTATCGAGACTGTTGACGCCTGGATGATCTGATCGAGAATCGACTATTTTGTCGTATCGTGTGAAGATGTAATCCGCCTCTCCGCGATCACCAAAACCTCCCCATTCCGTATCGATTATCATCTGAAAAAAATTGAATTTATATGTACTACTTTTCATTCATAGTAAAGGCGGAGCATCATTTAACCCCCTTTAATTCCTCAGCGTAATTCCGGAGTGTCGTTGTTTCTTTTTCCCCTATTCTCACCCAATTATCATGTTTACATGAATGTCCAAAATCAGTTTGGTTTTTTTTTTTGAAAAAAATTAGTCCGCAAACACGCACATATAAAATTTGTGCATTAGAGCGCGTTTTGTTTCGTATGGTTTACAAGACGCTTTTTTATGGTAAAACATGGGCTAACAAAGAATGATCGAGGAAGTACCCCAATGAATTTTTATAAATAAAACCGGTCTCAAAATTATTTTTTCAATTGGGTAACATACCCGGTAGCAGGATTAAGCAAGTAAAAATTTATTTCCCGAGTTCCTGAAAACCGGGAAACTTTGGGGTAAAAAATAGACACAATGCAAAAAATCGTTCCATAGCTCAATCTTGACAAAATTTAGCGTTCGAAAAAGCAAAAAGTAGCTAAAAATGTGAATTTTTTCAATTTCAACATAGTTAAAATCAATTTCATGTTTTGCACAATCATACTCAATTTTTTTTTAAATTCACATTTTTAGCTACATTTTGCTTTTTCGAAAGCTAAATTTTGTCAAGTTTGAGCTATAGAATGATTTTTTGAATTTTGCCCATTTTTTTACCCAAAATTATTCCGGTTTTCAGAAACCCGGCAAATAAATTTTTACTTGCTTAATCCTGCTTCCGGGTTTGTTACCCAAACGTGTTTGCAGATTTGACGAACATTTTCAGCCCCATTTTTTCAAAAATTACCTGTTTATGTGTATATTTATCAGTTGCATTCGCCAAACCATGCACAATTTTCTTCGAATCCTCCATATACGATGCATTTGTACCAGTTCCAATAATCACTCCAATATCACATTGTCCTCCAGCTTCATAAGCGGCGGCAACCATTGTTCCAACTGTATCATTAATCAATGCAACGATTTCAACTTTGACTCTCTGGAGTTAATTATTTTTATAATTTACTTACAAAAAAATTTGAAAAATCAAAACTCACTCCATCTCTGGCTATCGCATCTTCCAATAATTGCACAACATCTTCTCCAACACATCCAGTTGCTGTCACACCTTTTGTCCATCTGAGAAGTGTGGCTGATCTTAGACCAGTTTGATCGCAAGGATATGAAAATGTGAAACCAACTGGTAGATTCTCATTCGCCAATTCTCTTTCGATTAAAAAGTCGGCAAGCGCTTTTGCAATATAATCAAATAATTTCGCCCCAGTTCCATGCATTGCAGCATTCGGCATTCGGGTGTTGAATTGTTTTGTTCGCATCGGCTCTCCTGGTTCGATTTCCATCAACATTACACGGAGATTTGTTCCTCCAAGATCCATGGCAACAAATTTTCCTCGTTCTGTTAGAAATGCCATGTGATGACTAATTTTTAAAGAGAAATTATGACCTTTCAACGGCGTAAGCGGGAAAAAATATTTTCATTGGTCATTTCAGAATAAATTCGAAATTCATGCTCACCTTTTCCATTTGGCAATTCTGGTACGAAAGATGGGAGCATAGCGATGGTTGATTTTTCCAATCCAGATTCCAAACCTCGATCCATATTGTCCTAAGTTTCTCATATTTATTTTCTAACACATTTTTTATTTTTCTTCCCTTATCTACTTAACAAATTTAAGACACACTTACTGATAAATGAAGCATCATTCGTCTCAAAGTTGTATTCGATAATTTGAATTCAGCCATAACCGATTCCAATGAGATCGATTCTTCATTTAATTTCGACGCCATTTTGGTGAGTGGTGTCTGTTTGTGAGGTTTCCGATTTTTCTGGTCGCCACCACGCCAAGCTCGATATCGACATGCTAATTCCAGTGCACCCAACATTCTGAATTTTTTCAAAATTTAAAATGATAACAAAAAAGTTCAATCAAATCTCTGCTGAAAATTGATTTTTCGTCTCGGAAAAAAAAAAGAAGAAACGTGCTTCTGACGAAATCTCTTAATGTGTGCGGCAAGTTTGCAAAACTTGTGTGCCGCAAACAAAAAAATGGCCACGCCCCTTTTCATTTTTATTTTTTTGATTTTTTGGCTGACGCTCCTTTTTCACCACATACAGCGTTTTTCAGATGTCGTTTCATTCATCAAACAGCGGCCGTAATTTGAATGCATTTGCGGGTCCATCCTCCAGCACATCGTTTCCTACACCGCCTTCTACAGATGTCGATCTTATGAACACTCAAAAAACAATTCGCGATATTCAACAATATTTGGAAACTTACGAATACCCTTTCATCAAGGATATCAGTTGTTATGAGAAATTAAATAAAATCGGACAAGGAACATTCGGTGAAGTGTTCAAAGCAATGTGTAAAAGAACCAAGAAAATGGTTGCGTTGAAAAAGATTTTGATGGAAAATGAGAAGGAAGGTTTTCCGATTACTGCGTTGAGAGAAGTTAAGATGTTACAACAATTGAAACATCCAAATATTACCGATTTGATTGAAGTGTGCACATCCAAATGTAGGTTTTTCTTGTTACAATTTTTTTCTTATTCAAAAAAATTTTTCCAGCAAATACGTCTAAAGACAAAACGTTATTCTACTTGGTTTTCGCATTTTGTGAACATGATTTGGCTGGTTTATTGAGTAATCGGAATTTGAAAATTCAGCCGGTTCATATCAAAACCATGATGCAGCATCTTCTGAGTGGTCTTTGCAAACTTCACCGTTCAAAAATCCTCCACAGAGATATGAAATCAGCAAATGTTTTATTATCGAAAGAAGGAGTTTTGAAATTGGCTGATTTTGGATTAGCCAGACCATTTTTACAACGTAAGTTCCCTTTGGTCAAATTCAATAAAAAAACAATAAAAATTTCAGCACTGAAAGATCAACCAGCACCTTTATATACAAATCGAGTTGTCACCTTGTGGTATCGTCCTCCAGAATTATTACTTGGTGATCGACAATATAATACAAAAATTGATGTTTGGGGAGCTGGTTGTATTATGGCTGAAATGTGGGTTAGAACACCGATTATGCAAGGAGAATCTGAACAAAAACAATTAATATTAATTAGCACATTGTGTGGGTCAATTAATAAAGAGGTAAACATTTTTGGAATGAGTTTAATAAATAAATTTATCTATCCAGGTTTGGCCGAAATGTGAAACAATGCCATTGTGGAGAAATATGGCGACTGAAACGAATTCTTGTTTGCCGCAAGGTAAACCGAGAATTTTGAAAAATAAATTACCGATGATCAAGGATGACGATGGTTTCAATTTGTTGGATTTGTTATTATCGATTGATCCAGATAAGCGGCCAACAGCTGAAGATGCGATTGATAACAAATGGTTTTATATGAAACCCGAGTGTAAGGAGAATGTTTATGATTTGATTGAAAATTTGAAGGTGAGAGGATTTTTTTGTTTTGAAAAATCAAATTTTAAATGTGGAGTCTCAGATAAAAATCGATTTTCTCTCCTGGTTAAAAAAAGCCATTGACAAATTTTCAAAAAAAATCTGAATTGACAGAAAAACACAATTTCAAACTACTGGACATCTGGACTTTCAAACCATTTTTCACGGTGTTTCATTGTTTTTTTTAATTCGAAACTTTTAAACTAAACATTAGTTTAAAAATTTCAAAAAACAGTGAAACACCGTGTAAAATGGCTTCTGTCAATTCCGATTTTCATGAAAATTTGCCAATGGCTTAAACCAGGAAACTAACTTTTGAATTGAAATTGATCGATTTTTATGTCAGACTCCACCTTTTAAAACAGAGCAGCTCACAAAAAAATAAATTTATAATTCCAGACTTCACAATTCGAATTCACAGTCGGTCGCGGAGTCCACGCAAATCGAAATCGTCAACAGCAGCAAAACAATCGGCCTCAACCAATGCCTCGTCCTGCAAATCTTCCAGCAGGTCAACTTCGTGATATAGTCTGGTAATTTATTAATAAATCGTTGTCCCCCTTTTGTTTTATTTTGAAAACTTACCTTTTTTTCTTTTACTTTATTTTTCCCCCAATTTCTTGTGAGTGAAATTTATCTGGTTTTGGTTTTATCCCCGTTTTTATAATATAATATTATTAATTTCATCTACACACAAGTACCTGAAAATGTTATGAAAAATTGTCTCAAATTTGTAATTGAACCAACCCCAAATGTGTGAACAATCAACTCTTATCCTTGGGTAAAGGACTTCTAAACAAACAAATGAGAAGGACAAATTGGGGTTACTGTATTTAGTTAACGGTCAACGTAAGCAGATATTTTTTTTTGAAAAAAAATAATTGTCAGGATGTCCGGAAATCGAAATGTTGCAAAAAAGGAATATTTAGAGGTACTTTCAGTTTTATATTTGCTTGACATAATATTATTTTTTCTCTCGATCAAATACTTGAAAAATTTTGTGTGCAAAAAAGATCGAAAACCACAGAAAAAGTATAGTTTGGTTCGTGAGAAGATCTGAGATTTTTGACCAAAAATTTGTTTTTTTTTTTTTTTGAAAAATTCAAAGGCTTTTTGCCACGTGGATTTTTTAAACTTAAAAATTTCAATGTTATCCTAAAAAATTTTCAAGAAAAAAAACTCAAAAAAATTCCGGACACAAATTTTTGCCACGTGGAATTTTTTATTATCAAGGCTAAAAAGAGGATTCAATGCTTCCCAAGTACGGTATATCCTCTGCGTCACTAACGTCGTTTAGAGACTAGACAGAGAAATAGAGTCAATGGCCACGTTGAACTTCTCACGCAGTCAAATAATATTCGATATTTTTCACAAGTGAAAAATACAGCCGGATGGCCGAGTGGTTAGCGTGCGTGCTCACATTTTGCGAAACCCTGGTTCGATCCCACCCGCGGACATACTTTTTTTTTCGTTTTTTGAAAAATTCAGAAACTGTTTCAAAGTATTCATCTTCGCACACTCTCAAATTTCGACCGTGATCCAACTTGGGTTGTACTTTATGATTGAAAAAAGTTCCAAAACACTCAAAACCGCACTGTTTCAGCGAATAACAACTTGACCTAAAAATAGTTTCAATCGGTTTTTCATTGTTGTCCAATGTCTAATATATATTTGATACAACAACAAACAAACAACAATACAGCAGCATAAAATGAAAATGATTATTAACCTTCAACTCATCATTTTACCGCCCAAGGTGAAGTGTGCCAAAACTGAGGGGCGGAGTTTCGCAGGTCGAATAAATAGTCTACCGTATTATGAGAAATCCACAGTTTGTCTCGTTTTTCAAAATGTTTTTAGTTTTGGTGTTTTCTATATATTTTGTGTCTTCAATTGGTGCAATTTCCGATCCGCCAAGTTTAGACAATGGAGTTGCTGAATTACCATTGGTTGATTGTATGGAAGATCGAGTTAAATTGAATTTCAAAACTTTGAGACCTTTTCATGGACGCATTTTTGTGAAAGGCATGGTCGATAAAGTAAGTTGGGGAATTTCTACAAAAAAAAATAAATAAAAAGTTCCAACCGGGGTTCGAACCATCGAGAATGAATGTTAATGCACTACCCGGCTGCACCAAAATCTCTGTTTTTCAGCAACAATGTGTTCGAGATTTTGTGACAAGCAATGCAAAAGATGTGACTTTTGAGCTAGAAAATGGGGCGTGTAATATGAGAAGGCAAAGAATGGTAAACTTATTTTTCAATTTCCCAACTTTAAATATTTTTTATTTTCAGCTCGGCCCAGAAAAACGAGGAATGGAAATGTCGATGACAATCATCATCTCATTTCACTCCACTTTCATCACCAAAGTTGATCGAGCTTATCGTTGCACATGTTTCTATCTGGAAGCGGATAAAGTTGTGACAAGTCGATTTGATGTCAGGTAGGTATATTAGATACATGAAGAAATTCTGTAAAACAAGTTCTGTTACAGTATGCTGCCGACGACTGATTTAATCGATACAGCTCGAATGCCTTTGTGCACTTATAGTGTTCATAGAGATTCGATAACTGGGCCGATTGTTGAATATGCAAAAGTTGGAGATACGGTTTATCATGTTTGGAATTGTGAAAGTGGTACGGTAATTTGAAATGAGATGAATACGGAACTTTTTAGAAATATTTATGCTTTAGGAGACTAGGAGCTACAGTACTCTCGTAATTTAAAGGGACATACATTAGCATAGACTAAAATCTTCTTTTTAAAAGGTGTAATTTACTACCCAAAATCTCTGGGCTTCAAAATTTCCGAGAAATTTTCCGGTAGATCAAAACATTTTTCTCTGAATCTCTCACTTTTGCGTTGAATTTCATGTCAGGTCTCAAAAAAAGCGCGAAATTTTCTTGGTTGTAAATTACACGCGTTTTTTTTCACGTGACAGAAAACGAGAGAGTAAAAATCAGCGTGTACGTGAAGAAGAGACAGGAGACGAAAAATGGATATGAAAAACTCCGCCCACTTTTAAAAAATTTCTAGTTCACGTGGCCGCTGAAGCGGAAGCTTGCGGTTTACACTCGATCCGCTCGAGCACAATCACTACAAAATTCAATTTTCAGATATGTTCTCGATGTTGGTTCATAGTTGTTTTGTCGATGATGGAAATGGTGATGAAAGAAAACCACTTTTAGATGAAAATGGGTCAGTTTATTACCTATTTTCCTCCCAACAATCCAATTGTTTGTTGTTGTTTTTCCAGTTGCGCAATTGACCCATTGATCCTTCCTGATCTCACCTACAACAAAGCAAACAATCAAGCGTATGCCCAAGTGAATGTCTTCAAATTCGCCGACAAAATCTCCACATATTTCCAATGTGCTGTTAGCACTTGTATGAACTCCGAAGGAATGTGCGATGGAAAAACACCACCAAGATGTGGACCAACTGGAACCGGATTCTTTGCACAAAATAATATTGTGGCAAAACGTGCAAAACGAAGTGGTTTGAGAGAAACTCGTGAATTATCCAATAAGACATCGGTTAATTGGGTTCATCTTGCGGATACAATGGATTTGGCTGCACAGAAAATCACTGTATTTGAACTCGAGGATAAATCATCAACTTCGACTGAAGATGACCCGATTAATAATCATTTTGCCGCATTTGTTCATAAGGAAACAGCAAATCCATTGATTTGTTTGAATCAATCAAGAATGACACTTTTGCTAACAATCACAATATTCCTTCTTTCAATTGTAACAGCTCTAACATTTTTGAGTCTTCGAAAAACATCGAAAAAATGTGAATTCTCAACTTCTTCATCTTCATAATCGCCTTTCAATTAGGTGCAATTTTCTTATTTTATTTTTATTAATATTAATATTCGTTCATGTAAATAAAAAATTTAAAAAATAACTATTTTTCGAAACTATTATATTGGCTCGAAAAAAGGATTTGAAAAAATAGAAACTTTTCAAGATTTACAAAATTTGACCAAAAAAATCTGAAAAAAAAATAGAGCACGTGTAAAATATTTTTGAGACGTCACATTTTTCTGCTCATTTCTCGCTGTTATTCGTTTCCTAATCGGTTATTAAAAATATGAAGCTGAATTAAAGTAAGTCAGATTACTGTAGATTTGTAATTTGTTCAAACTTTTAGGTTTTTCTCATGAATGTTTTATTTGAGCACAAGAAAAGATGAGGTTTATCTGAAATGATCGTGAGTTTTGATGTTTCGGGATGCCCATACAAAAAAGCCTTGAAATATTGAGATCCCTTCATATTCTCAAAAATATTATTTCTAGTCCAAGGTATTTTCGACAAAAAACACACCTATTGGAGTACTGTAGGAGGCAAATATATTTTGTGTGTAATTTTGCGTCGCGGTTTATGTGTACGGTTACCCGCTCTTTTCAAATCTTTTTTTCTGCGAGATTTTCGAATTGAATTTCGGTAAAAACAGGAAAATAACGCTCCAGAGAAAAACTACATAAATTCCGAAACCCTGGAAAAAATCTATTGCGAATTTTTACTAAAATAATTCCAACGAGTTATCAAAACTAAATTTTTTTCTGCAACTTTTTTCGCATCTCATTCATTTTCCATCCCATCTATTTATTTATTATGTTCTTCTCTGCTTGTTGTGTTTTTTCCATTCTTTCGCACAACAGTTTTCCTCCATCCTGCGTCTCCACCACTCGCCACACTCTCTCCATGTTCGCCCGTCGCGGCTTGAAATAGTGTGCGGTTCGAGGAAACGAGCAGAGATACGCGACGCGATGACGCGTCGCGGCTGCGACGACGACGACGAGTATTTTTTTTTTGCAAATTGAACGAACGAAATTTCGCAGTCTGTTTGTTATTATTTTTGTATATCGATTTGCTTTTATGCCCATAGGCAGACAGTTCTGAATTTTCAGCTTTTATTGTATTTTTTGTTGAAAATCGCATTGAGGTTCATTTTTTCGTCTAAATTTCATTTTCAGCTATGGCACTTTGGACTGACCCATCTCGTCAGTTTCTAATATCATCAATTCGAGATCGACCGGTTCTTTGGGATAAAAACATCACTTGCGATCAAAATTATCGAAATATCAAAAATGCCGCATTTATCGAAGTGACCAATGAGCTCAATCGAATGTTTCCAATGTGCACCAAATTCAGTTGTAAGTTTTTCAAAATGTTTAAAAAAAAAAGACGAAATATTCCAGGCGAAGATGTTCGTTCGCAATGGAAAAACTTGAAAGACACATTCGTCCGAAAACTTCGCTGGTTAACCGAGGGAAAATATAACGAAGATCCGACGAAAGAACCAACTTGGAAGTTTTATCGAATGCTAACATTTTTGGATGATAAAGAAGCGAAAAGAATGGCAAATGTGTTGGATCAAGTGGAAAGTTCTTCATATCACGATCCAATGAATTTACATTCAATGCACACGATGAAATCAGAAGATATGACACAACAACACAATTATGATTACAGTAATCATAGCACTTCATCAAGTGAAGAACAAATGCTCCAAATGTTTGTTCAAAATCCGTCGCCACCTTCTCCCCCACTTCCAATGGCGGTTTCCTCGATTCCTTGTAGCACTGAAACGATTTGCGCCAAACCGCCGTATACTCCACAATCACAAAATAGTCAGGATAGTGATGATGAGCCAAAAAGGAAGAGGGTTGGTTCAAAAAATGTTAAAAATGAAATTTTAAAAACATATTTTCAGCCATACAATCGTCGTCCAACATCTTCTGACGAATTCGATATTTTCGGTGCTTATATTGCTGCACAACTCAAACGAGTAACAGAAGATCATAGCCGCAGTGCGGCTCTTCGTCTACAAAAGAAGTTATCCGATGTCATATACGAGGATCAAATCCACTTAATGGAAAATCGCTGAATGTCGTGTCGTGTCGTGTCAAAATCTATTTTTACGTGGCATCCACGTTTCACTCATTTCTGGTGCTCTTTTTTTGCCATTTGATGATTTTTTCCATGATCTGTGATCAATAAAACTAATCAATAAAGTTATGCACATTTATCTCTTTCTGTGGATCACCGCAATAAAAGTGTGGAAAAAATGAATAGGAGAAGAAAATAAATTAAAAATGTTTTAACCTTTTTGTTTAGGCATAGTAGTTGAGTGACGCCTTCTTTTTAGCTTGAACTTCCAAAATCGCATCCATAAAGTCTTCGTGAAGAATTTCAGTGGCATCACGTCTCAAAGCAATCATACCCGCTTCAACGCAAACAGCTTTGCATTGAGCACCATTGAAATCATCAGTACATCTGGCCAATTCTTCAAAGTTCACATCTTTGCTGAAATGAAGAGAAAAATCAGTTTTGAAAAATTGGAATGATGAACTTACTTAACATTCATTTTTCTCGAATGAATTTGCATAATTCTTGCGCGAGCATCTTCATTTGGATGTGGCAATTCAATTTTTCTGTCCAAACGTCCTGAACGTAACAATGCTGGATCTAAAACATCGATTCTGTTAGTAGCGGCAATAACTTTGATATCATCATTTGGTTGGAAACCATCAAGTTGATTCAATAATTCCAACATAGTTCTTTGCACTTCACGATCTCCAGCTTTTTCCGAATCGAAACGTTTTGTACCAATAGCATCAAGTTCGTCGATGAAAATAATAGCTGGTGCTTTTTCTTTTGCCAACGCGAAAGCATCACGAACTAATTTAGCGCCATCTCCGATGAACATTTGAACGAGTTGTGGACCAGCAAGTTTCAAAAAAGTGGATTTGGTTTGAGCAGCAACTGCTCGAGCCATCATAGTTTTACCAGTTCCTGGTGGACCGTACATAAGAACTCCCTTTGGTGGATGAATTCCAAGATTAACGAAACGATCTTTATGTGTCATTGGAAGAACAACAGCTTCGATAAGTTCCTAAAATGTAATTTTTATATTTATTTTCAAGAATTTTTTAGCTGCTTCAAAACTTACTTGAATTTGTTTATCACATCCTCCGATATCAGCGTATTGTTCAGTCGGTCTTTCATCAACTTCCATAGCTTTGACACGAGAATCGTATTCGGCTGGCAATTTTTCGAGAATCAAATAAGAATCTTTGTTGACACCAACAAGATCTCCTGGTTTCAATTCATCTGGGTCAACCAGTCCAACAACCGGCAAGAAGTATGTTGCACGAGTTGAAGTTTTGATGACAGCGCACTTGGTTTTCTGTGCATCCAAATCTACATTAGCTCCTTCTTCTTCTTGGTTATCTTCCAAATCCAATAATTCAACAACGTTTGATACCAAATATGGCAACGTTTTGTTGACTTTGATTCTTTCGGTGTTTTCTTTTACGCGTTCTTTGAGAGTTTGAGCAGAATGATTGATGCGTTGAACTTCGGAACGCATGATACGAATTTCGTTGTCAAGTAAATGTGTTCGAGATTTGAGATCTTCTGTTGACATTCTGAGGATTTCTTCATCAAGAGCTTCTTCGACTTCCATTGCTTCTCCTGCTTTTGGAGGTGGAGTGGATTGGTTTGATGGATTACTCATTTTCTGAAAAGAAAACAAATCAAATGAATATCACAGCAAAGCCATAAAGTTTAATATTCGAATGAAACAATTTTGCATCAAAAACTTACAACAAATCTACACACAACTTGGAAAAACCTTGGAAAAAACGAAAAAGAAAAAAGAAAAGAAATTTTCAAAAACGATGATTGTGCAGTTGTGCGTCGCGGTGTTTGCACCGGTAGGCATTAAATACGACGACAATTAAATTTAAATTTTTTCATCAAAAAATGCTGCAATTTCGACGATGTTTTTCAACGAAGATGAAAGCATGGGTCTCAGAAAATGGGCACGGTATAGAACTTCGAGAAATTGATGTCCCAACAATCAAAAAACCCGGTCAAGTTCTTCTGAAAGTCAAGGTAATTTGATTTTTAAGCATGAATTAATTTTAAGAAATAATTCAGGCAGCAAGTATAAATCCAATCGATGTTGATATGTCGCAAGGCTATGGCCGTGAGTTTCTCGGAGCCTGGAGAAAAGTCGCTGACTTCGATCCCTCCAGTTCACGCTTTCCTTTGATTCCCGGACGCGATTGTTCTGCAGTTGTTGAAGCTGTTGGCGCAGATGTTCATAATTTAGCCGCTGGTGATGAAGTTCTAGCAATTGTTCCAGTTATCAATCAAGGAACACATGCAGAATATGTTATCGCGGATGCCAAGTTTTGTTCGAAGAAACCATCAAATTTGAGTTTTGAAGATGCAACAGCACTTCCATATGTTGCCACAACTGCATATTCCGCTTTTAAAATTGCGCAAGTCAATCAGAAAAATGCCAAAAGTAAGTTTATCTTCATGTTTCTAGATAAAATTGAATTTTTTTTTAATTTTCAGATCAACGAGTTTTAATTCACGGTGGAGCTGGAGGTGTTGGTTCAATGGCAATTCAACTTTTAAAATCATGGGGATGCCAGAAAATCGTTGCAACTTGCTCAAAAGACAGTTTTCCTCTAGTCACCAAGTTGGGAGCAATTCCAATCGACTATTCAGATATGGAAGCTGCTAAAAATCAACTTATCTCACTAGCTCCATTCGAAGTTGTCCTAGATACTGTGGATTCCGAATTGGCAAAATGGAGTGATAATGTGATGGGAGTTTGGAGAAATTGTGTGCATGTTTCGATTGTTTCCCCGTTGATGCGAGAAATCGATAAAAATGGAATTCCAATCGGTTTATTCTCCACAGCCACCAAACATTTTGAAAGAAGTATTCAGAGTCATTTTAGAGGTCGCTGGTTTTCATATGCATTTTTTATGCCAAGTGGAACTTGTATGAGACAATTATCAACATTTGCCGAACAAGGAAAGGTTAGTTAGCTGTCTTCGAAATTTCTCCGAGAAAATCCTTTTTCAGATCGTTCCAATTGTTGAAAAAGTGATAAAATTCGACGAAATGGTTCATGGATACGAAAAAGTTTCACAATTGAGTGGAAGAGGTAAAACTGTAGTAAAATTTGAATGATGCATTTATTATAAGTACATAGATTTATTAAATTATATGAATTGAATTGAAGCATTTTCAACAAACGGTAAAATTTTAATCCTAAAAGGCACAACAAAATGATAAACAAGAAGAAAAGAACATTATTTTGCGAGCGAATTATGGTTATAATTCGCTCTCTACTAGTCACCTGTTAGGCGGTAAACGAACATTATTTGAACGAGTACATTTACCATTTGAGGTATTATTGTTGTTTGTATTGTTTCGTCTTTCGCGTATTAGTTCACGTAATCTACGACGTTTGCGAATTTGATCACAGCAAACGAAAATGAGCATTGTTAAAACGATGAAAGTGAATCCCAATGCGGCAGATGTTACGATCTCACGGGAATAACCTGAAAGACGAAATTTTTAGCTCTCAAAACTTATACACGTTTTTTTGCCCCCAAAGAGGGTCTGCCAGGATTTTGAATAGACACAACACAAAAAGCAGAGACGCAGACACATCTCGTCCGGTATGAAAGTGATAAACTCACAATGTTGTTCATCTGAAAAATCTCCCTCAACACAATTATGAACACCATCGCAAACCAATGATTTACTAATACATAATCGTGATCTCGATGCGCATATTCCATGTCCTTGTTCAACACAAATCTGCCCACCATCACACACAAATTGGCTATTGCATCGTTCATTCTCCTCCTTTCTCAAGTTCTCATTTTCTCCTAGAAGTCCCTCAACAGCGGTCCAAATTATCTACAAATTTCTCGTTCTTGGCTCATGTTTTCTCCTCAAAGTTACCTTAAATCCAACTCGTTCAGCTCCTAACATTGAACTTGGAGGATTATCGGTTGTTATGAATCTGACAAGTAATCGATTATCACTTGACATATAACTCTTCATTCCTTCTTCCGAATAATATAATTGACTTCCACAAAATCGCGCTTCAGAAATCTCATTATTCCTATCCGAATAGGTGCTCTCATGTTTATAACCATCCAGAATTGTTAATGATGCTCTGTCACATTCAGCTGTAATTTGAGACGTTTTGATGAATACACAGAGCGTGTGAAAATAACATTACCAATAGTTGGTGCCAAGTGTAAATGCACAATTCGAATATAGATTCGTTGACCGCGTTCAACTCGAATCAACCAATTACACGTGGAATTTCTTGGATAAGTTAGGGGGTATCCGGGTGAAGTGATTTCACCGGATAATTGATTTTTCATCGAATGCCCGCCACAAACATTGGAATAAATTGGCTCGGTAACAAATGATCTTGGCTCACTTATGATTTCTGGAGGAAAAATATATTATTGCGGATTGGTTGATGCAGACGTGGGCAAATGCTGTCCGGTCCTTGTACCCTGGCTTAAACCAGGACAGGTACTCACGCAAACTTGCCAAGCCAACATGAGGCCAGGTTCCCCACCCCGTGGGTTGATGAAAACATACCCTCTGACAATATTCGATATTGAATTTTGAATCCTTTATGATAATTTTTCGATGTAGTTGTAACGAACTGAACTTGTATTCCGGATTGCATTGTAGTTATTTCGGCCGGCAGCGAATTGCCGCACAATCTTTCTCCGACATGATGACGACCTAAGATTTTTATGCGATATAAGAAGTTGAATTCTTACTTACCATGTCGATCAACAACTACAATAAGAAGATAAGCATCAAGACATTGATTACTTAATTTATTTTTTTCTGCCAGGTCAAAGTTTAAGAAGAATAATTGAATCACATTTGAATTATCTGTAGATATATTGAATACACAATCGAGAGGTGCAGAATATGGAGATGGAAATCCAGGTGATTCAATTATACCTGAAGGTTTTTGTCTAATTGTAAAAATCAAAATGAAAAAATAGAATACCAGTGGTTGGTGTGCTTGAATTAATATGCTTTATTGCACAATACGATCCACTCGTTAAATCGATTAAAAATATCAATAATATCAGTCGATTGTTCTTTCTATTGTTATTGCTATGATTATATATCACTGTTGTTGTATCGCTGCTTCTTATCATCCTGGATACACGTCGCACATCTCACGACTGCAAAAAATACACAAAAAATAATTGGAAGAAGGAGCACTGGAAAGAAAACGGGGCGCGACGCGAGGAAAACGGCAAAAAAACGAGACAAAATTTGATTAGGAGAAGAAGAGGTATTGTGGCAGGGTTTGAATGAGCGAAAAAATGGAGAGAGGAAGGGAGGGAGAGATTTAGAAGAGACATAAAATACAAACTTTGAATTTTTGAAATTGAAAGATCTCGGTCAGAAAACGGCGGGGTCGATACCAATCGGGGCGGAGTCGCTACACGTTTCGGGGAACAACAAACGTGTAGCGACTCCGCCCCGATCGGTAGCGACCCCGCCGTTTTCTGACCGAGATGTTTATAAATTTTCAAAAATATTATTCGAAGTTACTAATAGAGTTAAGGAGGGTCGGTGTTCTCCTGGTGAAAAAATCGTCTGTAAAAAGGCGTTACGGTGTTGTCTGCAAACACACACTAAAATTCAAAAAACAAGTTGTGCGTTAGAGCGCATTTAATTGTTTTATTTTGTAGGTTTTAACTGGCTTCTGTTTTTGAGGAAAAACACCGCTAGAACTCAAAACTTTTTCTGTGGTAGATCAAAAATATTTTCTCTGAATCTCTCATTTTTGCGTTGTTTTTGGTCAGGTCTCGAAAAATGCGAGAAATTGTTCAGCTTCTAAATCAAACTCTGTGAGTTCTCCAAAATTCGGAGCTTCATCTTCTTTTCGTAAAAAATTATTGCATCAATTTTCCAAATTTTCCAAGTTTCTTCAATAATCCGAATTCTGGAGAAAATTTCGCGCATTTTTCGAGACCTGACACGATTTTGGGCAGGGGTGGGGAAAATGTCATGGCCTCATGTTGTCCTGTCCTTGAATATGGCCTAAACTTGTCCTGGTTCGAACATGGCTTGAACATGTCCTAAAGCCATATGCCCAACCTGTCCTCGCGTGAACAAAAATAACCAGAGAAATTTTTTTTTCTGCATAAAAAAAATAAAATAAAAATGCGATCTCTTCTTTTTCGGCGTGTTTTTTCTCGATTAAAAAAAGAACCTGTCCAGGACAGGACAGGTAGCCAGGTTTACACGTGGACCTGTCATGGCTTATGTTCTTACCACCAAAGCCAACATGAGGACAACGTGAGGCCAGTTTCCCCACCCCTGATTTTGGGGATGAGACTTCTAAAGTCAACGCAGAAGTGAGAGATTTAGAGAAAAATGTTTTTGATCTACCACCGAAATTTGAGTTACACACTATGAAACTTTCAAAAAATTTCTTGAAAAATCAAAAAAATTGTGCCCCAAACCATACTACTTGACAAAAAAAATAAAAAGAAATAAAAAAGGAAAAATTTGCCGCTTCTTCTTCGTTTTTCTACGCGTCAAATTGGTCGAACGAAAAAAGATGAGCAAAAGAAGAAGAGGGGCCAGAACGGGCGGGTCCTTCGAAAAAGTACGACAAGCTTCTTCTCTTCTTCATCTTCTTCTTCGTATTTTGCCAAAAACGTAGAAGAAAAAAGGAAAGAAGTTTTTGCTGAGTGAGTGAGTCAAGAAGAAAAAAGAAATGAATTGGAGGTAAAATTGGTGGTGTCCTTTGGGTATTTGACGGGGCGGACAAAAACAAGATAATAAAATTTTTGTGCAAAGAAAAACTATTTATTTTCTTTTCTCGTTTGGCGAAAGAAATGGAAGAGGAAGAACTCATTGGGTTTTAAATGACCGGGTGGCGATAATTGGATTTTTAGGAAGAAAATAAATGAGATTAGGGTGGTTATTATTGAAAAAGGGAGGATTTCCTCGAGGAAAATTGGATTGACGTTTTGGAAAATTAAAGTTGATACAAATATTTATTAAAAATTAAAATCCAGATCACAATTAGTAATTTTTCCATAATTAATCTTCCAAGTTTTATCAAAAATTAATTCGAAGTCAGCGTGGAATGTATTTGAAACCAGATCGAATTCAATTGTTCCTCCATTTGTTTTTTCAGATTCAACATTTTTCATAACTATATTTTTTGGACGATTTTCCGCTTTCAAAATAACATTTTCCACGAAATAATCCTGCCCAAAACTTTTGTGACAGTCATAAAAAACGAAATATTTTGTGAACAGCTTATTGATCGTTGAATTGTCCAAATTGTCTTGCAACAATTCATCGAAAATTTGGATTGCAGTATTTTCAGCAGTTTCTGTATTGATTGAAGTGGAGAAGAGAATAAATATGATCGAGATGATAAGAAATCTCATTTTTCAGAAACAAAAGGATGTTTTTTTTCGATTTGCTCGCTATTTTTTGTTCGATTGTCTGTGAGACAAAATTCTGGGAAAAAAAATTTCAGATTTTGAATCTCTTCTCTCTGGTTGGCATTTTTTCAAGAAATTCATGGAAAAACAAAATTTCAACGTGACCTCACAATTATCATTTTCAAAATCTCCGATTATCAATTTTTGGTTCTACCCCTCCCCCCTGAAACCAGCGAGTAAAATTCGGAAAACTAGCAAACCGTGCCGCATGGTTGCAAAAATTGTGTGCGGACACAAACCAAATAGGCTCCGCCCACTCGTCACGACGCTTTTTATTTTTCCGAGTTTGTTTATGTTTTTCGACCTTGTTTCAAACATTGCTTATTGTTGTTCGCTGCTCAGAAATCTTGAGTATCTTATTTTAGACAATCCTAAATTTCTCGATTTTCAGATGGCATCGCCGTCCGGTGCAGATAAAGTGAAAACCATCCGAGCCTATTATAAACTATGTCAAAAAGTTGAACACCGTCCAATTGTATTGAAAGACAAAATGTTCTTCACCACACTTCCCTCACTGTTATTCGACGAAAGCCCAGATGTGGTTCGATATGTTGTAAAAATTTTACTTTTGCTCACTGAACAAGCGGATGATGCTGAAGTTTTGCTGAAATCTGAGGAATTATTGACGGCGCTTTCAACAGCTTGTGAAAAAATAACGAATCCATCCGTCAACTATAATGTTATGTTGATTTCTTCAAGACTTCGAGCGATTCAGAACTCGATTAAAGCCCGTGAAGAAGCAGCTGTATTGGAACCATTGGTAAATGCTGTGAAGGAAATGGACAAAGGCGGAACTTTGCACAGAAAGTTTGTTGGTAGAAAATCGAAGCAAATTGTTTTTGAATTCGATGCTGAAGAATTCAATGAGGTAATAATTATTCAAAAGTTAGTTTTAACGTTGAAAAAACAAAAAAATTCCAGGTTCTCAAACGTGAAGTTGAACGAAGTCTTTTGAAAAAGAAAGGTGTTATCAGTGTATATTTAACCGATATGTCAACACATCCAAGAGCAGTTTTACGAACTTCACCAACTATTGAAGCAAAAGAAATCGCTCAACTAATCTTTTCATGTGGATGTGAATATGTTTCGCAAATCGTAAAAGTCGAGGGAGTCGAAGAGAAATTCGAAATGTATGCCAGCGACTTTGAACACAAGGTAAGAAGAAGAAGATTTTCAGATAATTTGAGATAATGTTTTTTTCTCTTCAGGTAAAAGAAGTCGATTATCCCGAATATTTGGATGACGAACTTATGAAAGTCGATCCAACTAACTGTGTTATAACTAATGAAATGGCAGCACACGCAAATGCAAATGGCGGAAATGGATGGTTCAACTCAATTTCCTCATTTGTCAAAACATCATTCTGGTAATTGTCCATTTTTCGTGTATTTTGTTGTTGTTTTTCAAAAGGGAAAAGGTTTCTCCCTCATTTGAGGTCATTTCCCCCTTTTCCTATAATTATCGATTTTTTTTGTTTGTCGCGGGTGATGATTCATTCTCTCTCTCTTTCTTTCTATTTCCATATGTTATCTCGTTTTTGCCTTTTTTCGAGTATCTCTAATTTTTTTGTTGGATCTCCAATGTGAATAATGTGTTTTTTTTCTCGTTAATTTTTTTCTAATTAACTTTCAAAACGTTTGGCAACGTTTAAATATTTTCTATTTCCTCTCGCACGAGAGTTTTTTTTTTGCAAAATTTCAGTTTTTCAGATGTTGTTACGACCGAATACTTCGGATTTTATGAATGGATCGATTTATAGTGGTTAGTTTTGATGGCAGTTGGGCATCGACTAAATGACATTTTAAGGTTTTTTTAACAAGCGAGTTGAAATATTGGGTGTTAATTTTATTCATAGGATATAATGGTCTATGATGAGCAGAATGATATAAATTTTGATGATTTTACGTTATCCATAAGTGATTTAGCAACGTTTAGTCGGAATTTAGTCGCTAAATCGTCGGAATTTAGTCGCTAAATCACTTATGGATAAGGTAAATTCATCAAAATTTATACCATTCTGTTCGTCTTCGACCATTCTATCATATGAATAACATTAGAACCCAATATTTCAACTCTCTTGCTTAAAAAACCTGAAAATGGCATTTATTGATGATATCACCGAATATGCGGGAAAAAGTGTGGAAAAACATCCGGATATATTGTTTCGTTCAAGTGTCTTTTTTTAATCTATCTATTTATTTGTTTGTTTTGTTCATCCACACACTTCTCCCTCATTTTCAAAAATTCTTCTCCCAACACACGCTAATTTCAGACGGAGTCGAATCTCGTGCTTCACGAATTCGTGCGGCAATGTTTCCCGATTGGACCCCTCCAGTTTCGGCTGCTAATCCAACAACATCAACTAGCAACATTGTTGAATTGGTGAGTTCAGAAACAATTTTGTTTGATGGGTCGAAATTTGACACCTTTTTGGTTGGCAACACACATTTTAGGCGGGGCTTGACACATAAGATTATCCTTTTTTGGAGGAAGAAAACATTTTGATTGATTAGTTCGGTTTATTTCGCGTTCGTTCATTGATTAGGTGTTCGTTTCGGGTTTTTAGTGTGTGTAAGTGAAATATTTAGATTTTAAAATAACTGGAATAATAATTTCATACATAAATTTGGTCCTCCGAACCAGATGAATCTGGATATTTGGGTAAATTCGCACAAAAATTTTCAAAAGCTCTACTGCACATTTTTAAAATCAGTTTTATCCAGCGGGATTTTAAAATCTGAAATTCGGAGCGATTTCGAAATCACTATGCATCATTTTTATGCGTAAATTTTTATTAGATTCCCGCCCAAATCAAAATTTTAAATAAAAATTCGTGGGCAAATTATTGGCCGAAAATTAAAAAAATTCCCTCACCCCAATTCTGGGGACCCATTTTATGTATGAATATTTTATAGGCAAGTTGAATAATTCCTAATTATAGATGCAAATCCCAACTCGTCAACTGAAAGACGCTGTAATGACTCTATTGACTTATGAAGGATCAAATGACATGACTGGGCTTTCTCTTCCGGATTTGGTTGAATTAATGTGTGATCATGATGATGCTGTAGTTGCACGAGCTGTCAATCGAGTGTATTTGTTGTCGAGAGAGGATCCGAGTATTGCACAAAATCCGAGGATTATTGAGGCGCTGATCAATGCTTCGAGGTTGGTTTTTGACTTTTTTTTTTGACAGTTTGCTGTTCATCTTAGAAGGGAACTCTTCCTTTCTCTCTAAATTTTTAACAAAATATATATTTTCTAGTAGTTTTGGAGCCGCTGATCACGATTTCTTCGTCTAAGATAGCAAAACTCAACTCCTGATATGAGTTATGACGTGGCAACGTTCGAAAAATCGGGACTTCAGGAGCTGAAGCCTAGATTTGCATGAAAATCATTTTTGATCTAGTTTTCAGCTTCTGAAGTCCCGATTTTTCGAAAATTTCGTACTTTGTCACGTCATAACTCATATTAGGAGTTGAGTTTTGCTATCTTAGACGAAGAAATCGTTATCAGCGGCTCCAAAACTACTAGAAAACTTATATTTTACTAAAAATCTGGAGTGAACAGTTCCTTTGAAAAATTAATTCAGAATCAAGAATGTAACAATTTTTATTATAGTTGTAATTCGAGTTGGAAAAAAGTGTTTCTGCTAAATGTTATCCAAATCTTGATTTTGCAGAAGTGAAAATGTGAATGTTCGCCGCAATGCAATGGGTGCACTATTCCATATGTCTGAACAACGCGGTGGTCCAATTCTCATTTTCCGAAGTGGAGGTCTCGCCGAAATCATTCGAATGCTCTACGACCCACACGAGAGTGTTGTTCACTATGCCGTCACAACTCTTCGCAATCTTTTGATGCACGTCGACGCTGCAAAACCGCAAGCTCGCGCACTAAATGCCATTGAAGCACTCACTCCGCATCTCCACAAATCGAATCCGAAATTATTGGCACAAGTGGCGGATAGTTTGTATTTTCTGCTCATCGACGATATTCCATCCAAAGAATTGTTTTTGTCGTTGAGCGGACCACAAATTTTGGTGACAATTTTGAGAGCCTATCCAGAACACCGAAAATTGATGTACACTGTGATTCGATGCATTCGATCGCTATCGGTTTGTCCCAGAAATAAACCCGCATTGATTAGTTTGGGATGTTTGCCAGCTTTGTATAATGAATTGTGTAGAGCAACTGATGAAAGATCGCAAACTGCAATTTTGGTTGCGATGAGAAATTTATCCGATGCTGCGACAAATGAGGAAAATCTCACACCTTTGGTTTGTTTTTTTAAAATTTATTCTCAAAATTTTCTATTTAAAAAAAGTTTCTAGAGCATTTTTTAAGGTTTCTAGAGCATTTTTAAAGGTTTCTAGAGCATTTTTCAGATTTCTAGAGCATTTTTAAAGTTTCTGGAGCGAAAAAAAAATTTCCAGGTTATAAAATTATTGGAAGTAATTCGAACAACAAATGATGGAATGACTGCGTGTGCTTGCGGAATATTGTCAAATTTGACGTGTAACAACATGCGAAACAAACAAACAGTTTGCTCACACGGTGGAATCGATGCTCTTGTCACTGCGATTCGTCGATTCCCCGAAGTTGAAGATGCAACTGAACCAGCTCTTTGTGCTCTTCGACATTGCACCGCGCGACATTCGCTTGCCGAAGAAGCTCAAAATGAATTGCGACTTTGTCAATCATTCCCAGTTATTCTTGATCAACTTGCAACACTGAGAACTCCGGTTATCAAAGCGACTCTGGGAGTTATTCGGAATTGCGCACTTTTGCCGGCGAATTTGATCGAATTGACGCAAGAATTGACACCGGCTGGAGATTCGGCAATCACATTGACGGTTGATATTTTGAGACGAGCTGTGACCGCGATTGACGAGAATCCGAATATTGAAGTTGATGGTGTTCCGATGTGGGGTGTTGTTGAGGGAGCTGTCTCGGCATTACATCAATTGGCCAATCATCCTGGTGTTGCAGCGGCTTGTTGTGATGATCGAGGAGAAATTGGAAATCCACAACATCCGCCATTTTTGGATTTGATTGTTAGATTACTCGCCAGACCAGAGGTAAATCAATATTTTCCGGTTTTTTTCCACAGAAAATTCCATTTTCCGGTTTCTGGAAAGTGATTTTTAATAGTTCAAGATCGCCCAATTTTTTAAAAAAAAGTTTCAAAATTTTCTGATTTTTGGAACTGGAAACGTTTGTATATGGACAAACTTCTGAAGTTTAAAATTTGAAGACTTTGAAAATTTTTCGGATTTTCTGGCAAAAATGCAAGGGGACTAGGATGTAAACTTAGTCCCCCTGTTGTTTTTTGAGATTTTGAAATTTTTCTTGAGCTCACGGAGAACCAGTTTATTCAAGTGATCAACTTTCATTTTAGAACAAAAAAATCAGAAATTTTCTTTTTCTCGAGTTTCATCTTTCCGACACAGACCTGTCTTACAGAAAAATGATTATTGTCAGGTCGCTTCAAATGAAGATGAACTTCTCGAACGAGAACTCCTCGGTCTACTCTACCAACTCAGCAAACGTCCAGATGGCGCAAGAGCTGTTGAGGATACTGGAGTCACGTCGATTCTTATCGACGCGCGTGGATCACCACACAAAGCTGTTGCCACTTATGCGAATGGAGTTTTGAATAATTTGAAAAGGGATGAACGAGAATTCCATATGGTCAATGTGAGTAATTGGAAAATTAAACATATTTTTCTAAAAAAATAATAAATTTCAGTCCTACGATTATGAAACTGGAAGTGGAAATGATTGGCAAAGAGATGGATTGGAAAGGGAGTTATTCGCTGAAATGTATCCAACAAATGATGGTGGACATTCGGAATCAATAAATGCTGCATTAAATAATTCTTCTCATCATTCTCACCAACAAAATAATTGGTATGATACTGATTTATGAATTTATATCTAATAACATAATAAAATTTCTGCAAAAAATAATACTCTCTAATGCTTCCTCTTTTTCACTTTCTTTATATGTACCGATATTTGAACTTATTATTTTTGAAATATTATTGTTTTTCTAACATTTAATGTTATTTACAAATGAATATATACATTATCTAGATGTTTTTATTCGATTTATTCATTCATTTCGTTTTTCACGACTTTGTTATCTACATACATATTTTTGTCAAGAAATTTGCAGCTCGAAAAATTTTTGCAGATGAGTATAGCTGTTGAAAATGACGAAATTGCGTGTGGAGCAGTTAGTAGAACAGCAAGAATTATTGCGATTGATGAGAAAAGTGGAAAATTGGCGGTTGTTAGAAAGCAAAGGTACTAATTTTTGGATTTTTCATGAAAATTGAGAAAAATCTTGGATTTTCAGGAAAAAAATTCGAAATTTCTCTGAAAAATTCGATTTTTCCGAGAAAAAAAACATCAAAAAATTAATTTTTCGTGAAAATTGAGAGAAATTCGGATTTTTCGAGGGGAGAAATTTGAGCATCGAAAATCGCAGCCGTGAATTCTTCCAGAATAGTTTTTTTTTATAAAAATTTGAAAAAAAAAATATTTTTTGAAGAAATTGAGTTTCAAAAATTCAGGTTTTATCAGAAATCTCATTTTTTCGAGTGTTAAAAATTTCAAAAAAAAAAATTGAAAACTCAAAGTTTTTTTCAGAATTCCAATTTTCTTAGGGCAAAATTTTTTTCGGAAAAAATTTGGGAGAGAAAAATTTTGATCAGAAATTCAAGTTTCATCGATCTTGGGTTTCGAAACTGATTTTCGAATTTTATCAAGAAATTTTTATCCAAAATTCAAGATTTTTTTCAGAAATCTCAAGAGAAAAATCCCAGCCCCAAATCAATATTTTTTCCAGAACTCCAAATTCTCACGACTATATCGAATTATACAATATTTTGACTGGCTGGCTTGCAACTCCCGAATTAGTAATTTGTCCGGATAATGGGTCAATTGAACACGCGATGTTTGTTGCCGGAGGCGAATTAATGACGTCACATGCAAATGGTTCAATTTGTTTTATCGATCCACACGATAATCGACGAATCAAAAGAGTTCAAGTTGCTGCATCAACAATTTGGTCAGCGTGTGATCATTCTACCGCAAATAGTGAACCATTATCTCGCGTCGCTTTAATTTCACATTCATCACTTTTATATTTTTATGATGTGATCTCAAAAACAATTTTATCATCAATTTCTCTCGGTGTCGATAGTCGATTATTTGATGTGACTTCAAATGGTGAATTGGTTGGTGTTGGAACAATTGACGGTGTTATGATTGCTGGAAATGGTAAAGTTCAACGAGTCCTAAAATTGGATCGAGAAAATCGGAGAGATCCAACGATTGCGTGGTCGGTTTTGTTTTGGAAAAGTGATTTATTAGCGTGTGGAGATTCGAGAGGAACTGTTACTTTGTGGAATCCGTTGAATGGCTTATTGATTCAATCGATTGATTGTATGCAATCACATATTCTGACGATGTGTTTGGTGGATGGAGATTTGAATATTGCTGGAGTTGATCCAAGAATCACGACTATCAAAAAATTGGTAAATTTGAATTTATTTTTTTTTTCAAAAACTACAGTCTCATTTTCAGCACAAAATTTCAGCCAGAAAACTTTTTTGACTGCAAAAATCTGTTTTGAAAGAAAAGCTAAAAAATCTTGTTCTAGACTGAAATTTTGCGCTGAAAATTGTGAAAATGCTGAAACTCTAGATTTTTAATAAAATATATGTTTTCTAGCAGTTTTCGACCCGCTAATTATTATTCCGTTGTCTGAAATTGCAGATCTCAACTGAGTTATGACGTGGCAAATTTGGAATTTTGGGAGCTGAAAACTAGATTCACACGCTATGCTATCAGATTTGCATGAAAATAATTTTTGAAACTAGTTTTTAGTCTCCTAAATTTCGATTTTTCCGAACTTTGCCACGTCATAACTCATATTACCACAAAATTTCAGCCAGGAAACTTTTTTGACTGCAAAAATCTGGCCATTTTGAAAGAAAAGTTAAAAATCTTGTTCTAGACTGAAATTTTGCGCTGAAAGTCGTGGAAATGCTGAAACTCTAGATTTTTAATAAAATATATGTTTTCTAGCAGATTTCGCTGATTTCCTGTTGTCTGAAATTGCAGATTGAGTTATGACGTGGCAAATCCCGAATTTTCCAAAATTTGCCACGTCATAACTCATATTAGAAGTTGAGATCTGCAATTTTTATCGTGATCAGCGGGTCAAAAACTAGTACTAAAAAAAAAATTAAATAATTTATATGTTTCGTTCAGACTTCTGGTGAATTTAACGTAACTCGCCGTCGAAATGGTCCGATTCGAGATGTTCGATGCCTTGCTTCTTACGACGATCGAATCTATGCGTCAGGTGAAGATTTTGAAATTTACGTCGGAAAAGATGGATGTCGTCAACTACTGATCCAATGGCACAAACAACTTCAAATCGGCGGCACAATCATCGCGTCGGGTGGCGAGAATTTTGTTGATATTTATTGGAAACAATTTGGAGAAGATGCGAGCGCGGAAATATTACAACAACATCATCGCGAAGTTTTTTTGGCCAAAATATTTGCGCCAAAACAATCGATTATTACTTGCTGGTTGGTTTGGATTTTGAAATTTTAATAAAAAAGAAAATATTATTGTTTTCCTCTTCAGGAATCTCTCAACTTGTGGTCAATTTCTTGCAATTGGAACTTCTTACGATGTTTCGATTTACACAATTCAACCAGAAACTAGAAAAAAAATCAGAAAGCTCTCAACATTTTCAACAATTCAACCAACAGCTCTTCAAATTCTCGAGGAATTTGTCTACGTTGCGACTGGCAATTTTGAAATCATCAAATTCAAATTGACATCAACACAATCAGCTGGAAAAACAATTGTTGAACAATCTGATTGTGGAGCGATTGTTAAAATGGATATTTCGATTTGCGCGAAAACTATTGCTGTAATCACATCTCGCTCGCAATTATTCATAATTAATTCCGAGACTGGAGAATCTCGCCTGGCAAAAGTTGAACTTCCGATTGATTTGGCTGCAACTGCGAATAGTATTTATGTTGTTGGAACACAACCAGCGTTTTCTGAAAATTGTGACACGAAAAAAGTGTTTTTTGAAGTTGGCGTTTCAAATGGACTTGTAAAAAGGTCAACCAGTTCGAATGCCCTTAAAATGATACCAACGAGCAAAACATCACTTGTTCCTGGACTACCTGTTTCGATTCTCAAAATTGATCAAGAACGATTGATATTATCGTCTTATGATGGTCATTGGGCGATTTTGGATGTTGTGAGTTTTTTTTACAGAAAATCTCATTTTTTCGCTTTTCTGAAAAATGTGCCCGGAAAGTAATTTCTTAAAAATAGTCCAATTTCTGGAAAAGTTTCTCAGAGTCTGACAAAAAATCTAAATGTTCAACAAAAAAATTCTGAATTTTTCTAAAATGTTCTGATTTGCTGAAATTTGAAGACTTGAAACGTGGCAAAGTTTGGAAATTTTGAAAAATCGGGACTTCAGGAGCCGAATTCATAAGTTGTACTCCAAAATTTAAGGAAAAAATTTGGTGAACCAAAAAATTCTGTGAAAATTTTTTTGATTTGCCATATTTTTCTTCATTAATTTTTGCTGTACTTTTATGAATTGGGCCCCTGAAGTCCCGATTTTTTGAAATTTGGAACTTTGCCACGTCTTAACTCATAATAGGAGTTGAGTTTATCCAAAAAATTCTAAAAACGGAAAATGACGTGGCAAAATTAGCGGGTCGAAAACAACTAGAAAACATATTTTATTAAAATCTACAGTGAAAGTTGAAAAATCTGAAATGATAATTGCTATTTTCAGGTGAACAATTCGATTTATAATGCATTCGAAGGTTCGATTAAAGCTAAAAAGACAAAAAATCGGACATACTGATGGTGTTCCAATCTCAATTGTTGGAATTCGAAAACAAATTGGCGATGAAAAAGAGAATAAACAATCGGAAGTTGTTCCAACAAAAACCACAAGAAGAATTCGGAAAAACTCGTCCATTAGTGGTAATATTTTTTAAAGTATGATTTTTTAATCCATGATTTTTCAGAAGACATTGAACCGATTCAGAATAATCGCATTGTTATAATTCGTGTCAATGGAGATCAGCAACCAAAAACTCAAGGATTCCAATTGAGAAAATTCGGAATGCAGTAAACAATTAAGTAGTTTTTTTTTAGATATCTCGGGTAATTTTCCATTTTCATTTTTATTTGTTTTGTTTTTGTTACGTTTTTCTTCTTGTTGTTGAGAATTTTTTGTTATAAACTTTTCATTTGTTAGATTTCCAACAACTATCCGAATTATTATTATATACCTCCTTTTTCCAGATCGGAATTGTCTCTTTCAACATATTTATAGCTTTTTCAGTTGCTCGAATTGCTTCTGATCGATGAGGTGAACAAGTTGCAATTATAACAGATGCTTCAGTCACTGGAACAATGCCGATTCGATGAAATATCACAATTTTTTCAATGATCGGAATTGTTCGACGAATATCTTCGCATAATTTGCGCAATTCTTTATAAGCCATCGAATCGTAGCAATCATATGATAATTGAGAGACGGTTTTGTTCTCAAAATTGTCTCGAGTTGTGCCAACAAATAATGAAATTGCTCCAGAAGATGGAGATGTTGCGAGTTTTTGAGCATCTGATATTGATAGAGGATTTGCACTTATTCGCACAATATCATTGTCGATTTGAGAAATTATCTGGAAATTGGGAAATTTAAAAAAAAAAGGATTCTGAAATTCAAAAAACTTGAAATTGCTGGTTCTCGGAATCATATTTAGCTCAATTTCAGTTGACTTAAAACAAGTCGAAGCTTTTGAATAGGAAAAATATTTTGAAGAATTTTTACGAGATGCTCATATTAGAAGCTAGAAGATTTCTCATGAAAATGCATTGCTCATATTAGCATCGAGATAATTGCTCATGTTAACAATATAAAATACATTGTTAGGATTATTTTATTTTTCTGTAATTTTTAAAGTTTTTTGAAGCCTAGAAAATCTTCTGTAATCCCAAATTTTCTTCAAAAAAAATTGCGGAAATTCAAAAAATGTGGATTTCTCATAAAAAAATACATTGCTCATGTTAGAATCCATTTTATGTTTGCTCATGTTAACATTATAAAATACATTGCTCATGTTAGGATTAAAAAAAATGTTTTCTGTAATTTTTAAAGTTTTTTGGAAGTCTAGAAAATCCGCTGTAATCCCAAATTTTCTTCAAAAAACACATTGCTCATATTAACAATATAAAATGCATCGCTCATGTTAAAAAATTTAGAAATCCATCCCACCTTTTGAATATTAATCTCCAGTGAGTCTTTGAATTCCGAACAATCGATAAAATTGAAACGAATATTCTGGCGACCTGCAAAAAAACCCATTTTCAAAAAATAAATTCCTCTCTTCTTATTTTCATACCTAATTCATAGGCTCTTTTCAAGTGCCGCAAATAAGCCGGCCATGCAACATTTTCGAAATAACCGGTGTCATCTGGAGGGTCGTAGACACGTTTCTCGCGCCGCTCTTTGCAAGTTTTCTGAATTGTTTTCTTCATTTAAAAAAAGAAAGAAAATCTCAACAAAGACTCACAAAATCCAAACTCATAACAATAACTTTTGTACATAAATCAATGATTTCTGGAAATTCGCTTATCATATTTCCCTCAATTATCACATTTTTGTTGGAAATCATGGCCTGGAAATTGATTTTTTCGGGATTTCTTTTCAAAATGTAGAATTCCTACTTTATCAATATGCGCCTTCAAGTTGGTATAATCGAGTGCTTCTTTTTCATCATAACTCCAATAAAATCCTCTTTCTGTATGATCTGTTTGGATTTTATCGACATTTTCCGGGAGGAAATAAAAATCATCTTGATTGATCACAAAACAATCATTGAGCTGGAAATGAGCTGGAAATCTTTAAAGACACGTAGAAAACTAGAAATCGTTCAAAAATCATTATTTGCATGTTTTTTATCATCCTTCAAATAGTGGAAGTACATAAACAAAATTGAAAAATATTGAGTTTAGCGAAAGTCAAAAAAAGAAATTTCCTTTTTTGAAATCGCTCAGCCGACGCGAATTTTGGTGTTTGCACAAATGTTCGTGATTTGCCGCACATGTGTGCATTCTTAGCACACCGTACCACCACTTTTTATTCGTTTTTTTCTTTTTTCAAACGAACAACACACAACTTTGAAAAAAGGCGCGCGTTCAAATTTTGAAGATTACGAACACACATTTCCAGTTTTCTATGTGTCTTTAATAGATTTTTAATAAAATATGTTTTCTATTCAGCGTCTAAAATTCTCAACAGATCTAAAAGCCTTATATGAGTTATGACGTGGCTTGGGACGCTGAATACTAGCTTCAAAAATTATTTTCATTAAAATCTGATAGGTTTTTCAGAAGGGTCAATTTCAGAAGGGTCAGAAGGTTTATTCAAAAATCCTTCAGAAAATTGTGAAAATTTTTTCACTGAAAACAAATATTTTTCAAAAATTGATTACATATTGAAAACCCCTATGCTATCAGATTTTTAAGAAAAACATTTTTGAAGCTAGTTTTCAGCTCCTAAAATCCCAATTTTGCCACGTCATAACTGATGTCAGGAGTTGAATTCTGCAATTTCAGACGTCAGCATCGTGTTCAGTGGGTCAAAAACTTCTAGAAACCAAACCAACCGTTTCCTTTATAACCTGAGCAATCGTAGTTTTTCCCGAGTTTGTACATCCACAAATAGCTATCACATTTTCACTCATCTTTGAAAATTGTTTTTTTTTTTGAAAAAAAATCGATAAAGAGAATTATGGGTTTACGACCTTTTTGTCTAACCAGAGAAAGATAAGAAATTATCATTTTCATTAATTAAGGAGGATTAAAAAGCGGGAAAAAGAACCGAAAGTTTTGAGATCGAAAAGAAGTGGAGGTATTTAACAAAATAAAAATAAAATTTTTTGGGGGGAAATGCGAGTCATGCTTCATTGAGTTTGTTTTGAACTTCACGAAGAACCTGAAAAAAAAGATTGAAATAAATATGGAGGGAAAAATGGAAAAATAAACTTACATCTTCTTTTTTCAAAAGTGTATTGCAACCTTGGCATTCAACACCATTTTCATCACTGATTGCAGTTGCGCTGAAAAAAAAATTAAGTTTAAAATTGAAAATTTAAAAAAAAACGTGAGACGTGAAACGTGGATTTTAATTTTTAGAAATTTAAATCTGAGATTTTTCCAATCATTTTTGAAAATGAAATTTGAAATAAATAAAAACGTGAAACGTGGATTTTATTTTTTGGGAGGGCATTCGAATTTGAAAAATTTGTCCAATCATTTTTAAATATTTTTTTAGCAGAAAGAAAAATGGATAACAGAAAAATTGCATCAAAAAACAATAAGGTATCAATTTCAGATCCTCAATCTTCAAAAAAAAACTGAAATTCCAGAAATCTCTATCTCTAAAACCGATTGAAAAAGAAAATGGTTTGAATCATTTGCCATTCATAACCTCAGAATTGCATCGAATCGAAAACAAGATAATAACTCGAGCTGGGATTTTGTTGTTGAATGAATTCGGAATTTCAAAAAAGCCAACTAATGCTATTGAAGAAGATCAGGAGAAGAAAAAAGAGCCAGAAAATATGATTGTTTCTCCGATGGGAAAACACGAGTTCCACCAGATTTTGAAGAATGGTTGGGGCTCGGCGGAGCAGATTCTTTCACCGATAAAAGACGAGGATTTTAAAGCGTTTATAAGAGATAGTTTGATACCAGTTTTGGAGGAACCAAAAATTGTTGTGAAACCGAATCGAAAATCTGCGCCACCTCCAGTTTCTAGGAAATTATTCGCATCAAATCCGAGGAGAAGTAGCACACCGCTCAAAAATGATTTGGTAACTCCTTCAAAATATCTACCGAAATTCTTGACTCCTCAAATCGGAGATGGTCCGCTAGAAAATCGAGCGAGTCGTTTGAGAAAAATGAAATTGAGTGGGAACAAAAAAGAGCTCGATGTTTCGTTTTAATAAATTATTTTTGTAGATTGGATAAACTTACTTGTTGAAGCAATTGAGATGCATATATTTTTCACATTTCGAGCACTCGGCAGAGTAAATTGGTCTATAAAGAAAATGTTTAGTTTTCATAGAAAAGTTTTCCCTCACGGGAAAAATTACCTTGAAATAATTCTACGACAAAGATCACAAATATGAATTGTTGTCGAATATTTCGCTCGCAAATATGGATCCATTTCGGCAACCAATCTTGGTGATAATTCGATGAATTTTTGATTTTCAGACGATTTGAAATAGCCCTCTTTGATCATTCGATTGAGGAATTTTTCGCTTTTGACGAGGCCAAGTTTGAATTTTTCATGCCCGCTTCGGATTGCAGATTTTCTTGTGATTTTTCCGTTATTTTCGAATAACTCGTCGATTGTTGCGAGAAAGAAATCACGCTCTGGTTTACTACAAAAATGAATTAAAGTTTGAATCAAGTATAGAATTATACTTACATTATATCGGATTGTTCACTGATAATTTCAGAATTTTGAACTTCACTGATCAAAACAACCCATTCTTTTGGTGTTGATTCTTCGGATAAAATCACAAGTCGCATTCCTAATTCATGTTCTGCATCATCATCATCATTATTCAAACTTTTTGCATTATTGATTGTTTTTGAGATAGTTTTTGCGAGATCTCGAAGTTCACACCCATTCGCTCGAATATATTTGACAACACTTGGATGCCTTTTCAATTTTCTGGTTGCAACATAATCGATATACATTATATTGAACTTCTTCATTGTGACACATGGATCAACCAACATTCTTTGTAGAATATATCGGTGAGCATCGTTGAATTTTGTGGCGGATGATCGAACTTCGGCAAGCGTTGGGATTGTTTTATCGACGGCGCCGAAAACATCTTCGAAGACGAATTTTATTTCGTCGTGGGCAACTGGTTCGGCTTCGTCGTCTGACATTTTTATCTGAAATGATTTCAGTTTTTGCAGCGAAAAAAAAACAAAATTTTGAAAATTGTGCAAACACTTTGTCATCAAACATTTTATTTGACGCACAAATATTTTTGTTTTTTTCCCCCGAAAACATTCATTTTTGTTGTTTTCATCGCTTTCTCAGCTCATTTTCAAATATATTTTTTCAGGAACAATGTCAAGTGAAGTGATTGTTCCACAAATTGAAGAGTTCGTTGCAAGCGACGCATTTAAAGCTCCAAATAGCACAACAAAAGTTTACAAAGACGAATGTGCATATTGCTTCGCTAATCCGCATATTAAAGATGGTTTGTACATAAGTTTGAAAACTTATTATTGCTTCTGTCGAGAGCATGTTGGAACATATTCGGAATTAAATGGAGATAACGTGTTTGTTCAACTTGTATCGAAGAAACATGTTTCGAATGCCTCGCCACCAAGAGGTGTTGGTGAACCAACGAATAAGATTACGAAATTATCTATTGATGCACCAAAAATTGAATTTGAAGATAACTATTATGTGGTGGTTTATCCAGATTTTGAAAATAGAATTGATGCGAACTCAATCACACTGGAACCACTCACAAATGCGATTCGAGTTATATCTTCAGCCACAAGTGCTGAAAGACTCGCCGCATTATCCTCAACAAGCAATGCTTGGGATGCCGAAATCAAATTGATCACCAAACACGCGAATCTCGAACAACTCAACAATTCGAAAATTCTCCCGAATTCCGGATGGCAATGTGAAACCGAAGGTTGTGGGTTGACCGAGAATTTGTGGTTGTGTTTAACTGATGGATCGGTGAGATGCGGAAGATCACAATTCCTTTCCGATGGTTTGAAATCTGCTGGAAATGGGCATATGCAAGAATATTACAATGAAAATAAGTGAGTTAGAGGGTTGTTGTTAAAAATTAAAAAAAAAAAACCACATTTTGTTTTTTTTTAGATATCCGCTGGTTGTTAAGCTAGGAACAATTTGTGCTCAATTAGATGCAGCTGATGTATACAGTTATGATGAGGACGATGCTGTTATTGATCCAAATCTCGATAAACATCTCGCACATTTCGGCCTCGATCCTGCAAAACTCGAGAAAACAGTCAAATCGACAATTGAAATGGAACTTGATATGAATGAAAAATGGGAATGGGCACGTTGCCAAGAAGATGGAGCAACTCTTGAGCCAATCTATGGACCCGGTTATACTGGATTGATTAATACTGGAAGCAGTTGTTATATGAATTCGGTTCTTCAGGCTATTCTTCAAATTGAAAACTTCAGACGGCGATATGTTCAAGGAGCTTGGGATATTTTTACAAGTCAGAGTGTTGAGGAGGTATTTTTCTAGTGAAGTTCTGAGAATAAAAAAGTGTTTTTTTTCCAGCTCCACAATAGTTTCAATGCTCAATTCGCCAAAGTGTTGTCTTCAATGATGAGTGGAAAATTCGCAGATGAGCAAAACATCGAAACAAATCATATCAAACCATTGCAATTCAAGAGGGTTACAGCTGGAAGTCACCCGGAATTTTCGACGGCAAAACAGCAAGATGTTGAAGAATATATCCGGTTTCTTCTTGAAAAAGTGTCGGAAAATACAGCGCCAGGAACACCGGATCCAACAAAGGCGATTAGATTTGAAACTTGGAATAGATTTGAGGATATTGCTTCGAAGAAAGTTAGATATACGGAACAGGAAGAGGTTATTGTGCATTTGCCAATCCCACAGAATCTTCTTAAACCAATCGAGGGATCTGAAAATCGGTATAAAGTTGATATGGGACAAACTTTAGATGCTTATTTTGCTGATCAATTTGTTGATGGATACAAAAGTCCAATTACTGGGGAAGTTAAAGGCGCAACGAATACTTTGAGATTCAAAACATTTCCCGATTATTTGTTCATTCAAGTTCAGAAATTCGCCTATTCAAATGATGGACAAATGAAGAAATTGGACATTGATTTTGAAATTCAAGAACAATTGGATCTCTCGTTTTTCCGAGGAAATGGAAAGGCTGAAAATGAGGAATTGTTGCCGGAAGATGCGAAAGTTGAAAAACCCGTGGTTATTCCGGATAATATTCGAAATGTTGCGGAACAATTGAAGGGAATGGGTTTCAGCGACAATGCGTCGATTAAAGCCGCTTTTGAGGCAAAGGGAAATGTTGAGGTTGGTAAGAGGGAAAAAATGGGAATTTTGGGTCAGAAAATTTATGATGGATTTTTCGGCGTTGTAAAAAGTTTTCATGAGTTTTGATCCAAAAATCGATAATTTCAGATTTTTCATCCAAATTTTGGTTTTGAAATTGAAAAAAAATTGATAATAAATTATATGAAAATTTTGAAACGTATTTTTTTTTGTTTTGAAAAATTTTTTTTCAAAAAATGACGAAGATCTTATTTGTTTTTCTAAGAAAAACTTTCATCAGGATTTTTTATACAGTTAAAAATTCAAAACTTTACAAAAATTCTTATATATTTTTATTTCAAATCAATGTCTTTCTCCAACCAAAAAAAATCACATTTTTTTGCGTCAGAAAAAAATTAATGAAATTTTTTCCGGCTTTGTGAAAAGTTTTCATGGATTTTGATCCAAAAATCGATAATTTCAGAATTTTCATCCAAATTTTGGTTTTGAAATTGATCAATTAAAATATTGAGAAAAAAGTTGATAATAAATTATATGGAAATTTTGAAACGTATTATTTTTTGTTTTTGAAAAATTAGAATTTTTGAGTCAAAATTTGGCTGAAAATTGATGAAATTTTGTGATTTTTGTACATTTTTGGATTTTCTCGACGAAAATCGAAAATTTTCAGTTTCTGGACGCAAAATTGCAGATTTGAAAAAATGACACTTTGAAGTTGGTATTCAGAAATTTCATCAGGATTTTTAATATAAATTTTAAAATTCAAAACTTCACAAAAATTTCTGATATATTTTTCATTTCAAATCAATTTCTCTCTACAACAAAAAAAATCACATTTTTTTGCGTTAGAAAAAAATTAATGAAAATTTTCGGCTTTGTAATTTATTTTCATGAATTTTTATCCAAATTTTGGTTTTGAAATTGATTTGTCAAAAAAAAATTGAAAGAAAAATTTGATAATAAATTATATGAAAATTTTGAAACGTATTTTTTTGTTTTTGAAAAATTAGAATTTTTTGAGCCGAATCTGACTCAAAAATCGCTTTTTTTGTTAGCTGAAAAACAATTTGGCCGAAAATAAGCAATTTTGAGCTTAAAGTCCATCAAAAGTGTGGATTTTCAAGTTTTTATTAAAACTGGAAATTTTTTTTTATAAAAACTTGAAAATCCACATTTTTTCTATAAATAGATGTTTTCTGAAAAAGTCTTTGAAATACAATTAAAATTCAAAATTAAAAAAATATTCTTATATATTTTTGTTTAAAATCAATATTTTTCTCCAAATCGCATTTCATTTTCCTAGCTCGCAACTGATTGGTTGATGAATCATTTGGATGATCCAACTTTGAACGAAGCCTATCGACCACCTTCCGATTCCACTTCTTCCGGTCCCTCCGAAGCCGATATCGCAACTTTTGTCGAATTTGGATTCTCAAAACATCAAGCGAGATATGCATTGAGCCAGAAGTCGAATGTTCAAGAAGCTATGGATTGGCTTTTCAATAATTTGGATAATGTGAGGAGTTTCATCAGTTTTTTTGTACTCTGAAAATTCGAGATTATTGCAGGTTCCACCAGAGTCTTCATTGCCACAAACTTCTTCCAGTTTCTTCGACCAAAAAACCAAGAGAATATGTTGATGGAGAGGGAAGTTATGAATTGATTGGAATGATTTCACACATGGGTTCTCGACCGGATTCCGGACATTATGTTGCTCATATGCTCAAAAATCAAAAATGGGTTAGTTTTTATTGACTTCATTTTCTCATTATCCAAATTTTTCTAGGTTCTTTTCAATGACGAAAAAGTTGCATTATCTCAAGATCCACCAAAGAAACTTGCATATGTTTATTTGTATAAACGAGTATAATTCTTTTCTTTTCTTAATTTATTATTGGATGCCTGTGAAGTTTTAATGAAAATTTTACATTTTAAAAGCTTTTAGAAAACAAGCAATTAAAAAAAATTTGGAATTGAAACAAGTTAATTTTGATTTGAGGTGACATTTTGTTTACAAAAACAAAAAATTTTCGACCACGGCAGGATTCGAACCTACAATCTTCTGCTCCGTAGGCAGACGCGTTATCCATTGCGCCACGCGGCCTGTCGAAACCAACACGTAGAATGTTCAACTTATTTTTGGTGCGAAACTTTTCGCAAAGTAAAAATTTTGGTTTTCTTTTTTTTTTTTGAAAAAAAGTGACAGCTGTCTGCCAAATTAATTCATCATATGCATCTCCTTGAGAAAATTCATCAATTTTGGCTAATCAATATCTCCTCATCTCATCTCATCTTTTCGCTTGCTTCGTCCACCCAAGAACACACCCAAAAACCACAACCACTACTATGAATTTCTCTGTTTTCTCTCGTTTTCCCCTCAAGCTACATAGGCTTAAAAAACACATACCAATCAAAAAAAAGTGGTGGTTCAGAGAGTGTGATAAATGTGGAGATTGACGGGGTTGTCAGACAAAACGGGCGGTTAGCGAAGAGAGTGAAGAGAGTGGCAGAGATGAAATTTGACAAAAAAAAAGAAAAAGAAAAAATGTGCTGGAGACGGCTGTTTCCAACAAGCATACTACTTTTTTCTTTTTTTTTTTTCGTTTTTAGTTTTTTTCAGAAAATATCGGGTTTTCTGGGAATTTTTGAGAAAATTTCTGAAAAAATAAATTTTTTGTTTGGAAAAATGTTTAAAATTTTTTGAAAACAATAAGTTCTTTCTTATTTCAAAAAAAAAAATTAAACATGACGAAATAATTTCGTAATTTTCTGCAAAAAAAGTTGGGCAGCGGGTGGAGTCGAACCCTGGTCTTGCAAACGGTTTGCAGCCGTGCACACCACTCGGACACGCTGTTATTAATTCACGTAGTCAACATTTTCATATTTAAAAAGCGCGGCCTGTTTTTTTCTCAAAATCCCATTTTTTCTTTCAAATTTCCATCTCACATCATTTCTACCCCACAGACAAAATTGCGCGAAATTGGGCGGAGCCCCCATTTTTTGAGCCGATTATTTTTCGTTAGTCACTCACTTGTGTCTGATTAAATATCTACATGTGGTTATTTTTTTGATTTCTCTAATTCTCTTCAGCGGATTTATTTTCATGATATTTTGTTTTTCTGAAAATCGTTTGGTCTTTCATCTGGGTCGTTTCTTATCGCGGAAAAAAAAGTTTGGCAATAAATGTCATTATTGATTTTTTTCTTTCTCTTTTGAAATTGAAAAACCTTGTTCGTTTTAATGTGAATTATTTGAACAACACAAAAATGATGTCATAAATACCTAGTTTTTTTTCCGAATACAAAAAATCTTTTCATATCGAAAAAGTAACAATTGAAATCAAGATATTCATGAGATCGAATAAAATATACGAAATAATAAATATTTGGTTTGTGCATTTCTTTTCTTTTATTTTTCCTGTCATCAGATATCTCCTTTCATACCATTTTTATTTTATTATTATTTATAAATATTTGCATATAAATATCGTAAATATTATTATTTTGTTTCACATGCAAAATTTGTAGTGTGAAGAAATATATCAAAATAGTTTTATGACTCATTTTCTTATCACTTAGGGTATATAAAGTTTATCTTCAAAATTTCCTGCATTTTTTATAGTTTACTGCAATTTCTCATTTCTATGCAATTTGTCATTTTCCAAAAAAAAGCGAAAAAATAAAAAGAAAACAACGAGACTCCGCGTTGACGCCAGCGCGCGCGTCGTTTGAATTTATTTTTTTTATAGTAAAAAATTATTTTTTTTATAATAAAAAAAACTACACTACATTTCATCAAAAAGTACAATCGGCCCAGTTTTTTTCCAACACAAAAAAATCCCCCAATTATTTCATGTTGCACTTTTCCCCTCAAAGCTTCCTCGTTCAAATCAAAAATTCCGAACACGCAAACAATATTTTTTCTCTGATAAATAAATGTTGGCTTTTCCCTTTTTATCAGCTTCTTCTCCAATTATTTACCTCGTTTTTGAGAAAATGGAGAAAGAAAAGAAAAGTATCGAATTTCAAACTAACTAACTAAAATCTCAAACCAACCACAGTTGTTCTATTGATTGTTCTTTCCAAGAGAATTTTAAACTTTTTTCATTTCTCAATGTTTTTTTTTGCCAAAGGTGTGGCCTATATCCTGTTCATTCGGCCCACATTGTATTGATATTATTATTATTAATAATATATTGTTCAATGTTTACATTAGTTTATTTCATGTTTTGTTTATTATTCTTTTTTCTTGAACAATAATGCTAGACTTTTTTCTGGACAAAAAATGTGACCTCATAACCACAACGTCTAACTTACATTGTTGAAGTTGAAAAATAGAGTGCTGTAAAAAAGTGCAGAGTTGAATGAATGAAAAAAAACCTTATTTCGTCAGTCGCGTGCGGCTGTGCGTCGCTGTCGGGGAAACAAAATGAGTTATTGATAGTTTCCCGCGACCGCGACGCATAGCCGCACGCGACTGAAGTGTTTTTGAAGAAAATTTTACGCTAGCCACATTTTTCAACTTCGATATTGTCGAAGTTGGAAAATATGAGTGCCGTGAAAAAAAATAATGAAAAAATTATTTCGTCAGTTGCGTGCGGCTGTGCGTCGCGGTCGGGGAAAAAATGAATTATTGATTTTTTTCCCGACCGCGACGCACAGCCGCGCGCGACTGACGAAGTATATTTTTCATTTATTCAATTCTGCAATTTTTTACGGCAGCCACATTTTTCAACTTCGAAAATAGCTACACACTGTTCAAAAATGTGACCTCATAATTTTTTTTCTGAAAAATACCTTCATTCAAGTGTGAAAGCCTACGTGTTTTTTCAAATTCCAAATAAAGTTTGTACATAGTGCTAAAATACATAAGTTCTTCTATTCTTTTCCAAAATGAGTAAACATTTGCCCGATTTTTCTCGCGAAGGTTACAAAAATTACACGTTCACTCACCAAAGGATTATATTTGACTACTATTCTTTTCTCCTTCCCTTCCTCCCTCAAAACTTTATTTTTAAATGTAAACAAACTTTTTTGCAGGTTAATATATTCCAAATGTTTCTAAATGAGTAGTGATACAACATTTGATCATGAAGAATTGGTGCAGAAATTAGACAAAAAGAATAATGATCTCGAATTGGCGGCGAAGATTGGGCAATCGTTGTTGGAGCAGAATCGAGATTTGCAGACAAAGTTTGTTTTTGGAGTCCCCTTTATAAAATCAGAAACTCTTTTATAAAATCCACACTCATTTTTTTCAGAAATGAATTTCTCGAAGAAAGTGTCAGTCGAAATCTGGACACCATAATTCAACTCAAACACGAACTCAATCAACGCATCGAACTTCTTCGCGTCTATTCCCATCTCGATGATGATGGTTTTCCAAGATCAAATAGCGACGAGACACTTCGAGAGCGATTGAAACTATCAAGATCAGAAAATGAGAGGTTTGTTGGGTCTCCTAAAAGTAAATATTGTACTTTACTTTTTTATTAATAGATTACGAAGAGAATGTGATGCATTGAGGCAAGAAACAGCTTCGATGACATCGTTGGAAAGACGGAATAATCTTGAATTGGAAAAACAATTGGATGATGCTAATGAAAAGGTAACATCTAATCAATAAGAGCATTTGAACAAAGAACATCGGAAAAGATGAAATATTGACATAACCAACCACTTTTATCATTTTGAGCAAAACAAATATGAAAAAAAAGAGTAACTACTATGAAACAAACATTTATAGATTACAAATCTTCAATTCAAAATCGAACAAAAAACACAAGAACTAAATAGTCAATATGAGTCAACTGGAAAATTGGTCAAAGAATTGGCGAATAAGACGAAGAATGAGAAGATGTTAACGATGGAAAAAGAGGAAATGAGTTCGATTTTGATTGAAATGATACAGAAGCATGATTCGATGAATGGAGAATTGAAAGATATGCAAAATCAATATGCAGAACTTATGGCGAATTTTGCGGAGACTGAATCGGAATTAGCAAGGTTAAGGCAGAATGCGAGTTTGAGGAGTGAGTTAAAATTTGATTGATTATTTACAAGAAAAAAGTTTTGCAGTGTCTTTCGATTCACTTTATGATTCCTTGGCTTCTGAGATGGAAAATTCTGATTCAAATCATCCGAGACAGCTAACATCGCAAGCAATCGACAGTGGCGTCGAGACATCTCTCGCAGCCGAATTAAGTGAACCCGAAAAAATCGAGACACCAAAAGCAGTTGATTATTATTCGAAACAACACACAGCCGCGATTCAATGTGATGCGAGTACTTCGTGTACTGATATTTTTATTGAATCTACACAAAAATTATCGATAAAAAATGAAAACGACGACAAAGAAAAACAAAAACTAGAAGAACAGAGCTTCCCCGAGCCGGAAGCAACTTCAACGCCAATCGTGAGGCGTAAATTCTCAAGCTTTATTAGTCCAATCAGGTCAAATAGTCGGTTAGGTGAGTTGGAATGAGGAAAATGACATTTTTCGGGAAAAAATGCGAAAAAATAAAAAGAAAACAACGAGACTCCGCGTTGACGCCAACGCGCGTGGTTTGAATTCATTTATTTTTTCTCCGATTTTTCAATGGGCTCCCATATTTCAGCGAATACTTATCGAAATGTTCTGAGTTTTTTCTACGAACTAGAAAACAGTAAAACTAAGCTAAATTTGAGATCTGAGAAAATTTTGAAAGAAAAGTTCTAGTTCTCTAACATTCAAAATTCAACAAACTTCCTGTCTGAAAAAAACAGCCGTGTTTTTTGGCCAAAGATAAATGACTCTGTTTTCCGAGTCTTGAAATATGTCACAATATTTTTTTTTCTTGAATGCTTCCTACTGGAAACTTTCTTTTTGTTCAGAATTTTTTCGCCGATACTTTAGGTAAAAACTTTTCTCGCTCTAATCAATAAAAATGTTGTTTTTTTTTTGCAGCTTCACCTCTTCGATCTGTTCATTCACCAGTTCAACGACAACAATTGAATGAATCCGACGAAGAGCAACGACATCAATATGAAGAACCGAAAATGGGTCAACCGGGTATTCCAGGCACTCGAGATCTCGATTATTCATTGAAAATTATCAAAGTTAAAGAAGAGGTGATTTTTTTCTCGCAATACCTCCTCAATTCAATGGACAATTCCAGGTGCAGAAAGAATTCGATGCGTTTTGCCAGCGAAAAGGAATCAATCAAAAATCCTTTTTCGGCTCATCGAAAAATCGCGAATCCTCATTTTCAAAGTCGCAAGATTCTTGGATCGATTATGGCTCATTTTTTGGAGCAACAACAGCTCAAAAAAGTCTTGCTCTGCCCAATTCTCAACAACAACCATTATCACTATCGCTTACTCGACACGGTGTTTTGACACGTGCCGAACTTCGCAATCCAATCATCAGTCCAACTAGTTCTCCACAACATTCTCGTTCACCGCTCAATTTTCTAGCTTCTTCTTCTTCATGTAATCCTAATACTAATATACATGGTGCACAAAACGGAGTTTTACAACGTAGATAAATGTATTTTATTGTTTTTTTTTTGAATAAATTTTTTTGTGAATAAAACATCGTGTGAACTTCTTTTTTTCAGAAAACAACATTTCGTACAGTTTTCTTTCCCGAAAAAAACTAAACAAAGAAGCCGGAACATTTTATTAAAAATTCAGCGAATTCATTGCCATTTCAAACTTTTTTGAGACATCTCTCTGTTTTTCTGTCCAATTAATTAGAAAAAAACAGAGATTTTTGTTTTGTAGATACAATCTTTGTCTGTAAGTGCCACCAAGTTAGTACAACTTTGATCAAATCTTTTTTTTCGAATCCTCGAAATGATTTTAGTGAAACTAGTTTCACGATACAATCTTCAACTTTTTGTACTTCAATTTATTTCAAGTTTTCTTTTCCCATTACATTTTCGTTTCCTGCAAAAAAAACCGAAAAAAAATTCTCGACCACGGCAGGATTCGAACCTACAACACAGCTGGTGGGCTGGCAATCCGTCTCAGACCTGTAGCGCACCAGTCAGTGAAATTGGCCGTTCACAGGTCTGTTACTGGTGTCAGACGGGTGCAGACCTGTCACGGGTCGCCTAAAACTGACGCGTCACGGGTCGCATACTGCTCGACCATCTCCCACACAAAACATAGCGAGACGCACAAACAGCCAACTGTCTGCGAGTCAGTTTGTTTAAGAGAAGCGAGTGTTGCTTGCTTTTTCGAATTAGAGGTTCTATGAAAAGCTGTTCTAGTCCGTATTGGACATGACTACAAAGTCTATATTTTTGGTTTCTGGGGACATTGGTCCTCTACATATAGATTTTTTCATTTTCAAGTTCCCCTTGTTGACCCCTGATCAGGAACTCTGACGGGTGTCATACTGGTGCGAGACCGGTCGGTTCCGGTTTTCGGAACACTGGTGCGGCACAGGTCTGAGACGGGTTGCCAGCCCACCACCTGTGAATCTTCTGCTCCGTAGGCAGACGCGTTATCCATTGCGCCACGCGGCCATCTGTCACCAGCGCGTTGAATTCCGACCTTATTTTTGGTGTTTGTTAGGCGCAGGCGCCTATTTTTTATGTATACGTATAAGAATTTCTGAAACCGAGCTAAATATAGGTTTATCATGAGACCTGTCACGAGATTTCATGGAAAAAACATACATATATAAAAAATTCCACAAAAAATGTTCACACAGTAATTATTGTAGATATTCCTTGCGGCGATATTATAATAACACATATAGAATTGAATAATTCGATTTGTCATAGATACATACATATATATTTTTATTTTCTCTTTTTTTACATATAGATATATATATTTTTTACAGTAATCAATCAGTGTAAAAGAAAGTCTCGGTGTGTAAACTGTGTATCTCTAATTCTCCATTTCATTATTATTATTCTTCAGTTACACTTGATAATCTAATTTTTGTTTTCATTAGTGATTCAGTAGTTTCAAAAAAAAGGTGGTCTGCAAATATTCGTCAGCGTAAAATCTGCACACACAAAGAGTTGTGCATTAGAGCGCATTTGCTTGTTTTGTTTTGTAGGGCCTGTTTTATATTTCAAACATTTGCGCGCAAGTAAACGAAATGTGCGCGTGGCCGAGTGGTTAGCATGCTGGTCTACACAGGTGGTGGGCTGGCAACCCGTCTCAGACCTGTGCCGCACCAGTGTTCCGAAAACCGGAACCGACCGGTCTCGCACCAGTATGACACCCGTCAGAGTTCCTGATCAGGGGTCAACAAGGGGAACTTGAAAATGAAAAAATCTATATGTAGAGGACCAATGTCCCCAGAAACCAAAAATATAGACTTTGTAGTCATGTCCAATACGGACTAGAACAGCTTTTCATAGAACCTCTAATTCGAAAAAGCAAGCAACACTCGCTTCTCTTAAACAAACTGACTCGCAGACAGTTGGCTGTTTGTGCGTCTCGCTATGTTTTGTGTGGGAGATGGTCGAGCAGTATGCGACCCGTGACGCGTCAGTTTTAGGCGACCCGTGACAGGTCTGCACCCGTCTGACACCAGTAACAGACCTGTGAACGGCCAATTTCACTGACTGGTGCGCTACAGGTCTGAGACGGATTGCCAGCCCACCAGCTGTGTATTGAAATTTTGGTCACGGGTTCGATCCCGCTCCGAGGCAAACTTTTTTCCCTTCAGTTTTTTTTTCTGAATTTCAGGAGTTTCGCCTCGCTTCTTTTGTCCAAACAAAACAGAAAAAAAGCAATTTCATTGATTAGATTATTTTGTCAAGGTTACATTCGAAATCGTTTAAAAAGAGATGTGTGTATGTATGTTTTCCCAGAAAAAAACAACAACCCTCACTTATTTTTCAAGTAGTCTCATATTTCTACAAACCGGTCTTTAGATGGCTGCGCAAGAAATCTTTTTTTTTTCCGAAAAAGGACGTTTTTATCAAAAGCAAAAAAGACGAAGATGCTCATAGACATTTTGTTATAAAAATAGGATCTTCTTCTTTGGAAACTTAATATTTTCGTCGGGGGCCCTTGGGAAATACCAAAACACCTTTCCCCCTTCTTTTTTCTATCATATATTTTTTCTGTCTTTTTTTGTCATATTCTCAATTCTCAAAGCAAAAAATTGCAGTTAATTGTCTTTTGGACCTCCACAATTTGACACATGTTTTTATGTGTATTTTTGATCTTTTCTTTCTTCTGTTTCAATTTATTTTTTGGTTCTTTAAACAATTTTTATAGATATAAAAATATGGAGGATGAGCGGAGTTTGCTGCAAAAACTGCGAGCGTGAGTTTGAGAGTTCCACTCAAAAGTTCAAGAGTCGTATTATTTTTCGATACGGGGATAATCTTCTTGTATTTTGTGAAGAACAAGTTTCATTCGAGAAGGGAATCTTGGATGTTTTTCAAAAAATATTTTTATTTTCAAAAAATTTCTGAAAAATATATTTTTTTAAAATAATAATTTCTTGGGAATCGGAAAGAAATCGGGATTCAGGAAAAAAATTGGAAAATGCCACGTGGTTTTTTTGCACTAAAATTTAGGGGGATTGAACTTTGGTTAAGATAAGTTATGACGTGGCAATGTTAGAAGAAAATACTTTTTGAAAAAAATTCAAATCCAAATATTTTAGTGCCAAGAAACGACGTGGCACAAAATTCAAAAATTCAAACACAAATAATTTAGCGCCGAAAATCTACCTGGGAAAATTAAAACACAAATAATTTCGTGCGAAAATTTAGGGGAATTGAACTTTGGTTAATATAAGTTATGACGTGGCAATGTTAGAAGACAAATATTTTCGCACCGAAAATCAATGTGGCAAGATTCAAACAAAAATAATTTCGCGCGAAAATTTCAAATCCCACGTGGCAATGTTAGAAGCGAATACTTTTTGAAAAAAATCAGAAATTTTATATTTCACAATGAGAGTTCTACTGTAAATTTTAAAAAATCTGTTATTGTTTGAACGAAAAATCAAATTCCAAAAAATCGTTCAAAAACGACCCCCCCCAAAACTTAAAGTAAGTAGTTCATCAAATATATTTTTTGCAGTTACCCGCCATCAGTATTTTTCATGCTTGGAAATGAATTCTGTGAACGTTTCTCGTTCTACGGAATGAAAACAATCCTCTTCATTTATTTGATAACCGAACACGAATTTGCGCCAAGTACAGCCACATTCATCTACCACGCATTCGCCTGCATCGCCTACTTCACCCCATTGATCGGCTCGATTTTGGCCGATTCGATATTTGGGAGATTCAAAGTTATCTTATATGGAAGTATTATTTATGTTGTTGGTCATATTCTTCTCTCAATTGGAGCTGTTCCATTTTTCTCATATGGTTAGTTTTTGACCCCTGATTCAAGGGCCTTGAAATTAAAATCTCAAAATAAAAAACAATTAATATCAGGATTTCGATCATCAATGGATTTTTCTGGTCTCTTCGTGATTGCCTTTGCAACCGGATGTATAAAACCATGTGTTTCAGCATTTGCAGCAGATCAGGTTTGTTCAAAGAAAATGAAAGGCTTTGGGGAAAATAAAGGTATTTTCTTTAAAAGAGTTATGCTTCCTAAAACCCTTTAATTTCTCAAGAACCCTAAATTCACGACCATTTACTTACTCCAACAGAAAATTGCCCCTCGGGTCAGACGGAGTCTAATGACGTCACCAAAGACAGAGATCGCTTCGAGATATTTTTGAGAAATTGTGTGTGCCTTTGAAAAAATACCGTATTTTGTTTCAAGGAACACACATATTATTGAAAATATCTCGCCACGAAATTCAAATATTTTCGCAAAATACTCTTGCGTCTGACACTCAACGGGCGCCATGTATCTAGTATCGAAAATCTCATCGGTACCACGCGCTCCGCCGAAATAAACACGCAACGCAGACCGCGTCGCGCCACAACACACACAAAAAATGGAGGGAATTTGAATCGTTCCCTTTTTGTGCGGCGCGGTCTGCGTTGCGTGTTTATTTCGGTGGAGCGCGTGGTACCGATAATATTTTCACTAAAACCCTATATTTCCAAACAATACAAATTAGCCCCTATTACATTTTGCAGTTCGAAGAGCATCAAAAAGATCTCCGCTCTCAATTCTTCTCCTTCTTCTATTTCGCCATCAACGCTGGAAGTCTGTTCGCCATCCTAATCACCCCAATCCTCCGAGGTCGTGTTCAATGTTTCGGCAATCCCCATTGTTTTCCCCTGGCTTTTGGTGTTCCCGGTGTCCTGATGGCTTTGGCGTTGGTGTTGTTTTTGATGGGTTGGGCGATGTACAAAAAATATCCGCCAAGTAAGGAAAATGTTATTGCGAAAGTCAGCGAGGTTATTTACACATCAGTGAGGAAAATGATTCGAGGGTAAGTGATTATAATCCTATAGGACATCAGTAAATTCAACATGTTTTTATAGATCTGATAAACCTGTGAATCATTGGTTGGATCATGCAGCTCCAGAACATTCTCAAAAAATGATCGATTCAGTTCGCGCACTTCTCAACGTTGCTGTGATTTTCTGCCCTCTCATCTTCTTCTGGGCACTTTTCGATCAACAGGGTTCAACATGGGTTCTTCAAGCGAGACGACTTGACGGCAGAGTTGGACACTTCTCAATTCTTCCCGAACAAATTCACGCGATCAACCCAATCTGCGTCCTAATCCTTGTGCCAGTTTTCGAAGCCTGGGTCTATCCGGCACTTCGTAAAATCACCAAAGTCACACCATTGCGTAAAATGGCAGTTGGCGGGTTGTTAACTGCCTTCTCATTTTCGATTGCTGGTGGTCTTCAATTGATTGTGAATGAAACAATGGAATATCCTCCAACATTTGGACAAGTTTATATTCAAAGAATTGGGAATGAATCGTTGATTCATGATTTTAATGGGACAAAAGATGGGAATATTCCGACTGGTAGAAGTGAAATTGAGGCTGGATTTTATCAATTTAACACTGGTTTGGCGAATGAAACAAAAACTGTGAATTTCTCGATTCCGAATAAGGGATACGTTATGGCTGCATTCAGATTGGAGAAAGAAACGTGAGTTGAAAATTGTGCGGAAAAATTTGGAAGATTCTAGGGGGATTTTCCCAACAAAAATTAAATTTAGGCTAAGTAGGTGGGTAAAAAACTTTTAAAATGATTTCGAGTCGAAAATCCTCTCACGCCGCGTCCAAAAACGAAAAAAAAAGAAAATTTCCTGTCCAAAAACACATGACAGTAGGATTGCCAAATTAAAGGAACACACAGTAGACACCTGCGTATCTAACTTGCGCACCTTGAACATTCTTGTTGGTTTTCTGTCCAATTCTTTCTCAGAAATCGAGTTAGATGTGCAGGTTCTACCGTACTTCAGTGTGTGCCTTTAATCTTTATTTTTTCGGGTTTTTGGACAGGACATTTTTTGTTTTTCGCTATATTCTCGTAAATAAATGTGTTTATTTCCAGCAAAGTTGTTTCATTCGATTACAAAGTCGAGAAAACTGATAACGGCGCAACTCGTGTATTTGTGGTCTCGCCAAATGATATTCCAACTCATAAAGTATATGTCGTCAATAGCAGGTATTCTTGTTTCATACTTTTTTCAAATCAAAAATTAAAAATTAAAATTCAGAGGAGATGTAATTAGTGAATGCCCATTAACATCTGGATCTCATGTCGATATTATTCCCGGAATTATAAGCGATCCAAATGTTAAACTTCATTGGGGTCCAGGTTGTAATTCAACATCCTGCATTTCTTCATTGCCAAATATTAACCTGAACGCTCAAATGGGCGCCGTCCACGTTCTCCACATTCATCCAACAACCACTGAAAAAGATCTCGATCTTCTTGTTCGCCCAAATTCCGTCAGTATTCTCTGGTCCCTTCCCCAATATATTATCATAACATTGGGCGAAGTGTTGCTCTCTGTAACCGGTTTGGAATTCGCTTACTCACAAGCTGCTCCGAATATGAAAAGTGTTCTAACTGCAATGTGGTTGTTAACAGTTTTCGCCGGCAATTTGGTTGCGATGTTGATTTCGGGAACAAGATTGATTCCAAATCCAGCACTCGAATTCTTTTTCTATTCGATTTTAATGTGCATTGTAATGGCTGTTTTTATACTTCTTGGTGAGTTGTTTTTTTATTTATTTATTTCTTGTTTACACTCTCTAATATTCAGCAATGCAATACACATATGTCGAAGAACACGATGAAGATGAAGATGATGATGATTCAATTCGAATAAATGAAAAGAAAAGTATTGAAATGTCTGAACAGATCTCGGCAAACAATAATGCTTAAGAAAAACCTATAATTGATTGAACTTTTGAAATTACTATAATGATCTTCTAGTCACTTTTTTGATTCCTTTAAATTATTTTCTTTTCTGCTAAAAATTGTACATATTTTTTGAAAAACTGACTACTACTTAATCGCATAATAAAGAGCTGTATAATTTTTATTTTTGGTGCAAATTGCTGCAGAAAAATAAAATTCCGACAAAAAAGTTCAATAACTCCCAATCAGGAATGAGTGAAATATTCTGAAAATATTGAATCTTAGTGTTTGTACCCAGAAACTAGTTTTTTTTCCAAAAAAATAAAAAGAAAACAACGAGACTCCGCGTTGACGATGACGCGAGTGGTTTGAATTTTGTTTTTTTTCAGTTTTTCAATCGGATTCCAGATTTTGGCGATTACTAGAATAGTAAAACTAAGCTAAAACTAAGATCTGAGAACAATTCGAGAAAGTGCCTGTTATACCAGGGATCTAGCAAATATTTTTTTTTCGAAAAACTCAACTTCCTCTTTCGATTTATCAAACCCTCTATCATCAAATTCATCTAATCTTTGTATTATCCCTGAGTTTTTTGTTGCTCCCCACATTCTTTCCTCTTCTTTCTCCTTCTTCTTCTATATATTTTCTTCTAAATTGTGATTTTTGCCGGCTTCCACCAACGCCTGTATCTCGAGAAACTAGACGAAACGAAGATGCACAGATCGACATAGAATGTCTGGGTTCTCTTCAATTGCAATACTATCTCATCGCGACCGCCCGTCCGGGATGGAGCTGTAACAAGCAAGATGAAGAAGAAACGAGAAGAGAAGAAGTAGTTTTTCAACACAAGAAGAAGAAGAAAAGCGGGAGCATTTTAAAAAGAAGGGATGTATCTAGATAGATTTTTTCCTGATGGATTGAGAGAATGCAAAAAAATAAAGAAGAAGAAGAACATGAGCTAAATAGTTCAGAAATCAGTTTCGTTTCGCTGAAAAGTGCAACAATCTATGTATTGAACACATTTTCCAAGGAGATCACGAAATCCGAATATAGAGGTTTTTAGAAATCTGGAGAGAGAAGTGAAAATACCAGAAAATTGTTCAGAATTTCAGCAAATCCTAGAAAAATTGAGAAAACCAAAATACAGTAGACTTAGCGGCTTCTTAGATCTTCTGTATTGAAAGAAGAAATATTTTATTTTCTAGGCAAATCGGTTCTCTTCCAAGGGTCACAAAATTTACGGACTGATGTACCAATTTTTGCCGATACCGGAATCTACTTATGCCTCGTCTCAAATAATTCCAAATTTTAAACATCTCATCTTGATTCTACGAAAAAAGATTCCACCAAAACTGAACCATGATAAAACTTTGAAAAATCGACAAACTGTTGGTAGGAATGTTGGAACAGTTGTCAATGTGTACGTTTGTTGTTTTTTCAAGACAGACTGGAACTAAAGAAATATATATAGGTTGCAAACTTGGTACCCAAGTAAATGTCATGGGAGAAAATTGAATATGAGGTATTTAAAACCATTGAAGGAATTTCCAGAATAAAAATTCAGAACCATGCTTTTACACAGTGTGTAAAAAAATCACTAGAACTCAAAATTTTGAGAAGTAAATTATATGCGGCCAAAACTTATTCCGGGGCCCTAAAATTATTGAAGAACATTTTGATGTACCCAAAAATTTTGTACAACGTTTTCCTTCAGTTATTTTCAGCTTACCCCTCTTATGATTTCGTCCTCTCCCGAATCTAAATCTACAAGATCTATGCAACATCAAATCAGATCCAAAAGCTCGACAATTTCCCGATGTTACTATTTGATTCTTGTTTAATTGTCTCATTAACAAAGTTGAAACAACAACAACAAAAACAATAATAACACCTTTAGTGCTCAATCTATCTTCAATCTTTCGATTCTCTTCAGCGTAGGCGTCTCTCTTCTGCCTTTTCTCCCTTCCTTTCTTTCAGTTGGCATCAGCACATTACACTGATTGCTGCCGGGATGGATTCATCCACGGGGCGTGGCTTGTTTCGTGAGCCTCCTCATCCTCAACTCTTCTACCTATTTTCATTCGATCCTCGTTTCTTGATTTCTGGGTTTTTTATCAGCATAGTTGTTTTTTGCCTTTTTCCTTTTTCATGTTGATTTTATTTTTATTCTTATAGATCCTCAAAACTCGGGAGCACATTGAGGAAACCTCTAACTAGAAATATCAAACATGGATAACGAAAAGGACCCATCATGGCCATACTTGAAACGCTCGAGAGAGCAAATTATGGAAGTGAGTTTGAATTTTTTGAATATATTTTTTGATGTAGAAATGTTTGAAATTCTGAATTTTAAGTGAGATTTTATTTTTGGAACTTTCTAGAGAAAAACATATTTGAAAAAATATTTTTGAAATTGTGTTCATAGTTTTGAAGCTTCAATAATTTTTGGAACTTTCTAGAGAATTTGAATCGCAATCAAATAATTCGATAAATTTTTTTGAAATAGTAGAATTTATGGTTCATGAAAAAAACTTTTACAGAATTTTTATCAGATATCAAATTTTTCAGGCACAAAATTCTGCTTTTTCTATTTTTTTTGAATTTTGAATTTTCAAAATTTGATTCTTCATCCGATTTGAAATTTTTACATGATTTCATTGAAAAACTAAAACATTAAAATATTTTTTTTTGAAAAACTTTACTGAAGCTTTTTTCTTGTCAGAAATTTCGAGAAGTCCTATTTTTCATCAAAAATCTGACATCAAGAAAAATTAGCTCTGAACTTCTATTTTTGGAATATCGGAAACTGTTATCGGAATATCGGAAACGGAAAAAATTCTCATGAATATTCTTTCAGGATCAATCGAAACCATACGATTCCAAGAAAAATTGCTGGATTCCTGATGCGGAAGAAGGATACATGGCAGCTGAGATCACAGCCACCAAGGGAGATCAAGTCACAGTTGTTACTGTTCGTGGAAACGAGCAAACTTTGAAGAAGGAATTGGTGCAAGAAATGAATCCACCAAAATTCGAGAAAACCGAAGACATGTCCAACTTGACATTCTTGAACGACGCTTCAGTTCTTCACAATTTGCGTGCTCGTTATGCTGCTATGCTTATCTACGTAAGTTAGATAGATCCCTGCATGATTTGCTAGTTTTTTCTTTTTTTTTTTTCCTAGGCGCCGAGCTGAGTGGGAGTTGTAAAAAGATGCAAACTTTACACAAAAATGTACACAACACTTTCTCTCTCACATCTGTGCCTAGGAAGAAGATGAAAAAAAGATAGATTCTAGGAAATTCTCGTATCGTATAACGGCATTGAGAAGATATGAACACATGCCAACAAAAAAGAAACTATAACGAAAAAAAACATTAACATAGAAACAATTTTTAGAAAAAAACTAAATTAGGAGATCTCAAATTCAGAGAGGAAATAGAAATACAAAAATTTATGAAAAAACATCGGAACAAAAAGTTGATCAGATATATTTTTACTGAATGAGACAACAAGTAGGCTTAGTTAGGCTAAGGCTTAGGCCTTTTAGGCTAAGGCTTACCCTAGGCTTATCAGGCGGAGGCTGAGCTCCGCTCTAGACATCGCCGTTTGGGGTTTTAGGCTTAGGCTTAGTTAGGCCAAGGCTTGGTTAAGGCTTAGGCTTAGTTAGGCTAAGACTTTGGCCTGAACTTTTGAGCAACTGTGGACATCGCCGTTTGGGGTTTTAGGCTTAGGTTGAGTTTAGTTAGGCTAAGGCTTAGTTAGGCTTAGGCCTGAACCTTAGGGTTATCAAGTTCAATAAATGCTGGGTCCCATTTTGTGGTCCCGTCCAATTCAGAGAGGAAATAGAAGTACAAATAGAACTTTGCAACAACAAAACTAATATTTTGCAGACCTACTCTGGACTTTTCTGCGTCGTCATCAATCCATACAAACGTCTTCCAATCTACACCGACTCATGCGCTCGTATGTTCATGGGAAAGAGACGTACCGAAATGCCACCACATTTGTTCGCCGTCTCCGATCAAGCCTATCGTAACATGTTGCAAGATCACGAGAATCAATCCATGTTGATTACCGGAGAATCCGGTGCCGGAAAAACCGAGAACACCAAGAAGGTTATTTGCTACTTCGCCGCTGTCGGTGCTTCGCAACAAGAGGCTGCTGGAAATGCGCCAGCTAGCAATGAGAAGAAGGTCACTCTTGAAGATCAAATCGTCCAAACTAATCCAGTATTGGAAGCTTTCGGTTAGTGATATAATTCCATGAGAATAAAAAAAATTCAAAAATCTTTTTAGGTAACGCCAAGACTGTCCGTAACAACAACTCTTCCCGTTTCGGAAAGTTCATCCGTATTCATTTCTCCAAGGCTGGACGTCTCGCATCTTGCGATATTGAACATTACCTTCTCGAAAAATCTCGTGTCATCCGTCAAGCTCCAGGAGAGCGTTGTTATCACATTTTCTACCAAATCTTCTCGGATTTCAAACCAGAACTCAAGGGACAACTTCGTTTGGACAAACCATTGAAGGACTATTGGTTCGTCGCTCAAGCCGAGTTGACCATCGACGGTATCAATGATACTGAAGAATTCCAATTGACTGACGAGGCTTTCACCATCCTCAACTTCTCTGACAGAGAGAAGCAAGAATGTTATCAATTGATGGCCGCTTTGATGCACATGGGTAACATGAAATTCAAACAACGCCCACGTGAAGAACAAGCCGAACCAGATGGTACTGATGATGCCGACAGAGCCGCTGAGATGTACGGAATCAACAATGAAGAATTCTTGAAGGCTCTCACCAAACCACGTGTCAAGGTCGGAACTGAATGGGTGTCCAAGGGACAAAACTGTGAACAAGTTATCTGGGCTGTCGGAGCTATGGCCAAGGGTCTCTATTCGCGTGTCTTCAATTGGTTAGTCAAGAAATGTAACTTGACCCTCGATCAAAAAGGTATTGACCGTGATTACTTCATTGGTGTCTTGGATATCGCTGGTTTCGAAATCTTCGACTTCAACTCCTTCGAACAACTTTGGATTAACTTCGTCAACGAAAAACTCCAACAATTCTTCAATCACCACATGTTCGTTCTTGAACAAGAAGAATATGCTCGTGAAGGAATTCAATGGGTTTTCATTGATTTCGGTCTCGATTTGCAAGCTTGTATCGAACTTATTGAGAAGGTATTTAATTTTTTAATTTTAATTTTTTAAAAATAACTTTAATATTTCAGCCACTTGGTATCATCTCCATGCTCGATGAAGAATGTATCGTACCAAAGGCTACTGATTTGACTCTCGCCCAAAAATTGTTGGATCAACATCTTGGCAAACATCCAAACTTCGAGAAGCCAAAACCACCAAAGGGAAAACAAGGAGAGGCTCACTTCGCCATGCGGCACTACGCCGGAACTGTCCGTTACAACGTTCTCAACTGGCTTGAGAAGAACAAGGATCCACTCAATGACACCGTTGTCACTGTCATGAAGGCCAGTAAGGTCAACGAATTGTTGGTGGAAATCTGGCAAGACTACACCACTCAAGAAGAGGCTGCCGCTAAAGCCAAAGAGGGAGGTGGCGGTGGAAAGAAGAAGGGAAAGTCCGGATCTTTCATGACCGTTTCTATGCTCTACAGAGAATCGTTGAACAATTTGATGACTATGCTTCACAAGACTCATCCACATTTCATCCGTTGTATTATTCCAAACGAAAAGAAACAATCAGGAATGATCGATGCTTCTTTGGTTCTCAATCAATTGACATGTAACGGTGTGCTTGAAGGTATCCGTATTTGTCGTAAAGGATTCCCCAACAGAACCCTTCACCCTGACTTCGTTCAACGTTATGCTATTCTTGCCGCCGCTGAAGCTAAATCATCTGATGACAAGAAGAAGTGTGCTGAAGCTATCATGTCCAAATTGGTCAATGATGGTTCATTGAACGAGGAAATGTTCCGTGTCGGTCTCACCAAGGTCTTCTTCAAGGCTGGAGTTCTTGCTCATCTTGAAGATATTCGTGACGAGAAACTCGGAAACATTCTCACCGGATTCCAAGCTCAAATCAGATGGCATTTGGGTGTCAAGGACCGCAAGAGAAGAATGGAACAACGCGCCGGACTTCTCATTGTTCAACGCAACGTTCGCTCGTGGTGCACTTTGCGCACATGGGAATGGTTCAAACTTTACGGAAAAGTCAAGCCAATGCTCAAGGCCGGAAAGGAAGCCGAAGAACTCGAGGCTATCAACGACAAGGTAATTAATTTATTCATTAGATTTTTTATGTGAATTAACTTTGAAATTTTGTAGGTCAAAGCTCTCGAAGAAAACCTTGCCAAGGAAGAGAAACTTCGCAAAGAACTCGAAGAATCATCCGCTAAATTGGTTGAAGAAAAGACTCAATTGTTCACCAACTTGGAATCGACCAAGGGACAATTGTCTGATGCTGAAGAACGTTTGGCTAAGCTTGAAAGCCAAAAGAAGGATGCTGACAAGCAATTGTCTGAGTTGAACGATCAACTTGCTGACAATGAAGATCGCACCGCTGATGTTCAAAGAGCCAAGAAGAAGGTTGAAGCTGAGTTGGAAGCTTTGAAGAAGCAAATCCAAGATTTGGAAATGAGCTTGAGAAAGGCTGAATCAGAGAAACAATCCAAGGATCATCAAATCAGATCTCTTCAAGATGAAATGCAACAACAAGACGAAGCCATCGCCAAGTTGAACAAAGAAAAGAAACATCAAGAAGAAATCAACAGAAAATTGATGGAGGATCTTCAAGCTGAAGAAGACAAAGGAAACCATCAAAACAAAGTCAAGGCTAAGCTCGAGCAAACTTTGGATGATCTCGAAGATTCACTCGAACGTGAGAAGAGATCTCGTGCTGATCTCGACAAACAAAAGAGAAAGGTCGAGGGAGAATTGAAGATCGCTCAAGAAAACATCGATGAGGGAGGCCGTCAACGTCACGATCTTGAAAACAACTTGAAGAAGAAGGAATCTGAACTTCACTCAGTTTCTTCTCGTCTTGAAGATGAACAAGCTCTTGTTAGCAAGCTTCAAAGACAAATCAAGGACGGACAAAGCCGTATCTCTGAACTCGAAGAGGAATTGGAGAATGAACGTCAATCTCGCTCGAAGGCTGATCGCTCAAAGAGTGACTTGCAACGTGAACTCGAAGAACTCGGAGAGAAACTCGATGAGCAAGGTGGAGCCACCGCTGCTCAAGTTGAAGTCAACAAGAAACGTGAAGCTGAGCTCGCCAAGCTTCGTCGTGATCTTGAAGAGGCCAACATGAACCACGAGAATCAACTCGCTGGACTCCGCAAGAAGCACACCGATGCTGTTGCTGAATTGAGCGATCAACTCGATCAACTTCAAAAGGCTAAGGCCAAGGTTGAGAAGGATAAGGCTCAAGCAATCCATGATGCTGAAGATCTTGCCGGACAACTCGACCAAGAAACATCGGCTAAATTGAACAACGAGAAACTCGCCAAACAATTCGAACTCCAACTCACCGAATTGCAATCGAAGGCCGACGAACAAGCCCGTCAATTGCAAGACTTCACCTCATTGAAGGGACGTCTTCACAGCGAGAACGGAGATTTGGGAAGACAATTGGAGGATGCTGAATCGCAAGTCAGCCAATTGACTCGCATCAAGGCTCAACTCACTTCTCAACTCGAGGAAGCTCGCAGAACCGCTGACGAGGAAGCTCGTGAGAGACAAACTGTTGCTGCTCAAGCCAAGAACTACCAACACGAAGCTGAGCAATTGCAAGAATCTCTTGAGGAAGAAATCGAAGGAAAGGCCGAGATCTTGAGACAATTGTCCAAGGCCAACGCTGATATTCAACAATGGAAAGCCCGTTTCGAGGGAGAAGGACTTATCAAGGCCGACGAACTCGAAGATGCCAAGAGACGTCAAGCTCAAAAGATCAACGAGCTTCAAGAGGCTCTTGATGCCGCCAACTCCAAGATCGGATCTTTGGAGAAGACCAAATCAAGACTTGTTGGAGATTTGGATGACGCTCAAGTTGATGTTGAAAGAGCCAACGGACTCGCTTCAACTCTTGAGAAGAAACAAAAAGGATTCGATAAGATCATCGATGAATGGAGAAAGAAGACCGATGATTTGTCAGCTGAACTCGATGGAGCTCAACGTGACTTGCGTAACACCTCCACTGATCTCTTCAAGGCTAAGAATGCTCAAGAGGAATTGGCTGAAGTTGTCGAGGGATTGAGACGTGAGAACAAATCACTTTCTCAAGAAATCAAGGACTTGACCGACCAACTTGGAGAAGGAGGAAGATCAGTTCACGAGATGCAAAAGATCATCCGCAGACTCGAAATCGAGAAAGAAGAATTGCAACACGCTTTGGATGAGGCTGAAGCCGCTCTTGAAGCCGAAGAAAGCAAGGTTCTCCGCGCTCAAGTCGAAGTCTCCCAAATCCGCTCGGAAATCGAGAAGAGAATTCAAGAGAAAGAGGAAGAATTCGAGAACACCAGAAAGAACCACGCCCGTGCCTTGGAATCAATGCAAGCTTCATTGGAAACCGAAGCCAAAGGAAAAGCCGAACTTTTGCGCGTCAAAAAGAAGTTGGAGGCCGACATCAACGAGTTGGAAATCGCTTTGGACCACGCCAACAAGGCCAACGCTGATGCTCAAAAGAACTTGAAGAGATACCAAGAACAAGTTCGCGAATTGCAATTGCAAGTCGAAGAGGAGCAAAGAAACGCCGCCGATGTTCGTGAGCAATTCTTCAACGCCGAGAAACGCGCCACCTTGTTGCAATCCGAGAAAGAAGAACTCTTGGTTGCCAACGAGGCCGCCGAACGTGCTCGCAAACAAGCCGAATACGAAGCCGCCGACGCTCGCGATCAAGCCAACGAAGCCAACGCTCAAGTCAGCAGCTTGTCATCTGCCAAGAGAAAGTTGGAGGGAGAAATCCAAGCCATCCACGCCGATTTGGACGAAACCCTCAACGAATACAAAGCCGCTGAGGAGAGATCGAAGAAGGCTATCGCCGATGCCACCAAATTGGCCGAAGACTTGCGTCAAGAACAAGAACACTCGCAACACGTCGACCGTCTTCGCAAGGGACTCGAACAACAACTCAAAGAAATCCAAGTTCGTCTTGATGAAGCCGAAGCTGCCGCTCTCAAGGGAGGAAAGAAGGTAACATAATTTTTTATAAAAGATTTTTTAAATGAAAAATCAAAATTTATAGGTCATCGCCAAATTGGAACAACGCGTTCGTGAACTCGAATCTGAATTGGACGGAGAACAACGTAGATACCAAGAGGCCAACAAGAACCTCGGAAAAGCCGACAGACGTGTTCGTGAATTGCAATTCCAAGTTGATGAGGATAAGAAGAACTTCGATCGCTTGCAAGATTTGATCGACAAATTGCAACAGAAATTGAAGACACAAAAGAAACAAGTCGAAGAAGCTGTAAGTATACCTAATATGAGCAATAGGATTAACCTTAGGCCTTTCCAGCACACTAAAATCAAAAATATTTTGAATTACAGGAAGAACTCGCCAACTTGAACTTGCAAAAGTACAAACAATTGACACACCAACTTGAAGATGCCGAAGAGCGTGCGGATCAAGCCGAAAACTCCTTGTCAAAGATGCGTGCCAAGTCTCGCTCGGCCGCCTCAGTCGCACCAGGACTCCAATCATCCGCTTCAGCCGCCATCATCCGATCACCATCGCGTGCTCGCGCTTCCGACTTCTAAATTCTTCTCAATATCATCTGTGCTCCCCCCTGTGCTCTCTTTCTTTCTTTCCTTTTATCGTTATTTTTTTCTTATAATATAATATACTTCTCTCAAAAAACTTTTTTCTTGTTGTCGAAAAATGCTTCTTTCTCCCGAGTTTCATTTTTTGATTGATTTTTTATAGAATTGATAGTCACCCCAACCTAAAATTTAAAAAATCCAAGTGTAGTTTTGTTAACGCTAATAATAATTACAACTTCACCCCAATCATTCTGTGTACATCAAATTTTTATGTGTTTTCTCTGTTTAGTACCAAATTCTAAGCATAAAACTTCAACCTAAAAGTGTTTTTTTAATGAAATTGAAATCGAATGACGCAAAACAATCAAAATTCCAAAAATGCTATTAAAAATCAAGTGTTTCTTATCAGAAAGTTGATTGTGCTCATGTTTCCTCTACTTTTTCTTCTCTTTCTCCAATTTTTGCCTGTTTCTTCTGAAGATTTTCTAGTAAAAATTCAGACTGAAAATGACGAGGAAGCGAGAAATATCGCCGAATATTATGGTTTCGCATTGAATCGAAAGGTTTGGGCAACACAAAAAGCACGAAATTTTACAGGATAAAAAACGAGAGAGAGAGAGAGACCCAGAGAATTCGAGACAAATTTTTTTGAATTATAATTCAAAAGGCCGTGCAATTTTATAGCCAAAACAAAACAAGTTAATTACAGTTAAAATCATTCGATAACCTCTACATTGTCAGCGAATATTTGGATGATAATTTACATTTGGAGCATATTGTCAGCGAATTATTGCAACATGAAAAAGTGCACATGATTGAGAAATTGGACAATTTTGGGCGATTTGCGAGAAAAGAAATGGCGACTGCGAAAAAATATGAGAACCTGGTATGAATCAACTAAATTTTGAAAATATTATTTACGAAATTTTTTACAGTGGCAATTAGAACCTTCAATGAGAATTGAAGAAGCTTGGAAAACCGGATTCAATGGGTCAAAAGTGACGATTGCAATTGTGGTAAACTTTTTTGAGATTCTCTTTTTCAAAAAAAAAAATGATAAATACAGGATGATGGAATCGATGAATCTCACATTGATTTGAAAAATTCGTTTTCTCCCAATTTCTCATTTGATTTCGTGAAATTCGGAAACTATCCGAAACCGGATAAACGCGAAAATGAACTGTAAGCTTTAACTATTCTTCCATTCTCAATAAGTTCTTCAGACACGGAACACAATGCGCTGGACTTGTATCAATGAGTGGAAATAAATGTGGCTTGGGAGTTGGACACGGCGCAATTTTGGGTGGCATCAAATTGCTTGGCCCAAAACTGTTAAACGATGCTTTGGAAGCCGATGCATTAGCCTTTCAGAAAGACAAGATCGACATTTATTCGGTGAGTTGGGGACCGAAAGATGATGGAATAACGGCAGATGGGCCGAAGCAATTAACATCTCGTGCAATATCTGATGGTTTTCAATATGGAAGACAAGGCAAAGGTAATATTTTTATATGGGCAAGTGGAAATGGCGGGAATTCGGGTGATAATTGTGCGTTGGATGGATATGTGAACAATGAATTCACGGTGAGTTTGAATAATTGTTGGACCGATTTCCATTTTTGATACAGATAACTTTTGGAGTAGTGAACTCTGATGGTACTCCAGCATCCTATGCCGAAGGTTGTTCAGCAGTTTTGTCAGCGATTTCTGGAGGTGATAGTTCAATTGTGAGTTAGGCTGACAATATTTTTGATTATTCAAAAAAAAAATCTTTTAGCGAACTACGGGATTCGATTCTAAATGTTCCCATATTTCGGGATCATCTGCATCGGCTGCAATTGCATCGGGAATTGTTGGATTGGCACTTCAAGCAAAGTGAGTAGCTTATACCTTATACCTTAAACCTTATTAACCTTAAAGGTATCCTTGAATGTTCCAGATATAGAGAAAATTCTAGTACTACCTCAAAAACACAGCCTTTTTATCAAAAAAACCGGAAAAAATACGTTTCTAACTAGATAGTTACGTATTCTGAAATTTTTCAGTAGATAGATTTATTGATAATGTCAATCCGAAAAATTAGAACCTTGATGGCCTAGAAAACCAAGACTACAGTAGACTTTGCGAAATTTACACTCCGGCTATTTGCCAACCAGTTTGATGCGCATGTCATTTATAGTCTACTGTACATACGTGAGCGGCAATTCAAAAATCCAAATTTTCCTTCAGCCCATCACTTACTCAAAGAGATGTTCAAAAATTGATAATCGAATCATCCGACATCTCAAAAATCCACAATATTTCTTTTCAAACAAACGGTGCCGGTTACAATTTTCATCAAAAAGTTGGATTCGGACTTCTTGACGCAGAAAAGATGGTAAAACTTGCGAAAGAATGGAAACATGTTGAGAAACAGAAAGAATTATTGGTCAAGACCAAATTAATCTAGTGAGTTTTGTATGATAAACTACATAAAAATAATACCTTTTTTAGCTCCACAACTCCTCTTATCGAAATCAAACTTTCTGACGAAGTTAAAAGTATTGAAAGAGTTATCCTAAGTATGGATATATATCATGAAACACGTGGAGAATTAAGCATGTATTTGGAATCGCCTCAAGGAACAATATCAGAAATTCTACCGAAGAGAATCACCGATAAGAATGCTAATTTAATTAATTGGAAATTCATTTCTGTCAACTTTTTTGGAGAACATTCCGAGGGCAATTGGAAGATTCATTTGAAAACGTCGAAACCTTTTGTGCTCCGGAATTTGAGTTTGAAAATCACTGGTATTTGAAGTTTTATTTCAATCTACGAAATGATATAAATATCTATTAACAATAACAATAACAAAAACAGTTAAATCTACAACGAAACATCTGATTTCCTAGCATCAAGTGGTAGAATATCTCCATCTTTCATCGATTTCAACGCCGAATACAATTTCCCATGTTTTTTGGAGAGAGTTAATCGTTGAAGACCGTTGAATTTTGTGCAAACATCGCATGTAGCGTGGCCACCGAGTTTTCGATTTTTCAAAATTCTATCCGGCGATGTTTGATCGAGGCGGCGCGGGGATTTTTCGAAAATTATGAAGGTGAATTTGGATTGTTCAGTTCCATCTTTTTCTCTGGAAATTTCAAATTTGGAAAAGCAAAAATTGAAACGAGTTAGCAAAACAAATCGACAAAACAACACATTGAGAAAAGCAGGAAAAAACAAAGTTAGGCATGCATTTTTACACCAAATTGGAACTCGGTTAACAAGGCTACAGTAGACTTCGTGAAATTTTGGAGTCTATTTTCATGCTGGCAATTTGCCAAAAAGTTTTTGTGCATGTCATTTTTAGTCTACTGTACGTGAGCTCCACAGATGATATTTTTCCAGATTGGCAATACCACATTCAGATCATGGTCAAAATTTTCTCCGCAAGCCCATTTCCGGAACAAAATTTTTTGAAAATTTATTTTTTCTGTATCCGATTTTTTGAGTGAGTTATGTATGTGAGTTTTTTGCATGCAAACGGACTGAACAAAGCAATATTTCGCAATAAATAAAACATGCCACAATTTTTTTAAATTCCCATCCCCCCCGCCCCAAAAAATAACTAACCTTTCAGATCGTTTCCCATCCGCTCGAATTGTTTGAAACCTCGTCATAAACGTGCACGGTGTCATAATCCCCAATGGACATTTCAAATCATGTGGACACGGCGCAAATACTGTTGCTTTTGGTAAAAGTGTCGGAATTGTCTCAACAATATTTGGACACAATTTTTCGGCAAGCAATTCATATTTCTCATAATCACTCATACTCGAATTGCGCACAATTTCGATCACATCTTGACTCAACTCATTTTTCTCCTGAAGTTCTCCCAACAATCTCTCAAAATCCACGCAATTCCCGGCTTTCAACAAGAATTCGCGAGCTTCGAGAATTGCAGCGAATGCTGCTGATTGTGAAGATTCGACGAGAATCAAATATTTGTTTGTCTTCTTCCAAAGTTGCTCAATTATTTCGAGACGCGATTCAGATGATCCAATCTCACATAAAACACGGTGTGCAATTACAAGATCATAATTTGTTGATTTTGAAGTTGTTAAACTTCTACGGAATAATATATTCTTTTGGGTGAATGAAACATCTTCCGGATTATTATGATTCTGAAAACCAATTATTTATTTTTAAAATGTATTTTCAAAAAAAAACCCCCCATTACCATAATTGTATCAATTGCAAATCTAGTCATAGAATCCGAAGAATCAACCATCGTGAAATCGTGAATTTTCGCGTCTGGCCATTTTGAAGTCACAGCCCAATACGCTGAAGCCGAACCACAACCAAAGTCAAGAACACTTTGTGGGACAAAATCAGAATCTCGATTGAGTTCTTCTAAACATCTCGAGATTTCAGCATAATTTGGGGCGAAACGAGAAAGCCAGTAAGATGCAGCTGCTTCTTTCGATTGAATATCTAAAGGCTTCCAGTTGAATGAAAACTTCTTCAAAACTTTATCCACTTCATTTCGCATATTATGCCGTTGAGCTTGTGCCTAAAAATTTATTGATTAAAATTTTTTTATCTAAATGATAATATGACTAACCTGACTGCTATCATCATCGAGAATTTCTTCATCGCCGGCTTTTTTGCTCATTTTGATTTTCTGTTTGATTTCATCTCGAACTTTTTTGAGAGCCAAAGGAGATTGTGGAAACTTTCTTTGCTCTAATTGTTGCGTTAATTGGTCTGCTTCATTTTGTAATTGTTTCGCTGATCTTGAACAATTTAATATAGCACTTCGAAGGCCATCCAGAGCTTTTGGTGGAAGATTAAATTCCCTTCGAAATCGTTTTTTCGTGTCGCTCTTTCTTTCTTCTATTTCAAGTGTTATTCTTTTTTGAGAAATAACATCAACCGCAGTTATTTGAGTCACGTCATTTGATTTTATTGATTGATAAGCCGCGTGAGATGAACTAGGTCGAATAAAAACTCGAGAGAACATCTGAAAAATAATATATTTTCAAAAAATACATCGAGAAAGATGATGCAAAATGAAGAGAGCGAAGAGAAACAAATAATGGAGAGAGAGTTGGTTGTAATGAGAGAGTGTTAGACACTCAACAGGAGAAATGCAAGTGTTTGCACCGAAGACGAAAAAACGCACGAAAAAAATTGGAAAAATTGACAGTAATTTTAAAGGAGCACATAATATTTGTTTCAAATTGCTTCGAGACCATATTTTTCATAATACTGTTCCTATAAACTTTGGAGAACTCCCGCCACGATTTGGCTATACGGTAACACAAGAGTAGCTGTGAAAAAATTTGGGATTGTTTTTTTTGGCATTTCGAAAATTTCTCGTGCTCTCGGAGCACAAAAAAGATCGGCAGCAATAAGAAATCGGTTGTTGCTTACATTAGAGATTGGTCCGAAGTTCCCCCAGAATATCGTGTATTTTAAGGCTGCATAGACGAAATAAGGTTTTTTTTCGAGAATTCGAATTTAATTTTCAACGTTTCTAAATCTTATTTCTAGCTTTTCTTTCAGCTCTCTCTAATTATTGTTATATTTATTTTCTTCAATTTTTTTAAAATTTCATGTACTCTCCCCTGTTTTCCCACTCTTCAACTCTAACCAAAAACAATTACAGCTTACTGGAATAGTTTACTAAAACAATTCAACAAATAGTTCGTGTTCTGTATTCTCGAATTTCCTAGAAATGGGTGATGATTCAATCGCACGTCGAGGATGGATCAAACTGGAAATTCCATGTTCCATCCGGTCGAGAATGGGATCAATTATCTCCTGTCAAGAGGATAAAATGTTTCCGGCTTTGCAAGAATATGGAATTTGGGTTCTTTCCAAGAGTCCTGTTCGATTAGTTGAAGAACAAGATTGTGATCCATATTATGAGATCAATTTTGAAGTAAATTCAAAGGAATTCAATGAAAATCTACTCAAAGCGATTCGGAAGTATTTTGATGATTTAGCCAAGGTATTTATGATATTTTTAAATAATTTTGAAAAAAAAAAACATTTTTTTTAGGATGGACTGGTTCCTTTTCAACGTGGAAATTTGGTTTTGCACACTTCAGACTTCTGGTCATCCAGTTTGACGTGGGTTTTTGGCGATTTTCAAGTATACTAATAATTTTCTTTATATTTTGAAGGTGTCACGAACCCGACATTCCACTTGCTGCACTTTATTGGGGAAACATACAAGGTGGAACTTTCATAAATCATTGGGAAGTGTCATTTTGGGATGATATTATGAGACGGATGAATCAGTCGAAAAATGAGGACATCAGAGCAGCAGATCGAAATGGAATCAATCAAATTTTTGTGGACTTTGAGTTCGATAAAACTGATCTAATAACTGTTAACCTCAAACAGTTTGAATCGATTGGTGAGAAAAATGAATTTAAAAGTAATTTAAAATTATGTTTTTTTTCAGAAGTTTCTGATCAAACTCGACGACAACGACAAGAAGTCCTATGTTTTTATCAAATTACAGTCAAAAGAACTCAAATCCGCCGAATTATTCTTGATCCAGTTGTTTGTGATGTTTATGGAACACAACGTTATCGAATCCATTTTGAATTGAATGCACCAGTTTTGATTAGACGAGGATTCTTCACCAAAGAAAAACAAGCTGTTCGTTGACTAGTTTTTTTTAAATTTGAATTTCAATGATTAATTTTAGAATCAAAAACATCAACTTCCGATTTTCCGTCGTCGATTAACTATCAATCGTGGAAGAGCATCAAAACAATATCCAACATCTGCAGCCATTTCAGACAGTCCAGTTTTCACTATCGAATTCGACCAATGTGTCCCAGAAAAAACAATTTACACAATTCTGTCACGACTGAGATTCAGAACTGGAGTTTCGATTGAATTCGCGTCTATGCCAAGTATTGATTGTTTGATTTGGAAAGAGAATCCTTACCATCGATGGACATTCAAACAAGATGGATCACAATTGTCTCCAACAGATTATGAAGCACCAGTTTATCGTGATTTTATTGAAGCGGTAGAGAAAATTAATTTTTTTGGAAAGTATTCGAAAAATTTTATTGTTTCAGGCTTTCCCAAAACGAAATGAAGTTTGTGGATCTCGTGAAATAGATACCAATCGTGAACGAAAGTTCTCAATTACATATCTAATTGAATGTCTTTTATCTCGTGGTGCTGTCGTAAAAGATCAGGTTCTTCTTGACGAAAAAGTTTGGCATCGATTTTTAGAAGTCGTCCTTCATTATTATTCAAGAGATGACAGATTGTGTGAAGCTGGTCTTGAAGATTTGGTGCATATGATTGACGGAAGAAAACGGATCGGATCAATTATAAAATGTTTCGATACAATATGTCAAACTCGCGAGAAGAATCGAATAATCAATGGATTGACACAAGAAGAAATGCGGGAAGGCTATCAACGGGTTCGGAAACTGATCTTCACACCAACACGAGTTATTTACGTTGCGCCAGAAACATTGATGGGTAATCGAGTTTTGCGGCGATATGATCACGATGGTACTCGTGTTTTGCGTATCACATTTCGAGATGATGATAATATGAAAATGAGAACATCAAAAACATCGTCGGCAATTCTAGAGAAAACTGTTGAAAAATATCTTCGCGATGGAATCAAAGTGGCTGGACGATGTTTTGGTTATTTGGGAAGTTCAAACTCACAAATGCGAGACAACGGAGCATATTTTATGGAAAAATATTCGTCGTCACATTATAGAGATTATGTTCGAGACCATGGTTGTGATCCGCCTGTTGATTTTATCCCAAAAATTCAAGATGCTCGAAAGAATCTCGGAAAATTTGAAAAAATTGACAACATTCCAAAAATGATGGCTCGACTTGGACAATGTTTCACTCAATCAAGGGTTTGTTGATTCATTTTTCTAAAAAAAATAAATTTAATTCAATTTCAGTTATCTGGAGTAAATTTGGAACGTCACACATATTTGACAATGTTCGATTTGATTGGTGGAAAAAATTCGAAAGGGTTTGTTTTATTTTTCGAAAAAAAATCAACTATTTAAATATCAAATTCAGAAATGAATACACATTTTCGGATGGAGTTGGATTGATGAGTCGAATTTTTGCTGAAAAAGTATCACAAGTATTGGATTTTGGAAAAGGTGTTCCCAGTTGCTTCCAATTTCGTTTTCGTGGAATGAAAGGAGTTATAGCAATTGAACCACTTCTCGATGAAATACGACGATGGGCAGCATTGAATAAACTTCCGAATATCAGCCGAGATTTATCTTGGGGTGTCAATTGTGTGTTTCGTCCAAGTCAAATCAAGTTTATCTCAAAACGACATCCACGGGATCAAGTTGAAATTGTGAAATATTCATCACCGGTTCCAGTTGCACTCAACAAACCATTCATCAATATTTTGGATCAAGTATCAGAGATGCAATCATTGGAATGTCATCGACGAGTTACAAATCGAATTGAAGAATTGCTTGATAGACAAATGCTACTTTTTGCACAACAAATGGTTGATGAAACACAATGTCGTAATCGATTGAAAGAACTTCCACGAAGAATTGATATCGATTTTTTGAAAACAACTTGGGGATTTACACTTTCGAGTGAACCATTCTTCCGATCTCTTATCAAAGCTTCCATCAAATTCTCGATTAGTAAGTTGAAAATAGTTACTTACAAGGGAATTTTTGATGAAACATATCGAAACACCATGCTGATCACGTCAAAAATTGCCACAAATTTCTTCTGAGCACTTTTCTGGAGCTCCAAAGGTGGAATTGAGTTCTGGTTTTCGTCGATTTTCACCATTTTCCCAGGTGAAAAATCTACTTTTTTAAAACTTGGATAAGGATGTTCACCACATTCAAAACCTGTCAGCATTTTAGTTTATGCGTGTAAAAAATTACAGTTTTCAGCTGCTTTTTGATATTTTTTATAAACTAAAATGCTAATAATGTGGTGAACAACCTTATCCAAGTTTAAAAAAAAAGTAGATTTTTCACCCGGGAAAATGGACAAAAACTCAATTCCAACTTTGGAGCTCCAGAAAAATGCTCACAAGGATTTGTGGCAATTTTCGACGTGATCAGCATGGTGTTTCGATATGTTCCATCAAAATTTCAGAACCTAACCCTATGCACTTCCCTTGTTACATAATTTTTGTATCCAGTAATCTCATATTTTTCCAGCTCGCCAACTTCGCAAAGAACAAATACCGATTCCACACGAACTTGGTCGTTCAATGCTTGGTGTTGTTGATGAAACCGGTCGTCTTCAGTATGGTCAAATATTCGTTCAATACACCAAAAACTTGGCACTCAAACTACCACCACCATCTGCCGCCAAAGAAGTTTTGACTGGAAAAGTTTTATTGACAAAAAATCCGTGCATTGTTGCTGGTGATGTTCGAGTTTTTGAAGCTGTTGATATTCCCGAATTACATCATATGGTAGATGTTGTCGTTTTCCCACAAAATGGTCCACGTCCGCATCCTGATGAGATGGCTGGTTCTGATTTGGATGGTGATGAATATTCGATTATTTGGGATCAAGATATGTTATTGGATCATAATGAGACACCATTTGATTTCACAGCCGAGAAACAAAAAGTTGCATTTGATGAATCGAAAATTGATGAACTTATGCGAGAATTTTATGTGAGATATCTCGAATTGGATTCTGTTGGAACCATTTCCAACAACCATCTGCATTGTTCCGATCAATATGGTCTAAATGCAAAAGTTTGTATGGATTTGGCGAAAAAGAATTGTCAAGCTGTCGATTTCACGAAATCCGGTCAAGCTCCCGAACCATTGCGAGTTGCCTGGACTGAAGACTCGGAAACTGGAGAATGGCTTCCGCCAGAAAGAGCCGAACGAGTTCCAGATTATCACATGGGAAATGATCATAGTCCAGTGTATGTGAGTCCAAGATTGTGTGGAAAATTGTTCAGAGAATTCAAAGCAATCGATGATGTGCTGAAAATTTCGGAAGAACGAGATGAACAATTGGAAATTCCAATCGATGAGACAATTATTGTTGCGGGATATGATGAATTTATGCCAAGAGCTCGCGAAGAACTTGCTCGTTATAATGCTCAACTTCGATCGATTATGGAAAATTATGGAATTCGAACAGAAGGAGAAATCTTTTCTGGATGTATTGCTGATATGAGAAATCGAATTTCGGATAAAGATCAAGATGATATGTCATTTTACAATACAAATCAAATGATCGAAACAAAAATCACAAATTTGTTTAAGAAATATCGTGAAGAATTTTTCGAAGAATTCGATGGAAGCTGGCAAAAACATACTGAACCAACTCAAAGATGTAATGACGAGGCAAACATTATTCAAAGACAATGCAAGAATCCAACAACTGAAATAATGAAAAAAGCTGTTGCTTGGTATCGAGCATGTTATGGTTAGTTTTTTTTTACTCGTATTTTTTATTTATTTTTTCGGTTATTTCAGAAGAAGCTCGACATACTCGTGAAAACAAGAAATTATCATTTGCTTGGATTGTTTATGATATTATCGGAATTATCAAACAAAACGTTACATTGGATGATGATGATGCAGTTATGGGAGGAGAAAATCCATTATTCCCAGTGCTCAAAAATCACCGCGATCAATACATCAAAGACAATCGAGACGCGTTTTCGCAATTCAAACATTTCGATTTTCTCAATGAATTACGAGGAAAAGCAAAATTGGCTGGTGATATCATCAATTTGTATTTCACAACTTATCCCGGACTCGATGAAATTGTATTTTTGTTGTGTGAATGGGCTGATGCTGCCAAATTATTCGATCAAGGACCACTCCAAAAACATCATTTCATTCTACTTTTCATATTATTTGCTACAAAACAATTTGCATCGGTTGATGGAAATGCTAATGCATATATTGAGCAAATCAATGAGAATTCGATTGATATCAATGATGTTATTCCAGATGATGAGAAATCTCGAATGGTATTTGTTTAATTTTACAGATTTATATATATACAATTCCAATAATTTTCAGATGATCAAATTCTTGGAATTCTTGGCATCTCGAAGATTCCGAAAACTGTCGTTCCTCTCCTACAAAGCCATCAAGTTTGATTCAATATTTATGCGAGGAGAATGGCAGATTTTCCATGTTGTAAGTGTATTTTTCTATTCATTCACAAAATCTATCCAATTTTGCAGGCTGCTCTGAAAACATACTACAACATTTTGTTCAATCTACGTTTTGAAGAGCTCCCAGTTTCGACTGATCCTGAGATTACTGTTCGAACAATTATTCGAGAAAACGAACCATTTGTGATCGAATTACCATCGAGTTGTTCACTCAATGAGGTTCTCATAAAATTGAAACAATTCACCGGAGTTGAAGAAATCAGTATGAGACCAATGGAAAAATCGAGAGGAGAGATGAAGAAAGAAAATAGTGAGTTATATATTGAATAATTCGAATATTTCAAAAAAAAAATGTGTTTTCAGTTCGACTCCTTGTTTCAACGCGTGGAACACTCGAATCTATGTACAAATTGAGACAATTGGTTGCTGTAAAAGTGAGTTTGGAAGATATGAAAATTCGGAAATTTTTGATAAAAAATTAAAAATTTTAGTGTAAATGTGGAAAAAAAGATCTCAAAAATTATGATAAGGGCTGATTCACGAACGAAAAAAAAGTTTTAAAATGTTTTTTTCTAACATTGAAAGATCATTTCACGAAAAGTCAAAAAATGTCGAAGAAACATTGTAGGTCAAAATTAGTTTTTCAGTCAAAAATGATGACAAATCGATATTTTTCAAGCTTCTGGAGTAATTTCTGATGAAAATCAGCTTCGAGAACCCTATTTTGATTTATTTTATGATTTTTTCGAATTTCATCAAAATTTAAAATTTTTTTATTTTACGAAAAATCAGCAAAAACTTCTGGAAAGTGAATTCCAAGGTCAATTTTAGTCAGAAATTACTCCAGAAGCTTAACAAATATCGATTTGTCTTCATTTTTGGCTGAAAAACTCGAAAAACTAATTTTGACCTACAATGTTTTTTCGACATTTTTTGACTTTTCGTGAATTGATCTTTCGATGTTAAAAAAACATTTTTTTTCGTTCGTGTATCAGCAAAAATTGGAAATGATTTTCAAATTAAAAAAAAACGTTTTTGTTTCTACAAGCAAAGAAAATTGCGAATTAGCTTCAGAAGGAAAATTTGGAAATGATTTTCAAATTATGACGACCAAGTTCACGTTTCAATGTTCAAAAATTCTGTTTTTTTCAGGTTCCAATCAAAACCTACGTGACAGTTCGCGAAATTTCGACTCAATTGGCTCGTTTGTGTTACGAAAAAATCATAAGTGGTACATTTAACACTTGATTCTCCAACCTGTTATTATTATTCCCCCTTTTTGTTCTGTTTTTGTTTTTGTTTTATTTTATTTCAATTTTTTCTTGCCTGTATCTGTATAGTAATCAGTAATAATTTTCTAGGCTAACTGTCAATATATTTTTTTGCATTTTGAGAAAGACGGTTCAATAAATTGTATGTTTTAGAATAGGAAATCTTTCATTTTCTTTCAGTAGCCGTTGCCAATCTAATTCTCGTCTCATTCAATGTATTATCAACAATATTATTGAATAACATCATTTCTCTTGCAAATTTCATAAATTCCATCTGATGTAATTTTACAATACTTGTAACTTCATCGATACAACCTTGAATTTCACTGCTCTAAAAATCATTTTTTCTGTTTATTTCATATTCTAATTTTTAAATACTCACCTTATCATTGAACGCAAAAATCATCTTTTTATAAGCTTCTCCTCTTTCTTTAACTTCTTTGTTCGTCGATGCCGATTTTAGCTGAAATTTTTTTGTCTGAAAACAATTTTGAAAAAAAAAACTAACATGATGTCTTGTGTCATCAATTCCATGTAAAAGTGATTTGATATGCGCATAATTCTCATTCAATTTCTCCGATTCTCCACTAGTATACAATCGCATTTTTCGAATCAATTGATTGCGGCTCTTCTTCTGCGAAATCCTCTCTTTTGTCGCAATTTTCCCAATCGCCAAACTATATCTTTCCAATGCTTTTGCGGCTCCGCCATCGAAATGATATGTGCTCAAATAGCGCAACCAACCACCAATCAGTTCCCAAGGACTTGACTCTTTTGGATGTTCGATTTTGCCGTTTTGAAGAACTTGGGGATCGAGTTGGATTTGAGCTTCACACATGTCGACGATTTTGAAAACTATTCGATGATAGGTTATCAATTTACCAATGTTGCTCTGGAAATTCGAATTTGCCACGTGGATTTTTGCCAAAAAAAAACATGATTTTCTGAAATTTTTGAAAAATGCCACGTGGAATTCTCAAAATTCCTTGTTTTCTGAAAAAAAAAATTTTTGCGAAGCAAAAATTTTGTATCTACAGTAATCCAAGGATACTGTAGACTTTTCCCCGCGCTTTTTGATCTACATTAGTTCAGAACTTGATGGATTACTGTAGGCACCTTTTTTTGATCTACAGAAATTTGGAAACTTGGAATTTCTGTATCTACAGTAATCCAAGGGGTACTGTACATTTTTTGGTCCATATTAGCTCAAAACTTGATGGATTACTGTGGCACATTTTTTTGATCTACAGGAATTTGGTATTTCTGTATCCACAGTAATCCAAGGGGTACTGTACATTTTTTGGTCCACATTAGCTCAGAACTAGATGGGTTACTGTAGGCACTTTTTTTTCCTACAGAAATTTGGAAACTTGGAATTTCTGTATCTACAGTAATCCAAGGGTACTGTAGATTTTTCCCCGCGCTTTTTGATCTACATTAGTTCATAACTTTATGGGTTACTGTAGACACCTTTTTTTTGATCTACAGAAATTTGAAAACTTTGAATTATTGTATCTACAGTAATCCAAGGGGTACTGTAGATGTTTTAGCGCGCTTTCAAAAATTTTAAAATTTTGTGCAAGAAGATTTTTCTAGAAATTTCCATTTTTAAAAAAATCTCAAATTTTTGGCTGAAACCTCAAAATTCGGCTCCAATTTCGTCCACTCAACAACTCCAACTTTTTGTCCAACTTTCACGAATAATCGATTCATAATTCCAGCTTTTGCCGCCTTTTCAGCCGCTTCGGCCGTCTCTTTTTTCTGAAGATCTGTTGAATTTTCTGCAAGAAAAAAAAAAAGGGATTTCTAGGGTTTTTTTTGAGGAAAATTTCAACTCACTTTCCATTGAAAACGATTTTAATGAAAGGGCTAGAAAAGAAATGGGGGGATTTTTGAATTTTTTTGATTTTTCCGAAAATGTGGAACACGTGAAAAAATAGAACACGTTTTTTTTGAAATTTTGAAATTTTTAACAAAAATTTGACAGAAAAATTGCAGCTTGGTCGAGTGGTCTACACGTCTGCCAACCGTTTGCACAACCATGGTTCGACCCCACCTGCCGCCTAACTTTTTTAAATTTTTTTAAATTTCCGATAAAAAATGTTTCACAATCTTTGCTCAACCCGCATTTCCGTTTGCACTTCAAGAATTTATATTTTTTTCATTTCTGATAACAATTTCAGCCGCTCAAAGTGAACCCAAAATTCCGACCAACAAAAATTAATATTTTCCCAAACACACAAAAAACCGTCAAATTCTCACGATTAATTGTATTCCATTCATGTTACGCCATTCCGACAAAAAATACACTTTTTTGCAAAACTTTTATAAATTTCAAAAAAGTTCCCACTGGGATTCAAACTCGGCAAAATCTCGCTGCCACACTTCATGTGCGCGCCATAGACCACTCGGTCACGCGTTCACGTTTTTCTCCAGGCTATTTTTTGCAGACCATTTCGTTCTCCCAAAAATCCTATATTTGTGCCGAACAGTGTCCAAAACCCCGCCTTTTTTTCAAACATTCCATATTTGGTCAATTCCTTCTCCTTCTTTTTTCTTATCATTCAAAATCATATCTTTTTTGCGTGCCCACATTTCTCCACACAAATAAAAATGCACCAAAAAGTGTGTTGTTACTATTTGAGAGACTGACTCATTTCAAAAATTGTATTGTTTTCATTTTTCTTTTTGTCCTTTTGTATCTAGCTACTAACTGATACGTCAAACCATCTGTAGTCTCTAAAATTTGAAAAAAAATGATTTTATTACAGCTGTTGATGGGAACTATATATCTAGTGCTGATTTTGGCACTAGGTTATAATAATTCGGTGCTTTCACAAATCCCCGATGGAAAATCGACTTCAATTGTGGCAAAACGGGTATTTTTGAAGTTTCCTTCTTCATATATGAATCTCACTTCGGAATCTTGGAAAACTCAAGGTAAATATTATTTTATTTAATTTTGGATTGGCATTAGATGAAAAAATTTGCTTTGTAACGCTGAAAATTCAATTTTTTTCAAAAAGTTCCCACTAGGGTTCGAACTCGGCAAAACCGCGCTGCCACACTTCATACGCGCGCCATAGACCACTCGACTACGCGTGCACATTTTTCTCAATCCTTTGTTTCGCACAACATTTCGCTCTCCAAAAAAATCTAGAATTCAGAAAAACCACACAAGACAATATTTATGATGCATATCTTCTTAACAACTGTTTATTTAGTGAATTTTAATCGTTTTTTTTCTGCTTCGTTTGGAAAAGGGAAGAATATTGATTGAAGTTTTTTATCAGTTTCGAAAAAAAAGTTTGGAAAAGGGATGGGAATTTGAGGAGATTTCAAAGGTGGCAAAAATTTTTTGATCTACCTAAATTAGGAATAAATTTGATCTACCTAGAATTTGAAAATTCCAAAATTTTCCAGAAAACGACGATGAATTGATCCTCGCTCTAAATTTCCGACCAACCAGTCCAGTCGGTCAAATATTCAGTGTTCGATTCATCAGACCAGACGGGATTCTAGAAGCCTTGGTAAATTTTTTCCCCAATTTTTTTGGTTTTTTCTCAATTTTTCCTTCCTTTTTTCAGCTTCGAGTTACAATTGTGGACGAAAATTTGAACATCAATTTGTATAATTCAGAAGGTTTGGAGGTTCTCAATAAACCGATTTCCAATTATAAAATTAGTGAGTTTTTAGAAAAAAAAGAAAAAAAGTTTGCCTCGACGCGGGATCGAACCCGTGGCCTAAAAATTGAAAGACAAGCGTGTTTACCACTCGGACACCTTTGATACATATGTATATGAAACGAGGAAAATTTTTCAAAAAAAAAAAATTGCAGGGACCACCGAACAAAATATATTTCTTGGATTGAACACAACATCTCGAAAACTATCATATCGATCCAGTCGAGAAAATGAATTCATCGCCGAAATCACACAACAAATTGATATATCGAATCGTGAAATTGTCGTAACTCTCGGAGGTGGAAATCCATCAATGATTGGTTGTGTTTCATTGGTCGCAGTTTCTGTTGGAGACAGAAGTTTGGTGACTGATGTGAATATTATAGACTCCAAAGATATTGATGAATGTCCACAGAATGATGGTTGTTCGACAAGAGATTGTGGAGAGGGAATTTGTAAAATGTTGGAAGTTGCCACTTGTGATTGTTATCTTACTGAAATGACTGGACCGAATTGTAGAACACGTGGGTTTTTATGGCTTTGCCTTGTCTCGCTGAAAACCGTGAAATTTCCTGAATTCACGAAAAAAAACAGAGAGAGTGTTGCGTGTAGAAGAGACGAGGAGAGAGAAGCAGAGAAAATGAGAGAGATAGAAACGGGTAAGAGAGACGGCAGACAACTCGACATTTTTCGTTTTTTCACAAAAAATTTCTAAAATTCTTCATTCTTGACGAGTCTTGACCAAATTTTTCGAAATCTTTGCTGCAAAAGATGGACAATTCTTGAGAATAGAGATGGCAGAAAGGGAAAACCTTTCTTAAACTTTTTTAAATTTCTTAAACGAAAACTTTTCTCCAAACACCAAAAAAACATTTCTTTTTCCAGCCGGATCTTCTCTCCGACTTCAAAACAACGATGAAGAAGCTGATATTTCCGACTACATCCAATTCACCCCAACAAATTCATCAAAACAAATCACAAGAATCGCAATGACTTTCAAATTCGGCGATCCGGATGCAAAAGAAGGAATTCTAATATTTGGCGAAACGAGTTTATCAAAAATATTCAAAGTTTACGTGGTTGGCAGGAAGGGTACTGTAGTAATTGGTGACGAGAATATTGTGGATTTTGATTTGGCACCAAATGACGAGGAATTTCATACAATTATTATTCGATTAAATGATACAAGTTTTGGAATTTTAGTTGATCAACAACCAACTCGAAAACGAATTGAGGAACCCATTCTTTTCGAAACTATTCAATTTGGAGCTGCAATTTCGAAAGATGATGGAGTTACTGAACTTGGGCTAACTGCTTGTATTAAAGAAGTTTATATTGATCATATGGATGTTATTGATTTACTTCATCAAAATGATCCAAAGGTTTTTGCAACACAAACTGAACCTTGTTCTTCTAGTGATTCAAGTGATATTAAAGGTGTCACAATGTTCGAACCTGATCCAATAATTCCACTTTCAACTGATGAATTTGAAGATCCGATCAAATCCGGAAATATTTTCCCAATACCGGTTTCAGATTCGAATACAAAACCTCCAAATTCAAAATCACATTCAAATTGTGATCAGGCACAAAGAACAATGTGTTTGAATTCGGCGAGTTGTTCGAAAATCGATGAGAATAATTTCAAATGTTTGTGTCGCGATGGTTTTGTTGGGAGATATTGTCAGTTTAGTATTTTGCCGAAGTCGTGTTCGGATGCGCGCGATTTTTATGATCTTCCGAATGGTCCGACGAGAATTGATGTTGATGGAAGTCACAAAATTGAACCTTCGATTGCGATGTGTATTGATGGAACGTTAGTTTTTCATCGGGTTTTTGAGAAAACATATTTATGACGTGGCAAAATTGTAACCTGGGTCAGAAATATAGTTACAGTAACTTTTTGAGGCAAGATCCACGTGGAATTTGGATTTTTTTCAAATATTTCATAAGACTAGGTTTACTTGTGTAACATAAGTTTCAGAAAATAATTCGCACGTGGATTTTATTTTTGCCACGTGGAAAATCTTCATTTTGAATTCTCCAACTTAAATTTAATTCAAAAAAAATTAATTGCCACGTGGCAAAATTTCAAATTCGACTAGGTTCACTGTATTTCAATTTTGGGTTTTAAAATAAACAACAACAAAAATAATTTTCCACGTGGATTTCAAATTCGAAAATCTAGTTTTCCTGGATTCTAAAATGTGAACTGCCACTTGGAAATCTGAATTCACCAATTTGAATTTAATTTTTAAAAAATTGATTGCCACGTGGAAAAATTTCAACTAAAAATGCTCAAATTTGCCAGGTTTACTGTATTTCAACTTTGTGTTTGAAAAAAACAATAAAAATAAATTGCCGTGTGGAAAATTTTTTGATTTAAATTCAAAAAAAAATTAATTGCCATGTGACAAAATTTCAAATGCTAAATTAAAAATTGCCACGTGAACTTTAGAAATTTTGGAAATGAATTTCAAATTTTCTCAAAAATTCCACGTTATCCAGAAAAATATTTTTTTGGGAAAAATAAATATTTTTGCAGTACAATAGTTCCACACGACATGAAAAATCGGACAACAGTTCGAGACGTCGGTTTTCAAGAGCACTCATTATTCGTTATAAGTTACCGTGATTTCAAATCTCAACAATTATCCAAATTAATGCAATACTCGATGTACTGTCAACAATCAATCTCATATCATTGCAACAAAGCTCCACTGCACTTTGAAACCGGGCGAACGTGGTTCAAATCGGTGGTGAATTCGACGCGCAAAATTCGACAAATGTCGAATTTGCCAAATTCTTGTTCGTGTATTGATGGAGGATGTATTTCTGGAGGTAACTTTTTTTTGAAACTTTTTTTGAAAAATTTTAATACTAGTTCAATTTTTCACTCGCTTCGGATATTATGTTTCTCATAGATCAGCGATTATTAGAAAAAATGGAGATCACGATGTTCTGGAAAGTAAGAAACATGGGAAACTTCTGCATGCCTCTCTCTAACTCTCTCATTTAAAAAATTCTGAAAACAAATATTTTTTCCCTTAGGAAAATGCAATTGTGATTCTGGAAGTATCAGTCAAGACGATGGATTGTTGCAAAATTCAAACGCGGGAATTGTTGAAATTGTGGCGTTGAGAAATGAGGATGATGTATTTGCGGATGTCACATTGGGAAGTTTGGAGTGTTCGGGATATGTGGATATGAAGAAACCGATTCGATTTGTTGAACAAACTGAGATGGAGGTAGGGAATTTTGCGGGAAAAATCGATTTTTTGGATAGAACATGGATAAATGTTCATAAAAACAAGTTAAATATTATAAAAATCGATTTTTTGGACAGAAAATGGATATATGTTCATAAAAACAAGTTTTAATCTAAAAATATTATAAAAATCGAGGGAAATCAAGGCGAAAAGCAAAGATTTCAAAAAATTTGGTTAAGAATGAAGAATTTTAGCATTTTTTTGAAAAAACGAAAAATGTCGTGTTGTCTGGCGTTCTCTCTTACCCGTTTCTATCTCTCTCATTTTCTCTGCTTCTCTCTCCTCGTCTCTTCTACACACAACACTCTCTCTGTTTTTTTCGTGAATTTATGGGCCTATGCAGAATGATATTTTGTAATAAAAAAACATTTTTTCCTATGCAGAAAAACGTCGAAAAAACAAAATATACAGTTTATCATTTTGAGTAGAGACAACGTGAAATTGAGAGAGTGCAGACAAAAAACCCATTTTATGTCTGCGCTCTCTCAATTTCACGTTGTCTTTATTTTGTTTTTTCGACGTTTTTCTGCATAGGAAAAAAATGTTTTTTTTATGTTTTTTTATTACAAAATATTATTCTGCATAGGCCCATTAGGAAATTTCACGATTTTCATAGAGGACATCGAAGATAGAGAAAGAAAAATGAAAACCACATTTCTGCACGATATTTTAAAGGGTGAACCAAAAAAAACAGAACAGCGATGCTCGGAAACATGACTCATGTTAAATATTTAAATTTTCCAGATTTCCTCCTGGACTGGCGAATCAATTGATATCCAATTCCGAACAAATAACATGACCGCAACAATAATCGGAGTTCGCGGAAAAAACGATGAAAAACTGATCGAAGTTGGACTTCTCGATGGAAATACAATTCAAATAATCCACCTGGATACAATCAAAACAATCGAATCGCAGAAAAAATTGAACGATAGTCAATGGCATCGAATTATTGTTGAATTATCTGGAAATGAGTTTCGGTTCAGTGTGGATGATAAACATATCGTGTTTTTTGCGCATGAAGGAGCGATTTTTGACGGAAATGTTATTTTGTCAAGTTCTCAGAAGTTAGTTTTTTTTTCTTCAAACATTTATCATCAAAAATATTTCAGTGGATTGATTGGATGTTATCGATCAGTTCGAATCAATCAAAACTCCATAGATCTACAAAAATATATCTCCGATTCAAATCCATCCATCAAAAACAATTGTGACAGTCACTGTTCACTCGAGACCTGTCAGAATGGCGCGAAGTGTTACGAAGATTTTGTGGTCGGAACTTCATTTTGTCAATGCGCTTTTCCGGGTGTCCATTTTGGCAAGAATTGTGAGATTGATTTGAATAGGAATACATCGGTGGCATTTCACGGGGGACATTTGAAGTTCAATGAATTTGAGGATGTGTTCACTTCTTCGATTTATTTCTCATTCCGAACTGATCAATCAGCTGGATTGTTGTTGTATGCGCATGATCAGAATTATAATTTTATTCAGGTATGGTTTAGTGGGCATCGGAATGGGAGCCTAACACTAATTAAGCCTAGACATAACCCTAAGTGATCATAGGGAGTAGGAGAAGCCTAAGGTCCTAGTTAAGCCTAAGACTAAAATCCTAATTAAGCATAAGCAAAACGAAAATAGGCCTAATTTTAACCCTGAGTAAGCCTAAGCCTAAGCCTTATTAAACATACCTAAGCCTAAGATCCTGGCTAAGCTTAAGCCTAAAATCCTGGTTAAGCCTAAGCCTAACATTTTTTTTAACAAGCCTAAGCCTAAGGTCCTGGTTAAGCCTTTAGTTAAGCTCTAACTCTAACTAAGCCTAACCTAAGTAAGCCTAAGTCTAAGATCCTGGTTAAGTCTAAGCAAAACGAAATTAAGCCTAAGCCTAAGATCGTGGTTAAACCTTTAGTTAAGCCCTAACTCTAACTAAGCCTAAGCCTAACCCTTCCCAAGCCTAAGCCTAATAAAAACTCAAATTTAACCTAAGCCTAACCAAAAAATATTTCAGGTAGCACTATCTGAAGAAACAAATATAACACTAACATTAAATAATCTGAACATTGTTTCAAAATGTGTTGTAAAAGCTCAACAAGGAACCGAATTCGGAGATATGCGATGGATTCAAGTTGCGATAAGTCACACAAAAGATTCATCACAACTTCAAGTCAACGATCTATCGTGTACAATTCGAACAACCCGCGCACTTTCTATGATTCCAATCATGAAATTCCTGAATGTTTTCGATTCGAAAATCGTTCAGCCGCCGATCGGACTCGGTGCACAACCAGTGCCGACACCTTATACAATCACATTTATCGCGAATATTGATGATGGAAATAATCGGGGTTCGGATGGAGCAGTCGCATTGTTGCCTAGATATCAATCATCGATTCCTGGATTTTTGGGATGTTTGAGGGGACTTCAGATTGATGGAAACGCTGTGAATATTCGCGAGAAGACTGAAGAGTTGTCGGATAAACGTGGGTGGATTTTTCTAACAAAAAGTCACAAGCGAACCTAGAGATCATAGCTGTCAAGTAGCCGCGCCTAGAGATCATACTCAGAGATTCGCTGGCCAGCTCGCCACCAGGTGGGGAGGCTGGCTGACCTGGGAACCACATGGAAACCATGTCGCCCGTTTTTCGCTGGCAAGGTGGCCAGGCTCTGGCTAGGTCACGGCCACATGGCTACCATGTGGTGGCCACTTCGCCGCGTCAAAATGAATTTTCATAAAAATGTCTGAAAAACTTGTGAATTGAGGCATTTTTGAAAAATTTGGCTCATTTTCTGTTTTTTCGCAGCACTTGAAACCTTAGGAAGTGAAAAAAACAGTAGAAAATGCAGTGTTTTGAGTACAAATCACTGTCTTGCCAGCTTTCCAGAATTTCAAACACACAGGCCACGTCGCCGGAAAACTCGAGGCGACCTGGCGGCCATGCGGTTTCCAGGTGGCGAGCTGTTCCAGGTGGCGAGCTGGCCAGCGAATCTCTGAGTAGCTAGCATTTTTTAACAGTGTTAAAAAAAATAAAATATTTTTTAACAGTGTTAAAAAAAATAAAATATTTTTTAACAGTGTTAAAAAAAATAAAATATTTTTTAACAGTGTTAAAAAAAATAAAATATTTTTTAACAGTGTTAAAAAAAATAAAATATTTTTTAACAGTGTTAAAAAAATAAAAATATTTTTTAACAGTGTTAAAAAAAATAAAATATTTTTTAACAGTGTTAAAAAAATAAAATATTTTTTAACAGTGTTAAAAAAAATAAAATATTTTTTAACAGTGTTAAAAAAAATAAAATATTTTTTAACAGTGTTAAAAAAAATAAAATATTTTTTAACAGTGTTAAAAAAAATAAAATATTTTTTAACAGTGTTAAAAAAAATAAAATATTTTTTAACACTGTTAAAAAAAATAAAATATTTTTTAACAGTGTTAAAAAAAATAAAATATTTTTTAACAGTGTTAAAAAAAATAAAATATTTTTTAACAGTGTTAAAAAAAATAAAATATTTTTTAACACTGTTAAAAAAAATAAAATATTTTTTAACAGTTCGCTGGCCAGCTCGCCACCTGGAACAGCTCGCCACCTGGAAACCGCATGGCCGCCAGGTCGCCTCGAGTTTTCCGGCGACGTGGCCTGTGTGTTTGAAATTCTGGAAAGCTGGCAAGACAGTGATTTGTACTCAAAACACTGCATTTTCTACTGTTTTTTTCACTTCCTAAGGTTTCAAGTGCTGCGAAAAAACAGAAAATGAGCCAAATTTTTCAAAAATGCCTCAATTCACAAGTTTTTCAGACATTTTTATGAAAATTCATTTTGACGCGGCGAAGTGGCCACCACATGGTAGCCATGTGGCCGTGACCTAGCCAGAGCCTGGCCACCTTGCCAGCGAAAAAAAACGGGCGACATGGTTTCCATGTGGTTCCCAGGTCAGCCAGCCTCCCCACCTGGTGGCGAGCTGGCCAGCGAATCTCTGAGTATGATCTCTAGGCGCGGCTACTTGACAGCTATGATCTCTAGGTTCGCTTATTTTTTAACAGTGTTAAAAAAAATAAAATATTTTTTAACAGTGTTAAAAAAAATAAAATATTTTTTAACAGTGTTAAAAAAATAAAATATTTTTTAACAGTGTTAAAAAAAATAAAATATTTTTTAACAGTGTTAAAAAAATAAAATATTTTTTAACAGTGTTAAAAAAAATAAAATATTTTTTAACAGTGTTAAAAAAAATAAAATATTTTTTAACAGTGTTAAAAAAAATAAAATATTTTTTAACAGTGTTAAAAAAATAAAATATTTTTTAACAGTGTTAAAAAAAATAAAATATTTTTTAACAGTGTTAAAAAAAATAAAATATTTTTTAACAGTGTTAAAAAAAATAAAATATTTTTTAACACTGTTAAAAAAAATAAAATATTTTTTAACAGTGTTAAAAAAAATAAAATATTTTTTAACAGTGTTAAAAAAAATAAAATATTTTTTAACAGTGTTAAAAAAAATAAAATATTTTTTAACACTGTTAAAAAAAATAAAATATTTTTTAACAGTTCGCTGGCCAGCTCGCCACCTGGAACAGCTCGCCACCTGGAAACCGCATGGCCGCCAGGTCGCCTCGAGTTTTCCGGCGACGTGGCCTGTGTGTTTGAAATTCTGGAAAGCTGGCAAGACAGTGATTTGTACTCAAAACACTGCATTTTCTACTGTTTTTTCACTTCCTAAGGTTTCAAGTGCTGCGAAAAAACAGAAAATGAGCCAAATTTTTCAAAAATGCCTCAATTCACAAGTTTTTCAGACATTTTTATGAAAATTCATTTTGACGCGGCGAAGTGGCCACCACATGGTAGCCATGTGGCCGTGACCTAGCCAGAGCCTGGCCACCTTGCCAGCGAAAAAAAACGGGCGACATGGTTTCCATGTGGTTCCCAGGTCAGCCAGCCTCCCCACCTGGTGGCGAGCTGGCCAGCGAATCTCTGAGTATGATCTCTAGGCGCGGCTACTTGACAGCTATGATCTCTAGGTTCGCTTATTTTTTAACAGTGTTAAAAAAAATAAAATATTTTTTAACAGTGTTAAAAAAAATAAAATATTTTTTAACAGTGTTAAAAAAAATAAAATATTTTTTAACACTGTTAAAAAAAAATAAAATATTTTTTAACACTGTTAAAAAAAATAAAATATTTTTTAACACTGTTAAAAAAAATAAAATATTTTTTAACACTGTTAAAAAAAATAAAATATTTTTTAACAGTGTTAAAAAAAATAAAATATTTTTTAACACTGTTAAAAAGAGTCTAATTGTCTAGGGTTTACACCTAGACTTCCACCCTGACAAGAAGCCGCGCCTAGAGATCATAGTTATCAAGTGGCCACGCCTAAAGAATTTTATTTTCTAGGTCTAGCCCCTTGAAAGATTCTCCGCCAAGTAGCTGATCCTATAAATCCCACTCGATCAAAATTTTCAGAATCAGTTCGAATCGGTTGCGATGTTGGATGTGAATCCATAACTTGTGCAAACGGTGGACATTGTTCAGTGGCGTGGATCAACAATGATCCAACATCCCAAAAAACATCATGCGATTGTTCGCGAACAAGTTATTCCGGATCACAATGTAGTTTGGATGATGGAATCAAATTCGAAAATAATGAATGGTTTTCGTTTGATATTGGAGGAGTTTTGCAGCCTTATGAGAATATGAAAAGTCGCGAACCGCAATTATTCAAATTCGCATTTTCTGTCAAGAATTCGAAGTTGAAAATTTTGAAAAAACAAAGAATCGCAAGTATTTTATTGTATGATGATCGAAGTCTTGAAGTTGAAATTCAACCAAATCGAACAATTAATGTTATTCTTTATGGAAATAATCGATATATTCCGGATGTGATTAATTTCGATGGTGATTTTGCCGATGGCTATCGACATTTCTTTGTCGTGCAATTTCATCCAAATCAAGCAACTGCAATTATGCTCGATTCATTGAGACAAGATTTTCCATATCAGATGAATAATTTCAATCTGATTCATGCAAAAACTATCAGAATTGGAGAAAATTCATCCGATTCTTATGATGGTTTCGAAGGATGTGTTTCAAGTAAGTTTTTCTCTTCTCATAAATATTTGGGTGTGCGAAAAAAGTGACCTGCGTGTCCGAGTGGATAAGTAGTTTCGTTCTCAATCTTTTGACCCGAGTTCGATTCCCCATTATCGCAAATTTTATTATTATTTTTTTCTTAAGATCTTCTTATCGATTTCCAATACGGTGGACTTCTCCATTTCACACCGATCGCATATTTGGGAATTCCAAGCCATCACCTCCATCGATTTGTAACCACATCTTCAGAAGTTGTGATCTTGGGTGGATGTTCGCCATTCCAAGTTCCAAATTCTTTGCCGGTTTATCGGAATCGTGTTGAGTTTCCAGTTTGGGAAACCGATTTCCGGCGTCAAATTTATCACGGAGACATCGAGATGTTTGACGATGACCAGCCGATTTTTGAGGAGACTTATAATAACTCGCTGATTTGGCTGCTTGTTATTTGTATTATTCTGTTTCTTGTTGCACTTCTGGTTTTCTACACGTTCATGAAATGCTGCAAAGAACAAGTTCATACGAGTGAGTTTTGATTGCGGACTGCAAGGTATACTGTAGCCTCCGGACTGCAAAGAGTACTGTAGCTTCTGGACTGCAAGAGGCATCCTCATGGTTACTGGGGTTGCATAATGTTAAGACTGCAAGGGTTACTGTACTTCAAACTACAAGGGTACTGTAGCTTCAAACTGCAAAGGTTTCTGTAGCTTCTGGACTGCAAAGGGAAGCTTCAGAGTTACTGTAGCTCATCATTTTACTGTAGATCCCGAACTGCAAGGGGAAGCTTCAGGGTTACTGTAATTCATCATTTTCGGACTGCAAGGATTACTGTAGTTTTAAAACTGCAAGGGTTACTGTAGATCCCGAACTGCAAGGGGTGACTCCAGGGTTACTGTAGTTCATCATTTGCAGACTGCAAGGTATACTGTTCCTCGAACTGCAAGGGTTACTGTAGCTAAGGGCCATCGGAATCGAACCACCTTCGATTTTTTCCAAAATAAAAATCAGAAATTTTTTGTGGTGCTCCCATTTTTTTTCAAAATTCAATCGTTTGTCCGCAATCGAGACTAATTAATTAATTTTCAGGAGCCACTCCATACAGTGTTGATGAAGAAGGTTTCGAAGATGAGCCATTGACAAAAACCCGATATCGACCACCACAACCAAGTCCACCACGTAAGAATTCTCTTTCTCTCTGGATTTCCAGATCCAGATTCAGAAGATCTCCTGATTTCAGCGCAAAAAAAATCAGCTCTGAGCAACTACCATCTGCCCGATCCAAATGTCGATTTCAATCGGGTAAGTCTAACGGGTAAAAGGGAGCATGTTCTTTTTTCACTGAATGCTTGCGTATGATAATCAGGATGATGATCATGCGCGAGCCGTCAGTCTCACTTCTTCGGGTATCAGCGGGTATTTCACTGCTCAGGAATACAATGATCGGGAAGAGGAAGAGGAAGAAGAAGAAGATCGAGAGGATGATGAAGGATATTCGAAATATCCAGATGATGAAAGTGATAGCGAAACAATTCGACATATTGATGATGATTCGATGGAGGGAGATATGGTTTTAGTGTGAGTTGTTTAGGTGACAAAATTTTAATTAATTATGATGTATCCAATTAATTTTGTAAAAAAAATGAGAATTTTGATTGAATTTGAACAATTTCGTACTTGGAATTCAAATAAGAAATATTCTGATCTTATATTAAAAATCATAAAAACCTTTTTCAATTTCCTAAAATCTCACAATTTCCAGAGAAATCCTTTTTGAGTTAAAAATTTTTCAAAATTCGAAAATGCCGAATTTTTCACTTTTGTTTGATTTAAAATAAAATCTACATCTTTTCCCACAAAATTTGTCTGCATGCTTTCATCAAATATTTGGTAGGGCTGAAAATTAGTTTTTCGAGTTTTTCAGTCAAAAATGATGACAAATCGATATTTTTTAAGCTTCTGGAGTGATTTTTGATGAAAATAAGCTTCGAGAACCCTATTTTGCTTTTTTTGAAATTCATTAAAATTTAAAAAAATTTTATTTTACGAAAATTCAGCAAAAACTTCTGGAAAGTGAATTCCAAAGTCAATTTTCATCAGAAATCACTCGAGAATCTTCAAAAATATCGATTTGTCATCATTTTTAGCTGAAAAACTCGAAAAACTAATTTTGACCTACAATGTTTTTTCGACATTTTTTGACTTTTCGTGAATCAGCGCTAGTCCAAAAACTAATTTTATTGTCAGCATAAAATTTTCTTTTTCTCGAAAAATGTGCTTGTTAGAAATGAAAACCAAAGCCAATTTTCACCCAAAATCTGTTCCTCACCCATATCCATCCATTGCTCATATTTGCAGCTCGAGCCCCTCTCAAATTCGCCACGTTCCTCGTCGAGTCTCATCATTCCGCTCAAGCGACTCAACCGCTCCAATCGACAGTCCACTCTATACAAAACCAACGAAACCAGCTAATTTGGTTCCCGTTCCACCTCCTCGAATCTCACCAAACTAAATAGTCAGTGAATATTAATTTTTCAAATTTCTTTGCTCTAAACCTCATTTGGAACGTGTAAAATAAAATTTTTTTGAAATCAATTTATGAAAAATTCAAAATCAAATCGATGTTTCTTGTGCGGGTTTAATTTCATACATCGCAATCACATGTTTCTTCGCAATCATAGCTTGTCCAAGCCATCGAGTCTCGCCTTCCGGCCATCTTTCGTCCGACTGTAAAATATTTATCATACAAATGTCAATAGTATTATCTATGGATGGTGTTCAATTTACCGGAGATGACTAATATTTAAGTGTAAATAATGGAAAGGGAGTGTGTCATCGATATATTTATGATATTGTTCGAAAAAAGTGCAACTATGTATAAAATAGTTAGAAATATTTATGTGGAAAGGAGGGGGGACATGAAATTCAAAATATTGAAAATTTTTCCCCAAAAATATTTTTTTCAGTTTTGATTTTTCGCTTGATTTGTGCAAATTTCCATCAAAATCAGGTGAAAATCAATGAAAACTACAATTTTTCGTGAAAAATGTTTCCTGAAATTCAACTTGAAAAAATTTATAAATTTTTTTTTGAAATTTTAATAAAAATAAAATGTGGTAAATTTCACACAGAATTTTCATATGAAAAAACATTCTTCGGAATTTTCAGGATTTTATGAATTTTAGATTCTAGAACTTTTTAAAAATCAGGTTTAATTTCAAAAATGTGTGAGTTTTGGACATTTTTTTCTGAAATTCAACTTGAAGAAAAATGTTTTTAATTTTTTTTTTTTTGAAGTTTTAATAAAATTTAAATATGAAAAATTGAGATTAGAAAAAAAAAATTTAATTTCCTGAAGAAAATTTCGCAGCTGAAAAATCACTCCAAATTTTTTCTGCTGAATCGCAAATTTTCTGGGAACAAAAATTCAGGTTTCTCAATCTTCCGCTTCAAAAAAATCTAGAAGTTTTCCAGATTTTCCCCCATTCAAACCCACTTCATAAAACAACATATTCGCATCTTTATCCGTACAATTCAAAGTTCCTCTAATAATTCTGGTATCAGTAAGATGAATCTAAAAAAATCCATTTTTTCTCAGGCTAATTACAAAATTCAATCTTCTCACCTCATATCGTTTGCTCAAATATTCTCTCACTTTTTTGCAAGCCTCACTTTCCTCTTCTTTTTCTTCAACAACAAGAGTTTCCGCGATTTGAAATCCATCGTCTTCGTCTGCCAACATATCTGAAATTCCTATTTTTTTTTTAATTAATACACAAAAAGAAATTTTAGATATTTTCAAAAAGTTATTAAAACTTAGCTCAACTTTACCCAAAATTTCAAATAAAACTTTTTTATTATGCAAAGGCCTCAATAAATCACAGAAAGCTGCAATAATCACTAAAAAAATTGGGCAAGATTTAAAAAGAAAAATATGAATTATTTACAACACCGTGTACTTAAGTTAAGTGAAAATTTCCTAGAATCTAGTAGTCACAACATCTTCATCAGGAGATTCGGGGGATTTTGTAGAGGATGATAAACCAGCGGGTCGAGGTGGTGGAATTGGACGATTTCCACGTGGATTTGAGGAAGAAGATTGGGAAGAAGTTGATGGGATTGATGTTGAAGGAAGTGGAGACTGCAATAATTTTCAGAATTTTTATTCCATTTTGAACAGATTTTTTTAAATTCAGAAATTAATTTTCAGAGAGAAGAGAATTTTTCTCGAAATTTTTGGCTCCAAATTTTAACAAAAATAATTTTGAAATTTCCCAATTTTTTTCAAATTTAAAATGCCACGTGGCAATTTTTTGTCAAAATTCTGAATTTTTGGTCAAAACATCAAAATTTCTGGAACTTTCCGATATTGAACAGATTTTTTCAAATTCAGAAATTAATTTTCAGAGAATTTTTTCTCTCGAAATTTTGAGCTCCAAATTTTAACAAAAATGATTCAAAATTTCCCAATTGTTTTTCAAATTTCAAATGGCACGTGACAATTTTTGTCAAAATCCTGAATTTTGGCTCGAAAAATCGGAAAAATTGAATTTTTAGGCTAAAACTTCAAATTTTCTGGAATTCAAAATTTTCTGAAACTTTTATACTGATATTTCAGATTTTTTCAAATTTGAAATTCCACGTGGCAATTTTCGTCAAAATCCTGAATTTTGGCTCGAAAAATCGGAAAAATTGAATTTTTAGGCTAAAACTTCAAATTTTCTGGAATTCAAAATTTTCTGAAACTTTTATACTGATATTTCAGATTTTTTCAAATTTGAAATTCCACGTGGCAATTTTCGTCAAAATCCTGAATTTTGGCTCAAAAACCCAGAAAAAATAAATTTTTAGGCTAAAACTTCAAAATTTCAGGAATTCAAAATTTCCCAAATTTTTTCAATACTGATATTTCGGAAAATCAAATTTTTATTCAAGTGCCACGTGGCAATTTTTGTCAAAATCCTGAATTTTGGAGTCAAAACTACAAAATTTCTGGGATTTTGAAATCCAAGCTTGTCAGAATTTCTAAATTCCAGGGTCTCTTATTCCCTAATCGATTATTCCAAACCCTAAAATTACAGAACTTTCAGAGTTCGCGCTGAAACTTATTTCTGAAAAAGCTATTGACAGATTATTATGCGAACCTTGTTATCTCGATCCGTAAACGCGTTTTTAATCCATTTGACGAAGCGCGACATTCTTCCCTTTTTCTAAATTCAAATTCTATATTTTTGTTCTCAAAACCTATTATCCCTCTTTATTTTTCCCCCCAAAAAAAACAGAAGAAAAACCAACCTGTTTGGTCAAAATTGGAGTCTCAAAATCATCTTCTGAAGCAGCATTGGCCTTCGAAAAGCTAACAGTTTGTTGTTTGGGTTGCATTCTGACTCCGGACGAACTGCAAATTTTTGAATTTGAATTTTTCGCCAAAAAAATCCCCAGAGAAAAACTCACGGTGTCAAATCATGTGAATGATTGTTTCGCGAATGAATTGGCTGAAAAAAGATTTTTTTTATTAGGAGAATATTTGCAATTTAGTTTGGAAAATCAATTTTTTTTTAATCTGAATTTTTCATATTTAATTTTTATTAAAAAATTAAAAATTTTTCTTCAAGTTGAATTTCAGGAAAAGTGTCCCAATATCATAAATTTTTCAATTTAAACCTGAATTTAAACAAGTTCTAGAATCTATAATTCATGAAATCCTGAAAATTCCGAAAAAAAAAAATCTTTTTTTCGAGTTTTTCAGCCAAAAATGATGAGATTTTTGAAGATTCTTATTATTAATTTTTGAAATTCAAAATTTTTTATTTCCCGAAAAATTGGCAAAACCTTCTGGAAAATGAATTCCAAGGTCAGTTTTAATCAGAAATTATTCCAGAAGCTTAAAAAATATTGATTTGTCATCATTTTTGGCTGAAAAACTCGAAAAACTAATTTTGACCTACAATCTTTTTTCGACATTTTTTGACTTTTCGTGAATTGATGTTTCGATGTTAAAAAAACATTTTTAAACATTTTTTTCGTTCGTGAATCAGCCCTACTAACAGTTTGTGTAAATGACATTGACATGAAAGAAGATGCAACTGAAATCCCATCAAGATCCGAAGGTCTTCGAATCATTTCGAAATCTGAAATATCGTTCAGCGAATCGTTGATTTCGATGATTGGTCGAGAGATTTCGGGAAGTGAGTATGGATATGCAGAGCTGTACTGAAACAAAATTTTGTTCTGAAAAAGATTCCAAATTTCCCATCAACTAACACTCTCAGGAAGATCAAAATGCTGTTTCCATTCGCGATTTTGCAGTCTTCTCGAAATTTCCAACATCTTTTTGTCAATTTGATGCATCTCCTCCAATTCTCCAGAATTCTGGAGATTTGCGGGAAGGATCCAGCGAAGATAGCATTCTTTCCAGATTTGAACGTCGAGAATAGTTGTGGGCGGGCGAATTATTTCCACTTGCAGATATCCGACAGAGTTCAGTCCGATGGGTTGTTCTGGAATGATTATGGTGAAAAATTGAGGGTTTTTGGGGGTTTTCTGAAAATTATTTTGTAACAGTAATATTCTCAAGTTAGCCCAAATTCTGAAAAAAAAACACTTTCTGAATTTTTTTACAGAATTTTCTGATTTTTGACACAGAAAAGACACAGTGCTGGATTGGATTTTCCAAATTTTATGATTGTAAAAATCTGGAAATTTTCCATTTTCCCGGTTTCGGAAAAATTCAATTTAGCCTCAAAATTCTCTGATTTTCTAAACAGAAAACGAGGATCTTCAAAAAAAAATCCGGAAGAAATTTAAAAGAAAACCAACTTTTCTTCACCGAATCAATAAAAACCAGCACATCATTGTGAATATTCCCAAACAAATTGATATATTGATTATCGAAATATGCTTCCAATGGAAATGGTCCTCCGCTGACTTTACACGTCAATTGTTCCTCAACATTATTGCATGAAAATGAGGGAACCAGGCCAGTTAGCGAAAGATCCCATAAAGCGATGAGAAGATGTTGCGAGAATGAAAATCTGAAATTATTTTCAGATAGATTTCTACGCACAAGGGAACTGTTTAAACTTTCAATCTAGATTTTTAATAAAATATATATATATGTTTTCCAGTAGTTTTCAACCCGCTGATCACGATTTTTCTGTCTAAAACTGCAGAACTCAACTTCTAATATGAGTTATAACGTGGCAAAATTCGACAATTTCTGAAAATCGGGATTTTGGGAGCTGGAAATTAATTATTTTTAGGCAAATCTGATATCATTTTTTCACTTCAAAATTAATTTTTTTTCACTCAACAAAAATATTTTTCAAAATTGATCACCTATTGACTTTGGCCTTCCTAAAAAACCCTATGATATCAGATTCGCCTAAAAATAGTTAGTTTCCAGCTCCTAAAATTCCGATTTTTTCAAATTGTCGAATTTCGCCACGTCATAACTCATATTAGAAGTTGAGTTCTGCAGTTCGGAAACTACTAGAAAAATACATTTTATTAAAAATCCACGAGTGAAAAAAGTTCCCTTGTTAAAAAAAAGAAAAACTAACTCATAAGGATGTAATCGATGAAGTTGTGCAACACAATCCAAAAATACAAGAAATGTTGGAAAAACCAGCGTCTTCCCGCCATTCTTCCGATCATCCTCCTCATCTCGCCCTAAAAGTCTCTGCCCAAATGGGTGCCCTAATGAAATCCACATTTTATCCAAAAGTTGTCGAAATCCACTTGTAGTTCGATAAAATGGATCACAGCAAATTTGCACAAGACTCGCAACAATCAATGACATATCTCGATTATCATTTTCATACAAAATCACAGTTCTTTGCCAATCAATGATCCATTTGATAGCTTCATATGTTGCTGATAAACAAGATCGGATAAGATGCAACCAACCGGTTCGATTTAGTTTCAACACCCAATTTGATTCAGCTTGCACGTATTGCTCATATGAATCAATTGCGCATAATTTAATCAGATTATCATAAGCTCTCCCAACATCTGTGACAAAATTCGAATCAAGATGAATTGCATATGGTTTTTCAGCTTTATCATGACATCTTCCGATACTCTCATTTAATTTCGCCAATATTTCCGGTGTCGCAATATTATTCTCATGTTCAGCAGAAATCATCAAACTAGCCGAACTTCCAGTTTTTCCCCAAACCCATATTGGCAATCGACCTTTTTTCCAATTCTGCATCAATCGATTAATATCATTTTCTGATAAATAATTGGGGACAACAAAATACATTGGATATCCTTCAGAACTATATGATAAACCTTCCTTGTGAACCGCACAAATTCTCCAATTCGATGATGAATCAGTTGATATTCCACACCTTTTCAATTCGTTTTCCCAGGATTCATAGGTGTTGAATGGGATTTTCTGCCCGCTTCCTTTGTCTTTCAAAACTCCTCCAACTTGAATCATTTTGCCGATTAAAAATGATTTGGAGAAAACGAGAATTTGATTTGCCAAATGTGTTCCGTGTTGACTTCGATGCAAATCAATTGTAACAACTCGAAAGTCTTTCAAAATTAGACGAATCATTGAAATGACTTCCATACTCGAATAATTATATTCCATTTTTTGGAACTTCTCGGGTTTACTGCGATTATTACTTTTGAATGGTGCAATCATGATTTTAGCAATTGAGCATAGTGGAATATCATAAAAATCATCGAAAACTTTCGATCTTCTCGGTAGATCTCGTTGTTTTCGAACAAGCGGGGTGAATCTCAATCTTGCTTTTGTACATGCTATTGTTCCTTGTTCGCTTTCGCCGAATTGCATTGAAAATGACACGCCATATCCGTAGAAACTTATTATTTCGTCTGAAAAATGTTTTTGATGGGGGGAGTGTCGGAAGATGGTCTGAAAATTAGCCAAAAAATTCTACGTTTCAAAAAAAGCAGAAAAAACCGAGAATATTTAGAGCTGATCCTTTGTATATATACTTATAGGAAAAAAATATATTGTCATTCCGAAAAAAAAAACCTTGGAAGAGAACCCAAGTGGCCTAGGAAACCAAGACTACAGTAGACTTCGCAAAATTTTGGAGTTTTTTGAAAAATAAAATGCGAAATTTACACGCTGGCTATTTGCCAACCAGTTTGATATGCATGTGTCACGTCATTTTTAGTCTACTGTACGCGAGGGCCAATTCAAACGGGGGTTCTTTTATTTTCGGAATGACAATAGAGAATTTGACTGTTTCAGAAAATTTTGAAGAAAAAAAACCAGAAAATGCTACGTTTCAAAAAATGCATAATTTTATTGGGAAATTTTCAAATCGATTTCAAGAAGTTGGTTAATTTTCGAAAAGAGGTCTGAAAATTAGCCCAAAAATTCTACGTTTCAAAAAAAGCAGAAGAAAACCAAGAATATTTAGAGCTGGTTCCTTGTACAAGCTTTTGAACATACTTATCAAAAAATGCATGCTTTTTTTCTTGGGAAATTTTCAAATTGATCGATTTTCCAAGTTTTTTTTGGGACTAGCTTTTCATCCTAGTCCCCGTGTATTTTTCAGAGTTTTCGCAATTTTTTCAGAATTTAACATGTTTCTAATATAAATACCTGGTAAATAATCTATACAATGTTCAAATAAAACATTCGACGCGTTTTTCGATGATAATTGCCCATTTTCATCATGTACAGCTGCAACTTTTGGCTGAAAAATCATAATTTTTTTTTAATTTTATATCATAAATTTTTGGATCTTACCACACTTCCCCCATCCAAATCAACGAAACTCGTAAAATTCGACATCTCAACACAACATCCTGAAATTTATTTCTGATTTGATTTGACTTAATTTGATTAGAAAAAAAAAGAAACAAATATTAAACAGTGTTACGATAACACAAAAATATGAATAAGAAATTGAAAAAAATAAATTTATTTGATTTTTTCACAAGAATGGGGTATTTATGCTGTCGAATAAGTGAGATTACATGAAATTTTTTGAAAAAAAAACACACAATGGCATGACAAATTTTCGATTTTCAAACAACAATTTGAGCAAAAAATAATAATCGAGAGAGAGCGTGAAAAAGTGAAAACATATAAAAATAAGAAATAAAATTCAGGAGGTGTGCCTAAAATATTTTGGTATAAAATAAAATAAAAATGACTAGATTTTTTTGCTGCGACAAAAATGAATCACACACTTGTTCGTATTATTGTGGAGAGCCGTTGAAGAACCTGAATGATTTTTGTTATGAAATCCAAAATTTTTCCAATTTTCCAATAAAAAATAATGGGGTGATTCAGATTTTCAGAAACAAATTATATTTTAATAGGGCTGATTCACGAATGAAAAAAATGTTTTTTTAATCATCGAAAGATCAATTCACAAAAAGTAAAAAAGAGTTTTTCAGACAAATCTAGATTTTTAAGCTTCTGGGTAATTTCTGATGAAAATAAGCTTCGAGAACCCTATTTGCTTAATTTTACGAATTTTTTCGAAATTCATCAAAATTTAAAATTTTTTGTTCTACGAAAAATCAGCAAAAACTTCTGGAAAGTGAATTCCAGTATCAATTTTATTCAGAAATTACTCCAGAAGCTTAACAAATATTGATTTGTCATCATTTTTGGCTGAAAAAACTAATTTTGACCTACAATTCAAAACATTAATGATTTTTTTTAAATCTAAATCACCAGCCAAAAAAAAACACAAACCTGCGTAAAAGATGGTCGATCACTTGGCTGAAGTGCCCAAGTCTCATTCATCACTTTGAAAACTTCAGGCGGACATCCATCCGGTGATTCCATGCGATATCCACGTTCAATGTGTCGAACAACATCTTGAATTGGCTGAAAATCAGGAAAATTTTGAGGATGAGCGGGAAATTTGGGGGAAAACAACTGGTTAATTTATGGATTTTTTTGGGGGGAGAAAAGAGGTATCGATCGACAAGGGAAGTTTTATGGTGTAACTTTGAAAATTGATGAGCTAAAAGTTCTGATAATTTTTCCCTAAATTTTCAAGTTATACCAAAAAACCTCCCCTGTTAGAGAAGTAGGAAAACACACAGAGAAACCCAACAAAAAAAAAATAGATTTTAGAAAAATAGAAAAAAAGGGACAGAAAATAGAGAAGAATGCACATACCGAACGACCATCGGCACCCTGAAAAACAACAATCACAACAATAAAATGATAACAAACACAACCCAACAAAAACAAGGGAACCAAAGTATATCTAATCATAGACAAATAACTAAAAAATAAATAAATAAAAACTCACAATTCTTGGATAAGGAACTCTTCCGAATGAGAATATTTCCCACAGTAAAATTCCGAATGACCAAATATCACTCTTTGTTGAGAATTGCTGAAAACACATTAAAATTTAAAATATTTTCTGCTAAAAAATACACTCACACTTTGTCGAAGAGCTTCTGGAGCCGTCCATTTGATTGGAAATTTGCCAGACGATGAATCATTTGAAACGCTGTTTGCCTTTTTCGCCAATCCAAAATCGGATACTTTTGCCGTTAGATCTTCGTCGAGAAGAACATTTCGAGCCGCTAAATCGCGATGAACTATTTGACGCGATTCCAAATAACACATTCCTTGGCAAATGTCACTGCAAAACAAATTCAATTATCTTTTTTAAAAAATCTTACAAGGGAGTAGTTTTCACTTTAGATTTTATATGTTTTCTAATATTTTATTGATCTCGATTCCGTCATCTAAAATGTCAGACTTCATTTACCTAATGAGTTATGGCATGGAGAAGCTCGAAAATTTTGAAAAATCGTGATTTTAGGATCTGAAAACTAGATTCAAAAATAATTTTCATGCAAAACTTGTTCGACATGAGAAGACTTCCTCGTTTTGATTATGTGATCAATTTTAGAAAATTTCTGGAAAATCTTTCGGATTTTTGAATGAACCAAATGTTTTTTTTAATCTGAATTATGTTTTTCACCGAACAAAAATATTTTTTTAATTGATCACATAATCAAAACACTAAGTCTTCTCATGTTGAACAAGATTTGCATGAAAATCATTTTTGAATCTAGTTTTCAGCTCTTAAAATTTCGATTTTTCGAACTTTTCCACTTCATAACTCATCAGGGAGTTAAGTTCTATAATTTCAGACAGCGGGATCGTGATCGGTGGGTCAAAAACTACTAGAGAACAGATTTTATTATATTTCTAGAGTAAAACAGTTTTTAAAAAAACTTACATCGCAAACTTCAATAATTGATGTTTCTCTAAACTATGTCTTCCACGAGATCTCAACAAATCCACCAAATTCCCATTTGCCATATATTCAGTTATCATATAAACATTCACATCGTCTAAAACGACACCGACCAAAGTGACCAAATTTCGATGCGACACCCCGCTACAAAAATGTTTTTTTTTGAAGAAATTCAGCCAAAAAACTTCAACTTACACCATGAATTTAGCTTCATCAAGTAACGAGTCAAGCATTCCATTTCCGTGTCGTTTCGAAACTTTAACAGCAACTTTTCGATTCCGATATTCGCCTAATAAAACATCTCCAAATTCGCCATGTCCAATTGTATCTCCCAATATTATTTCATTTCGTGAAATGACTAGCCCAGCATTTCGGAAAACCGATGTTCGATCTTCTAAATCAACGGCAGACGAAGAAGAGCCAAAAGACGAAGAACCATTTGATGGAAATTGACAGGAATCACTGATTATTGGAGTTACTAAACGATGACAAAGTCCATCCGCGTCACGTTTATAATGCTGAGAAAAATACAATTTTTTTTGAAGAAAAAAAATAAACAAATAAAATTGATTATTTTGGAAACTAACCGATACGAGTTGCGTCAAATTCGAAAAATATTCTTCATTATCACAAGTCAATTGTCCCCCGGATGTTTGATATATTCGATAATGTTCAACTTTTCCGCGATATGACATGGAGAGTGTGAAATCACCGGGGAAATTTGTGGATTCACGCACCAAAAATGTTCCATCAGGTTTGTTATTCAATAATCTATAAAAAATTAAATTTGGTTTATCTATATTTACAAGGGAACATTTTTTACTCAACACTTTAAATTTCGATGAAATTTTGTCAGCTTTTGGGGTCATAAGAACACCTTAAAAATTTTAGGACCTCTGAGTCAAGTTCTGGGCTCTCAAGCGTTCAAAAATTGATGATCAGCGTAGTTGATTTATCCAAAAAGCATCAATGAATCGAATTTTCAAAGAAAATTTTGAATTTGGAAAAAAAAAGAATGAATTTTATATGAATTTTCATGGATTTTCAGCCGAAAAATAAAAAAAATTTCTTACAAAAATTAGACAATTTTTTCGAAAAATTTTGAAGTTTTTTATTTTTCTTCTGAAAATTCATGTGCATCTGCTCATTCTTTTTTCCAAATTCAAAATTTTTTCTGAAAATTTGATTTATTGATGCTTTTCGGGTAAATCAACTACGCTGATCATACATGTTTTACCCCTGGATTTATCCAGGGTTGCGGTCTTACTAACTCCGAAAAAATTTGAGGTCCTACTAACTTTTTTTTTTTGAAAATCGATTTTTTTGAAAATTTTTTTAATTAGTTATCATCATAAAGTTTTGAACATGAAATAATTTTTCGATTTCAAAATTGCTCTAGATTATGTCACGAGGTCCACTCTTACTCATTATCCAAAATAAATGCTTTTTCTGAAAGATCTAGTGAGACCGCCGAATCAAAAACTATCGAAAATCTACTTTTTTCATCAATACACCACTTTTATCATCATAAAGTGTTGAACCAAAATTGATTCTAGCATCTGAAAATCGTTCTAGGTTATGCCACAAGGTCTATTCTTAATTATTATCCAGAATAAATGCCCTTTCTGAAAGGTCTACTGAGACCGCCGGCTCAAAAACTATCGAAAATCTACTTTTTTCATCAATACACCACTTTTATCATCATAAAGTGTTGAACGAAATTTGGTTTTTGTATCTGAAAATCATTCTAGGTTATGTTACAAGGTCCCCTCTTAGGTATTATGCAAAATAAAACCCCTTTCTAAGAAGTCTACTGAGACCGCCGGCCCAAAAACTATCAAAAATCTACTTTTTTCATCAATACACCACTTCTATCATCATAAAGTGTTAAACCAAAATTGATTTTAGCATCTGAAAATCGTTCTAGGTTATGCCACAAGGTCTATTCTTAATTATTATCCAGAATAAATGCCCTTTCTGAAAGGTCTACTGAGACCGCCGGGCACTTATATAAAATTCTGGATAAAATCCAGGGTAACCCTGGATAAAATCCAGTGGTCTCAACTATTTTCCCCATGCAGCATTGTTTATCAATTTCATAGTTCAATATACCTCAATAGGACCTCTAGACACACTGTGCAAATTTTCAAGTGAAAATATTAATTTTGACATACTTTTCTAGGTTTTGAGTTTTCTGATAATAACCAATTTTCAACATTTTCGAATGGAAAAAAGTATTTCATCGTATTTATTCATTGAAGATAAGCTTTTATATTGTTGTATAAGGTCTAAAGAATTCGTCATTCAATTTACAATTCAATCCATGATTTTCTTCTATATTTTTTTGAATAATTGAATGTAAAATACAAAAATGTAATTTACTGTTTGTGTTTTTTCTATCTCTCAAACGCATCCTATCCAAATGAGAAAAACAGCATGCGGGTTATGTGGGCACACATAGCGCAGTGGTAGAGCGCTGAGTTAGGGACCCAATGGTAGCTACCATAGGGTTCGAGTTCACATACTGGAAACGTGTTGCAAAATTTTTCAATTTTTTTCGAAAAAAAAATAAAAAAATTTTTTAGTGTGGGAGGCTTTTGCCCCCACACTAACGGTCTTACTAACTTTGAAAATTTTTATTTGAGGTCTCGCTAACTGTAGGGGTCGATCCAGGGAGAAAAACATGTATGACGCTGATCATCAATTTTTGAACTTTTGAGAGCCCAGAACTTGGCTCAGAGGTCCTAAAATTTTTAGAGTTTTCCTATGACCCCAAAAGCTGTCTTTGGACAAAATTTCATCAAGATTTGAAGTGTTGAGTAAAAAAGGTTCGTGGATTTTTGAAGCAAAACGTGAACTAGATTTTTTATGAAACGTGGAAACGTTTTTTTTTTCAAAAAAAATCCTCCCCAATCCCCTCATTTCTCAATGCAATTCCCATAAAAAACAAACTTCTCAGTTTTCTCTCGAGTTATCATCGAATGATACCATGGTTGATTATGTGTCGCTGTCGAATGATGTGACGAAGATGTTGAGGAAGTTGTTGACATTGGCCCATTTTCACAGCCTCTCAATCTCACTGATCCACTATTATTGTCCAAATATGATGATCCCCCGTTTTTGATCATTTTCGCTACAAAATCAGCGTGCACTAGGCCTTCTTCGTGGTTCGAATTTTTCGCGCGATACCAAAGAGGGTCCTAGAAATATTCAGGTAAATTAAGATTCAGTTAAAATTTTCAAAATAAAACCTACAGTTGTAGCGCCAACAATTCGAACTTGTTCATCTTTTCGAAACACAAGATCTCTTGCTCCTAATCCATGCGAATAAAACGATGGCGAAACAGTTCGAGTTACAAGAACTTCATTTCCCGGGGAAAGCAAATCTTTATGATGATTTGCATTCAAAGTATTCATTCTTGAAGCAGAAGAATGTAATGAATGTGATGAGCAAGAAAGTGGAAGAGCAGATGAAGTTGAAGTTGAATTGAAATAACTATTGCCGTTACTATTCATGGTTTGGATAAATATTCCGTTGGTTATGAATTCGTCGATTATTCGTTCTGCTGATGCATGTCTTTGATGTCGAAAATAACGGCTTAAATCAACTTCTTCGGCGATTGATAAATCACTACAATCAGATGGACTTGAACTATTGCCACCAAGTGAATGGGAACGCTAAAATATTATTATTAATTGAAATCGAAAATATGAAGGAGGTTAAACCCGCGTGATTGAATTAATACGATATGGACAACGACTTCGGAACATGATTATTCGGAGAAGAAACTATATAGTGATTTTTTGAGGAAAAAACGAAGAGGTTAGGTGAAATATGATATTGGTCAGTTGCGAAATTTATTTTATTTCATTGTTTTGTTCTAAAGCTTATCGTCTAAAATCAATAACTGGTTTAGTTCAAAAACTTGTGGAAAAAAACTACGGATAAATATAGATATATTCATTTTGAAAAAAACCAGAAAAAAGACAAGGTGCGTTGAAGTGGCGGTTGGTAGTGGGAAAAGAAGAATAGACATCGAATAATAGTGTGGAGAAAATGAGAGAGCGCAGACAGATTATAGGTCGAATAAGAAAAAGGGGGGAGAAATAAATATTTATTGAAGAGAAAAGGAAGGATTGGTGTTTTTCGTGTTTGACTTGGAACTAATTTCAAATGTTAACTTTTGCAATACTTTGGGAATTATTTGAGAAGCTTGGAAACGTTTAAACAACACACAAAAAATTTCGAAAAAATAAAAATACTTGCGCGTCAATTAAAATGTAAATACGTGAACTTGTGCAAACACACACGCGGCAAAATTATCGAATTCAAAAACGTGTCATTTTTATTTTTTTTAGCAAACGGAAAACAGTTATATTTGGAAGAAAATATTGGCTCACAGCTATTTGTTTGAACATTGTTGTGTTTATTGATTGATTTGCGGACAACTAAAAGGAAGGATTGGAAAAGATTGTAAGCTTGGAAAGTGGAGGAAAAAGAGGAATTTGAATAATTGCACGATTATTAAAGGCTTTGAATAATGGGAAAAGTCAAGGTCTATGTGGATTATTTTTTGCATTTGTTGGTAAGTTTTTTTTTTGAAACTTGAAAAGGGGTCAGAAATTAGAAATTTGTAACAAAAATAGTCTTCGACATATCCTAAATCAATTTTTTTTTGTTTGAAAATATAATATATTTTCCACCTGATAATTTGGCTCTAAAAACCAGTCCTTCCAGAGTTTTCCATTTATTTCCAGTCGCAAATTGTTACTACAACCAGTAAACAAATAAATCATCAGATTTTATAGTAGTATCAGATCGAAAAAAACAAGTAATTTTTATGTGAAACTTTATGACCATCTTAATAGATTTTAATCAAATTAAAATAAACTGGAACTCTTTTTTCATTTCAAATTAAATCATCGTCAACTTTTTTTCTTTAGTGAAACCGTTTTGTCCTGAATTGATGTTTGAAATATTTATTTTCTCTACCGGATATTTTCAAAAATTTATTTGTTTTCCCACACAACGTATACTTTTGGCCATTTTTAAGCTCATCTCAAATTTCTATAATCTTTGAACATTGAATTATCTTTTTCTGTTTGTATATATACAAAAGTTTCTGATAAAAAAAGATTCGTGCAAAAAAAAGGTTTGTACTTTTGGAAATTGTTTGTTTCTTCACATGACTGACTGAAAATTTCCCATTTTTTTGCCTATTAACACTCCTTAAGAGTATATAAAATGGTATCAAACTAGAAATATCGGATCATTTTCTGCCTTCCTTCAAATGACATCTGTTTTCTTTTTGTGTTCATCGACCAATGTCATTTTTCATGCCATTTTCTCATTTTTTTCATTGCAGATGAGACCTTTTGATTGATGTTCTTCTCCAGAAAAGGGCTCTTTAGAATCAAATATTCTTGGCGGTTTTCTTTATTTGAAATGTTCTTTTTGGTCCTTCAAAGAATTTTTTCTTGAAAATTTAGGAATTTCTGGCTTAAAACTAGGGAACAGCTGAAGTTTATAGAACTTTCTGATTTTTTTTCGCCAAATTTTACAGACGGGTCTCGCACCGACTGACAAGGTTACCGTATCTACTTGAGAAGGCCTTTTTTCGCCTTGTCATTGTTGTTGCTCAGCCATTCAGATTAAAGGCGCATGCTGAAGTACGGTAGAATCTGCATATCTAACTCGATTTTCTAAAACCAACAATAATGTTCAAGGGACAAGATTTGGATTTGCAGGTTATACGGTAGTATGTTCCTTTAATCTGACAATTCTATTTTTATGCATTTTTGAATTTTCTTCGATTTTCACTCAGAAGTTTCTTTTTGAAATTGTCCCCCAAACCATTTTCGTCCAGAATTTTGATAATAAAAAGTTTTTCCCATCGAAAATATTATTTACGTGCGAGAAATCCATTAAAACTAATTATTTTAACGATTTTTCTATGTCTTCTATTTATTTTTTATTATCCTCTAGTGATCAAACTACTCCGGATAATTCTCCAAAATCCGTATTTAAACTCCACTCTATTTTTTTTTCTCATTTCTATAAAAAGTCAGTCAATCCATTACATAAATGCACTTCCTCGTATATTTTCGAGTAGTGAGTGCATTTTTGATGAAATAAACATGCGTTTTCATCTCTTCTTTTTTCTTCCAAAATCAAACTACAAAAATAATCATACTGTGCAAATAATTAGAGTCCAATAAAACAATATATATATATATATATTCCCTCCGATTATTTTTCATACGGTTTATAAATATTATTTTTTTTTTGAAATATGATACAGAAAGAATAGAATCTCTGTGAGGTCGATTATTTTTGGTTTCACAAATCATTTCTGTTTTTAGAAATATATAAGTATCAAATTTCTATAAGCAAAGCAAATCAAAGCACAAAAAAAATAATTGATAAATATAGATTTATATATATTTTGCAACAAAAATGTAATCCTCTTTGTGTTTTTTCCATGTTCAAAAATTGATTGAACAAGTCTACATATATAATAAATATTTATTCAGTATGGCTTCATCGTAGTGTGTTTTTTGATGATCTCAATGATACCGTGTTCTTTTTTGCTTACTGTTTGTTAGGCTCTTGAAAGTGCTAATTGATAGATTTGCTCAACTTTTTCTCAAAAAGATAATATTTACGATTTGTGTCTGTTTAGACAAACTTATTATATACATACACCTACATCAATAATTTTATTGACCGGATTTTGAAGGTTTTTCGAATTGGACCAGGTCCGATTCGAAAAACGAAAAAAAATTATGTGGCCGAGCAATTTTGGTGGCCGAGAATTGTCGGGAACTCGGCCAACAAAATAGTTCTTTCATTTTTTTTTCTGAAACTAGTATTCTCCGCCCGTAAAGTGAAGCTTGTGAGATTCTCAGGGTTGCCGATATTACAATTTGTAGGGGAAATGCCAGGGTTCCTTTTAAAAACCCCCGGGGCTTCCCGTTACACTTTTCCGGGGAAGTACTGTAGGGTTTGCATGTAGTGTTTTCTGTTTAGTGCATTCAGGTTTTTCAGCGTGTTTGCGGATTTTTTCAAGGCATATTTTTTTCTCTGAAGGTTGGGATCTATGTTTGACTTCAATTGATCATTCAAAATTCGGCAAAACTTCAACAAAAATTCACAATAAAATTCCCCTTTTGATTTATTTTGTTTCTACCACGAAATTATAAATTATTCAGAGTACATTGATTACACAAATTATTTCGTTTTTATCTTCAAAAGTACACTGTCTTTTCGTCTGTTGCACTCTTTTCACTTTTCTCATCAAATCGAAAAGAAGAAGAAAAAGAATTGATCAAAATTGAATATAAACAGATAAAAGTTCACATTTTATTTTTGTTGACATTCGTTCTTTGATCGTTTTTCTTTCTTCTTCTTCTCCAATGATGAGCTAAAAAAAAGTGCAACATTGATTTGTGGTCGATTTTAGATAGCAACACATCAGGCGAATATGATTTCAACCCATTTTTATGTGCAAACGCGCAAATGATTTTATCTATCTATAAGAGAAGAATTGTTCAGGTTTTTCTTTTACATTTGACACATGATTTAATTAGTAAGATAACGGTTTAAAGATGTTCACTTTTGATCGAAACACAATTTGCGCGCTATTTTGTAAAGTAAAAAAAATAGTTTTTTGTTGATAAAGAAGAATTGAGAGGAGAATATTGTGTTTTTCTGTAAATGTTCGTCACGGTGTTTTCTGCAAACACGCACATCAGGCCTGTGCCGGAAAATCAAAACCCGGAAAACGGAAAGTCGGAAAATTTCCGGATTTTTTGAACCGGAAATCCGGAAAATTCGGAAAATTTTTCAAAGTCTGAAATTTCGATTTCCAGCCTTACGTTGGCACTAAAACTTATTTTTTATCTACAATTCTTCTATTCACAGGTAATTTAGTAACTATTTGAGACGTCTTACGTTCAAAAAATAATGAAATTTGAAAAATTGAAAAAAAATTTCCAAAAATTTCATTTTTTCTATCATAAACTGAGAAAATTTTCCAAAATTTAGGCAATTTTGAAAATATTACTACTAGAGATCATTTCCGGATTTTCCGAGCACATTTTCCGGAAAACCGGAAAATTGATTTTTCCGTGAAAAAACCGGAAAATCCGGAAATTCGGAAAATTCGGAAAATTTCCGGCACAGGCCTGACGCACATACAAGTTGTGCATTAGAGCGCATTTTATTTCGTGTGGAGCAAAGCTTCCCGTTAATATTTTTGGTCTCTCGTTCTTTTTTGTATTGTGAAAGCTGTATAAACTGTATTTACCAAATCGTTTTCTGTAGGCTGCAGCCTATCAGTTTTGTAGTCAATTATTTTTATTAAAAAGCAAGTAATTTACTACCTAAAATCGCTAGACCTCGAAAATTTTCAAACATTTTCGTTGAATTTAGTCGATTTTTAGTCCCACCTCTTGTAAGATTGTGTGAGGTCTCAAAAAATGCACGAAATTTTCTGGGTATTAATTTTTTAAGAATTTGGCTTGTAACCCAATTTTTTTTTAAAATTATTTTCCCTTGAATAATCATCATCATCATAATAATAATAATAACACATCAACCTTCTTCTTTTCGCTTCGTTTTTTCTCCTTCTCCCCCAGGGCGCTGCCCCTTTTCCTTTTCGTCCTTTATTTTCCTATTTTCCTATCTAACCTACACACCACACTCTACACTTCTTTCCGTCCCTCGCCTCCACTATTTCTTCTCGATTTTGCATGTCTGACGGCGTTTT